CCCCCTACTAGGCTTTCTCACTATGGCGATCCTTGGTTTAGTGAAAGGCGTGCCTCTCTGGCTCAGCGCCTCGATTGTGACAGCTTGCAATGCAATGGTCTTTGGGTGAGTGATGGTGGGCAATTTCTCAACTGCATCTCTGGCTAAGTCAATACAGGATGGATACCGGCACAATAGGGCCGGTAACCACCATGGACTCCTTTGTAAAAACATTTGGCGAATTCTCATCGACCATGCATGGTGTGATAGTCTCATCCATTCTACTACCGGGTGTTTTGGCAGCTCTCGTGGCTGGTATCCTAGCTGATCGCTATGGACGGACCCGGATGATCGCCATTGGCTCTGTGGTGTTTGGTCTCGGCGCAGTGGTGGAAGCTGCGTCGTCTCAGCTTGGCATATTTATCGTTGGCCGACTGATAAAAGGCGTTGGAGAGGGTATCTTTTTGAGTACCGTGTACGTACACGTGTGTGAGATTTCTCCAGCGAAGGTCAGAGGTATCATCGCCTCCATTCCTCAATTCATGATCACTCTCGGACTAGTAGCCGGGTTCTTCATCTCTTATGGAACCGCCAGTCTTCAGGGATCGATCAGCTGGCGTTTGCCTATCGCAATACAAGCATTCCTGGCCTTTGCAAATGCTGCGTTGTGCGGGCTAGTGCCTCCCAGTCCGCGCTGGCTGTTTGCCAAAGGCCGACCTGAGCAAGCAAGGACTATCATTGCGATGCTTGGTTTGGATGACGACGAGCAGGCTGAGCTCTTGACACTCGCTGTTTCAGGACTGGAACATTCGCCGGACCTGTCGTTCTGGCATAATCTACGGCAGACGGCAATCGAATTTCGCGAGGCTTTCTCAAAACCCTTTCGTGCGCGCACCGTATTCGGCTGTTTCATAATGGCGATGCAACAGTTCAGCGGCATTGATGGGGTTCTTTATGGTCAGTATTCCCAACGTCCCGTATTGTCTCCTTTCGCAATACTCTTGATGCATCTAGTTGGAATTACACGGCATTTGAACTAGACTTTCAAAGTATCTACAACAGACATTGATGAATCTGTTCCCCCAAAATCAGTGAATACGAAAAGACTAATATATCTCTTACTTGCAGTCAGTGCTATCACCTGCCCCTAAGGACATACACCGGGCTTGTAGGAGCCGTGGGATATGAACTACATGCGTTATATGCAGGACTGATTGAGAATTTGCTAACCCGTACTGTCACAGTACGCACCGATCCTGCTGCAGCAAGCTGGCGTCTCCTCCAGCCAAGCCAGCTTTCTAGCCTCCGGTGTATCCGCCCTTCTGATCATGGCTGTTACTGTGCCAGCAACGCTGTTCGCCGACCGATGGGGCCGAAAAACATCCACACTGGTGGGTGGCGCCTCAATCTTCTTTCTCATGCTTCTCATGGGTTCCATGTACGCCGCGGGCGAGGTGCACGCTGATAGCGGTGCGGGAAGGTGGGTCGTCATTGTCAGTATCTACTTGTTCGCATTGGTTTTCAATGCGACGTGGGCAATCGGCATACGGGCCTTCTTGATTGAGAGCCTACCGAGGAAGACTAGGAGCAGCGGAGCGAGTCTCGGTCAGGGGAGTAATTGGGTAAGTGCCATGACCTTTATTCACGTCTAGAGTTGATAATCCGGTGATACTGAATGCTGCAGCTCGCAAACTATGTCGTGGCCCTGACGACGCCGGTATTCATTTCATCGTCGTCCTTTGGGGCTTATTACTTCTTCGCTTTCTGTTCGCTGTTCACCACCATTGTGTGTGCTCTGTTCATGTACGAAACGAAGGGCCACAGCCTGGAAGTAATCGAGCAACGTTATCTCGAACGTCAAGTGAGAAGCACGGGGCGTTGGAGACCGAGTATCCAAGGATTCAGAATGAGGCGTATCAGAGCATCAGAAGGATGAATCAGGTTTGCTGCGCAGGTGAAACTCGAGGAATTATGTGAGATTCCTACGTGCAGTCTGTCCCGCTGTGCCAAGTCTCTGGAGCAGCGGGCACTGTATGGTATGATGTTGTCATCCTAGCGAAATTTTGTGGCATAAGATTTCGTGATGCCGTCCAGTGTTCGACTCAAGTATCGCAGTGTTAGAAGTAGTTGTTTCGCTATTGGGATAAATAGAACAAGCTATTGACCAAAGGTGTCTAGTCTGAATACGAGGAGACCTGGACCCTACAGGTCGCCTTCAGTGCACTATGAACACCGGCTTCACTCCTAGCAGACAGGAAAGCCACATATTGACACCCGTTTGTTTGACTGTTGGAGCAGCGGAACAACCACAGCTTTTTGCCACCCGCCCGTGTCTAAGGGTGTACCAGTGGTCACCATGGGTCCCTATTTATCTGTCTTCTTTGCGCATCCAGGTCGACGAGTGCCGAATCAGCTCTTACTGCACTAGAGTCTCTTACTGCAAATGCGTACTTCCTGATAAGGGACTTTTGCCCTCAGCGATGCGAGGTTAAGCCTTCTCAACGGCATCCATTTTAGATTGAACCTCATCGGTGGTAAACCGATGCATGAGCTTGACGGCCTTGGAGGCGCTCTGCGGCTGTTCTTCTGGCGCGGTAGCCTTAGAGACATGGATCTAATCAGGGTGAAGTCAGCAGGCTGTCTATAATCTCTCGAAGGAATATGTAAGTACAGACCACTGGGACATCGAAATCGTACAGGTCGCGCCACCGAGGTATTGACTCGGATTTAACAATATCAATCTCTTTGAATTCGAAGGGACGCTGGTCCCAGACATCCGAGAGGACGGATCTTGCCTGAGTACATAGCCCACAATTCTCCCGCGTGAAGAGAGTTATGCGGCAGGCGTGTTGGAGCAGCCTGCTAGTGAGGCGCATTTCGGCGAGACGACAGGTCGCCGATGTTTAGGACAAGTCGAGCTGGTAGGTCAAGAGGAAGCCAGGAATTCAACATCAGGAGAAATTGTAGTCAAAAAGCTGAGCACGCAGTTGATTCATGCAATACCGAGCCCTCGGTATCGTACGACGGTGGACGTCCCGACCCGGCAAACGCGTTTTCCAATGCGGGTTCCTTGCAGGAGACCCTCTCTTCTTTGGCCCCCCCGACCCCGACTTTCCCCAAATCCACGCAGAGGGCAGAGCCTCCCAACCCCAACCCCTGGTCGACTTCCAAGGTTGAGGCTGACCGATGTCATCCTCCCGGCAGGGCAGGCGGTGAAGATTTGGTCCCTCCAACGTCCGAATCCCGTCGAAGCTGTCTGCACCCTGGCATCTCCATCCTCGAAACCATTTCACCAGCACCGCAGTCCTCCGACCGAGCCAGATTCTCCAACCTTTCCTGGCAAGGCGATCCAGCTCGTCACGATGGCCCAGAAATGCGTGCACAAGGGCTGCGGCAAGATGTACACCGACCCGGACGAGGTGTGCACGTATCACCCTGGTCCGCCGGTCTTCCATGAGGGGCAGAAAGGTAAGCCGCCGTAGCTGCGGGACCCCATCAACGTCGCGGGCCCTCAAGGTCCCTCGCACTCCTGCGGCGACTGCCCGGTGCGCGGAGGGGGGCTTGGATTCTAGTCTAGATGCTAAGGAAGTTGCGCCAGGCTGGAAATGCTGCAAGCCCAGAGTCCTGACCTTTGACGAGTTCCTCACGATCCCGCCCTGCACCGAGGGCAAGCACAGCACCACAGACGTCCCGCCCGAGGTCGAGAAGAAGACGGGGGATGCTGCAGCCGTGGAGGCGACGAACCAATCTCTCGCCTCGAAACTGTCCGAGGTCCCGTCCAACGTGCCTTCACGTGCGCCCTTGACGCCGCAGCCGGCACCCACTGCCCCGCCCCCTCCGCCAGAGTCCGAGGACGACGAGCCGTCGCTCGAGATCCCCGACGGCAAGACCTGCAGGCGCAAGGGCTGCCATGCTACCTACAAGAAGGGACAGGCCCGGTCTGACGACGAGCAGTGCGTACACCACCCCGGCGCCCCCATCTTCCACGAGGGGAGCAAAGGGTACAGCTGCTGCAAGCGGCGCGTCTTGGAGTTTGACGAGTTCATGCGGATCGAAGGCTGCAAGACATCGCCAAGACATCTATTCATCGGCTCCGGTGAGGATAAGAAGAAGAGTCCTAGCGCAGAGGAGACGCTGGACACTGTGCGGCACGACTACTACCAGACGCCCAGCACGGTCATCGCGTCATTCTTCCTCAAGAAGATCGACAGCCCCAAGTCAACGGTCAAGTTTCAGGCCCAGACAATGCTCCTCGATCTAGTGACGAGCGACGCGACCCCCAAGAGGTACAAGGCCGACGTGCCGCTCTACGGTAAAATCGATCCCGAAAAGAGCACGTTCAAGATCTTTGGCACTAAGTTAGAGGTCAACCTGTCCAAGGCCGATGGCACGGGCTGGCCAGTCCTGCGCAGCGATGATCGGCTGACCGGCGAGATACTCCAAGTAGGCCGTGCAGGGAAGGTGTAAATGGCTTCTCAGCAGCACTCCTAATCTACTTGCAATCAACCAACGGTCTATCCGGCTTGGCCTCTCCTTTGATTGTACATCCGATGCATAGATATGCGCAGCCCATCGCCGGCAGCTGCAGATTGCCTAACTCAAAAGGTTTCCAATACCTATGTATGATGTGATGTGCCTTGCCCAGCACTGCCCCGAGCTGCCCGCAGGACCGCAGGGAGGCAGACAGTCTGTTCTCCGCCTTGGTATGCTGCTTCAGTCGCAGAAGCTCAAAGAATCTGATTAGACTTTCATTGCGGAGGAATCCCGATAGATGAATTGGCTTGGCGTAGGGCGATCGGCAATTGCAAAAGCTTAGACTCTTGGGTGAAAAGTCTTGGGACTGCGACCAACTTCCTTGGCTGAGCAATCAATCCAGAGACTATTCAACCCCTACGTACGCGTTTCCATGTGTTCCACCGGGCAGTGCAACACACTTTGCCAGCAGATCCTATGCGATCATTAGCCATGACAGTCTGTAGCGTGATTAATCGTGAACACTGGTCGACCAATAGGCCCACAGTTGTTGGTGTGCATAGTCTATCTAGGGCCGATAATAATGGATTAATGACGTGGAATACTACGAAGCTGGGGATTTTCCCCGTAGCGCTCCCCCAAGACCTCAAGACACCGAGACTGTGTCTCTGGGCTTGCGATGAACCAAATGCTGACGACAATCTGGCCCACAAAAGCAACAACCGTAGTCTCATTGACACCGCTCCGGAGCCGTATTACTCTCTCAAAGTCTCAACTGAGGCGTCCTTGGCGACGTCTGGGCATAGGCTGGGCACGAAAAAGTGGAACTCAACTCTCTTCTCTCCCAACCCAACCCAACTCATCAATAAACTCTACGGCAGAGACGAGGAAAAGGAGAAAAACAATCTAGAGCGAATCACATCAATCAAACGACCCACGCTCTCATCTCGGGTCCCTCCGGAAGTAGCAGCCGTGTGGATATATGAACGTATAGAGGGTGTAGTATTGCGACAGGGAATCGGGTCCCGCGCCCAAGGTGCCGGGATGGGCCTCATCCATCCTGGCGATCTCATGTGCTGCAACGCTGTCGCGGCTCTCGCCGTCGATAAGAGACAAACACACAGCCCCCCCCCCCCCATTCAGTGCGGCGTACAGAGAGCAAAACAAAAGCGCAGAAACGAAAAAGATTCGCAAGCCTGCCCAGCCCTGCGGCGTGCCTTTTAGCGTTTCACAGAGCGCCAGTCCCAGCCTATCCCGCGCCGCCGCGCCGGCAGATGGCGGATGGAAGAGGAGATGGGCAGGGAGGCAGGGGGCGCGCACGTGCGGATCCCGGCTTTAGGCCCTCTTGGTAGCCCGTCACGATCTATCCGGCTAGGCCGGGAGGAGGAGGGAGGGACGTTTGCCCAGATTCTCTGCTATGGAGGTAGTGCGTATGATACGACGGCATAGTCTCCCTCTAGTCCTGGATGAGTTGTTACGGTGAGTCAGACTGCCTAGAGTGAGCACTGTGTTGCCAGAGTAGAGGAGTCGGGGTCGCTCGCCGCGCCCGCTCTGTCCGACTCTCCTGGGAGTTGTAACCCTGTTCTAGCGACTGTGCGCAGTACTGATCATGGATGCCCGTTGCCTGCATCAAGGGCATTTGTTCATGGTGAGCGATTCGAGGGTCCAGATCTTCACGTAGAAATTCGATAGAGAACCATCTGAAATAGCATTGAATCTGATCCATAGTCATCGATAGTCTTCGGAATTTGTACAAGTCAGATATCACATATCGCTCCTATCTAAGAGATGCCAGGTCTACGCTCGATGCTTTCCGTCCAAGTCTCAGCATCACTTCGTGAACCAACCCATCCGTCCGTGGACTGTGTAAATGTGAACCTCCCATAAACGCCGTAATAACCCCCTTCCATTGGGGTCTCGCTTTTCGCTTACAATTCCAATTCCGTAATCAACACCAGAATAGTGAAAACGACATTCCTTCTCATAACAAAGCACAAAAACCAGTAAAACCATGCTCCGACCTTAATATATCCACTTGTTGCCCCAACTCCCCTTACGCCGGCCGCTGCGCCTCCACGTCGTAGTCCTCGCCGTGCTCGCGGCGCACCGTGGCCTGGATGAGGGCCTTGCCGTCCCGGATGCCCAGGAAGCTGGGCCACTTGCTGACGACGTCGTCGTGGCCGCCGACGTCGATCTCGAAGGTGACGACGCAGGGGCTCGCGCGCGACGAGAGCTGCAGCAGCTGGGCCCGGGGCGCCTGGGCTGTCGGCGCCGTGCTGTTGGCCCGCGACCGCTCCTCGACCTCCTGCTTGATGCTCGTCGCCGACGAGCTGGTCGTCTTCTGGTTGGTCAGGTCCGACTGCGAGCCGCTCCGCGACCGCCTCCTCTCCGCGCGGTGGAACTTGAACTTCAGGTGTGCCTTCTTGGCCAGGATCGGGAACAGGTGGCCGAAGCCGGCAACGACCAGGACTGGGGTACCGAGCGCGAGGGCCCATTTTCTGTGTGATATTGGTCAGCAACGTGTTCTTTGGTATCTTGGGAATCGGCAGGTAGGATCATGGCTGTCCTGGGAAGTAGATGGATAACGTACGGGTGTCTGATGTCGGTGAGTGCGTGGTATAATGCCAGCACGACACCCAATACAGCGATCTCCGAGCCTAGTTGCAGCATGGTCCACGTTGACCAGTATAGCGACATGAGATCCTCGCCTTCGCAGAACTGCAGGGCCAGCAGACAGTAGACCTCCATCACCACGGCGACGCCGGCGATGAAGAACAGCGCTGTCGAATATGCCATTGCGATTCTGAGTTTCCTCCTCAACTCCTTTTTATCGAAGTCAGGGTCTTCGGCGTATTTCATAACTCTGGCCGGCGCGTTAGTCCATCGATGCTCTTTCTGGGGTTGCATTAAGGAGATGCAGATAACGTGTGATGACGCGAGGAGCGAGAGCCACTACTTACGACTGGTATATCCATGATGCTACGAACAAAATTCCGATCACGAAGACGAACAACGACCAATAGAGGGCATCAAAATGGATCCGGTTGAGGTTGCTTGTGAAATGTGCATAGTGAACGCATTGTTCTTCGTCGACAGGTTGAAAGCCGGCCATGCTAGGTATAGTCCTGTCTCGAGGGATACTAGTGTTCTTCAAAGACAAGAATAATACTCAATTTAAAAAAAATAATGCTAGACCTTTGGGCAGAGACCTCGTTGAATATCAAAGGGGATAATCGAAAAGTTAAGGGTATTGCCAATGGTGAGGAATAGTATTGGTGGAAATAAGAATGGTCTCGATATGAATAATTTTCTAGTCAGAAAGAGAGAGGGACGACGCAGATATGTATTTTCGACTCTCAGAGGAGGTGCACTGTCTATGGGCGATCAAGTACACTGGTCAAACAGGCCGTGTAATTAGCAAGTAGCTGCCCAGGCTTGCCAGGGGCCAGTGAATGAGCCTTACGGGAAAAGCGTAATTCCACGGCACTGTGAAACCTTGAGAACCTTCTCGGGGCTCGTTCACGGACAGGGTACATTGCCCAGGCGGGCCAGAGGGTGGATAGTGGCAGAATAGTGTTGCAGATGACGGCAGGAGCGAGATAAGGCAGTAAGATTGCCTTCTCTGATTTGCTTGACTAGCATCGTGATAGATGATAGGGCTCTTGGCTTGGCGGTTGAGGCGGAGTGAAACAATACTGTCGATCACCCTTGGCGAGAATCGACCTGGAGCGTGCTCGATAGCGCGACGGCACTTGTAATGCAGTTGCTCCAGTTGTGTGTCACTGGTGAAGAGAACAACTCAGCCACAAGAAGAACACAGAGTTTGTGGCAGCTTAGCGGGCCCGAAGGTCGCGAACCTCCAGGCGGGGCGAAAACAGAAAAACAGAAGACAAAGGAATGGTGATTGTTTCTGAATCGAATCTGTCGTCACTTGTGGAGTTATTAGGTGTGACAAATGTTTGTCGTCGCAATGTGCCAAGTGAATAGTATACCATGGATGGAGCCGACTGGGCGGCATACCCCTACCCCAGGCAACATTTCGTCGGGACTCAGTTGGGACGTCAGCGACGTGGGGGTTTCTCCATCCATCGTGGAGCTTGGAAAATGCCATCAAGGAGCCCCTGGAGCTTCCCGCGGTAAGGGTGTGCGGCTGCTTTCATGTGGCGTTTTATTAAGCTTCGAGATCTACCTCTACTCCATGCCCTCCATTAGCTCGGTCCGGTCTAGCACCATCCCTTTCTGCCCAATGTACTCGCGGAGAGAGTCCCACTCGGGCCCTTCTTCTTCGCCTTGGCGCCATTTCTCACTGAAGCCCCATGCGCAGGCTACCCTGTCCAACGCGGCCCTCTCTTCTTCCCGGATCCAGCGCATCCGGAGAGCTACGCCAGGGGCCCACGTGACCCGCTTCATCTGGTCATTGGCCGTCGTCGCTGATACGATGCCTATGGAAGCTGTGAAGCCCACGTAGGCTAATATGCCGGCAAAAGCCACGTTGGTTGCAGTAGCGGTGTCCATGGCATCCTGGAAGACCGAGAAGCTCCTCGCCAGTGCGTAGGCTGCCACCGGGGTCGCGGCAAAGGTGATGCCGGGTGCTAGACCTTTGCGCAGCAGCTTGGATCGGATGAAGGCCGGGGTCGTGTAGCTATTTTCGATGATACCAACTGCCGCATCCAGATTCTTGGCCTCGATCGCAGAATCGAGGGCCGTCTCAGCTACTTTTGGATCTATAGCGTGTGCGGCCTTGTTGGGGTTTGGTTTCGTATACTGGATTGACCCTGACTCTTCGCGAGCCATGGGTTTTGAAGCGTACATTTGGAACACTCGTGGTAGCGTCTCGGGCCTATTCAAACTGGCTTGAGCATGGACGTACTGCTGGAGGAGGCTTGGCGTGATAAAGACGGTTGGGTGGGCGACCGTTTCGTAAGCCGCCTGTGAGATTTTGTCGATCAGCTGCTTGAGCTGGGCGGTGATGCCCACGCCTCCAGCAGTGGCAACGGGCGCTTGCGATGCCGATCGGGAGGCTTTGCGACTGCTGGCGTCCAGCGACAGCAGATTCGAGGCAGTCGAATCCAACTCGTTCACCATGTGACTGATCTGAGGCCGTAACGACTCGTCTGTGATGTAGTCGGCGACCACCTTGCAAGCTTGCAGAGCGGCAGCCACGTCCTTCTCGGACGGAATGCCTCTGTGGTTCGTAACCTTGGACTTGCTGTTTTCAACGTAGGCCAGCATGTTCGTAAGGGACATGAGCTCCTGGCCCCCAACGGTGGGGGTCGACGATCGCCTGCTCTGCGTCTCCTCGACCGTTTGCTGTACGGCTGCGGAGCTTTGGCGTGAGCGGCCGCTTGTGGCAGATGCCAGCCATCGCTGCTTCTCTGTGGTCGTGGGCACGCCGAGACTGGTGCCTCGCGCGGCTCGAAGCAGTAAAGGCCGAGGTCTGGAAACGCTCCGCGTGGTGAATGCAGCCTTGGCTCTGTTCGGGCGTCGCACCGTTAGGGCGTCGCAGATGAGGCAGACAGGACCCTGTCTGGGGGCGAGCGCGGGTCGGCGCACGGCGGTGGACATGCCCAAAGCCGCGGGCGACATTGGCGCGCGGGGAAAGACGAGCGGAAGCGTCGATGTCGTGTAGTGTAGGCCGGGGCGGGAGGTGCTCGGCGGGGAGGAAAGATTCACGGTAGACTGGTTTGACAGGAGGCTGTGAAGTGACGCGATCTCTCGTCTGGAGTTCCAATGCGCGTGGGGAGCCTGAGCTGCGGTGGAAAATTCCTGCCCCGGGGATTGTCCAATTAGAGCCCCAGCTACCCAGGTATCTAGGTACCTGGCGGATGGGCTGCTCGGCAGCTCTAGGCCTGCCCCCGGCACGTTAAGATACCTAAAGTACTGTACGTATGTACCAGGGTCGGCGGGGTCCAATTGCCATCCAGTACTACACAGCATGATGCATACTACATAGTATTGGGCTGACAGGGTGGCCAATGGGACTCAAGGCTTTTGGCAGCACCTACAACCGCTCTTGCCTACCAGGTTTGCAAGCTTTCGGAACTCGACCGGGAAACATGCAGACCAGTTTGCAATAAGCCACCAAGGCAAGGCAGTAGGGTTTGCAAGACCCCCCCATTATTGGTAAGGACTCTGGAGGCAATCGCGCATCGTAAACGCTAGCGATAGACTATTTGCAGCACCCCGTTGCCCTTACCAGACTTCCCACGACTCACGAGAGCACGGTTCTGGGATGTTTCCACTTGAAGGTCCCCAAGGGGTTCCAGGTGAGTTGATCGACAGCAGGGGGGGGGACTGTGCTGAGCATTTCGAGTCATCAATGGGCTGCCCAGACCACTAGGGCGGCCAAGCCAATCCCAAGACTACCCGTCTGTCTTTTGTCCATATCCGTGCCTGAAACGGGATGCGATGGAGTGACGGGAAGCATTATGGCATAATGGCCCGGAAACTTGTCCGATAGAGAGGGCGTGTCGCTAGACAACAAAAGTACGGTTGTATAGTATAGCATGTCGATCACGAAAGCCCGTGACGAGGCTCGATCCAAGAGTTGTCTACCCATCACGCGAGCTTCCTGTGGAGCCTGCGTAGACACAACCGATTGGGTCTCTGATTGTGGCAATCCTTCTATGCTATGCATGCATGTGTGAGTATGTACAGTAACCAGAGAGCATAGCCTTAGCAGACCTAGGTACCTCGAAGCGATGCATACTGTATTACTGATCTGCATGGAGGTTTGATCAAGTCACATGCCCAACTCCAACTATCTACCAAGTTACTCGGTACGCTCTGATTCATTTGTGCGTGTCGAAGACATTATTCGATACGCACGCGCTGTCTCCAAGACTGGAAGCGTGTGAAGATGGGCCCTTGGGGCGACCCTGAACCCGCCAGCGCCAAGGCCCGCTGCCTGACCAGACATGCGCAGGTTGACTGCGCCACACGCAGTGACGACACGCGGCTGAAGTGAGGGTCCGCCGCCGCCAGCGCCGCCAACGGGCTGCGGGCCAGGCTTCAACGTCGGGCCTCGAAAGCCAGTGAGCTGTCGGCATTCCTTCACTCACTCGACAACGTGCGACTTGGCCTCGTGGATGCAGCCTGCTCCAGGACCAGACAACGGCCTCAATTTTGCATCGTATAGCGGACGCAATTGCATTATTCATTTCTTATCCGCCCCATTCCACGACCCCGAACCGCTCGTGGAGACAGCTCTGGTGATCGAGCGCAGTCCGGCCGGGCGCCCACGCGACATCAGCATCGCATTAGCACCAGCACCAGCACCAGCACCAGCACCACAGCTCTACGATTCCTGCCGACGAGCTCCAAGCTTGAGGCTTCAACATGCCGCCTCCTCCACCACCTCCCCCGCCGCCCCCGCCGGGCATGGGAGGGCCACCACCACCTCCCCCTCCTCCGCCCCCGGGGGGTCTACCATCTAAGAAAGCTGTGACCGGCGCAGGACGTGTATGTGTGCGCCCGAGATCCCGGGGTTATCCGGCAAGCTGACAGTCGACAGGGCGCATTGCTCGGCGATATCCAGAAGGGCAGGGCCCTCAAGAAGGCCGTTACGAACGATCGATCGGCACCGCTGGTTTCGGCACCGTCTGGCGGAGGGGCGGCTCCCCCGATAGGAGGAGCACCACCGGTCCCAGGCTTGGCTCCGCCCGTGCCTGGAGGTAGCAGATTACGGAGCAACAGTGACCAAGGGAGCCGAGATAGCGGCGCGGCAGCGGCAGTAGCGACAGATTCGGCACCACAGTTGGGAGGCCTGTTCGCCAGCGGCATGCCGAAGCTGAAGAAGCGCGGCGGTGGTGTGAATACAGGTGGTAGGTTCTCCCCATACCTCACGCCAGCCTGCACAAATACTGACCCGATCGAACAGCGGATAGCGGAGCTTCATATCTTTCGGACTCGGAAGCAACAAAACGATCATCGGCTCCGAAACCACCATCCTTCGGTGCCCCCAAACCACCGGGCGGAGCTGCTCCCGCGATCCCCGGCCGGCCGGTTCCACCTGCACCCGGAGGACTGCCGTCCCTTCCGTCGATAGCGAACTTGAGGAAGACCCCAAGTGATGTCCCGCGGCCTATGTCCTCGGCGTCCATGAAGGCGCCTCCGCCCTTACCCCTAGGCAAGAAGCCGCCGCCCCCGCCTGGCTCTCGCAAGCCGTCAGGGGCACCACCTGTACCAGGTGCACCTCCTCCTCCACCAGTCTCAGCGCCGGCCCCGCCAGCTCCCCCTCCGCCGCCACCGTCATCAGCTCCAGCTCTGCCTTCGGCGCCGCCTCCAGCCCCCGCGAGGTCACAACCCCCGCCTCCTCCCCCAGGAAATGGGGTGTCGCAAAATATCGCCCTCCAAGCTGCCATCCGCGCATCAGGCGGTTCGTCACCATCAGCTGCGCCTCCAGCTCCTCCACCGCCGCCCCCGGCAGCCGCTCCCTCGCCACCTTCGTCAGCGCCGCCTCCACCCGCTGCTCCACCCAGCCGGCCGCGCGCAGCTTCAAACCTTCGCACCTCCATGTTGGACCCCAGCGCCTACACGCTGTCGCACAACGGTAGCACCAAGTCGCCCTCGCCGACCAGGTCTAGCTCGACGGCAGGCTTTGCGAGCCCGGGCGGCGGCGGCGGCGGCGGGCGGTTCGTGGTCGAGGACAAGCGGTGGCGCTTCACCGACGAGGCCCAGCTGCCGAAGCCGCGGCCGTTCCAGGGCGGGGCCAAGAAGTACCGGGCTGGAAGGGGCAGCAGCGTGCCGCTGGATCTGAGTGCGTTCTAGGGGAACGCGAGCGATCGTACGGACGAGATGGCTAGGAAGCCCCACGGGAGACCAAGGGGCAAGACGGACGCAGCCAAGGGCCTGGGCGCGGGCAAGTTCTGGCGCCGCGGCGGCATCGAAGAATAGAGTCTCAATGTCGTGATGTGAGGGGGCTGCGGGGGCTGCGAGACACCCATCATGGCTCCGGAACTCTTCCACAGCCACGGTTATGAGTGCCGGTGAATGGCCTGACAGGAGCTTTTTATATTAGTCAAGCTGTATTGAGTAGGAAGGAGACGAGTGCTTCTGCTCTCCAAGTGAGCGTCACGAGGGTAAATGCGAGAGAAGGAGAGAATTAGAATTACACTGCATATCACACACAAATCCTTCACGGCTGAACGATCGTGCGCCAATTCAGTAAGGCAATCGCCTGAATTCTCATCTGCAGGATCTCTATCTACAGCGACCGCATACAAATCAGAGGTCATTCTCCCTCCGTAGGATCGCAAAAACATGTAGCCATGGCGTGCTCTCTATAGTGACCAGTTACCAATAATACTCTGCGGGGCCTGAGGCTCGTTGCTGCATGGCCACATCCTCCCTGGTGAAGGGTGGATAGCCGTATCGCAGGTCGTCCAGGCGGTTGTCGCACGAGGCGCCCACGCCGTCCATGTGCTTGATAACACTCGTGGCGGTCCTAAGCAGGTCGTCGAACGCGCCGGATTTGTCGAGCGACTCGGGGGTCCACTCGGCCTCCTGCAAGAATTCCAGGCTGTTGTTGGCGCGCAGCGCATGATCCGCTTTGATGGAGGTGATGTGGGCTTCGAACCAGGCCGGGGCGATGCCGTCGTGGGGGATGCTGACGTCGGCGTAGGCGCGGAATTGGAACGCGTCGTCGCCCTTGGCGACGATAGCCTTTTTCATGCACTGCACGCGTGTGATGTGAAGCTGGCAGGTGTTCTCGCGGTTCTGAAATGTGGCAACCTGACGAATGCGGACGGATTTGGTCTCGACACCCCAGCCCCGGAAGTTGACGAAACCCAGGACAGGGGAGCCGTCCGGTTGAGGCCTATTAGGTCATATTGGCGAGACAGCACAAGTGGACATAGGGGCTCGTATAAACTTACTTGACCTCCAACGATGCGACTACCTCCTTAGCGAAGGACATACAATTCTTCTCGATATCCGGAAGCGCGTCGACTACAAGTCTAAGGTCAAAGTCTCGCTGGGTGCAGTGAACATAGATATTGCTCTGCTTGGTGTCCGCTTTTCGAAGCTTGTAGGAGAAGTCATGGGCATCTATTTCAAGAACGAAATAGTGCTTGACTCCGTAGTCGCCCGTGGTCATACACCAAAACTCGTAGAAGGCCCGTCGCTTGGATCTCTGCCACATATCTGAGTATGTGTCTTTAGACTTGACCAAGTTGCTGAGATAGTTCATGTCTTCGCCACGTAGGCTGACGATATCCGAGAAGTAGAGGTCCCGAGGCTGTGTGTGCTTCTCAAGTCGATCTTCCATCTCTCGTACTGACAATGTCCGCGGACCTCGAGGCTCCTTGGGAATAGTCATATGTTGGTAGTTGATCTTGGTGAACCATAGCCTGCCCAGCTCTGCTTTTAACGTCACAGAGCCTTGATATACTCGGAGCGGTGCGAATATCTGATAGAGGCTCCCTTTGATCTTCTTCTGAGCGGCGGAGTCAATGTAAGGCGCAGACCCTCCTTCCATCTCTCGGTCCTGAGTCTTACTTGCCGCCTTTTGCTTCATGGTCTGATGGTACTGACCTGGTTCCTTCTCCACAGGTGACACGACTCGAATGGGAGAAAGAGGTCGAGCTAGAAGCACAGTTTCATGAGGGGAGAAACTCAACAGATCGTGGGGTTCTTCCCGTCTGGTAGCTTGTAGTGAGCTCGGCACCACGGTGTTCCCAAGTAGATCATCGTCAGAGCGGATATGCAGATTTCCTCCATTGGTGAATGGATCCTCTAGTTGCTTCTTGCCCTTGTTCGGAGTACTGGTAGCGCTGTTGGTACCCTTGCCAAGCGTAACGAGCTGGTTCTTAATATTCTGGATGCGATTATCCCGTGATAACGGGGTACGCTGGTGAACTTGGCTACTGGCGTTTGTGGTTTGGGGGCTTGGATCCATTTCGCTTCGAGACTGATAGATGGGAGTACGGTGGAAACGGTTGGCCGTCAATCCTATACCCGGCTGTTCGTCTCCATCAGCACGGGTAGCCACTGTAGTCTCTTCGAAAGTCATGAGATCTTCCTCGATAGGAAGGGGTTTATGCCCGACGTGGTCGAGAGTGGGTTGCTTGTGTCTGTTGGCACCCCAAGATGCAACACTCGTGGACGTTGCGACGGAGCGGATCGGGAAGGTTGGGAGCGTGGTCGCCCATTCGAGAACTCGAGGAGCGGCTTGTGGATTGACCCGCTCTAAGCATGTGCTATTCGCACCCTCCAGCGTTTGGGGGATACTGGGCGGCGAAACTCCATTAACATCCCAATTCATGACTTTGTCGGAAAACGACCATTTATCGAAGGCAAGAAATTCGTGCCTGGAGCTCTTCCGAGATATCGTAGGAGATGTCTCACTAGTTGCAGAATGACCAGGCTTTGGCTCCTTGACAGATCGAACGAAACTTCCTTTCTCAAAAAGCTTCTCATAGTCCTTCTCCACCGCGAACTTGGTCGGATCAAGGAACACAGGGGTCAAATAACGCTTCCTGTTTGTTTGACCCAAGTATCGAAGTTCGACTTCGGTAATGGCCTTGCCATCTGTCTGCTCAGTGTAGAGGACATTGACTTGTGTCCCTCCTAATTTGGGCTCCATCTCCTATCAACACGTCAGCATACTGCAACAAGTGACTAACGTTCTCTTCTTTGCTCACATAATACTTCAGCGCGACGTCCAACTTGTTATAGGCTGCCGATACGTCCGAGATTTCGTTAGAACCGAAATGGAGTGAGAGGCCATCAGTACCTCCCATCACCACACATCCAGTAGAACTAGAGATCAACTCAACAGGATCGCAGTCGAGGAACAACTTCTTGATGGTCATTCCTTCCTTGGCCTTGTTCTCGGGCATACGCCACGTGGCTCTGTGACCCAGAGCCTTGATCTCACTAGGGTAAGAGAACCACTCGTATGCAGCAACCTCGCTATGACTGAGTGACTGAAGTCTCCACTCACTGAGGCTCATGATCCTGTTGCTATTGGTTTTCTGCTCATACTTAGCTTGAGCCCGGGAATTGAGAGAAACGCTCACGTTCAAAGTCGGAGGTACTTCATCATGCGGAAGGTTGCCCAGCTCAGATGAGACCATCTGGTTCAAGATCCTGAAGGCGCTGGTCACGATTTGTTCCTCGTTGCCACGGAGACATCGTATCTCGAAGCACCCCCTGTTGATGTTGTATGTGACTTCGGGGTTCTACTCGAATCATCAGTGACAAGGCCTCTAGCTTAATACAGTTTGTGAAACCTCCTTCGGGAAGGCGAGGTGATTTGAACTTACTACAATGTCTTTCCGAAGTTCTGCATAGAACTCTTCCAAGCCTTCAGGGCGTAGAATCCAGTTGCTGCTCAGGGAGAAACTCGAATAAGCGTTGTTTCCGAACTCTTGAGCAACCTTTGGCGGGGATTTCTGAGCGCCAGCAAGCTGCTGGCGAGTCCACGCTGGGAAGTATGTGCGCATGGAGCGATGTCCCTGCGCGTTAGGTACGTATGCCATCTTCAGGTAGGTGACACTACTTCTGCGAGAAGCACATGAGCCAGACAGAGTCTGGTTGAGCTTTGATCCAATTAGTTCCAGCTTAGGGGATGGATTGGTTTGATACCATGCGCTTGTCAGTGTTCCGTAAGTGGCTGTGGAGCTCCAATATCAGAGTGCCCTCGCTAGGTAGCCGCATGCGATGTGGCGGAGTCTTGAATGTGCGGTCGGATTGCAACGTGGAGCTGCACGCTTGCGACCGAAATGGTTGGTCTTGCGTGGATCACGGGAGGGTGAGGGTGATGATGTTCGGCACGGCGATGAAGATCTCGCGATGGGAAGTGGAGGGGCAAGATTACTTACCTGCTCAAAATCTGAGCGTGGTGATGGTCATCCGAGTGGAAGACGCTGCGGAAGGGGCGTGGGAATCCCAAGGTCAGTCCTCACCTGGGACGATCCCGTGCTTCACTAAGATGAGCGAGGGGACAGTTCCCGATGGAACGAATGGGATGAGAAGTTGGTAGAACTTGTGAGGGCTGAGACTGTGGGATGGAGAAACAGCCTTTTGTGGTGTTTTGTGGGTGAGGATGTGAGTTTGTTTGCAACTCGGAGTCGAGACTGGGAAAATCTACCTAGGTACTTAAGAAATTCGAACAGAACGATCGCCGACGTGGGTCGTGATCTTGGTGAATGGAAACCTGGTGTAATGGCGTGCAAGTAAGCGTCCATCAGGGTTGGTCTCTAATATCACCAAGGCGATGGAGGTTAACCTGCGACCAACACGCTGCAATACGCTATATGTTGGGGTTGTGGCCCGTGTAGCACAGATGTTGAGGCTCATCCACATGCATGAGCAATGGAATTATCGAAGAAGCCAAGAACCTATGAGCACGAGATTGTGCATAAGGTATTGCATGATATGCTAGATCACAGAATGAACGTGCATGGTTAGGGGAAGGTACAGTGTGCCACCATCTTGGTAGGCAGGTGCGTGAACTGAACGTTTAGTATTCAGAAGAAACCCGAACAAAGTACTATGTACCAAGGGGAACCCGTGGATCGTTGTGTGGACGGCTATATCTGAGCACGTACGCGTGCATATACAACATTCCGCCTGCAATTTGTTCATTCACGCAGTCATACGTAATACATAACACATGGAGATAGTTGGGATCGAAGTCAAGAGAATTACTATTCCTTTCTACTATTTTAGACCGGGTATATGCAACATAATAAATAAAATGGCTCCCGTCCCCTTCCCTGTTATGCTATCTCACACACAAAGGAAACGGACCGTGTCATCAACGCAACGGTGTTCGTGCGCGGTATATGGGGTTGTTTCATTCTTTCTCAGCGCCGCGACCATCCCTTCCGGCCTGATCATCTCGCACCCGACCCCTGAATGGGTTTCGTATTAGGAAGTCTCATTTGGACTTTTGGATCTCCTTTTTTTTAGAAGTACGTCCAGACTCCCTGGACTCCGGGGGCTTCAAAAAGTTTTCCTCCAGACCGGTCAGGGGTGCCGACTTGTCACCCCCTGATGCCATCATGCCCGCTGATCTCCGAATTTGTAGATCGGCTGGAATATTCCTCCTCTCGGTCGACTGGGGAGAAAAGGTTTACCCGCCTCTTTGGCTGGAGCTGGAGAGTTGAAAGGTTTCCAGATGGGAATTATGTACAGTCGAAGCCACCCAAGCCGCATGATACGGGTTCAGGTGGAGGTAGTAGAAGCGAACTGTTCGGAGGGAACAGGTAAGAGTGTCGTTATTTCGTGATGCCCACCCACGGGATCCTCTCGGGTCTCATCTCGTTATTGGGCCCCCTTGACGTTCTCCTTTACTTTCAGCGCCCACCTGAGCTGCCCTAATACACTCTTCGTCTCCTCGATCGTCCTCAGCTGCTCCTCTTCCCTCTGCCTGGCCGCCGTCTTGATGGTTTTAAGCGCCTCCTCCTGCTCCCTCTTGTAGGCCTCGAATTGTGCCCCTATCTCGTCCTTTTGCCTCTTGAGGTCTCGGATGTTTCCATCTTGCTGGTCGCACAGGTCCCGGAGCGTGTTGATCTTCTCGTCGTCCTTCTTGCGCTCAATGACGATAGCTGCAACCTCTGCACGGAGGTTCGTGGCTGTGCGTTTCACCTCATCCCCTTGATCTTTCCAGTGTGATGAGATGGCGTTGTAGCGGCCTTCCATGAGCGCGGCGTGGGTCTTGGCTTCCTCAACCTGCACGTTGGCATCCCGGCGGCCCTTTTCCATCTCGTCCCGCCATGTCTTTTCTCTTCCCAGTGCCTCAACTGCCCGTTTCTTCTCGGCCTCGACGGACATCTGGAGGTGTTCCACTTGCCGCTCCTTTCGACTCAGTAGAGTTTTCGTAACGTTGGCTTCTAATAGCCTCGACTCGTATTCTGACACCATGCGCTCCATCTTGTCCTCCATGAGCTTCGCTTGCTGCTTGGCCTCTTCTGACTTGATCCGTTCCAGCTTGAGATCTCGCTTTAGCGCCTCGTTGTCCGAAACCAGCTTGTTGATGACCCGACCCGTCTTTCCCAGCGCAGCCTTGCCCACGGTGCCATCCCATTGTGGCGAGCCTTCACGAGCCGACTGTGCATGATCATCCATGTCCGAGCTCGCCTCCGTACCGTTGCTCTGTCTTATTGTGATGTTGCTCGAAGACATTGCCGCGAAAATGGGGCTTTTGCTCGCGGACTGCGACTGCGACTCCGGGTGCGAGGTTGGCGGTTTTAACCGTGAGCTGGACCCGTTTTGTGCTTGGAACTGCGATGGGTTGTGGGAGTAGTACGAGGCGCCGCTGGCGTTGCTGTTGACCGAGCTCGAGAAGGCACTGTTCCTCGCCGAGGGCGACTCGATGCTGGACGTGTCCGAGGCGGCCTCGAAACTGGGTACTGTGCGGATGGTGGAGGGGATCTGGCTGCCGTTCAGCGGAGACTTGGGCGAGTTTGCGTAGGTGCTGCTGTATCTCGCCTCGGCCATGCTGACTCTCTGATTGCTTCTTGGGGAGGACGAGAGGACGGAGCCGTAGTCGGCGGGTGTGTTCTTGGTCGGGGTTCTGATTTCGCTCGTCGCATCTGCCGCTAGGAGATAGGCCGGACTGATCGGTTCTGTGTTTAGACGAGCTTAAATTAACGACGATGCCAAACAATGACCATAGAGACGGCGTAGAATGCCCATTCGCGCGTGGGTCACAAGCGTCGGCCCCAAGCCACGAGCAACAAAGAAAATGGCGTCCGGAGGGCTTGACGGGGTCCAAAACGGAGTGTTTGTTTCAGACAAGGCCGCGGCAGAGGAACAGAGTCTTGGGGGGATTTTGGAGAGAAGGCAATGCGCAAGAGACAGACACTCTATGCGACCAGCCGACAAAAGGTAATAAGCGGCGGTGCAGGTCCTGTGTAGAGGCTTACCGTTTTTGTTGTCTTGCTGATGTTTTGGAACGGAGGATCCTCGACTGCGACTAGCACGGCGCGGCTTCTGCAGTCTGCTGGGCATTGCTATGGGGGCCCTTGGGGCGGGCGAGTAGCCTCAGTGCCTAAAGTGCTAGTGTCGTGAAAAAATAAGGGGTCTCGGGATCTACGTTTGTCTGCTAGAGTTTCGGTGGAGCGCACCAAACGGCTTTCCGGCGCTTGATGGGAATCTCCCTCTTCTTTTCAGACGGGCGTTGGAATGATCGCCTCGCGTTTCTGTGTCGGTCGTGTAGATGGGCCTGGCCTGGGTCTGGGTCCCGTCTGGAGTGAGGCCAACTGTTTACGGCACGTAGAGCCCCCTCCAATCAAGATTGCGTCGGACGGCAAGCAAAAAGACCGGATCAGTCGCTGGTAGCGAATGGTTCACAACGCCCGTACAGCAATGGGTCTCATGGACTGCAAGCAATGCTATACGAAACCCGAGTGCAGGCTCAGTCGTCCGATGTATAAGTTATATGGATAGAGTATGGGAAGGAGGAAGCGCATTCTCCTCCAGCAGCCCGGGAAACCCGTGTCAAGGGTCGCTCACGTCAAGAGATTAATCAACTAGGCTTGAGCATACATTTACCGATCCATGTCATAGCACACAGCGCACACCTCATACCTTGTTGATGATGGGGGGCCCCCCTCAGTCTCTTCTGTGTGTGTTGTCTTGTTTCCGGAAGCCTTGATCTGCGCATCCTTGCGTATCACTGAGGCTGCTGAGACTGGGGCGCCACATTTCTGTCGACGTTGCACCAATTGGAAGTTGGGGTGCCCCTGGCAACTGTCATGACAGTCATGCAAGGGGTCCCACGAACTGCAGTCTTCTGGCATGATTCCCCAGGGCGACAGTGCTCCATCCACGCTCAGATCCCTCGTCCCAAGTCATTCGTTGGCTGCACGGATCGAATTCCGAGTTTCGTGGCTGTCTCTCGCCTTGTCAAGGACCTCAAGGTTTATATCTTTGCAGCTTGCGGCGTAGCTTACGAGTTTGCGGACGCCGCAGAACGTCATGTCGAACTTGAAATGGCATGGAGATGTCAGTGCCCCACCGGTGTTGCTTTTCTGTTCCCCGTCTCCAGCGCGTAGATTGCTTAATCTACGCGCTCCGCAGATTCGCGGAAAATGACTGGCCGAATCCTGGGTTCCGCCCTATACACACATGTTATATTTATTACTCCCAACGTACGGCTTGATCTTTTGAATTTAGCTACTGCCATCATTGTACATTGCACTGCGAAATGCTTATCGCGCACACTTACCAGTTGCAACGTCCTGCGGCGCCGCCCCCAAGACTTTAAGCATTGGCTTTGGCAGGCTTTGGCAGACTTTGGCAAGCAATCACTGAACCTCTGATCAGCATCATCAATCATCATTACCAGGCGAACACACGGCCCCAATCCAACTGTTGCCATCTAGCCGTGACCATGAGGTCTGGAGTTAGTGGAATGTCTGAGCTTTTTATATGTGTGAAGGGTATTAATTGAAGTTAGACAGTTAGTTCCGCTGTTAATTATCCTCTATTGTAGGTGAACACGTTTGGGAGATATGTAAGGCTTCCCAGAGCTCAATTTTTGTTACTGGAGATGTTCTAAGTTGAAGGGGCATGAAATATCGGGATAGGACTTACCAAACTCCTCCAGGGCCTTAGCAATCTCAATGTTTTTCTCGGTGCTGAAGAAAGCAATGATAAACTGTTCGCCCCGTTCGCTTCGCATCTGTCCTTTGGAACAACGTTATGACTTGCAATGGTTGATCACTTCACGAAGAGTCGAATTTATAATTTGAAAATTCGATACATTACCTGAGGGGAAGTCAATAACTCCTTTGCCCACCCATCAACTTTCCACGTCACTAATGCAGAGAGTCTCCAACAGCAGCGTATGGTTATGACTCTTGCCCTCAAGCTTTGTGCCTCTAGAATGACTTGGAGAACTGATGATGCCATGTGCGTCGATCAAGGTGTTCGATTGTCTATCCATGTCCCATGTTTATTAAGATTACCACCACTTAGACAAAAGGACCTGGAGAATATGTCAATCTGATTTGTTAAGAATATTTGCGTCTAAACATAATAGATTTAGGAATCGTCTCTAAAGACCAAGCCAATACGAACATCGCTCGGTAGACTTGTTGCTTAATATCTGCAACATCTTTCGCGCGGACCGAGTGTGCCGGCTGATCCATCCAGTTTTATTTTCGGCTTTTAAAACATCCCTTTCTAAAGTAAACACCTCTACGCTTAGTAGATAAGATTCATATGGAACATCTCTGACGCGGAACAAACACATTTGTACATTAGATTATCTGAAAGTTGGAAAAAAAAGAATTAGCTGGCCAGTGTAGGATTTAAACCCACGAACTCCAGATTTTCACCCCCAGCAGGAGCAGAGTCGCCAGCTTCTCGCTAGGGTTTGTCAGGCCCTCGAGCATAACCACCGCAGGATATATCTACCCCGGCGGGCCGAGGCAAAGTTAGAGGCTCATTGTACGTCCGCTGGTTTCTCTGACCCAGGATCCCCTGAGGGGTCTATGGTGATCCGGTATGCTGTCCACTGCACCAACCGGCCCATGTTGACATCCAGTGGTCCAAAACAGATCATAGACCTAGCACGTAGCTAGGAGTTGGTGCAGGTGCGTTTGGAAGAAGAAAATGGGAAGAACTATGTGTCGCGGTGCGGATGGGGCTGCCTTAATAAATAGTCGCCAGTCGGCTTGACGGTGGACGGATTGGCTTGTGGTCCGAGCGCCCTCGCCAATGATTTGGCTGCTGAGTCAGCCAACTACATGTGCAACTCTGTTGCTACGGGACTCTGCGCAAATCCCCTTCCAACGAAGCTTTAACACCTTCTGGCCAGATTCGAAACATCTTCTTGCCCAGCTTGCAACACCTTTCAACAATTTCCAGCCGGAGTTGAAACCCTTTCTTGGTAGCCATGGGAAGTCGCCAACCTGCTGCAGCACCCTCATCATTAAGGCCTTCAAAACTTGGCGGGTTAAACCACCTAGAACGACTTCTAGGACTGCGTCAAGATGCCGTCCTGACGGCGGATGCTGTCTTTGTATCTCTTGACCTCGAGGTAGCCTCAGATCGACAGATGTTGCACCTGTCTTCCGAGAAACCTGATATCCGACAGCTTGCATTCGCAAAACTTGATACACGAGAGATTTGTTCCTTATCGCCTCGAGGAGACTTAAGAAGCTTGATTTCAGTATCCATGTTTGAATGCAAAGCATTCAAAACAAAGAAAGAGAAACGGGAATGTGTCTTCGCCCAAACGCAATACATTACCCCAGACGAGGTGCCAACTACAATCAATCAAAATCTGGTTATCAAAGATAACTTACTGCCCGCAAGCAATCAACTACGAAATATTGTTCTGGTTGGACATTCTATTCGAGAAGACCTTAAAGTCATACGCTTACTCGGCGTAAACATCACGGAATTTGTGCCTGTATTAACTATTATTGATACGCATACCATATCCCGATTCCTTTTCCCTCCTTATCACCCAAGTCTTATCCCAGACGCAAACCAGAATTTTTCTCTAGCAGGCGTGTTAGCTGAGCTTGGCTACCAACCGCATCCTTCCGAGTTCCACAATGCAGGGAATGACGCTATGTATACTTTGTATATTATGCTCCTTCTTGCTATCAGACGGGGAACCAGTCGTCTTATTAGTTTAAGCGCCGGCGAATCGAGAAATCTCGAGCTGATTAGCCATGCAGTGTCTTGCATTGTTGATCAAGGCTTATCTAAAGGGGTTTGACTGAATAATTACGAACCTGACACCCTGTCGAAGTAGGGGCGAGGAAGAAGCGCATCTGTGCGTTATGCAAAATCTACGTACCGAAAGCTCGTGCCTACTTGATAATAACTCACCTAAGTTTGGTAACGTTCATGGCGAGCGTATCGTCAGGCTTGATCACAACTTCGATCCCTACGATGGCAGTCGACCTCTCCATGCCGAATGTGATGTAGACCTGGCCGCTCTCAGTATATGGACTTACCAGCGGCACGTGTCTTCTGGTCGCCAGCGCTGTGGCTGATATGATTGGGTCCAAACTGGTCTTTGAGCGGAACTCTCCTACAGCCTGTCTTCATAATCTCCGCTGGTTTAGCAAAAGACAATAATCAGATTATTGGATTTCGGGCAGTGCAAGGGATTGCTGTGGCTTTCTGTCTACCAGCCTCTGTTGGCATCATTACTAACGCCATTGCGAATGGCCGCCATCGCAATATCGTATTTTCATGTACTGGTGTCGCACAGGACTTGGGATTCTCGACTGGTTTAGTGTTCGGTGGCCTATTTGCCAACACGGTAGGATGGCGTGTTGGGTGGTATATCGTCGGCGCCGTCCTTTTTATCCTTTTCCCGGTTGGAATCTATATTCTCCCAGCCGATACTCTTGCTGAACCGCCAAGCATTGACTCTCTTCGGACACGGATCGACTGGGCTGGTACGACTATCATATCCGCTTCCTTAGCTATCCTATCGTACGTATCAGTACAATTATCGGAATCTGAATACGCGATCTCTCAGCCCAGCAACATTGTTTTACTAATCATTAGCATACTTTTGATGGTTACATCTACATGGTGGATGAATTTCGCCGCTAAGAAAGGATGGCCAGTTCTTATACCAAACAGTTTGTGGGAAAAAATAGCATTCACCAGCGTTTGCTTCAGTAAGTACTTCAATCTTTATAATACCTAAACCAATTTCCCGTTATTAGCGTGATGCTTCCCCCTTATTTCTTTTTCCTCCTTCGCCATCTTGAATTAACAATAGTTTGACTACGGCCATCAACGAGAAAGCTAACTAACGTGTGTTAACTAATAGTGGTTCTACTGTCGTATGCCGTGATGCAGACAATGGAACTATTCTGTACGCTATTCTATCAAAACATTCAGCATCTGGATCCTTTGCAGTCATCCATTCGGCTTTTACCGTCTCTTATTTTCGGGGCTTGTTTTGGCTTTTTCATCGGGTCAATTATCCATCGCGTGCCTCCTTCTTACTTAGCTTGCGCCACCTCTTTCCTATGCGCTGGTGGCTGCCTTCTTATGGCATTGATTAATCCATCTTGGCCATACTGGTACTGTGCATTTCTTGCCCAGGTCCTTGAGCCGGTGAGTCAAAGCCGAGCACGACCACTGAACCAATGCTAATTGAAAAAAACTTAGTTGTCTGCAGAAGTTCTCTTTTGTGTAGGGTTGATCATTGTCAGCGAAATTTTCCCTGACGATATGCAGTCCTTGGCGGGAGGTGTGTTCAACACAGCCAGTCAGTTTGGCACATCTCTTGGCTTAGCAATAATGAGCCTTGTTGCCGACAGCTTCACGAAGAAGTCTGTACACAGGGATGAAACGAGCCCAGAGGCCTTGGAAGACGGCTACAGAGCGGTGTTCTGGACTGCGATCGGATGGCTCTTATTGATTAGCGTTACGGCCTTGGTGGGATTGAGAAATATTGGGAGGATTGGACTCAAAAGAGATTGAAATGGCTGTTATGAAAAGAAGAGATCACAGATAATTATTCCACAAGCAGCTGTGTGGGCGTTTCAGGGCTCAACCATTCGGTCCTACATCACAATTAGGCTGGTTTGGGCAACAATGGAAAGCTGCAAATACCGTCGTCGGAAGCTATAAAAAAAACTGGAATTGTTGGTCAAGCTACAAAGATACTAAACCACTGTTGTAAACAACCTGGGCTGTCTACAGTTGCCAGGCCACTTTTTATACTCTATTGGTATTGCCTTTGGATCTAGAAGGCTTCGTTTAAAATGCATGTTTCTCCTCTTTTAATGACCATGATATCGATGACTACTGCGAAGGCTGTTCCCACGACGTGGAGGGACAAGGCAAAATTGAAGTATAGGTCGCAATGAATATGTGTTTCCAGCTTTTTCACAACAACGCGCACGGCCCGTTCCCACGCTATTGTTATTAATTAAAATTACTTAAACACTGACTTTAACAGCTGTCGACGAGCAACGTATATTCTTCTTTCACTGCGACCTTTCCATTGCTAATAACACAGTTAAATAGCCTTGGCGATGTAATTATGTATACTGTCTTAGCTACTGTGTATTTATTAACGACCGTATTAACGCTCCGCACTTCTAATGTTGTGTTGTTGACGTTTGCTAATATCGTTGCCCTATAAAGGTTGACAACAGAGGATTTACCCCCACGTGATTGATGTCAATGGGAGGCCTGGAGATATCGACAATACCATCCTGTAAGTAATATAGGTGTACAACTTAAAATTTGCTTTGTGAATTTTGTCAAGCCCTCGGGCCAGCTGAAGTCTTTGTCCCACGCGATTGTTATCGGTGGTTGGGTGGGCGTATCGGACTCGACGTTGATCATCAAAACGGCTGCACCAATCCGCACAATTTCTGTGGGTTCATTGTTTTCGACCGATATCGTCTCCTGTGCATTTTTGTACAACCGTATGTCTTCGTACATCCTTCGACGGTCTTCTGGGGTAGAACCGGGCATTCTGTCGGGTCAGGAGTAAGAAGCACCTGGAAAACGAGCAGGCCATCTTTTAGGACCTGTCTGCGGCAGGTCGAGAGCCAACTCGGAAGATGTCTTTGCTGCAGCGTACCACTTATCCCGTCCAGAAAGTGGCTTGAATTTATACCCCGAAGGATCGGCCACCATGGCCAGTATACTTTGTGCTCAAGCTTCTGTTGGACGCTGCATGACTTCCAGCGTAGATGCAGACGGGGTCAGCTTTGGGGCGAATATCACGAGGATGACCTCCTTGTCACAAAGGCAGCCTTGAGGACCCATCACAGTGGGTGGAGGGCGTCTGGTGCAGATGAAGCTCTGCAATTGTAACCGCTCCAAATTTGAACAGGTGCTTGCTGCTTCCATGATCGTTTGATGTGATCAGCACGATGCCGGATCGCGTGCGTCATTGTTTGCAAGAAAGCTGCGACTTAGAACCGCCACTGAGATGTATGGGCAGATAGCAACAGGAGCTGTCTTGCCATCGTCGTTGTTGATAGCTGGGATTGAGTGCATCATGGACAAAATGTAGACCGTCTAGTTCACCGCGATTTCCAGAGGAAATAGATCACAAGTCAGATTAGCAAGAACATGCCTTGGAATATCTCGTTGGCTTCGAACGTACTTGGAACTGGCTACTGAATATCACAATTCTCATTCCGAAAAAGAGAAGTTGGTTTGATAAATTGACCGGAGTATCTCAAATCTATGTAGGCTTTGAGATGTGCCCGCACACAGGGCTTCGTGGCTAAATTATGGATCTCTCCATTCCTCAATTACCAACGATTCCCCTACTTCATAGATGCTGGACAACTCCTGTGCAGTCACTTGACGGTCGCTTGGACAGAGAGCAAACATCTTGGAGACATGTAGGTGTTGTCCTCGCAGGAATGCTGACTGCGTCGCAATGAAAGAGCAGTCGGTTTTGACCGTATAATTTGGCACGACTATGGCCACAATGACATTGCAGTCTAGTCTACAACGACTGAGTCCCACATCTTTCCATTCATCACCACGCAGGATATCTATTCCGCCGACCCCGACCGATGAGCGACAAGAAAAACACAATGTACAGCCTCTCGGGGGCCTTCCTTCTACGCAATATCCCACGACGCATATTCCCCTTTTCTTTTATCGTTAAATCTCGTACAGCGCACCGCGTCGTTTCTTTAATCGTTTTGGCGCAACATAGTATCAGAAGAAATACAAAGGCAACAGCGCTGTAGCCTCAGGTAGCGATGCCTATAGCATGGCCCAAATCTTCCCTCCTTGGGTATCGGTAGAGCTCCCCGTGCGTTCCGGCTACGGCTATGATACAAGTTTCGTGATGTCTAGCGCCCGCCTCTCTGGCCCCCTTGTGCAGTTTCGTCGGTTATATAATTTGCCCAGGCTGGTTTAGCGCTCTCCTGTGCGTCGAGATCTTTGCCTTTACTGCTTCTCCCCTTTCTGGGTGCGTGCTTTGGCACCTTATTGCTTTGCAGTAGGCCGGGTTGCCTTCTATTCGATGGCATCAGCAATCTTAGAGTGGTGGCTAGTCCTCCCCAACTGCAACGCCTAAAGAAACCCAAGGCATGAGTCTTCCCGTTCACATGGCCCACTTCAGCCTGTCCAGTTTATCCTTGGCTACGGCCTACGTAGCCACGACAGGCTGTCCAGCACCGGTTGGACTGGCATTGCCGTTCGCGGATACCAGCTGCTTCTGCTGCTCCTGGAAGCCCGGGCGCCACTTGGTGAGGTACTTGCCCGCCATCGCCCGGGCCTCCTCATACTCGACCCAGATCTCCTGGACGGTATCGAGCGCCGTCTCTCTGATGGGAGGCCGCATGACGACCAGGTACAACAGACTCGTCAACGCCAGAGTAACCATGCTGGGATCGCGGCACAGGGTCTTCACGCGGCTCAGTAGCTCGGCATTGAGGCCCGGGATCTCACTCAAAAACCTGGTGAGAACCTTGTCCTGGGCATGGAGGTATGGCAGGAACCCATCGAGTAAACGGAGAGCCCATTTATCGTAGAAGACCGGCACGTCACGTCCGTCTTCGGATGCGGCGCGTTGTTGTACGCGGTCGTTATACCATTCTTCGCTCAACCAAGCGACAGCAACATCGATGCGTTTCCGGAAGTCTTCGAGAACATAGACGTAGAGCGATTCGCGGATGGAGTTGCTGAGGCTGGTACCACCGAGAGCTTTCGAGCCATCCTCGTCCTTTACGGAAATGTCATTCAAGCCGGCTGCGGCACGGGTTGCCAGCCGTGTAATGATGGTGATCCACGAATCCTTGTCGAACGAGCTAGCAGCCAGCCTATTGACGCCGGCCTTGGTCTTCTTCGTTGATGGATCACTCAACGTGCTCATGACACCGAACACGCGAGTCACAGTGCCTTGTCCAACCCTGACAGCCTGGTCTGGGTTTAGTGGCGGAGGCGGCGGCAGTTTGTAAGCAGGCAACGCAAGGGCACCAAGCACGGCTGGCTTCTCCATCTCGCGGACCTGCAATGATGGCGCAGAGTCAAGCTTGTTGAGAATCTGCTCCGTATCCTCAGCTGCGTAGTAGTCAGGTTCGTAGTCGTCATCATCCTCGACATCCAAAGCAGTTGTGTCTGGGTCTAATGGCCGCTCGGCAGCCTTGTGTAGTTCAGCTAGACGGCTGCGAATGCCCTACGTATCTCTGTTAGTTTTGTGTATGCACGGGGAGCTGACACAGCTTACATCCAGAGCCCTTTCGAACAATCCGGGATCTATTGTTGCAATAGTGTTGACACTGATCTTTGCTGCTAGCGGTGCTGGAACGACGGCCACATCAAACTTCCGTAGACCTTCGTTCTGAGTAAAAGTGAAAACGTCCGCAAGGGTATGAGGCCCAGGGGGTAAAGGCGTAATCTGGAGATTTGGTAAGGACGGCGCTGTTCGTTGACGCTTGGCCTCGATACCGTCTGCCTGTTCGGTGAGGGCACGCTTCCGGCTGACTCCCTCGGATATTTCAGCGCGAGATTGCATCAGGCGCTCGAGGTACGGCTGTATACGTGCAGCCAGAGGGCCCTTGGGATCACTGGGATGGAGTGTTAGCTTGTAACCTTGGTGGAAAAGAGCCGATGCGACGTACCGTCTGGACAGATGGATGCAGAGCATCCGTACTGTCTTTTCCAGGGACCTCACGATGACCTTTGTCTTGGGCGACATTGGAGCATTTGCTAGCTTGAGCGGATTGAAGCTGAGGACGGCATTCATGACTCTATTCGTGGTCGTTGGCCTCATGCGCACAAGGATTGAAAGGGTATTCAAGGTTGCGTCTACGACCAAGACATCGCTACAAGGGTGGCAGAAGCCCGCATGGTTAGCTTGACTGTCATCTTCACAGGCCTAATTTTCATTCGTTTTGTCCTTACCTGCTGTTCTCCTGCAGTGCGCCGAGCATCCTGTCAAGAAGGCCAGTAGCCTCGGCCTCCATACTGTGCACGTTAAGCACGGAATGGTTCTGCGGGATCATGTTCAGAGAGATATCAAGAGGATCGCCCCGCTATGTATTGTCAGCAACTCCTGGGGAGAATACCCGGCGTACTCGGCGGACTTACCCTGGGCTCTGGGTTGATACTCGCGGTCTGTGCTAGAATGACCCTTTGCGCGAACTTGATGCAGCATATCCGTAATGTTGCGGGGGCGTTCTCCCACAGACGTAGTATCCTCGCCTTGATGGCTGTCATGTTGTTCCAAGTGTTCGTATCGTAAGCGTTGGATATTCTGAGGGCATGGCAAGATCAGCATGGCGGTTCGATGGGTTCGATGGGCGGTGGACCAGGCAGATGGACGTAGCTGGCGTGGCGTGGCGTTGGGACGTCGAGCACTTGCACAAAGTCACACGCATGGCCAGGTCTACGAGGGAAGAGTCTACGATGCCACGTACGGAGGCATGGAGCAGGGGAACAACGTACATCCATCGTAGAGCCAGCGGGTATACACTAGCTGCTGTCTGAATCACGCTTCGCAGTACCAGAACGTCCTGATTCGGGTCCTCGACCAGGTTCTTCAGTGTGTCCAGCACCAACAGCGACAAGGTCTCCTTCTGGCCCAGCTGGATGGCGGGCGACGCGAAGGCCTCTGCCAGGAACTCGGCACCCCATCGTCGGAGCTCGACGTGCGCCGAGGGGCCAAAGATGGGCAGGGTGGCCTGGATGACCTGGCCGTAGTAGTTCACGTCACGCAGGACGAGCTTGCGGGCGTCCGAGAGCTGGCGGATCTGGTCCGCGACCGACATGTTGGAGTCAGTCGCCATGGCGAAGGTTATGGCGGCCCTTCAGTCAGGATGGCAGCCTGAGCTGGGCGCAGGGCGGGCAGCGCAAAAGTTTACGGCAGCTACAGAAGTGGAATGGCTAGGCAAGAGAACGAATGGCTGCAGAGATGTGGACATCTATGCATGGGACATCCAGAATTGGGGACCGGCCGAGGGTTGGATACTGTTGCGAGGGACGTCGAGCGCGCGCGCGTGTAGAATATAGGGCCGTGGGTGGTGTATAGCTTTTTTCTGAGCCGAGTGGTGTTGCTGCGTCGCGGGCGTCGCGGGCTGGTGATGTCAACGTCAGACGGCAGGACCGCGTGCATGAACCAATCACCAGGATGCAGAACGATCCCTGGGAGGTGGGTGTCGGCAGGGTTCGATTGTGCCCTGGGTGGTCAATTCAAGCCGACGGTTGTCTCTGTGTGGGTTACTGGCACTGGGTGTGTGCGATCGCGCTCATGGCGGGTTTGCGCGTCGAGACTGTGAGCAGAATTGGTGGAATGATGGGGAGAGGTTGCGCGAGAGGGAATGGGAAAGGAAGCTTGGGCGTTGAAGGTTGCCTTGCTTTGTCTGCGCGGCTGCACGTTGTTGAAAGCTTCGCTGACCCCGTCCAGTGTCCAGTCCCACTGTCCGGCTTTTGATCTGTCTGCTGTTCAGGTACCGCTGTACCGCTGTATCACTGTACCTTAGCAGTCCCACCAGCCGCCCAGAAGCTGCTGGTCTGCTGCTACAGTGGCTTGGAGTGGGCGGTACAGTGGGACAGGGACAATCCGGGGTCGCGCCAAGGAACAGCCACCTCTGGTCTGTCGTCCAGTCGTCTCCAAGCCGGACTTGTACCGATTTGCACCGGGAAAGCAAGAGCTCGAGTTTGGCGGGCCATCGAATGACGACCGGATCGTATCCATCGGACCAGGCAGAGCAATCTTTCCAGCAGCCCCGGACACCAACACAGCAACGTTTGTCGCAAAGCATTTTGCAGCACAGGGAGATCAAGATGGCAAGGTAAAACAGTTCCGCACTCGGTTTTCTCCCCCCCATTATACCGCCCAGGAACCTGCGTATAAACCGTTCCCCGGGATCCTAACCGATTGTCTCTGCAGCGGAAACGCCTCGTACTACAACAAGAATGCGCACTCGCCGGCCCTCGTCCGCGCCCGCAGGCCCTACCTGTTCAAGAACGCCGTGGTAGGCGCCGGCATTGCCGCCTTTGCCATTGGAGTCTGTATGTCATGCCCTGATGCGCCGTCCCCCTTTTCCATCTCGCCGGCTACCAGGAAACTGGAAGCTGACCCGGTGTCTCTAGACGTCTACACGATCAAGGCCATCGGCCAGGACGAGTTCGCCGACGTCAAGGTGCCCGATGCGCCGCAGCAGCCGGCCAAGAAGTAAAAGCGTTGCTGTCCCCCTTTGGTCGCCTTGTACAGTACACATTATTTGTTCGGAGCATTTCAGGCGTGGAAAGGCGTTGGTGGGAGAATACATTGAAAGAAACATCTATTTTAACTAGACTGGTCCCAAGAAGCAAAATGGTATCGTGGCTCAGTGTGTGAGCGATGGCTGGTGATCCCCGAGACGCCGCTGATCCTGTATCTACGAAACGCGCCGCATGTATGTATGTATGCACCTCCTGCAGGGCCAGAATCTAGAAACGCCCTTCCTCATTCCTACGTTACTTCACAAATGGCCCCCCTTCGGACCACAACATCCAAGGCCCCTAGACCTGTATAAAAATGACGCCGGGCTCCGGAACAGTTATGCGCGGGGCTGTGATGCCCGCCACAAAATGCTTCTAGAGAAGCATGCCGAGGCCCTACTGTACACGGTGTAAACCACCCGTGGGGCTTCACGAGGGCACCAACGAGCCTCAAAAGCCACCGACGGGAGGGGCCACTTCACGCTTAACGGCTCTCCCTTGCTCTGCCTCTGCTGCTGCTGCTGCCGCCGCCGCCGCCGCCTTCATGCTCCTCGCGCTCGTTTGCTCAAGCAGACTGGCAGCTCGCGTCACCTCGGGCGAGTTCGTCGGTTGCCTCGGTACGCTCTTGGGCGCCGTCGAGTTGCCGTTGTACGGCGTGTAGTTGGACGTAGTGGAGATGGTGCTCGAAGAGAAGGGGTGTGCCTGATGCGAATGCCGACGCGAACCCGATGCTTCGGGCAGCGGGCTGCGCTTCCGGTGCTCTTGCGCCGACTGTTGACGCTGGAGAAGGTGGGCGTTGGATGGATGATTGGGATTGGCCCACGGTGTTTGTTCAATGAACTGTTCTCCGGCCGCGCCTAGCCCCTGGTTGAAGGGAAGGCCTCTATAGTCAGAGTACACTGGTCTCGGCGCCTGCTGCGTAGGCGGTGCTGGCCCTCTTCCTCGCTGGGCAAACCCAATCAGTAAATTGCACAGGTGCATCTCGCTTCTCTACATCAATCAATGGCTTACCATCATGGCCTCGAAATCGTCGTCCAGCTCGTCAAAGGTTGCGCCACGCATGTCTGGCGCAGCGGGCATGCCCTCGTACTTTGCGATGCCAGACAGGATGGAGACTTCCTTGTTATAGGCCATTGCTTCGCGGACCCGTTGCGACTGGGTCTGCGGGTACCGGAGGCCGAAGTCATGTACGTTGTTGACATGCTTCCTCCTCTCGTGCTGTATCGCATACCAATGCTGGCTGAGTTCGGCAATGACCCGCTCACGGCCCTCTCGGACGTCTTGGTAGTATTGCGAGTGTATCTGCGCACGTCGCGCCACAGCCCATCTGCCAAGGGACTCCATGTTGAGCTCGTACGCCTTCTCTGCCACCCGGAGCTTGTCGTCTCTTCGGGCGTCTATGCATTCCATCATGGCCAGGTATTCGGGATGTGTAGGGTTGTCGGCTTTCAGCATGGCCTCCTCTCTGTTCAGCTGCTCTAGTCTCTCCTCGTATAACCTGACGTGGCAGCGATCGTTAGCCTCCTCACACCGAGGTTACCTGGGAAGGGCAGTATGTTGAGGCAAGACGTACCTGTCTCTGAACGTAGCGAAACGCCTCTCTATGCTGGTCAGTTGTTCAAAGGCGGCTCTCTTCCGCTCGACTGTCATGTGTGTCAGCTTCAACGGTGCAGCAGGGGTACCAGGATCTCCCCTACGCTCTTCTTCGTTCCGTTGCGCTGCTTCGGCGGCCTCGGCTTCCTCGTCGACGTCGGGGTCTATGCGCTCGTCGTCACCTGTATGTGCTCCCTCTTCTTCGGCGGTAGTGCCATCTGCAGTCTCCTCCGGGGACTCATCGCTCTCTGTTCGCGCGGCCCTGCGCTTCTTGGAGCCGCCACGAGTCTGCTTCCGCGCTCGCGATTCCTGCTCAATCTGCGCCTCAGCGTCGGCGTCATTCAGCTGCTCGTCGAGCTCTGGGTCGACCGCAGGCACCGTGACGGCTTCGTCTCCGCTGTTGGTGTTGGTCGACGGGTCTTCGTCGTCGGCCATTGCAACGTCGCCGTCTCGGTCCTCTGCTTCGGCGGCGGCGGCCGACGCCGAGCGCTTCCGCGAAGGCTGGTCAGGGTCGGCGAGCTCGGCGGGCAGCGAGGATCGTTTCCGCTTGCGATTCTCCGAGTCCTGAGTAGCAGCTGCCTCGGCTAGGATGTCCAGCGTGGGCGAGGGCAATTTCTCGACCGTAGGAGGGCCGGAACTGCGGACGCCAGGTGGGCTTGAAGCGATGGACATTTGTAGCTCAGAAAGAGGCTCGTCGTCATCGTCGTCGACAATGGCGGTTTGGCGGAGCTTCGTGGGCGTCCTGTCGACCGCGTGGCCGTCGGTCGGGGCGTCCCTGTGACGAGTAGGATTCTGGGGGGTAGGGTAGAGGCGCTCTGTCTCGGCCTCGGTGTCGTTGGCTTCTTCGTCGTCGTCTTCCTCCTCTTCCTCCTCTTCTCCTTCCTCGTCCTCGGAGCTGAGGTCGTTGTTGGTGACATTGGGGCTGTCCTCGAGGTGGTCCAGGTCGTTCTGAGAACCGCCGAGATCAGACAGAGGGCTGGAGCCGTCGTCGTCGGAGAGCGGCTCGATAGCGGGCGGCTGGATGGTCAGCGGCGGCGCTGTGTCGGCCGTCGCCATGGTAGGAGCTGCAAGGCGGCAGGCCCGAGGTGCGAGGTTGATTTGGTGGTTGGCGGGTGGTCTTGTGGTCCTGGGGGGGAGAGATCAAGGCCGACTCGCGGCGGGAGCGGCGCTTGACGCAGCAGTGGTTTGTTGACGCCGAGGATCGCTCTCGCACTTGGGCCGATGGGGCGGGCGGGCTGTTGGTTGGGGGCAGGGAGCTTTTCGTGGGAAAGAGAATGTCACAAAGAGTGCGGGATCCGTCGCAATCGGGGGTTGTCCGCTGGGAGAAAGCTGGCGTCGAGGATGGGGGGAGGGGAGAGGATGTGGTGTGGCATGGCAAGTACCGGAGGGTCAGGTAGGTATTCTCTCCCAGAGCAGAGGAGGCAGAGCCGGTGTCTCGCTCCAGTCTCTCTCTCTCGCGCGCGCGGGCTGCCCAGGTGGTGGCTCTGGCGCTGACACTGGCCCTGACTGGCTCTTGGGTACTTTGGGGGGGGGGCCCAGTCGGTGACAAAACGCCCGCCAGCCCGCCCAGCCCGCCTTAGATTCGCTTTCGCCCTGGGGGGAACCGAGCTGCCGATGACTTCAGACCCCTGCCAAAGCAGCCAACGCCTGCCCCCATCTTTGCCCATACAGCCATACCTAGGTACAGGGCCATACCACAGTAGACCCCGAAGACCCCCCTGCCCTCCTCCGAGAAGGGGAGTGGGTCTCCTGACGGCTTATCGTTATCGCCGGGACCAACTTTTTTTCTGAGCACCGTCCGCCGTGGGGCGCATATTCAGTCGAGCCGGGCCCAGCAGCCACTTGAGAGGTTGCAAAGAGCAGCTTCACCGTACATCTCTACAATACCATCCCATTTGGAGAGATCACACTGCGGCAATGGCGAAACAGTGAGTTGACCTGCCCTCTTTTCTCCCCTCCTCAAAGTCCGAAGTGCTCACACATGCATCTACAGAAAGGCTGGACTCGCAGCCTCCAAGGCCGTCATCGACAAGACCCTCGGTGATCTCTTTGCCAGCAGCGTAAGTACCACACAGGGGACATTCTCGGCCTGCACGCTCACCAATTTCCACAGTCTGGACCTGTCAAGGCGCCCTCGGCCAGTCGGTACTCCGAACTGCTCCCCCCGAAGGAGAGAAAGCCCGTCGAGCGAGGCCAGGCCGAGCCAGCCTCCGAGGACGAAGCAGACGAAGATGATGAGGAGCTCAGTGAACTGGACGAAGAGCTAGACGACGAGGACGACGAAGACGACGAAGATGAGGAAGACGGTGCATCAGACGACGATGTCGAGGCATCGTCTGACGACGCAGAGCCGGCCGAGCAGGTCCCAGAGCCCAAGAAGAAGGACCGGAAACGCAAGCGCAAGGATGAATTCGAAGACCTCGAATCCAAGTACCTGAGCAAACTCGCAGATGACGAGGAGGAGGAGGACGACGTGCCGTCAGAAAAGCGTCGGAAAGGGGAGGCCGGGGAAGCCATCAACGGAGAGCCCAAGGCCGCCTCTGGGGATGACCAGGACGACGACGATGCCCCCATCGTGCACGAGTCCCTGCTCAAGAAGTCAGACGAGCACCCCGACGTCGAGCTGGAGAAGGCGAATCGCACCCTCTTCCTCGGCAACGTCTCGGTCGAGGCCATCAACAACGCCAAGGCCAAGAAGGAGCTCATGGCGCACCTGGCCTCGCCCCTGGCCGGCCTGGACGCCGCCAGCGGCCCGCACAAGGTCGAGTCCCTCCGCTTCCGCTCCACCCCCTTCGCCGGCGGCGGCATGCCCAAGCGCGCCGCCTACATCACCAAGTCGCTCATGACGGCCACCGCCAAGTCCACCAACGCCTACGCCGTCTACAGCACCCCGCTGGCCGCCCGCGCCGCCCTCAAGGCCCTCAACGGCACCCAGATCCTCGACCGCCACCTGCGCGCCGACAGCGTCGCCCACCCGACGCCCACCGCCCACCGCCGCTGCGTCTTCGTCGGCAACCTGGGCTTCGTCGACGACGAGACCGTCTTCGACACCAATGCCGACGGCGAGACCACGGCCAAGAAGCGCACCAAGGTGCCCGCCGACCTCGAGGAGGGCCTGTGGCGCGTCTTCGGCCGTGAGGGCCGCAAGGTCGAGAGCGTGCGCGTGCCCCGCGACCCCAAGACCCGCGTCGGCAAGGGCTTCGCCTACGTGCAGTTCGCCGACGCCAACGACGTCGAGTCGGCCCTGCTGCTGGACGGCAAGAAGTTCCCGCCCATGCTCCCGCGCATCCTCCGTGTCAGCCGCGCCAAGGACCCGCGCAAGACGGCCCTGGCCGTCGAGCGAACCACCAAGGCCAAGCTGGACGCTGCTGCTGCCGCCGCCCCGGCCATCGACGGCACCGCCGGCAAGCCCAAGAGCACCAAGTACAAGCACAAGGCGACACCGGAGCAGCAGTCGCTGGCCGGACGCGCGGGCCGGCTGCTAGGCCGAGCGGGCGCGGCGCGGCAGGCCCGGGAGCTCCGGGGCGGCGGCAAGAAGCCCCGGCACAGGGAGTCGACGCGCACGGGCGCCAACACGGTCGAGATGGGCGCGGCGGGCAGCGGCGCCGCCTCGACCACCATCAAGACGCCCGAGCAGATCGTCTTCGAGGGCCGCCGTGCCAGCGCCAAGGACGGCAAGCCCAAGGACCTCAAGTTCGGCAAGGGCAAGGGCGCCGGCGGCCGGAAGCGGCCCCTGCCGCAGGCCAAGGGCCGCGGCGCGAGGAGGGCCGCCGAGTGGCGGAAGAAGGGCTCCGCGAGCTAGAGAGCGCGCAAGGTGTGGGATGGATTAGATACAAGGAAAGTTAGGGAAGCCCCTCTGGTTCGAGTAGCTTATAATATACCCTTTGGCAGGATACTACAGTTCCTATGGCAGGTGAGGTGGCTGCGGGCTCTCAGATAATGTCGGCCATGTTACTACGCATTGTGGGTGCTATGAATGTAGAGTGTCTCACAGTTTATGAGAACCCTGCGGTGATACGTCAAGCATGATGGTCACAGATCCACATTTGCAGCCTATCCCAGTCATATAACGAACAGATTTGTACACACGATGGACGATGGACGATGGACGATGGACGATGGACGAGCGTGAGGTAAGAGGAAAATGCCTTGGTCAATTTCTTTCAGTCAACGGCATCATATCCATCATGGCTATGTACTAGAGCTAGTTCCTCTCTACCAGATCCCCTCTATTCTCGACTCCAACAAGAAACAGAGCAAAGCCGCCTGACTGCCCTTAATTTTGCCTCCATCCATCCAAAGAGGGGGAGAGGAAACAAAAAAAGTTTCCATCAAGAAATGAAGCCTGAGATCCTGAAAAGTAGTCGGCAACGAGTTGCCGGGGGTAGGAAACATAGGGGTGCCAAGGAAAACAAGGGGGTATTTAACATCGGGCTCATTCCGACTCGTCCAATTAGTACTCGGCATCATCCTCCTCGGGCTCGAAGCTGTCGGCCGCAACCTCCTCGTAGTCCTTCTCCAGAGCCGCAAGATCCTCACGCGCCTCGGAGAATTCACCCTCCTCCATACCCTCACCGACGTACCAGTGGACGAAGGCGCGCTTGCTGTACATGAGGTCGAACTTCTGGTCAAGACGCGACCAGGCCTCGGCGATGGCGGTGGTGTTGGACAGCATGGACACGGAGCGGTCGACCGAAGCCAGACCGCCATCCGAGGGCGACGCGGTAGGGACGGCCATGGGCTTCTGGTAGTTGATGCCGAGCTTGAAACCAGTGGGGCACCACTCGACAAGGTTGAACGAGGCCTTGGCCTTGAGAGCAGCAATGGCGGCGCTGCAGTCCCGGGGAACGACGTCACCACGGTACAGCAGAGCAACGGCCATGTACTTTCCATTGCGGGGGTCACAGACAACCATCTGGTTGTTGGGCTCAAAGCCTGCGGGCCGGGTCAGCAGCTGGGTGATGACGATGACGGTGATGACAGGATTTTTTTCAAGGCAACTTACATTGGAAGGTGAGGTCGTGAACCTTGAAGCTCTCGTGCGAGCTCTTGGCGGCCGACACAACGGGAGCGTAGCTGATCAGGGGGTAGTGGATACGGGGGTAGGGGACAAGGTTGGTCTGGAACTCGTTCAAGTCGACGTTCAGGGCACCATCGAATCGCAGAGACGAGGTGATGGAGCTGACGACCTGGGCGATCAAGCGGTTCAGGTGCTCGTAGTTGGGACGGGGGATGTCCAAGTTGCGCTTGCAGATGTCGTAGACAGCCTCGTTGTCAACCAAGAAGGTACAGTCCGAGTTCTCGATGGTGCTGTGGGTGGACAGAACGGCGTTGTAGGGCTCCACGACGGCGGTCGAGACACGGGGCGCCGGGTAGACGGCGAACTCGAGCTTGCTCTTCTTGCCGTACTCGGTCGAGAGGCGCTCGAGGAGCAGAGCACCGAAACCAGAACCAGTACCACCACCGAAGGAGTGGAAGATCAGGAAGCCCTGGAGGGCATTGCAGTTGTCGGCAACGCGGCGGATGCGGTCGACGACATTGTCGACCATCTCCTTGCCAATGGTGTAGTGGCCACGGGCATAGTTGTTGGCGGCATCCTCCTTGCCGCTGATCAGCAGCTCGGGGTGGAAGAGCTGGCGGTAGTCACCGGTGCGGATCTCGTCAATGGGCGACGGGTCGAGGTCGACGAAGATGGAGCGGGGCACGTACTTGCCGCCGCTGGTCTCGGTGAAGAAGGTCTCGTAGGAGCCACCCTCGACCACGTCCTTCACGTTGGGGTCCGGGCGACCATCGCGTCCGAGACCATGCTCGAGCAAGTACCTGGTTGGGGAAGGGGTCAGCCGTGGAGGTCTCGCCGGTGTCGCCAGAGATGCGCCGTTGCTTGCCCGCGGGCCGGGCAACTCGAGCGTAAGATAGGTATAGCGGTGTGCACTCACAGCTCCCAGGCGCTGTTGCCGAGCTGGGTACCAGCCTGGCCGAGGTGGAGGTGAAGAATCTAGAGGCAAGAGAGCATGTCAATGGACTGGATTGCACACGAAACGTGATTCTGCCCGTAGCTGGACGTCGACGATGGGGGAGTGGGAGGACTGCTCGCAGCGGACGCTAGGCGGGATCCATGGTGGTGAATTCACGGTGGCCCCCAGGGAATAGGGGAATATCAAGGTTCAGTATAGCATGTCCCAGGGCTGGGCACCTGGGGGGTAGAGAGCAGGGAAGCAGTCCGACTTACCTCGCCCTTCATGGTGGATGGTGGTTCTAGGGGGCGGCTTCAAGATGCTGCTGCTGCTGCTGCTGCTGCAACTCTGGACGAGCAAGACAGAGGAGATGGGTTTTGGGACGGGGACTCTGCGCACAGCGCTCGTTGAGTTGAGAGAAGGAGTGCAAAAGGAGGTGTGGATTTCCTATGGTTTTGTGTGGAGAGATGCTGGCTGCTAACGAGGGGCCCATTGGCTGTGATGCGGGCCCGGAGGGGAGGGGGTCGGGGGAGCTTGGCCTGTATTCTTTGTGTGTGCCGTCGCCGTCGCCAACGCCAAAACGCGGGTCAGGGGGGTCGATGGAGGGGCAATCAGTCAACCCTCCCCTTACCTAGGTAGCCAACTAGCCAACTAGCCAGCTAGCCCACGGCCCTAGGTTCTGTCCACTGTTAGCGCCAAAGTCTCCCACGCGGCCCAGCGGCGCGTTTCAGCGGTGCAGCGCCAGCCCGAGGTACCTGATTCTGCAACACCAGGAACTGTCATGCCGCACACCGCCCTCGTTAGCAGCCCGCCAGTCTGCAGGACTCCTCTGGCGGCAGCAGGGGTCCTGCCTATTCCAGCGCTTAATTGGTGTCTGCCCACCCCTGCTGGGTCATGGATGCTAGCTATTGACGCCCCCTTCACCTGAGGATCCGCAGCCCGGCATGGCATGCTTGCATATGCCGTACATGCCTCCGTCTTACAAAGACATATACCATCGACAGCTAGGTTCACGATGCAAACTGAAACAAGTTGAAATCAATAGCGCGCGCAAGCACGTAGGAATCTGTTCTCGTGTACATGAAAGGGCCTACGCTCAGGTAGGTACAGAACAACAACTCCCCAGCCTTTTCCGACGGCTATGGCCGACCCATATGTATACCTAGGTACTTATACAACCACAACAACCTACCTGACCACAGGAGTCAGATACGTCTTTAGAGCTCCCTTCTCCCACAGGTTGAAGTTCCTCTGGTCGAGGAAGTGACGGCTTTCATCCGCGATCCTGAGGTCAAAATTCCACAGCATTCGAGCCAGTATCGTCCGCATCTCAACATAAGCCAGGCTTGGTCTGTCAGTAAAAGAATGGCAATGTTTCAAGGAAGGCGGCCCGTAGGAGACTTACTTCCGTCCGATGCAGTTCCTGGGGCCTATGTGGAAAGGCTGCAGGGCATCGCGGCTGTCGTTGGCAAACCTAGGGTCGCCGAGAAACCGCTCTGGATGGTATTCGAGGGGGTCCTTGAAGACGGACGCCCGCCGGTACAACGCGTAGTGATGCACTGCGACAATGTTTCCCTCCGCTACGTAGTGTCCACAGATCTTGGCTCCGCCGGCCGGCACTACTCGGGGTAATCCCATCGCCACGGGGGGATACAGTCGGAAGGCCTCGCTTAGGCAACTATTCATGAAGTTGAGGTCGTTGACTGTGACAAAGTTGATCTCGTCCTCCGTCTTGAACCTCGAACGGACCTCGTCGGTGGCCCTCTTCATTGCGTCCGGGTTCGTCATCAGGAAATACGTAACTCCAGACAACAGAGTCGCCGTCGTCTCAGAACCTGCTATGATCAGAATGCTGCAGGTCGCCTGGAGCTTCTCCATTGTCAGGCCCTGCGATGGTCAGTTTTCAGTTGAAATGCAGAAAATCCAGACAAGTATGCGTCTACTCACCCACTCGTCTTTCCGCCTTATCAGCGGCTCGACCAGATCGGGCCTCTCCTTGAACTTGGTCATTCTCGTCTGAAGTTTTGTCCTTGACAAGCGCAGGAAACCCTGTCTCTGCTTGTCCATCTTTTCCATGAAGGGTACAAAAGCATCCAAAACCGCCTTGATCGCGGGATAGAACGATAAAGATTGCACAAATGTTCCCACGTGGGCCATCTGGAAGATGGTGGCAACCCAGGAGTGATACCGCGATTCCTCCAGACACCCAAATGGCTCACCGAAGGCGAGGTCTCCAATGACGTCGAAAGTGGTAAAGTTGTACCACGCTGTCATGTCCAAAGCCTTCGTTCCATCGGCACAATTCTCTCGCAATCGCTGCACGAGGAGATTGACGTACTTCTTGATCAACGGCTGCTGGTCCCTGAGTGCCTTCTCGCTGAACCCATGCGCCAGAGTGCGACGTATCATTCCATGTTCTTCACGATCTGCGTTGATGATATCCGTCTCAACGCCCTTGATGGGTTTGTAGAACGCGGCCGATTTCTCCATTTCCAACTGTCCTTTGGTACGATGGCCTTGGATGTCGTTCCAGGCGGCCGGGTTCGCGAAGGCGAGTTCGTTCGGCGCCACCCTCACGACTTCGCCGTATTTCTCGTGGATTTCCAACATGTAGTAAGGTAGTGCCCCTCTCGTGAACCTGTAGATGTACGGCAGTCTCGAGATCCGCATAAGGAAAGGACCTGGAAATTGGCTCAACGGATGGAAGTACAGATTGTAGACCATGTTTGACGCCAAGTAGGTGATCCCTAATACTGTGATCGTGGCAAATAAATTGCCAATACTCAGAGTATAGAGCGCCATGGCGAAAATACGGAGACCTCCCGAATTTGCCCAAATCTGTACTATCACGTTGTTGGTGCTTCCGGTTGTGATGTTGAGAGAGTTTAAGAAACGCTGGGGGGGTGCTTGGTTATTTCGAAGAACTAGATGACGACTTCCGTATTCGTGTTGAAGCGGCACTCCGACACCCCTACATGTGCATATGCGAACCACAGCAAAGATAATCAATCAGGTTTCCAGAGATCTGATACTGTCCATGCGGGGAAACTCTAAACAGGGCATTTGAAGATCGTTGCGCCGGGCCGGGCTCGGTCAGTGTCGCGGCGGTCACCAGATTCAGTTTTGATTACCCCGTGTCCGATAGTCCTGTGTATACTGTCGGGCCTATGATACTATACCACAATAACGGAGAAGTCCACCCTGGAACCCCGGAATTGCAAGCTCATGCACAGCTCCCTTTGGTGTACGGGACAGAACGGGCTCGCTGTTGTCATGAGTCAATGTGCCATGGTCCGCCTAGAGAAACGATTGCGCGCCAGTCGTATTCGGGTTGGGATTGAAACTGCCAAGATGCGACAACAGATACCATCAACCAATATCTGCCCACTTACCTTCAGAGATACGCTTCAAGCATCACCTATCACGTTCTTACGATGACTTGAACAATCAGTGTTGAAGTCGCCACCCTGTGAACCTAGTATAATCTAGATACCAGGTGCATCTACGATGTTGCAGTCGAGGTTAAGCTGACGTGATATTATGCCAGAGTTGAGAAGGACCGTGATGAACCGTTGACGCCCAAGATTACTTCAATTCCTGGCATGCAAGAGAGCCCAGGAAGACCTCTATCGGTTAAAATTGAAAAAACTACTCTGAGTCTAAATAAGTTGCTAGGGGTATCTAAACAAATTTCAGTGCACTATGTCATCTAATCGTTAATATGCAATTCGTACGCCCCAAGTATCGGTTCTATCGTCAAAGCAAGGAAGTGCGGAATGTCGGGTGTAGCCGTCATCTGTGCTTAATCCTCATCCGAATCGACGGAGAAGGAGAACGGAGCCGGCGGGATAGCAGGTCCTGGCGAGTTGTCAGGCTCGAGCAGCTGGTCGTCCCCAACATCCTCCTCACGATAACTCGGTTCCAGCTCATCGAACCCCTGGGCGCACCGACGATTAAGCTCGTTCATGCCCTCGCACGCCGTGTCCGCAAAGCGATGCAGTTCGTCGAGGGTGAATTGGTTGCAGTTGGGGAAATACCCATCGATGGACTTCTGCCATCGTGAGGTTGTGTTGTTCTCGGGTTCTTTCATATAGGCGGCTGCATCCCACGCCAACCGCGTGGTGTTCAAGGGCCGCTCCTTGTTGGCGTGTGCCCAAGTCTGGGCTTCTTCCTCGGGCCAATACTCGACAGTCGAGCCGTCCACGTTGCTTGGCTGCTTGACTCCCGTGACAACCTCAACAAATCGCTCCTCCAGGGACCTTCCGAGGCCACTTGGATCTACAAGATCGTAATTTGACCATGCAGCTGGCTCTAGGCCTACAAGGTATTGGTCGTAGCCGAGATTGGTTGCTCGACAGACTTGTAGCTGAACATCCATCTCACGCAGTGCAACAGCAATCCATCTATGATTTTGTTGCGGGCGCTCGTTGGGCAGTCCGATCCATAATGTCCTTAGGAAATGGTCGGGTGCATACGAGTTGTAACAAGTCTTGAGGTAGACGTGGTTTAGGATCAACTCCTTCAGCGAACTGCCGAAGCACTTGAATAGGGACAGAAACCCGCAAGGATGGATCTCGACCCTACGGAGCTCCAGCGAGGTCAGGTATGGCAATACGGACTTGGGCGGTTTCCGCACGGTTGGGATCGATTTGAAGTGCCAGTCGCTCAAGGTGCAGTCCCGCTGTGACGAGTGCCTGACTACCTCGAAAGGCTGCTCATCCATGTTCAGGCTGACCAAACACAGGCTCTCCAGTTTCCCTGCCTTGCCTATCATCTCCCACAGGCGCTGCTGGAAGCTAATGACATGATATCTGGCGTCGTCGTGCCTTCGAACGGAAATCAGAAGATGCTTGAGGTCCACAAAGGTGTCGATAATATTTTTGACGTCCCGGGGGTTCCTCCAGAGCTTCACTATTCCGATGTCTGTCATGTTCTCCAACACTAACGTCTTCAATGTTTTCGAATCTTCTGGCCTCTGTGCCAGCGCTTCGAATGTATTTCCCAGGAGCATCGTCGAAGCCTGGCAATGCTTCGAGATCAGTTGAAATGGCAGGTTCAGTCGAACGGCTTCCACATCCATGGTCCTTTCTAGCATGTATCCCAATGATTCACGATATTCCACCTCTGTAAACGAGTTCTCGTTCATGCAATAGCGGTCGTATAACGTCGTGACGAAGGAGTCCATGGAAGGCACGTTTCTAAAGATATTGCCTAGATACAGGATCTCGCCTTTGTGGAGGTCAGTTGAGTCCAAAGGCCACCACTGGGTGCTCCAGCAGGAACGTACCTTCATCTCTAATCAGCATCATATCCAGGTAGAGAGCTTTACACAGGTGTCCCATTCCGCGCAGCGCATCTCCGTCCAGAGGGCGGCGCCGTCGTTGCGAGACTCGGTCGAGCCTCGTGAACTCGAGCTGCAGCGTGCGGAGTGCATAGGGCCTGATGGCATCGTTGAAAAGCCTGGATACGGTCCGGAGGGTTAGGAGGGCATTCTTGTCGCAGTAGTGGTTGGCGACGCAACATTCGGCAATAGAGATCCATATCTCGGGCGGCAGCATCGTGCTCTTGTCTGCGGGGATCGTAGCGGAGGCGGGACAGTCGTGCAATGCTTTGCGTCCACCCTTGTACTCTGCTCTCATAGCTGAATAGAGGTGAGCAGCCCGGCCAGTTGTTGGGATGGCCGCTTCGTTATCGTGACATTGTAGTAGCTTGACGTGATGCTTGTTTCGCAGGCGGGACTCCCTCGTTACCCCTGTAGCCATAGCTCCCGCTCCGACAGGGGTCCGCTAATCGATTCATTGATGCGCTAGCTTCAAGGCGTGGTGGGCGTGGTGGGCGTGGTGAAGCTCTACGGGCTGTAATCCTTGCCCTTGACGCGCAAAACAAGCATCAAAATGTCGGACTGTCTAGTTTGCACTGGAATACTAACCTAGAGTGCTTCAGTTCTCGCCAGCTGCGAGCTATGGTATGTACCTCAGGAAATGTATATCACTCATGTGATTTCGACGTACCCATTCCAACGAGCCATCGCTAAGGGCTTACAAGTCGAACCCAATTACAATTACTGGAAGTTCATGTCTTTGCCTGGGTGTATGCAAGTTGATTTCTACGGCGAATCTCCGAATCTTGCAGAGCGGCATCGAATCCTACGCAGTTCTTGTCCGCCAAGTCCAGTCTTCAGCAAGTTTCAATGGCTCTCATAAGCGCTCCTCTCTTAGCAGACCTCTCAGCTTGGCAATAACATGGGTTGACAGCTCCGCCACCTTTGTCATTCTACAGCGCGGCCGCAACGTCTGGATGCACAGCCCAGTAAGCAACGCATGACCGATACAAATACATATCGTCCCATGCTTCAATGTTAGCAAAGTATTTGCACTTCGTCATAGTCTCGCGTCATGAGCTGATCACTATACACAAGTATGCTATTCATAACTGCAATAAAGGACTTCCGGAAGAGGAGGCGGGCGAATAAACAAGCGAAAAAACAAGTGAAGAAGGTGGACTGGTACGAGAAACACTACGGCTTCGTACCCAAGAACGTCATGACCGAGGCCGAATGGGAAGCAGCGCGAGAGCGAGCGCCCAAGGTACGCAAGAGGGCAAGGGCAAGGGCTGGCAACTCATTTGGACTGCTCAGTGGCGGGGTTGCTATAGTCGGTATCTTAGCTTGACAGTCAAGCGGAGCGGACTTCGCTATGTCTTTGGGGTATTGCAGATAGGGGACGGACGGACAGACGGACGGACAGTATAACTATTGTCGAGGCAAAGGGCCCCCTTCCCAGCACGACTTTATGGGCAGACGGCTCGACACAACCAACTACAAACGCATGGTTGACGGATTGTGACGCTTCGTGGTGCTGCCTCCATATATACACAGGGCTTGCGTGCACTTCCATAACGAATTATGTGAGGAGACACCGACAATTTCTCTGGGGGGTTTCATGCAGCAACGACCCTCTGGTTCCAAGTAGAGGCAGAAGTGCTACACGGTCCTCACCTCAGTCTCTAGAAGCAGTCTAGGGTTATGAAATCTTAACGAATCAAGAGGCAACGAGCATACGCGGGTGTGTTAGACAGTGTTTCGCAAGGCGCACTCTGTATATTTATGTATTCTTATTTCAATCGCCATTTATATGGATGAATGCGTTTCACGTTATCATTGCCCCCAAACGCCTGGTTTTAGTACTTGCGAAGCCAGCTTGTCAAGATACTCTCTCGCGTCTTCAGATGGAATGCCGCTCGTATACAGAGAACCATAAAGCAACCCCAATCCCATAATCATTTGATGTATCTTTCCCAAAAACACCTCGCTCGCCAAAGTGAAACCACCAGCGCCTCCCATTGGAGACTAAACCACCTCTCGCCAGTATCCAAAGCCTTGTGACGACTTTCACAGATATAGCTCGATGCTTCCATCCTCCTGAATGAACTCGTTTACACCGTATCTCTTAGCCCCTAGACTGTTATTCCCCAAGTCAGCAAAATCACATCAAATAAACTAGGTTGGCCTTCCGTCTTTCTTACCTCCACTCGAGGTTTCCGGTGTTGACCATGCGGAAGAGGTCGACCACCTCCGAGACCGCCTGTTGCACCTCGGCATCCTGGCCCGCAGCCGCCTCCTGTAGCAAGACTTCGGCCGTCGTATCGTAGAGGTCGACCAGCTGCTGCAGGTACTCGACCGACAGCTTGACGGCGAGGTCGAGGTCGCCGGACTGGTGGAAGAGGATAGCCACCGAGCTGAGCACACTGCCGGCGGCCATCTCCTTTTTGAAGGAAATCAAGTCGTTGACGCTGTTCCGCTGTCAGCATGAGAACCTTTTACACTCTAACCGCCTGGCCCTGAGCGACAAAGGAGACCTACATGGAGTTGATGACTATGGTCACGGCCCACAATGTCTCGTAGGCTGGGGAAGTGATGATGTGCATGGGCAGCTTGACTTGTAACGCAAACCTGCAAGGTGTTAGTCACCCGTGACGTCGTAGCCCTGGGTTGAAGCAATACTTACTCGGACATGCCCAACAACGTGCCCATCCCGCTGGTCAGGGTTCGCACCTCCCAGTATTGGTCCAGCCCCGGCACCGTCTCGGCTTTCTCGAACTCGGCCTCCAACTCCGTGGCGTCGATGTACTGGTCAAAGTGCTTGAGCAACTGCTCGCGCTGTTCTTGAATTGGGGGGAAACTGTCAGCTCGAGACACCACAGCCTCTGGCTTAGGGGAAACACGTGTGCTATCTTACCCAGGTCGAACGCCTTGCAGACCTCGTCCGCTATTCCCTTGAAGCTCTGAATCAGCGGGTGGACCGGCGCCGCAGGAGCCTCTGTCCGACGTGCCAGGCCCAGGCTCTGTGTTACGAATTTCTTGGTAGCCACGCGGAAGTCCTGTGCGGCGAGGGGGCAGGCTAGTTTCTCGACGTAGTCATCCCAGATGCCGAACCAGATGACGAGGTCGGTCATCGTCTGGTATCGTTCCCAGGAGGATGTCGGCCACCACCTAAGCACGGTTAGCCACCATCATTCATCACTATCCGGAGTTGTGGCGTGACTAGACTTACTTGGCTGCCAGCAGAGCTGGATCGGCGTCACTGACGGCCTTCTGGTGCTTCTCGCTTGGCAGGATCCTAGGAAGCACAGTCAATAACGAGGCACGTTGTTGTTAGATAGAATATTGACGGCTAGCCTTACAGCGACAGCTTCTTATCTACGCTCTCCTTCATCCGCATGTAATGTTCATTCGTTCCGCTGGACCAATGCGAGAACATCGGTCTCAGGTCTGGAATTACGAGCTGTTGGCCCTTGAGTCTCTGGAAGAGTGATTGTGTCGTGTCTTTGTGAGATACATCATTGCGTGTGGAAAGCAAGCCGCCTTTCGTAGGTAATGTCATGGTGTAGGAAGGGGTTGAGGATGAGCCCTTCGTGTGAGTTACTGAGTACGTCATGATGTTCAAACTTTCCGGTGTAGGGCTGTCAACGTTTAAGCCGGGAAGGTAGTAATTATTGGAGATTCAATGTAAAGTGAAGGATATTTTGCGAACAGGAATAGATTATCGCTTGTTTCTAGGTCTGTGAGAGGTTTGAAGCACACGCGGAGGTCGACTTATCTGCCCATGAATAAACTCGTGCCCACTGATGTAGAGATATAACGTCTATTTATCTATTTCAATAGAGAATTGAGACGCCTTCGTTCCTCGCAACCGGGCTTGATTCTGCGTTCGAGGCCTTGGAAGAGTCTTGCCCAGAACCATAAGAAAAGCTTCAGATGCCTAAGCACTAGTTCCACATGCGCATGCCTTGGCCAATAATTTCCACTGGCAAAGAGAGAACAAGCCCGGTGTTTGATGCCAGTTGCGCGGTTCTCTCTTGCATAGTCTCAGTTTCCAGCTTGTACAACGCAAAGCTAGCGTTGCGTGGTGTAGCTGGACGTGGGCCCAAATTACCAGATCCGGAAGCGTACTCCCAGTTCTCGGCGCAGCTGCGCCTTGTCTAGTCTGTTATAGTGCAGCAAACCCTCGTGAACCCACCTACACAGCGGTTACTAGTTAACAGCTGAATACTCGGGTCTAGCCGCCCTTCCGCCACAGTTTCGGGGCCACAGTTTCGGGGCCACCGGTTTTTACCGCAATGCTGTCCCGAAATAGAGACGATAGCAGCATGCCAGCTCACAGCGAGCGGTCCCTTGCATTGCGCGCGCGTCTTCTCCCAAGCTCCATCTGCCAATGGTCTAGATCCGACCTTTTGCGCAATTGGGCAAGACCCATTGTCTCATTCAGCGGTCCGCTACTCAGATCGGACCCAAACCTCCGAAGCCCTTGCGAAAACCAGCCCCAGGTGGGTTGATTGCCTTGGTATGTGTTCTAGGCCGTACCCTTTGTAGGCCCCGCGTCACGCAGACCGTTTTTCTCGGGTGACATGCGGTCTGGAGAGGTGCGCGGGAGGACACCGGATGCCGCGTGGGTGCTCGCTTTCCTGCGCAGTCCGCCAGCCTTTAGTGAGCGAGCACGTTGATACGATTTCTCGATTTCAAATTCCATGGCACATCTGATGCGCAAAGCACACACGGCCGGCCAGACACTGCGCTCTCCGCGGAGAATCCAGTAGTCGAGAGTCTCCCTGGTTGGTGTTTCCAGAAGGCGCATGAAATCGCCCGCGGTCACCTTGGGCACAAAAGTCATGCTGGCAGCTGGAACCTCCTCATCGACCAGAAAGCGCCGTATGGTGGGTGGCAGCAGTCCCAGCGTGTCCAGCTGCCTCAATCGATGCCGGATTTCCAGGCCGATCATACGTATGATGTGTCCGGTAATCTGAGCGCGTTTGTGGCGGGCTGCGAACAATGACGGCCCATGCATATCTGACTCAAGAAACGGAATCAAATAAGGCCGTGCTTGAGAGACTATAAAATGATTGACATTGAAGAGCTGGGCTATGCGAGCCAGAGGGCTCTTGTGGTCTTTGTTTGAAGTCATCGGGGTCGAGGAAGTATAGTGACGGAAAGTGTTCGCCGGAGCCCACGGCACAATCTCGCCGTTTACGTCCTTGCACAGGACTGTTGTCCCTCGACTTCCGTAAAGCGAAGGAGTCGAGGCGTTGGAAGCTACGGCAGCTGTCCATATCAACTGCTTTGTGTCAATATGAATAGGCCAGCTATTGATATGGAGCAAGATACTCACCACATTGGGCGCGGTTATGTAGTTGAGGAGGGTTGGAACCCCTTCTTGACCCTCGGTAGCGACCGTGATATTTAGCACCCTTTTGCTTCGGTTGTAGGCCTCTTCGAAGGTCAAATCTCCTACATTCGCCTTGACGCAGTCCTCGAGAACTTTGACGTCAAGGAAGTAGCCCTCCTTCATGAACCTCTTGATCCGGCGCAGCAAGGTCTCCCAACCGTATTCAAGACTCTGTTTCCCAGTCTGCTGTCCGTGGTGCGCATGCGCCTCAAAGGCTGAAAGGTCAATCCCATCTCCCTTTAAGATACCGGGCAGCTCATCCTCGGTATGTATGGCGACCAGACTTGCAATCAAAGCACCAGTGGCCGTGCCGGTAATGATACGAGGAAGAAGGCCTCTGAGGAATAACGCCTTTATGACGCCTAGGTGACACAATCCAAATATAGCACCGCCCTGTAAGACCAGCGTTGTCCGCCCAAAAGCCTGCCTCGTGTCGTGGAGGAAGTCCAGCTTACGCTGCGTCGACAAGTTTAGCACCGGAGTTCCAACGTCGTCATCACCATTACTATCAATCAACGGAGCAGCTGTCGACGACGAGCGAAGGTTGATTTCTTGGATGGCCTCGACGACCTGTGCGATGTATTCCTCAATCAGATACTTTGTGCCGGCGAATGAGCGATTGTAGAGTCTCGGGGACGTGATGTTGCCGAGGTTCCGCACGAGGCCGGCGCGAACAAGATCGAGTAAAGCCTGAAGGTCCGTCTCCTCGCGCGCGGCGATCAGAGACTCGAGACGCTGGTTAATGAGACCCCAGTCGTACGAACGAGAGGAAGGGTCGTTGCGCCTAGAGGGAGGCGGGTGTGTGAGTAGGTATGCAGCTATATATTGTGCGGACTGGGCAGAGGCGTGCACGCTTGGCCTCGTCGCTCCCGAACTCACCAGAGATTGAGCTCCTTGATGTTGTCCAAATGCAACGCGGCGTGCTCCCAGTCCTCGTAGACCTCGGCGTTGCGCAAAGATTCGAGCCACTCGTCCAGGACGCTCTTGGTCCTCCACCAGCCTCCGAGCTTCTGTACCTCGTCGTCAGCGAGCACCGCCTCGGGTTGCGCAGACGCGAGCCGGAAGAGAAGACAGCTTACCTTGAACCAGAACAGCACCACTTCCAGGAGTAGCGAACAGAAAGCCCAGGCGATGCCGAAGAATCCCATCATGGCCGCGATGCAGCGTCACGCAGCACCGGGGTGACGCATGCAAAAGGCGGGATGGCTCGGAAGTCTGACTAGAGGCTGGGGCACGGGGGACGGAACTGCGCCATCATGTGCGGATCACTAGGTGCGGCGGCGTCTTAAAATGTCATGTCATTCCAGGGAGGTTGCGGTATGAATCAGTTCAAGGGGACTGTACGTATTTACGTGAAGGCATCACAGGACTTCGACCGAATAACAAACTAAAGTCGCCCGAGGTTGGTGGTACAGCGGTACAGCGGTACAACGTCACGCGGCGTCTTGGTGTAGCTGGAACGATGTCTGGAGGCGTTGCATGCATGTGAAAGTGCTTCGCTTCCATTGACCCTGGGTTGCTGGCTGGCGGGCGGACGGCCGGGCCATGTTTCCCCACGTTGAGCTAAGGGTACTAGGACCAAAAGTAGCTGTGAGCTGTCTGCTAGCCAGCTGATCCCTGCCCGCCGCCTCGGCTAGGTACCTACAACATGCGCAACCGTCCTCAGGTGCAACTACATGCCTCCGTCAAACATACCACATCCACGTATTCAGATTCGCGCGGCTACGAAAGCGCGTGCTAGGAAGCATGTCACTCGTCTTGTCAGCAAGGCTCTGTGGTTTGAAGGGTCGCTTAGGCAGGAACACCATGGCTCTGATTAGAATTTACGATACTACGATACCACTTTTTACCCCGTAATGCTCCCAGAGAGGACAGCCAGCGCTTCCTGTCAATCACTAACGGTCGTAAGCTCTGTTGATAGAACCCATAGCCCGTTGGATTATTCTCGGAACTGCTCCTGCTACTCTTCATCGTCGTCGTCGTCCACAATGTTTCGTCTACGTGATCTGCCCTGTTCGGCGGCTGGCGCATCGAGGTCATCCAGATCCGCATCCGCGTCCGCATCCTCGTCCTCGGCCTCGGCAGTCTTCTGCCGCTTTTTACGAGGGGCCTCTTCCTCATCATCGTCGTCGTCGAGAAGATCCTCTTCGTCGTCGTCAGCCGCCATGCTGTCCTCGTCATCGCTGGGGGCAATGAAATCGTCTTCGTGGTCATAGTCGTCGTTGCGACCTCGCCCGGCCGGAAGATCGTCGTCGGAATCATATTCCGGCCTGCGCTTCTTCTGGCGGGATGCGCCAGGCTGTCCTCTCTTGCGGGCGCCACCAGCTCCTCTCCGGCCACCCTCGAGATCGCCAATCGAGAGCCCTCCGCTGCGGTAGCCCGAGGCACGGTTGTCGAGCCTGGCCGCCGCGTTCTCTCGTCTGCGCTGGGCCTTCATGCGTTCCTTCTCTGCCAACTCGGCCTCTTTTCGCTGGAGTTCCGGATCTCTCGTGGCGATGAAGATGTTGTCGGCGCTCACCGCCTTACCACGCGCCACTGCCTGCATGCGGCTTGCCAGCTGCGCAACAGCGTCATCTTGAATGTCCCTATTCGGGAGCACAGTGTACTGCTCCGAGACGTGGCCCACGGTCACGAGAAGGTTGCTCGACAGATGGGCTGCCGCGGCGTAGTAGTGCGCATCCTGTCTCTCTTCGTATGGCTTGTCACTGGGAGGTGCTAGCATCTTTCTCTGTACTTCGTAGTGTTCCCCGCCGACCGACAAGGTGGTAGACCCATCGCTCCATCTATAGACCAGCGCATTACTCTTCAGCTCTCCGGTCTTGGGGTCGCGCTGGTATCTGATGACGCCCTTCGGGTTCTCGCTTTGCGCATTCTCCAGGTCCCAGTGTGTCGGTTCGAAGCTGTCGGCTTTGTACTCTTCGGCGGCCCATCGGAGGAAATTGGGAGGTCTAAGTGACCGAAGCTGTGCAATCGTAAGCCACCATGTCTAGTTGCGTGAGAGACATTCGCCAAAAACACGTACTGTGCCGTCCTTGGACTTGGGGGTTCGATGCCTGAACATCTGAATGTTCATGACGAGGCGGTCCTTAACCACGACGTCCTGCTCATCCATGTCCACATCGTCCTCGCCGTACCGCTCGCGGTCATCCTTTTCAGAGGCGAGGTCTGCATCGCTGAGGACGCGCTCATTGTCAGACTGCAGGTCATCATCATCGCCGCCCTCGCCAAACAGGTCATCGACGCCATCCTCGGCGACGTCGAGGTGATCTTCAGAGTCTGACATGGTGACGAATGACAACTTCCAACTGTTGGAGGTGGAGAAACCGGCGTGATGAAGAGCAGAAAGTGAAGTGCAATTGGCCTCGAGGGAGCTTGAGTCAAGACTCGCGGCGCCTGCGATGTGGTGAATGAAGATGGGCAAAGACGGGCGAGGCTGGAGGTCGGTCGCGTTGCGCTGGGGCCCTGATGGATTTGCAAGGGCGTCTGACTGGGAAGGCTGAAGGCCAGAAGCCCAGCTAGAGGCGTGGCAGGTCCGCTGGGAGCGTTTGTTTCAGCAGCCTCTGGCCCAGCGCGCTAGCGGCCAATTCGCAAGTTTAGTGAGTATTAGACCCTTGAGTATGCCCCGCAGCGATGACCGCAACTTACCTAGGTAGATTGTGTTGGACACACAAGACCACAACCGCGTTGCTCGCAAGAATGGGGGCGAAAGGGAGGAAAAGGGCGTGCTACCCGACCCTTTTACGTGTAGAATCCCATGGGCTCCGTGAGCATGCAGGTTCGAGAGCTGTGCGCCGGGGCACAATGGCGGAATCCCTGGTCGTAGGCCCCCAAGATAGACCTGAGCTGTCCCAGCTCCGGGTGGAACCAGCCGTTGGCACGTGCGGGAGGAGGACCAAACCGGCTTAGCCCCCCTCCTCCATGCCTCCTTTTGACCTCGCCCCCTAACGTTTGAGAAACTCGAGTCGTCGGGTTCCCATTGAACATATCTGGGATTCATTCGCCCTTCGTAGCAGCCCGTCGCTCTTTCTGCGTTCCCTCTGCAGGCCCGTGGACTGCTCCTCCGTCAAGTACAGGGCTTGTGATACGCCGTCCGTCGATCTGGTGGCCTTGGGACCCAGGAATTCTGACCGCCTCACCAACCCTTTTTTACCCCTCGTCGGCGCCTCTCGGTGCACACACACACACACACACGCGACCATGTCGAATCTTTTTTCGGGGATGTAAGTGGCATGCTGTTTCATAATGCTTTTATTAAGAACTGTGTGGGCAATCCGAAAAGCAACACATGCGCATGTTGCCTTCTTGTCACATTCATGCTATAGCCACCACACTGCACCAAAGACCATTGGCACCTTCAACGCCTCCAGTGAGGCATGACATCAACCCCTACCGTCTGGCTGGAACCAACACCCGTCCGTCCATATACGGGCTTGCCACTGCAACTCGGCGGCTCGGGCTTCAACAGCGGTATAGCAACGGCTCCACGGTTGCGGTGCCCTCTGGATTTCAGACGTCTACCTACCACTTTGGCGGGGTAAAATCAGACTGAACAGTTTCAAACCTCGAGCACGGGCACTGGTACAGCACAGCACAGCACAGCACAGCACAGCCTCTTGAGGTCGGTCGCAGAGTCCTCCTGCAAGTTGTATCGACAGCGCTTCACGTGGGACTCCTCGCTTGGGACACGTCGGTTTCCTCCAATTCAGGGTGACAGAGGCCAGTCCTGACCACCGGTTCATCACGTGCCTGAGAGCCTTCTCGCCTCTGCCTTCGACAACAGACTGAACTGGTTGGTGGACTATTCCTGAACACTTATATCACCGCTTTGAGAAACCCGGCGACCAGCAGCCAACCTGAAGTGCTTGGTATTATTAGGAATGCCTTTATTAGGCTAAGATCCTGCCCCGAAGTCTTGGTACTTTGTTTTTGCTGTTTGCCCTGCTGCCTGCATTGCATAGGGTCGAGTGGCTTGCAGATGCACATGTGTTTTTTTTTTTCCGCCGCACCCCTGAGCCTCACTCTGAGGATGTTTATATCTCGTCTGCCGAGAAATGAATACTAACGTTCATCTATAGTAACGCTCGTTTTAGAGGGACAGCGGCTAAGGCCCCAGGTCAGAAGAGCCCAGTGACTACAAGCAGCGGCCAACCTGAGTCTCCTACCACCCTGTCACAAGGAAACCAGTCTTCGACCAGCCTCTCAGCACCCAAGATCCCTCCCCTTCCTAGTTCACCATCCTTAGCCATGGATGATGGTGCGGCAGCATCTCCCAGCTCAAGTGCTGACGAGATCCTCAACTCATATCATCTGCCACGGCCGTATCCCTTGTGGCTAAACCCGTCGTACGCAAAGCACATTGTCAAGGGCAACTTCATGACCCTGAGTGCCCGACCCAAGACGGTCGATGCCGGCGAATGGATTGCCCACCAAGGTACGCTTGATTCCCCATCATCTGTAGGCAGAGGATGACTAAGTTGGATGGTATAGTGGTTGAGCATTACCGTAATCTGTGGAACTTTGTCCGCGTCATTCATGAGAAGGAAGAGGATGGGCTCACAATCTGCAACGCCACCACCTGCCCGAGGATGTCCGCCGGCGCGTAAGTTAAACCGCCAACTGGAGCATGAGCACGTCACTTACTGTCCCCAGAAACCACTCATTCACCTGGCTCAACTTCAGGAGGGAGCCTGTCGAGCTCCCGGCGTATGAGTACATCACTCTCATGCAGCGTTGGATTTCTGGAAAGATCGATGACACCAATATATTCCCCACCGACAACAACGGCGTTTCGTTCGCCCACAACCCATCGATTACGACATCGCCTCTCTCCCAGCTGACCAGCCCTGGAGACCGCGACTGGGTTGGCAAGCGGAGCGGCTTCCCTGAGAATTTTGTCGAGGTGTGCCAAACTATATTCAGGCAGATGTTCCGGGTCTATGCTCATCTATACTGGGCACACTTCGTCGACCCCTTCTACCACCTTAATCTGGAGAAGCAACTGAACAGCTGCTTTTCGCATTTTGTCCTGACAGCTTGCGCATTGGATATGTTGAAGCCGCAGGAGCTCGAGCCCATGCAGCCTCTGATCGATCTCTGGGCCGCAAACGGTACCTTCCCGCCGGGATCTAAGGCCTACGACTACGCAAACCACAAGGCGGGCGATCGGCTGATGCAGCTTGGCAACGCCGCTTAAGCGCATAGTCCACGCTTGTATATAGGACGGCAACCTAGCGTCCAGTCCCAGCTTGCTCGCTGATAGACGGAAGACGACTCCGAGCTCGGACTGGAAGCCCAAGTTGCGGATCCTGCTCCATTCGTCAATTCCCGATAGCCGCAGGCTTTGACGATCTGAGCTGACCGCCTCTCCCGGGCCAGCAGCCCAACCCTTGTTGAAGATATGGGAGGGAAAGTAAACAGGGAGGCGCATTGACTTGGAACGTTCGTATAAAACGACGTGGTCTCACGGGGTTAGGGGGGGTTAAGGGGCATCTAATCATAGTCAAGGAATCCCACACTAGAGAGATCTCACTTGCATAAAGAAATAGAGACACTGGTCCTGTCTCCTTGACTATCCGACGCCCACAAGAGCCCTACTTGACGATGGCATAGGCACTCGTGCTACGTTGCCGGGTTGAACCCCATACACAGCCGGCCCAGCTGTTTTGCCAGCGGACACATGGCTGGCTGCATAGTAGACATGTCGGAACTTCTCAAGTGAGCATGGGAGGTTGTGACAGCTCGTGGCCGACTTGGTAGTAAACCGTGGCTGTGGTGTTTTCCCAGGCTAGGGGTAAATTCAGTTCAGCTTGGACAACAATTGCTGCCCCGCATTAATCACCACGCCCTCAGCCTTGAACCCCGAAGGTTCCAAAATGATGGGCCGGCGCTCGTCCCGCGTGGTACTCCGTGATTTACCTTCATCACGAGGCAGTTCACACGCTGTCAACCCTCATTGTGTATCATGCACAAGATCATCGCGGTATTATAGCCAAGGGACAGCCTAAGGAATCGGCATCCGTCTGCACGCTGGGCCGTCACACTACGCTGGCTGAGAAAGTGCTCATCTCAAGGTGGGCAGTTGTCCGTACAATGAGAAACGATACATGGCAGGCGTGGACGGCAGCGCGGGAGAACGAGCCCCATTTCCAGCGGTGCTGGAAGCTTCAGAACTGCGGGGACTGCTTGAAGAGGGAGAGTGATTGTAGCTGGTGCCCGTTTGTATGTCTGCCTATGCTTGCTTGTGCCTATCGACAACCCGACTACTACCACCTCCAGTGGTTCCCCTCTGTGCCTGACCCATTACGGGCCACCCAACGCTAACATCGGCGTCCGTAGTCCTGGACATGCGTGCCGAACCCGAATGCATTGCCGCTCTTGGCACCAGCCTGGGACGAAGACGTCTGTCCGCACTGGGCGGAGCGATGGGAGATCCGGACTCGACCGTTGGGGTGCCAGGTCTCGACCATCACGACCTTAACAGCACTGGTGAGCATTGCCTCGACAATCGCCTTCTTCCTGCTCTTGTTGCTTCTAGTCCTAGTGATCAAGAAGGCGTTGGCGTTTCGACGAGCTGGAGGGTACGGTCGTTGGAGGCACGCGGCGGTACACAGGTGGAAAAGAAGCAAGACATCTGTGACAGAGGGCCAAGAGGGCGATAGCACGAACGAGACGCTTGGGGAGCGCGATAGCAGCAGTGAAAGGGAGCCACTACTACCTCATCCATGACTTCCAAAGGTCGCAGATCTACTTTTGCACAACGGCGCTTTACGATGGTCGAAGGATTTCAGCCAGAACTGACGGGAGGTATGATAGCAACTTCATCACCCTCCTTGATCACAACCTGCTCTGGATCATCGTCCTTTTCCGGTATGTCGACATATTCTAGGTTCACAGTCACGAGGCATGAGTCGAGAATCTTGGCTTGGATGCCACTGTGCTTCTCCTCCAGGGTGCCAAACAGTTTACTAATGGGCAGGGGCGCGGTGAAGTAGTCGTGTTCTCTGGCCGTATAGGACCCGGCACTGGCAAAGTAGAGGACTGTGAATTGACCCTTGGGAGGTTTGGGAGTCATGACGGGCGAAGAGTTTGGCAGGCGATAGAGTGAACGGACACTATAGACCACCAGGTTAGCTTGTGTCTGCGATAGAGCTGAACAAGAAGTGTGGTAGAAGATGTTGCTTCAGAGATCTTGGTGATAATTTGGTACATCAGAGATGTCAGGTAATACATGCTTTTTAATTACATCATTGCAACGGTGTGATAATAAGAAGTTGTGACTTACCAAGAGTGCTGTGAATTTTTCGCCGAGATCGTCGGATGTATTGAGTGGAAGGGAAGAAGAAAAAAAGTTGACCGAAAAAGTTCGTGCAGACATATAGCCTAGACCAGGTCAGGTGACCTACCTTCATTTCCTTTTGGGTGGGTTCCGAGTCCGCAAGAGCTCCAGAGCCAATATGCGCTGTCATAAATATCAATGCGATGGGCTGCTGCTGCATTGCGACCGTGTCGGTTCTGTTGCCTGTTGTCTGTTGCCGGGGCAGTGTTGCAAACACAAGTCGAAAGATCACCACACATCGATCAAGACGTGGTCTGGGGTATGAACGTTTCTGAATTAGAATTGCAGAATTCCCCAGGGCCCAGTGACTCCCCTAACAAAAGAGAATCCCAAATGCGCAGATGCAATAAGATGGCCCTCCTGCCTTGACGTGGCAGTGTTTTCCGAAGCCCGGTGACAAAATGCTTGTGCCTCGTCTCCAACGCCGCTCATCGCCGTCCTCCACCCAAAACACATTCCCCCGCTTATCGGAGTCTTCGGGCCTCACGTTCGGACTCGAGCAGGCACAGAATGTCGTCCTCGCGCACTGCATCACCATCAGTCAGTACTCGGTTCTTCTCAGGTCGGGTGTGTCGAGTGTCGCATGCGACGCGCTGTCCAAGGGGGTTATAATCGTACCTGGTCCCTTGACGTTTCTGATGATGCTACGGGTCTGGTCGTCCATGAACTCAACGCGGACCTGGGTGACACCACCACGGGAACCTGATAACCATATTAGCGAGGCCGTTCCATTTCTCCTTGTTCTCCGTCACGACTTCGAGCGCAGCAGCAGGGCCGCATGGCGACGTGACGGGCGGGCATTGTTTCGTACCGGTTCGGCCGAGGACACGGGTGACCTTGACGAGCTTGACGGGCTGCTTCGAGGAATCCATCTTGACGGTGAGGATTGGTGGTCGATAGACGAGTCGATTGTGTGTTGTTAGGAGAGCTGATCTACGCGGAGAGAATCGTCAAAGGCAGGATGAGGATGACGGCCGTGGCTCGAATTGCTAGGTGGGTTCAGAAGAGGCCCAAGCCGAATTTTGGAATTTTGGCATTCACCAAAATTTCCTGCGAAAAAAAGCACAGGCCAGCAACCCCCCACCACCATTCAGGCACTGCACTAGCCGTGCTCTAGTCCCGATTTGGCTTAACGTTGATTGGAGAGATTGGTAGATTGCACAGCTGTCGGACAGTTGGCAACTAGGCACGTCACACTCGTTGTGGCTGTCCGGTCTACTCAACTTTCTCTCTACTTGCAAGGTTCAGCCAAGCATACGACGTGCTCGTCCGTCTAGCACGGTCACTGATACTAATACAAGTTCCGTCATGCCCAGTGGTACTTCTTTATGTGGTCTGATTTGGTATCAAGGGACTTTGTCTGCAGTATTCATGTCTCGCTATTAATCTATGGTGATATTGAGAACACCGCCCTGGCTTGGAGTGTATGGATTGCATCCGCATTAAGCCTCATTACTCTCGTTGTCGATCATGTCAGGCATACTACGACGCCATAGATTGCTTACAGATATATAATGCCTTTTCTGGCAATTGGCAGGAGTCATAGGGATACTGTACTCAGAGGAGAAGGTGACGCCCTGCTGCTTCCTGTACCAAGCAGCGATATCCACACTGCCACGGAGTTATCCACGTACTTCCTGCTTGACTCCCTCACCATCATAAATGGAGTCAGTATCCTGGCAACAACCTAGGCGTGCTGGCTATATGGTCCTGACTTGCCCATCTCGTGCCTCGACGACTATGTCGGCGGACCAAATCTGTGGTCCTGGTTGTTCCCCACGAACCCCGGCGACTGCCTCGGCGTTTCGAATCTGGAGTCCTGGCTATCCAACTCGTGCATCGCAGGAGGTGAGGTGTTCGCCAATTCGCTTGGGTACTTGTAATCAGCGGGTGCATAAGGCTGCTGCTGCTCAGCCAGCCCCGGAGGGACATAGTGTGCGTTCGTGTTGTCGAGCTCTGCCGCGTTGCTCTTACGACCCCGTCTTCTAAACATGAAGAATACCAGTCCCAAGATCGCCAGTGCGCCAATGGCTACACCCACCCCGATCCCTGCTTTGGCGCCTGTGGTCAGGCCTTCCGAGGAACCCCCACCGGGCGAGGGCGAGGCAGTGGCCGTCGGCAGGCCAGACGTCGTAGACGCGGTCGGGTCCAGGGTGCTGCTGGTGCTGGTGCTGGTGCTGGTGCTGTCGCCGGTGGTAGTCGCGCTCAAGAGGTCTGAACTCGCATATCGCACTTTGATCAAATGCGCATCCATGCCCCTAGTCATGAATGGTCTTGAGATGGTGTTGAGGTTTGAGTCTAGATCCAACAGGCTGATCGTAATAGTCGATCCGAAATCTCTCGTGCATCCATAGACACCACCATCGCATTTATACCCCCTACATCCAATCAGTCAGCCATACACCCAGCTTGCATTTTAGATACCAAGACTTGATCTCTTTGGTGCTTCCACCTCGAAGAAAAAAGAAAACCTTCGTACGTACTCGGGACAGCATTTGAATGCCACTTCGGAAGTAAACGAGCCAGATGGAATCGAACACGCACTCGTATAACCGTTCGGACATTGGGCAGGCGACGCAGTTGAGCTTCGAGGAACGGGCCAGCATGCCGTATCCCAAGGGTTTCCAAGCATTTGCCATGTGCCCGTTTTGCCTGGGGTTGTGGTCACCCAATACTCCTCAAGGCAGGAGGTTGGTATGGTAATCGACGACAGCATCTGGTCTGTGGCGGCGTCTCAACTACAAGACCCTCGATTCTGAGTGCCAACGGGCTAGAGAAGACTTGAACAACGCGAACTTATCAATCGCGAACAATGGGCATAGTCGTGAACTCGATGCCTGGGTCCGTGAGGCACAGGAGATCGCGCCCCAGATAGATCTGCTGTCTACGATTTGGGTTGCGACTGTTTACCACAAGCCCAGCGAGAGGATTGTCCTCTCGGAAGTGACGTCCGCCAAAGAACGAGGGAATGCATGGTACACACCTTTACCCTTCCTGGCGAACCGACTCCAGCACATCGACACTGGCACAGTAGGTAATTAAGAGACCGCCAAGGAACTAGTTGAACCGCTCGGCGTAATCCTTGGGGGCTTTCAACCGCTCAGTCCAATGAATCTTGCTGTGGTGCAGCGGTATCCAGTGTGCTGCTCGAAGCCGAGCCAATGGCTGGGCTGGGCGCAGTAAATAGGAACAAGGGTTGACGCTTGGCATGGGGCCGTTTTCCGGAATTCGCAGAACGAACTTAACGGCAGGGCTGGCAGGGCTAATATATATCCACAACAGAGCCGACAAGATGCTCTACACATTTGACGAAAAGTCTCGCTGAAGGTACAATCTTGGATAGCTCAACAATGAAGACGAAGACCTACTGGGCTTATTAATAACTCGATTCTTAGGGTATCAGTGCATCAAATAGTTGTGAAGACCACAATTCCACATGCGCTCGCGGCATCATGACAACTTTGCCATGTTTGCTTCTAGGCCCTTGACCCAGCCTTCGATGACTTTCATGTTAGCAGTCATAGACTCGTCCCCCTCCTTCATGGCACCTTCGATCTTAGCCAGACCCTCCCGCCACTGTGCGATATCTCCGGCCATCTCGCTTTGTGTTCTCTCGATCTGGTCCAACGTCTCGCTCGCCGTGGCCGCGTCTGCATGTATAGCCCTGAGTGAGCGCAGGCGGTCCAGTAGCGGTGGGAGCAGCGGCGCGAGACTCTCAATAGCCGGTAGAGTCCCGTACAGAGCATTTATCTTGGCTGTTTGTTCGTCGCTTGGTTCAGACGTCTGCACGCCTGAAGCCTCCAATGACTCCTGCGCCGCCTTTGCAGCTTTTCGTGACTTTTCGAGCTGCTCAGCATCCTTGGTAAGTTCTCGGACTCGTCGGCTGATGCTATCCAGCGACGACGTAGAAGCATCCGAGAGCACGTTTAGTTGCTTCTGTAGGTGATCAAGAGTAGGCACGACAGCCCGTGGGAGTCGATCTCCATCCAATCCCGGCATGGAGGCTGCAGTGACACCGATGGCCTTCTCGAGCTGGGCGAGCCGGCGGTCGAAATCAGCGGCCTTTGCCAGAGCATGACTCTGCTCGTAATCCGGAGCGTATGTGACCGTATAGGTGGCCCCATCTGTCACATCTGTTGCTGGTGCCGTTTCCTTAGAACCGGTACTGGTCGGTACTGGTTTGGTTGTCCCTGTAACCCTGGGTACCACAACCATCTCGTCTAGTGCTTTGCTCAATGAAGTCAAGGCATGCTCTTGAGCTGGGGGAGCCTGCGACGCATCGGTCTTTTGTTTACTGTATTCTTCCTTGGCCTCCTCGATTTCGCGCCTTAGGCGGGCAATCTTGCGCTCCAGGTCTTCTCCATCCTCTTCATCGCTCAAGTCGCCGATCTGCTGCGTGCCATCCTCCAGGACCCGTTGCCGGCGGCTGGAGGTTCGATATGACTTGCGCTTGCCATTAAGTCTGTCCGAGAAGTCTACATCTCGAGCGTCGACTTGGGATGGAAGGAAACGAGACCGTGCATCGTTCACGCGCAGCCTCGACCGAGTGATGCCCGCCGAATCATCGTCATCGTCGTCGAACTCGTTGTCAGATTGCGAGAAACCGGTAGCTGTCTGGAGCTAAATCAGCAAACCGAGTCCTAAAACACCGGCGGTAGGCGGCAGGATTTACCGGAATAGTAGAATTGTCATCTGTCAAGTCTGGGGTCTCGTAGATGTCTGGTGCTGTATCCTGGAAGCTGTCAGTTGCTAGGTCCAAGGGAGTGCCCATGAAGCTGGGGTCCTAGGAAACACGAACCAGGTCCGGGAGACCAGAGTATTTGCGATTGTGAGCCATTGCAATCCTTCTCTGTGAACTTGAACGCCAACAGGTATGATCGGAGGAGAGAGAGCCCAGTGATTGTGCTTGTTTGCATGGAATGAGGTTGCTCTCGCATTGAAGGACAGGGGTAGGTCAGGTCGGTTGGACAGCCCTGGAAGTGGCTTAGGTAACTAAAGTGTGGCTAATAAGGTGCTCCGGCCTGACGCGTACCGCGGGGTCCAAGGCGCGTCTTCTCATCTCATCCTCGGTATCCTGGCCTCATTCGACGTTTTCGGTCGTTGAGGAGCAATGAGGCATTGGCCTTTATATTTCCGATGAACACCCCGGACTGAGCGCCATCTCAGGAGCCTTTTCTTTCCCCTTCGATTCAGACCACAATCCAGCCCTGACCTGCAGCTTCCATCGCCGCCCCACCTTACTGAATTTCACGGCAAGACCATTAATACCACCAACATTTGCTGCCTTCTCATGTTGATGTTTGTTGACCAAACGTTGCATGTCCATGAATAAAAGAACCCACTAACCCCACCGCCCTCGCCTACGTCTGTGGGCAGGCTGTGCTCAGCCAGAAAGTTGGCAATTCATCACATCCCCACGGCAGATGGCCAGTTGGTATACTGGCTTGAGCAAATCCCATGGGAGAGGTGGTGGCCTCCTGAGAAACATACCGGGGCGCAGGATAAATGGAGTCGACGTCAACGGGACGTCCCCAACCATGGCACCCAAAGAACCCAAAGTGGATGCGCCGCCCCTGTCAAGTGACGATGAAGATGAGAAGGGGTACAGTAAACTCGATTCCTCGGATTCAGAAGACGACCGGCAGAGAACCGCAGATATTGTCCCCTCATTTCCCAAAGAATCCAGCTCAGCCGGAAATGCCAGGAAGACCGCTCTAGGCCGCAAAGTCGATCCACCAGAGGATTTGTCATTGTCGAGAATATCACAAAATACAACGTCAACTAGCTCTGCAGGCCCCAAACGTTCCTCGGATGGGATTGCGGGGGCTTCGGGGAAAAATTTCCTGGAAGAGGATATCTCGAGACCGAGAAAGCGGAACAGACCTGCGTATGGCAAGAAAGTCAAGGAGTCACACGTGAAGAGGTCTAGCATTTATCGAGGTACGACTTGTTCCGCACGCATCTTGAAAGTGCATCCAAAATACTAAGTCTGTTCTAGCCGACTCTCCAGAGAGGAAGTCATTCAAGCGTATTGAGGTAGACCCCAGTCCGACCAAAAATACAAATTCGGGGGCAGGTTTCAAGGAATTTCCATTAGGATCTTCACCAGCCAGTAGTCCAGCGAAGAGCGGGTTCAGAACTGGCCCTCTCATCTCAGATGAGTCACCCCAAAGGCCTGGCTCGACATTCATCAAGCCTACTGCGAGTTCACATGATATCAAACCAGCGCGAGTATCATTGGATAGGACTGGATTCAAGAGGCCAACAAAAGGGTTGCGGCGTCAGAACCCGACTAGAAACGGTCAATCGAATGGGGATCCGGAAGGAACGCCTACACAGAAACCGACAGCTTTCAAAATGCCAGATATGAAAGGGATGGATGATGTGGATGATGTGGATGACAGTAGACCCATCCCAGATACCCAGCAACTAGGCCTCCTACTCGACGAAGAGATCGATGGTGGTATGAAGTCAGACTCAGATGTTGACGGATTAGATCATATCCTGCCCGGTGGGCCCCTGGGATCACGTTGTCCCATGTGCCACGAAACTGTCGATCAAGAACTTCTCAAGAAGCACTTGGCCGGGGGCAGTATGAACGTCAGAAGACAATCGGCCTTTTGCAGGCTGCACAAGCGGAAGGAAGCGCAAGACCATCGGAAGACGAAGGGATACCCAGACGTAGACTGGGGAAACATCGAGTCCCGGCTCCAGATGCACACGGATATCATCGAGAATATACTGCAGGGGCAAAGACTGTCACATTACGCCTCAGTATTCCAGAAGCGAGTTGAGTCCGGCGAGAACAGAATGCTGTTGAAAACCAACGAAAGCCTCATCCCAGGATATTATGGCCCACGTGGTCTACGCGTCATGTCGGAGTTTATCACCAAGAACTTCTCCGACACGCTCCGCAAGAGAGCCGTCGAGGATCGTCTGGTCTCCTCCAGGGGCTATTCTGGGTATATGCAGGCGGTGCTGGTACCAGAGCTGGCTATCCGTCTGATCATGGAGGACATGAGTGTCACAGAGGAGGATGCAAGGGGGATCCTGTCGGATAGCTGCGACGTCGGCGAGCTGGTACATGAGGAGACGAGAGATGTTGTACGATGGAGCGATGATGAGGGTGGTGAGAACTAGAGCGTTGCTCGGCTCGGACTGTTGCGTTGATATGGCATTGATATATACCCTACATGGACGACGCAGAAGTTGACGGACTTGTCTCCTCTATAGTCGTTCGCAAAATGTGCTCTCGCATTTTGCATACAGCAACCAGGAACTGCTGTCATGGGTTCTGTTACACAGCGTACTATGTACACAGGGCTTCTAGCTCGAGGACAGTGCATGCCTGAGGTCGCATCCCGAGAACCACCCAGGTTCATAATCAATATGATGTACGTTAAGGAGAAACACACAGCAACCAGATGCAAGTCATCCGAGTCACCGAACGCCATCCGGAGGAAGCGGAATCATTGGCTCAAAGAGGGCGTGTTGGTAGACATGCTTCATGTCTCGAACACCAAACGAAGCATCAAACTTCGGCTGATACTACGCGTTGCCATTATGAGCAGTCGGCTTGGGCTCCCGGCGACGGCATCCATGTGCACATCGGAGCTTGGCGGCGACCCAAGGGCCGCGGCGCCTCCTGTCCTTGTAAGAAAGCTGTGGGGAGGTGTGTAACGGCAGACGCAATGACAAGCCTCGGGAGAGCCGCACGGCGCTGGAGTATGCAGCGCACGGCTACTGGCGAAGATAGTCCATCAATGAGCACTGGTGCGCAGATCAATCGGCCTGGTCTGAGACAATATAACTGTCGGAAGGTTGTCAGTGGTCAGCCTGGTAGGGAATGTGATACTCAGCCGAGCCTCACGGATACTGCGCATGACTTATTTTCATTTTCATCGGTGGACATACATGCGCATCATACCTACCATCAACAATTGCCGGATGTGGTATGAATTACTTGGCAACCGAGGCGCTGACTACACAGTAGCTGACATTTGCAAAGTCGCATTGGCAGAAGCTCAGCATGCAGGGTTGGCTTATCAAATTGCCTCTTTGGGTGACCGAGACGCCCTTGAGTGCCCGTCAGAACGACAAATCTTAGATAATACTCTCCCCAGTGCATCGAACCCTGCGACAATTTCCAGCCAGTCCCAGGAGAGATCATAGCACGTTGCGCTATCTCTCGCGGCGAATATCACTATCTTGCCGGATGCAGCGATACCAATAGCGTGTCGGTCCGGCACAGTGATGAGAGCGCGGCCTGCGCGGGATGTGGGTTACCCGGCGAGTTGGGACCCCATGAGTGTAAATGAGCATCGGCATGCCGCAATGAGCATGGCGTCCAGAGATTGCCAATACCAAGCCCGCAGGTGGTATTTCTCCCTGGTGGAAGTGCTGGATCCCGAGGAGAAGCAAGCAGTAACTTGATAGCTCATCTGACGCTACTATTCTCATCACAATTTGAGGCCGGTGGCGATACCACTCGCTCCGCAACAGTTACCCTAGTTACCACGATCAATAAGAGAGTTCAAATCCATATTTGAAACGCTCTCGACTTGTGCCAAGCATCGCTAGGACGCGGCTCTCGGCATCGTATGTATGCCACGCCATTGGACAGCGCAGCGGCTACGCCCATGAGACAAGGGGCCCCCCCTTGAGGATCGAGCGCCCCGCTTGTCGAGACCCGGCAGCTAAGGGGTGCAGAGATCGTGGTCTGGTCCATGCTTGCGCGGGCCTTGCCTGTCGGCGGCCTACGGTTGACCTGGAGCTGGAGAAGAATGCAGACGATGGTTTCCAGCCCTAAGTCGGGGCAATGGACTCGAGGCGCAAACCTGGAAGATGTTGCATGGGTACTGCTCAGTCCCCCAGTTCGAGGCAGCCCCCATCTTGCCATTGCTCTAAGAGATCCCGTCTCAGAGCTTGGAAGAGCACTAAAGGTTATGGTACAGGCAGTTTTCCCCATTAGGCCCCCGCAACTGCGTTGGAGATGTTTCAGGCGCTGCTCGTCAGTAGCTCCGCAAACAAGAGATTGGCAGACATCGTCAGTCCTTTGGCTGTTAGCCAGCCCCAGAGAACGTTTCGCATTGCGCAAGTCTGGCGCTGTACTGGCCCGAGAGACCCTAGCTGGCGTAGGTGGGCGGCAGACATCAGGTATTGGGCGTGACAGATCTGCTCTAACTGTGCCAGCGTCCAGTAGGCGTGGCACTGGGCTCCAGGGCTACGTTGAGTACGTACAGTCTGGGCTGGGAGACAGACCCTTGTACCTTACAAAGGCACTATGGTAAGGCAGCCTTGGGGCCTTGGTGATATCCACCCCATAGGGAGGCATGTACCGACCAAGTCACAACATTGCCCTATACTATGCTTTTGCAATACAGCACAGCATCAAGCAGGTAGTTTCTGAGCTAGACGGCAATTGGCCAAACAATTCAGAGCCAATGTTGTGTAGCGGGTGCACTGAGGCCGATTATGTGACGATGATGCATGCATGCTGTTGCCAAAGAGCCCGGTGTCCTTCGCGGTAGCCACTGCTGGAGCTTGAACCTTGGTCCAGTGGCTGGCTACCTGGGTACATCCCCAGTAGACAGTCCCATCCCATCAGCAGGGCTGGCTGTCAGCCTGAGCCAGATCTGCCCTCCCCACACCCACTGGACACTGGGCCACACTGGAGCGCCCCAGCGCCTGTCGAGGCCAGCACGGGCCATCGGGGATTCGGGGCCTCTAGTTAGCACGCCCTCTCCCGCCACTACTAGCGGCCCAGCCAGCTCAGTGCTCCATCTCGAATCCTCTCGACCGCAGCATAGCAGCACCAGCCGGCGGCATCAGCAGCTCCAGCAGGAACAGCAACACCAACAGCAGCCATCCTAGATAGCCCGCGCACTTGCTGTGCACCTATAGCAGCCGTAGACGCACCGTTTGCGCACCCACGCAGCGGCTCTCCATTCGCCCTCGACCAACAGTCAACGTTGCCGCTCAAGTCGCCGATTCGCCTCGCTTGCCATACAGACACCCATACAGACAGGCCTACATACCCCGCGGACACGGGCGCACTCGCTCGCCAACGCACGCTCGCACTACCTCACTCATCTCACCACCACAGCATCTGCTTTATATACTAGAACCAACATACTCTACCGAGCGGCCTATCGAGTTCGCAACCGATCAACGCGACCACGACGGCATCGACCCAAGACGAAACAACGGCCCCCGCGAAAACACCGCTTGCTGCGCGCGATGACCTGATCGAACGATCCCTATGTTGATGGCGTCTCTTCACCGACACAGACCACTCCGTGGAGCTCACTCAAAATGACGAGGGACGATGGCCACAACGGTCGCATCAGCTCCTTTGCGAGCTCGAGCAGCGGGCACTCCAACGTCACCGTCAAGCCCACGGCACCCGGGCGGTCGACTTCATTGTCCGGCGCCACCAAGAGGGCGGCGCCCAAGCCGCTGCGGCCGACAGACAATGGCCTGGCCAGGTGTGTAGCTCTTTTTCGCTTTCGCGTCGCATCCCGCACCCCAGCTTCTGTCGGCTTGTGCCTCACCACACGCCCGTCCACACGAGAACAAGGCGCCATAAACTGCTGCACTCGAGTGAGGGCCGCGGGAGGCTGCTTTAGAGTTCAAGTTGCCATGTTCGCATGACTAACCTCGGCGCGACTCTGCCTTTTCATCCGAAACCTTGATGCAAAGCTGTCACTGGGGTTTGTGGAGGGGGAATTCCACTGGGCGGGTGCTACGCCTCGCACTACCTACCTACCTACCTATAACCTACCGACTCTACCTCACACTGCTTACCCAGTGGTAAACCCGCGGCGTCAGCTAAACCACCTTCTCCGTTGTCTAAGAGTGCGAAGGGGACAAGCACAGGTCCCTCCCCTCCCCTTTCTGGTCGACTCACGCTGCTGCATTGCATACCTGCACCCTGTTCACAGACGTTCCCTTTGAGCTGACGGGAGGCTGCTTTCCGCCCTTGGGTTAGGTTCAAAGACGAGTCTCAGATCTCGCCGCTATCCAACGCCAATGCCAATGCGAACGTGCGCGCTGCCACGACCGCCCTGTCGCCAGCTTCCACCACCTCCTCCGGCAGCTCGCTGCTCTACGACACGCGGCGGATGAGCGACCTGACCAACTATCGCCGCGACCTCGCCGTCCTGGAGCCCTCCGGCGGCCGGCTGCCGCAGATTCAGAAGGAGCCGCCGTCTGCAGGCCTGTCGCAGAGCCAGATAGCGCCCTGGATGTCGGGCAACGGCGGCACCGCTAACAATGCATCCCAGGATGCGCGCATGGGCTCCTTTGGCACGAGCTTCTACAATGATTCGAGCGACAACCTCTCGTCTGCGTCGCAGCTGTCGCCCGCATTCAGGCCCGGCACGTCGCGCATCACCGAGACGCCGGCCAGCAGCGACTACTATCCAAACGATGAAAGGAGGCCGTCGGTCGCGAGCGTCACTACGGCCAGCAGCCAAGGGTCAAAGAACAGCACCAGTAGAGGTGGGTTCAAGAAACTGCAGGGGTTCTTTGGCGAGGACTTCCCCGGTCGCGATGGGTCCGAGACGAGCCTGCCGACCGGCGCGGGCGGGCCAGCAAAGGAACAGCGCTCCTACTCATTTAATCGGCCCACTAGGGAGAGGAACTATTCTAATGCTACCGACCACACCCGCGACGCCTCCCCGTCCTCGTCGCGCCCCCGAACACCTGTCCCCTCTAGCGACGTAGTTCCCTTTCTGTACCAGGAGGCCGACGATATCGCCAAGTACGGCGAGGCCCCCGTCCGCAACATACTCGCCGGCCCAGACAAGGAGCGTTATCAGGATAATGCAGGCCCCCTCCCGCCCAAGACCTCTTCTTCAGCTCGATCCGGCCACTCCATCGTGCATCTGCCCGGCCATCACCACCGCCACAAGAACAGCAATGAAGATTCGAGATCTCTGAGGCCCGTCGTCAGCCGAGAAGACTCGCTCGCTAGCATCAACATCATGAAGGACCGTGGCGGCTCGGTCGCCACTGGCGCGAGGAGGGCGCAAAGCCCGACGCCCAGCGCGAGCAACCTTCACCTTGCTTCATCTGACGGCAACGTTTCTCCAGGCGGGCCCAATGAGAAGAGGGGCCTGTTCGGTCGCCTTCGCCGACACAAGCACAAAGACGAAGCCCCTTCGTCGCGCCTCCGGGAGATGCCTTCATCGTCACAATCACTGGCGTCAAACTCCTCGCGGCCGAACCTCGTGCCCGCCAACCCCTCACCGCACCCCTACGCCAACAAGCCGCTGCCTCCCATCGAGCAGGCGCACGAACTGCAGGGTCCTCGGATCAACAACATGCGCAATGCGACATTCAACAACAAATTCCCCTTCGCTAAAAAGGGGCGATCGAATCGACCTTACGATGACGAGGATTACATTGGTCCGACGGATCGGAACGACTCCGGGAAAGTCTTCCACCTCGACACGAACCTGAACGATATGGAAGGCATCCTCTCACATCCACCACCTCTCACGCCGATGGAGCCCGCCGCACCCCAGCAAGGCCCCAGCGAGCTGGAGAAGATACCGGAGCTGGAGAGGGCGTCCTTGTTAGGTGGCGCCTGGAGTGCGCCTGACAGTTGGGCTGTTCGTCGAAATGCTGAGGAGCAAGCACCCGATGCCGAAACCGAAGAAGAGTCCGTCATTCAGCCACGACCGGACGAGAAACGGGCAGCCCATTGCATACGTGTTTTCCGTGCCGACGGTACCTTTGCGACGATCCAGCTACCCCTCGAGTCGACAGTCTCCGAGGTCATGTCGCACGTTGTTAAGAAAACGTACGTACAGGACGGCCTCGAGAACTATCACATGGTACTCAAGAAGCATGACCTTGCGAGAGTCTTGGCCGCAGTCGAGCGTCCTCTGCTCATTCAAAAGAGGCTTCTGCAACAAGTTGGTTACGAAGAGAGGGATCGCTTAGAAGACATTGGCAGAGAAGACAACAGCTATCTGTGTCGGTTCTTATTCTTGTCCGCCCGAGACAACGACTATACGGCTGTACCAAACGAGCTTGGACCCAGTAGGACTACAAAGTACAACCATGTCGACCTTTCCGGCCGCAACTTGATCACAATACCTATCAGTCTCTATTCAAAGACCAGCGACATCATCTCACTCAATCTGGCCCGAAACTTATCCCTAGACCTACCCAGAGATTTTATTCAAGCGTGTCCCCAGCTGCGAGACATCAAGTTCTCCAATAACGAGGCTCGCAAGCTACCCATCAGCATTGGAAGAGCCAGCCGCTTGACATATCTCGACGTTTCCAACAACCGTTTAGAAGAGCTCGAGCATGCCGAGCTTGGGAGCTTGACCGGTCTCTTGAAGCTGTCTCTAGCTAATAATCGACTAAGCAGCCTGCCCCATTACTTTGGGGCTTTCAAGGTTTTGCGATCACTGAACGTGTCGTCCAATTTCCTTGATAAGTTCCCACCGTTCCTCTGTGAGCTCGAAGGCTTGGTGGATATTGATTTCAGTTTCAACTCAATAGCCGAGCTTCCTGAGGAAATTGGACAGATGAGGAGCCTGGAGAAATTCGTCATGACGAACAATAGGTTGGCAGGTGCTTTGCCGTCGACGTTCAGCAACTTGACGAATCTGCGTGAGCTTGACTTGAAGTACAACACCCTGACAGCCATTGACGTCGTCGCCGAACTGCCAAAGCTGGAGATACTTTCGGCAGACCACAACAAGATCTCACAGTTTATCGGAACGTTTGAGTGCGTACGGAGTCTGAAACTCAACTCAAACCCCATCACGAAATTCGAGATTGTCGGTTCTGTTCCGACCTTGAAGATGTTGAACCTGTCCAATGCCCAGCTCGCAAGCATTGACGGCTCGTTCCACAACATGCCCAATTTAGAGAGGCTTGTACTGGATAGGAACTATTTCGTGTCCCTCCCGAATCAAATCGGGAACCTTAGAAGGCTCGAGCATTTCAGCATAGCCAATAACTCTGTTGGCGAACTGCCCGTAGAGATAGGCTGCCTTACTGAACTGCGGGTTCTCAACATCAGAGGCAACAACATCAGGAAGCTGCCTATGGAGCTGTGGTGGGCAAATAAACTGGAGACGCTCAATGCCTCCTCGAATGTCTTGGACATTTTCCCCAAGCCTGCGTCCCGCCCACCTCAGGCTCCTGGAGAGTCTGCGACAAGCAATGGAGTTAATAGCAAGCCTATGCCTGGCCTTTTGTCGCAGACATCTAGCTCCGAGGATCTGCTGCCTGACGGGTCCCGGCGGCCGAGCCAAGCGTCAAGCACTCTGCTTAGCGTCGGCCCGTCTCCGGTGCCACCAGGCCCCGACCGCAAAAGTTCTGTCGTCTCCGTCTACGGGAAAGGCGGTCGCAAGACGTCCGTCATGTCCAGGAGCACAACTGGCAGTACTAACGGGACCACTGTTGCCCCTCCTACTATTTCTACTCGGAAAGATTCAGGGCTGTCTGCAAGATTGACAAATACCTTTGCCGGATCCTTGCGCAATCTGTACCTCGCAGACAATCAACTTGATGACGACGTGTTCGACCAAGTTACACTACTGGGAGAACTCCGGGTCTTGAACCTTTCATATAACGACCTCAGCGATATGCCGCAAAGGTCTATCAAGAGCTGGCCACAGTTGGTTGAGCTGTATCTGTCAGGTAACGATTTAACCAGTCTGCCCGTGGACGATTTGGAGGAATTCAGCTTGCTACAAGTCCTGCACATAAATGGCAACAAATTCACCAATCTTCCGGCCGATATCTCCAGAGCCAAGAAGCTTGCTGTATTGGATTGTGGAAACAACTCACTCAAGTACAATATTTCCAACGTTCCATATGATTGGAATTGGAACCTAAACCCACAGCTGCGATATCTCAACCTTTCCGGCAACAAGCGTCTGGAAATTAAGCAAACCGGCTTTAGCTCTGCTGCACAGCACCGTGAGCAATATACCGACTTCAATCGGCTGGGCACGCTACGCGTGTTGGGCTTGATGGATGTCACCCTGACACAGCCGAGTATCCCAGACCAAAGTGAAGATCGCCGTGTCAGAACATCGGGTTCGCTTGCTGGTCATTTACCGTATGGTATGGCTGACACGCTTGGCAAGTACGAACATCTGTCTACCATTGATCTTGTGGTACCTCGTTTCAATTCATCGGACTCTGAAACCTTGCTGGGACTCTTCGATGGCCAAGCTCTAAGTAGTGGTGGCTCTAAGATCGCCAAATACCTGCACGAGAACTTTGGCCATATATTTGCCATGGAGCTCAAGGCTCTCAAGACAAGGCAGAACGAGACCCCTCAGGACGCCCTCCGAAGAGCCTTCCTTGCTTTGAACAAGGACCTCGTCACTATTGCATATTCTCATGGCGATGACAGGCCACAGACTGCCCACCGTGGTTCATCAGCGTCGATTGCTTTGAGCAAGGAAGATCTGAATTCTGGGGGTGTCGCCACTGTGGTATACTTGCAGGCTCAGCAGCTTTACGTGGCCAATGTTGGTGATTGCCAGGCGATGGTCATTCAGTCTGATGGTTCGCACAAGATACTTACCCGAAAACACGATCCGGCTGAGCCAGCTGAGCGACAGCGAATTCGAGATGCTGGAGGTTGGGTCTCCCGACAAGGCAAACTGAATGATTTACTTGAAGTTTCGCGAGCCTTCGGCTACGTTGACCTGATGCCGGCCGTGCAAGCGGCACCCCACGTTACGCAAGTTAAGATCACGCCGCAGGACGAGACAATCCTAATCGCCACCAAGGAACTTTGGGAATATCTCACCCCTGGACTCGTTGTGGATGTAGCTCGATCGGAACGGGGCGATCTCATGCGTGCCTCGTCGAAGTTGCGAGATCTGGCTATGGCCTATGGCTCCTCTGGGAAAATCATGATCATGATGCTCAGTGTATCGGATCTGAAACGCCGCCAGGAACGGTCTGCTCGTCTTCACAGAGGCCAGAGCATGTCTCTCTACCCATCTGGCATCCCTGATGAGTTCCAGTACCCCGCGAAGCGAGGCAGAAAGGCAAAGGCCGAGGTCCAGGACTCGACCTTGCACCGACTTGAGGCCGAGGTTCCTGCACCGACTGGGAAGCCGTCAATTGTCTTCACAGATATCAAAAATTCCACCAACCTGTGGGAGATGTACCCTTCTGCTATGCGGTCAGCCATTAAGCTGCACAACGAGGTGATGAGACGTCAGCTACGCAGGATTGGTGGATACGAGGTCAAGACGGAAGGTGATGCTTTCATGGTGTCCTTCCCAACTGCAACTTCAGCGCTTCTATGGTGTTTCTCCATACAGACACAGCTTCTCGAAGTCGACTGGCCGTCGGAAATCCTCAACTCGGTTACATGCCAGGAGGTCTACGATAAAGAGAATAACATCATCTTCAAGGGCCTCTCTGTGCGGATGGGTATACATTATGGTGAGCCTGTCGCTGAGATAGATCCTGTCACTCGTCGCATGGACTACTTCGGTCCCATGGTGAACAAGGCATCCCGTATTTCTGCCGTGGCCGATGGCGGTCAAATCACTGTGTCGGCCGATTTCATATCAGAAATCCAGCGCTGCCTTGAGACCTATCAAGAGAACGAGCGCAACGGCTCAAACGGCACTGAGGATACTTTCGATGACGACTCCTCAGCAACCCAGATCCGCCGAGAACTCAGATCCCTGAGCTCTCAAGGTTTCGAAGTCAAAGAGATGGGCGAGAAGAAGCTCAAAGGCCTTGAAAATCCCGAATATATCTACTCGCTCTACCCACATGCACTTGCTGGTCGCATTGATCATCACAACCAAGATACTCGAGCACCTGATGCGGTAGACAAACCAGCCACTCTTCAGCCTGGTAGTGAGCTTGGCTTTGATCCCGAGATGATCTGGTCTCTATGGAAGGTTTCTTTGCGTCTGGAGATGCTTTGCAGTACACTGGAAGAAGTTACTGACCGTGGCTTACAACCTCCAGAGACGGAACTTCTGGAGAGAATGAAGCAACGTGGTGGTGAAGTCACCGAACGGTTCTTGTTCAATTTTATGGAGCATCAAGTAAGCCGTATCGAGGTAAGCGATCCTGTTCTTCTGCAGCCACCGATTGTATCTAATTATGCTCCTAGACTTGCGTTACTACGATGGCCATTCGACACCTGGCTGTGGGAGGTGGCCATATCACACAGCTTGATGATTTGAGAGCTCCAATGCCTGTGGTCCTCGACGATCTTGCGTCGCAGTTGAAGCTGCTCGAGATGTACAAGGCCAAGTACGGCCCCCTCAGCGACGTCGAGGAGCTCGATGGCAGCGATACCGAAATGGAGTGAGACGGCAAACTGCCTCCTCTCTTTGATGACACACATACCGTTTCCTCGCATGATGGAGACAACACCTACTTTCACGCAACAACCTAGCGAGCTCTGCTCGACTATTATATATCTATCTACCAAACTTGTAATGTGTCATGAGGAAGGCGAGCATTTTCATGGGAGGCTCAATTGGTTCGGGGAGGCGTCAATGGTTTGCGGCTACCATTGACGTGGTGATTTCAGTAGCGCGTCCGTACCTTTGAATTCGGGAGTGGCGACGCACACGAGACGCTTTGTCTGGATTGGCTACAGCGAAAAGCAGGGGGTTTGGGGCTTGCTGGTTAGCATTGCTTTGGGTTTGGGATACACAGGCGGCGACTTCGACCGGCCTTTTCGAAGGCCAGATAAACAGATTCCAGTGGTGGACTTGGGGCTTGTCGTGGCTCGAGGCTCCCAGTCGTGTACAGAAACCTGTGGCTCGTACTTGTGGGGCCGTGTATATTGTATTTATGGGACGAAGCGTCATGAAAAGGAAGTCAAAGGACGGAAGGGGGAAACGGCTATGTGATGGGGTCGGGTTTGGTTGATGAATGTGGCCCCTTCGTGTACTTGAGCGAGTGACCAGCCGGCCTATGGAGCCAGGCTGTGATGATACACATCTGAATTATCAATTGACTGTATTCAACTATTACTCAACCAAAGACATTGCTTGTTGCTGACTTAGTTGCTCGTATGTGCTCCTGCCCTCGACTCTCGACTTGGGTTCAAATCCTTCAAGGTGACTTGGCGGCTCGTTTTGCACCACCGACCTACAGAGTAAGACACCCGTGTGCACAGGCGGTAAGCACATTTCAACAGTGGGTTTGCCGCGGAACCAGAAACGAATCAGAAAACCGGACTTGTCTGTAAGCGCTGTGGCTGTCTAGCAGAAAGTTCAACGAGGGCTCAGCCGCCTCTGAAATCGCCCTTTTGATGTCACAGGAATATGTTACATCGCGATTCGGGTCTGTGAGGCAACATTCAGCGAAGGGTGAAGTCAAACATACAAGGATAGGGCGGGCAAGGACTAAAACACCTCCCATTGCGAATTATTTCTATGGCACTAGCGATGCGGGTGCCTCACTTCCAATATGGCTGTCAAAGGAGGCATCAAGGTTCTGGCGTAGAGCAGAAGGGAACTTCTTGATGACTCCACAAGGAGGGTATTGGACAGACAGAGCTTGCTCCAAATCTAATTTGAATGCCAAGATTAACCCTAAAGACTTTGGAACGGAAATACCGAGACAATCTCATCTGGTAACTGGCGGTGTATCCAACCTTGAGGGCATCTGAAGGTAAACTGTCTATTCGCAAACCTCACGTTGGGCAGAGGAGCTAGATGATGGAAACCGGTGTAGTTGTTTTACTGTGCCCGTTCGGGTGTCAATGTGACCCGCCACGCGGTAGTCCCTGGAGTAAGGTTAAATGGGGATGACGCTGGTGCGACCGGCTTGCAACAAAAGCAAGTTGTAGACGATGTGGGTGGTGGTCGCAGGAGCCGTGGAGTACCGGCTCGTGGTGGCGCCAAGCTTTTCGACGTTTTTGTTCTCTAGGAACTATAATATTTCTCTTATAGGCGCTCCTTGCTATGGAAGGATGATCCTTGACGGCGCGGGTAGAGCTTCCGGTGCGATAAGACCACGTCAACGTCGTGGCAGGCTGTTCTTTGGTCAGGTTGAGGCGAGGCTGTGAGCGAGTCTCTGCCTGTTACCATTAACCCACACTCGGCGTGCCTCCAATACTTGCAAACCAGAACAGATTGTTCAGGTACCTATTGGCTACTCGCCTAATTAATCTCCGCCCATTCGTGGTGAAGAGGATACCCATTTGTGGCTGGTCACAGCTGATCCCGGAAAGGATCCGTCCTGCTTCTCATCAGGCGGTGGTCATCCCCCAGTTTCACTGTACAGATGAATATCGTTCACCGGCAATTTGGCATACGCACGCTTTCTTCTCACCGTTGTGTGTGTTTGGCAAGTGGCTGAACGCTAGTCAACGGGACCTCCCTCCATCAGATGGAGTGACACACCCGTTGCAACCCAAACTGCCAATATTGGGAGACGGATCGCTGGCCTGCAGGGTGACAAAGGAATTGGTCCCGGGGTTGACTACACAGCGGTGCTCTCAAACTTCTACAGCCGCCGCCACGGACACGCACGCTGACTGGGATCAGCATTGACACAACTGTATGCTCGTGGTCTCCGGAGTCAGAACCTAGGCGAGTTTGAGGGTAATACAGGCAAAGATGGTGGAGTTGGGCCTTCAGGGCGTGGCTTGCATGATTGGGTTCAAGACATCGTTGGCAGGGGACCTGCCGGGGTTCCCTTGCCTGGATCATCATCTGACGACACATTGCTGCGTCTTCTAGAAGGCTTCTAGCGCTGATCGCTCTGGCCTGGCAGGCCTTGTAAGGCTCTAGAAGAATTCCAAGAGCTCCTTTCGCTAATCTGACCCACCTCCCTCTTCCCCGGAAGCCAGGTCCTAGCCTTTAGGTTACATCATGCCAGGACCTACAGACAGTCCTTCAGTCCTTGGAGTGACACCAGCGCGGGAGTCCTAGGACGGCAGGCATCGAATCCTCGCCGGAACCCACAAAAGCGAGGTATAATCAGAACCGCGCGAAATAGTTGCTGCACTTCAATTTGGATCATCTGACCTCGACGATCAGCGAGTAACCGGTACTCGATGTACCAAACACGGATACCTGCACGCATCCGTGTGGGCTTTTTGGTGCGTCGAAGGCATGGACTCAAGCCTCTACTGCAGCGTCGTATCCTGCCAGACGTGCATACACGACCCAGGCTCGGGGCCGCTTGAGCAGTGCGCATTGCGTGGAGGACATTAAACCGGATCAAGGTGACCGAGGGCCTGCATGCGATGCGCAGATGATTGAGGGCGTCGAATCAGAGTCTCGTTGCCCCGGTAGCTTGTGTGTACTACCCCCAAAACTGTCCAGCAAACGCGCTGGCGGATCTCCGTCTGGACGTTTCTTGCCGTGGCGGTCACCAAGACTTGGATCTCAGACACGGTGACGCTCTGCGAGGTCCCTGGTCTGTTTTGGTAGGACTGCATGCATGTGAACTTAAGCTTCCTCCACGCTAGTCCATCATGTCAAAGGCGGGCGCCCAACGTGCGGGTGCTGTGATGCTTTGCAAAGGGTGGCTGAAAGAAATTCCAAATAGGATCCCCAAAGAGTGTGCAGGGTTGGTATTGGCTGTCTGTCTCACTTGCACCACCTCGCTCCCCTTGTGCCTGTCCTGCCGAGTGGTCGCACAGCGCATGGCACAGAGGATGGGGGAGAGGACCCAAGTATCGTCAAATCGTCAAGTGGACGAAGTATCCACACCCGCTGCGCTCGACGCGTGGACCCGTTCCTGACGTTCTGCATGCAAGATGGTGTGCGAGCACTCGGTACCCAGATAGACTCCGAGATGGACTGGAGGCCTGGCCGGTCCAGCTTGCCCAGATAACCAGCGATGCCCACAACTCATGACGACCACTAGGAAGGGGCCCGTTGGCGAGAGATCGCTTGTCTCACCCACATGCCCTGGGGTGGCATTCGACTAGCGCAGAAATAGTCAGCCGACTGGGAGTCCAGGGGGGGTTGCTGGCCAAGGTATAGTGCTTCCAATCACGGAAAATAGCGCAATGGTTTTTACAGAAGACTATCTCGTCCTCGTCCGAGTCCCGCGGTGAGGCTAACAAAACGCCAGGCCTCCATGCGCCGCCAGCTTGTTTCCCATCGTCAATTACATGTCTGATACCCGCGGGGTAGGTACTGCTGACTGCATACCGTTTCCGTTCTGCCACCACAACCACTCCCCCCGTACAGCTTGTTTCTTCCCACATTGCTGTGCTGCTCCTAGCCATTGGCCAACAGCCTGCAGCTTCAAATGCAGAGCGACGGCACTGGGTAGGGTCTGGCATTGCACTGCCCAACCGGCGTACCGTCAAGTGATTGCTCCTGGAGTGGGATCTGCAGGAAATGGCCAGTCATGCTAGTATTTCTTTTTCCTGAACCGATTTTTTTTGGGCTTCTGTTTCCCTCCTCTGAGTGCTGGAGACGACTGCCGGAAACCCGCAGGTCCGGCATCGATACGCATCCATCTACTTAAATAACGATGCCGCGCTTCTGCCAGAACTTCTTTTCTATGCTCGCTTCCTGCTGATAATTCTTTTGTGTTCGTCCTATCCTGGTCCAAGACGTGAACTGGGCCTCTTGTGTGGAAGTGCAGCCTCTCCAAGCACTGCAGGTTTCCCATGCATTTTGCTCGTCGTGCGACTCCTAGGTCCATTCCGAAGTGCTGAGTCTCGAGTACCGATTCAAGAGTTTCAAGTCGACCCGTCCTTTCCCTAAGGTGCATCGGTTTTCTCCAGCAACCGACTCAACACGGGTCGATAGTCCTCACTACCCCTTTATACTGTCAAGCATTCTGAACCTCAGTTCGCAATGTCGGATAGCATCTCAGCCGACTGGCTATTAGTGGCCGGCAATCACACTCGCAACCGCCCGCCGCATCTCAATGACAGAAATTTCAGCTCGACCCAAGCCGACGGTCCCTCTACAGGACCATCTGGCCAGCCTTGCCAGACTGACCTTGTCGCGACCGCGGACCTTGAGCTCCAGTTCAACAACATCGACCTCATGGATGGCAGTCCTGCCGCTCAATACCCCCCATCGCTTGACACAGATCAGTCAGAGAGCACTCTGTCGGCTGGGACTATCACCGATCTGCATCAGATCGAAACCCAGATCGAGACGCTGCAGTACATCATCGACCACCCCGTCGAGCCGAACGAGCGGCAGCCTTTGACGGTCGAAGCGCTCCAAGCTTTAGAGTGTAGCAATGGTAATCAGCGATACCATCACGACCTCTCTTTGTGGTGCCAGGAAGGGGCACTATTTGGCGACCACACCTCCAGAGTACGGCTGACCGAGAGCATGATGGTAGCTCACCATGCCAAGAGCCAAGATACCGACGTCACCGGGTCTTCCTGGAGCGTTCTGTCGACGAAGACCCACATCGACCATACCGCCGACCATGTCAGTGGTGCTGGTGGCCTTTTCTACGAAACGGTCGCCGCTCCCCAGTCCTTTGACGACGATGGCGATATTGTAATGGAATTGTAACAACTTGTAAGATCATACGGCAAAGGAAAATACTTAGATGACGTGGAGTTTTGGGAAGGCGGGCAAAGAGAAAAGGTTGATATCCTCAAGCATATTTGTTTTGTTCGGTCATTCGTTACCCCATGAGTTCAGTCGCTCGGGCCAGTTTCCTGTTTCCTAGGCGTTCGTGTCGTATTTCAAGATTGGGATGTGGAATTGTTTTCCGAGATCATCTTTCGCCCCTTGAGGTTATCACGCTCGTGTACAACCTTGAATGTCATTCGTATCCAAAATTGAGTATATCCCCACGAGTCATGGGTTTTGGCCCCTGCCTGCCATGCAACCTTGTGTGAAGCTGTTGTCTCACACCCACATGCCTGCAGGAACTTGTGCCTTTCCAATCCCGTCACTGGCGTTCGACTTACGTGTTGCACTCAAAGGAGCCACACCACCATGCCGTGACTCTTCTCCACAAATTGGCCTAGGGCAATTGGGGACAGCAACATGCGGGGTTCTGTGTCTGTTCCCCAACCCAGCGTCGCATTGTCTCCAACTAGGCGACGAGATTTTCCGTCACTAAATGAGAGCTCCATTCTTTAGCGAAATGCGGAATATGCTGTGTCGCCTGGGGTTGGTGATCTCATCGGCACTGGCTGGGCGACGCTACCCCATTTAGCCTATATTGAGCCCCCAAACTTAGTCTTTAACTGGAGCGCATCTCCAACTTTCTCGGTGGGTCTGTTATAGTTCAATCTCGGAACGCTATACCTCTAACCCGGAAGACGGGTCAACGGGGATTGTGAGCTTGACTATCGCGTAAATACTTAACTTTAAAATGCCCTGGCTCGAATGATATAGCCAGTGTCGCGCTTCTGGGTCCGGCTCTTCTCCTGCATCTTAGGCAGTGCTGTGTACTTCGGCTTGTCGTAATGTATAATTCGAATCACCAAACACAGACGCTGAGGGCAGCTCTGCTGCTGGTGTTGTTCATCTTCGGCTCGCTGGGATTGGCTACTGACCAGAAAAATGACTGTAAGAAGAACCGCTGGGTAGATATATGGGCGTCGATGCCACAGCTCACTGAGCCGGCAAACCTACCGCCGGTGCCATTTGTAAGTTTCAAGACGCAAGATCTTGTGCCAGGTTGGCAGCATGACCGACTAAACCCCGAGTTCAGAACGGAACGGGCGTGGTCTTCGAGAACACCACCCTCCGTCAGACCATCCGTGCGACCCTGCCTGCCTCGACGTTGCGCCTCCAGATATCGAACGCCTTCGGCGGGTCCGATCTACCTGTCACGGCGGCGTCCATCGCACTGTCGTCCAACGGTTCGGCCGGGATATCCTCCATCAAGCCGGGTACGGCACGGCCCCTGACCTTCTCGGGCGGGAGCGCAAACTTTACCATCCCGCAGGGCGCGCTGGTGGTGTCGGACCCGGTGCTCGACTTCCCGGTAGTCGCCGGCTCCATCGTCACCATCTCGCTGTATCTTGCTGGTGGTCAGACGACCAATTCCATCACCTCGCACCCGGGCAGCCGGACAACATCGTACTTCGTGCGTGGCAACCACGTGGACGCGACGGACTTGGACATCGCGGACCCGACAACGCAGAAGGCGGACCACTGGTACTTCATCTCCACGCTGTCAGCCTACCTGCCCGCAGCCGCCTCCTCGGCGCTCGTCGTGGTCGGCGACAGCATCTCCGACGGCCGGGGCAGCACGACCAACGCCAACGACCGGTGGCCAGACAACCTGTCCAAGAACCTGCAGGCGCACGGCCCGACGGCGGGGATCAGCGTGCTCAACCTGGCCGCCGGCGGGAACCGCGTCCTGAACGACGGGTTGGGGCCGAACGCACTCGGCCGCATCGACCGTGATGTGCTGTCGGCGTCGGGCGTGGGCTACGTGCTGGTGTACGAAGGCGTGAACGATATCGGAACCGCGTCGGTCGACCCGGTCTCGCAGGCCAGCATCGGGACCCGCCTCATCGCCGCCTACGACCAGATCATCACCCGGCTGCACGCGCGCGGGGTGCCCGTCTTCGGGGCTACCATCACGCCGTTCAGCGGGCCCGGCCAGACGTACAGCGACCCAGAGCGTGAGCGTACGCGGCAGCGGGTGAATGCGTGGATCCGGGACGGGGGCCGGTTTGATGCCGTTGTGGACTTCGACGCCGTGGTGCGCAACGCGACGCAGCCTGATCAGTTGGCGGCCGAGTATAACAGCGGAGACTACCTGCACCTGAATCCCGCCGGATATCGGGCCATGGGCGCGGGGGTGGATCTTACGCTATTCGAAAGATTTGCAGATGGAGTGGACAGTATGATATAATAGAGCAGAAGAAAAGGGAGTGCTCCAGGACGATGGTTTAAGGAGGCGAATATTGGGTAGGCGTAGTGGCATGGCTGCCTAACACTAGACAGAACGTTTCACTATGCGTATCTATTGGAGCGGCTCGCGACAGAAGATCAATGCTTGACCGGCTCATGATACGCTGTAATTGGATGATGGAGCACAGCAAGCATGTACTGCATCAGTTCGATGCGGAGCTAAGTGTCAGGAGCGATGAGAACAAATCAAAATCGCAATCGAGGACATTGAGTAGCAAAAAACTCCGCCCGTGGGCTTTTACTCTCTTAAACGCCAACCGCTATGTAAATCCGTACATATTCTATGGACAACTCCGGCCGTCTTACTCCCGAGTGAATTTGTAATCCTCCGCTATACCCACATCTTATGTCCATAAGCGACACGTCCCGTCAGATCCGGCGCTGACTAGCCAGGGGTGCGTCGGGTGCCAATCAACATCCATAACACCTAGCTGGTTGACAACCTTGTGACCCTTCAGACTCTTCACGGGCACGATGGTCGGGTCTTCCATGAGGTCGTTGACAACCTTTCCATGGAAGATCTGCAGGGTACCATCATCACTGGCATCTGCAAAGAGGGGATAGCTGCGGTGATATTTCACTGCCCGGATACCCTTCTCGTGGAATCGCAACGTCTTGTAAGGACGAGTTGACAGTTCCAGGTCATGCCAAAGAAGTCTTCGGTCATACGAACCCACGACCAAGTTATCGCCACCAGGATGTATATCAAACGACGAAATCCACCGTGCTCCTGGCTGGAGAGCTTTGACCAGTTCTTGCCGTTGAAGGTCGTAGCAGCGAATAGAGCGCTGGGTGGCGACGAAGAAGAGCGGACGCGAAGGGTGGAATTGAGCTGTTTGTGGCAGTCCTGGGAGTTTGCGGAAGGGTATTTGGGTTAGGTGTTTTGAAAGAGTGTGGATAGCGACAGCGCTCCTTTGTCCGGTAGGGGAGACTGTGGTAAAGAAGTCACCGCGTCTGTGCCAATGGATGACCTTGATCGGAGATCTCACAGTGGCCTTCAATAACACACCCTGATCCTCTAAGCGAGCTCCTGGGCGTGCCCATTTCCCGGGTGGGTCCTTCCTGGCACCGCTTGCGGTAGTGAGCTGCTTGCCATTTGTGGCGTAGCCAAAGCCAGTATCGAGAATGTCTCGGCTGGCTTGGTGGAGTTCTGGGTTTGCATGGGGAGGGATGATGAAGTAGATTTCCTCGGCAACAGCAGCCGAGAGAATGAACGCATCCTTTCCTGGGCGCCACCTCACCACGTCGACGGGTTCATCGCTGCTTAGTTTGATGCTATCAAGCTGGTGACCTGTCTCGAGCTCATACACTCGCACAGTTCCATCGTCTCCACCGCTGGCAACGAATATACCAGTTGGATCGATGGCAACCGACCGAACACGACCCTGGTGCCCTGAGAATTCGACTGATGTAACAGTAGGGAATGGTTTGAGCTCCTCTGGACGGGGCAACTTCGGAAGCAGTGATGACGGGTCGATGTTGAGCCTGTTCTTGCGCACTCTGGGTGCCAGGTAGAGATCCAAACATCTTTCGAAGCGTTCCTTGACAAATTGATCGTATCCGGGAACCCGTCGCAGAGCGTCGTATTTCTGAGGAAGGTACTCCTTCTCTCGCTCCTCTGGATCAGCCTCTTCCCAGGCCTTCTTCTCGTCCTTGGATGGAAGGTACTCTGGAGGTGGGTTGTACGAGAGATCGTAGCCAGGGGGTGCCAGCTTCGGCGCAGGAATGTGCATGACATTCGGTGGCTGGGGTTGTTCATCAGCCCAAATGTCGAAGATTGGTTCATCCTCCTCCTCCTCATCTTTCCGTTCCTCCGGTGGCTTGTAGGGGAGAATACGTCCTTCACGGATGGCCTTGACTATCTTCATGATCCGTTTTTGCTCGTGCTTGGAAGGCAGGAAGCGACGCTTGGGCTCGGGAGCTGCACTGAGCGGCATCGTCTCCTCATGGCTGGTAAACCATTCGACAGTATCCTATAGCAGATGTTAACTAGCGAATCTGACACTCTCTTCAGCCTCACTTACCGGATATTGATCGTAGCCCTCCTCAGGAACTTCGTTCATCTGGACGCGACGCAGCAACTCGAGCTCGTCCTGGCTCAAGTTCAGGGGTTTTCCAGTCTGAGGATCCGTAAGACCAGTCCAGCCCTTAGGCACCTCAATGCTGTCCAACAAGGCGTCTAGCGCCTCGCCCCTTGCAGGGCGCATGATGCGCTTGCCGTTGATGTCATAGCCGATGTGCGGGTACGAGTCGTAGAAGGACAGCGGGATATTCCCAATGGTGTTGGCGGGTTCTTGCGCATCGGAGTCGTCTGAGTCGTACACAGGATCAATGTCCTCGTAGACGAACCGAGTTCCTCCGTTGGCGTCGGTCTCAATTCTGTACTTGGGACCCTCGTTTTCCTCGACTCCATTGCCGTTGATTATGGCGGCTTTCTCGTCCAGCTCCTCCTCCTCGTCCGACGGAATGTCATCGCTTTCTAGGGCAGCTTCGTCGTCATCGTCAAGGTCCTCATCGTCGTCGCCCTCGTCGCTGCTCCCCTCCTCGGAATCGTCGTCCAAGACGCCCTCGAGCAGGCCGTCGCCGAACTCGTCGTCAGAATGGAGGGCGGCATCGGCTTCCGCCTCAACGATAGAAGCTTTGCGCTTCTGTCCTGCTTTACTCCCAGCCATATTGTGCATACAACTTGACACCAATTGGCTTGGATATGCCGGTGAATAGCGGATGTCCTGAGCAGGATATTTTTTCGACTTTACAGTGGGGTCGCAATTTCTGCCATTTTGCAGTATCCCCCAAAAAGTTGACCGCCTGCCACATTGGCTACCATGTGGGCCCAGTCATCTAGTACGCATTTGACTTGGAACGTTTAAGCTGTGCCAGCTGGCAATAATTTAATTGCCCAAGGCAGTTCAGTAAATACCATCTTCGCAGATTCCAGCAGCCCAACCTTAGGGGCGGGCTCTGGATCGAAGCACCGATCGAACCGCTCAACGAGAATTCTTTGACTCGCACTTGTTGCTCTTGAGAAATGCGTGAAGGAGTTAGAGGAATATGCATGTAAAATGTCGTCTTTAATTGCTACAGTTTCTGATCGTGCGTTTGATGCAACAGCCAGCCTAGTGGCTTTTTCCTCCTCCGTGATTACAGGTATCCAGGCTCAACTTATTCGATATTGCTGTTCAAGAGAGACCTAGCTCGGCGTTGAACCCAGTGACAATCTCCACTCGCGATGTTAGTTTTCCCAGAACGAAGGCAGCTGTATGCCGGGTCTCACCCTGCATGAGCACTCGGCCCGAACGGGTGACCTGCAGCGGAGGGGGTCGTCCAATAACACCCTTGTGCTTCGCCACACCAGCCTTACAGAAGGAGTGTTGCTCTCCGACTCTAGACAGCCGTGTTGTCGTGCACCACATCGAGAGCCGTTGATGCTCCCTGCATCCGCAGACATGGAGCCACTCAGTGCGCTTGCATTCGCAGGCAATATACTCCAGTTCATTGAATTTGCCGCAGGTATCATCTCAACTAGCAAGGAAATATACCAGTCAGCAGAAGGAGTATCAAAGTCGTATCTTGAGGTTGAGAATGTATACCAGAAGTTGGCAGACCTGAGCATGCGGCTCCAAGAATCTGGCACAGCCAACAATAGGCCTAGACTTGTCTCCAGAACTGAGCAAGAGCTGACGAGCCTCGCAAAGTCGTGTAAAGCAGACTGTGACCGGCTCCTAGAAGCGGTCCAACGACTGAAAGTCGAGGAGGGAAAAGGCCGCCGATGGAAAAGCTTCAGGGCTGCTCTGAAAACCGCGTGGAACGGCGAGCAAGAGATTGAAGAGCTAAGTGCTCGCTTGAGGAATAAACAACAGGTATTGAATTTGCACGTTTCTGCAGTTACGAGGTCAGTTTGTCGTCGACAAGAAATCTTGGCCCATATGCTCATAATTAAAGTGAACACCTACGGAGACTGACGAATGACGTGCAACGGCTCATCGATGTGAACATCAAGGCTAGAGGTAGCCACTCCGAGCGCCTGGACGATATCTCGTCTACATTAAGCGATGTCAAGGACTTGATCGCTGCGTCAAAAGACCCACGTACACCCGGTACCATTACGAGTCTCGACATCGAGAATCTCTCTGAAAGATTTTCAAATATTGCTGTGTCTGAACGAAGTGTTGCAAAGGAGCAGGCCATCCTGGATAGTTTAAATATTGAGCGCAGAGCTGACAGATATCACGCTATTGCCGATGCGCACATCGATACATTCCAGTGGATATTCGACGACTCGCAAAAGAGACACAACGGGGGCAAGGATTTCATCACTTGGCTAAAGAACTCGGACGGTGTTTTCTGGATTGCTGGAAAGCCAGGCAGCGGGAAGTCGACTTTGATGAAGTTTCTGGCAGACCATGAGCTTTCTTGTCAAGCAGCTAGACAATGGGCTGCACCAGGAGATGTCATTATCGCAAGTCACTACTTCTGGATTTCTGGTACCCAGTCACAGAGATCAGAACGAGGGCTTCTACAAGACCTTCTGTTTGACATTTTCCGGCAATGTCCTACCCTTATTGAGGCTGCTTGCAGCTCTCGATGGGAAACTCACCCTTCTGATTTGCGCATCCGACAGTGGACAGTTGCGGAGCTTCGTAAAACCCTTTCTGCTATGGCAAACCTAGAGTCTGTGGGAAAGAAGTTTGTTTTCTTCGTCGACGGGCTTGACGAACATGATGGGGACCATCTGGATCTGTGTCGAATGCTACTTGAGTTGGCGGAACCATCTTCCAGAGTTAAGATATGCGCAGCCAGCCGGCCGTGGAACGCTTTCGAGGAGAGCTTCGGAGACCAGCCAGGTCGCAGGATTGACATCCATGACCTTACTCATGACGATGTTGTCCGCTACACTCAGAGTCGCCTAGCAGAACACCCGCGGTGGGGTCAGATCTCGCGGGAGTTCGTCGAAACAGCACCGTTGGTCGAGAAGATAACTTCAAGAGCCCAAGGTGTGTTTCTTTGGGTCAAGCTAGTCACACAGTCATTGAGAGATGGAATGACAAACTACGACACCCCGAATGATCTGCAAAAGAGACTTGAGAGCTTACCGTCTGATTTAGAATCTCTCTATAAAGTCACTTTGGATTCCGTGGACCAAGTATACCATCAAAAAATGGCCGAGACACTGAAGTTCGCTTTGAGTCGGTCCGCACCCACTCACTGGATTATTCTTGCACTGCACGAGCGATCTTACCATAATCAACATTACGCAAGACATATTGCACGCAATGATCCCATTTTTGACAAATCAGAAATGGTCAAGAAGCAGACATTGAGGCATTTAAGTGAGTTGAAGCAAAACTATTCCCAACTCCCTGACGAAGGTTTGGGTTCACAAGAGTAGTGTTAACGACTCGCTCTACCAATGTGTTCGGTTACGTGTTTACTGATGGTCCGAATTTCAACTACAGTGAGCAGATGTCGAGGCATCCTCGAAGTTGAAAAAAAATGAAGTACATTTCATTCATCGCACTGCTAGGGACTATCTCGAAACGAGCCACATGCAACAATTTCTAAAAGACAAATGTCGCCCTGACTTTGTAGAAGACCTAGCGAGATTGCGGGCTAATATAGCTTCGTGCAAGCTAGGCACTGTGCCATCGCAACATTGGAACGATATAACCCAGAGAAGCCTCAGACATTTGAACCAAATGGACATCAGGATTGGAAATCGCATAGCACTGAGGCATCTACTACGTCCTTGTAGTGAAAACTTGGAGCACACTCAAAGGTTTTTGGAAGACGTGTTTGAGTCTGAAGTCTTCGAGCTACTTGACGATTTGCAATGCTTCCTGGCAGATAAACCTGACCACAGCGGGATGTGCTCAGTTTGGGAAACCGATATCGCGACTCGAGAGCACGGAACGGGCAGCGGTCTTCTCAAGCCTGTTGATGCTGGTGCATTAGCCGAAACATGCCTGAGTAGATTTGTCGAACTTCACCGATATTCCCTCCATAAGTTGTCTCAAGATCCAGATTATTTTCGGCCTCTCAATATTCCAGCACTCTGGTACGTTCTTCGCAACCAGACGGATCACCCGAATGGCCATAATAAGATGGCTTTGATTCACAAGCTGCTTGACAGTGGTTACGACCCAAATCTTTCGTTTCCATTTCATTATATGAGTTACGATGCCTTTTGCTTCTCATGGGGAGTCAGTCTTAGTGACACGTTGTTAATGAAGAATAACGGCGATGAAATTCGTCATGTAACAACGCCGTGGCTTTGCTACCTTGAAAGCATTGGTATTTCCTTTACTTTAGGCCCGTGGCGACTCCCGGAGAAGTGGCTGCATCTAAAGTCGTACGAGTATTCGATTCTCTGGAAGTTTGAGAGGCGGCCGAGCTTGGAAGAACTCCATGTCCTTTTGGAGGATGCCTTGGAAAATGGACTCTTTTCCACGTTGCTCCTGCGAGGCGCAGACCCGAACGCCCAGTCATCGCCATTCGCCGTCGTATGGTTGAGTTTTGTCTGCCTCGCTTTCACCAAAGATGATTTGAAAAGGCTCGACGTCGCGTATCTTCGGATACTAGATGGTTTTCTTGATGCTGGGGCTGACTTGGGAGCCACTACAATTGGATTCACCCGGGATCCAGGAAGCAGAACCACTCGGCTTCCCCTCTGCACGATCACGGGATGGGATTTGTTTTGCGAGCACCTGGAACTCATGTCGACGTTGCATCCTCCGCCTGATATCACCTTCATTTCCAAGGTCACGAAAAGGATGATCAAGCAGGCAATTGCGGTCAAATGGCCCCTTGGGCGGCTGCAGACTGTACTGGAAGTGGCTTTCCCCCAAGAGCTACGCCAACCCTTGCTCGATCTCATCAGTCTCACAATGTCACGGATCAGTGGAAAACGGAATGCTGAGGAGCTTGACGAAGTTGTTGTCGAATCCAAACGCCTCAAGGCTCTCGCCTAGGGATATTTTTGTTCCTGGCATGGAAGCCGGGGACGATACAAGCACTCAAGTTGGCTGACATTTCGTACATATTACGTTACTCTCCTGTGATCTAATTCCATTGAGTTTGAATTACTACCAAGACACAGAGGATGTTGAAAAAAGTTCATCATCTTAAGAACGTGACCAACAACATCCAGCGGTCTACCTGGGACAAATTATGGGCCAATACAAATATGTGGCAATCTATGGGATGTTTCGATTTATAAAGCACAAAATAGCAGCGAGATATCACGTCAATGATCAAGACTTCCTTACGTCTTTCCAGGTCCGACTTCCACCCAAATGGGGCAATGATCACTGGGTCCTCTGTCTCTCGGACTGTCGCATATCCCAGCATCGATGATATTTCTGGATAGCGACCGTGATCCTACGACCAAATCCACTCGGTCACAGCTGGAGCCCCACAGTACTCCCCGCGGATGATAGCTATATCTTTGTTCGTCCCCGTGCACGTGTCTAAACGTATCAAGCCCATCGAAGCCCCGGAGGATATCATTCGTGTCTGACTGGGTCCCCTTAAAGTATGCGGCCTTTGGTGAGGTTGTATCGATTGAGTTGGCCGTGAAGAACTTATTCTTGAAATCGTTGCGATTGAGTACATGCTGGTATGGCTTGGTTCTGAGATTGGGATAGCCGTCCAGTTCCGAGATAGCTACATTGAGGTCACCAGCTATGATGACCTGGAACCCCTGCGACTCTAGCGAAATGGCTTCGCGGAGTAACTCGGTATGGACTGCAAGTTTACGGTCATGACGAGTGCCAACTTCGGCACCGGTATGAGTAGATCGATAGGGGTTTGAAGTACCATTAACGGCGTAGATGTTGATGATTGCGAACATGAAACTTTCTTGAGATGTACCATTTGGATTATCGGCGTTCATAACCTGCTGCTGGGGTTTGTCAAGGTTCAGAGGGAACGATATGCTCCGTGTCTCAATGATTTGCACACGTCCTTCCCGATCCCATGACACGTTCCTGATTTGTTGCACATGGTGGGCCATGAAATCTTTGCGGATGATTGCGGCAACTCCATAAACTTTGCCGCCGAACCCTTTGGCGTTGTATGGATCTGCAGGTAGATTGAAGCGGACTTCGTATTCCGGTCCTCCATCTGCAAGGTATGTAAGACTGCCTTCTCCTTCAGTGTCAGAGCGGATTGAGTTGCTGACTTTAGTATCGTTTGCACGACCGCTTTCTGCCGGGGAGACGTTCCCGTCATTGATGGCCTGACGGACTGCTCCTATTGTCTTTTCATCCCCCAGTTTGATTTTGATCTCCTGAAGAAAGAGTATTTGTGGCCACCCAAACCGCTTCAAAGCCAACCGCAGAGATGCTTTCCCTTCTTTCGATAGGTCTTCCGCGCCAGGTTTCCCTGCCAGATGTGTGACCTGTTCCTCTTCGCTATCATCAGTCTCATCACCGCTGCCTGTCCTTCTCCGTTTCTGCCCTGTCGTTGGTGATGAACTTTTTGCGGAAGGCTTGAAGAAGTTTTCAATACTTGTCTGGACGTAGGACTGTACGAAAGGTGTAATGCCATTTACATTCCAGGAAAAAATACGTAAACTCCCAGTGTTTGCCGAATTGGCATCTGTGAACGGTAAATTTGTACTTGTAGTTTGGCCCCTCAAGGGCGGATCTTCGTCACGTTTTCGTCGTTTCAACGGGGGAGGTGATATGCTTTTGGCATTAGCATACCTCGATTGATGGGCCATATTGACCACGCTGGACACATTGCCACTTTGCGTTGTGGAATTGCTTGAATGCGAAGAAGTGAGAACTCGAGTGAGGACTTCCAGTCTGAAACCAGCATACATTGGCGCAGAGCTGGGCATGGGAAAGAGAGTTGCACCGTAGGCGTACATGTCAATCAGCCACTGCGGCGCTAGCACTACCAACAAGCAGGAATGTCGTCATCACCGCGTCCTACTGGAACATCCTCCAAATTGTATCGACTCTCTTAGAAACAGAAAAAATTGGATGGGCTTATTCGTATCTACTGTTGCATGGATTGCCTCGTGTCACCTGTCAAGCTTTAGCACTCACTGTCCGACGCCATCGGGAACACGTTGTACAGTTATAGGAATGATGTGGATTTCGATACAACTATGTATATGTAGTCTCGTATCAATGGTGACTGCCGGCTAAGTGTCTTATAAGTGGGGATCCGAAGCCGGGAGACGTAGTGGGGTCACAGTTAGCTTGCGTGATCGCATTAATCATGGGGGATAGATCTCGCAGACACATATATTTCCGAAAAGGTGACTCTTTCCGGCATCCGATAGCCGTGTCGCCCATTCTCCATTTTGTCGCGATCTAGGTTTCCAATCCGACTATATCATCGTTTCCGGACTATAGACTTTCCGCGAACATGCCGGCTTTTTCGGTTGGTGCCCTCGCCGAGTCCTGCCGCTGCAGTTCGTGCTAATGGAATGTGAATATAGCGTCTCGTCCGATTTCTGGCCAAAGATGGCCGCGTCTACTACGGCGATGCCATTCTGCCTCGCGGGGTCACTGACATCTCCAAGACGAAGAAAGCTCGCATCTTGCGCGGCGATATCTTCGGCAAGCACGAGGTGACTGACCAGGTTGCCGACATCCGGCTCTTGCTGGCACCTCTGGCCCTTGAGGATGTCAAGACCGTGAGATGCTTAGGCTTGAACTACGAGAAGCATGCAAAGGAGGTACTGGCTGCTCATCCTAGATCACGTTAAATCCAATGCTCACGCCGATTAGTCGAACCTGCCGATACCCAAGTATCCCGTTTTGTTTGTAAGTTTGACACGGCCTTAGCAGCTTGAATCATGAATGCTTATTCCTCTCAGTACAAACCGGTCACCTCGCTGGCCGGCCCTACAGATCCTATCCCAGTCCATCAGATGGCCCAGGACGGTGCCGGACTGGACTATGAGTGCGAGCTTGTAGCGGTAATTGGCAAGCGTTGCGCGGATGTGCCTGAGTCTGAAGCCCTTAACTATGTCTTGGGCTATGCTGTCGGCAACGATGTTAGCCATCGCGAGTGGCAAATCCAGCGAGGCGGTGGTCAGTGGTCGCTCGGCAAGGGATTCGACGGCTGGGCCCCCTTCGGACCAGGAATCGTGTCGAGCGAGCTGATCAAGGACCCGCAGGCCCTTAAGATCTCCACCAGATTGAATGGGAAGACCGTCCAAGTAGGTCACCCAGGCTGATTATACCGCAGAGACCGATTTGCTGACTAGGAGAATTGTAGGAGTCCAACACAGGCGATATGATCTTCAACATCAAGCAAACCATTGCTTTCTTGAGCAGAGGCACTACATTGCTCCCCGGCGACGTGATTTTCACGGGAACCCCATCTGGCGTTATCATGGGCAAGGAGCAGAAGATCTGGTTGAAAGATGGCGATGTTGTGGATGTTGAGCTCGAGGGTGTTGGAACGTGTACTAACAAGATTGAATTCGCCAGGGATACTGCCAAGCTGTGAAATATGTGCAAATACTGCGGGGTCCTGGCTGGTGCTGACCAACTGTTTGGGTCTTGAATTCGAGACCAGCCTGTCTTATACAAGCGAATGACAACGCCATTGTTGCAAATATGTCGGGAGAGTAGATGTCACATCTTCAAACACATTTTCACGAGAAACCAGCCTCGTATAATGCACCTCCACATCCTTCGAAACACAGCTTCGGTTATCTCGATCACAGCTGAACGCCTACTTATATACATGATGTATCTCGGGCTCTAGCTCTAAGATACCGCGAAAGTTCTATTACTCCTTATTTTAAACGACTTTGCGTTGCTAGCGCGCTGTTGCATGTTGTCAACAAGGCGTACTAGGAATGTCGATCAATTCCACTACTATGGTATACATACCTCTATCGCCAAGTCGCGCTTCGCTAAGGCACACTGCTTCTGGCCTTAGAACTTCACTGCCACACGCCTATTTAGTGGGCTGCAGGGGTTGGGGTGTTAGTTAGACCCCGTTGCTTAGCCCCAGCCTGCCAGCCTCTCCCACACACACAACGGACAGCGCGCCAGCTCCGCCCCTCTCCACCTCGCAGCCGATGATGGGAGCCGTACAGCAGCAGCTGACCTGCACTTTGTTCCTGCCGGTCAGCCGAATAGGCAACATGAGCCATTCTAGGGAGCCCCAGGTGCCACAGGGGACGGTTCTGAATGGAGCGCTCGGTCGACGGGGCTGACTGCACGGCGTTCCGCCGTCCATTTCCACCCGAGACATGTGCCTACAAGCGTTGGCCTGGAGCGCCTCGTTGGGGCTCAAGCATGTCACTGTTCAGATCTAGCCGATTGGGCGGATCCTACTCCGAAAGGTAAATAGAGATTGACTCATTGATCAGGTCTGATCCTCTATGTTCTAGTTGAACGATGATTGTGTGTTTACTTTCCATCTTTGCGTCGGCCCCTGGTCCCGATGCCAAGCCAGCTGAACTTCGTATGTAACACTGGCCCTATCCCATACTGAATCACTGGGCATAGACCTTTTTCTCCAAGGACCTAGGAATTTACTTTTCCTTTCACCCTTTGATGTATTATATTTTCTCAAGCTGAATCGGTTTTCCGTATGACGGCGGTTGAGTTGGGACCCTCCGTAGCGGAGGAGTTCATTGAGACTGTGGGACGCCTGCCTGTGCTCGAGGATGATGAGGGTGAGGTGCCGAACTGGAAAGGCAAAGGCAAAGCGATAGCACCTCCAGAAATCGTCGTTTCAACACCGGAGATCGCGTTGACAACACCAGAGACGAGCGCAAGAGCTTCGATATCGGAAGAGGATGTGGACTGGACCCAGTTTGAGCCCCCGGCGGCGCTCAGAACTGTGCAAGAGGATATCGACTCTGAAATCATCACGCAGGTTATTCAAGAGTCTATCGATAGAGTGAAGGCGAGGATCGAAGAAGTGAACGAGAGCCGGAAGGCGGCGGACGAGGCTGAAAGGCTGAAAAAAGAGCAAGCTCTCAAGGCAGAAGAGGAGCAGACTCCCGCCACAGAGGAGCTAGAGCTGGACGTCGACAGTGGAGAGAATACCGCAACTTCAGCGAACACCACTGTGCCACAATACTACAGGGTTGAGCCTGGATCGTTTGCTGGCGTCAAGCTAACAATAGGACCCGATGGCCTGCTGCACACAACTCCGCCGCCGAGGTCGAAGAAGCGCTCCTTGATGGGCCTCCTCCGCCGCTTGAACAATACCGAACGAGGAGAGTCGAGCGCACAGGGAGCAGCCCGGAATAAGCTGAAACCAACGATTGACTTTAATACCCTGGCTGCGAAGAAGCACTCTGCCGCGGTATTAGTCAAGAAGGCTGTCACAAGTAGCAGCCCTCAGTCTTCAATACACGAGGAAGAGGTGTAAGTTCCCAGATTATCAAGTGCTCAATGCACAGGCTAATCTCAAACAGCGAGTGCGTGTCATGCCTGGATGACTTCAGTCCCAAGGACATGATTAAGGCCCCTTGTCACAGTTACTGTCAGCCTTGTTTCCGCCGCCTTATTGAGACGGCTACCCAGAACGAGCAGCAGTGGCCGCCGAAATGTTGCTTAAACAATATCCCGGAAAGGACCATCATCTCGAACACGGATTCTGAGTTGCAGAGGGAATACCGCCTGAAAGCTGAAGAATGGGGCATACCTATTGGCGAGAGGATTTATTGCCCACAGCGGGATTGTGGTCTGTTCGTCCGGCCGGATCAGATCAACTACGGGCTGAGGCTGGCCAGATGCAGCGCGGGCCATTGGACGTGTTCCATTTGCCTTAACCCGCAGCACACTTCCGACGCCTGTCCACAGGACCGCGACATGCAGCGGACGGAGGAGCTGGCAGAGGAGGAAGGCTGGAAGCGGTGCATCGGCTGCCGTGCGTACGTCGAGCACCGCGAGGCGTGTCAGCACATGACGTGCCGGTGCGGCGCCCAGTTCTGCTACGTGTGCGGCGCCCGCTGGCGGACCTGCGCCTGCACCATGGAGCAGCTGCACGCCCTCAAGCAGAATGCGGCGATCCGAAGACGGGACCGCCAGGCCGAGCAGGAGCGCGAGGAGGCCGAGATCGCCGAGGCCCTGCGGCAGGTGGAGGAGTTCGAGCGCGAGGAGGCCCGCAAGGCCGAGCTGCTCCGCCTGGAGCGCGAGCGCATCGAGGAGGAGCGCCGGGCCCGGGAGCTCCAGGAGCGCATCCAGCGCGAGGGCGAGCGGCGGGCGGCCGTCGAGGCCAAGTTCCACGAGCTGCGGGAGAGGTTCGGGGACGTGCACGAGCGCCAGCGCATCGCCGTGGTCTCGGAGCACGGTGAGGAGCAGAGCGCCCTCCGGTACGAGAGCGAGACGGCCGCGCAGGCGCTCCGGGAGAAGAACAGCGCCGACCGGGAGACCATGGCCGCGGCGACGGCGGACATGGTGGCGGAGCGGGAGCGCGCCGTCGGCCGCGACTACGCCGCGCGGGTGAAGCACGAGCGCCAAATCGAGGACGAGTACCAGCGCCAGCTCGGCGCGTACTGGGCGGGCAAGCGCGGCGGCGAGGAGCAGGCCGAGGCCGCGCTGCTGGCGCTGAGGCGCCGGATGGACAAGGGCTTCCGGGCATGGAGGAAGTGGATGGACAACGAGTTCGATAACTACCGGTACATCGTCCAGGAGGAACAGTCCATCCAGTTCGAGATGATGGAGGAAGCCGAGCGGCGACTGGCGCAGATCAACCAGAGGGACCAGGAGGCGTTTGCGCGGAGGAAGATCGCGGAATTGCAGTGGGTCGATGTTGTCATCAAGGAGCGGGAGATGATGCTCAACGAGATGGAGGTTGATGAACTTGAAAACGGGGAAGATATCGAGGCATGGTTTGCAGAGGAAGAAGCACTGAATGCTGCGGATGCCATCGACGATTTGCATTCTGAGTATAGAGTCCCAGGTGCTTTCAGCTAACTGGTGAGACGATGTATATAGCATGTGTATAGAACTATACCCAAACCATTACGATTGCTTAACACCGATTGTTCGGGACTACAAGGGGTTGTCTTTGTTTACTGCTTGTATTTTGTGTACTCAGTTTGTCACGCCTTCAATCATCCGGTGAACGTCATTTGATGGCTCAAATCAGTCAAACGGCCAGCAACACCGCCACTAGAAGTACGATCTACTTTCACTCCGATAGTCCCCTTGAGTTCCGGGAAATGCACCAACCGGCGCCACGTCGGCCGGGGTCTTCTCATCGTCTGAGCTCAAACCCTCATCATTATAGTCATCGTCAGCCATGTCGGGCGGTGCGCGCATGGCGTCTAGCGTCTGCCTGCTGAGTTCAGGAGGTGTATAGGGTTTGATACTGTGCATCTCTCGCCCCGATGGTAGAGTGGATAACAACGTTGCCGGGGCTGGTACTGCCTGCGTCATCATCTAAGGGAAGTGTCAGTGCTGGAGAGAGCAATTGTCATGTACAGTGCCCGAGCTTACCGTATCGTTCACCTTGGTCCACTTCTCGTGTAGCATCTCGAGGACCCGGGTCTCTTCCAGCTTTCCAGCATCGGAACCCCAGCCAGCACCCTTCTCAACCTTCTTGTCTTCCCTCTTTTCGGACCATTCTTTCTTCATGCGAGTGAGGCTAAGTCCCTTTTTGACATCTTTCTGCTCCACGCCAAGCTCTTGAAGACCACACTGGAGCCAGCCGAGAGCATTGCCAGTCTGGCCAGACAGCTCCGCGTCTATGCCAAAGAATCGACAAGCCTTGGCTCGAGCTGTCCTCCTGAGGTCTTCAACATACCGCACCAATGACTCGTTCAATTTCGAGGTGCCTTTTGTCGTTTCTTTGCATAAGGCGGATGCTTGGGCTGCGTGGTCTGACGCGGCCAAACACAGGCGGGCGAACAGGTGAGCCCTGACCTTGGGAATATCCGGTGCCTTGTACATCCATTCACGGTCATTCTTGTTGCGGTCCTGAGCCACGACAGCAGGATAGGGGTCGTCCTTGAGGACGGCTAACAGAGTGGCTTCCGCCAACGCCAGTGATGCAAGTGCCCGCGTTGTCGAGGCCGAAATATCTGCACAAGGGGGGCTTGTAACAGCGCCTTCCGCCCTACGAGCCAAGAAGTCGTGAACGGATGCGGCGTCAAGGAGATGTTTCGTCGCATTCTGGATGGCGGTAGTTCTCTCCTGCGTGCCTACCGGGGCACCCGTGGTGACCTGTAAGGGGTGCAAAGCGGCACGAGCCAAGAGTGTGTAGGCATACCCGAGGGACGAAAGCGAGAAGAACAGTTCATATTCCAGAGACTGGATCTTTACTCGTGTCTGCTCTCTGCCAGGGACGGCGTTGTCCGACAGAGTTGGCCGCCACTGGATGGCAGGAGTGGAGACCGAGGCCACCGTGAGTTGCTCTCCATGCAGCGACCGATGGCTGAGTCCAGCGCTCACAGCGAAAAGGTACTGCAGATAGCTGTTGAGGTTGGAGACGACGGATGGCAGGTTCGGGGGCTGAGAGGACGGTGGCAGCCTCTTGTGCTTCTTCAGGGTGTCTCTCACGACCCCGCGGTGGGTGCTGGCGTTGAGGGACAGTGAGGGGTGGGAATCACAGCTGAAGCTGGAGGAATAGGAGAATGATGAGGTCGTCGGGAGCACGAATGGGAACGGCATTATGTGAAGGGTTTGGCCCGCATGTCATGGGGCGCAAGACGACGCATGTGAGTGTGTCTCTGGCTTCGGTCCATCATCGTCGAGCAAGTTGGCGGTTGACAATGGCTTGGCACGTCTCATTGACCCGGACGGACTCGAGCTGCTGCTAACTTAGGCACTGGACTGCTATGATGGGGGTTATGGGGAACAGTTCATAGCTGAAGCTGGGCAACTAGGGGGCTCTTCGTGCTGCAGCTAGCGCCACAGCATTACGTAGGGCGCTCACTAGCCACAGGACCCTGGACTTAGCAGGGGTCGGGGAGTGCTAACGCGTCGCCAGATTGCAACTGGAAGTCAATTGACACTGGGGAAACTCTGTCCTGACAGCTTCAGGGATCGAAGACATCGTCGCGTCTGTCCAACTCACCGCGGCGAACCACGACCTGGGATTTATGAAGCTTGCCCCCGTCTGCTCCCCTTCGTAAACATCGGCGACCATGAGTTCTCCCTCGCCGGCCCACAAGCCTCGGCGCAAGTCGAAGAAGCCCGGCGTCACCTTCGATGCGTCCACCAAACCCGGCCCTCTCATCCGGACGCCGTCTTTCCCTCTGGCCGCCTTTCTCTGGCCCGCCCGGAGCTCGCTTTCGCCATGGGAGGTCGTTCCGCTGATTCTCATGGTCGTCGGATTGTTTAGGTGGGCAGCAGGGCTCTGGGGATACTCTGGTGAGGACAAGACACGATTCCCGATCGTCGGAAGCAAGGTGCTGACCAGCTCCATCTAGGCTTCCAAAAGCCCCCCATGTTCGGCGACTACGAAGCACAACGACACTGGATGGAGATTACCACCCAACTGCCTATCTCGCAGTGGTACTTCCACGACCTCGAGTGGTGGGGCCTCGACTATCCCCCCCTAACCGCTTACCACAGCTGGCTGCTGGGCAAGATCGGGGCTTTGATCGACCCGTCTTGGTTCACACTGTACACGTCCCGAGGCTCGGACGACCCGACTCTGAAGATTTTCATGAGAGCAACCGTCATCATCTCGGAATACCTCATCTACATCCCCGCGGCGGTCGTCTTCGTTCGGCGGTACAGCAGACTGTTTGGCGTGGCACAATGGACGAGCTGGGTAGCCCTGGTTGCTATTCTTCTACAGCCTTCCACCATTCTGATCGATCACATCCACTTCCAGTACAACACCGTCATGCTCGGTTTCGTCCTAGCTAGCATGTCGAGTATGACTGCCGGTCGATACATGTGGGCCTCTATATTCTTCGTTGCCGCCTTGGGCTTTAAGCAGATGGCACTCTATTATGCGCCGGCCGTGTTTGCCTATCTACTCGGAAGCTGCATATTCCCTCGCATCAACATCGGCCGCTTCGTCGTGATTGCGGGCGTGACGGCTGTCTCGTTTGCAGTCCTCATACTGCCCCTGGTCATTGGAGCCCTGTACGATGCGAAGCGTGGCATTGACTCGCGACCAGATCTGGATGGCCCGCGACCCCCTTTGCCCATCTTCCCTCAAGTGGAGTCGTATCTGAACACGGAGGCGGTCTATTACCCTGTCGTTGTGCAGCTGGTTCAGATGGTCCATCGTGTCTTCCCCTTCGCGCGAGGGCTCTTCGAGGACAAGGTTGCCAACTTCTGGTGTGCCGCAAATGTGGTCTTCAAGCTGAAGAAGTACCCAGCCGCGCTGCTTCAGCGTGCATCCCTTGTCGCAACTCTGGCATCGTTCGCACCGGCGAACCTCATCCTCTTCTTGCGTCCCAACAAGGAGCTGCTGCCGTACGCCTTTGCGACGACGGCCTGGAGCTTCTTCCTGTTCAGCTACCAGGTGCACGAGAAGAGTGTGTTGCTCCCCCTGCTGCCAATGACTGTGCTGCTAGCCGGCAAGCAAGGACTTGGAAAGGATGTGCGCGCTTGGGTGGGGTTCGCAAATATCCTGGGCGCATGGACAATGTTTCCGTTGTTGCAACGGGTGGATTTGCGCGTCCCGTACGCCGTTCTGACCCTTCTCTGGGCCTATCTACTCGGATTGCCGCCGACATCGTTGAGCGCATACTTCCAGGAGGGCCAGTCTCCTTGGGTTCAGTGGGGCATTGCCTTGGTTCATGGCGCATTCTACGTCGCCATGGGGCTCTGGCATGTATTGGAGCTCTTCGTTGCGGCTCCTCTGGACAAGCCGGACCTCTGGGTGGTGGCTAACGTTGGAGTCGGTGCAGTAGGCTTCGCTCTGTGCTACGCCTGGTGTCTCTGGAGGCTGACAGACGAGAGTGGTATATTGCGATGGGGAAGCGTGAAGTCCAGCAAGAAGACGCAATAGAGTTCGCCAAAAGGCGAGTCGCAGGACACCAAAATAGGGTTTAGAGGCATGGATCGCCGTATACTGGCTTGAAAGAGTAAAATCAACTGAATTGTCAAACACACGACATTCCGTCTGCGTCTGAGAGTCCCAATCGAACCAAAGCCAGCATTGGAATAGATGCTCGGCCGAGGTCTACATGGCGCCTGTGGTCTGCGCTCTCTGATTACTAGTCTTAGTTCCCCCCTGCAGCTGGCGACTATTGCATTAGACGTACACTTCGGCTTTCCGTCTGATGTAGGCTGAGCTGTTGTGGAGGCTTGTTATAGAGATACGGCATCGCGTCAGATAACTTGGCGCAGACTTGGTTTCTAAGGCTGTAAAGTCGATCTTCAGGAACAGGATGACGATGACGTGAAGAGGATGATCCTTCGAGGACGTTTGAGGAAACACACTTGGCAACCCAGATCACGACTACAGACAGACGTCACAGGTGAGCAGCCCACGGCAGTAGGATTCAGGGTCCAGCTTGAGTTGCGGTGGTGATCTCTCAGATGTGCAATGCAAGAGATCCGTTGACGCAAGAGACCCGTTGGGATACTGGCAGTGCCTCTGGTGGCGGTCTATTTTTGGGGGTGAGCTTAGAAGCTTACCTAGGTAGAGCCTTAGCCTAGTGCATCCGCGTCGTTCCGAGCTTAAATGGAGCTTCCTGGAGGCGGCTGCAGAGGCTCTCAGGGCTCTAAATCCCGTATACCTGCAGAGAAGTAGTAGTAACGTGGCTGTGGGCGGCCTTCCCTTGCTGGGGGCTGATCGGCAGCCACGGGAGCCGCCTCGGGGTAGCTGCCCCTCAGAGAGCACGGAGGCGGGTGATGAAGACCCAGGTAGGGTCAAGAAACAAACGAAAAAAAAAAAGAGTGCAATGGGGATGGGACGAAACGAAGGGTATGGCAAGTGTTAAAGAAGGACGCCAAGATGCAGGCCAAACTCGCGCAAAACAAGGGTTCTCCATTAGCTAGCGCAGAGAGTTGAAACCGATGGGGAGGGGGGGGGAGGGGGGGTGGTGTACTGCGTACCGTGTACTCGAGCACCTTCCGTTCCAGCCAATAGCGCCGCCGGCCGACTGGCCAGCACGGGACCAAGGGACCCAAAGGGGACCCAAGGGTGACCCAAGGGTGACCCAAGGGACACTTTACGATGTATGGCCCCAGTGGTGAGCCTGAGCCCAGCGCCCAGCGAGAAGCCCGCCCCAGGGTCCCATTCAATTGAGGACACGGTTGTCTGGCACAGAAAGCTTACCGCAGCACAGCATCAGTGAATATCTCCGACTTGCTCCTTTTAACCTCGTCGTCGCCGACTGCCCACCCAGCCCTTTGTTGGCTTTTTCTTCTCTTTTCCTCCCCACCCCCGTCATCCGCAGCGACTCACTTGCGCTGCCCTCCCGGCCTCCGACCTTCCCCCAACTCCCAACTCGTCGACTCCCAAGCTTCGCTAGTCGCCACCTCCCCTTCACCGCGCCAGCAGGTCTGCAGACGAACACACGCACACAGCTCCCGCCATGGCTCAGATTCGAGGCACCGCAAACTACCACCTCGGCAACCAGCCGCAGTTCGGCGGCTCCTCGAGAGACGGCCCCTCCGACTCGAGTCCTCTCGACACCGTCCGCGACTACACGTCCAAGATCGAGGATGTGCTAGACACGTGGAGCGAGCCGATCAAGCCGTAGGTCAACCCTGTTCCAGCCTCCGGAACACTGCGGCTTCTGGGTCTTCGGGCCAGCTTGCCATCCCCGGTCAGAGTGCGCTTCAGAGAGCAATTGAGCTAATAATTGCCCCTCCTGCAGATACCTGCCCGCGCTTGGCCGCGCCTTGATCGTCGTGACATTCCTCGAGGACGCACTCCGAATCCTGACACAATGGAGCGACCAGCTCTTGTATCTCCACGACTACAGGCACTGTAAGCTCGCGCTTTGAAACTCACTCCAAATTCTTGAGGGAAAGGCTGACAGAAACTGCAGTCCCTACCGGCCTCAACCACATCTTCCTCATGATTAACATTGTGGCCATGATCACGGGCTCGACGCTCGTCATCATCCGCAAGTACTCCGACTACGCCGTTGCCGGCCTCATGGGCGTCGTGGTTGTCCAAGCGTTCGGCTACGGTTTGATCTTCGACCTGAACTTCTTCCTTCGCAACCTGTCCGTTATTGGCGGACTGTTGATGGTCCTGTCCGATTCCTGGGTCAGAAAGACCAAGGCTTTCGCCGGGCTTCCTTCGCTCGACGAGAAGGACAGGAAGATGTACTTCCAGCTGGCTGGCCGTGTTCTGCTGATCTTCCTGTTCATTGGCTTCGTGTGGAGCGGCGAGTGGTCCCTCTGGCGCATCATCACCTCTGTCGTTGGTTTGATTGCCTGCGTCATGGTGGTTGTTGGATTCAAGGCCAAGTTCAGCGCCACCCTCCTGGTCCTTATCCTCAGCGTGTTCAACGTTCTTGTTAACAACTTCTGGACTGTAAGTTCTCCACCCACCCTCACTGCGCGTGAAACGAATCGGTAGCTAATTACACACAGCTTCACGAGCACCACCCCCACAAGGATTTCGCCAAGTACGACTTCTTCCAGATCCTGTCGATTGTTGGAGGTCTCTTGCTCCTCGTTAACAGCGGCCCTGGACAATTCAGCATCGACGAGAAGAAGAAGGTCTACTAGACAAGCAGCAAAGCTGTCATGATTTTCAAGAGTACAAACCTATCGCAGGCCTACGACTTCTCTCTTCAGCGAAAGTGGTGGTGGTCTCGCCAATAACGCATGGCTCGGCGTACAAGGCGTGGAGTGGATTTATTAACTCAATTTGATTTGACGGGCTGAATTGGCGCAGCCAGGCCCTCTTGTCATAACTGGTGTAAAAAAAAATAAGACTTAGTTTTTCAGGCATTAAAAGAACACTTACAATCTATTGATGATAGTAATGCATGGCATCACTAGAAGCGCTCAAGTACTTGGGTAGTCTTGACTCCCTTAAAAAAAATTGAATGTCACTGAGTGTGAATGCCATGGCGTTGTGTAAACCAGGATATTCCGACCATTACGAGTTTCGAACTTCCACCCTCGAGTGAAGTCCATCTCTGAGTTACGAATCTCAATCACTACTGCGTTTATGCTCCCTCTAGGTAATAGTCCCAAGGGCGGCCCCGTACTCCTCAAGGGCGATCAGCTCGGCAGATACTGTTCACATCCATAGTTGCCGTGTCGATGAAACTCCCATGGCTTGATATCAGTATTTGAATGTCACCGCCAAAGCCAGTTGGTGTGTGCTCACAGATGAACCCAGGAAACCCCCTTCCCGGAGGACGCCAATGTGTGCTGCCTCTGCAGGCTGCAAGGTCGATCGATTCCCAATGGTCACCCCAGGGCCTTCACTCAACAGCCTCTTAGACAGTGATACATGGATGTGTTTTCACGGCACCCAGTCCCAATTGCCCAACGGCTAACTTGGCTTAATGGGTCAGCGCTTCGGGCGTTGCTGGGTGCAACCCCTTCCCTCGTGGGTTGCAGGTTCGAGGATCTGCATCAGCGAAGATGACTTTTTTTCTGTTGCCTCCTTCTTTTCGGTTTGGAGTTTTCCCTCACCGTCTTCTCCCCCCTTCACTTCTCTTTTCCTACTCCCATGGATGGAGGTCTCGACTACATTTGTGTACCTGATCACCGCAGAATGAAGGGTACTTACTCTTTTCTTGCGTCGCTCTCCGTATTTAGACTCTGTTCGTTCTTTCCCACATCTCTGCCAACATTATACTTCGTAGTTCTTAAAAGAGACCTTCATGTCAGCGTAAATTTTGCAGTGCTCTTTGAATCTGTGTTGTAATTGCGGCGGCGGATTATGCTCTTAACGCAGCATTTCTTCTCACCACATTGATTGTGGACAGTGTCATTCTTCACCCTACATTCTACCAAAAATTTATTTCTGTTGGTTCGAATATTAAGTTTATTGTCTTGTACACGAGATGTCATATGGGATCGATCTCGGGGTAAGCAGCTCACTGGAGAGCACACCAGATGATTCCTATGGCTATGGGTCAAGAAGGCAAGGGAACCTGTCGCGCCTCATGTGCCACTGCACTGGAAGCAAAAGCAGAATTAAAATCTAGGGATTATGCCATGAAACCTTCCTATGTCTAACAGAGCCAAAAGTACCTCGCACAAGTTCCGGACTGGGTAGGTTCAAGGCTGCGGCACCTGCGGTTGTCACTACCATAGCCCCGGAACGGCGCGTGTTTCCACGCAAGGGATGGATATGGCAGAGCCGATTTGCATGGAAGCCATGATGATAGGACACGATTTTCCCGCGTTATGGCAAATAAGACTGACGCGTTGGTCATGCCGAAACCCGTCACATCTCGTCGGATAAGGTATGAGCCTCCCCGTCTGGAACCGAGCCGGCCGGCCTATGCAAACTGGTGTCATTTTACTCGGCAGTGAAAGTGGCATCGACCGAACCTATTCAGGTTAAAAAGTGGAAGCAATGAATCCCCTTGTTATTCTTGCCAGGTATTCCCGAGGCGCAAGGCTGCTCGTGATCTTCTCATTGTGGTACCTTTGTATACCCACACGGTTGGTCCCTCTTGAGCGGTCAAGTAATTATAGGCAAAGTTACAGACCGCCAGAAGGTCTATTTCCGACCAATGATAAACGTGGCTATGCTGATACATATGTGGTTGCACTGCTATATTGGTCGCACCTGAGCAGACCGCTGACCGTTACACGTCATGCAGCATTCCGAAGCCCCGGCCCGACGCAGCCAACCGCAACCGGATACTGCGAGGACCGAACCATAAGAGTCCACATTCTGCACTCATGTCGCGAGTTCGACGGGCTGCGCATTGCGCATCAAGGCTGAACACCTCGTAAAAAACGGGGACAGATTATAGAAGCATGGCGAATGGAAGCATCTGTACGCAACTCGGCGACGCGGATTCCCAGTGGCATTCACCATTCTTCTGCAAATTTCCCCCCGAAATCCGCTTGATGGTATACCGTCTACTCAGCACCATCCCGCAGCTAGTGGAAAGGGAATGGAACATGGCCACGAAGCGAGCTTATCTTCGTCGTCAGATTTGTGGGGGGTCGAGATCGCCATGTAACCCAGGCCTTTCGCTACTCCTTACTTGCCGACGAGTCTATCTAGAAGCTGCCCCATACATGTGGCCCATGGCCATGGCCTTCGACGACTTGGACTCGATTTCGGCGTACTTCCGCTGGGCACCCCGTGAGGCAAGACATAGAGTTCGGGACATAGAAGCCGCATGGTGTGCTTCAGGGCCTGCGGGGAGACCGCCTCGCTGGAAAGCACATCTCTGGTCGGACTGCTGGACAAGATTAGCAGAGTTACAGTGCCTACGGAGGCTCAAGGTCAGAATATTGGTGGCTAATGAGTCGGAAGAGATATTGAAGAGTCTATTTGGATGGAACAGTCTGCCCGGGGTCGAAATCCAGATCGATATCGTGGACGAGTCGTTAGCGCCGGGAGATGTGAAGGTCCATGATGGGGATAAATTCAATGGAATGGCGGTTCAAAGTTGCGGAAAAGAGCCGTATATTTCACGGTCGACCAGACACATTGGCTTACCGAAAGAGAAATGGTAGAGTTAGGAAAGGGCCATCGCATAGGCACAGGACATACTGGTTACCTGAGTGCTATGCTGTTGTCTGGACGCCAAAAAGGAGAAACGACCATCAAAACGTCTCCAATTATTAGTGCGGCCGTGAAAATACAACAGCAGAGATGAAAACGAAACTATATCCCATAAGTTGTCCAATTTCACCGTACGACTAGCATGTAAGCATTTATTAGTATCATTCTTTTATAAGGAGGCTTCACAGCTGCTCCCAGCTGCAAGACTTCTTTTCCCGGATATAGCTTCAGATCTGCCAGATGCCCCACACAACGGCTGACGATCCTCAGCGATGGGACATCGGTGGAGGTGCACTGCCGACATAGTGGCCCCCTTGTCCGCCCCTGCTGATGGGCTAGAGATTCAAGCAGGAATATGTTTTGCACAGAAGTATCCAGGTCAAATAGCTGACCACTTCTGATTATCTCCCGAACAGGAGCCACGACGTTCTCTTGACCGCCTCTGGCCCCGAAGGAACTTACACACGCATGGCCGAAGCAGTCGGCACCGCCCTCGCGGTCGTTGGCGTGCTGGGCCAGATCTTCGACGGGTGCATCAAAGCGTACTCGCTCTTCAGCACGGCGACGTCCTTTGACGGCGACTCACAGAAGCTGGTCTGCAAGGTCCGCATCGAGGAGATGCGGCTCGTGGTCTGGGGCCGCGAGTGGGGCGTCGCCGAGGGCAATCTGGAGCGGCACCTGAGCAAAAACGAGAGCGGCGGGATGCGCAAGCTCGCCGAGCAGATCCTGACCGAGCTGCGGAACACGATCACGGATGTCCGCAAGCTGAAGGAGCGGTACGGGCTGGTCGAGAGGGAAGAGGGAGAGGATGAGGTGCAGGAAGCCGGCAAAGGTGGGAAGAGGGGCCCCGGAGTGGTGCTTGGCACGGGCCGGAAGGAGACGCAGGCCGGCAGGCCGAGTGGCACTGCAAAGAATGGGATTGAGAGTTGGACGAAAAAGCTCTCGATTCGAGCGACGTGGGTTGTGGCAGGTGAGATTTCTCTGGTCCTGATTGGCACAGGAACCGCAAGGCTGAAATTGAGTTCGCAGACAAGGACAAATTCAATTCCCTAGTCAGGGACTTGAAAGGTAATTCTGCAAACACGAACTATATTTGGAGTTGCATAGTGTTAACACAAGACTCAGACTTTAATGACGGCTTGGAGCAACTGTTCCCAGCATCGCGGATACCGGGCGTTCAACGCGCGTGGGTGTTTGAACTGCTTCAAACTGCCCAGCGTGACGTTGAGCAGCTCAAGCTGCTGGAAAGCGCTTCGGATGAGGTGTACCCGAAACTGAACGCATCGGCCGGTCTGAAGAAGTTGAGGATAAACCTCGACAACAAACCTCAGGCCTCTTTTAAACCCACGTTTGCGCTGAAAGTCCAGAGGCATGCCCTCAATGTCTCGGACAAAGATTCCAAGAGAAGCGAAGGCTACCACGACCCGTCGGGAACCGTGCTGATTGAATGGGTCGACTATGACAAGGAGGACCTCGACGAGAAGTTTGTGCATATGCGCCGTCTTGACGACCTGGCCAGAATGATGCACTCGGCCACGGACCGGCATCCCGATTTATACACGATAGACTGTCTAGGCTACACGGACGACACAGCCATGAGCAGATACGGCCTTATCTATAAAGCACCCGAGGCATCATATTCGACCTTGCACAAGCTGATATCAAGTAATGATCTCAAAACCCCCGACCTTAACGACAGGATAAAGCTCGCGCATACTTTGGCAGTAGCATTATTATCTCTGCATTCCCTGGATTGGCTGCACAAATCGTTATGCTCAAACAACATCATCTTTTTCCCCTCTGCTTTCTCGGCCGCGGCCACGCAGCCAACGGCAAACGCGGCTCTCGTGCCGGACATCTCGAAGCCATATTTAGTCGGCTTTGACGCATCCCGGCCCGATATGGATACCGAGATGTCGGTAGCGTCGAAGAATCCATCCATCTTGGATCTACACCGCCACCCAAGGTCATTAAGCGGGCTGTCGAGAAAACCGTACTGCAAAAGCTACGACATCTATAGCCTCGGGTTAGTATTGCTGGAGATAGGGCTCTGGAAAGTGTTGACAACTTACTACAAGCCTCATTACTCCGCGGAGCGTTGGCGGGACAAGGTTATCTTGCCAGTGCTTGTACCAGGGTTGGGGAACAAGACAGGCCGCTTGTATAAAGACGTAGTCGAACGCTGTCTGACAGTCAAGGACGACATAACGAGCGAAGAGACGGGGCAGCTGATGGAGGGTCTGGTAGCCACGCTCGAAAGCATTAATGTATAGAGTCAAACGCCGTAAATGCTGAAACCGCACAAGACCTCGCGATCTGATCTAGAGCAGGGGCGACCCTTAGGCAATGACCAGGTTGTCTAAGGAGGACTTGGCAATCTGTATGATTCTCTGACATGTGGGTGTTTCGCCGGTCTTGTGCATTTTTAGTACACATTTCTGGTCCTCCCATGTGCCCGCCATGATCATGGGGTCCATTATGGCATGTCTTGCCTTGGATCGGTTCTCCATCTGCGTCACGATGTCTTTGAGACCAAGATGGAACATCTCGGATCCAGAGTCTTTGCACTCAGACAAGCCGTATACGTCAACTCGCAGGAGCGCCCTGACGGTCAGGCGCCACATATTTGGCTCCATCATCCTGTTATTGAGCATCTCTTTCGTCCCGCAGGCGTCGTCGGAACCCAGGGGTCCCCAAATGCCACCATATCCAGCCAGGGTGAACGGGATTTCACGGCGCTCAGCTTGTGCTTTGGCGGTTTCTTGGTTGACCATGTGTAGGATGCGCTCATACGCATGGACGACACTAGGGATCAAGGTCGAAAGGAGCATCAGCAGCTGGAAGCTGTGCATAGCTTGTGGGTTGACAGCCGCATGAGGCGCAAGTGAGTCCGAAGGGACGGAACATGCGGGACAATTGACAACCTCATACGCAGTCTTGGTCGCAAGACGAGCCTTCCGTACAGCCTCTGTAACGTCGTCCGGTAGCTTCTGCATTGAGTCAAGGGCAAGATACAGACTAGAAGAGCATGCACAGTTGGCTGGGCCGAGACTCGGTGGACTCGCGTTGCTCTCGGGCGAGCTTGACTGGCCAGATGATAAATGGGGCACTGCTGCCTCCGACGGAGGATTTGAGGCGCCGAACAAGGCCGGGTCGATATTGGAAGTAGAGTACGATGGCGTGTGCTCGGCGGAGGCATCAAAGTTCAACTGGCCAAAGTCGTTGCCCGTATACCCAAAGGTCCAATCCGATTTCTCGTGCTGAGGCGGGTCTGGGAGATCAAGTGGGAGGCTTGGGTCAAAATCAAGGTTCAGGTCGCCTCCCGTGAGGAAACTGAGAAACGCGAGTCCCGGATCCTGTGTGTCTGGTGGGACTTCTAACATGGGTGTCTTGCTCGCGTGGTTGACGGAGGCGGCGGCGTCGTTCGTCTCGTCCCGCGGCCGTTTGCGCGGACGGCCCATCTGCTTCTGGGGAGAGTAGTGGCAGACCATGCCCTCGCGCTTGCACCGGGCGCACCCATCGGCCTCCTTGGAGCAGGCCAGCTTCCGGGCACCTGTGATCTCGTCGTATTAGCCCGGAGCGGCAGGCTGCGGAGACCCACCCGAACTTACGGCACTCATCACAGGCACGATGCTTCGGGGCCTGTGCAGCCCCGTCGTGCTCCGGTGGCGACATTGCTCCGATACTTTGGCCGTTCACTGGGCCACTGGTTTCGGCTGATTGTATTGAGAGGTCCTAGCATGCGTCTTGACGATTGCCCGAATAGAAGGGGAAGTTATCGACACGCTGTAATGTTCCACTGCGAGGATGGGGGTTTACGGGCATTCTGAGATTCGTAAGCGAAGTAGCACGACCTGTCGCCTGAATGATAGACGCACCCCCGCTAATCGCAACCTTCCACACCGTAAGCCCAGCTGCTCGCAACTGCTTGCGGCTCCCAGATGGCTCGTTCTTCAGCTATGATGGGGGCCAAACCGAAGGTGAAGCTGACTGACTGGCCATCAAGGTTCGATACCAGCTTATGCATCATGGCTCTAACGGAAGAGTCTGGATATACGCAGCAGTTGCAGTTCCGTTGATACAGGGTTTCCACAATTGCGTGGGTCAATTGTCAATTACTAATAGCATTGGTACCTCCCGTTTGGGCAGGTACCTAGGTAGTCAGTAGCAGAGTATTGTACCGGCTATCTCCATTCAAGCTTAATTATACACTCGACTCATTCTTTCCATGTTTCTTAGAGCGAGTGCGCAGTGACCTTCATCACGTCGCAGGTCTGCCCTCCCCGGACTGTGCCGCAGACCTTCTCGCGTTGACCCTTGCCAGCTTCCTTTTCTCTGCGCGGCGTTGCCTCGCTGGCTGGTTGACTGCCAGCTCTGCATCGAAAGTGTCGATAGACTTGAGGTCGGCAAGGAAGCGCCGAATCCTGAGGCCAGTTCGATTTCGAATCAAGGCATCATATAGATCATCAGCAGCGGCTCTGACTGCAACTTGCAAACCTTTGAGCACGTCTCTGTCGTTAACAGTAGCGTCATCTGAGTCAAAGAAGACATCGAGATCACTGAGAGTCTTCTGGAGCGCTTCAGGAGGCATGACTTTTGCAGCTCTGATTACTGGTTCTGCAGGTTTGGGTGGCAACTGGTGCTTGGGCTGAGGCAGTTTTCTTCCGTTTCCAGCTGCGTTCTCCTTCTGCGGCGACGGAGCTTGTCGCCTCTCCTCGTGTCGGCAATCTTGAGTGGAAGTCTTCACCTTCCCCGTTGTCAAATTAGGTTCCAAAGGCATCAATGGAGGCTGGAAGTCTGGTCTCTTTTGGCAGGCTTCTGTTGACAGTAATGGGTGGTGTTGATGGCCTGCTTTGCGGTCCCCAAAAGAGGTCGGCAATTGTTGATTCCTTGACTTGTCTGGTCCGAACTTCGATGCACCGACTTCCTGCGAATCTAGCTTGTCCATTCGCTGAGAAGCTGCATGCAATGCTTGTTCTAGTGAAGATGTATCGCTGACTGCGAGCTTCCACGTGTATGGTAGCTCCGGCGCAAGCGAACTGACGTTTGGCGGCGGCGGCGGGGATTTCTCTCGGCAGTTCACCGTAGCATCGTGGGCTTGTTCGATCCAGCCTATCGGACATCCACGACTATGCTGTTCAGGCGGGTGATGGCCGTGACCTCTGCGAGGGGAGTCCTTCTTCTCTTTAGTAGGTGTAAGTTGTGGAAGATCTCCTTGTGCAAGATCCCTTCTGTGACGGAAACGTGGCGCATCTCGTTTGTTCATGCGAGCACGTCTTGCCGGCTCAGGGGGTAGGTTTTTCACATACTCCGCAACATGAGGTCGGATGAAAGTCGGCCGCGGCTTGTCTGGAGGCACTGGTGGTACGTCTTTTTCAGGATGCAGCCAGCCACCCTTTTGCAGCCTCGGTTGTCGCGCCCTAAAATCAGGCTGGGTCGTAGATTCCTTCCTGTCATCTGCGAGCTTCCACTCGCCTCTGGAGACTTCGATCATAGTTCCCACTCGCTGCCGTGGTTGGATGACCTTGACTTCCGCCGGTTTCCCTCTTCTGAGCCAAGGGAGTTTTCTTCGAACTTGCACACCGGACCCCTTTGGGGGCACCGGCAGAGGCTTAGCCCAGGTGATAGGACTTTCACCCGGAGGCGTGAACACAACCACAGAACCAGAGCTCGAATCTGTGTTTACTTTCGGCTCATCATATTGACCATCTAGATCCCTCTGGTGAGGTGCTTGCCCGCAATGATGCTGCAGCGACAACTTACGGGGTGCCAACCTCCCATCTATTCCAACGGGTGACATTTTTCTTTGTTGCTCGGATGTTACAGCTAGCCCTGCAATTTCGAATTCGTCTTGGAATGGTAGCAATGGCCTTACTGTCTGCAAGGAGTATTGTTCATCTGACTCCGTCGGGGTGAAGATGGGGAGCTTTCCTGCAGCGCCAGTCACTTTCGCGTATTTCTCCAGCTCTTTAGCGAAATGATCAAGAGTCCTGCGTTGGCTGCTTGTACGTGAGGGTATAGAAGGGGGTCTCTTCTTCCTTGTACTTCCGACTTTCTTGCCGGGCGATACAATGGAAGACAGGCGCTTCTGCTGAGTCAGTGCTCGTCGAATAAGATTCCAAATTTCGGGATCGCACACTCCGAATCGGTTCCTTCGATCATATCCCATCTTGCCTTCTTTTATATATCTCGCTTCAGGATCAGTCGTTCGGTGCCAGGGGAGATGTGACTCATTGAGACTTCGCGTGGGCATATCAAGCCTGCATATATGAGCAGCCTCGATATGGGTCTGATCAGCTGAATACTGCGCATCTGTTGGTCGGCTCCGGTGTTCCGGTGTTTGCATCAAGAAATGGCGAGTATCACTTCGCTTCAGAGACTTGGCCGTCCTGTCTCGCTCCGGAAGACGCCTACTGATACGCACTCCGCGTCTTGACCGACTGATTTGACGTTGTTTCTGTCGCACGCTGAGAAGAGATCTGGAAAGCGGAATGCGTAAGGCATTCTCGGCAGCCCGATGTGCTATGGCTCGGTCTCCTTCTGTTGGAAGCGGAAAATTGATTTTCGGTCGACGATGCGGACTTCCTTTCTAAGGTAGATTGAGTATAGGCATTGTCAGTATTCCAAAAAGGCAGGCTCCAAGAAACGAAACGTAAAACAGAATGGATGCTTGGAAGTTGTATTCTAAGCGTTCAAATATTGTGATGATGTGAGTGCTTTTCAAGAGGACCATGGTTCAAGTACGGCCATTCCCCCATGTGGACAACTTCATGGGCGGGTGTCCAGGCCAGGTCGATCCTTCTCGACTTTCGGGTGTTTGTTGCAGCAGCGACTTCCTGACTTCCCTCTCCATTTTGGTCATTTTTCCGAGTACCTTTCGGTTCTGCTGTCCGCGTCGCTGCCCTATCGAGTTGATCATTCCACTGGGTGGCGGGCAAAATCCATTGTCTGTAGTGCAAGTCCCGACTTCGTTCTCCGTGCCGGCCACAGCGCGGGTTCAGTCCCTGCCATTTCGGTTATCCAGCCTTTGAGTCTGCCATACTTCATCTGATATCCTTGATTCCTGGTGAAGAGTACAACTCCAATTGACGTTGGCCTTTGCGCAAGAGAAACTCTATGGCTGCAAAATCCCTCTTATCTATTGCAATACTCTTCTCGAATTCAGACCTATAAAACTGAGATTAATACATGCCTTATTTCACGTACTGTGTATTGGGAAATATACCTGGCAAAGGACTCAAAATGCGGCCGTGTTTGCTGAAGTTATTAGTGGTGTTGCAGCACACAGCATCCCACAGCTTGCTCACCTGTGGTTTCTTGCGACTCTCCCGAAGGCAGTTCCTGTACAGTGATAGCACCTGCTTCTGTAACCCAGAGAGCCTCATCCTGGGGGGATGAAGTAATTCAGGAATATACAGGACAAATGGGGATTGTAGGTTTCTAGGTTCTGCAACCTTTAGATCTCGTCCGTGGGTTGATGATGTTGTGATTCGGTAATTTCGGCTCAAGGCCGCCGGGGTTTCCTGGACGCTGTCGGCCGGTCGCCAGCTGCCACCAACCATGGATACTAGGAGAGTCACGCGAGAAATCCTCATGACAATACTCCCAAATTTGACGCACGCATCATCATCTTGAAACTTCAACTATATTCCTTGAAGGTAATTTATTTCTATGCTTGGAACGACAGCGGTCGACACCTGGGAACTGCAAGGGTGTTGTTGCGTCCGACGAGGTGGCCGTTGGCGTCAATAGCACGCTTGGTGGCGCTATTGCATTGCAACTTGCAATTTTCAGCCCAATCCTTTGGCGATGGTAGTATCTAGGCTCATGATGTGGGAAGCTTTTTGTTTTTGTTATCATTTCAGCTGAAAAGGATAGAAGGGTTGATGCAGCTCAGTTTAGGTGAAACGTACGTTGCGCTAATACGCACTCATAGGTCGTCCCGTCCTGTGTACAATCGACTGAACTATTGTAGCAAATTGGTATACGCCTCCTTATCTACATTTGGCTCTATTGACAATCCGGATTTACTCCACGTTTTTGTTGTAGTAGTATTTCGATCCAATTGAATGCCATGAACGCAACCCATACACAGTTCAACCAAGCTCCTCAATTTATATATACAATCAAATGGATCTTCCCATCAACCTCCCCTCTTCTGCAATTTCCAAAAGCCTTTCAGGTTCTGAATTCTAGCTTCTTGCGGTTGCCTATACCTTAGGTTCTACAGTGATGTCTTGGGAGGCGGCTAGTGCTGCCTCTTTTTCGACCTGACCCAGATTCAAACGGGCGACCTGGGCATCAGTTCCATCGATAACCTTTGCAAGCTCCTCCAGTGTCGGCCCTCTAGTTTCAACGTACATAAAGTATACGAAGCAAAGTTCCAGGAATATCCAGCAGGTGTAGATAAGGTAAAGTTTCCAGTACCCCTTCTCACCAAAGGCAGCAAATGCGACGGGGTTGGCGTAATTGTTTAGGGTAAGGGCTGCCTGGATGGAAATATTGAGGATCATGAGACCCTTTGCTCGTAGCTTGTATGGGAGAATTTCGATGGCGTAGGCAACCAAAAGACCAGACCAAGCGATCGAATACATGAATTGAAATAGCCACACAAAGAACAGCATGGCGTAGTTGGAACCTGGAGATTCATATTCGCCGTACAGGCCTCCGCAGAGCGTCCAGAATACGAAGACGGTGAACATGCCACCGGTGGCTGTCAGGAAGAGAGGCCGACGTCCGAAGCGATCGACAGTCAAAGCGGTAGAGACGGATACCACAAGGGCCATGATCGTCTGCCCTCCTTGAAGCTAGAGGATAATCAGCCAAGTTCACAGACACGAATTTGAATTCAGACTTACACCGAGCCTGGCATTGGAGTCGTGAATACCTGCTGCTTCGTATAACATGCTAGCATAGTTTGAAATGATGGCGTTGCCAGACCATTGAGAAAAGATACCCAGGGAAACCAAGATGATGAAGCGGTATCGGTTGCCCTTGGTCTTAAAGAAGTCAATATAGCTGCTGTTTTCCTTGGCTTCCATTTCCAGCTTTATTGTTTCTCTGATCTCACGGTATTCAAACTGAACGGTTGGGTGATTGATGTTCCCGTTCGCATGGTACTTTCCGAGGATAGCAAGTGCTTGCTCATGCTTGTCTTTTGCCATCAAGTATCGAGGGGACTCCGGGATCCAGTAAATAAAGGCAATCTGGATAAAAGATGGTAACGCTTGTAGAATGGCAGGAATGCGCCATGACCACTGATTGCCGAGAAAATTCGTTCCAAACGAAAGCCATGCCACAACTTAACATGACTTAGTGACTGTATGTAACAACTCGTCTATGCGTGTGACTTACTAAAAGCACCAACGTTCCATAAGCAGTTGTAGACTGCAGTCAGTCTTCCACGGTGCTGGGGATGGCACAGTTCCGTGAGCAGCATGGGAGACGCAATCTGGGCCAGACTGTTTCCGAAACCAAGCATAACTCTGCCGCCCATGAATGCTGGAGGATTTGTTCAGCAGTATAACCATAGGAACAGAGAGTGATTACACACCTCCCATGCTTTGAGCAAACCCCTGAATGAAGCCTCCTGCAATCATGATAATGCATCCAATGGCAATGGGCATCTTGCGACCGAAGTTGTCGGCTAGGACAGGGCTTCACTTCTGTCAATATATATGTCCGTTCATTTCGAATGCTTGGGGTCTTGCTTACACCAGTGGAATGGAAGCCAAGCTGCCAATTTGGTAGAGCGCTCCGAGCAAGCCAAGGGTTGACCCATTGGGATTGTCAAAGAAGTCTAGCCAAGATTCGAAGTTTTGAACAGCATTGAAGAATGAGCTATGGCAACCTTAGAGTCTGATACCATGCTGGCAGTCGATCTTGGAAATGTCTCACCCGTCGTAACCTGTCGTGGCAGAAGCGACGCAGAGTATGACTGCATAGAAATAAAGCTTTCGCAGTCCCGGCTCCTTAGTCCAATTTACCTTCTCAAATGTCGGTGCCTCATCTCGAGCATGAATTAACTCCTCCTTATGCGGTTGCTTTGAAAGACCTCCGACAGCCATCGCGATACACAGTGGCAAGCCTTGTCCCGAGGAGTTTGTCTTTGGCGTTGGGAGTACACCAAGTATCTCTTTCACGAGTATGTATATGGGAATATTCAGCGGAGAAGCAGCGAAAGATAGCAAGGAATATTTAGATCTTATATCAAGTAAGGAGAATAAAGCAAGTATTATGGATTCACTGACGGACAAGCGGACCGGAAGTTTGAGTAACGGGGTATTTCTGAGGACTCCTTGTGCCCCTTTCGAGAATGAGCGATGATGCTCATCCAGTCTCTAATCCGAAAGCGTATACATGCATAAGAAGTCCTAGTAGGGCCGATCAGCTGGTATTGAGCCTTACGGATCCTGGACTCGGGGAACGCGGCAAAATGGAGTGGCATGACCACATTAACTGTGAGATGAACCTAGATTTCTACCACTGGAAACAAGTCATTCATAGATTGTTCTTCCCGCCTGCTGGAGTTTCCCTAGAGCTAAATTAAGCTCATGTTCACCCAGAATTGGTCGATCTATGCTTGAACGATGCTTGAAACCTAATGCTCGCTCGTAGGCCCGACAACCTCCTGCATTATTTGTCCGTATAATTTCTAGCAGTGTTGCTCGTGCATAGACTACAATGCAAATATAATGTGAGTGTATGCCGCACTCTAACATATCAAAGCATTCCTAGTCAAGAAAAAGGCACCAATCCGCCGTCCTGGATATGAGCGTGACCAACCTGTACGCCAGTGGTGTCACCGTTGTTGTCACCATTGTCTGTTATAATTCGATTTATTATTGCGGCCGCTTAGATTGTCCCAAACGGTTGGGCTCGGTCGGGGCGTTCAAGATCTCTCGATTGATTAAATGGTAATATTATGGCTCATGCACAGTACCTGTAGTTGACCGATGTGGATCATGATTATAGGGACGGCTAAAGTCAATCGAACTGACAAGGGTGTCGATGCATCAATGAGCTGCTCTTTTGGATGGACACGCCTTATGCCAGCTGATGGATGAAAGCAACTCACAGCATTTACACTTCGAAAGTAAAAGCAATAGCTGAGGCTTGACTGAACAATTTTGGACAGCAATTCTCATTGAATTGAAGCTTGCTAGGACGCGTAGTTTCAATACCTTGCCTGCAGCTCGTCTGGACTTGTCGGTCCGAAGGGTCCTTCTTCCGCTCCAGTCACATCGGAGGATCCAAAATGTCGCACATCTCGACGTAGACTTAAGTACGTTCAGTTTCAAGTATAGCCTACCCATGCGTACCGATGCAAGGCATCTATCTCTCATGTGAGACACATATGTTCAAACCCGCAGGCTCCCTATGTTCATCCTCGTTCGTACTGGAGCATGCAGTCCATCATTGGAATTCAGGGTGCTTCCCTCCTCCCGGTAATGCTGGTTGAGTGATACTTCCAGAATAATTCGGTGGGGGTCGATATTGGTCCGGACAAGATGCAACTAATTGACCGAGAAGAAGGGACGACGGTTCGGAAAATCTCGTGTCCTTGTCGCCGGTTCTGTAGATTTAGCCTAAAAGCACATAGCAAGGCTTCGTCATCAAGCCGATGCGGTTGTCTTCTAGTATGATCCGAGATCAGCATAGTTCTTTCTCGAATCTCTGAGCATATCGGCCAACCAGAGACTCTTCTAGTCAGTGTACATTTTCGCCTATGTAGCCGTGCTTTTGCATAACAATCATCGCATACAACATTGAGCGAGATTTCATAATAGCCAAAACATGCCCAAAAACTCCATAGATACCTGCGTCCATAAACAGCTCCTTCGACATAGTTTCAAACCGAACATGGTGTGGCGATATTGCCATTTTCGAAAGGTTGTTTCTAGCCCTCTCTTTCAGGGGCAGCTGCGGCATTGCAAAGTTGCTTCCAGGGCATCGAAGAGCTTCAGCCTAACAGTCAGCAGTCTATCGGAACATATGTTTCAAATCATGAAGTGGTAGATGACATGGTGGTTTTCATACCTACTGTGTAACATTCTCCAAAGGACTGGCGATAAAATATAACTCTTTAATATTGGATTCAAGATAAAGCAGATGGCAAGCTAGACTTAGGTAATGCTTGATTACTTCACATGAGATGAAACAAGCGCATTGAGCCGCCGAGACTTGATCTCACCTACCACAGACCCAGACTCTTGTGCTTGTCTGCTGATGCTTCTGAATACACGGTGTTCCATTTAGAAACAACTAGACTGAAACTAAGCCTGACAATGCTTGTTATACCAAAGTGACAGTTTCGAATTACAAGCTCAAAAAGGAGCCATTCCGTCTCCAAAATATGCCTTTATGGTTGGTCAAAATGTCGATTGTCGGCACAACAACAACAACAACACAAGACCAAGACAACCGTGGGAGCGTTACCATCCATCAAAGTATTTTTCCTTGTTTGGCCATCACAACGACGGCGGAAGACAAATTTCCGTTTACACCATGGACTCTATGGACGGGGAGCCACCCCCAATCCTTGACGATCGGATATTTCCCTACACAGATCTACCGTCAGTTGCTAGTACTAAAACATGGGGCGGTATGAAACTAAATAACTCATAGGATGCTAGAGAATGGGGAGTTCTCCGATGTCATGGTTAAGTGTGACAACAGATCCTGGGACTTGCACAAGATCATACTCTGCACTCGGAGCCAATGGTTCAGGAAAGCGTTTAGTGGGCGGTTTCATGTGAGTCGTGCAAAAGTTCAGGAGGGCCTAGATGAATTTGAAGCTAATTATATCTTTTACTTAGGAAGCTGAAACCAGTAAGGTGGAAATCACTGATTTTGAGCCGGAGCAGGTTGAAAGACTTCTCTATTATCTTTACGTCGGAAGTGAGCGAACAATTGGAGGTTTGGCCTAAACTCTACTAACGCTTGGATTAGGTATCAAGAGGCCTGCGGCACCTCTTAACCGCTTCTTGTCCTATGTCAACGACTTCATAATGGGGGATTACTTCGTTATACCAAAGCTTTGCAAGGCTGCAGTTGGGAAGATCAATCGCGAACTGGATGTAGCTACTGTGATACTCCAGTGGGCTATGACTGAACCGACGGGGGGAGAAGGGGAGGAGAAGCAATTCGATTGTGTCCCCAGCCTTTTGGAGACAATTGCGACAGCTTTGAGCAAGGCATATACTTGTGGTTCTATGGCCAGTGGAGACTCGATAAGAAAATGCTTCGTATACTTCTTCACGAGGACAAGTCTTTATCATTTGAATAGAGGCAATCAATCTCCGATAATGGACGCCTTCAAGTCTTTACCGGAGTTCGCACGCGACTGTTTGGTTGCATATGAGCCCTTAGGCGTCGACTTGCTTAACGTGTATTCTTAACGTGTATTATCCAACGACTTGTTCTTGTTGCTCATCAAGGATTTTGAAAGGTATCCCAGAAGTCATTGACGTGCTGCGCGTTACGCCCTGCAATGATGTCTTCGACAATCCATTGTACTCTTTCAATGCCTTTTGCCGCACCTGCAACAAAAATTATTAAGCTTGCAGTTCGAGAGACAACCTCCATGCGGTACATCACCGGACTATGATCGGTGGCACCCACGCCCCTTGGTGTTGTCGCCACCGTCATGCAGGAGCATAGCTTTATCTGCGAAGGACCTTGCCATGCAATGTTCCAGGATGCCGAATATTTGAAGATGATCGCAAAGATGGTTTTATGTCATGCTTGCAGAATAGCGGTACGATGATTTCGCATGGTGCGGTCAAAGCAGGCCGAAGATTTGTCATGCCTGGCAAAGTAGAAGACATATCATTAATGGCGCAGTGTCTTTGTAAACTTGACTCTATCTTATGAACGCTCAAAATCTACTCCGGAGATCATTGAACTCCGAAATCTATGTGCTGATCCTTTCACGCTCTTTCCACATATCCACAGCCCGTCTGGTGGTCTCATCGATCATCTGAGGCAGTTCCTCTATAGGGTTCGATTGACTTCGACCCCGTTTGCCTTCCGTTGGTGGATACATCGACTGGTCGCCCCCAAGACTTGCCTCGAGGGTATCCTGCTCCGTGTGTACATCGTTGGTGTCAGCCGTCTGGTTATCAGACCGCGAGGGCTTCTCTTCAACTTCGCCCGTCACTGCATGCTCATGTTCAAGTATCTGATTGACGCTGCATGTTGACCGTGCATCGTCATCATGGGAATCAGACTTCTCGTTATATTCCCCGGTGGTCATCAGCTTGTTAGCCTTGGACTCAACTTCTAAGGTTGATTCCGAGAATTTTGATGGGCCGAGGCTTTCTTCCTTCCCGGTACAACCAGAAACCCCGCTATCAGTGTCGTCAGACTGTGTTCCGGTCACAGACACCACATCATTATCCATGGATCCAGGTGTGGCAATTGCAGGATCTTGGTAGCCTGACACGGACTCGATGGAAACACCACGCTTCTTGTCAATCTTCCGGCAGTCGCGGCAAAACAGTCTATCATGCCCCATGAACGTTTCTCCAGCTTTCTCTTTGCTCTTTCCTTTTCGCTCGTTTGAGATGTCTCCACTCTCGAGAAGCTCACCAAAAACATCGTGTGGGAGTAGGCCAGCGTCTGGGGAGCCTTCACTCTGTGCGTTTGCTGTAGCGGCCTTCCGGACTCTCTCGTTTTCTTGCCTCCTCTTTTTGGCCTCACAGTTGTTTCGAAGACGGAGGATCTCCCTGCCGAGCCGCTCGGAATGCTTGGCGAAATGATACAGTCGATCCCAGGGACACATCCGTGAACGACGCTTATAGCGATGCGTGGTGTAAACGTCCTCGATGAACAAAAATAGTTGCAGGACGGCCTGGAGAGCATTTATGCAAGCGTCAGAATACCTGGACTCCACAGGCCCCCGATGTCCCATCGCCGCGCGCTCCGCGTATTTATCTGCGATCACGCATCCACGGCATAGGTGTGCCAGGGCATCGTGTACAGCCGCCGGATTGGCGTTCTTCCCTTGGCTGCCCCTTTTTGACAACCATTCTTTCAAATCCATGGCGCTGAGTTCAGTCAAGTATGCGTGTATCTCCAGGGCTGTCTGCCGGAGCTTTCTCAAGCTGGTAATACTAAGCTCTGGCATTCTGTAGAGAGTTGCTATGCGATAAGCCGACGCAATGGGCATCAAACACCTCGCACTTCCGACAGAGCCACCAGGTCGACTCTGGGAGTGGTCTTTGACAAATTTCCAAATATCGGGGATGTTGTATTTTACTTGAGACCAGCGTTAGCCGCGATACCACATAGGAGAAGAGCATTCTTACCAGGATTGTGTATGAAGTATAGGCTTTCATATAGGTCCACGATATCCTCGCGGTTACCCTTGGCGAGCCCCGCCAGATTGGCGACGGCGATGCCCTAGCCTTTGTGAGCGAATACGTGGCAGAAGATTCTGCAAGCACTTACGTATATATTCCTTGGCGCGATCATGAGCCAGTCTCTCCAATAATCAGACCCCCCTGAGAGTACGGCGCCGTCAAAGCGCCCTAAGAACTGGTTCGAGTTCCAGTAGTATATATATACATCGCCCTTTACTGGTGACTGCCATAGACTATGGAGTGTTAGTCCCACCACAATCTTGTCTTCCGTCGCGAGTGGGTCACTTACCACGCCAACCGTTTCTCATGCTTCCTTCTTGCTTCCATGTCAGCCTTTTTGTTGGCTCTCTCATCACTGCCGATGCGGTTCTCGGCTTTCGTCGAGGAAGCAGCATTGGCGGTAACGTGTGGAACCATGATGTTTGATGTGTCGCCATCATTGGCTGGAGTAGGTGCCTTGGGACGTTCCATATTGAGCTGTTGCGCTCGGTTGTCAAGATCTTAGAGGAGGGAGAGTGATCTTGGACTAGGCAAGTTGAACTTCTCGCAGTTTGCAACTGCTTAGGAATGTTCATATAATTTTTTGAAAGCACCGGAGACAAGATCTGAAACTGACTCCATCGTGCACAGCACTCTCACACAAGAACTCTAAAGTTTGGAATTAACTTTCGAATATCTCTCGGCTTACCAAGAAATTCTGGAGCATATATATGGAGTGGGCTTTATTTTGATTTTGCCTCTTCCTGCAAAGATGTATCTTCCGATGCAACGCTGGCGGTCGACTTTGGGGTCAGCGTCATTTTCAACGCGTGGAAGAACACGCGCACGGCGTTTGACTTGTAGAAGAACATCATAGTAGCGAATACTCGCTTTGGGAGAAAGCATTCAGGATGTGTGCACACTTTGAAGTCTTCTTGAAAGTCGCCCACTGGCGTGGACGGACGTGATGCCTATGAAGACTGCCGATCTTAACCTGTACGAAGGCTCGTGACCGTGGAATTGTGCCACATACCTATTAGGATTCTACTCTCCTCTTCTCACATAAATGCTCCAAGCGATCTACTTTGTTCGCTTTAGGCTTGGCCTTCAACTTGGCTGTACGTCCTCATTCTGCACGTTGCTGTCTAGATAATGCAGTCCGACTTGAACGTGAACAAAAGAGATCCACAGTCTATCCTGTCAAATACTTGAATAATCATTATACACAGGCGGCTTGGCACAGGTTATTCTGTATATAGGGTATCATGAATCTATGTCTACTCTACCTAGACCGGTTTCACGTACAAAATCTGACGGAGGTTAGCATGAGTTTTGACTGACGTTTCTGCGAGAAAAAATACCTGGTTCAATGCTGTCATGTCTGACATGGCCATCTGTTTCGATGCAATGAAGCGAGAACGGACCAGACGACGGTTGAACGGCTGGGGAGTTGAGGTTCCTGTGCTGACTGGCGTGGAAGTGCCGCTGTCCACAACCGAGTCGCCCACAGCTTCGCTTGCGCTCTCTGCTGAAGCCTCCGAAGGCTTGCGCTTCTTCTTTTTCTTCGCTCTTTCGGAGTCTTCGACGGCAGCTACGTCGGACTGGTCAGAGTCGTCCACAGGAGCGTCGCTTCTCTTGCTCTCTTTCCGCTTCTTGTCCTTCTTGCTCTTGGGCTTGACATCGCTGGCACCATCTGCGTTCTCCAGCTCTGCCTTTCTGGCTTTCCTTTCCTTCTTTTCCTTCTTCCTTCGCTTCTTCTCCGAGTCAGAAGTGGATTCTCCGGGGGTGGAAGACTCGTCCTTGGAGCGCTTCTTCTTTTTCTTGTCCTTGCGGTCCGTCTCAGCATCGTCCAGGATGTCGCTGTCCTCGGCCTTCCTCTTCTTGGACTTCTTCTTATCGCTCTTCGAGTCCACGGCGCTCTCGGTTTCCTCCGTTTTGACCGGCGCATTGGTCTCTGTGCTCTGCTTGATCAAGTCGGTAATCTGGTCACCAACCAGCAACCCACCCTTCACGAAGCGCATGGGGCCCCATTTCCGTTCAATGTAAATGCTTGTCTTCAGCTCTGATCGTACGGCCTGCTCCTGCTTGATAGTCTCGTCCGACTTGCCGTTCAGTCGCCCCAGCAGGTCCTTGAAGACGTCCAAGCCTGTGCATACGTCGCCTTGCTTGTGGCGGACCTTGGCGCCGAGGCCGCGGGTGTCGTCCTTGAGAGTGACCTTGATGGGGGCGGAACTCGCAGCAGAGTGCAATTCGGCGTGGGATGAGTCCTGCGCTCCTAGATACTGGCCCGGCTCCCAGCCATGGGCTCTGAGGATCTTCTGGCCGAAGGTGGCCTCATTCCTGCTCCATTTCGTGTTGTTCGGGTCCTCGTTCAACTTCCGGCGGCTACACAGCGAAATCGGTCAGCTCAGACACCTCTCAAGTATCATGATGAGAAATAGCGTACTTCTTCGTCCCTGAAAGACCCATGGCGAACGTCCTTGTCTCTGTCGCGAATCGCAAAACGAGTGACTCTGAGGGTAAGGAAAGTGCAAGTTGAAGGGTTGCCCCACTCCTGATCCAGACCGCTGCTGCATTTCCAAAATTTTTGGCCGATAAGCGGCTGATAAGCGCTGGACCCAGACTTGGCAAGCACGCCCCGGGTGCCCCTAACCAATGGTCCCACTTTTTGTGCTGCTGCGTTGTGAGTGAGTGGGAGCCTCAATGGACCCTACTTACATCTACCACATCCATACGGTCAAATGTTGTTGCAGGTTCGGTGTTGACACAATTGTATGGACACATTGGCCGCCTTCAGGCGAGAACCCAAAAGCATCTGACCGATCCTTCACCATCATTTTTCTCCTTCTTGATCGCCAGCCATTGCCACCTGGGCGTAACCATGCCTCGCAAGAAGGCACCCACTCCTGAAGGAAACACGGACTCGGATACCGATAACCAGGCCTCGCAATCCAGAGAATCGGCAGTGATGGCCGCCATCTTGGCCAAACACGTATGGTGATCAGACGCCAGTCTTCATTTCTTTTGTCTGTCTAAATACTGATGCGTACCATCGACTTCAGGGGAAAATCAGAACCAGGCGTGCTGAGATACGAAAGCAAATCGAGCAAGACTACATGCAGGGTATCACTGATCTGAGGGCACGCGTCGCAAAGCACTACGAGACTGAGTCAGCCAAGCGGTATGTCTGGGTGCTGTGAAGTATTGCCTTCAGACCATGGCGTTATCGTGATCGTATCCTGTTGCCAGCACCCTCGCTGTACTCAAGTGCCAAGGGGAGCGAAACTAATGACTTCGTTCACAGTTCTGAAATCTTGTCGAAGCAGCTGGATCAGCTTTCCAAGGCGATCGAGAAGAAGGCAGAATGTGAGGTTGCGATCTTGAAACTTATGGATTCGCTTGCAGATGAGGGTTCGGTCCTCTCCATGCTCATGAGCGCGGTCCATTCTGGACGACGTGATGCCGTCAACGCTGCTGCTACTTCCTACGGTCAAGGAGGAGGCACATGAAAGCCTTCAACTGCTATCTTTCATTTTGCTACCGGACTAATTACAAGACACATTAAAACATCGTAGACAAGTAGAAGGAGTGCAATATGAGGATGGGATTTTGGAGGAGTGAAACCAGGTCAAGACAGAACTGTGTTGCTTATTACATAGAATGGGAAGCAAGCTTCGAGAAGCAATGCTCGAAAAAAGTGATATATGAATGCGCAACTCGATGAAGCATCCATATTCAATATTGTGTGATCAAGTCGCGTCATCAGCGGAGACCTCATCATCGCCCTGGAAGACTTCAGCTTTTATATAGCTCAAAAGCATTCAGACACCAAGGCCAAAACCCTAAATATGATGGACAGTAGAGTCCATTTCGAGATTCTGACTTAATCCTTCTCAACACATAAGCAACCTAGGAATCTGATTTCTTGTGCTCGCATTCCCCCCTTTGCTGGTTCGCTGCACCAGAGAAAGTGCGACTAAAGACTTGGTTGCCATCAGGACAGCGCATGAGTTGCTTCTCGCAACTTGGTCCGCCGCACACACTAATAATTCATGTTCCCAAGAATCTCTTACTACGAAGATCAGTTATCCGGTTTACAATGTGGAAAATCCCCAACGCAAGCCCCGACTAAAGGGACAAGGCAACAACTCAACCTATCCATTATGTGCCCCCTCGCCGTCCCCATTCCAGCAGCACGCACCGTCCTATGCTGGCCCATACTAGACCTCCTATCCGCGTACTACCACGAGCGCATCTCCCACCTCCGCCGCTGCGTCCTCGGTGCCGCGCTGGCCTTCGCCCTGGGCGCGGCCGACATGTGCCGCAGCGAGCACGCGCACCTGCAGGCGCACTCGACGCTGATCGCCGAGCTCGCCCTCTACACCGTGCTCGGGTTCGTGGCCGAGTGGCGGTTCGGCCTCCTGGCGCGCGCGGATGCCTGGCTGGCCCGCGAGCTGGCCGACCTGATGTACGTCGTGGAGGACATCGAGGCCGTCTTCGACATCGCGCGCAAGATGCGCGTGAGGCGGGATGGTGGCAAGACGTGGAAAGACGGGGCGATGGTGAGGAGGAAGACGTGGAAGCCGAGGGTACGCGGTACCCGGGGCTTCAGGCGTGGCGGGGACTGGACGTCGTATGGGGACGAGAGCGATTTGATGTTGTGGATGAAGCACCGGAACCAGGTGCGGCAGAGGCTGATGAAGGCGAAGTAAGGGCAACAGAGGATAGATTCACAGGGCGCTGTTCGAAAACCAGTTCGGCTACTAACTGATACGATGACGGTAGCAATTTCCAGGGTCGTGGCAGTTCGTGTCGACGAGTGGTGCTGTCTCTTCAGCTACCACCCCGAGATGTTATCTGCCAATGTGAGGCTTGTAGCTATATTTCCAAGCGACCATCGTTCGTGTCGTTTGCGGAACAAAATAGGCGTCCTGTGGTGTAAACACAGCTTTTGACATATGCAATCATTAATTGGACGGCCTGTCGCTATATGCAACCTATGCGTCCTCTATGAATATTTGCGGTCGTAAAGTAGTGTACACTACCATCCATGGTAGCCAAGCTTCGTAAGGGAATGTCTTATTACCGACCCTTTTATGCCCCATTATCTACACAGCCTGACTATAGCCGCCCAGCTTCCTGCGGCCATATTTATACCACTTGCGCGCCTCGTCCGCCCAAAATACAGAGCTGCACATGAAGACGAGCCAGAAGAGGTCCTTGAATGACAGCGCTTCTGTCTGGAACACCTCTTGCAGCCAGGGGAAGTAGATGACCAGCAGCTGGCCGGCCAAGCTCAGGGCCACCGCCCAGTTGAAGAGCGAATTCGAGAACAGGCCAACCTCGCCCCGCACAATGGACTTGCTCTCAGACCGGCACGTCAAGGCGTTGAACATGTCGAATAGCACGAAGCAGGTGAACGTCATGGTGGTGTCGCGGCGTGTGACCTCGCCGTCAGCCATCATTTCGCGAGTGTAGACAAACATAGTGCCGGCCATCACGATGAAAGCCTGCGTCAAGACACGGCTCAGCAAAGTGCGAGTCAGGACGGGTTCGCTACGGGAGCGAGGCGGGCGAGACATGACGTCCTTATCGACTTTCTCGACTCCAAGAGACTGGGCAGGAGGGCCATCCATGATGATATCTGGCAGAGTTAGTCAGGGTAACAGACAAAAGTTCAGGATGGCGACTTACTAATCCAGAGGATCTGCATGGCGTTCAATGGTGTCTTAAACCCCATGCAGGTACAAATAAAGACCAATGCGAGACTAGCCACACTAGTGCTCAGTTGGAAAGTAATAAAGTTCTGGATGTTGCTGAATATGCCCTTGCCCTGCTCAATGGCGTGTAGAATTGTAGAGAAATCGTCGTCTGTGAGGATCATGTCCGAGGCCTCCTTGGCGACGTCCGTGCCGTGCAGTCCCATAGAAATACCAATGTCGGCCTTCTTCAAAGCCGGCGCGTCGTTGACGCCGTCGCCGGTCATGGCGACAATATCACCCCGGGACTGGAGTGCACGAATGATCTTCAGCTTGTGGTCAGGGTTCGTCCGAGCAAATATGGTGGTCGTCTGCATAGCGGCGGCAAGCTCGTCCTCCGTCATGGCATCGACTTCCTCTCCTTTGAGTACAGGCTTGACCGCAACTTGATTTGCTGAGTGTTCTCGTGGCTTGGCGATCTGCATTCCGAGTTGGTTTCCAATAGCGACGGCGGTCGTGTCGGAATCGCCAGTGATCATGATGACCTTGACGCCTCCGCGCATCAGACGCCGTATAGAGCGCGCCACGCCAGGTCTTGGGGGATCACTCATGCCTACCAGCCCGGCAAATGTAAGCCCCCTGAAAGAGTTCTCGTCGCTGGGTAGTCCGGGACTTTCGCTGCCATCCCGGCCGCCTGGGGTATTACTCCGTGAAGTCGGATTCAGTCCAGTCCTGTTCCTGGCATGTTTTGCGACTGGCCCACTTGCAAAGGCAATGATCCTCAGTCCTCGTTCGGCCATCTTCTCTGCTGCACTGTGGGCCTCTTGCCGGCGGGCAGTGTCCAACACAATCTCCCGCCCGTCTTCTGTGAGATAAGTGTCGCAAGCATCGAGGACTTTGTCAATGGACCCCTTCATGTATGCGAACTCCTTGTCATTGTTCCCAGAACTTGCGCCGATCACAACACCCATCCATTTCCTCTCGGAGCTGAACGGTGTTTCTGCTGTGCGTGGCCCAATCGAGTCTCTAACGTCGTGCTCCTTGAACTTGTCCAACATATCAAGCATGGCTACATCTGTCGGCTGTCCAACCCATCTCGAGTGAGTCGTGAAGTCTTTGTTCTGGTTATCCGACAAAACCGTACGTGCAGCGCCTTCGGCATGATTGTGAGAAAGGCGCCCATTATTGGCTATGTTGCCAATACGGAGGATTTGTAGAGTGGCAACGTTCGGCGTCTTCTCCACGAAATCTTCTGTTTCCACATCCACCACAGTCTTTGCTCCGAAATGCCACAGTCTCGCAGTCGTCATATGGTTCATGGTCAGAGTACCCGTCTTGTCCGAGCAAACCACATTGACCGAGCCTAGTGTTTCTACGCTAGGCATCTTCCTGACGATGGCGTTATACTTGGCCATCCGATGAACACCCAGCGCGAGAGTGACAGTAACGATGATGGGCAAACCCTCAGGAATCGCAGCGACAGCTAGAGAGATCGATATAGTGAAGATCTCCAGCAGTTTCTTTCCTGAAAGCCAGCCGACCACCGAGATCAGGCCAATGATCACAAATGAGATCTTGCTTAATTGTGAGCCTAGCTCATCCATGGAGAGCTGGAGCGGAGAGCGCGGGCTCTCAGTGCCGGAGACGCTTGCTGCAATGGTGCCAAATTGGGTATCGCCACCTGTCGCAAAGACAATACCTTGACCGTGTCCAGATCTTACCAAGGTACCCATATACGCAATATTGCTTCCTGTTGGTTGCGCCGCATCATCCCTTGACGCACCATTATACGTGTTAGGAGACAGCGCAGAAGGACTGGGTAAGTGCAGACCAGTTTCGAAGTTTCGGGACCGCGACGCGGCTGTCACTTTGACAGGCTCGTTCTCCCCGGTGAGATTGGACTCATCGATGGTCAAGTCTGAAGCCTTGGTGACCCGAATATCGGCAGGGATGCGGTCGCCAGTAGTGAAAAGGACCAGATCGCCTGGGACCAACTGCGCTGCCATGACTTTGGAGGATGTAGCCTCCATCATGTCTTCATCTGGTGTTTCAGAGCCGCTCGTTGATTCCGCGCGGCCCTGGCCGTTTGTATTCGGAGGCCAGGTTGGCGTCTTGGAGCCGGACGTGGTCTTCGAAGACTGGGCTCTCACCAGATGGGCATGGTTGGGCACCAGATGATTCAACGCTTCGATCGACTTCTCGGAGCGGTATTCTTGTATAAAACCAACAGCAACGACTATTGTAACAGCCACTGTGATGCTGACAGCATCGTCCACATTGCCGACGACAACGGATGCCAACGCCGAGGCGAGCAAGAGGATGATCAGAGGCTCTTGAAACTGTTTGATAAAACGCAGCCAAAGCGGTTCTGGATCTTCGTGTGGTATCTCGTTGGGACCGAAATCGCGTAGTCTGGAGAGCGCCTCGCTGGCCGTCAAGCCGTGGGTATAGGAGGTTTGGAGTCGCGAAGCGGCTTCCGCTGGGGTCATCAAAGAGTACTGGTCTGCCACGCCCTGTACACATTTCAAGTCAGCAAGCAAATATACAACTTCCTCCCCACTAACCGCACAGGACGACCCGGTGAGGCCAGCGCCAACGGTTCAGGTAGCTTACCCTGGACTGGGCAGACGTCGTTCGAACATGCCTAGGGCGCGAAGTCCTGCTCCTCGATCTCCCCGAGTCGGCATCGTCAAAGTCATGGTCCTGCTCTATGCCATTGAAGCTAGGCACTGTGACGGGAAGAAGCGGTACGTCGCCTCCCTGGCGATCGGCCCACGGCCAAGAGGGCATCTTGGACCGGAGATGGAGAACCGTGACGTCGTTGCGCAATGCTGCATCAGGGTGCCAACCGGTGAGGGAACACGGCGAAGGGCGGGCGAGTGTCTGTGAAGGAGGAAAGGAAGTGTAGAATACAAGTCAATACACGCTCTACAAAGCTCGCAGGGACATTATCGTGGTATGCTCAGGGCTTGGCCTTGGCCGTCGTTCTGGGGCCAGATGCGCATTGGGAGACGTGTAACTTCGATTAGCGGTGCATGCTGGATTTTTAGCGGCGGATGGCTCGAAAAAGCACGCTAGGCCCCCCGGCTTGCAGGCGTGGCACTGGCTCGGGAGCCGCAACCTTTGGTGGACACCTGCTGGCGAATAGGCGTCGTCAGCCCCTGTCCCCGGGCGCAACCCCTGACATTTCGAGCAGCAGAAGACAGTTCCAGGCTGGAGACCCGACACCAGATTCAAGCTGCCAGAGACTCGGGACCTAAGTGACCTAGGTACATGGTCCGAGGTCATGGTCGCCTGGCGACACATAAGACAGACTGAGCGCCACTTACGATTGCAATGGCCGCAGTACCGCTCAAGCCTTGGGGGAGACGCAAACAATGATTGCATTTCCACATTTGCCAACCTACGTCGCACAAGGGGGATGGGTAGTTTACTCTCATTGTCTGCTTGTCCTGCAAGTACGGCGTGGCAGTACTGTACCGCTAGTGTGATCTGGATGGTCTCTCTGGAGGGTAGAGTTCAATTTAGTTTGACTCTCATAAACATGGAGCGCAAACATGTTACATGATCTGCGAAAATCGGGCTATATTGACAACAGCTTAACTGTCAGGAACACCCACTTTGGACGGATCAAGATGCGAGACATAGTACAGCATGTCAAGAGTGTACCGGGGGTTGTTAGATCTAATATTGCTGCCGTATCCATTGACTGTGTGCAAAGATGCGGAAAGTGAGTCGAGGTGCATCTACTTCCCGTATGCGTTGCTTGGATATGCGCATTGGCCCAGATCAAGGCAGGTTGAGACCCATGTGAGCAGAGATGGCTCCCAGTGTTTCGATTTGATGCCTGTCAGAAATGAGAGTTGAAAGCGGCTCACCCAGCCTTCGATTTACTGGCACAGCAGCCAGCAGCTTACTCGAAACGGACGTCGGAGGTGTGGCATGGAGCTAGGGGCAACCCACCGGCCGCTGCCCTGGACCAATCAGCACGCTGCATTGCCTGTGGCTTGTGTCCAGAGAGGGTCCCAGCCACTTGATTTTCGCAGGTTTGGGCCCATGCCCGCGCTGTCGATTTTGCAGCGGACTGGGCCCGCCGCCCGCTCGCGCTCTCCCAGCAACCGGATCCAGTCCAGTCAGTCCAAGTCCTCTGCTGCCTCTGACCACCGACGCAATCTCTCGCTCTCTACCTCCCTCCCGCCCCCCTCCGCCTGTTTGCACCTAATAACTGCCCATCCCATCCTCTTCCCACCTCACACCTCACCACCGCCAGCACTCCCCCCCAAATCATCATCGACGGAATTGCTGTCGCATTTGCCTTCGCCCCGACATCGCGTGCGCGACAGCATCGCTTTTGCAACCCTCCGGCCGTGCGTGCGCTTTTTTTTAAGACGGTGCACCCAGCACGCCCACGCCCGCACCGCCTCCCGCTACGCGATCTGGCTAAACAGGGACCCCAACGCGCTCCCACGACCAAGCTTGTTTACCTGGCTGCCCTCTTAACCCACCCGCCAGCACCCCTCTGCTCGACGCGTAGGCCCAGACACATGACGGCATCGCTATCATCGCCTTTCATGCTATAGCTTATTGTATCCTGCACCCTGCATCCTGCCAACGCCTCGCTGCTGTCTCTTGACCTCTCCTGTCGTCGCTTGTCGTCGCCTCCGACATGTTCTACTCCGAGGCCCTGCTGCAGAAGACCGGGCCTCTGGCCCGTGTCTGGCTGTCGGCCAACCTGGAGCGTAAGCTCTCCAAGAACCACATCTTGCAGTCCAACCTGCAGGACAGTGTCGAAGCAATCATCACCCCCAACCAAGCTCCCATGGCCCTCAGACTGAGCGGTCAACTGCTGCTGGGTGTCGTCAGAATCTACAGCCGCAAAGCACGCTATCTGCTCGATGACTGCAATGAAGCTCTTCTCAAGATCAAGATGGTTCGTGATTGTGGATTCTCCTTGACACGCGCGCACATGCTGACTTGATCCCAGGCCTTCCGCTCGACCGGAAACAATGATATCCCCGAGAACTTTGCTCTCCCCAACCGAGAAGCGCTGACGCTTCCTGACCGAATCACACCTGCTGACAACCTTAACATTTTACCGCCCCCTGACGCCGACTGGCTACTTGCGCAGATGGACGTCGATGCTACACCCAGCCAGTCACAGGGTCGCAGCAGGGGACGCCCGAGTAACCGCGAGATCAACTTGCAAGAGGACTTCAACAACAGCCAGTTCTTGCACGACGATAACCTGGGCCAGGACGTTCTCGCCATTGAGGACAACGAGGACTTGGAGCTCGAGCTCGACTTTGGTATGGATATCGACGAGCGCCCCAGAGCTTTCGACAAGAGCATCGAAATGGGTCGAGACGCCCCTACTGCCCGCCCGGTAGAGGATGACCTTCTCAGCGAGTATGATGGGGCAGTGCCTGCCAAGGGCGTTGCCGGCGACGAAACCACCAACTTCGACTTTGGAAACGACGGTATCCAGATCGCCGACGCCGATGGGGATATCCACATGGATGACGATCTCCAGTTCAACCTTGGTGATCAGTCAGCTATGCCTGAAATCGGCGGTGCTGCGCCACTTAACCGCGCCCGCATCTCGGAGTCTCCCCTCTCTGACATTGACGAGAACACAGCCAGAGATGTAGAGGAGTGGACGAGGCTCAACAACACAAGCATCTACGAACCCGGTCAAGAACCAGAGGAGCCCGAGCCTCTGCCGCAGAGGAAGTCCAAGTCCAAGCGCAAGGTTTTTGCCCTCGACGCTGCGACCCAGCTTACCAGCGCCCACATCAAGGAGCAGCAACAAGACCGCTCCAACATTCTAAAGGCACCGACTTTTATCTCCAGAGACCCTTACTTCCTGGCTCTCTTGGAATTGAAGCACAGCGGCAGCTTTGTGTCGAATATCATGGGCGACAACCGTAGCAAGGCCTGGGCGCCAGAACTCAGAGGCCTGCTCTCCATTGAATCTATCCGACCAAGTAACGACTTGAAACGGAAGCGGGACAGTGGTGTCGCTGACATGGGCAGCGAAGATGAACAGGGCGCGTCCAAGTCCCCGCGTCTGGAACTGGGAGATGACGAGACAGCCCTGCAAATCGGCGGCGGCCTCGGCGAACAGAGCGTGGCGGCTGACGGAACCATCATCCAGATCCCTGGTGACGAGGGAATGATGCTGCAGGATGACGACGATCATCACGCGCGTGAAGGCAGCCCGATGCCTGCGTTCGACGATACCACGGTGCCACTAGTCCACCCCGAGGACAGTGGTCCTGTATCGCTAGGGACAAAGCATGCAGTCCACGTTCTGCGGGATCTTTTCGGAGCCGAGGCTGCCACCAGTGAGGAGAAGCGCAAGAAGACATCAGTCGTCTTCCAGGAGCTTCTGCCGGAGAAGCGCACGACCAAGGCAGACGCGACAAAGATGTTCTTTGAGTGCCTCGTGCTCGCGACAAAGGATGCAATCAAGGTGGAGCAGAAGGAGGGCAGCCTTGGTGGGTCGATTCGCGTTCGTGGCAAGCGTGGTCTCTGGGGAGCATGGGCAGAGCGCGAAGCTGGCGGCGAAATCGCACACCAGGACGAGCAAGCAACACAACCAGAACCTGCCATTGCGGGGTCATCGCGTGCTGTTGCGGCGGCGGCGTAATGATTCCCATGCTGGTGTATTATTGGGTTGTTAGATGCGAGATGAGCTGATGCCTCATGTACAAATTATTTGCGCGCCTCATTGCGACATTTCCAGGGACACGGCCCGGCGGCGTTGAAGGAGTTCAGGAAGACAGGGAGATACCACTGTTTTCGGGTATACTGGCAACCAAAATGCGGAGGTTATGTTGTTCTCAATTATTTATGGCTTTGCGTTGGCGAGCCTGGTTTCGAGTTGTCTCGGTAGATCATGGATAGGTTCTACCAACTGTAGCGATACGAGGCATATGGCCTTGTTTAGTAATACAAATCTTTGACCACTTGAAACCGACAATATCCTAGTTTAAATTGTTAAAGATGTCGTTCTTATTTATCAATTATCTTCAACATTGTTTTGCTTTGCTTCAAGCTGAATTCTGCAGCTGTGGAGTTGGGGAGGGAGTGCAAACGACTTGATGTCAGCATTTCTACCAGGTATTATATCTTATGTATGTAGTCGAGTACATAGGACAAGGTTTCACGTAAAGAAAATGTAATAACGGAGTTCTGCCTTTACAGAAAGTCTGCACCCTCGTATCACCAACTAAAAATAAATGAGCGCTGCGAGGCTGCTCAGCCTGGCAACAAGGAAGAAGTTAACTTAAAAGGCGGCTAAAAGTGGCTCACCCCCCACCAGCTCAGCCTCGACGATCTTGGGGAAACGTCAACTTACACTCGACCCATCCCTTTGTATCCTCCGAAGCATGTACAACAACGAAACGTCCCAGCATGTCCTTTCGAGCTATTCTTGTGTATTGTTGATGAGTTCGCGCACCCACACCCGCTTGCGCTTCGAACATTCGGGCCGCCCTACCGATCACCTACCGTTCCCCGTGTCCTCAGTCAGCCGAGCATCGCCCGGGTAACAGATATGCGCTGAGCTACGACGACAACAGTTTTCGCGACACGCAATTCTTTTTTCTTGGACCTTCCGTTTCCCACATCGCAATTTTGGATTGCTCTCGCTAGCAGCCATTTGCCGTCACGATGGGCGTCAAAACATTGGCTGAACTTTGCACCGCTGTGTGTATGAAGAATGTCAAAGGTATGGCAATGCAAGCAACGACCAGCTCCCGCTTTCCCACCCAACTCAAGACGATGCCCCTGGCCCAAATTCCTGTTTGTCGAACCTTCGAGTATTGATTTCCACCCATACTTCCGTTCCACACTTCTTTACAAATCTGGTCTGCGTAGTTCGCGCCTGCCCACATCGCGAATCTCAGTCATGGACCAAGCACGCTCCTGTCCATATGAATCACTGGCCCTGTTGAACACGCCTAACTCTCGCAAAGAAATCACAGATATTGGCAGCCTACCGTACACGATCGTCCGCCCCATTCTCCTCAAGATCGACTCAGCAGCTCAGCTGCGCGCCATCGAGGAAGCTTCACCCCACATCGAGGTCGACGACGCCGAATGCTGGATTCGCCTCATAGAGCGCAAGTTTCCGGTCCTTCACAATCAGAACCAATTCGAGCCTCGCAATCCCGCATCATGGCACAAGGTGTACGCCAGATATGCCCGGATGGATGCCGAGCAAAAGGCTGAGGCCGAGGCGAAATTGAAGAATGCATTCGCGGGCATTCAGCGCCAGAAGCAGGCCAACACCAGCGCTGTCCAATCATTCGCCCAGAGCAGACTGCCTAAGCCGCCCAAGGACATGAGAGGTGACGCAAAGAAGTCGACCAGTGGTCGAAGGGGAGGCTCCAACGACACCGGAGAGCTACGATTCACGGGAGGCTCGAGAACCAAGACGAACACTGCAGCGAGTGTCATGCGAAGAGTCAAGCGGGAGGCTGCCGAGATCCGCGCTCGCAACAAGCTCATGACCCCCAACGGCGCCCTCATCGTGCGTCAGGGCCAGATCAAGCAGGCACCGAAGGGCATGGTACACGAGCAACAGATCAAGAAGAATCCGGAAGTCAAAGCCCAGCCCGTTGCAACCTACAGCAGGGAAGATGAGTTCCGCACCCAAGTCATGGAGGAGAGGGAGGCTCGATTGCGCAAGTTGAAGGCTCAAGGTAAGACATCGAGCATCATCGACGATTCGGATCTCGAGGATGAGGATGCGGACGACGTCTTCGGTGGCTACACCGGAGGCAGGCTGAACGTTGACGACCTGGAGGACCAGTTCGAGGACGACGAGCCGGCAAGACCTTCTCCAGCCAGATCAAGTTCCACTTCGGCTCAGACTCACAGACCAGCTGCGCTGCCTGGAAAGAAGAAAGGACTTCTATCGAATGCCTTCAAGCCTTCGGCAACTACAGTCCAGAGATCAGGACCCAGCTCAAGCACCCCAGCTCGTTCTACGCCAGGCCTCTCACCGGCCACACATGGATCACCCCCCAAGCCAAAGGCGGCATCTACAGCGCGACCATTAGCGGCATCAGCCTCGCCGCCGCTTGCGCCCACGAGCCCCCCGAAGCCATCGGCCTCGACGAACGGCCCCTCGGGAAGTCCTGAGCTCAAGCCCAGGATGCCGGTGAAGCGAAAACCGGTGGACGTCTTCATGAAGCCCAAATCCAAGGTGCAGCGTCGTTGATTTGGTTGGGCATACATCAGCTGCAGAGATGCCCATGCGAAGCACCTTTTTTTTTTTTTTTTTTTTGATAGCACGGAGGTGCTGTGAGGGAGTCGGAAGAGCACATGTAAGATCAAGAAAGCACAATGCTGGAAATGGACAATCTAGGAGTAAGACGGCGTTCTAAGAAGGGATCCATTCCATTACAGCGGTCATCGGTTGATAATTTGTGCCTTGAGGCACTGGAGCTGCTTATGATTCTGGCTCTGTGGTTGTTTTGATTGCATTGAGGGCTGCACAGATACGTAGATAGTCAAGCACATAAATCAAATCATGCTGATACCCATCTGAAAATTGTTCGTCCCAGCATCGAGCTGCCTATTCACTATGATGTATTGCCTGCCTGTCAAGCACGTTCATACTTGCACATGTCGGTCTTCGTAAAGAGCATTCGCGTCTCCTATTGCATTAATTCTCATACGCCCAAGTCTGTTGCAGTATAAGAGGGGGGAAGAAAATTACTAATCCCAGTTTCAGTTAAGTGAAAAAGAGATCCCTAGGTGATCTGAACGGTACCAGACAAAATAGGTCCGGGACAAGGCGGGATAGGGGCAAAAGAAAAAAAAAAAAATTGAAATCACAGGAAAATGATGCCGCGTTCAAATGAACATTAGCAGAACAGAAGAAGATCACGGGGAACAGCAGCAGCAACAACACGGTACAGCAGCGAGAGTATGGGGGAATAACAAGGGGATTTTGAGACTTTACTTACCATTCCGGCACCACGACCCATGACGTACTCATCTGAGTCTTGTCCTAAGGCATCGTTCTGTTCTGTTCTGTTCTTTTGCCACAACGGGCCAGGCCGGTGACCGAGGTCACACGGCAGTTCTCTTTCTGTATCTGGAAAAGCCTAATGAAGGAATCGGGTTAGCATGTTACCATTAAGCCATTGAACTATGTTGCTGTGTTGCTGTTGGAAAAGTCATTGCCTGTTGGGCCATAAGCTACCAGGGCAACGGCGACGATGCATTGATAGCTGGAAAGGCTATGGCTGATACCTAGGATGTACTGGGACCGAGTGACGCGAGATCAGATGGAGACCCATTGCTGGCCTCGGGTTTACTATAGACGGTCCCAGAGGCGATCCCGCAAGCACGGTGGATGATAGTTTCCATATGATGATCTGCCACGGCCATAGTCAACCCTTACACATTCAGAGAGATGCAAATACTATGCCTGATCCTTTGGTCAAAGAGAACGTCTCGGAGCCATTATAGGAGAACAATAATTAGCGAGCATTCGCCAAATCCTCCCATCTTGCCACGAGCGATATACATCATCGAACTAGGCATCACGGTAACAGCTAACACGCTGCTCATGACAGCCTCTTCTCAGAGAGTCTTTCCACTAGACTGATCTTGTCGTATATCATGGGGGTCTTCTATTATGCGTCGGACTGCAGAGTAAACGCTATGTACGGAACAGCACAGCCTGGAGGGGAGAAGAAGCGCGCCAGAAGGGGAAAAAGAAGATGGGTTGGTCGCCAGAAGACATCGCTGTGAAACCATCTCGACTCTGCTGGGCTCCCACGAGGGCCCGAATGAATCAACGCCGTGCCGGCCGCTCACTCCACCTCCCTCTGGTCACTCTGCTTCTCATGAAATCCTGCCTGCCCCCGAGGAAGTAGCTCATGACCGGGATCTATCCCTTCCCCTTGACAGATGAGCGAGCCTCATATCCATCCCTTAGTTGCCCTTCCTGTACCATCTATCCCCATGTCATGATCGTATAGACGGGTTCAAAAGATCTTGGTTGCGGCGTGTGTCTCATTGGCCGCCACGGAGAGCCAAGACCAAATGCAGCGTGGCACCGCCCTCCAGTTGGTACTCGGTTGCCGTCTTGTCGTCAACCCTGTTGCGCCATACAATGTCAGTACGATATTGCTCCAAGAACTCATCGTATCGGGGCCCTTCGTGGCTCGGGGTGCCGGGCCTGGGTTCGGGTTAAGTCCACATACATCTGCTTGCCCCCGTAGATCAGACGCTGCTGGACGGGCGGGATGCCCTCCTTCTCCTCGACCTTCTCCTTGATCTGCGCGACCTGTAGACGCCTTGTGTCAGCAAGATTCCTCCTTTCCGGGTCGAATGGGCGTGGTCTAGGGGGACGGGCGGACGGGATGGGCTTGGTGATGACATGGTATGCGCCATCCGCGGCAGGACGGCGGCGGGGTCGTGGGACGGCATACCTTGTATTCGGGCTCGATGTCCAGCTCGATCTCCTTGCCGGTGAGGGTACGGACTCTGTCAAGTCACCGTCAGTCACATGCGTCTTGCGGCGCCGTGGCGTTGCGATCCGGCGTCTCGAGGGACATGGAACGGCGGGGTTGGAGGGGCTTACTTGATGAGCATGTTGGCGGTTGGTGACGGGACTTCTTCTTGTGGTGTTTGGGGTGTCTGGCGACTGGAGAGGACCGCTCGGGAATATGGGGGTTTGGTTAGCAGAGAGAAGTCGCAAGATTATGTTCTCGAGGTTCCTGGGTTTACCTGTTGGTTGGAGAGGCGCTGAAGGCAACCGCCCGGGCGGTTTATGGTGGGGTGATCGGCGGCCTGAGCTGGACCCGCAAATTGCCTTGCACTGAATGACGGCGGCCGGCCGGGATGGTATTCAGATAGGCTGACGGGTACTACTGCAACAAAGGATTCAGAAAAAGCACTGAGGCAGTTCTGGGTGCCTCGGGACGAATAATTTCAGTACATAACTGGAGAAGATTCGAGGGCCAGTTGATTTTCTAGGCGACGCGGGAATGTAGCACGCGGTCAAGTGTCCATGAGAGGCCCATCGTCTGGCTCAGATCAGATTGTGTTGACTACACACCTCGTGGACAAGAGTCTGTTCAACCCCAGATCTCCCTATTTTACAGTGATTAATGCCTAGAATACAGTGGAGATGTGTGAAAATGGTCGCTTTCCTCCCCCTCATGACGCCTTGCTTGTCCCTCACGGCTTCTTGCTGATTTCGTCGCCAAAGACGTTGAGGCCAAGACCCTCCGAGTCCAGCATCAGCCTGTTCCTTCCGCCAGCCTCCTGGAGCTGTGTGGCAATGAGACGGGCGTTCTCGATCTTCTTCAGCTCAAGGTAGGCCTTGCTCTTCTTGACGGCGTCTCCGATCAGCTCGGCCGAGCGAGCCTCACCCTGTGCCCTGACAACCATGGCCTGCTTCTCCTGTCGTGCCTTGTCGACGACAAAGGCAGCCCTCTGCGCCTCCTGTTGCGCAACCTGCTTGGCCTCAACAGCCGCCGTGAACTCCGGCGAGAAGGCAAGGTGCTAATTGGTCATGTTAGTGACCATGAACCTGGAGGATCCATTAGAATCCCGGAGACATGAGCTATCTTACCGTGAGCGACACGTCGTCCAGCAGAATGTTGAACCTGGCAGCTCTTCTCGACAGATTCTCCCGTACTAATTTGGCGACCATCTCACGCTGTGTGATCAGCTGGCTGGCGTTGAACTGGGCAACGACGCTCTTCAGGACCTCGTTGACGATGGAGGGCAGGACACGCTCATCGTAGTCCTGTCCCAGGGTTCTGTAGATCTGGGGCAGAGCGTTGACCTCGGGCCTCGACAGAACACGGCATGTGATGTTGACCATCTGCAGATCCTTGGTTCCGGTGAGGGAGGAGACGTTTCTCGGCTTCGCTCGGACGTCGTACGTGATCGGGGTCTCGAACCACGGGATCATCAAGTGCGTGCCTGGAGAGGGCAGGACCCGGTCAGCGCCAATGTCCAGAGTACTGTATGTACAGAGTATGCGTATAGCTAGCATCACGGGCGAGGCGACGTACCTTCGGTGTAGATCTCCTTGCTCACACCGCTGATCCTCCTGTACTTGATGGCTCTGTGGCCACCGTCGACGTTGAACAGCGAGTTCTGCAGCAGCACAGCGCCGCCGATACCGAGGACGGCGAGGGCTCCCAGGGCCAGAGGGTTACCACCGCCGCCGGGGCCGCCGGCTCCGAACTTGGGTACGCGGCCGCGGTTCTGCTGCATGGCGCGCCGGGCGCGCTCGGCAAACTCTTCGATGGGTGACCGGTTCGACATGTCGCCGTTACTGAATGGCAGCGGTCTATGTCGGGCAAGGGGGGGGTCAAGGTGAGGTACGGTCGTCGGGATCGTATGAGACGCAGAGCTCTCTCTGACTGCTGAGCTCCCAAGTGATGATTCGTCTTTTCTGGCGGCCGCCAAGACCCGGGGTTTAGAAGGGTCCGTGCTTCAGCACCGCTGTTCAGCGCTCGCTGTGCCAGAGCTACCTGGGTAAGGTACCTTGTAGGGGGTGGTTGATTGGGCCAAAAGCTGCTGGAGGCTCGCTAACTGTCTTAGCGCAGTAGTGTCTTAGGCACTTAGTTTCTTTCAGGTACCTAAGTGGTTACCTACTGTCCCGCCGTAGCTGAGCGCCGGGGCGGGAGCTTGGAAGACATGGATGGCCTAACCTTTTTCCGGCGGATTTTCTGGGCCTAAAAGCACTCTTACACTGCCGGAGAAGAGCTACGCCAAAGTCGGAGGCGCGAACGTCGAGCTGCGACCAAGAATTTGGCAGCGTATCCAACCTCATGTTCTTTGGGTGTGACCAGGTGAGCGCAAAGCAGACATAACTTGGCTTGCTACGGTGGATGGATTGCATCAGTCAATGAATAGATCCTCAGTCCCACCCTCTGTCATTGTTCATCCTTGTACCACCGTGAAGTCTGCTTCGTCGGCGCATCGCATCGTCTTCTACACCAGCCCACCACTTCACCCTGCTCTAGGGCTCGTCGCTTGCGAGCTCCTGCCACTATAGAGCCAAGTCGGCGCACCAAAGACAATCCGACACCATGTCTTCCAAGCCCCCCTCGCGGGTCGTCTTTGTGGGAAACATCCCCTACGGTAAGACCGCGATCCAAGCTTCTGCCTGTCTTGAGTGTTCGGCCCGCAACTGACGCGCCAAACAGGCCTCTCCGAGGAGCAAATCACCGATATCTTCAGCAGTGCCGGCCCCGTGGTCAACTTCCGCCTCGTGTACGACAGAGAGACCGGGAGGCCCAAGGGTTTTGGCTTCGCAGAATACCCCGACGCAGGTGTGTGACGGCTACTCTGGCCCTCCTACACAATCCTCTTCACTTTTGCTGACACCCTACCTCCGCACCATAGATTGCGCAGCTTCGGCTGTACGGAACCTCAACGACTACGAGATCATGAACCGCAAGCTCCGCGTCGACTACAGCACCGAGGGCCGTGTGGGGGACGATGACGACAAGTCGGGATCCAACAACGCGCCCAACGCCGCAGCATACTCGAATGGCTTCTCACAGGCACCACCGCAAGCGCTTCCCGTAGGAAGTCTACCCCCCCTGCCACCGGGCAAGGACCTACCGCCCGGAGTCAGCTTCCACGATGCCATCTCCCGCACGCTGCATACCTTGCCCCCGGCCCAGCTCCTCGACATCCTCTCGCAGATGAAGTCGTTGGCCACGGCGGATCCGGCACGGGCCACCGAGCTGCTAACGGCGGCACCGCAACTGTCCTACGCCATCTTTCAGGCGCTGCTTCTCATGGGACTCGTTTCACCCGAGGCTATCCACGCCGTCGTCGACGCGAGCGCGCCGCCGCCCGCCCAGGCTGCCCCTGTTGGCTACCCTCCGCCTTCCATGCCCGGCTTCCCTGTGGCACACACCGGCACGCCGCCAGTCGCGGCACCTTACGCACCGCCCATGGCACAGCCTCCTCAGACAGGTTATGCGCCTCCTGCCGCAGCGGCTCCGCCCGGCCAGGACACTGATCAGCTCATCAAGATGGTGATGGAGTTACCACAAGCGACCATCGACCAGCTTCCGGAGGGGGAGAGGCAGCAAATCTTGGCGCTACGGGCACAGTTCATGGGCCAGCGACGCTGAGTTCTGGTTGGCTGCTTTCATGCATCATCATTATTATCATGGTCAGGCGTTGCGGTTTGTATGTATGTACACTTGAAAGGTCAGGGGAGACCTGGCGTTCTGGACATTTGGACTTGAGGGGACAGCATCTGCGGACGAGATGAGTTCATACCGGTAGCTGCATCCACCTCGCATGGAAAATGCTTAGGACCAGTCAACTGGGAACAGTTATTCATGATAATTCAGTGCCAATTGCAGCATTCACGTGATGGTGGCCAGGTAGCATGTGGGTTTGTCTTCTTCAGATGCCTGTGGAATTCGCCAGACACATGCCACGCATTTCAAGCTGTGCAGATGCATTTATGTAGCAAGGGGAAAATGACAGTCTCTAAACAAATAAGTCTCAACTAGGAACTGAATTGCACATCACCGGATGGCGGCAGAGCGGCAGAGTCTTTTCTTACTGAGAAGGAATTAATCTTGGCCAAGGTTCAGAGTGTCCGTGTGGCTGATATGGGCGCAATCCAAACTCCGCACAATGATGGAGAAATAAAAGGAAAACACGTCTTGCTTTGCTCCTCATGAGATTCACATACTTGGTCTCACACACACATGTTCCGGAGACAAAGGCACGCGACCGAGGCCCACAGCACCTTACAGCATCCACATCCATGGTCTCGTCGTGCACGACTCGAGCAGCTCTCTTCGGCCCCTGCCTATCGGATCCAGGGTAGCTCCTCGTCGCTAGGCCTAACTGGGGGCGGGATCCGCATTCCAGCCCTCGACGTCACGTCACAGCGGTTCTCCAGCAGTCCCAGCAGTCCCAGCAGTCCCAGTCCGTTCGTTGGTTCCCAGCAGCTCGTTCAGCCGTGGGGTTGGTTCGTTTTCCTATCCTGCACGCACCCAATCCCACGCCCCAGGCTTAAGCCCAAATCCCGGCAGCGGCAGCGGCAGCGGCAACCTCCGACCTCGACTCTTCTGACATCACCGGAAAACCTTCGAGACATCTCTTGCAGCACTCTCTTTTCAGCCTCTCGCTGGCGGATTTCCGAGCCCAACCCGTTGTTAGCAGCCATTGACCCTGCATAGCTTGATGCCTACTGCGGTGCATGCTGCTGCATAGCCCTGTCCACAGCAACGACGGGTTACAGCACGGCTGGCTGGCTGACTGACTGCGCTGTCTCTGATCAGCAAGGCCCAGCTCAGCTCAGAGCAGAAGCATCCATCGCCGAGGCTCTATACATACAGGTCGACCGCGAAATCTGCTTAGCAGAAGCGCTTCTGTACTGTTCAATCCCGTATTGCCATTCAGTTACAAGGAGCTTGTACATTTTCAACATCGGTCTCCGTCTGGACGAGTCGCCTGCCTATCATCTCGCGACACATTGAGATCGCACTCCGCTCCCCAACTTGCTCCACCCACCTACACCTGCACCACCAACATGTCTTCGTCGGCTGGCAACCCCTTCAGGCCGTCCAACTCGGTACCGGGATCGGCCCTTGCCTCCGGCTCCCAGACGCCCTCCTCGTCCAAGAAGAAGAAGCATCGCGGCGGACGCAAGCACCGGCGCCCGCGCCGCAAGTCCTTCGCTGCCCTGCAGGAGGACGAGGGCGACTCCAGCGTCCAGGGCGACAACCCCGAGGCGTCGCACAGCGGCTTCTACATGCAGGGCCGCAATTTGAGCAATACCAGTGTCGACAGCCAGGCCCTCCTGGACCATCGCGCACACCAGTACGGGCCGCGCCCCCGCCGCCCTTCGGTGCTGAACACGCCGTACACACTCCCCAGCCAGGGGGAGAGGGGCTCGCAGTCGCGGATACGCACCATGTCGGGGAGAGACCTTGATCGCGAAGATGAGCATGACAGGTCCGACTTCGACGAAGGCGCACCGCTGCTGAGTGGCTCCCGAATCAGCGAGTCCTCAAACCAGCGAAAGGGGTACGGCTCGAACGAAGGACGGCCACGGTTCGAAAGGCGCGGGTCTAGCAGGTCCAGCAAGTGGAGATCAGGCCTGCTGCCAACTACGCCGTCCGGCGACAGGTACAATGTCAACTACCCGCCGTCAATGCCGCCCTCGCCGCGCATGGGTGCTTCGGACGTGAATTTCGGGGACGAGATGATGCGGGAGGAGCTGAGCCAGGCCCTATCGCAGCCAGCCAGCCTGATGGAAGACCACGACGACCCTCTGCAGGGATCATCCCCCCTACAAAGGCGGCATACAATCGCCATACAGGCTGAGGATGATGTCTGCTACCCGCAGGAGGGTATGTCCGAAATTGCAGAGGAGGACACGCAACGGTCGCAGGATCAACGCAGCCGCCGGCCCAGACGCAGACGGGCTAGGTGGCCAGACCTAGCCATGCTGGAGGATTGGAGCAGGTACGAGAAGGAGAAGAACAACACGGAGGATAGACGGATGAAGAAGATCACGGAGCCCCAACTCATCAACGGGCGACTTCGCCAGGTCACAAGGAGCTGGTATAAGTCTGAGGAAGACGCACCCTATCGCTTCACATACTTCAATGAGGAGCTCCAGAGCACGATCCACAGTCTGACCATCTCGGAGCTTGTACCGCCTGATGGGAGCTTCCGGGAGCTCTTCATCCCAGATCCGCCTATCCTGTCCGATTCCTCCGAAGAGTCTGACGATGAGGACTTGTTGGGGCCGCAAGTTCCTGGTTCGATTAGGAATGGGCGCACGGGTTATGGCTCTAGAGATCCCACCCGGCAGCCGTCTTTGGCCACAACGAACAGAAGCTCCGATCAACCTGATCGTGGCGCTGGTGGCACGCTGTCCCCAAAGCAAACAGTACCTGCCTCCGCAACCACATCGAGAAATCAGTCAGGCGACGCAACGCCCATTGGCCATGATATCAAGTCTCCTCCTCCGGCCTTTGCCGACCTGAAGTCCCCAAGCCCTCAGTTCCAAAAGCCAGTTCGGTACGGTGAGCGTCCCGTCTGGTGGTTGGATGTTCTCTCTCCCACGCCGGATGAGATGAAAATCATTCAGAAGACCTTTGGCATACATCCACTCACGTCGGAAGATATCATGCTACAAGAACAGCGGGAAAAGGTCGAGCTTTTCCGCCATTACTACTTCGTGTCTTACCGATCCTTCGACCAGGATGAAGAGAGCGAAACACATCTTGACCCGGTCAACATGTACATCGTGGTCTTCAGAGAGGGCATCCTCTCCTTCCACTTTGGCCAAACGCCGCATCCCGCCAACGTGCGCCGTAGGATTAGGCAGCTCAAGGACTATATCATGCTCAGCTCTGACTGGATCGGCTATGCCATTATCGACGACATCACCGACGTGTTCGGCCCATTGGTCCAGAATATCCAGGACGACGTGGACAACATTGAGGATGCGATCCTCGGCATGAACTCACGCTCCGGCTCCGTCGCGAGGCGCCAGAAGGACAGCAACAACGAGAAGGAGGACAGCGCAACGGTCCACACCTCGGCCGCGGAGTTGGACGGCGATATGCTGCATCGGATTGGCCAGTGCCGCAAGAAGGCCACGGAGCTACTGAGACTCCTGGGTAACAAGGCGGACGTCATCAAGGGCTTCGCGAAACGGTGCAATGAGCACTACGAGGTTGCACCCAGGAGCGAAATCGGCTTGTATTTGGGCGATATCCAGGATCATATCATCACCATGACAGGGAACCTGATGCATGCTGACAAGTGAGTATTACTAACCCCAGCCTCGCCCCCGTTTCCTGGTCCAGCGGCCAGAGAGTGGGAGAGAGCTCGTACCATCAACACAGATGCTGACAAAACATCCAGAACCCTTGGCGTCTCGTCCAACACGTACCTCGCCCAGATCAACATCGCCATGAATGAGCGCGGCGAGCAGACCAACGACACGCTCAACAAGCTCACGGTGCTCGGCACCATCGTCCTGCCCATGAACATCATCACCGGCTTGTGGGGCATGAACGTCTGGGTCCCCGGCCAGGACTTCGAGGGCGACCTGACCTGGTTCTGGTGCATCACCGCCGGCCTCGTCGCCTTCGGCGCCGCCTGCTACCTGACAGCCACGCGCGTCTACAAGATTGCCTGAGTGCGGGGCGTCCCCGCTTGGCACAGGCTTGTTTTGTTTGGGGGGGTTGTGGTTTATGTAGTACGGCGGAACGAGGGAACGTTTATGAGAACCAAGGCGGAGGACGGCGAGGTACGCTGCATACACTGTACATACGCAAAAGACGGGCGGGGGTGAAGTGTATACATACATACTGAAAGTATTACGGGGGGTTTCTGGGGATAGGGCGGTCGGCTCATGTTGCACGCAACACAGGTTTTGAACTGCAGACTGGGAGCCAGCCACGCATGCTTTGCCATTTTGTATACAGCACACGTTGGAGCCTGGCGTTTTCGGGAAGGGGAGCACCAAGCAAGGGGAATAAAACAGTTCGGTTCTTCATCTAATCCCGCCGTGCTGCTTCGTGATAGGTACCCGGTACGTTCCCAAAAATCGGAAATCATGTCTGCCTCTCCTATGTGTAGCCCGCGACGAGAACGAGGTGGAGACGGGAAGTGTCACGCGCTGTCAGCGGTCACGGTAGGTCGTGAAGGAGCCCTACCAGGTGTTCAGCCAGAGTGGAATGTTAGTAGGGCACGCGGTCCTGGCTCGTCTACCTAAGTCTTCCCAAGCTACAATCAACGGAACCGGCGCTGTATCACACTATGCTGTGGGTGGAAGGCTGGCTGACATCTAGGCAGCGGGATTCTGTCCGGCTGTGAATACTACTTCACCTTTGCGCCCTGTCGACAAAGAACATCGTCCGTCTGGGAGGAGGGACAGTCGGCGGCGGAAACAGGCAAGGGAACTACTCAACAGCAAGTCACCAAGGGAACGGGGATGATACCGAAAACAACGGCAGTCTATAAAACATTCGTGTCTGTCTATCTGCAGCGCAGTCCTTGGTGAACATTCTCACCTTCCTAAGGCCATGCCTGGCACCCATTCTTGGTCGGTGTGACCAATCAGCTTATTAGGGTGACCTCGTATTGCGAAGACTACACACCATGAGCCTCGAAAATCCATCGCGATTGGCGGTCAAGAGCCAGAACATTGCTCTGATGCTCAATGCCATTGCTTGCACCGCAGGTGCAGGGAAAGGTATGGTTAAAGTGGGTGCAGTCAGTGAAAACCGCAGGTCCAGGTTGAGTCTCAACTTTTATCTTTATTGTGTCTGTCTGTAATGCATCGCTATCGACGAAACTCAGAGATTGTCGGAGTTCCGTACGAAGAAAACACCCCTAATGCAGCGCTAAACGACCTTTGTGATACGAGCGATATATGCAAGGCCAGTGAAGGTCAATTCTTGCGCCGTTGCGGCCAGACGCAAGACCATTGACCCTCTGATAGTATAAGCGGCGCCTCGTATCTCGTCGTTAAGGGTAATCATGGTGCAGTGATGGTGTCTAGATGTCTCTAAGGCGCCCCATTGCCTCAAGACAATGTAGCGCAAATGATAGTACAATTATACAAGACGAGGAAGGTGGAAAGCAGGTTGTGGGAGGACGAATATCTGTCTTAGAACTCCCAGTCTTCCTCGACAGATTTGATGGCCCACTGGAATTTGTTTTCCAGGGTCTTCGAAAAGACCTTGTTGATGGCGACGCCAAACTTCTTGCAGAAGACGACAGAGAGACGAGGATCAATGTAGTTCTAGTTTACCAAGTTAGCACCCCATCATCACAAGGCAATGGAACTACGGCGAAACTTACGATCTTAGAGGTTCCCAGCGCAACCTCCTTGTTCTCGTCTTGATTCTGCTGCTTGAGCTCAGCTGCGTTCAGGCTCTGTTCGAGCTTCTTGACTTTCTCCTCGATCTTCTCAACCGTCGGGCCCTTGCCCTCGGCTTCGACCTTCTTAGACTTCCACTCCTTCTTACGTTGCTTCGCAAGGTCGTCCGCGGCCTTGAGTCGGTCTTTCAACTCCTTTTCGGGAAGCTGCTTCTCCTTGTTGGCTGCCAACTTTTTGTTATCGTTCTCAAACTTCTTCGTGATCCTCTTGCGCTCCTCTTCGACGATGAAGTTGATGTGCTTCTGGATCCACTCCTCGCTGGCCATATCTTCCGGGAGCTGGAAATACTCGGCACCCTTCTTCTTCTTTTGCTTGGGGTCGATATCCAGGATCATCTGCTTTGTACGCCATATGTTGAACTTGATAGCGTTGATCCGGTCTCCCATCTTCTCCATCGTCGCTTCGTGGCTAGCAGTCACTGTCCGCTTGTGGTTGCAAAGGATGGCGACCTCTCGGTTGGCTTTGGTGTATTCGTACATCTTATCTGCCAACGTCGCATTAGGAGGGAACTTGAGGTCCTTCAGAAGCCTGCTCATGGTGTAGGACGCGTTATAGGTACGGAAAACCTTCGCAGTGAGACCCGGCATGTAACTTGAAAGATGCTTGTTTAGCTGAGATGTATTCAGCCGGTCGAAGATGTCATCACCTTCGCCCTTGGGCGCCTTTTTGAACAGCTTCAAGTTCTTGAAGACTTGACGCTCGACCTTGACCTCGTCGTAATACCGAATACTGTCCTTGCCCAAAAAGTCGAAGATGACAGTATCAGGTTCTCGGAGTGTGATATGCTGGTACTTGAGAGAACAGCAACCCACGGTCTCGGCCTCGTTCTCGGCATCCTTCTCGTTGCCAGCTCTCAGAGCGAGCTTGTCGATGAGATACATGGCAGTGGCTCGTTGACGGTCCGCCATGATGTCCGACTTCAACTCCTTTTCATAGTCTTTGCGGATACGGTCGATGTACTTCTTGAGCGCGCGAGCTTTCTCGAACTTCTTCAGATCACTCTTGCCCTTGAAGTCGGACGTCGCGCCCAGCATGACGTATTTGTAGTTGCCATTGATATTCTCCTGCCACATGGCCAACCATGAAGCCTTCTGGTCGTGCTGAACGGTTTTCCACTTGTGGCCGGCAGGCGGCTCAGGCACCTTGACACCCTTGCCAATGTTGATGGTGATCTGCTCAGGCATGACACGATATTTCAGCTTGCCAGTCTTCGGGTGTGCGCCACGGCCACGGAAAAGGGCGGGAGGTTCGACACGGAAGTTGCCAACTTCCTGTGTCTTGCCGTCCACCGTGCAAGTCTTGAAAGGCGCCTCGACACGTTTCTTTTCCTCGGCAGCAGCTTTTTTCTCCTCCTTCGACATGGCCTTCTTGGCCTCTTTTCTGCCTTGCTCGTAGTTGAGTATCTTGGAGAAATCGCACTTGGCGAAGTCCTTGATGTTGACCTTGTTGCCTTGCCGATCCTTGGCACCACCGCTCTTGGTGACTACCTCCTTGAAGTCGGTGAAAAAGTTCTTCTGGAAAACGTCGAGCTTCGCATGGGCGGTATCAGCCATGGCACCAAAGAAGTAGGCAACCTCCTCAGCCTCGGGGGCCAGGGTTACAGGAACACCGTCGTAGATGAGCTTCACGTTCTTGGGCAGAGGCTCGTAGGCGGGCGGGAACATGACGCCGTTGTGCACCAAAGTCGTCCACTTGATGCTGTCGTCCTGGTCCATCGGCTTGTCCCACCAGTTCTCGCCTCCCTCGTCGTCGTCATCCTCGACCTCCTCGCTCTCTTCTTTCTTGGCGACCTTCTTTGCAGCCGCCTTCTTCGCGGGCGTAACATCGGCCTTTCCCTTCGGCTTGGCCTTGGAAGCAGCTGGGGCAGGTTTCGCCTTGGGCTTGGTCTTTTTCAGAGGCGCATCCGAATCCGAGTCGGCCTCCTTCTTGACGCCGTTCGCCTTGGGCACCCCATTGGATGTTCTCTTCTGCCCCTTGGGCGCGGCCAGTGGCGCGTCCGAGTCAGACTCGTCTTTGACGGATTTCCGGATGGCCCTGGCCTCCCTGACGGCAGCGTTCTCGATGTCCTTCTTCTTCTGCGCCAGCTTGGCGGTCAAAGGCTTCTCATCGTCGGAGTCGCTGTCAATCATGTCGGCCGCGGTGGCTTTGGGGGGAAGGCGGCCTTTCCTGCTCAGTGGAGCATCGTCCTCCGAGTCCGAGTCGACCACCTTCTTTCTCTGGCGTTTTGCCTGGATACCAGTCAGTACGAGAAGAAATGCAAAGCGGCGAGATACGTACTATGGGGGCGTCGTCACTGTCGGACTCGTCCTTGTAGCTGACAACGGAGACCCGAGACTTCCTTTTCCCATGGCCGTTGACCTGCTGGGGGCTGTCGACATCCATGGCATCTTCGTCCCGCACAGGGCCGTGACGAATAGACACGGGCGCGGGTAGACCCTTGGCGGCGGGATCGTTCTTGTCCATGGCTCGGTCCTCCGACTTTGGGATGGTGGCTGCAGAGACTAGGCGAGAACGAGTCAGTTGAACTGAAAAACAGCAAGCACGATGGGGAGCGTGCGGTTGGTCGTGTGCAGGATCTCGGTAGTATCGAGCATAGATGCAGCACGAAGAAAAGGCAGAGACCGGGGCAGGTTGTGTAAGACGGCCGAGGTGAGGCGGCGCGAGGTGAAGTGAGGTGAGGCCAGGTTCAGCAGATTTGGCTGATCGAGCAAATGCAGGCGCGAGTCGCAGCCTTCCAGCAACAGAAGCCGGGAGAAGGGGGGGAAAAGAAGGTACTTACGGCGGCCATTGGGACGTGCCAGAGGCATATCGTCGTCAGAGTAGTCGGAAGCCATGGCGTACGGTGTGGGTGAGGGGGCACGAGTTGGTGAAGGATCGGGCAGGGCGATTCGAGCGCGAAGGAAGGAAGAGTGATATCGGGGGTGAGGCTGGCGCCCTGAGGGCGTGTTTGGCGAGAGCCGTACGAGCTGGAGTTGGTTTGCTGGGGGGGCAAATGGTTGACCACACCGTAGTGAGCCAACCCCGTCTATAGTGAGAGGGAAGGAGCGGCAGGAGTGCTGGCGAGAGAGAAGAGAGTGAGGGAAGAGAGAGCAGGGGAGAACAGCAGCGCGCAGCCGAGAAATGATTAAGAGAGGCCTTTCCCAAGTCAGTCTTGCGGTTCTGGAACCGGGGACGGGCGACTGGGTGCTAAGGTACTGTAGGTACACTTTGGCTGGTAGGGTCACTGTAGGGACAGTGGGACGGTACGGTCGCGGTTAGGTTTGCCCCGGGCAGTGGAGTCAGCGGCGGGCCCGTCTGGAGACTGGCGCAGAAGGCAGAGGGCAGAGGGCAGAAAAAAAAGAGAGGCAGACGACGCGACTCTCTCAGCGAGAGTCGAGCGTCGATGCTGGGACGGCCGGCTGGGTGGCTAAATCTGGGCCAATCAATCGAGATCGAAGGGGGTCAATGCAGCTGGTGGGCTTCCCTGTAGGTTAGCCTGGCTAGGTTACCATGGCACGAGGGATCGTGTGCTGCAGTGACTTCAGCGGGCGTGTGTTCCCTGTCCAGTGGGCGGCTGCCTGTCAGCGTCCAGACTCCAGCAGGTCCGTCCAGTGGTCGAGTGGCTTTGGTGGGTGAGCTGGGCTTACAGGGGCGGTCCCGACTGGGCACTGGATGCGGGTGGGCTTTGGTGCAGAAAAATTGACGATGGACGAGGGACGATCGGACGCCGAATGATCCGGCACAGAGAGCGAGAGACCTCGGGACCCGATCTCGGATGGAGTGTGTGATTCGCCAGCTGATGGCAGACTGCGCCGGGTGAGTGGAGGAGATGCAGTAGGGACTGTGGCAGGTGTGGCGTAGAGGAACAGACGGGCGCAATTTACGGAGTACAGTAGTTAGATGTGGCTTGGTAGGATGGATGGATGGATGGACAGACAATTTGGGTAGTTAACGTCAGCCTGATTCCTCAGGCGGGAAATGACCAGATGCTTGTTGGGGTCTAGCGTGCACGTGCCACTTTTCAGGTGGACCCGAGCGACGAGCGACGAGACAGAGAGACAGGGAGACACAGAGGGCAGGGAAGGAACGGGACAGGAAAACAGGAAGGGGGGCCTGGGGGGGAACAACTTTGGCAGAATCCGGCCTAGGCCCGAAAATTGATGCGAGGGAAAATAGGTACGCCCGGCCAACCAGGAGCTGCCGGGTGCTCTGGTTTTGGTTTGGAGTTCAGTTCGATCCGAGTCGACACGAACCTCACGCTTGCGATTCCCTCCATCAACCAACGACCAATTGATCGCGAATCCGAATCGTGATCAAGTGTCACCCACTGCAAGAGGCCCGGCACACTCTTCCTAATACCATCACAATGCTTTCGAGGGCGGCACGTCCGGCTCTGAGAGCTGGCGCTGCGGCTGCGGCTATTCCTGCTCGGTACGTCTACGTCTTTGTCGCCCCGTTAAACCTCTCGTTTTCTCGTCCTGGGCGGCACACCAGGGAAAGTCCAAGCTCGGGAATGTCATATATGTTGGGGCAGCAGGGCGATCCGTTCCGTTCGTGCATCGGCCGTCGAGATGGGACCCTCGGGATCGACTGTCCGCAAGAGCATGGGATTGGGGATTGGGGATTGGGAATGGACATGAACCCGGAAATGGAGATGCGAAACGGGGACCGACCCAAGACATGACATGACATGATACACTCAAGTGCAAGCTGCTGACCTAGCCCTCTCCCTCCCTACAGCACCGCCAACAATGCCGCAACCTACGCCACGCTCCGAGAGATCGAGGGCCGTCTCAAGTCCATCCGCAACATCGAGAAGATCACCAAGACCATGAAGATCGTCGCCTCCACCAAGCTCACCCGTGCCCAGCGTGCCATGACCGACGCCGGCAAGTACGGCAAGGCCTCCAACGAGGTCTTCGAGAGCGCCGAGACCAAGCCCCTCGAGGGTGAGGACAAGAAGACCCTCTACGTCGTCTGCAGCTCCGACAAGGGTCTCTGCGGTGGTGTGCACTCCGGTCTTTCGCGATGGATCCGCCGCAACGTCGGTGCTGGCCAGCCCGCCGCCGACATTGTCGTCATTGGCGAGAAGGCCCGCGCCCAGCTCACCCGTACCAACGGCCAGGACATCGTCCTCAGCTTCGCCGGCGTTGGCAAGGACGTCCCCACCTTCGCCGATGCCCAGGCCATCGCCGACCAGATCACCCAGCTGCCCACCGAGTACTCGGACGTCAAGATCCTGTACAACAAGTTCATCAACGCCAGCAGCTACGAGCCCAACATCGTCCCCGCCTTCTCCGAGGATGCCATCCTGGCATCGCCCAACTTCTCTGCTTTCGAGGTCGAGGAGGAGCTCATCGGCAACCTGCGTGAATACGCCCTGGCCAACTCTCTGTACTGGGCCCTGGCCGAGGGCCACGCCTGCGAGATCTCTGCCCGACGAAACGCTATGGATGTAAGTGCCCTTCCTACAAGCAAATCGTAACCCCCTTCCGACATGTACTAACCCGTCCTCTCAGAACGCCTCCAAGAACGCTGGTGAGATGATCAACAAGTACCAGATTCTGTTCAACCGAACACGTCAAGCCGTCATTACCGGAGAGCTGGTCGAGATTATCACTGGTGCCACCGCCTCCGCCGACATGTAAAATCAGGGTCAGAGCTAGATGGTAGATGGGAGGAGGCGGTCTTACTCGCATGTTCCCTTTGTATCAAAGTACCCCCTATGCAGCAGATGCTGCATCGCCCTCTGTGTATCAACGCCGAAATAAACTAGTTTCATCGAGAGGTCCCGCATCGACGTGTCTACGCTGCGTGACTCAACAGCCTGGTTCAGATCATGTTCTCCTTATCGACATTCGACATTCATGTGTGATTGACCAAGACCTGAGCCAGCCCCTGAAGCCTTGTCGTGTCAGGACCTCCTCATCCATACCCTCTGACATAACTATCTCCCTGTCCTCACAGCCCCTAGCATACTCCTTACTTTGCAAAGATCCCTTTCATCGTGAACGACACTGGGGAGAAGAAATTGCAACCTGGCCAAGCGCCTTGCAAGAGGATCCGAGCCTTTCCTTGCCCACTGTCTCGACTCCTGCCGGCGACGCAAGCTCAGCCGGACACTTGATCCTCAGCCAGGAGTTGTCGATCAGGGCAGATTCGAGAATGGATTGTAGGCCAGGTTGCTCGCTTCGCGGAACTCGCAGCTGTGTAAAATGGCAACGGCCTTCCAGTCACCAATAATAGATTGCATGAAGAAACGTTTGCGTCTAAGCAGTGCGAAATTATGCTATGGCAATGTTTACGACGCCCGATGACGGGCGAGTGAATGATGAGATGCTCCTATGAATGCAATGATCGCCTTCTTGCAAGCAAACCCGCAGAGGTAGCTGCATGGCGACAACCACTTATGTACTGCGGCGGCTAACACCGCCGACGTCTCGCCGATATGTGCACGATATTGGGTATCTCCCACCTCCCCCATGGGAGAGACCTTGCGCCCCTTCCCATCCGGTATGAGCGCTTCCAATTAATTGTTAGTCCGTAACGCCACCTCAGCTTGACCCTCGGGTCTAGCCTGCCATCTCCACGTCGCTCCCGTCACTCTCAGCATACGTGTTGACCTTCTGGCCCCTACGCTCCCTGCCGGCTGCTTCGTCAAACGGGCTGTCCTCAAGGACGAGCTTGTTTCCATTCGCCTCCCACTCTCCTCTAGCTTGTAGAGCTTTGCTATCCCACTCCTTAACCACAACCTCCCACTCTTTGAGCTTTTCATGGTAGACGCGCTTCTGTTCCGTGGCTTGGTCCTCGTATGGTCGCTTCTCCTCCGGAGTGGCCTCTTTCCACATCTTGCTTGTCATGACGCGGACCTCGTTGGGGCTCGGCTTGCCCTTACCCAGCCGACGACCTTCTTCACAACGCTTGCGTGCCGCGTCAAAGTTGGCCTTGCTGTAGAGGAGGTAGGAGTTACCTGCCACCTTCTGAGGACGCCAAGGTCTGTCGCCTATCTTTTCAATGATGTGCTGCCATGCCGCAACCTCATGAGCTTCTATGCGCGCCTGTTTAGAAGCCTGAGGCGAGAGTGGCACCGTATCCGCCTTTCTTTTCACAGCACTGGAGGACAGTGACATAGACGATTCCTTGGGTATGATAAGTGGAGAAGGTATGTTGATAGGACCAAGCATGGTATCAAGGACATCCGAAGCCGCGCGAAGACCAGAGAGATATGCGCCATGGACCGTCGCAGGGTGAGTCCCGGTTGTGTGCTCGCCAGCAAATATTACATTTCCAACAGTCTTGGCCATGGTGTCGTAATCATCAGACTTCATGGACGGGCCGGCTGATGAATATGAGCCGCGAGCGAACTTGTCAGAACCCCAACGGGTGACGACCGCATGCACTGGCTGTGGAACTTTGGCACCATAAACACTGCGTAGGACCTCGGTGGCCTCACTAACAAGCTCGTCGTTCTTAGTATACTCTGTGTCGAAACCAGCATCTCCAGCCATGAGAGCCAGGAGGACCGGTACACCACTCGTGTTGGACACATCAAACCACTGAAAGCAGCGACCGCGCTGCGAGGCATAGTCGCTCTGTTTGAGGCTATGCCGCGAAGACGGACTTCGCAAGACACCGAAAATGTCGCGACTTGTGTCCCAGAACCGCTCCTGATAGACCAATATGACCTTGTTCAGTATGCCGAATCCAAGACGGCTAATGGCATCTGTCTTCCATGCCGGTAGAGGGGGGTCAAATTTGACACTTCCGTGTTTGAGCACACCCAATGGGATAGTTGATACAACGTAGTCGGCATCGATCGAGAACCCATCCTCACATTCCACCCTCGCAGTACCATTACCCTCCGCATTATATGTGATCTTCTTGACGGCACTGTCCTTTCGGATATTTAACGCCGATGGCGCATGAGCCAGTCCCCATGGCACGCTCTGATAGCCGCCTACGACCATAGTGTGCTTGCCTTCCCACTCGTTACCTGCATCTATATCCCAGCCACCCAGGCTGAGGTTCTTCAGGTTTGTTGCGTTGCTGTACTCCAGATTGGCAATGTGCCAGTTCATTAATCGATAGTCCTGGGGCGTGAGGTCGATTATATCCCGATACTGGGTAATTGCTTCATCTATAAGTGAACCCAAAGTCACATCGGGTGATTTTGCCGCTGTGTCGAGTTCTAAATCGCGGTCTTCCAGGATGCCTTCCTTTAAAGCCCAACCCATCAGCTTCGCTTTGAAGGCTGCTTTCAGAGCAGCAGCGGTCCCCGGCTCAACATGCGTCTTGCCGGTAGCCTTGTCGGTGGACACGGGGACAAGGTTGACCTGCGGAGCCAAGCTCTGCTCGGAGACAGGTGCCGCTTGAGGCATCGACGCCGTCGTCTCTTCGACATGGGCAATTGTCTTGTTCCCTTCAGAGGCACTGTCTCTGCCTTCATCCATTAAGTCTCTGTTGCCCTCGATGAGTTTTGATGGTGGGCTCTTAAACTTGTAATCGCTAACCCTTTCAAGGCAGTCGTTGAAAAGTCTTTCAACTAAAAGATCCCTTTGCGCATCGACCGGTTTTCCATTGGTATCGTACAAGTTGGTCTCCGGCCGCAGTGCGTAGTAGGGCAATGCCATCTGACCTCTCAACAGGACATTTAGAGGATTGCCTCGCTCGAATCCCGTGATGATCATGCCACCACATTCGACGCTATGACGCTGGCCCTTGAAGCCTATCAAGCGCTGACATTGGCTCCCGTTGACAGCTCGCGAGTAGACGCGGCCGCCGAGACGACTTCGCCCTTCAAGCACAATAACCTTTGGTACCTCCTCTCCCAGTTGCTGAAATTGGCCTGCATACTGTTTGAATAGAGTCTCCAGCTGCCTGGCACATCCAAGTCCAGACATACCGGCGCCAATGACTACGACAGTCTTACCTTTCCGTTTCGGGGGACCCTTGTAGCGTCGAGTCTTCGATGAAGGAACTTCCGCGCAGCCATAATTGATGAAGCCCCGACGTAGGAGCCATTCGTAGCTCACGTTTGCGACATCAAACCATCGGGAGTCCTTTGCACAACCAATCGCCTCTTCACGGGCAACTCCGATGCGTGGATTATTCAGCCATAGTCTCAGGATGCCGTTTCGAATATTGAGGTAGGTCGTCACCTGCGCGTGGCTGATATGTTCGCGCAGCATCGAGTACTCTTCTTGGTGTAGTGCATATGGGTTCAGTCTCGAGTGCTCAGCAGCTGCGATGCACTGATTTGCGTAGTCAAAGGGTGCGATATCCGTCGGAATGGACACCCTGGGGCGCACATTAAACTTGCGCCTCGACGGTGTTGGTCTCTGCGACCTCGTGACATCGGTGGCAATCGGGCGACTGGGGGTCTCTAATGACTCTTTGGTGTCTGTCACATGAGCCGGCGTTGTTGCCTTACTAGACGGTGAGGCTGGTGGAGAAGAGAGATCTGACTGCTCCGATATAGCAGACGCCGACGACCCGAGGGATTTCCTCGAGCTTTCTTGGAATCCAAGGAGTTTCGGGTTGGCTACACTCTCTTGACCTGAGGGATACCTGGTCTCAATGGTTAAGACAGGAAACACTCAGTGTCGAGTTTAGGTATTGTGAAAAAAGGCGCTGGGGTTCACATATGCCAAACAGAACTTACTCAGATTCTGGCTGTGTTACGAGGCCAGATGCGGTGCTATTCATATCGGTATCCATATCATCTACCAGCACAACAATTTCAGATTCCGTTTTGGGAGTGCCCTTTGATGTTGAAGGACCGGTGTTGGCTAACGAATAGATATCTGGAGCGCGGGCGGCGGATGTGGGTATCTTGGTGAGATCGCTCTTCGAGGCCAGCAAGGAGAGATGTAAGTCAAGTCCGTCAAGGTCCATCGACGACCCCGAGCCAATGTTTTTGCCCTCCTCCAACAGAGTCTCCTGAGCGCTTCTCATAGTTCGCGGGCTCACAAGACGTCGTGGATAGAAGCTTTCATCGGTGTATATGAGCTGGGTCGGTTTGGATATCGCGGCTTGGCGGGATTCTTGAGAGTGTCTGTGCCCATGAGATTGACGTATCACCCCTCGAGGCCCATTCTAATGTACAAGTGTCACCGAGTGATCATGTCAAGTAATTTGGAGCCGTCTGTTCAATCGCATTAGATGTTGCGCATGAATTTGGTGCCATGCAAGGGAAGCGATGTCAAGGTTGGCGTGATGACTAGGACACAGTGAGGGCTCGATGAAAAAGGGCACCGTACCTCTAGCGTGGACTTCCGCCGCTGGCCAAACTGGACCCGATTGGAGAGTAAGCCGATAGAAGCATGAAAACGACAAGCGAGGAACGGATCAATGGGGTGGATCGAGTCCGAAGTCCCAATTCGTGCGGCCTTTTATGTCTTGATTGATCGAGATATGGATATGTACAAGAATGATGCAGCGTCGTCGAACCATCTGGGAGGGGGGGCCGCCATGGCCCGCACCCTAAAAGGACTGCTGTAGTTGAGCTACACGTGACTGCCATCCATTCTGTAAAGTTTCAGCCACCCCTGGGGCCATCGCCATCTTCGCAAACTCGTCCCCTCGAAAGTGTGCATTGAGTGGCCAAACACAGAGGGGCATGCAAGGGCATATAAGCACTCAGGACTCAATACTACGAACTAATTGGAGCACATCGCCCTCTATACTATCCGCTGGCGCTACTGTGCCCCTGCCCAGTTGCCCGACACGGAAGCCGGCGTGGAACCGCCTGCGCAGCCTCTCATTGGGCTCATCTCACTTGCTCCCCGGCACCGTCCCGTACACGCACTGCAGTGCCTCAGCTCGAAGTGGCGGCTGCTGCTGTTGCGGGTTTGGGCTTTTCTCTTGCGAATGACTCGTTCTCGATCGCGGCGCTCATCATTCGGTTTCCATTCAGGATCGACGTCGTACAGATGACGATGTTTCGTCGAGCTGAGTGAGGCATGTATTAGTCAAGTCACGTCCATGAATACAGGCAGGGCGTATTCGATACATACCTTCCTCCTTCCTCGCAATGAAGCGCAAAGCGGCAATCTCAGTGAAAGTTATGCCACCGACGAACACTACAAATACCGTCTTCTTCTCCCCGCCGCCAGACAAGAGCGAACGCGCCTTCACGGCCTTGTCCTCTCCCTTCTGAACCTCGTCGAATGTCGGGCCACGGGCATGCTTCACAGCGTCGTCAAACCCTCTCCATCCTTGGGCGCCGCTGCCTGCGATGTTCCCCGCGCCTGCGGCTGTGTTGCCGCGTGTGATGGATAGAAGATATTGTTTCTGGAGAATGCATTGCACAAGGCGAATCGACAAGGGTGCGTAGCCACTATAGACATACGCGATATCGTTGGGGTCGTGCTCGTTGACTTCGTCGACAATCAACCGTAGTTGCTTGCGGAGATATGTGTAGTTCGTCTTGGTTCCCGCTGCTGCTCCGGATCCCGGCATTGGAACCATACTAGCCATCGGTGACGACCGAGGTAGGAGTAGTTGGAGCTTCTCCAAGTTGTTGAGCGTAAGTAGATGCTGATAGCCATACCCCTTCAGGATCAGACGCCTGAAATAATCAAACTCTTTCGTTGAGATCCCCCCGGATATACATGAGTAAATGCAAACTAGTCTCAATACCTCTGGGAGCGGTGTGTCCCTAGCGATCAGCTCTTCGATAGCATCGAATTGGGAACTCGGATCGGCGCCTGCAGCCAAATTTTGCTGAACCTCAAGTAATCGACTGAATTGATCAGTTCGGGTATACTTCATAATCTCTTCAGCCAGTGACGTGTGGATTTTCAGACTTTGTTGCTCGGCCTGGTAGCCGGGGAGCTTTTTAACGAAATCTTTGAGCTCTGCCGTCGTTTTCGAGGCATGCCGGCTGTCATAATCGCTCTGCAGCCGTCGCGCGACCTTGTTAAGCAGGGTGCCGACGATGGCGAAATTCGTATCCCGTAGGCCGTCATATAGTTTGTCTGAAGAGTCGAGTTGGATCTTGCGTTTTCTTGATTGGTTACTTGCAGCAGGTGCGGTAGATGTGCCTTGGGAGGGGGGCTGGGCTGGACCTCCGACAATCGTAGAGTCAACATCAGTTTGATTGTTCTGAATATTGAAGACTTCGTCGATCAATCCTTCGTAAGTGAGCTGCGTGAGCAATGGCGAAACCATGTCAACCTCGCGATCGATAATGATGACGCTCTCAGTTGAATTGCTCGGAGTCAACCCAGCTTTCGCAGCCTCACTAGCATCCTCTCCGGCCAGAATCTCTTGTCGCATTCGTGAAAGAAGTGTCGCTACCCGTTTGGCATTGTCTCCCTTGCCGATGATACGAGGGAAGAGGCCATGTTTCGACTGAATACCCATGAGAGCTTTAGCGATGAGAAAGGCAGGGGTGGTATCCTTGCATAGAAACAAGTCCCGGAAGGAGTCATCGAGTTCAAGAGAGAGAACATCGCGCTCCAAGGGGAAGAAGTAGAGCGGCAACTCGTGAATGCTGACATCCCCTAGGACGCCGCTCTCCTCCAGAAGCTTGTCGGATACCAGAGTACGGCGCGGCACCCAAAAGATGTGGAAGTCATGGCCGGTTTGGCTCTCACGTTGCAATCGCTTGACCTGTTCTGAAGGATTGTCAGCATGTCAAGGTTTCCCTGGGCACGGAGAGCTCATTGAGTGGACTGTGAGTCCGACCCGACAGCTGGCCGTCTTCTCTCGCCATTGTCACCGAATGTTCCAAGCGACTTTGAGCGAGTCGCTGTTAGTGTTGCACGGACCCGGTGACATGGCGAACAAGTCATGCTGCGTGCAGCGCACTTTTGCGAGGGCGAGAATAAGAGGCGTAGCTCACCTGCGATCGCCTGAGCGTGGCGGGCACACTCGCCCCGGGCCATGAAGACGACATTGCGCTGGCTCGTGTCGGCGTTGTTGTTCTCTAGGAAGAAGAACTTGTCCACGCCATATTCCTGGAGCGTCGAGACCTTGACCACGACGCCGATAGGGCCGGCCAAGCTTCGTTCGATGACGAGGTTCTTTTTGCCCCGGACCTACAATGCAAGCTCATGTTATTCGCCGGTCGCGCGGGCATCGGGGGCAGGGCGCGGGCAGGGCGGCCGGACTTACACCCTCAAGGAGATATAAAAGATCTTTCCGAGCGCTGTCCTTGATCTGCTCGGTATCGAACCCCACATGAGGAGCCATCTCGAGCTCTCATGGGGGTTGGAACTCGGAATAAGAAGCCGCAAAGGGTGAGTGGGCGAAGGAGGAAAGCTGCCCCCCAAGTCGGTGTCTTGGAGCTCTAGGCCGACGCGACGTCACGCACCCAGAACGCTAACTGCTGGATGGCTCGAGGTCCCCAGATCGGACAAGCTCGCTGCCCCACCAATGCTCCAACTACCAACTGTTGCATGCAAATAGTCCTCCCCGCCCTATCACGGTCATTGTGGCATGCATGGATTGCTATGTAGACCTCTGTATTGACAACCGCTACTGCCTTGGCTCAGACGCTTTCTTCCTTCTGTACCTTCAGGGGATGCGGGTGGACCATCTTTGCTTGGTGAGCTTGCTAGCAGTCAATCTGTATAATTTGGCCCCCCTAGAGCGCATGGAGAGCGCGTGAGACGCGAGTCGGCCTCGGTATGGTTTTTCTGTATCATCACCATGGAACAGATTCGGAAGGAGTTTCACCAGGGAGCAGGTGGGTCTTGTTGATTTCGTCACCGACTTGGGCCTGAGCAATGTAGTCGTAATGGCATGTAAAGCCTCCAAGTATCGAGCAGAAGAGTGACCTTGGGAGGTCATATGGACCACGGCTGTCTATGCAGTTATGCCTATAAAGTGTATCCATTCATACATCCTCGCGATTCACATCTCTGCCTCCAGATCGGTTGGCGTCGTAAGTGATGCGTGACTCGCCCTTGGTCTTTCACGGTGAAAAGACTCCTTAAACCCCAGCCTCATGCTCAACGCCTTGCAATCCGATGCGATACCAAATACCCATCCCGCAGGAAACGAACGCCAGGCCTTGTAAGGGTCGTGCAATCTCAAGGAAACGCAGATCATAGATGACGGGAGGCGACAACCCCCCGCGCTAGACAGTATTATCGTGGTAGTAGAAATCGATGTCTCTCGGGCGCAGGCGGTTCCCCCTGACAAACTCCTCGTCGCCGGGCGGCCGCTCGTCCTTTGTGTTCCCCGTCAGCATGCTCTGGATGCTCATGCAGACGCTCTCCACGTTCTGCACCGGACTCCATCCCTGGGAGCCCAGCAGGTCTAGGCAGATGATCCCGTTCGAATAGATATGAGGGTGCATGGGTATGGGTCGGTTGTCCGTCTTCGTAAACGTGACTTCGGGCGGCTCGATCGGGTAGGACTTGCTGAACTTGAATTTTAATCTGTATGTCTGACCGGCGTAGAGCGGGTTCTGGTCGAGCACTTGAATATCAAGGAACCATTCCTCCAGATTGTCGGCCGAGACAAGTGTGATGCCAGGCGGCAGGCTGTTCTGGATCTGTGTTCCAATGGAAGTCAGCCATGGTCGGCGCTTCTGCGACGAGCGGGGGGCCTCGAACCTTTGTGAGCTCCTTGCCCAGTCTCTTGGGCCCCAAACCCGACATTGTGCTCGCGGGCGACCTCAGGGTTCTTTCGAAGGTGGGATGTGTAGGATTCGGCGGGGTTGGCCGCGCGCGCCGAAGGGTCGTCCGGGATGGAAGGCGGGAAGCGGGACGCCGAGAGGTGAGTGGGTGGGTGTGTAGTGGGAGGCAGTTGGAAGCGTTGGTGAGGAAGGGGGGGCTCTGGTCGGTCTTTGAAAACTGGATCCGACAAGGCGAGTGGCTCTACCGACCTCAGTGAGAGTGAGGTATGCGTCTGGTTTGAGCAAATCTGCAAGGGGAACAAGAACCCTTGTTGACGATAAACGCAGGTTTGGATTGCGTTGACTGACGGCAAGTCTGGTGATTGCCGCCTTATGGGATTGTACTGGACCCGGGCATGTAAGTGCTAGCTGGTACCAGTACCACCCAATCCCCTGAGATATTCGGTCGACCACTGTGACACGGTGCGATGCGACGCAACAGTTGCTTGCAACTGGACATCTTGAAACCAAGAGCCCGGGTCTCTATGGTTTCGCCGATGCTGTTCTTTCCGCTGCCCAAAATTTCCCATTGAGAATTCCCATTTTGCACACTGTCCGCTTCGCATTGTTGCGATCTTTGTGCTTGGCCCTGCTTTATTCTTTTGCCTGCCGACGGGACCGCCCCTGCGTGCAGGTCTACTGCAGCTCGGCCCGTCCAGGATGCCTCAGCGATAAGGTGACCACCGAGGGGTCTGTACCTGTCCTAAGTTAGGGGCTCTATGAGGGCACTCTGCCTCAAGTTGCATTAGGCACTGTCAGGTAGGTATTTGCTTCCAGAGGCATCCCGTGTACACGGCAAGAAACTTCCGAAGAGCCTCACGCAATTGGGATGACAAAGTGGGACATGACCACCACCTCAGCAGCTCCGCCACGAAAGGATACTACTACACTTCTGACAGGATGACACTAGAATTGCAGTGTTGCTGGGCAGGAACCTGGCATTCCACATCGTGTGTGTTCGACAGGCATATACTGGTGCAGACGACCTCTTGCGCGGAACAAGCCACGGGAAGAAGCTGAGTGAGCCGAGGGCACTGCCAGTGATGTTCGTCTGTTGCGCTTCAACGGCCGCGATGCTGGCCAATAGCTTTCGCTGTTGCGGCCGTCGCGATAAGGCTCTTCCCTCGTCCCTCCTGTCTAGGCTCTGTAGGCTGTCCTGGCAAGCCCGTGTTTGCGGCTGAGCATGGCAGCGTTAACTCAAATGGCGAACAAGGCTTACTTCCATCTACGGGGAGGCCCGTATGGGTCAGGCGGCGTTCCCACGGTACTGTGAAGGCTGTGTGCCTAGCCACTGGACTGCCGTAAATGGAGTTCAACCTACATACGTGACCTGACATGACATGGCATCCATGGATGCGACCTGAAGTCAAACTGTTATTTACTTCAGCGATCCGGCTCCCGCTGACTGCGCCTGTCGTGGACAGTAAGATAAAGATATTCTCGACAGGTGCCGTTGTCGCTGTCCATCACCAACGTCTGCTAGCTTCAGGGTACCCATACTTCCCCCCCAGCCCGTATCTTGATCCATTCATAGAATTTGGCCCCCGCAACACCGACGACGACGCGACTCGACCCCTCATTCAGTCCCCTGTTCAGGCCAAAGAAACGGCGTCCCCTCCAATCTATTAGTCGCTCCTGGGCGATCGTCAGAGGGAGCTACATACCTGGAGCCTTTTTGTGGTGAAACCGCCCGCATACAACTTGTCTTGCTGCTCTCTCGTCTACCTACACGTTTCTTGTTTCTCTCAATCGTCCCGACCGCCTACCTTCGACCTTCAGGCGTTCTCAACGACGCAAGGGAGCCCGACGATTCTCTGGTGACGTCCGGCAGCTCCATTCAGCTCACCCCCACCTTATCATCTATTCCTGCCTCAGCTGTCACTGCGACCTGCAGGGTTCGCGACAGAAGGAACAATGAGCTGTACGTGTTCTTGCTCTCTGCTGATGTTTCTGGCCCCCAGCCTGGTCGCCAGAGCGACATCACTCATCTGGACGAGGCCTCTGTCGCTGGCGACGACAGCTCATCATGCGGCTGGGAGCTTGCATCTCTGTTCACTTGTGTCCTACATTTTTAATCTCACCTATGCACTAACACTTACCCTCATGTCTTCAGTTACCGGAATGCTCAGTCGGCTGCAAGGCCAACCCGAGAGCTACGACAAGAAAGCAAAGTACCGATTCGGGCGAACACTCGGTGCAGGAACCTATGGCATTGTTCGAGAGGCCGACGGCCCAACGGGAAAGGTCGCGATCAAGATCATCTTGAAGAAGAACGTCAAGGGCAACGAGCGCATGGTTTACGACGAGCTGGACATGCTTCAGCGCCTCAAACACCCCCACATCGTCCGTTTTGTCGACTGGTTTGAGTCCAGGGACAAGTACTACATTGTCACCGAACTCGCTACCGGCGGTGAGCTGTTCGATCGCATTTGCGAACAGGGCAAGTTCACGGAGAAGGACGCCTCGCAGACCATCAAGCAAGTCCTTGGTGCTGTGGACTATCTTCATCGCAACAACGTCGTGCACAGAGGCAAGTATATTAGAACTCTACAAACTTGGGAGCATCCCGCTGACCCCCACCCCAGATCTTAAGCCGGAGAATCTCCTGTATCTTAACAAGCACTCAGATTCTGACCTAGTGCTCGCCGACTTCGGTATCGCCAAGATGCTGGACACCAAGGACGAGGTTTTGACGACCATGGCGGGTTCGTTCGGCTACGCGGCACCAGAGGTAATGCTCAAGAAAGGCCACGGGAAGCCTGTAGACATGTGGTCGATGGGTGTCATCACCTACACATTGCTTTGCGGTTACTCCCCATTCCGATCAGAGAACCTCCAAGATCTCATAGACGAGTGCAGCAACGCACAGGTCGTCTTCCACGACAGATACTGGAAGGACGTCAGTGACGATGCCAAGGAGTTCATCAAGCACTTATTGAAACCGAATGCAGAGGATCGCTGGACCAGTCAGGTAAGTCACCCAAAGCTGTCTGCCGACATCTCAGGGTTCAACTATCTCACACAATTCTTAGCAAGCATTGAACCACTCCTGGCTCCGAGGCGAGACCGCTACGGACCACAACTTGTTGCCCGAGATCAAGGCATACATGGCCAAAGCCCGCCTCAAGCGAGGTATTGAGATGGTCAAGCTTGCAAACCGCATCGAAGCACTCAAGATGCAAGAGGACGACCCTGAGAACCCCGATTTCCCGGTCGATGCAACCGGCGCTGCAAAAGATTCCACTGCCCGGGCCGGCTCGTCTCAGTCGTCTGGCGATAAAGCCGACAAGACCGAAAAGGGCGAGAAGAAGAGCCTTAGCCGCATCGCTAGGGGTGCCATCTTCCGCGAGATTGTTCTGGCCAAGGTGCGAGAGATGAAGGAGCAAGAGCAGACTCTGAAAGTGAAGGAGGAAGCCGAAAAGGAAGCTCGAAGGAAGAGCTTCAGTGGCTCCAAAGACTCTGCTTGAGGCGGATGGGCAGCACAAGGCACGAGTCAGGTGTGGCCTAGACCCGACGTAAGGGTAACAGGACCAAGGCGGCTGGGGAAAATGAGCACTTTGGCCATGAGGCTTTTGACTTCATGCAATATTCAGAGTAGCAGCTGGGTGAGTTCTGGCAGTCAGGGACCGCAACGAATTCCATTCTTGGATCCGTATGATCCATTGATACTTGTGTAGTTGTTCAGGCGTTGAATTCCTAGGGAGCCTTAGGCTCCAGTTTTCGCTGGGTATACGTTTATTCAAAATATGGATTTCTGTTGACCTGACGCCCTCCAGCACGGCTTTGTGATTTTGCAGTGAGACGCCTGTCTCTACATACGCCACGTAAAAGCTTCACGGCACCTCGTGGGGTTTAGGAGCATCGCCAACATTCCAAAAGACTTGAACGGTGCCGTGCCACGTGTGAGCCTCGTTTCTCCAGTCTTACGGAAGATAATTATACTAGGCGATAGACACAGACGATGTCTCCTTGTAGTGTGACCAAAGCCTTTTGGTCCGTCGGATCAAGATTAATGATCAATGTGAATATTGAAGGAAAATATCATACCATTTTAGAGAACATGTTTGTTGGCTCGGAGGTTGCTGAAAGCAGAAGTGCCATCCAAGCTGTGAATACGGCTACGATCAGTCGACGCTCAAATAGCACGTGAAATCATTCCTTGCTTGGTCTCAGGCTGCGGTCAAAAGGGATCGAAGACGTTACCGGTATCTCCAAGTATTATAGATACTATTTACACAGCTTGATAATTATCTCACTCTCCCCCTTCATTGAATAGAAGTCCAAAGCATCAATATAAGCCCATAATATCCACACGCCGTCGCTTGAAATCAATCCCGACCGCCACGCCGTCCCGGCGGGCCAAAAGCGCCTTGCAATAATACATGGTAATAATTCTCAAAGACCACTTCCCAAATGTACCGTTTCAATAAAATATACAGCACCAGGACAAAGAAGCCTAGGCACCGATCTCGCTCAGGGCTTGTTCCCGCAGCACCTCGTAGCGCCTGTTGTCGAACCGCTTCCGCTGCCACCCGTTGGCCCGGAGCCGCTCGATGCGTTTCTGCAGTGCCTCGTCCGCACCGCCGCTGCGAGTGGAGGACGCGGCGCTCGACGGACGGTACGACAGCGACGAGGCGATCGAGGCCACGCTGTCGCTCCGAGTACGAACCCAAGACTCGTGCGACTGCGTAAGGTCCTTGGCTGCTGGGGAGACGTCAAAATTTGACACCCTGCCAAGAGAGTCGTTCAGGCGTTGGGCTTGAGCGCCACCGAGGGTAGAAGTCATGCCGGGTGGAGGCGGTGGAATCGAAGGCATCTCGGGAACGACGGGGGTCTCGGGGATCTCGGGGATGTCGTCGGGTTGAGTCAACAGTGTGTCGACGGCGTCGCGGTGCCAGGCCACCTGTGAACGGAGGGCCGCGAGCTGAGAAACCAGTCGGTTTGCCGATCGAGTTTGCAGGAATGACTCCAGATTAAACGACTCGTCCTGTCCCTCCTCTTCCGGCACAGGCTTCAGGATTGGTGGTGATGGTAGCTGTGCCTCGGTTGAAATTGATCGTACGGGGAAAGTCTTGTCCGCCGATTTTGACGTTGGTTGAACAAGACACGACTGCGGCAGCACAGTTTCAGACGCATATTCACGTTGCCCAAAAAGATATTGGTCCTCCTCCCAACCCAGGGTTGGGCTGTCTGGTCGAATGTACGGCTCAGATTGCCAGCTATTCTTGGGTATTTCGATGGGTTCCGGTAAGCCGGAGAAAGAGACCTTCTTCTTCTTAGGCCTCTTCGGTAAAGCTTTTACTTTCATGTCTTCAACTGAAGATACCGAGTTGCGCGGCGAGGACAGCGCCGTACAGACGGAGGATCGCGAGCTGATTGATAACGAGGGTGAATGCAGACTTGAGCTCGTTGAACTGGCTGAGCCCGACCTCGTCTTTTGTACCGTCGCGTCCTCAGCCCTCTGTATGAAAGCCGCGGCGCGATCATAGTGGTCTCTTGCGTCCCTCAACAGCTTGGTCCGGTAGGATGAAGACTGTGAAAGCGGCCGGGCGCACATTTCAAAGGATGACGCCGCATAGAAGTGGAGGTAGACAAGATAGATCGTCTCCACGTTGGATGTCTCCCTCAGATTGTCCAAGACCTCACAACATCTTGCTGAGCATGTCCGGTATTTGCGGTTGACATATTTGCGCTTCACCTCGCTGATGGTCTTCTTCCACTCCGTAGGCGTGTAGGGCAGTACTGGAAGTGGAATTGGTGTCAATGAGAGGCGCGTGATCGATTTAGCTAACGGCAGTGACTGCTGCCGGCGGTGACTTGGAGTCATAGGGCTGTGGGCAGCCATGACTGAAGCTGGTCGTTTCGTCTCAGTCGGCTGGACAATGACGCTCGACCTGCTGCCGCCCGATGAAGGGAGGAGAAGGGGTATTAGTCCGCCCATGGTGTTTGTGGCTGTTTGCGTCCTCAGTCGAGATGGGGGATCACAACAATCCCAATAGGCTCTCAAACCGTCTTTCAGCCACCGTCAATCTATATTTGACAATAGTGCAAGCCTCTGAATAGTACTGTGTCCAAAGCTGCTGTCCAATGAGAAGGCGGAGCGGGACTAGGCCCGATTGTCGATCTCCCCGACAATGCAAGAGACCGTCTTAAAGTTGCACAGAAGACACAGCTGGGTTGAATCTGCGTATCCCAGGCTGAATGGCAAGGATTTGTTGGGCTCAGATCAAATGCTATTGTTGATGGTGTTACTCCGTGAGATGAGACACGAGGCAAAACCGTGGTTCGGAGAGACCACCCGACGGAATGGCGCAGTGACGATGTAGATGCTAGGTTGGGACAGCCCGGGTTGTCTGAACACTCCTACGTTTCAAGGAGCAATTTGCAAGCCGAGATGAACCACCTCAGATGCACAGCCCAGATCGAGAAATGAAATGCGATAGGAATTCCTGGAGCCCAACGGCGGATTCCTTGCGCTCATCCGAAGCCTTTCTCGCGCGCCCCCGGGTACGATGAGTGCCGCGTCGATCCGAGTCACTGGACGTATTAGGTTGCTGGGCTGAACCGGGGTGGCAGAACCACAGCTGTCTTGGATCAGCTGCGCAGAATTGCTTGACAAGACGTGCGGGCGAGATCAGATTGCGACCGTCTAAATGAACCAGTCGGCCTTCCAGGCAACGGAGTCCGATAAAGCCAAAGTCAGTAGGGTTGGCGGGTAGGTGTTCAGGCGAAACTTTAAAGGGCTCGCAAGCCTCGAGTTGTCGAGCAAAGAAGCAACACAGGAATCGACATGTATAAAAAGCAAAGGGGTATCTCGAAGGATGCAAGGTACGCTCAGATGCGGGTGGGTACAGAAAAGCTACCATGAAAGCGAAACACAATGACGATCTTCCAAAGCCTGAACACACAGGTACAGCTTGTTCAAGTAGACAGAGTAAGGACCCAGAGCACAACAGACCTCGAGTATTGCCCGGGGGTTGAGGTCTACCCTGCTCCTTTTAGTATTGTCACCTAGTTATTCGGGCCCAAGCACAGGAGGACCTCCTCCATCCACATTGGCCACGGCAATCCCTGCAACTCTGCATAGGGCACGGAATATCTGGCAGGCTGGGGCCTCACTTTGGTCACCTCGCGGAGGGCGAATCTAGGCGGAATTGGGTTCTATTTCTGTTTTATGAAGTCAATGCAAGGCTTGAGAAAGATCGGTTTTGAGGCCCACGTCTGGGGCAGTGCTCGAAGAAAGCAAGCGCAACGGTGTCGAAAAGAATTGTCAAAAATGCTGGAGATGCAGTCGAAAGCAAACCCAGACGTGGTGTCGATTCGTTCAGGGACTTCTTTTGCAGCTCTGGCAGCGGCCTGGGGGTGGTGTCTCCCGCTTGCCCGCCATGGCAATTCCTTGCTAGCCCCCCTCGCTTTGCCGGCGCGGGCTGCTGCACGACGCCTGTCGCGCCGTTCCCCACCGGCGACTTAGAGGCCAGAGTCGACATAGCGTGCGTGGTCTGCAGGGCTTCCGCCAGTCCTACCCGACGCTGGCGCCTCAAGCCTCGACAACACGCTCAAGCAAAAGGAATGGCCCTGCTGCTGATCCCACAGGCCCACAGGCACCCGTAATACTGTACAGACCCTGCGCGTTCGTGACCGACGTAACTCCCACCGTGGATTCGCCCGAGTCTTGCAATTGTTGTTGACCTTGCGGTGCGCTGATGGCTACTCCCTCCTCTCCTCTAGGTTTCATCCATCTCGCGTTTAACGAACTCTGCTGAAATTGCATCCCAACGGCTTCTTCCATTGCTTCCTTCTCCCCCCTCCATCAGCTGTGAAACACCAGAGTTAATGTGTCATGCAGTGAATTGGGGCTTCGAGGTCTTCGACCCCGTCAGTGCGGTGTTGGGCTGGCCATACAGATCACCAGCCTCTGTGGCTCGCCGTTGGTGTCGCTTCCCGGTCGAGTTTGGCGTGACCTGCAGTCGCACTGACCTCTGATCTCTGCGTTGTGACATTGCTCGCATTTGGATAACAAATGTGCCTCACTGTTGCAACGATGGCACCAAAACGTCTGAGCGGCGGGGTCCTCGAGGGATCCTTCTCAGATATGCACTTATACCCTTCCAACACGCGCCGGTGTGCCGTACCCTGTGTTATAGCTCAGGGAAACGGTTAGGTGGTTAGGTGGTGATCCGTAAGCAGTGATCTAGCTGGCCCTCTTTCATCACTCGGATTGGGAACTTCATCTCGGCGACATGTGTAGGGAGAGGTGTTAGGGGCCTCGGGGTCTGTGCCTACGGACTGGAAACAACTCCTCACGCGGGATATGCTATTTTCTTTTGCCAGTGCCGCGTCCCGGAACTTTGGGCCATATAACAATCGTGTCTAGGTGGCGCCGCCAAAGCAATGTCTCAACTCACTCTGTCGAAGGCATCTGAGAAAAAGTTGGAGTTGACGTCAACATCAATGGCCTCCAGAATCACTTGGTAGGTCAGACCAACTCGGGTTCGGGGGAGCCAGGGTAACATTGGAACCATCTCAAATCTCTGAGGACCAGTGCTCCCGCGAAGGAAAAACCCGCTGTCACTTTTGAGCTGTCAGTTTACACCCTGGGAACCAAGGAAACCAGACCTGGTTTTCCCCCTTTGATACTAGGAATAAGCTATCGTGCGATGGCAAGCTGCGGACCTTGGCACTGGTTTACGAGCACGTGGTTGGCATAGTTGCAAGCTTTACAGGTTTTTGATACTCCACATATAGTCTCTCTTAATTAACCATCTCGCCTCAGGTACAAACATTAATGTGACATATCGCTTGCCATGCCTCTGTAACATGATATCTTGACTCGGTTCCCCCTCGTCGTCATTGTCCGAGGTAGGAAAAGAAAACGGTGAATAAGTCGAGGGGGATGTGGAGCATCCAGAGACGATGATAGAGGAGAATCTCCTCGATGGAGCCTGGAAGCCATGCATGTGTTGGGGCACGGCCATGTGGTCGCTCGCGATCAGACGGGATGATGTGCGAACTCCATCGTGCTACTGCCGCAGTTCATGCACGATGTATGCGAGGTACAAAGCATGGCAGCAGCACATGACCTCGCTCGTCCCTTGTCATTCTGCATAGAAGAACCGGAACCTGTCTGGTCAGCGCATATCAATCTATGGACAGGCTCCTGCTGAACATGTTTGCCAGGCCACACGGCACGCGACGATGCACCATTGGAAGTTTCGCTGCTCGCAAGCAAGCAGTCTTAATCACATAACCCTGACTGCATGGGTGGGTGGAGCGAAGATCTGAGCGCCAGGATCGCGGGGTAAGGGACAACAATTGATCCTCACGATGCAGTCAGAAGGCGAGGACGTTTGGACAGACCCTAGCGTACCAATGACGCTGAAGAACCAAACTTTCTAGAGTTTTTTTGTTTTATATGCTTTGCGGTGACCACCTCGCAGCTCGCTTGCAGGTAGCTCATGAACATGGGACGAACTGCTACAAGAAAATGTCATGATTCCAGCGGACATGCATGACCGAAGCCGTAGATCCCATTCGGACCGGGCGCTTGTCGCCGTGATGGCCGTTCAGCTTTGAGCAACCATACGACACGCTCTATTGTTGCTGTTGCTTGTCGTCATCGACCGGCGCAGCAATCTCCACAGCTGCAGCGGCCTCGCCCGGCGTGACTTCCTCGCCCCTGACCCCATGGACCACGCGCAGGCCCTCGGCCTGGATTGTCATCCCGTCGAGTTCGGCTTTGCGCATGAGTCTCTGCTTGACCTCGTCGGCAACACTGGCGAGATCTACAAGAACGCCTTCCTTCTCGGGGTGACCATCACCCAGACCCATCTCCTTGATCTTGACCTTGCCTTGTGCCAGCTCATCCTCCCCTAGGACAACGGCAAAGGGAACACCATTCGTCTCGGCAGCCTTGAACTGGTTTTGTAGCTTGGGCTTCACCTTGTAGAGAAACTCGGCCTACAAACCAGTTAGCAATGTTAAGATAGCATTTGATTGAAAAAGGGGGGGGGTCCACGCACCTTGATTCCTGCTTGCCACAGGCTTGCACAGACCGACATGCGTTCCTTGAGCAGCCCCTTGAAGCCAGAGCCGCCAAATGCCATGACATAGACATCGACCTCGTTGCGACGGACGGCTGCCGCATTCTTGTCGGCCTCCATACGCGCCTTGGTGATAGAGAAGATACGGTCCACACCGAAGGAAATACCGACGCATGGGACTTGAGCCTTGCCGGAGAACATGCCCACAAGGTTGTCGTACCGCCCACCAGCAGCGACACTACCAACACCGACCGAGGGATCAGATGAGCGGTCCTCATCTGGGTCTGTTGACGACTTCTTGCCCCTCTTCTTCGGCGCGGGCACAACCTCCTGAGGCGCCGGCGTCGAAGATGGCGCAGAGCCCTCCGTGACGACTTCGTAGATGACGCCAGTATAGTAGTCCAGACCACGCGCCAAGCTCAAGTCGAATGAGACTGTTTCTGACGCGTTGAAGTGCTCCAGGTAGGTGAAGAGCAGGTCGAGGTCGTTCATGCCCTGCTGCATAGACTCGTTTGCCGCAAGCTTCTCGTCCGCGCGCAGCTTTTCCAACAAGTCTCGCTTGCCCTTGAGGACAACCCACTCGCCGATGCGGTCAGCAACCTCTCCGTCCAGGCCCTTTTCTTCGACCATCTCCTTGCGCACATCCGCCCAAGGCAGCTTGTCCAGCTTGTCCACTGCAGACGAGATGGAGCGGATCTTGTCCTCAGGCACGCCGCAAACCTGGAATATGCCGTCCAGGATCTTGCGGTGGTTGAGCTTGATGGTGAATGTACCTCTCCAGCCCAGAGCCTCGAAGACCTCGTTGACAATGCGGATGACCTCGGCGTCGGGCAACATGGGGTCGTACAGGGCGCCTGCAATGTCGAAGTCGCACTGGTAGAACTCTCGCATGCGGCCCTTGGTCATGGCCGGCTGGTCTCTCCTGTAGACCTTGGCGATGTGGTATCTCTTGATCTGCTGCACGTCCTTGTTCATGGCAAGCCACCTGGCGAAGGGCACGGTAAGATCGTAGCGCAGACTGCAGATCTCACCACCTTGGTCGGCGAGGTCGTAGATGAGCTTGCTGTCCTCGCCATACTTGCCGGCCAGGATTTCTCTGAGTTCGAAGACGGGGGTGTCGATGGTAACGCCGCCGTGGCGCTTGAAGACCTCGGTGATGGTGCTGAAGATCTTGTCGCGGATGACCATGTCCTTGCCCTCCCCTTGGACAGTCAGTTCTCTGTGTAGTGCAGCGCAGACGAAGGGTAGTGCTAGGGCGGCAGCAACTCACAGTCCTTGGTGCCCTTGGGGGTCTTGAGCTCGAATTTGGGGCCTTTGGGCGCCATGTCGGGCTCGTGGGGCTCTGAGTCTCGAAGGTGGGATGCGGTTGAGAATGGAGCAGATCGCGGGGTACTCTGGATCTTGGTGTTGTTTCCGCTGGCAATGGCGTTGGCGTTGGCGTTGGCGTTTGTGTTGGTGGTGCAAAACTGGCAAAGTGGCCTGAAGCGGACTTGGAGAGCTCTGGCTGTTCGCGCTGGCCTTGCGGACCGAGAAACACGCTGAATTGAAATATTCATCCAACTATTTGGAGGTTGCCCGCAGCCCCTCAGCGGATGCGCGCAAAATGGATTAATTCTCGTGAGTCAACGGAACCCTTCCCAGTGCTGCGTCAGAGCCAATGCAAGGCTGATGCATTTTTTCTGGCGGGATGCCATTCTCCCAAGTCTTGATTGGTCGGCGACTGGAATCAGCATCCACCAGCAGGTCGTCAGCCGCGCGGGCCGACGATATCGGCTCTGGATGTGGTATCGCTCAGGGACCACTAAGGGAACTAGTCGAGGGGCACACCCGAGGTAGGACATAGTAGGCAGGCACTTGGGTCTCTGGAGATATGGAATTGATGGGCTTTGGATCATGACTCGTCACTATACACATCATGTGGCCCGGACGACATCACTATGTACTTTGTGCTGTTTTCAATGGATCCCTGACTGAATCTGGCACCAAACCGCGTCCAGCTTCTTTCTTGCTGTATCACATGCCGCCGATACGTTAGACCTTGTTGCCCGTCCGCCCAGTGTAAGTCCACAAGCAGTTCATCCTACAAAACGATAGTCCTTCCAATATTCCAACATTTTGTCCCGTTTTCGCTCAAAGGTGCGATATTCGATTACAGCCGAGCACTTCGGTGCCGCACATATGATATCATGACGGCCCCGCCATGCTCCTTCAAGGCACCGACCTAAGCCTCTGGGATGCAGATGGTCTGTCCGACTCTTAAGTTATCGCAGTCGAGCCCACCGTTGTCTCTCTTGAGCGCGTCGACCGACATGCCTCGGTTTTCTGCGATCGCCCAACACGTATCTCCTCCCTTGATATGGTACGGCATAGTGCCGGAGTCGCATTGTGCAACCGGGATCTGCTGGTCGATGCTGCCTGCCGTCGCTCGTAGATAGAAAAAGACACCGATCAAGAACAGCGCGATAATCATGAAGAAATTGAACAAGGGCATCATCTCGGCCCGCCATGAGACTTCTGGCGTTGGGTAACTTGCTTCGGGCATCGAATACGGAGGCGGGGGGCTTTCGGGGTCGTCATTGTCGGCGAAACTGTCGCGGCGTTGAGTTGGCCTCGACACACATCTCAGTGACCCGTATCGGTTCCCGGGCGCACTTTCCCATATGCTACCATCGGCATCTCGGAACGTGTAGGTCTGGTCGTCTGCATCGTAACCGATCCTCACCATGCCCTCGGGCAGGCGCTCGTCGTCCGTGTCGTAGTGCGACCAGCGCCCCATACTTGGAATTGTTCGGATGGGAACGTGCAACGTGTGACTCTTGCTGTCGTCAGACACTAGAAGTTCTGCACAAACGAGATGAATAAACTTGCTCTTTCAGTGACCTGTTTGATGTCGAAGATGATCAGATTGTATGGAAAGGTTGGTGTTGATGCCGTCCTTTGGGCTAAATGGTACGTACGCATTGCACTGTCAGTTGCACCGCCACGCGCGTTGTGACACGCATAGTGACCTTACGTCAGGCCATCCCCTCTTTGACCAACGAAACCTGAAACCACCACTTAAACGCCAACCAAACGATTTTCGGCAATTGGACGCTCCAAATCTTTTGAACTTCGAGCCTGATTTCGTCGATTCCTAACGATCTTGAAGGTTCTCAACCGGCTGGAGGTTGCTGCCCGGTGCTTGAGCTCCAAGCCCTTCCTGTATCACTTTGGCCCGCTTTTGCTGCCATGGTTTTTACTCATGATACTGGACTTTACGAGGCTTGGCTGTGACCTTGATTCCTTCTTGGTCGTTGTAATCCGCTTACTACGCGATTGGATGCGAGTGTCACAAGTAAGCGCTAACTCTGGGAATACGAGGAACGAGGAGACTGGTGTAAGATCGCACCCTCATCAAGATCCAACTTAGAGCTCAGAGGCCATGGGAAGACACAACACTTGTTAGAGCATAGGATTTGACGCGAGTTGAAGAATTTGGACGAGGCCAACGGAGAACAAAGCCTTGATCTTATATGCCACTTGTTCTGACTCTCGCTGACTCGGCCTGGCGGCACTCAAAGCGTGTTTCTCTATCCGACCAGTAAGACCCTTCGCCTCGCCCTAGAATTCGCGGAACTGTTTGAATTACCCAGAGGTGTGATGAGTATTTCGTCCAGGCAGCCAGAACAAGAAATACAGTGACTTGGTCTCACGGTTACTTAGACTCATTGGGTTCGAGCCGTTGAGCCTGGCTTGGCAAACAGCTGATCATATTGTCTGTATAAAGCGATGTCACACCGCTTTAGATTGAATTGCTACCACCACAAGTCACTCAACACAGTAGCTTGACCATAAGACCGTAAAGGCAGTCAGAATTCGAAACCTACACTGGAAGAGCAGTATGAGCCATTGGTTAGATATCGTATTTATAGCGGTGCCAGTCATCGTTGTCGGAGGCATGATCGTTTGCAATCTCCTCGAAAAATCCATCGCAACCATCCGTAACCGGCAGCCCACTGATGCTAATCGAGATAGACGCCGCGCGGAGCCAGATGAACTTGAACAACTCCGGTATCCCCTTGCGAGGGTGGATTTCGAACGTGGTTTAAGCCGAGACGAGATGAAGACAATTATGGCGGAGATAATGATGGAGACATTGCTCGAACGGAGACGAGGTTATGCAGCATTCCCATAACAACGAAGGCCACCTCGACAGAATAGCGATAACAATCGCACCAACTACGGACATGGTAAGACGCAGCCTGTCAACTTGCCACCGCCTGCCAGGAGACACGTTTCTTTCCAAAACGACGTGGTTAGTAACGGCAGATTTCAAGTCGGAACCCGCGCGGCGAGAAGGTCTTTCGGAATGCCGACCATCTGCAGTAACTTGAAATGGCTGGTAAACAGAATAATTACGGAGCAGCGTGTCAGATGTAACCCTACCCCAAACGCGGCGAATAATACTAGATTGCTTCACGAATCACGGCCTCAGTGACATGATGTCTACCGGAAAGAAGTTGTGAGCCCAATGCTGGCTTTCCTGGAGATTCGATCATGGGGTGATTGGTCAGTGTTTTACAGCCTCACAGGTTTCATGATTCTTGCCATATAAGAGCAACGGCTTCCAAGAGACAATTGAAAATAAAATCGAGAATGGTATTATCGACAATCGACCCCATTTTGGGCCAACATATAAACTTCATCTAACGCTGCGCATTTGTTGAGTTGAGGTCTTGTACACACGAATCTATAGTTGTGTAGAATTATGGCGAGAAAGTCGTGTCTTTCGTCGGACGAGTAAGATGAAGAGAGATTCGATCAAAAATTACATACCACATTTCAGGAAGACCCCCCAAGTCCAGTAGGGCTGGAAAGGCGCTACCCAGGGGAGCCCATGTCGATCAATACTCTGCGGTTGCAGCCGTACTGAAAGCGTAGACGTATGATAAGATGACATATCAGTTGAAGCTGCGATGTGTTTGTTCTTTTGTTGCGTATTTCAGAATGCTCATATAGCCAGTGTATTTTCCTGTATTTCCTTTCCCATATTACGCAGAAACTCTCAATTTGTGTCTGAATTGTTCAAGACGTCTCTTTCTGACTTTCAACTAGCGATGGTTGCGTTCCGCCATAGAGATGCTGGATCTGGAATGCCTAGGCAGGTACCTGTAAAGTTCGCGACCTCAAACAGGCCGCCCGCCTCTAAGCCCTGCGCAAACCCAAACGGACCGTTGGTAGTAGAGTCGAGTATGATTATCCGCTGCTGACCAATGGCACATGGATGATCAAATTCCGGTGGTAAAGTTGTATATTTGCCGCAGAACGTTTTCCTGGTTTCGATAGCAGCCACCGCAATCAACACCACCGTGAAAAAGGTCAAGAACAGACAATACGCCTTATACCATACCGTCGACATACAAGGAATAATGGTCGTGCGTAGCGGTCCTCGAGTAAAGTATATTCCCAGAATAAGCGTTGTAGGCGCCAAGATGGTCATGTAGTAGAAGCCCATCAGCCAGGACGAAACTGTGAACACCCCCTTCCGACCGAAGGTGCCGATCCATGGGGAAAGGAACAATATGTCGAGAGCGAAACAGCTGAGAACAGGCACCATATAGAGTGCCCTGAATATCCTACTCCGCCAAATACGGTAGGTAGCTTTGGGCGTCAAGCACATGCTATCAGGGTCATAGACTAGACTGTCAACGGACACCCTGAGGTCATAACCCTTCTCAGAGTATGGACCAGGTCGCATAGCGACGTCATCCGAGGCTATGAACGCGAAGTCGTCTGTAAGCCATTGCGCAGCCCACAATCTAGCAAGACCACTAGCACCCAGTGGTATAAACAAGCCGCTAACCGTATCCATTGTGGTATAATCCCCGAAAGATGTGAAGTTTCCAAGGATAGAAGTAATCGCTTGAACACCCTGAAGAAACACAATGATAGTTTTCAGCATCTCCAATGATAGTAACTTGACTGTTGGTTGGTCCGGCAGCCGTGAGGCGTGTGGCAGGGCACGTCCAAGCATAGACTCCTGTCCGTCCCATCCATTTTGAGTCCAGAATATGGCGTTCGCGACAGCCATATCAGCGGAGTTCCACGTCGGAGATCGAATACGTCTGTCGGCAATGGCGGCGTAGCGCCACAGAATCGATGCCGGGTTGTAGTGACATAACACGTCATGCCATTTCGGTCGACTATTCGTCAAGTACGACGGCTGGGGCGCTCCGGACAAAATATGTGCGATTAAGGGAGCCAGGCCGAGAGTGAACATAGCAATCCAGTCCGATATCCATATATCCCGACTGCCCCAATGAAAAGGAATTATCTCATAAGTAGTGTTCGAACCCATAGAAGCGAAAGCGACCTGCGCGGTGAGAAGTAATTAGGAGAATATCATCCAGACCCAATGTTTATTGCCATGGAGCTGAAGGAGAGGTCAACGATTATGTACACGACTCAAACAATAACCATGGTATCCGAAGAAATTTTAAAACTCGCTTAGCGAACAAGGGGCTCAATAGAACACCCTGAATTAGGAAAACGACGCCAAAGCCTCATAATGCAGGGGCCTTGCAGGAGGATTGCAACTGACACGAACCCAGCCAAATCTCCCAATGAATTGCCCGTCAATGAGGGCTATGGCCCATCAGAACCGAAAACTTTCAGCATTAGTGCGGGTTTCGACTTCCTGCGAATACGTGGCACGTGCAGGTGATACAATGGATCTCCTACCCAATCCTCCTGGCTGTGTTCACATCTGCACGCAGAATTTGATCGTTAGCTGTTAGCAACGAAAAGATTGAAAGAAATCTCGATATCGGAAACTACAGTCCCGCAAGAGTGTGGTTGGATGTGCAGTATTGATCTCGTGGCAATCAGTGATTGCTCCCTAATACAGGCGTGAGCATGCCTGATTATCTGTTCATACCAAGGATATTCAAGAATGGAAAACACATGCAAGAACAAGTGCATGCGACTGGTGTATTTCTATAGCGTATAGATGGTGACACAGAGCAGCACACAGTCGTCACCAATTTGTTCGGTTTGAGTGAGTCGATGAAGAGTTCGGGGAATGTTTTATGGCTGGCGTTCTTAATGCATCCTCCGGTTGCGCAATCCTCCGACAACGGAAATTACATCCTGTAACCATGGATACCAAACCTTACCGACTACGGATGCGAAACATCTTTTGAGATGCGCTGTCAAGTTTGCACGATATGTCGCAGCTGCTACGCTACGGTGGATTCTCAGGTAGCCTGGCGAAGGCTTCCCTGATGAACGTTTTCTTCTCACTTCCAAATAATCCATCACATGCGATATAACGCAGATGGCGTATTCGACGTGAATGGCAGCAAGTGATAAAGGAAAAGGTGCCTGTTGGGTCTACCTGTACTCTACAGTACGCCTTCAACGACGGGTATTACGGGTAGTGAGGCCGTATTTTAAGGCTGAAGACTCTTCTATGCGGTCTAGACAACTATCATCGCCTCGCCAGCGGATGGCCTAAGACCAGCTCTGAGATAAAAGTTTACCTCACTACTTTTATCACCCTTCATCCTCAATGCCACTAACCCGTGAATCACGGACAGGTAATCTATATATATATATACAGCTCGACACTAACTGCTTCAGTGTCTCTTGCAATAAACGACACCATAAGCACGAGGCTTTCTACATCTACAAACAATACTAATACTGCAACCAATATGTATTCCACTGTCGGACCCCTTAACAATAAGAACCTTTCCGAGGCTCTTCTCCCTGCCGCAGAGTATAATGCGCTCCCGCACATCCACAGCTGCAAGCTCGAGCCCCTGAAGCACCGCGAGGCCCATGCTGCCCTGCTCAACTTGATTGCCAAGAACGACCTCAACCATGTCTTCTCGATCCACCTAATCCACAAGCACTTTGACTGCCACGAGGGTCATGTTATGGTCTATGAGAAGGTCGCAGGTGGCAAGACCCCTGACTTCATCGTCATGACCCCCGCGAGGCAGCCAAGACCCAGGGCCTCCGCGGCCTCTACTTCATGGCCAACGCTGAGGGTAAGATGATTGCCTACGAGTATACAACTGAGCCCGCCAAGGACCTCTCGGCTTACGAGGACGTGGTCGCCGACTTTGCCACCATTGCCAACCACTATGGTGTCGGCCACATCTTCTGCCTGGGCGCTGAGGGTATCAGCAGCGTCGAGAACCCGCAGGCCGAGTTCGAGATGGCGGCCCTGTCTTCGACCGTCGTGGTCGACGCCAACTCCCTACCTGGCATCAACGACTTGCCTTACACTGCCACTGACTGGAAGCCCGCCCCCGAGCAGCAGCAGAAGAAGACCGTCGGCGGAACTGGTGAGCTTGGCGGTACCATCTACCCCGAGGTTCCCGGTCTTCTCACACTCAAGTGTATCGAGAGCCGCTCCGGCAAGCACTGCGAGCACGGTATTTTCGGCGGCCCACTCGTCGAGCAGCGCCAGCAGGCCACATCCATCGGCGGCACCGGCCGGGCCGGCGACACCATCTACCCCGAGGTGCCTGGTCTTCTTACGCTGAAGTGCATCGAGAGCCGCTCTGGAAAGCACTGTGAGCACGGCATCTTTGGCGGCCCGATGGTCGAAAAGGCGTCCCCTGGCGGCAATGGCCGTGTTGAGGGTGTCCCCTATGTCGAGGAACGCCAGAGCATGCCTGGCATGTCGCACAAGATTGGGGCCAGCGGCGTCGTTGTCAACCCCCGCGTCCAGGTCGGTGGTATCCCTGCTGGTGATGACTCTGTCATTCACGATGTCCTGTACCGCGCTGTTGCAGCGATCCAGGCTGGCAATGCTTAGACGGCCAAGTAACCAGGCGGTGAATCTGTGGTTTAGATAGGTATGTACCTCAAGCAAGAATGCACTAGGGCAGCTGATTAATAATGCAACTTTACCTGCAATCTACGAGGTCTTTGAGGATTCTCAATGCACCCTTCGTGCTAGACTTGTGTTCTAGTGATGCTTGATGCAAATGATAGCGGTACCATGTAAGCGTGAGTTAAGAAACTTTTGTTTTAGCACCGAGACTATATTCTTATGCAAGAACTATAGACCCAATGTCCATCGCTCAACACAACCGATTCATGATCGTTCCGGAGCCAGGATTCCTACATAATTAAAGTTAGTAGTTAGGCGTATACTGGAACAGTCAATAGGGGTTGAGAGAGATGGTCTTCATGGTGTGTGATGCTAGTGTGGGAGAATGAAAAGAATGCGTACGCATTGTCCCACTGGAAAGACCTGTTGTTAGCGTACATTCCTTTCTATTAGCTAGACCGGCTTATGGACTTACAACACCTCCGCCAGCCGCCAGGTTGGACTGCGACAGCGTATTGTCGTAGCAGGCACACTGCCAGACAGGATGCTGCGAGGAGCCGCCCGGGGTGTTGACAAAGGCTCCCTCAAAGTACTTGCCACTCGGAAGCCATGTTCCAGGCGTCTCGGTGTTGTTGCCGGCGAAGCAGATGCTGGTGCACTTGTCGAGGACGGCGGTTTTGTTGTTGCTGAGCCAGTCTGTCTGAGTGGATTTGTATAGCTGGTTCAAGCCGGTCTGATTGGCCTTGACGTGCCAGATGCCCTCGTTTCCGCGGTTGATGGTGGTGATGGTTTGAACAGCGCTCGATGTGCACTGGGTAGGAGTAGTATTTTCCTGGCGGACGCGATGGCCGCGGAGAGAAGGGGTTGCGAGCGCACCGAGGGACGCGGCGAAAAGCAAGGCGAGAGTTGGAAACCGCATCTTTACAGCAGCTTCACTGGAGACTACGAAGAGAAGTCTGTCGGGAGAAACACAGATGGGCTATAAGTCGAAACAGCACATTGGAAGCGAGCTTTATACGGTTTACTTGGGAACGGGGGCTGTCGCGGGTAGATAACAGTATCAATCCAGTAGTCTGCATATGTAACCACCGTTTGTTTCTCCTTTGGGCATGAGAATAACGCTTGCAGATCCGATTTAGTCAACGCCCCAGGGCAGGCACTGGCTAGATGCCAACCCCGGCGTAGTGTTGCCCAGCAAGGATTAGGATTACGAGGTTGATTGCATGGGCGAGCCAGTAAAGGCGTCTAGTCCAGATAGTTGTGCATAGGCAATATAGCTTACACAAGGGTAAGCTGCAGGTGCGCAGCGAGCCTCGACAGGATAATTTCTCTCGTGTCAGTGGTTGCTGGAATCGACGGAGGCTTTCGAAATCGGGGATCGAGCGCCGGGGAGTGTGTAGAGGAGCCTTTGACCAATTTTCTCGTACTACACACCCATATGTAGATGTACATGCCGTCGGGTGCGTCCACACATGTTTGGCGAAACGACTTGACTGGAATGGCGGTTTGCCCGTCGTCGAGTTCTAGTTCGTCCGGCCCGCCGCCCGCTGAAGAGGATGGACGGGGGACCTCAGCCAAGAGCGAGCCACTTGCACGTACCCCACTTCGGCTGGGGGGCCCCCGGGGACCAAGCAAAAGGGACCACAGTTAGGTACTGTGTAGGTACAGTAGGGACCCTTCCTGGGGCTCCCAAGCGTTCACTGCTTCCAGCTTAGCTTCCTTACCTAAGCCAAAGTGGCTGCCGGCTGCTTTCGTCGAGGGCCAGCCACAGCTCGATCCCCATGCCCATGGATGTCTGGCGACTGGCGTCTGGCGTCTGGCCTGTGACTTTTGATGCCCGCTTGCGAAGCAAACCCATGACTGCCTGGGCAACCAGGCAAAGCTGCCAAGACAATCCAGGTCCTGGCCTTGCCATTCTTTTCCCCGGCAAGCCCACCTGCAGTGATTAGTATCGAGCCCACCCCCCGGGCGCCGCCGGTAACTGCTGCCCAGTGAATCAATGCCGCTGGGCTCACTGGCTCGCTGGCTCGCCTCGATTGCCTGGCCTGGCCTGGCTTGACCTGACCTCACCTCACCTCAGCACTGGCCGTTCCTTTGGCATTTTTCCTGGCATCGCGTCTCGACATCTGCCCGCCACACCCTTGGCCCCCAGCAACGACGCCGACAAAGAACGACGACCGCCCAAGACGCACCGCACCGCACCGCACCGCACCGCCCTGCGCGCATCTGCGTCATTACCTCCCCCAGTTGACTTTGATACTTGCGACAGTATTACCGCAACAATAATTATCCCCTGGGCGCCCAAACTCTAATCGGCGACTAGCGACCAGCCACTGGTCAAAGCTACGCAGAACAAAGCTTCAGGGCGCGTCAAGCAACCTCAGAAGCCGCCTCGTCCCACCCATCGCCGAGCCCCCAGGAGCCCCCAGGAGCCCCCAGACGACCAGCGCATGCCTCTCGTCGAGCTGCCCAAAGACGCTGCATCGCGCCGCCCACTCACCCGCAGGGTCGTCTCCGCGACTGGCGACAACTCAAGCATCACGGCGCCGCGCGGCGGACGGGCGGTTCAGGTCTAGGTCTACACCCAGACGATGCCCGGTGTCGTCACCATGGAGAACGGCATCCAGAATGGCCTGCCCACCAACCACGACAGAGACGCAGGCGGCGCTGTGAATGGGAGTGCCAGCTTCGTCTCGCAAGCCTCTTCCTCGAACCAGCCGAATGGGGTCCCGGGCGACCAACCCCTGGGAGCTGCCACGGGCAAAGACATGGTGGTGAATGGAGCGCCAGGGGAAGTCGGCCGCGCCTCGCCATCGTCGCGCATGAACGACCTTCCCGACGAAATCCAGCACATCACCACTGGCTATGTGCCCCTCGGCCTGCTCATCTCACGACTGGCACAGAGAACCCACAATCAGCTTCAGGCCAAGATCCTCGAACTTGCCAAGATGCAGGTTCCAGCTCCGGCTCTGAACGGCAACTCGGCGCACTCCGGCGGCCCTCCTGACGACATGACGCCTGAAAATGTGGCCAAGAAGAAGACGCTGCTCGACTTCATTCAGGACATGCACAGCAGATGGACAAAGGCTTTGGTCATTGCCGCCTGGAGCCGGAAAGCGTCGACTGTCAGCAAGCTGATCGATTTGATGCACTATTTCAACATGCAGCGCAAGGCCTACGCCGATGGGTTTGACTACATGATCAACATCAAACGGGACCTGGCTTTCGCAAGGCTGCCCAATCCCGACCTACACACGGCGCTCCAGGTGCTTTCTACTGGTGATTCTTCGTGGTTGCCCGACTTCGGTTATATCGAGCCGCCTCCCCTATCAGCCGAGGAGCAGCTCAAGTGGATTGACGAGCTCAACACCCTTCTGTCCCTCCGCCTGAACCTGGAGGACCACGACAAGATACCACATCAGTTCCGAGACTACACCATCGATTCTGGCCGTGTGACTTTCACGGTAGAAGGAGAGTTCGAGGTCGACCTCACGATAGCCGATGAAGACTTCGAGAAGCAGTTTTGGTTTCTGGACTTCCGCTTCTCCTTCTCACCCGCGCCTGCTGAACTCACGGAGACGCTTCGCATGTTTCTCGAGGTTCGCGTGAACGAGGCGCTCGAGAAGGAAGGATTACAAGGCTGCTTCAACTTTCTTCACGAATTTGTCTTGACCCACAAGATCACGGAATACGTCAGACAAGCGCATGAACTCGCAAGGGCAGGCTGGGTTGACACCCTGAAGATCGAGCGACTTAACCGCAGCATGGCTATTCAGTATTGGACAAATCGATACCCGCCTGAAAGTCCCAAGAGTTGGTTCTTGATCGGCGTCCACAGTGGCAAGAAACCTGGTGCTGTTGCTGATCCTCGGTCGGCGAGCCGCCTCATGATAAGATGCTTCAGGGATGGCAAGGAAGTCAAATACACCGATCTCGCAATCGACGATGCCACGGTTTCTACTGAGACCTTGCTCAAGCAGGTGATCGCGCGACACATTGAGTACATGCTCTCGACCATCCATGGGAAACTTCAATCCAAGGGCCGCTTCCTCAGGCGCGAGGCAGCTCTTAGCTTAGAGGTCTCACGAGATGAGCCAGTAGAATCAGCGCTCAAGATGCAGTTGGGACATAGCGACTATGTCACCGTGCGGGTTGCGCCAACCACTGGGTTTTTTGCCATGTCACCACAGAGAATGCCGATGTATCAACTGGAGGCCAGACTCAACAGTCAACCAAAGGACCCGACAGAGGAGGGGCTCACTGCACTGGAAGGCGTGAGGTTTTACCACACGAGGGAAGAAATAAACCGGCGCGGAAGAAGCATGGGCTGGGGTGCTGTCCCTAATAAGCCTCCGGTCAGGATAGAAGAGCTGAAACCAGTACTACGTACAAAGGAGCCCTTCCAGCTCCTGTGGTTCAAGCGGCGAGGATGGCCAGCCAACTGGTTCCTCATGGTGAGTCTGAGTCTGGCTGGGGATACCTGGTGGTTGATCGAGGTGTAAGTATCCTTTATTTCCCCTCTCGCTTGAGTGGCCGATGATACTGACATGTTGTACAGTTCGAAGACTGCCGTCGCATCTCGAATAACAAACCACGCACGACTACCACTCAGCTCAGGAACACCGGAGTTTACTGATACATTCTTCGCGAACCTCACCATCTTTAGCGCGGCTATGATCTCTCAAGTCACTGACGTGAAGACACTGTATCAACGCCATGTCAAGTACGCTATGACCGACAGCATGAACTACTCATTGCCTCCTAATATGAGGCTCCCCGCTGTTTGGATGTGCCTTTCAGACGTCCTGGGTGAACGAAACCCTGCTGGAGCCAGGAAAGTTGCTTCCTGGACGACGGACTATGTGCAGATTGTATTCAGGGGCATTGCCAAGCCGTCCCGGGCGAATGCAATCGCGCGCTCGACCAAGGACACTCCTGGTACTTCTGAAAATGACACAAAGGACAACCGTCTCACTATCATAGCAGATGCCCGCTTCAAGGTCGCAGATCGCTCCAAGTTTAGCCTCCTCAAAGGCAATGTCGAACAGGATGTTGCGTTTAACTCACGCCTCGGCGTCTTTGCTCTACGACTGAAGGCAGAGCTTGGCCAGACGATGCTCGACGACTTAGCAAGCCGCATCCAGGCAATCGAGAGACTGGTTGATTGTGTGGACGCTATCAGACGCAGCAACACCGACATCAAGTGCGAGACCATCACCCTCGCTCAAGTCGTTTTCACATATAGTGACGCTATAGGGCGTACTGCCAGCTCAACCGCAGAGGCCAATATCAAGCGCTGGAAAGCATCCTTGGATTTGCGGGCCGATCGGATCAAGATGTCTCTTGAGAAGGGGAACCCGCACCTCCGAGCTCTCGACAGCTTCAACAACCTGCTCAACTCAGATCTTGGCTTCACCAAAGTTCCACAATACCTGGGGTTTACTCTTCCCGTCCTCAAAGCCTTGGACCATATAGAAGACTCGTGGCAAGATCTTGAAACAATGGAACAAGGTCGCGTGGAGATATTCCACGGCCATCTGGACTGGTTCACCATCAGATACGCGGTACCAGCCTTGGCGAAGGGTCCTCCAAGGCGGTTTCACATATCCGTAAAACTTCGCGATCGACGCGGCACTCTGTGGTGGCATGTTGCCAGGAATGAGCCGGGGTCCAACGCCAACCCCGATGACAACCTTAAGGCGGCTCTGGCCAAGGTATGGAGCAAGGAGGGCAAGACATGGCAAAGCCTTGGGGATAGCGCAAGTTGCGAGGCCAACGACAACGTTATCACTTTGCTGCAAGATGTCGACGAAGCTATGAGGCAATTCGTACTTCAGCCTCCTTCACCATCTGTGTCCAAGCAACCGCCGACAAAACCTCTGCCGAAGGCGAATCAGCAGCCGACGTCGAAGGTGAACAACCAAAAAATGATGCATGGACAGGCCAATAAGCCACGCCAGCCACAGCAAGATGTCAAGAACCTGGTGGTTCTTGATGATTAGGAGAGGAGCAAAGGGAGTGATTAGCATGCTCAAACTGTCCGATTGGGCTAAAGAACGATCAAGAGCTCTTTCCGACCTGTAGTGTTTAGACGAGCAGGAGCTTGTGTTTGATTTGAGATACCCTGACTGGCCAAGGAGAAAAGCCGCCATCGTTACTACAGTGTAAAGGCACAAATAAAAAGATATATATCATGACCGCATCACTAATAAGCAATCATTGTTTCCTCTTTGGTAATCACCAAGCATGGAGATTTCATGGCTTCCTATGCTGCTGGTTTTGGTCTAGTTCCTGCTGCGGATCCATGAGGTCGGAACAGGCTCTACCCGGCTCTTAGTCCAGGGTGTCACGGTCCCTGAGAGATATTAGTACGTATGTAAGTACATATCTGACCTGGAACCTGAAGATTGCCTTATGACAGGACAGTCCTTCGACCGAGACGGATGTTGTCTCAACAAAGCATTGCCCAAAACTTATTCCTGTTCATGATTTGGATCTCTTGATTAGCCTATTTATTTTTCGTCCCGTCACTCACTCAGCAAAGTTCCCACACCAATCTAACTACCACTACCCAGCAGCCATGTCGTGTAAGCAACCTTATCTCGCCTCATTCCCCGCATCGACCCATCAGCTGGGTGCTCCTCAACCAAGACCCCTGATCAGATGTGACTATCAGGACGCCCCACCTCAGCCGCTGACCACTATGCCCATGTAATGTAGTCCTGACAGGCACCCACGACCTGACAAACACAACGCCCATTCCCGGCCCGGTCAAGAAGGCGGCGGCCGTGGCCCTCCTGCAGGACCACGACTTCTTCCTGCACTGCGACCCGCACCTCACGGGCTACAAGGCGCTGCCGCCGCCGACGGAGCCGTACGAGTCGTTCAAGGTGCCCGCGGACATCGTGCCGCTGGGCGCGGCATCCGGGGACGGCCACAAGGTCAAGCTGTACGAGGTCACGGACCACGTGCCCAACCCCGTCTGGGATAGCAATGTGCTCAGCACCGAGGAGTTTGTCGACTTCGCCGACGGCGTCTGGGTCCGCATCCGCAGCCCCATGGGCGTCGTCATGGAGACGACGTGGATCGTGCGCGAGGGCGAGGGCCAGCTGGAGCTGGTCGAGGACGTCCACATCAGCTGCAACCGCATGTTGATGGGCATCGTCAAGGGCAGCGTCGAGGGCAACTGGCGCAAGATCCACGAGAAGATCGTTGCGCGGATGGTGGAGGACGCCAAGAAAGGAGAGGGGGCTCCGTAGCAAGTCACTTATAGAGACGAAGAAACAGGACATTAGCCTTACGTTGGTTGATTAGAGGTTTGATACCACAGATTGTCACAGGAATATAGAAGGGTATCAAGTCGAACTGTGCACGAAATTGATTACCGAAGCGTTGCACGATCTTAAATGATTTATGGACTGCTCCTGGTGGATACACAGGTTGTGTGAGAGGCCTATATTTTGATACAGTGGCTTCGACTAATATTCCCTCTAGTCTTGGCCATTATATTCACGGGTCCATTGGAGACTCGGGGAACATTTGAATCTGCATCTTAGAATTTCAAGGCGATAAGTGAGTTGAGGACTTTCTTAACAATTTCTCACTATCCATTGCATCTCATCCCAGGATCTCTGAATTAAGCACTATGTGACTGATATCTTTCAGAAAATTTATGGTATTAGTTGTGAACCAGAGGAAGAATAACGTAAATAACCAAGAGCGCGAGACTATACAGGGCCTAGTAACTACCCTAGACACAGTAGGGTGTCTAACATTTGTCTTTGAACGTTTCAACTGCGATAGCAGTTCGGATCTCTAGTTTGTTTGGTCTCCGAATGAGCCAGCGCGCGGACTCATGGAGCGTGAAGCTTAGGAGCATCGCAGTACATAAGGCTCCGGGCACAAGACTGAGTGTAATCAGATTAGCACTCGCCCCTATCCCTCGACCTAGTACCACTCCCCACAACGCCATAGCAACAAACACTCCAGTCTGGAATCTATCTCGGTCCTGCCGGCGGTGGGTAAAGGAAGAGAGGCAGCATCCTAAGCCAAGACACGAACCAAGCATCAACCCAGGCGACGGATCGGTAAGAAAACCAAGGTTCAAAGCATCAGCACTTTGTTGCATAGGTGACACTGTGAACTGATGCGGTGAAAGCGAGGGCGTCAGTCAGTCATCACGTACCGACATAATTTGAATTTCCAGATGGACTCACGGGCTGTTCAGTTCGAATGATGTATGAAGTGCTAACCATACAGCAGGCCATGGCAGGGACGACTTCTGTCAGCTCTGACAACGCTCTCAGCCCCTTGCAAAAGGTAGAACCCTCCGCCAGGAATAGGGGTGAGCGACATGACAGTGCGTCCATTGCAAAGAGGGGAAAAAGAGAGGCAGTTCATTGGCACAGAGGCTAAGAGACATGAATCGACCGGTTCGAGCAAACGTAGAGATCCTGATTCTTTCGTCTTGTTATAAACCTTCTACTCTGAATCATCAAGTAAGTCGGGCTAACGTTTTGGTGAACCCAAGAAAAGGCTATTCACCCGGTCACCTGCTTGGTCGGCATTCCTTTTCGGATCTAGACCTTTCCAATGAAGGCGGGCGGCTGCTTTCAGCTAGATATGGCGCAGAGGCTTGTTTTAATTCGGTGAGCAAATACGTGGAACAAAACTTACTCGTTAGACGTGTGGAATCACACAATTGGTTCTTACGGGCGACATTCCATTGGTCCCTAAGGCTTCCAGACAATCGCTGTAGTACCGGGCGGTCTTACCCCTCGTTAGGCGTTCCGCGAGGCTGCTGACACCGACTACAGCCAATAGCGTAAAACAGACAATCCAGGCTGGTGGTCCGCCAGAGCCTTTCTGAAAGAAGGCAAACTAGACCAAGGCAACACTGATGCCTACGTGAGTGGACGTGGCAAGAATCTATCCAGTCATACGCCCGAATGTAAAGGTATGGCTTACAATTGGGCCGTATTGCATGAATCCTCAGAGTATCTGCCGTGCACAGGACGGAGAACATGCATAGATCTCTCGTATCATTGAGGGACTTCGACGGTGTTTATATGCCTTGGGCCGGCATGCCGCACCTATACCACACGAGCGTTTTGCGGGGAGCAGCATCCAGCCTTAGCGGACCTTTGATTAGTCGCCGTGTTTTAAGAGTCCGGTCCTCCCACTCCCAGACCCAACGAAACTTCATAGTTACTCATCGACTACACGTGTGTGCCATAATTTGATCTATCATATCGGGTATAGGCCCGTAGCCTTCGTACGTGAGCTGACGAGCATTGCGGTCTTCAACATGGCCGAAAAACGTGTCAATACAGCATCGTCGGCCTTGCCCGAGCCTGGAGAGTCTTGGTACCAGTTTCTGAGCAAAGTTCTGCCTCGTGGGGCGATGATCTCTCTATCAGGACTCTTACCCCTGTTTGCGGACACACATGTTTCGAGCTCTTATTATTACCTGTATTGAACCAGCATTGCCTAGAAGACTGGGGGCCCCATGATTGACCGTTCACAGGACGTTCTCCCTATATGTTGCCTTCATTGCTCATTTCGTCTACTGGAACAGGCAGGACATCATGAAGTATGTCCTCCAAGTCAATTCAAACCACTAATAGGCTAACACCAGGCTCAGTAACCTTCCTGGCTCTCTTGCACTGCTCTTCCTGGCCGCACTACTATATTTCCCATTCCCTGGCATTTCCGTCACCTTCGTACTTCATAGAGTGCCGTTATTTTTCACACTCTCCGCTTTAGTAGCGGCTGGAATGCCAAAACTTCGTCTGGCTGAAACTGGCGACTCTGGGGGTTTCTTCGGAGCGCTACCCACGAACTCCGAAGGACTCTCTGACTTGTTGGAAGTCACCGTCTCACGCCGGGCCTCGGGCTTCTCGGATGGAAGTAGCGGGAACAATGGGTTCCAAGTGCTTCCGGGAGTTATTCGCGCTTTTGATCCCGACATGTTTCGCCATTTCAGCGGGCCCGGGCCGTTGAAGGCTCAGAGCGACCGTTCATCTGACATTGCTCTGTCACAGACGGGACGAGTCAGTCCACCATCCTCATGGGACTCTACCACCCGAGCCTTTTGGAGTTCCAACGATGGGTCACTTCAATGCTATGGAAACCACCCAAGATCGCGTCCCGGAAGTCCTTGGCGTCCTCACACCCACGGCGGAAGCCAGAGCTGTACCTAGACCAACTGAATACAAAGACTTGATGACTGCCCATCTTGTACCCGTACCTACTCCGGGATTTCCCACAACTATATCGCAATCGACCTGATTATAATTGGCGGCGCTTGCGACAGCTAGCAAACACTTTTCGTGGTTCGCCTAGAAACTCCATTACTGTTAGGCCTTTATTTCACATCAACTGTAACAGACATCTCAGGAGGCATCGGAAAAGAGAACCTGCACCATATGGCGCAGAATAAATAGACCGGTATATATTAGATCCTGCATTGGCAAAGCGATTTGGCAATACAGTCCAAACTTTGGCGATTTCGACAGGCGTTTGGCATTCATGATACTAGAGTTTTAGCACAGCGATGTTATAGGACTCGAGACTTTATCAGAAGGATAAATGACCATCACAATCCATCACACATTAATTCACCACCAATATCAGACCACAGCTCCCATAGAGGAACGAAACAAAGCTTACCGTACGCTTAATGTAGCTGTAATGAATCTGTAAAAGGCCGATATAATCACCCACCTTGGCTTTGAAGTGACAATTTGCCTTGTTGAACAGTCTCAGTTGACAGAATAAGCCAAGTGCACATCATCTGTGCGAAACGACTCAAGCTCCAAGCGCCAAAATGAGCATGTTTACACTTGACCGCGCTGGAGACGCTTCATCTTGTTGGGATTTAGAGTTTCTGCAGCGCGCCGCCGCAAAACTCACCGCACACGAGAGAATTCGGATGAAGGCTGTAGAGTCGTTCTTACGTGCTTCATAATAGCCGTGCGGGTTTTGACCCAAGCCTGACCAGCAAGCCCTTCTCACATCGTGATATGCGCATTGGCTCCACCATCCGATGCTCTCTACAGGCCGCAAAGCACTTACACGTTCACAACATGTGTGCTATTTCTGGTCGCAACTGTGATTGTAAATCATGTGTCCTCAGACTAATCGAGCATGGCAAATATCCTTATGATGAGTTCTGGATGCTTTTACATCAGAGCGATCACCAAGCCCCTTACGACTATCGAGTTGCAAGCTCGACAGCTGCCATGCGCCGAGGTGAATTACTTATACCCAACTCCTTCACCACAGATGAGAACCCCCAGCAACTCTTCAAGGAGATTCAGTGTAAGTTCCCACTGTTTCCAGACTTTCAACCTTACCGATTCGTCTACCACCAGACGAGGAGGATCGGCCCTCGTATGCCTGCAAAGATGATGCTGATTTACACGGCTGGGTCCTGCACGAACAATGGACAACCAAATGCCAGAGGCGGATTCGGGTTTGCCTTTAGTTCGCCCGGCCGTGAGAACACGAGGGGCTGTGTTCGACATGCATTGGAGTCAGAAGGACCCTTTGGTCATCGAACGGCGGCAACCTGCAACAGAGCCGAGTTACGGGGTTTGATTGCAGCTTTGGAGTATCGGTGTTTCTATAGAGAGGGATGGGATGGTCTTGTCATTGCCACCGATTCCGGCTATGTAAAACAAGGTGCCACCGAGTTGGTTCTCAACTGGGTGGAAAACGAGTGGCACAACGCCAAGGGGGATAAAGTCGCAAACAAAGACCTGTGGAAATACCTTCTCCGGCTCCTGAGAAAATACGCGATCCACGGATGCGAGATCATGATCTGGCAGACCACACGAGACCAAAACCGACTGGCTGGCGAACTGGCCAAGGCAGGCGCTCAATTTGAGACGCCGGCATCCTGGAGATCCATCCGTGATCCGAAGCTGAATGACACAGTTCGGCTCGCGGCTTCATGTGGACCGACAAAGCCGGAAGCGTCGTTTGATGAGATTCTCCGACTGTTTCCCAAGCCTCCAGATACAGCCATACGAGACCAAGCAAAGTCGAAAGCCCAGAGCTCGGTGTAGGTGCTCGAGGATCCAAGGACAGAGTTGAGGGACAGACGGGCAATGGCGTCATGTTATTTCGCGAGACGTTGGATCCTTGGCCGTGGAAATCAGGAACAGCATGTTTCTAGCGTAACACGATCTCTGTTCGGCGCATTTCGCTTCAGGGGTCTAGCGGGTAGACCCCGGCCAGGCCAGCGCCGCGGGTAACACCAGCATGCCAACCACCTGCTTTTCGCAGGGATTCGTCTGCAAGCTGCGCAGTCAGTGGCCCGTCGTACGCTGCCAACCAGCCAACCTCGAGAAGCTCGCTAACTGTCCCCACCGCAGGGCCCCCAGCTCATCACCAACCTCCAGATTACTCGGTCAACGACTCGACGGGTCCAGCGAATCGCCAATACTGACGCTTGGCCAGCACACACGGGCCTGCAGGGCATCAATGTCGCTGCACCGGCACACATCCGCGAAGAAAGGGAGGGCGGCCTTGTCCCTTGGGCACTACGGCGTCTTCTCAGGCACCTATGGCTACGGGCGACTGGCTCCACTCAATCTTGTTTTCGCAAGCGTCAACAAGGCCTGGGGCTTTGCTTGCAGTGGCATCCGCCGATGACGATTGCCTCAGAAAGTGGTGGCTGGTAACCGAATCTGCACCGTTTGATCCCAGCGGGGGGGCTGCATTTACCCTTAAGACCACCCGAATTCTTGGATGCGCTTCTTTTCTTTCTGTACTTCCCGTGACGCATAATAGCATGGTACAGGAATAGTAGATCAGATCTGTGCAGTCGTGTCACACAGTCTTGATCCTCCGACCCATCCTCTCTATTGTACATCTATTGAATCATCAGCCCAACGTAGTCAACCGCTGGCTGGAGCAAAACACTCTGCGCTGCTTTCCATCTTCGAATTTTCTCACTATTCCTGTTCGCCTGCCTCAGGCTACTTTGAAAAGCATCATGGTTTTGAGGCGGGTAGTGGCAGCCGCGGCGGCCTTGTTCACAAGCCAAGTTCTCGCGCAAACCTATACTTCGTGTAATCCCCTTCAGACGAGTGAGTTTTCCTGATCTTGCTTCGATGCCCTCCGACACAACGGCTAACTTGGCTCGGTAGCATGCAAGGCGAACACCGCTCTTGGAATGACAATTGATGTTGATTTCACCCAAGGAGAGGTCAACTCCTTCTCCACATCTGGCGGAACTCCTACGTACGGCTCAGACGGAGTCGTTTTCACCGTCGCCAAGTCGGGAGATGCTCCTCAACTGAACTCGCTCTTCTACATCATGTTTGGCCGAGTCGAGTTTGAATTGAAGGCTGCACCAGGCGCCGGCATTGTCTCGTCCGTCGTCTTGCAATCAGACTGCCTCGATGAGATTGACCTGGAGTGGTTAGGGGCCGACACTACGGAGGTGGCCACAAACTATTTCGGCAAGGGCCAGGTCACGAACTACAACCGCGGCGAATGGAATCCGGCGGCAGGAAACCAAGACAGCTTCATCAAGTACACCATTGATTGGACAAGCGAGCGAATAGTATGGATGGTTGGAGACACTGCGGTCCGCACGCTCAACTACAAGGATGCCGACGAGGGCCAGTATCCCCAAACCCCCATGCAGATCAAAATCGGCGCTTGGTCTGGTGGTGATTCCAGCAACTCCGCTGGCACGATCGAGTGGGCGCGCGGTCCGACCGACTATACGAAGGGACCTTTCAGCATGCATATGAAGAATATTCAGATCACCGACTACAGCACAGGGAGCTCCTACAGCTACGGCGACCATTCAGGAGACTGGGAATCCATCAAGTCCGAGGGCGGCAAAGTCAACGGCAATCTGAATGGTGCCGGGTCGTTGACGGTCACTGCCACCGCAGACTCGACCGCAACTGCGACCGTGCCAGTCGTCGGTCTCACCGGCACTGTCAGCGCATCACTGCCCTCCGGATGGATCATGACTTCCTCCGGCAAGGTGAGGCCGGCGTACTCTGCCTCCTCGGAAACTCTACGTCCCAGCATGCTGCTTCTTGCTGGCCCTACGATTTTTGCCATTCTGGCTGCCTCTTTAGGTGACTGGCGGCGGCCTTGAACCAAGTCGCCGACCAGGTTGAGAACCCTGGATCACTGGAGGAGGACGAACCACTTGGGGAGCCTCATCGACGCGTTTGGGATACAGATCAGAAACAGGTCTGATAATACTTGGATCCCGAAAGCAACATTCACGCAAAGCGCCACCTTGTTTTGTGGTTCCCCCAAAAGTGCACCAGCAAGCTAGCAGCATAACCAGAAGACCTATAAGGGACCCTGTCGAATGGATGATTAACAACTAGCGACAGTTGCACGACGACATAACGATTCAACGAAACTTACCCGACACGGATCGCAGTATTGTATTATTCAAGCATTGGGCATTTGCATAAGCATTGGAATTTATTGGGAGAATATGGGCACACGAAGAGCGTTGAACACATAGAAGCATTGTGGCATATGACATAATATTGGCAGGTTGATGTCCTGCATAGATTGAACAGGAGAATAGATACCCGAGTTCAGACTCATGATTATTGAATAAGATCGAAGTTCATGGCTCAGATTCGCATTGACCACTACCCAAGTGGCTCCTATCAGTCAAGCAAAATTATTGAGTTTCCATATTTCATACGCCATGTGCAGTATTAATTGGGCTACCCTTTGCGTAGTGCAGAATTTGGGCCACCACGCCATACCCCTGTCTCTTCGTTGGCCTATACTTCAAACCCTGAGATGGGCGTGTACTATGTGGGATCAGACCGCAGACCTACACTACGACCCCTCTCATGCGATACTTTATGTCTCTCGAGTCAGAAACATTGCCTTTTCTAGAACCCATGGAGTCATAAGGATGAGTTGAAGCAAGACACTGGCTGGTTAAGGGCGGTTATCTGCGGTCTCCACTTATCCCGCCCGCCGTTATCGCAGTCCAGGAGGTAGTCAGATGACAACCTTGTAACTGCATTAATAACTGAACCCAGCTACGAATGACTGGAATGCTTCTCCTCAAGAGTACTACATACACACATAGCTCGCCTTTGCCCGAAAAAGAAACCCTTTTTTCACAGCCAAGCTTCATACTGACCTCATTCTCTAAAGCTGTATCAACAACATTTTGGCGTCGACGCCGAATGATACAATGGCAAGCTTCGGCCCTTCAAACCCACTTAGGGGATCTCGGGTAACACGATCGTGGAAGCTCGTTGAGTCGGGCTTCCGTAATGCTAGCAACACCAGGCGCTTCTCCGCGACAGCGAATAATTGCAAGCCTTCCAATGTTGGAGGTGTAGGTCTTGCAGCAAAGGATGCATCCATTGGGGAGCAAGCCCCGGAGCCCCTCACTATCCAGGGCATCAAGGCACGGCGTGCGAAGGCAGGAAAGCTGGTAGCTGGTACTGCAGCCTATTCTGATAGTGATATGTTCAAGTCGCCGGTAAGCATGGAAGTGGAAACTCCCACACGGCCAACCTTCTCTGACTTCCAAGCAGCATGCGTACCAAAACCCCAAGGCTCGGAGATGGGACCGTAAGTGCTGCTCTCGTCGTAATCGTCACGCAAACTAACTGAACTGTGAAGACCTCCTAAGTGCAGAATCTCGAGCTCGAAAGCCCTGCGTTTTGAAGCAAGCGGCCAAACATCTGAAGAAGCCTGGGTTGGTCTCGCTTGGAGGCGGGTTGCCATCCGCAGACCACTTCCCGTTCGACTCCATGAGCTTACGCATCCCTGTCCCACCGCACTTTTCGGAAGAAGCAACACACAGAGAAGGAAAGATCACCACCATTGGCAAGCGTGACGTTGTTGAAAAGGACAGCGTCTTTGATCTGAGTATAGGTCTGAACTATGGACAGTCAATCGGTTCTGCACAGGTGCTTCGCTGGGTCACTGAACACACAGAACTCTGTCATCGACCACCTTATGCGGATTGGCGTTGTGCCTTGACGATAGGCAGTACAGGAAGTCTGGAAGCTGCCTATAGGATGTTTTGCGACCGTGCTCGAGGCGACAGCATCCTAACCGAGGAGTACAGTTTCAGCACAGCGCTCGAGACCGCCGAACCTCTAGGCATCAAGGTCTTTGGGATCAAGATGGACGAGCAAGGGTTATTGCCGGAGAGTATGGATGACATTCTCCGAACATGGGATGAAAGTGAACGTGGCGCCAAGAAACCCACCGTGTTATATACCGTGCCTTCTGGCCAGAACCCGACAGGTGCTACGCAAGGGGAGCGACGGAGAAAGGACATATATGACGTTTGCCGGAAGCATGACGTGTTCATCCTAGAGGATGAGCCATACTATTTCCTACAAATGCAACCCTATGCCGGTCAGGACAGTCCAGACGTGCCGCCACCAGCCAATGTGGAGGAATTCCTTAACGGGCTGATTCCAAGTCTACTGAGTATAGATGTGGATGGGCGAGTCATGCGCCATGATTCGTTTAGCAAAGTTGTGGTACCTGGTTCACGCATGGGCTGGGTCACAGCCAGCGAGCAAGTGATTGAGAGATACATCAGACATGCTGAGTGCTGCAGTCAGGGCCCGTCCGGATTCAGCCAGCTTGCCATGTACAAGCTCCTGGATGAAGAATGGGGACACGAGGGCTATCTACAGTGGATGATGGATTTGCGACTACAGTACACCAAACGGCGGGATGCAATCTTGCATGCTTGCGAAAAGTTCTTGCCCGCGGAGGTCGTGAGCTGGACTCCGCCTGCGGCAGGAATGTTTGTGAGTTGAAGCACCTTCTCGTACTTTGATTTGAATCAGTGGCTGACCCCATACTAGCTCTGGCTTAAGGTCGATGAGTCTCGCCACCCCGAGGTGGGAAGTAAGAGCTTAATGGATATTGAGGAGGAGATCTTCGATTTGTGTATTGACAAGGGTGTTCTGGCGTGCCGAGGTTCATGGTTCCGCGCTGAACATGACAAGCCATTGCCTTCACTCTTCTTCAGGACCACCTTTGCATCCGCATCGGAGGAGCAGATGGCCGTGGCAATTGAGCGATTTGGCTCTGCCATCCGAGAAAGTTTCAAGCTAGATTGAGAGAGGATGGAAATCGAAAGCGGTATGGTTGAGGAAACGTGTTGCATCTTGAATGCCTTGGAAAGCTCGTCGGTGTGAAATACCACTTCAAAGTATCCAACGGCAGCTTTACTATCATCACTATGCTTAAGTATGGTACCAAGGCTACAATGGAGATTGACGGTATTACAAACGCAGCATGAACATTGAGGAAAAGGGGTACTAATTAATCAACCGCAATACACGGACAGGTCTATGAATCTACTTCCAAACACTATGCCTGAGCAATCTGGTCCTTCACTTCCCTACAAGGCTGGATGCAACAAAGTTAAGCCAGCCGTACTTAGTAGAAAGTGACAGCCAAGCAGTTGTTCTTGGACGCAATGTCAGGGACACCAGTGCCTCCAGTGATGTAAGCCTTTCCATGGCCAAGGACCTTGTATTCGTAGTCAATCGTAGCCTGGTTGGCCGGTCCGTTCCAGTTGCCCACGGTGGTATCAAGGGCCTTCTCGCCGTTGGGCTTCTTGCGAATAGCAGCAGCGGGCGCGTCCTTGAGGATGTCTTTGGAGAAACCGTTGCGGACGTTGGTCCCGTCAGTAGAGGCGATCTCGGCCGCACAGTCGCAACCCTGCTGCAGGCTGATGTCTCCGTGCGCCTTGCCGTCGTTGTCAGCGCGGACCTGGAACTCGGCCCACGTGGCGGGAAGCTGGGTGCCCTTCTGCACCCGACCCTTGAACTTGAGGTCGAGCGGCACGTGGGTGGACTTGCCGGCGGCGAGTTTGACGTTCTTCAACGGGTGGTCGAAATTGGCTCCCGCAGTCCCGTTTCCGTTCCAGTAGTTGTCGTAGAAGTAGTAGGTCTCCTCTTTGTTACCCTTGTTGTAGAGGACGATACCTGGCTTGAGTGCCTGCACGTTAGATGCGGCGGCAACTGAAAACTCACCGGCAGGCTCAGCGGAGGCTACCGAGATATCACCAGAAGGCTCTGCAGAGGCAACCGAGATATCACCAGCGGGCTCGGCAACCTCCTTGACTTCATTAACAACAGCAGCCATGCGGACGTTGGCCTTGGGCACCTCCGGGGATGCATCACCGTCACTGTACGTGACCAGGATATCCTTGTTCCCCTTGCCAGCGGAGCTCTGGGCGTTGTCACCTGGATCACCCTTGCTGTTTCCCCAAGCACCAACGCCGATGTAGGTCTTACCCTGGGCGAAGGTGCGGACAAACTTCTCGAGAGCCTGGTTCTCCTTGGGTGCTCCAATGCGCTTGACGTTGCCCTTACTGTCCAAGAAAACGTGGCTCTTGATGGCGTTCTTCACGTCTTGGCTGGCTTTGTGCCAAGCAGTGTTACACTCCTGCATGAATATTTGGTCACCCTTGAACTTGTTGGGCGCGTCGCCAACCTGCTGGACGGTCATGTTGCCGCCAGCGCCGCAAATGTTGCTGATGTCGACAGTGTCGTTGCCGCCCCAGCCATTCTTGGTGATCTCGGCCTGCTCGCCGATCTGACCCTCGTGTACGGCAATGATGGCACCGGATTTTCCGTCAGGAGCCTCAATCTTAGCTTTTGTGCGCGGAGCTACAGTGATGTTCTTGTCGCCGTTGAAGCCATGGACTTGGAACTCCTATTGCTGTTTGTGAGCGAATGAATTAAATACTTATCATGGTGAATAAACTGACCTGTGCCTTGCCGGACTTGTTGTGTATGAAAATGTAATGCATTGTAGTTGACCTGGGTTGAATCTGGTAATAGTATTGTGATTTCGTGCTTTGAGGATAATGAATGAAAATCACGGTACTGAACTGAACTGGCTTTGACTTATATATAACTTGGCAATGAGAATGGAGTTACAGAGTCAGCTGATAATAGTACGTGATCAGTCACATGGAGGCATAGCAGATGTGGAAACCTAGCCAATTTACTCAGCACGGTGTAAGGAGAATCGAGATGCAGAAGGCGTATGCAGGCGATGCTTTCCACATGATGGGCTAAGCCTGCGGCGTGGGGTCGACGGGCAATTCGCGTTCGCCGTCAACAAAGAGACGAGTCCGGCATACGTTGCGCGGAACAATAAAAGCGTAGGCTTGTAGGACTAGCCACGTGAGTTAGCTGATTTGGGGGTTGTCTCACCGTTTGCATCTACCTCGCAACTTAGATGGCCGTATAGACAACCGGGTAACGCCGGTGAACCAGCTGTGTCACGTTTGCCTCTTTGGTAGAAAGGCACCCCTGAGCCTCGATTCATCTGTCAGCTTACCGTAGAATCTGAGCCACTCGTTTTGCGGTGCAGTCATCAGAAGGCTGAGAGGATTTGTGTTGTGCTGACGGCACCAGCCTCGTGACTTCGGCGCGGCTCGCCGCATACGGCACACGCTAATGCGGCCACGTCAGGGCAGAGCAAATAGTGGCAGTCTAGACCAACGTAACTATCCGAGCCTCCTCAAAAGACTTTCCTTCAGAAGATCGGTGCACAGTATTTCGGTTTCAAACCCAAAGCACGTGTCCTCCAAGTATCGGTATTATTCTTTCTCAGTTGTCAATCATTGACCCTTGTAGAATGAGCAAGGAAAGCTTGCACGTCCCAATAGGACGTTGTAAGGACAAACAGTTGTTGCACGTCGAATTTCGATAAAGAAGTCTTGTCTATCGGAGATATGAACACTACAGCTCAATTCTCACTTGAAATACTTGCGCTTTGTCATGTGTGTTCCTTGAGATCATATGGCGCTGTAGGATTCGTTGGGTCTGAGTCAGCATGGAGTCCAAAATTATTTCCTAACTGCCACCGTAGCCACCTTATCGGCCATATGAAAAGACTGATATGTATTTTCTTGGGTGGAGTTCAAAATTGTGGACCTGAAATTTTTGATTCTTTAAGATCGAGGGACTATTCGGGTTGTTCAGCGTAATAATGACACATGCCATGTAGTTTGAGGCTTAGCATTGTGTGTTGGTAATTTACCTTGGTCTCATTTGCCCCTGCTCTGCCTCCACAAATCAATCCTGCGCTACCAGGAGCAATTAGGAACATGATCATAAGTCAAGATAAAAAGTGCCTTTACCGGGGCGCAGGTTCACTATAGTCACAGGATTGTGTTAATTTTGTGCGACTAAGAATTTGAAGTCATATATATCCTATGTAAGAGATGACAAAGACTCAAGTAGCGCAAAGTGCCGTTCCTTCAACCGCTCAATCTCCAAGGCGGGCCCCTGCCTGGACAGACGACTGCCATCATTTTGCTGCGCCGTAATAGCCAGATCGATGTCGTTCCTGATGAGAGTCATCTGCTGCTTTAGAACTGTAGTAAGATCCTTCTTTGTTCTTTTGATCGCACATTTTATCTTATCTGCTATGATGACCGATATGTTTGGAAAGATCGTACCATCTTCGAGTCTTCCGTGGACAACCTCTTTTTGCCGGCCATCCCTACCAATACCTATTTGATTTGTGCATGTTAGATGAATAGCGGTGGCACAGATGCCGGCGTCGTGGGGACTGCTCAATTCGAGCGTGTAGACACTTACCACATTGGCTGGAAGCAGACCGATATACCGGAATCATCTCTTTCAGGATATATGAGTTGTAGTTCGACTCTGACGCATTGTTTCGGATGAGCCTTCATATATGATAATCGATAACTAAAGACAAGTGGAGTTATAGTAGGGGTTTGCATAGTACCTTATCTCTGTTGTCAAGGTCTCTTTAACAAGCTCAATGCTGTACTCGATGCTCCTCATTCTGGCATCAACCCCCTCGAGAAGTATGCTGCAAATCTTCGTCGAGGATGAATCTGTGACATATTAGATGATGGTATCGCATATCTTGTTTCATTGCACTTACTTTGGATCTGATCTTTTAGGTAAACAAGTTCGATCCTCACTGTATCCATCACGCTAGTGAACAATTGGGGTAATTCATCTTCCACCAGGTCCCATTGATATTCTAGTTCCATTCGCATCTTCCACAGTATCTTGGCGTTCCAGTCTTCTCTCTCGCGCATCGAGGTCACGTGATGACCATTGTTGAGGCAGAAAGCGTAGTATTGCGCTATGTCGGAGTCGTTGTCAGCATATGAAGGGCGACCATCTAGAGGGGCAGACTTGCTCCAGTGCCACTAAAGGGTGAACGTTGTTAGTTAGAAAATCAATTGTAGCCGAAAATTTGGCTCACCTGTTTCCAGCGGTTTCCTTCCACGATGGCTGCTTTCTCCCAGTCCAGATGTCTCTTCTCTGCGATACCTTCAGTTTCTCATTATTCGCATATTCGCGACGCGAGAAAGACTTACCCAAAAATTCAAGTACCTGTTCTCTGAAACACTCGTCGAACTTGATGCGAACTTGCGAAGCGCTTGCTAAAACCTTCGCACGCGTTAGCTATTGGTAGACGATAGCAGCGGGGACTTCTTAAGCCAGACTTCTTTCACAACGTCGTCAAATATACGGTATCTGACATCATCAAGACCGTCGTCACGTTCTTGCTTCGAAGTTGAAGCGCTTTTTGCCCAAAGATCTAAAGAAGTGAGCAAATTGGACACCTCCGACCGCAGGAAATGATTCCCTTCCGCAAATTGGGCGTCTGAAGTGATGCTATAGCACAGTCGGCGGACCTCCGGGATACAGCTGGCCCGAACAAGCTCTGTGTTTCCTTTCCTGGAATACTTCTCGTACATGACATTGGAGACACAGAAGACGTCGAGTTTTCCACCAGGTACTTTCGAAGCATAGGCTTTTTGCAGACCTTCTTTGACGTGCTTGTTCCTCGCATCCATGAGCAAGATCTGTTGCCTGCATAATCCAGTAAGTTTAAGGCATTTGATCACGCAAAAAGAAAGTGCAGGCTTCTGGAATGGCACTCATACTTCCGCTTGATATCTTTCTTGCGGTGGTAGTCACTCGTCTCTTTCGCCTCTTCCAGGTTCTTGTCAAGCGAATCCATAATGGCGTTGGAGATAACCTTGTTGGGGCCACAGAACTCTGTCCTCGCAGCCTTGAGGTTTATTTCCTGGAAATATTCAGTGTACGGAACCCGAAGGAGTGGGCTTCAATTACCTCAGACTTCGTGCAGACAACAGCGATATTCAGGCCCTTACCCCCTGATTCCTCCCACGCGAGGGGAATATGCCTGGTCAAGACCGCATACAGCGATGACTTCAAAGACTGGTCTGTTATTGCGCGAGCAATGTTAGTAACAAGAAGTATATTGCTGCATTTCATTAAATATTCCTGCGTGGCCCGAACCCTAGCCAAGTTCGTGTCTTGTAATCCTTCACGATGGTTTAGCGCTGCTCAAATGGTAAAATGTAGGGCAATATGGTCATACCAGGCAAGTCTGCCAGAACCAGTCCAGTCTTAAGGACGCTAGCACTCAGATAGATGCTGTTTCGTCAGTTAGCAGCGTTGCTACAGCGTCTCAGGGACTAGCCACCCACCGAATAATTTTAGTGAATGGCCAGTAACGATCTTGCATGAAGATGTTCGTCTTCTCCCAGCATTCATCAGCTGTCAAAGCAGTCGATGTCCAAAATCCCTTTTTGTCAGTAGTTGGCCAGTTGAGAGTGCGAGTCCATCCTATCAAACGCTCCTCGATCATACCTAGGGCCCCTTCTGACATATCTTGTAACATCGACTTCTGGAACCCCGGCTGGTGGCCGAAGGCGGCTTCCAATGCACACCATGCCTGCTCCGATTCTCGAGTATAGCGAGCGTGATCGGCGTCGGACGTGATATCGGAATCAACGCCAGGCAAAAAGAGCTGTCGGTAGCTCCATAAAAGTTCCTTCACCATCTCTTCAATTTCTATCTCGGAAAGGTACTCTACTTCAATCGTGATGGGCGCAACGTGCTCTTTCCGTTTTTGTTTGTATTCAGTAACAACTGACGTACAAGCGGAACCGATATCACCCTGGAAGACGATAGTCAATGATTATGCTCAGACCAGAACGCGATGAACGCACATACTGTTTTGGCAATATCTGGGAAATCAAGCAGAGAGTTAATGAGACTACTCTTGCCTAAAAACAATCAGCTTTGGTTCTTGGAGTTTGCGAGCACAACTCTACCTTGGCCGGAGTCTCCTAGAACAGCAATTGTCTTAGTGCCAGAGCAAGCAAAGTTGCTGAGGTCTTCAGCGTCATGAAGCAGCCTCGAAAGGTCACTGTCATCCGAAAAACGATTTGTATGCTTGATGATTGTCATCGCGTCCTTTGAAACGGCAATACCGTCCTTCAAAGCAGACTGAAACACTGAGGTAAACAGCGGATGCGCTGGAGGCTCCTCATCCAGAACGCTGTAGGGAGTTGGCTGGCTCTTCTGATCGGTGACAGCTTGAAAACTTGATAGTTGCCCAGTTGCAGCAACCTGAAGCTGCAAACTATTCGAAGGCCGAGGCGAGGTTTCCTTTATCGACAGTCTTGTGAAGTCGAACTCGGTTCGGGAGAGCCTTGGCATTCGTGTAGGTGTTGCCTGAGGCGATGGTTGAGGTGATGGAGAGGGTGTAGCGTTGTAAAGAGAGCGAAATGTGAATACATGGTCACCCTGATCACGGCCCGCTCCGCCGAAACCAGCAAATTGTGGTGCAGGAGGTGTCACGCGAGCACCGAACGACGGCTCATTCCCTGCAGAGAAAGTGAACTTTGGTATCGTATCAGGGTCCCCAGGGCTTTCTGGGTTTCTTCGAGGTGACGTCAAGTGTAAATTCGGTTTCGGTGTCAAAATTGCGCGAGGCGGTGTTGTGTGCGTTTGATTCGAGGCATCGACGCTATCCTGAGGATCTTGTGCTCTTGAGGACGACGACGACATGATGACCAAAGTTTTGTGCTGTGCGATACGTGTGGTGGTGTAACAGAGAAGAAAGACTGGGCTCTGGGAAAAGGAGTGCGCACGAATGTCAGCTTGTGGCTTGTTTCTTCCTTTGACGCCCGCCCGGTGAGACGCCGGGCACATGTGCCAATACGGCGTAGCAGAAAACGTTATCAGTTCAATATATGCAGGGGGAACTCTATTCATCTCTTTCCGGTTGGTCCGAGGGGTTGGCCGGGCCGAGCCATGCACAGCCCAGCCAATCATCGCGCCTGCCGACTTTCATCACACATATCTTGTCACAGAATAGCGCTTATCTTGGGAGCTGGATCACAATTATCTACGCAATGTTCGTTTATCTTACAGTAAGTTAGAACAGAGATCAATCAAGGCAATTGGGCATGGTTGAGCAGGAGCGCGATCAGCCGATAGTTAAACGCCTCGGGCCTTACATGATCCATTTGAGGGAAACCCAGATCCGTCGGTTGATGCTAATCCACGACGAAATCACGATATGGTTGCTTCTTGATGAGTGCAGGTTCACAATCTTGGAAATAAAGCATCTCGAAGAGCATTTCTGTAAGCGATGCGGTGCCCACAAAGCGATAGGCTTATTTGCCCCGAATGGAGTTGTCGAGTGTTCGGTCGGTGATCCTGTGGGATGCATAGCTATTTTGAAAGATTGCGCAGGCAATAATGAAACTGCTTGTTCCGAACAAGCGGCGCAAGCAGCCGCCATGGAATGCCCTTCGGACCAGAGCCGCTTTCTACATGAACGCGCAGTCAAACTGAAGACAAATTTGTAGAGCATTTATTATGGCCATTATATGTTAAATTACCGTCCTTGCAGGTCAGGAATATGGTATTTGCTCCATGCCTTGAAATGTATCGTGCACAGCCCGGATAAAACTCATATCAAGGCCACACTTTAACAGGTGCCTTCGTGACCTGGTGCTAATCATAGACTTTGAAGAGCATGCCTTAATCTAAAACTTCGCACATGTGTAGATGCATTTAATGTTGGAACCAAGTCCTCGCCCAGTGCTAAGCAGTTCAAGTTCAATTGTGCCAAACAGGCACGTGTTTCATGCTGTTTCCCCCTAATTGATGCCTAAGCTTGATGGCTTATACTCTATTGCACAACTGGTCAACGTGCCCGCGAATATTTGAGAGTTCCACATATGTAAATTCATATATCTTGAAGCAGGTTCCTATCAATTTGGACCGGAACGACTGAGGCTCCTTGGACAAGCGAACGGAACAAAAAGGATTGGGCCGAATCCCGGGATCGAACCGGGGACCTATAAACAATCAGTGATTAGCATCTCTTGTTCAAGACATGAAGCTCTTGACACAGCATCGGAAATAAGCCAGAGAGCAGAAATGGAACTGTGAGAGTCACTTACCACCTGCATAACTTATTCACTTCACATGAATGGGTGTGCCCGAAGCAGGTATCCTACCACTAGACCAATTCGGCTGCCCTATTGTATGGGTTGCTTTTGGATTGATGATGACAAATTTCAAAATTATTTATATTTGCAGCGAGAGAGATAGTAGGATACCGGCCGGTCCTGTTCGGGCAGCGACCACTCATCCCTTGGGGATGCACTGTGTGGTTTGCGAGACGTTCTCATTTTGACACGAAATAACTCATTGAATTTGATTGACCAGACAAAAGCGATCCGTAAATTCCCCGTTCGGTGGGAAGCTTTCAGGATATAGTAGACAACACAGTTCCCACGGCGTCACCCACCCAAGTATCTAGCACAAGCCGGAGTCCGAGCCGGAGCCGGAGCCTGTACCGGAATGTCGTCTTTCCCTGACGTAACTTTGTGTTGGCAGGACCCTATGTTGAAGTTGCATTCGTCAAAGCCGTGGGCCCCATCGATATATCAAGACTCGAAGGTGTCCTAGCTACTACGTGCAAATCAAGTCAACAACGTGCACTGTACTTTGAAATCCACCTTTGGAGGTTGCGCTAAGATCTCATAAAGATAACTATTGATACTACCACCAGCCCCTATCATACTCAGAATCCATGACAATCTCCAGCATATTGATGGCGATGAGCTCACCAAATATTAATAGAGCTGCCAGGGCGTGCGAGGTTCACCCTCCAATGATGTTTGTTAATGGGATTCTTCTCGTAAATGTTGATTTCGAAGAATTTATTATGCTCGTCGCATCTGTAGTTCTTGTATCTGGGCGAGACGGATATGTTACTTGATACGTCTCATTTCGGGGGCTTTTGCAGACTCACGAGTTCAATTTCTCGAAATTGGCGTTGACGAGATCCTTCTCAACGATCTCGATGAAAGGTTCTTCTCGGTTATCGACCTTGACGAAATAGCGAGTACTCTCCAGCGGGCCGTAATTAACCTGGCGGACCAACTGGATCACACATTCCGGCTTGATATCATCCAAGTTGTTCACTTCTCGTTGAAGACTGCTTGTCTTGGGAAAGGCAGACCAGTCCAGGAATGTAGTGAACTTGGATTGGTGTATGAGATATTGTGGCCGAAACGGCTGAATAGAACCGCAGCAAAACAGGGATGACATTGTGACGAATGTAGAGAGTATATCGGGGACGATAGAATGGCTCTGGCGTCACCGAAATTTTCCTAACTTCAGTAGTAGATGGGTTCTTATAGACTATAGCAGTTACTCACGTTCAGACCACCCTTGCCGCAACTAGCCTGTCCCATTCGTCAGATTTAGAGTTTGAGGCCTATGATTTCTTGTGCATTAATCGTATGAATAGTGAGACTTTTTCTAACCTTATCGGGCTTCGTCCGCTTTTTGAGGCCTATGACCCAAGGCTACCAATCAACTACAGGCCGCCTAGGATGGAAAGGTGCGTAATCAACTATAATAGTCGTCCAGCTCTCACTTTCAACCGGCTACAATTTTCCTTTCCTCTTCACGGTCAACCCTGGTGGTGTAACCGCACACGCTCTTTACCATCCAATTGACTGTACTCATTCATTTCCATTACATTGTTGACTTGCTCCCCTAGCAGGGTCCCAATTCTTCCCAGTGGGCTTACAGACACCTTCGTCCTGCGCATCGGCACTTCATTTCTAGCGAAGATTTAGCAGGTTCAACCGGACTAGAAGATCCTCAACCCTATCACCTACACGATCCTGAAGACTGTTGGTCCGTTAACCCTGCTTGGCTCCATTCCGGTCATGGTGGGCCGTTGCCAGACTACAACTGGGACCAGTTGTCCAATGCTTTACCACCTGCTGGGCAAGGTAGTGATCCGCAAGGAGAGACACAGTCAACAACTCAGCAACAGTTATCAACAGAAACTTACCCTATCCGCTCTTTTCCTGGTATACAGCACGACACTCCACGACGTCCATACTCAGTCACCCCAGGGCCAAGTGAAACACCCTCGATTCGAGGGCCCGTGTTTGCATGTCAGAAGTGTCACAAGACGTTCGACAAAAGGCACAAGTTGAAGTAAGTGACGCCCCGTGTATTAAGATTGGTAGGAGTGTCAGCGTGCTAAAAGTGGATCATAGTACGCATCAACGGCAACACAATCCGCCTTTTGTCTGTCCCCTCGAGGGTTGCAATCAACGCCTACAGTACAAGAAAGATGTCCGTCGCCACTTGAACTCTAAGCATCCAAGTGCAGATACAGTCACACTTTTCTGCGTGGAATCGGGCTGCAAATTTGCGCGAGGAGGGACCAAAAGTTTTAGAAGGCTGGTCCATCTTGATAGACATCTCAGAGACCAACATGGCTGGATACTCAAGGCTGGCTAGTGTAGATTCAAAATTCCAATTGGAGAATCATTGTCTGCGCCTTCTAACTATGAACACTCATCATACGTTGAATGCAAGCTGTAGTATCCTTTAGACATGGCAGCTGCAAACTCTGGAGAAACTGCTCCCTTCACACACTGCTTAGTACTGAATCTGAGTGCTTATATATGGTTTGTCGTCGCCCTTGTTGAATTTGCCACCGTGTCCCAGCCAAAGCACCTCCTATGTAGCATACTAGTCATGAGATATCTTAGAGCACATATTGCTCGTTGTATAATGCAGGCTTTCTGTTGCGTCATATAATCCCATCTTCATCCCTCCGCCATCCCTCTACTTTCTCAATCCTAGGAAGGCCTTCAAGCGTCTCTTGTTTCTTGCTGTAGATTCACTTCGGTCGAGACCTAAGGCGTCCATAATACCGTCGAGTCGTGTCCCTGCTGCGTTCAGTTTCAGAAATGCTTACCAACAAGGGATTTGTACCTTGAAGTTCATTGAAATCGCAATATGTGGTTGGGAAGTGGTGGATTCGTTGATTGTTAAGATCATGAAACCCAACTATCGAGTTATTGCAGCAACTGGTGAATTTGTTGACAAGACGCGCAGCGTTATTGAAATGACTGGACTTTTAGCTTGAATCTTAATGACCAGTAGGGCACTCACCCTGCTCGTATCTCCAACTGAAGGCCCAGCACGATCTGCCCAGTTGCGGCGGACTGCCCTTGAATATTATTCAGAATATTCTGCGATTCTTGCGATGCGTTGGCAACTGTGATCTGGACTTCATTAATACTGCCGTCCAGATGCCCCTGGGCCGCTATTATATCCCCATGGATATTTGCAATCTCTCCAGTTATATGGTCCTGTGATTCTCCAATTCTGGCTTGAATGCCATCTAGCCTTCCGTCCAGATGCCCCTGGGCCGCTATTATATCCCCATGGATATTTGCAATCTCTCCAGTTATATGGTCCTGTGATTCTCCAATTCTGGCTTGAATGCCATCTAGCCTTCCGTTCAAATGGGCCTGCAACCCAGCTATATCCTGTCTAATCCTCTCGATTTCACCATCTAGGTGTTCTTGGGATGTCGCAATCTCCGCACTGATACGTTCGATCCCGTCTGTCAAGCGCTCCTGTGATTCTTCTATTCTCGCGAATTTTTCATTTAGGCGCACCTCCGATGCTGCCGCATCGGTCTGAATTGTCTCGAGTCTCTCATCCACATGATTCTGTAATGCCTGAATTGTATTTTGAAACAAGGTTGTAATGTGATTCTGTGCGTTCGTAATGATATTTTGAATCTTATTCGGTTTTAGCCAGACTTGTGTTATATGCAAGGAATGAGGTTGGCTACGTTGACCTGACTGGCGATGTTAAGGCGATCGTTGACTTCATCCCGAAAATGAGCCAAATTTCCCTGTGTTTCAAGAACCGTATGCAAGATTTGCGCAATCTGATGGTTGGTCTGAACTACCGCCATCCTGTTTGTCGACTCAACTGCGAATTCTCAACCCTTTCACTAGGTGGCTGGTAATTATGGAAGAAATGATGCCGTGGCTACTGAACATCTTTACCGGGGTTCAGATGGACCTTGGTGGGTTTAAATGGTCTGGCCTACGCACTTCCTGCCGCTTGATCGATCATAGTACTCAATGTATGACTGGCATGTTGGCGCATGTGGCAAGGCTCTCAGATGATGTGGGAGTGTGACATGCAGGTAAAGCAGGCTCGTATTAATGGCAGCTACCGCCGTGAGAACAGTCGTGTTGAGTTGTCACGGATAGCCTGGTACTCAGATTCAGGATGGCGTCCCCCGCGGGGAGATCGGATGTCGTCGCTTATGCATGACTTCCGGCGCGGCAAGCACACACTCCCTGATAAGAACCTGCGGCGTTCATGTGGAGGTGCGCCCATTCAAACGGCAGTAGCCCGCTCGATGTCTGCCGTAAGTCGAGGCCTACCGGTCTGCCTATCCAGTTGCTTGCATATGCATGAAATGGCGGGTAAGTCACAGGAGTCCATATGGGTTTGCCACGTCGGGTTGCCTCATGCAATCGTTTGGAGTCGGATGCGGGGCTACAAAAGTACACGGAGTGCGGGAACGTGGATGGAATACTACCCAAATTGCGGGCCGTACCGGCATTGGATTTCAATAATCGGCCGGATAAACCAAAGCGCGTACCTCACCTTTGCTTTGACTGTACCTAATCCTACTACCTTGAGATAAAGTGATCTGCTTTGGAGTTTCCCATACTTGTGTTAACCATGCTGTCGTGTTCTTGGCTGCTTCGTTAGCAGGCAGTCAACTCAGGAATAAGATAAGCTCTATATCTTCACAGGACCTTAGGATTGGATTGAAACCAGTGATGAAACCAGCCCTATTCAAAGATCTCAGCACTAGTCGCATACTCTGAATTTTGTATAACGTAGTTATACAAAACCCACGCTATATTGAGACGATGCCCTAGAACACATAGTTAGGTTTCAGAAAGTGTGTGTTAAGAAGCATTACTACGCCCTCGAGGTAGTTCTTGATGGCATATTTACCTTGTTCCTACTACTGTCAACCCACCGGGCTTCCATATCAAGCCCCTGAAACGTCCTTTGACTCAGGTTGACCCGTCCCGTTTCAACTTCTGTTGGGTTCGTACCACTATTCATGCTTCGTCTAAGACAACTCACAATAGCTTGGCTCGCTCACATGGTGTGACAGCTTGAATGATATTGTGCTGAATTGAATCGGGAAAATTAGTGTACACTATTCATTCGAGTCAGAGTCAAAGTCAAATGGATGATTAGTGTACCTCCTATAGCTCCCTGATCCATTTTGGCATATTCTTTCAGGGTATGTTTACGACCATGTTGCAAATTTTGCTTAGAGGCCTCATGTGGTGCCACATCCGATACTCGGCTTTCGCTCAATCACTGACATCTCCCAGTTACACATCAGAAGCATCATGTTCGATTACGGATAGCGGAATTCTGGCGGCGAGACTGAGAAGATGGTCAAAGAAATGAGGCTCAAGGATGAACGATCTGTGTCAATTTCTTCCAAAGCGTGTCACAATGAGGACAGTCCAATCAACGGTTTGCTACATTAGTCCATAGGTGGAGCCCCCACGGTAAGGGATACAGAGTCAAATGCAAGGGAGAGGCAATAACAGATGCAACGCCTGGCAGTGACGCGTGCGAATTACGACCTCTGAAGCCTTCAAACTTAGTCCAACACATTCAAATTCCTTCAGAATCGTGCGAAAAACACAGCTGCGCATATATGGATCGAGGTCAAGACGCAAAAACTTCCCAGATGGCAACCTATTCTCCGCGCCGGGGTCAACCGAACTTCAATCCCTCAGTGGATATCCCAGACCTTGGCAATCGGGTTTGTCTTGTCGTAGGAGGCACTTCTGGTCTTGGCGAGGCCACGGCCATCGCACTCGCTCAGCACAACCCGAAGAAACTTTATCTCACAGCGCGCTCCCGAGCGAAGGCGAACGCCGCTATCATTCGTATTCGAGCAACCTCTAAGGTGGCAGAAGTTGCCGATCTCGAAATCCTCGATCTCGACCTCTCGTCGTTCAAGTCCGTACGCGAAGCTGCGGCTAAACTGAACCATGAGGCGGAACGATTGGATTTGGTCCATCTTAGCGGAGGTGTCGGATTGTTACCTCACGCCACATCTACAGATGGTTATGAGACCCAGTTCGCTACAAACTACCTCGGACATGCGCTGCTCACACGGCTGCTAATGCCAAAGCTACTGCACACTGCAGCACTTCCCGATGCTGACGTCAGGATTGTGTCCATGGCTTCTGGATTGCACAAGGCGTTGTCGCCTAAAGAAGGGATCCTCTTTGGAGAGTTGAAGACCCCGATGGCCAGCCGCAGTGTCTTTGCGCTGTACGGTCAGTCGACACTCGCTAAGACGCTGTTCGCACATGAACTCTCGAAGCGGTACCCACAGATCACATCTGTGTCGCTACATCCCGGTGGCGTAAAGACGAACGTATTTGAAGGAGAGAAGGGCGTCAATTGGCTTCTTTACAATCTCGTCATAAAGCCCGTGGTATATCTGACCGGAATATCACCCGCGGAGGGCGCAAAGACACAGCTCTGGTGTAGCTTCAGCCCTGACGTCAAGAGTGGTGAATACTACGAGCCAATCGGTTTGCTCGGTTGCGAGGGAAAGCTCACCAGGGACGATGACCTGGCCTCAAAGCTCTGGAGTTGGACAGACGAGGAACTACGGGCATCCAACTTCCCCGGATGGCAACAAGGCTAGTCATGCATGCTGGACTTGAGCAGGATTCTATTCAGCGAGTAGGGACCCAGAGTGATAAAATGGACGAACGAGTGTACCGAAGTTGTATTAGAAACTACTCAACGTGATGTATTGGTTCCCTGTGGAGATGTGAAGATGTGCCCTTTTACTGAAAGTTGGTTGACCTCACATACGGCACCATACACAAATCAGCAATGCTTCATGACTGGTGAGTGGAGAAAAAGGGCGGCATTCATTAGAGAATATATTCGAGACTGACTTCAAATCATATAACAATGCTATCCCTTACTAGACTGGGCTCTATACCTCAACAGTCGAGCTCAGCAGTAAGCTAATATATTGGATTACTGGCTCTTTCATAGACAGACGTAATAGTACCTAGTTCCTGCATCGTACTCAATTATGACCTCCTTTTCCATCATATTGACATCAATGACAGCTTGACTCCAAATGTTTAGCTCATATGCATCGGCTGTAAGACCCGGCATCAACATCGCGCATAAAAATCTTTTCCCTCTAGGGTCACCAATTTCTTCCATATCAGCCTGCTTATTGCTTTTGGAATTCGTCATATCCCCAGGTCTGTCTTTCACATCGCTCGGTGCAGCCTCGGATGGGCAAAGGATGACCACCATTTTGGTGTTTTCTGGTTGACTGTCGATTGAAGTACTTTCTGGATGTTGTTTCAGGCTGACAACCATCCCGGGGCGAATGCGTTCCTGGAATGGAAGTCCAGTAGCATTGGGGTTCAAGTCTCGGCTCGACCATCTGTTCAGGGATCCAAAGCTACCGGGCGTCGTCTCAGCCTCTGTCGAATCGCCCGACTTGGCAACAATCTTGGTCAAGCTGCTGCCGCCATGCTGGGAGTCCACATGCAATTGCCATATCTTGGATCGAAAGGCTCCGGCTTGCGCGATGCTGACCCCTGGAGTCTTCAAACACCGGCTCTCGAAGTCTGCAGACGGCAAATGCAATAGCTGAGCGCCTGATTCGGTAGGCGCCAACAAGGTTGGTGAGATTGAAGGAGTTCCTGACTGAAGTTTTGAGAATGGAAGTTAGGACTTGGATGATATAGAAAACCAGGGGTTATCGGCAACTTACATTCTTCGAGATCCAACTCTTCAACTGTGCATTAGTCCAAAGCATTGGAGCCTTCAGATCAGGTCCCGTCTTGTTACTTGCCGAAGTTTGGACACGCAGCAACTCTGCGTACCGTAATGTGTTCTTGCTCGGCCCCGTGTCGGCAAGACTTGGGTTCACACAGGCTATGACCACCGTCTTGCAGGATCGGCTACTATTTGGGTCAAAAACGTGCTTCAAGACCCTTGTAAGAGCGCTTGATCTGAACGGTATATGCGGCTTCTTTTGCCTCGACTTCGCACTTCTGTCTGACTGGACCTTGCCGCGGATGCAGTCTTTCAACACCGACAGACTTATATTGATCTCACGCGTCTCGCGCATGCGATCCGCGCCGTGTACCGCCACATCACGTGCAGCCTCGGAACCCGCAAGATCAATGAGGTATAGATATCCGTCAGAGTCCGTCACTGGGTTGTAGATGCGAATACGACAAATAGCGTGGGAACGTGATGAAGCATCATTCTTGAATGTAGGTGCCGTCCGTCGAAAAGATGCTGCGCGCATAATAAGGCTCATCATATCATGCTCGTCTTTCACGATATGCTCGACCGCACCCGCCAACTGTGTGACTCCAAAAGAGTCTTCAAGTATGGATATCGGCTCACGCTCGTTGAGCAGATCATAGGCGGAATTGCCGCCAAGGTCGATAATAGTCATGTAGATTCGTCTTTCACCCTCGAGGTTTCCTTTCATCAGCGACTCGGCAACCAGTTGCTCTATACGGCTGACTGTGAAGGTCTTGCCGGACCCAGTCTGACCATAGGCGAAAAGAGTTCCAATGCCACCGTTCCACGTGAAAGGGAGTAGATCCACAACAAGATTTTCGTAAATTTCCTCTGTTGTCGTCTGGGAATCAAACAGTCTGTCTACCTGGTAGTTAGAAGACTACGAAAATTTACTATGAGCATTAGTGACTTTGGAAATGATTGCTTTCAAGTGCCAAATTCTTATGTATACCTTAAGGATCGGTCGTCCCCTGGGGTGATTGTAGAGGTCGTGAATGTCTACCACTCCAGTCCCAAGAGAGCGTGGGAAGACAGCGCTGGGGAATCCTGCCTCAACATCTTCGTCTATCAGAGGCCGGACCCTAGCGCTCACTATGATGTCGGGACTTGTTGAGGTTGATCGAGGTACAGGCGTAGGCTTGAACCCTTTCACCAGAGTCCGGTACAGAGCCGCATTATCAAGAAGAAACCGGTCCATTATGCGGTCCAATATAGAGACTTATTCGAAATTGAAATCTCTGCGCATCGATGAGCTAGCTCAATATGGTCATGTACTTGAATGCAACCAGTGCGTCGAATGAGTGCATGCGGAAAACAGGGATAGCAAAACACTGTTTTCTTAGGAATATCGTTGAGGGCCAAGCACAAATCTCGTAGGGTTTTATTAAAACGAGGCAACTCAGCGTTCTTATGAATACGGCAGAAAAACAAAGATGATCAATAATGCCTGGAAATGACTTGAAGACATTGCTGCTCCTTTGTTTATTGTGCTGCCTGAATGTCAGAAAAGTGGACCGATCGCATTGCACGGGCCAAATGAGCGTCTCAGGACCCACAAATATGTATACAGTTGACTTCTAGTAGTCGCGCTGTACTCGCAATACAAAGCGACCCCAAGAATCGTTAATGTACGGAAAGGGTTATCCATTTGATCCGAGTAATTAAAATGCACTTGAAATAGGAGGAAATCGAGGCCCGACTGAGTTGAACCCTAAACCAGCAATCTGGGGTAAATTCACAGGTCGTTGCAAGGCCTGCACATGGGTGCCAGTACCATCTCATAGGCAGAAAATGACAGCTCGGCGTCATTGAAGTCATTTTCCTATTAGCCACAGTACATCAAGGAACTAGGAAAAAACGAACCCAGTTGGCGACTTCTACTCAAGGCCGCTAGATATTCTTCCGTGCTTGGATTGTGCGGCAGTGAATATGATACAGGCAAAAGCTGTACAAAACTTGATGGAATTTGAGGCGACCGCAGTTTGAGAGTGCGCCACTTCCGCTGCGATTGGCCCAAATAGGAGGGGTGCCAATGTTACTGCCGCCTCACTCCTGGTCACCCACGTAAGGGGCGCTGGCCTCTTCGGCCTCAACTTGTAGCTGCCAGTCATTTGGGTAGCGCCTCAGCCCTCACTCTTCCTGTGCCTCTGGCCTCCCTACACAGCTCGAGACGCCAATACAATAATTCGAGCAGACATAAAGAGCAAAGGAACCCGATAACTGGATGGCGTAGACCGTCGACGCTTCCCTTCATAATCAGCTGCTCTCCTTCTATGATCCGCCAAGAACGGAGGACGCTGCCGCAGTTGGAATAGCAAGGATCAGATGTACCAAGTGCAATCTCAGCACCGCCAGCATACCTAGGAGTTTGTATGTAAATGCAATCCATTTATAGGAGGATTCATTAACAGCCTACATACCTAGCTTCCTCACATGTGTGCATAGTCACTCACAATCTTAAAAGATTTACTCGTAAACAATGACACCTGATGCCTACGATTTGATGGCGGCTATAAGACTTGTAGTGATGGTACAGGAAGTTCTGAAGTTACGGAAAGCTCTTGAGCTTCTGCACAAGACCTATACATGGTTCCGGGACGAATTTGCCGACCCAGGTGGTAAGTCACTGGCCAATTGACCGTCACAGGGTCTATTTAGTCGAAGACTGGTGAGTCTGATGAGCTTTGGTACAGACACGTGGAATCGAGATCGCCTCCAGGCCGAAAAAGTTGCAGAAACAGTAGAGAAGATGATCGGCGAATGATTAGCATGGCTGGCGGAGAAACCGCTGCTTTCCATCGTATGGACCGCCATCTTGAGGGCGTTCTTGTTCCTGTTGGGCGAAGGAACGCGGTCCAGAAGGCCCAGGCACATCACCTGCGCGACAATGCCATGGGCGATAAGACCGTCGCTGGTGGTGCTCTGGGGTGTCTGCTGGATGTTCTATGACTCTCCGCAGTCGGCGTTACCAAGCTTCAACCTCGAAGGACCCATCGATCTTGCCGGTCACGGAAATGAGATCTACTTTGATCCATACACTGGTTTCAACTTCGACTTGAATGAGCTGGTCAACTCCTATGATGACTTCCCAAGTTTGGTGGAAGCTACGCACCCGACATCAACTTCTGGCATCTCCATCAACGCAGGTGTGTTGGATTCGATAAGCCAGCCCATAGGTCCGATATACCAGGAGCGAGGAGGGTCAACGCAGCAGACCTCGACCTCAACCTCGTCAAACCAAGCCGTAGCCCTAGACGATTCCTCCATTGCCACCGCCACCTCGCTGCCCTCAAAGCAGCCGAAGGCCTTCTGCTGCCCCGAGCCCGACTGCGACGTCGAGTTCGGGACGGAGCGGGAGCTCCAGCGCCACCGGGAGTCCATCCACAACGGGTCCAAGTTCCCATGCCCGGTGGCCGGGTGCAAACGAGGGCCACGGAACCCGTGCAACAGGAAGGACAACCTCCAGCGGCACATGCGGAAAGTCCACGGCCAGGGCATCGGCGAGTCTCCCGCCATTACCGTAGAGATACCCGCCAGGGGCCGGAAACGTCAGGCTGGGTCGAGCACGCAGGGCAGCAGTTTCTCTCCCGATGGCAAGCGCCAGCAAACAAGGGAGACCATGTCAACAGAGGTGGCTGACCTACAACGACAGCTCGCGGACGTAGCAGCGCAGCGGGATGCCTTGGCAGAAAAGAACAAGGCCTTGGTGGAAGAAAAGAAGGTGTTGATGGAAGAAAACAGGATACAGCACGAGTTACTTCAGGTCCAGAGGAAGCGAATCACTGATCTCGGGAAGGCCAAAGCGAGCGATGATGGCTAGGCAGTTGAGGGATCATGTCCAAAGTCACGGTGATGTTTTGCAGAAAGCAAGTCCATAGGCGAAGAGAAGATGATAAGGTTCTATAAGGCCAGCCACGTCACTATAAAAAAGTACTACGTATGAACAGTCTCTTGGCTTCGAACTTCAGCAGTAACCCAATCGCCGCTGTGTCAATAATGTCATGCCTCTTGAACGCCGTTTCGTGACGGGACTAGAGCATATCGAGCCCATAGACACGCCCGTTTCGTGTTGAGCGTGCCCGAACCCACGCTGGTACGCAACCCCTGAGCGCATCTAAATTGTATCCTCCCATGCCTCGGTTCCCTTTCTGTAGAGGGAACAATCATTAAAGGTCTGGCGATTGTTCCCGAAAATGACTCGCGCGATTCCTTCGCTAGCCCAGGAAATCTATCCGGGTATCAAAATGTGTGATGCTGCGTTCTAGGCAGTGCCATTGGTGGTCTAGCCCAAACATCAGGTCTCCTGTCTAAATCCCAACCCCCTAGCCTTGTTCTCTGAACTCTGAGCCTGTCCGTGGCAGTTCTTCCAACGTATCTGCACGCACCATTCCGAAGTCGTGTGATAGGGCCAAGCGCCCGGAGCGACATTTCTGCCACCACGAGACTTTCTGGCTTGGTACTCGAGCGCACGACATACACTTCGCCAAAACTTGTAGTAACCCGTTTCTTGGAAACTCTGGCTAGTGTCTACTCCGCATTAGAGTCAGGCCGTGTCTGCTGTGCGACGACCTCTCGAGCATAAAATTCCACTAGCATGGTCGCGTATGCCTCCAGGTCTTGCACTGGGACAGCGAGCCTGAAATCGTTCAGGATAAGAAATTGAAGCTCAAGGTGATTAAGCTCCGCTAACGGCAAACCGCCAACCTGTCGAGTCATGTGTCAGTAACATGCTGTTTGGAAAGGGGTGGAAGAGAAACGAACCTTCGCGTATCTCGAGTTGGTGTAAAACACATCCGAGAAGAATTTGCTTGCACAAGTCACACCGGCGATGATCAACCTGTGAATGTTGAAGCTATCGACGACAAAATATGTTGCAGGAGATGACGTTGGTGCTGTCTGAGGCTCTTTACGTTCCGACGACATGTCGTCATCATCAGCCAAATCCGAGTCGGTTTCGTCGCTGTCGGCACTGTCTCCATCCTTCATCTCGGCGTCCACTGTACTGCCAGACTTTGAAACCGTTGATGAAGACGCTGGCTGGTGGGACAGAGATTGCCTCCTAGTCTCCTCAGCCTGCATTACCATGTTGTTGACACGCTCTGTCATACGATCAAAGTAGACCAGCAAGCTCAGAAACACCTCGTACGTTGTAGGGCAGTACTTGTGGATACGGCTCAGGTAACTTAGGATCGTAATGGCGGGTACATTCTTGCCGTGGAACGCCAATACCGAGCTACTGAGTGGGCTCATGGTAACGCCGTCGTTGTTGTGGTTAGCCGCCGTCTGCTGGTGCGCGGCGTTCCTGTGAAGAGCGTCGTGCTGAAGATCGTTGGTAGTTGTTATCTTGGTCAACAGCGCAGCCACCATCTCGATAATATCGCCTATGGGCATGCCGCTGATCTCGTACTTCATAGCTTGTAGGGGCGGGTCGTTCAAGATGCCGGGTCCATTACCCCCGTTCATCATATCGGCTCGGGCAAGACTTTGGATGTGCGCCAGATCCCGCACCACAATGGTGTGTCCCTGGCTCGGAGATGACGCATTGTATGGCGTCGCTGGAGTGCCAGCTGAGTTTGGCGCCGGCTCGGCCTCAGGTGTGAGCTGCTGGGTGGTTACTGATGGCGCAGAGCTGTTTGCTGCAGGCGCAACAGTTTGCGACTGTGTCTGAGATGTCATTGATGTTGCGTGGGCTGTCTGCCCATTCTGTGCTTGGGCTGCCGACGGCGAAGACGAGTCGGGTGGCGACGGGAACCGTGAGGCACCCCCGCTCGCTGAGACTGGCTTCTGCTCCACTGTGGTCTTCGTTTCCGACTCGTTGGTTTCCCACGATCGCTTAGCCGGAGTCGCGCTGGGTGCAGGTGCTCTAAACTTGGGAGGGGTAGTCGGCGAGCGCGTTTGCGCAGGCCCCGGAGATTCTCTTGGCCGACTTCTCGAGCTCGAAGTCGATCTGTATGCGGGTTCGCGCTGGTGGGAGTGGTTGTGCTGTAGCCCGGGCGCTATCATGTTATGGTGGAATCTCGAGTGATCCGCGGCGTAGTCTCCAATTACGGCAGCCATAGCATCGTCTGGTGCCGCGCAGTATTATATTAGGTCGTAATTTGTAGGTGCAGGAAGTAGACAGCAATAGCTGAATTCAGAAGCCTGTAGACAACAACTGATCTGCGTTAGTGTATTTGTCCTCATCGAGAGTGGATTCAACAAACAGTGGGCTGAATGACGCATAAGGGAAACAAGTGATGGTGCCGCAAGGGCCTGGAGACGGCGCCCAAGAGCGCAGCCCAATGCAATACGATGGACGCGAATGAGTTCAAAACAGCGACACTTGTTATCACAGCAGCATAGATCGTCGCAACCCAAGGCCCGATGGTTGGTATGGTGATGGCCAGGAGTCCTCTCGACCAACAAAAACAAAGGACGAGGCGATGGGTTTACCCAAGACAGAGCTCGCAGTGACTTGACTGGCGATGTTGTGATAGTCTGGGACTCGGCTGTGGAAGCAATGTTGTTATGGCGGCCCGAAAGGCGACAATGTCCAGTGGGCTTGCGATGCTCTCCAGGATGTGGATCGGATGTTGGATCTACAACACTGCTCACACCACAACAAAACAAAAAGACAACTGCACTTGCCTCCGGGTTACTGGCTCAGGGCTGGCAGAGGAGAGGGATGGATGTAACGAGCGCGCGATGGCGACACACCCATGAGATGCGCCTCGCCTTGGAGATGCCTTGGACGGAGGGGGGGAATTGGCTTACTGTTCTTAAGATAAGGCGGCTGCAGGAGTGATGAAGTCGCTGCAAGGCTTAATCAGGCGTGCAATAAATCAAGTCTTGGAGTATCAGTCAAGACCACCAAGAACTGTGCCGCGCGTGGGATGAATGTCGGGGGCGTCGCTCGTAAACGTCAGGCTGCGTATCGTGAAAATCGTCGCTGGTGGGAGGTGTGATGCCAGAAATGCTCAATCAGATAGTTGGATGGGGGGAGGGGGGGACGAGCTCGGGGTGTTGTTTGGTCAAAAGTCTTGGGTTATGGAGACCCCGAATTTGCCTGGTGGCGGCGGGCAGGCGGGAGGCGAAGGTTTGAATCAGGATACGTCAGGCAGGCAATCGTGTGGGCGGGCGGGTATGACATAGACCCCCAGCAACCAGCGGTAGCGGTATGCGGCGCAGGACAGGCGTGCGTTGCAGCAGGCGTCAGGAGACGGGAACAGGCGATAAAGGGTCCCCTTTCTTGGCCGATAAAGGACGCCCCAATAAAAAAGGTGCTGGAGGTACCGGGCGAGATTAAAAATAGACAAAACAACGCGCGAGGGCCTCGGGTTTGAGGTCGCAACCAGCGTCCGGGGAAGAGACCAAGAAGTGTGGTCTTCTTGGGGGGAGGCACCGATGCGATGCACCGAAAGGGGGTGAGGTCTCGGCGGTGAGAAGCAGCAAGAGGAAGAGGCCCTATCGCTCAGATGGGCACAGCCTGGGGAGAGGCAGTAATAGGGGGGTGAGTGAAAGCGAGGAAGAGAAGATGGTCAAGGAAGCCTTTTTTGGACCAAAGCCCAACCGGCTGACAGACACGCAGCTCTCCGGGACGAGATGCCCACACCTCTCGCTCCCAGCACGTGTTTCCCAGCTCTCACTGGCGTGGGCAGCGGGACTACCTTAGCCTGGACAGATGCAGGCGCATGAGAATAAGGGGGTTCATCCCAGGAGATGGGCCGGATTGAGGCTGTGCAAGTAGTCGATCCGGCAGAGTTGCGCTGTACGTGATTGGCGGCGGGGCACGATGGAGGTCGAGATACGAAATAGTAACGGGTCGAAGCAACTTCCTCAGGGTCTGGACGTTCCAGAATGATTCGAAAGGCGACACCTTTGCCTCTCGTTCCGTCATCAGACGTGGTGGTATATTCGAGAAGAGTGCAACTCATGCACCCTCCCGATATGTACTTCTCTTTGTTCGCCGCGTGGTTGCTTATGACCGGCTGGCTCAGCCATTTTTCCAGTTCCCTTATCGTGCACCACAGGCGCAGGGTGCCGTCGCGGTTTGATACACAGTACCTTGGTACATGGCAAGCCCAGTGAAGATCAGGCTACGAAAGGAGAAGGCCGTTCGCGGAGCCAGCTATGGTGTGCGAATTCCCCATCGTTGAATATATGTACGAGATATTAATTGCGATATCCCCGTTCTCTGACTCCTCAGACATTCAATTCTACAGTATCTATCTCTTGGGATATGGCAGATAAGATGTATCTACTCATTTTCTGTACTTGCATACTGTATTGCAATTGTACGTAGAGAGTAATCAGTGGTCGCGGGTAATTATCGAGCGGCGCCCCAGGCTAACTTTAGCTCGACGTCCTGATGGAGGGTGTTCGCGATTCAACCAGGGTCCAACTATGACCTCGCTAACCTTACCGCGGCCACCCTCGGTTGCTTTTTGGGCAACCATCATGACTCTTGTTTGTTGACGACGTCCGTCCCTATTCCTAGTCCGGGACGTCCGCGGTGGAAAAGGGAACAAAAGAAAAGGCATGTCCGACGACAACTGGCCCGGAAAAGGAACCTCAGATCCACTCATCCCACGCACATGGACTCTCCAGGTCGGGGCACGCACGGGGGTCTCTTTCGCAAGGCGCCCACCGCGCACTGGATAGTACACGGGCCCTATTAGGTACTTTTTTTGTCTCCACGATCGCACCCAACAACGGCGCTGGTCCAGGACAGGAACCCAGCCGAAGGCCCGGAGATCGCTGGGCAGACAGGCATCCCACGCGAGACGCCCTGGCTGCCAGTTGGCCCCAACTTCCAGGCCTTCGGGCCCCCAAGCCAAAGGAGACGGCCTGGACGGGGGTGCCGGGGGCCAGGGGCGCCTTGGACTCTGAGTCGTGGCACCCGCTGGCTCGTGCTTCTCACTGCCGAGAAGCAAGCTGTCTACCAATACCGACTCAAGACACCGACACGGGGCTTGTCTATGGAGCGGCTTTATTCCATCGTCCAAAGTAGTATGGCATCCAGCTATACACACACAATAAGAGAAGCGATCGCCTGCGCACCAGAGCATTTTGCTGTATGAAACCGCGCTTTCACCGCCGAGGTCTCAACTCTGTGCACCAGCCTGCTGCTGCGGTCTTTGCAGTATGCAGACCGTTTGGGACATTATTCCCGGCCCCGTTCGATAGGCCCGAAACTCGTCCGCTCCAGACCTCAGCTGCCCCCAGAAACCCCACAAAGCCTCTTCGGCCCTCGTGATGAGGATGGCCCAAGAATCGTAAGGTCCATCAGGTGACTTGTCCCAGCCAGACCTAAGTATTGAAGGCAAACCCCATCGTCTCGCATACGGCCAGAACAGCACGATAATCGCGAGAGCTCACCACTCGCACAGTAGTTTAGACTATGGGGGGCCCTGGCTTGGCACTGCTCACCAAAAGTAGCAAGTCCTCAAGTTCTCCAGGGTTTAGTACGGCACGGGTCGTGCATTCGTTTGGATGTGGGATGTAAGCCGATTCGCCTCTTTCCGGACATGCGGTCCCTATTGAGACTTGTGCGCAACGACGGACCGGGTGACATGCCGACACTCTGCCATGATTTGCTGCAACATACGTTCACCGCCGGGTCGCACGTTTTATGCCAAGATCATGATATGACCTTGACCCTGCAGAGTTGATAGTGGCTGCCGCAGCCGTAGGTATGGTGGACCGATAGACAAACACCGATCTCTTAATCTTGGTCTATGAATCCCAACGCCACATAACATTCGCCATCCGGACTACATCATGGTAGCCATCTAGACGGCAGGTATTGTACACATGCTCCGCTTGATGACGGCACAACTATCCCACCAGGCCGGCGATCAACACCCCTCAGTGTTTGACCTTGTACTGCTCGTCGGGCAAGTACAGATGTCTGTCGGCGCCCTTCTTGGTCAGCACCACCATGCGGATAACACCGCCAGAGCTACCGTCCCATTTGATGGCTTCCTGTAGAGCGCTCTTGACAAAGTTCACCGCGTCCTTCTCCTCCATACCCTCTTTCCAGTGAGCATCACAGTAACCGTAGATGTATGTCGAACCGGAACCGCCGATGGAGTATGCTTGCTTGTGTAGCGAGCCGCCAAGAGGGATGGAGTAGACCTGGCCTCCGTGTCGCTCATCCCAGCCGGCGATGATCAGCCCGGCACTGTATGAATAAGAAGCGTTAGCATGCTTGTAGCTGGGACTATACAGCCCGTCACCACGGTCCGGCTGCGACCGTGGCCTCGGCCGTTCTTCCATTGAAGCAAGTGGCACCATACCTCAATCTATCCTTGTTGGAGTAGCAGATCTCTTGGAAGATGGCGGCGGCGGTCTGGGTCGTCGGGGGCTTTCCGTTGCGCATGGCGAACAGGCCAAGCTGGTAGTGTACGATGTCGGCGACAGCTTGCGTGTCGGCTGCCGAGCCGGATCGGCAACACCAGATGGTGTCATGCACTTGTGTGAGCTTGTCTGTCACTCGGTTTGCGATGTAGGATCCCGTGGTGGTTCTCGAGTCGGCGCCTGTAATGATGATGGTCTTTGGTCAGCTTGGTGGCCCCGGTACGTCGGCGATGGCCTGCTGGAGGGTTCGATACGTACCGAGGATAACGCCGTCCTTGAATGTGACTGCCATGCTGTTGTCTATGTCAGTACCAAGCTGCGCGCGCTGTGCCATGATCTGCGTCGATGCTTACATCGAGGTACCAAGACTGCGAGCGGACGGTTAGCAAAGGTCCATCAGTACAGCACACTTCCCAACTCACTTGACCTCGCCCTTCTTTAATCTGTCCATGTCGACGTGGATTCCATCTGTGGTTACCTGCCGTCAGCATACTCTGGGCCATGCTCGCGCCGTCCTCGGGCCAGCTGCTCGTACCTTCGTTCAGAACGCCTCGGTTGCCGAACTCCATCTTGGCTATCGTCTGCCGTGGGTGGGTATGCCTCTGAGTTTTGGTTCTATCGCAAAGGATGTGAGTTTGTGCAATGGAGCGTTCGTGATGGGCGTCGTCTGATGGCGGGGTGAAACGGGGAAGGTGGCGGAGGTATCTGTCGGGTCTGATGGATTGGTGAAGCTCCAACTGACGAGGGCTGGATCATGGATGGAGCTCAGGCAGCTCTCAGCACGCGTTGGCTTCCCACTCCCAGTGCATGTTTCGCTAAGTGGCCCGTGCCCCACCCATTCTACGCAAGGCTATGGTACCTTAGGTAGGTAACTTACGTGGCATGGGTAGCCTCATCACGGCCTTCGTAGCCTTGGACACCATTTCCCTTTCAACGCAGTAAAGATGAGAACTTCGAGCTTTGATACCATGGTTGAGTGAGCCATGGCTTTAATGTACTCAAGCCCAAGTTGTAGGCGAGAGCCGCCCGCCAAGCGAAGCATCGATAGTCCAAGACTACCGGTCTTCGTCGTGCTCGTCGAGTTGCCCTTCAGACTCGGGCATCTCAGTGATTCAATACTATAAGGCGATGATAAACAAAATGCTTCGTTTATCACCGAACTAATTCCTCATCCACACCAGAGCAAATGCCTAGCAACGTCAGATTTTAACTGGGAACGACTACATGGCATGTACAATGGCAATGGTCGCTTGCTTGCACTGCAGGTCGAAATTGAGACATCTTACACACGCAAGAACGCGCTTGAAATCCAATATGCTTAGTATACCAAAGCTAGTTGTACATAAAACAGATGAATTGTTATGGGACCTCCACGACAACCGATCCTTGTAAACGCCGTGCGCCATGCTCTTGGGGTATCATTGGGCCAACCTATGACGATAGCCTGGCAATCGTTAGCAAACGTGCATACTGGACCTCGAGCGGCCTGCAGGCGCCAGGGGCACTCACCCTTCTTTCTTCAGCTCTCCCGCAGCGTCCTCCGCCTTCTTCTTGTCATCGTCACCGCAGCCGCAGTCGTAGAAATCGCCGATCTTGGCGCAGTCGAAGATCGGCTTCTTCAGCCGTTCGTTGACCTGGTTGTGCACGAAGCAGGCCCAGCCCGCTGCCGAGTTGCGCGAGCCGACCTGGGGCGGGTACTGCTTCAGCATCTGCTGGAAGTGCCGGGCGCAGTCGCCGCAGGGGTACAGGCGCGCAAAGAGCTGGATGTACGTCTTCAGCGCGAGCGAGTCGTCCTCGGTCGGTTTTTCGGGGAACCGCGCCATCATCGTGTGAAAGAGCTTCCACGAAGCACGGCCGAGCTCAGCCCTGTTTGAAGAGAAAGAAAAGCGGTCAGTATCAGAGGAACATTTTGAGTTTCGAAGAGTCCGGCACGGGGGACGCCACGGGCCCGACCAGTCGGGCGAGGGGACATGTATAGATACGTACTTGGCAGTCGCATTCTCGAGCTTCGGTGCAATCACATCGCCTGTCAAGAGATCGCCCGTGATCTCGAGCCCAGCCAGCTTGGATCCCGTGGTACCCGTGGTCCCCTCCATGACCGGCACCACGGGCGCCATGGGGTCCACCTTGGCCACGCTCTCCTTGCTGGTCTTTGAGACGTCTGGTGCAGTGAACGTCTGGGGGATTGTGTCCATCCGGCCCCCGAACGACATCATAAACGACAGACTGAGGAAACCTACAATCGCCAAAATGACGATCACAGAAAGATGTCGAGCCATGGTTGCCGCAAACGTTTGGGCTCGGAACTGGTTCCTCTACGGCGTTTCCGGTGTCGCGAAAGGGGTCTGGCGGAAGAGAATCCCCAGCGAGTAAAGTAAGGATTGCAAGGAGCGACAGAAATCAGCAGGAATTGTATCGAAGGAGATGTGTGGAAAGAGCGGATGTTAAGCTTGCAAAACCATCATGGGGCTATCAAGGGGGTAAACGTTTGAAGTAAGAAAGATAAGAATTGCAGGAGGTTCTCGATGCTCCCAGTACCACGATCCAGGGTCTGACTGTTAAAGTTCTGAGGTGGGACCACCCGATGGTGGTCAGACACGTGGGGCGTAGAGACTCGGGACACCGGCCAGGATCTGGCCGTGCCCAAGCACTGCTGCAACTGGCAAACTGAGTCCACTAACTTAACTACAGAGGGTGTGTGTTACAAGGGCTAAACTACCAGGCTTGTCAGCGGTCTTGACGGTGTGGAAGATCTCCCGCGATCTACAGCCTATAATGAAATGACTAATACTTCGTCCGTTCATAGAAATTAGCAAGTATCGCCTCTCTCTGTCAGCTTCAAGAAAGCATTTTGCCTGGGGCCCGACTCTCGCGACAACTGGACCTCAACTTAGCAAACCTGGATGGGCGTGCACTGCGTTATTGAAGGCAGACTGGCTGTGTTGTATGAATGTGTTCACGTAAAGTTCCGAGTATAATACTCTTGTCTCCCTATCGAGGGAACGTACAGACAGGCCCCAATCATTTATCGCTGACCCATCCACCATCGATCACGTAGCTGCTACCCGTAATGGCACTCGAATCCTCAGCCGCCAGAAACAGCATCAGTCTAGCGACCTCCTCCGGGAGCAGGCGCCGTTTGAGGCTCTGCGCCGCCATCGTATTCGCCTCGTACTCTTCCGTCAAGACTTCTTGGACCTGTCGCTCAGTTGCGATGCTTCCCGGCATGATACTGTTGACACGGATGCCATACTTGCCAAACTCCTTGCTGTGAACCCGGGTCATTCCCACGATGCCTGCCTTGGCGGTTGCGTAGATTGGCGCACTTGTCTCGGGAATGCGCCAGATCATTGAACCCATGTTTATGATGCTTCCCGAGCCCTGCTTCTGCATGGCCGGGACCACATACTGTGTCAAAAAAAAACTGGTGGCGCAGGTTGACGTTGATGTCGTAGTCGAAGGACTCGGGAGTGACCTCTGAACTCGCAACTCGGGACTTTGGACCAGCGGCACCGAGGTTATTGATAAGTACGTCAACTTTTCCGTGATCAGCAAGAACCTGCTCGGCACATTCCTTCAGTGCATCTAGGTTTGTTAGGTCGCAATACATGAACGTAGGGTTGGCCGCTTCAGAGATCCCTTTGACTCTTTCGAGGAGCCTTGCTGCTGAAGCCTCCGAGTAGTCCAAGAAGATAACCTTGGACCCCTGCTTGCAGAATAGCTCAACTGCAGCTGCTCCGATGCCTTCAGCACCACCGGTGATCAATACGGTCTTTCCGCGGAGGCTCGGGTAAGTTGCGTACTGGGCCATTTCTGACAATGTGTCTGAACTAAGTGTCAAGGTGGATCGCCAAGCACCATAGGCCTCGGGGCGCGTTGTATTTGGTATTTCCGGGAAAGTTGTGACTGACTGTCAGTGTTTGATTCCTCTTGCGGGTGTTCGACGACGTGAGCTCCGCGCGGGGAACGTCTATCAAATTGGCGGGGAGAACCTCGATTGCTTCTGCCAGATTATTACGCGTGATGTCATTCACGCTTACTGGTGTTGGTCGCACTTGCTCAATCCAGCTGTGTATTTCGCCAAGTCGAAGTTCCGCCAAGTTGGATGCTAGAGACCAATGTACTGGTGTTGGCATGCATGATTATGATAGCAGGGAAACAAGCTTCCGTATGCGACTGACATGTCTTCCATGGATCAATTTCACTGTATTGATGCCGGAGGTATCTCAATTATGAAGTCACATCAAACTAGGCTTGCGCCAACACTGAACAACAACTCATACTACATCGCACTGGAAGAAACACTAGACTCTTGCCACGGATGCTCGATCTCGTGGTCAAATGGCTTTCGGCCATACACCACCCATCTACAAGTAATCGTGAGCGAGCTTCTCCTCCGCGCCTTGGAATTGATCAACTTACATGGGGAGAAAAGAATGAACAGCAGGATTGACAAGATCAGCGCGCACATCCAGCACCAGCTTATCAATGTCCAGCTCTGACATGCCCAAGGCGTTGAGAAACACCCAACTGATGCCTCGTATGCCCTCGTACAAGTCAGCTTGGCAGTATGCCCCGGCCTTCTTCTGTCTGCGGTCTTTCGGCCACGGGCCGAATGCCCATGCAAGCTTCTTCTCGACGACGTCCACGACTAGCCAGTCATGTTGACGTTAGTTCTTGTCACGAAATGATGCGGAAATGATGAGCAATAACGACTTACATCCCACTTCAGTAAGCCACTGCTTATAGTGTTGTGCAACGTGTAATTCCCGACCGAGTGCCAAACCCCCTTGCTGCATAAGCTCCCCCCATCTCTTAATGGCCGTGCCTGGGAAGTACATTGTAAGCCGAACTTCATCCAGAGTATGAAAGCCCTCTTACCTTCGGTACTACCATCTAGGCATCCAACCTCGATACTGCCATCTCCATACTCGACCCAGCCCCCTGGCTTAAGATTGTCGAACGCATGTCGCATCACCGTCCTGTGATCATTGAAGCAGGTGAACACTGCTCGAGCGTGTACGTAGTCGAACTTGAAAGGAAACTCCCACGAGTCTTCGCAGTCACCCTTGATAAACTCCACATTTTCGGGTCCGTTCCTTGGCTGGATACTGCTCAGGTCTATGCCAATGACCTTTGCTTCAGGGTGTTCCTCAGCAAATTCGAATGTCCATAGACCCGTGCCACACGCAAGATCGCAGACGTATCTGGGTGATTGAATAGGCGCCAGGTAAAGCTTGTGTGATAACAATACCTTCAGCCCGGCGTGTTGCAAGTCCAATCGGTCTTGTTCGGCCTGTAGGAAAGTTGGTCACTGTATTTTGTAAGGTCTCAATAGGCACAGCTTACCGCATCATTGGGCAGGAAGTATTTGCCCTCGCGATACCCATTATACGTCCTTCCCGAATCTCCAAGAATAGAATCCGAGTCTACAACGGATAGCCCAGTCGATGAACGAGTGAACTCTTCCGGCACCCAGTATATGGGATCAACCTCGCCATATTTCGATGACTGAGCGGCGAATGCACCTGTAGCACGCTTTGGCAACTTCGGATCCACCTCAATGACCTCGTCAGGGATGAAGGGAGTTACTTTGTACGGATCATACCAGCTTGGCAGGGTTTCGTTGACGTGGGCTTCTTGCTTAACACAAGGCTGACGCGTATTCCGGGATTCGAGTATTTGAGACGGGAAAGGTAGGTTTCGCGAGCTATAGCGACTCACATTATCCGCGTTAACAGGAATTGGCTGAATCTCGGCCGACTGGTTGGCTGAATCTCCAAATGGAGGTGTTTGGGATGGCACAGGAGGGATTGGTGGTGGCGGCATCAAGTGAGACATGAACCCACTCTGCATAGGCACGAAAGTCTCGAAAGGCATGAGGGTTTGTAGGTCCATGTAGCCATGTATATTGCGCAGCCCAGCCTGGTTGTTGTCGTCTGCAACACTTACCAGGCTGCCTTGGACAGGAAGCGGCGCAGCGGCGGTGGGTGCAAGGTATAGAAAATCCTCGTCCATCCCATACGGAGGTACATTAGGGTTGGAATCGGCGTCCTCGTCGCGGTAGATTTCCTGGTCTGGCATAGCGAAGTTTGGCAAGCACTTGAACTTTCATAATGTGAAAGCTGAACTGATGATCTATTAATATTGTACATCAGGCGGGGTCGTCGGATCATCGGCCTTGATTGCCATAAATACGGGCTCTGTGCTGTGATAAAGCATCCCGGCGAAGCTGGTATGCATGGCCATGCAGCTGCGCATCTCCGGAAGGCTTCCAGGCCTGCCGGATGAAGGGGTTGAGGTGACAAACCTGCCCACATCAACTAGGACTTAGACGCAGGTTCCTTGGTAGTCGTCGCTTCCGCCAATCAGAGACGTTACCAAAGCAGACCTCAGGCGGCTGAATAGCGAATAAGGTGTTCTATCGCCGATTCTTGGTCCAGTCTTGTCGGTCCGTTTTCAAGGTTACCTTGCTGAGCCAATTGGACTAGACATCAATGCTGTTAACAAGTGGACTAGACCCGCTTTCTTACTGGCATTGGAACGGTACACAGACGTACCCCTGGCCTCGGTCAGGTGTTTGAGAAACAGAAACGACAAGTCCGGGAATGCAGCTTTTCTTTTCTGAAAAGCGCTGAAGATATGGGAGCTTTTTGCACGTTTGTGTATTCCTGAACGCCCAATGCTCCTCGACGTTACGCTTTAAACGTGCCGAGTCTTTGGAAGACCTTTAGTCATGTCATGCATATTCGCGACCTGGAGCTTGATTTTGGTTACAGTACACTCTCTCAGTAAATTCTTTTCTGATAAACTCATGGAGAGAAAGTGGCCTTTTATGAGTGCTACCGGGCGGTTTCATGTTAGGTAACGATCCCAACGCCTCGGACTTTAGGAACGTGCTCGAGAATTAGATGAGGGTTCAGAATGCTGACTAGTTACTGCAGTCCTATCCGCGGGGGAAAAAACCCCCTAAATAACATAGGCATACTAGCCTTCTGTTTATTTCGAGTATTCGGCGTACGGTATTATAGGGTAGAGGTTGAGATACTACCAACGTTAGATGACATTATACTGGCTAGACCTTAGAATAACCAGTGAGATTTCAATACCACGCAGGAAGTATCGCTTCATTCATATGAATTCAAGACTGTCAAATAATCGCGCACGGAATTTCAAGATCAGTGCGTGAACCTCTTGGCCAGTACAAGCGCGGCCCTCTTCAGCAGACCCTTCTTCCAGTCTCCTTCATCGTCCTTGTCCTTGCTCTTGCCCTTGCTATTTCTGGTCATTTTCTTCCTCACGGCCCCCGTGACCAGCTCTTCTAAGTACTCAATGAGCAACTTCTCCAACAGTCCGTCCTTGAGCTCCTCCACCAAGCGATCCACCAGTTCTCCAACTATGAGATCGCCGAAGTCGTCTGCTAGCTTCCGCAATTCATCGCCTGTGGGTCCACGCGCCCCATGGCCGAAAAGCCCCTCCAGAATGTCTTGCAATCCGGCGTGGAACGGTGACTTTGTGGATCTGCTGCTAGCTTTGGGACTGCGCGGGCCGCGAGGGACTGACGAGTTACGCAGGCGGCCGCGGAGGGGGCTGCGTGAGGTGGAGTACCGCGCTGCTGAACGCGAATGGCGTCTTCTATGCCTCCTGTGACGATGCTCTCGCGGAGCTGTAGGACTGTGGTCTCTAGAGGGAACGACTGGGTTCTGCGGGGAGTGGTTCACGGTGCCGAGCTTACTGCTACGCGAACGAGCGGACTGCTCATACGGGTCTTGTAAGCCCTCAGATCCGCTCTTGCCCGACGTTCGAGGTCCTGTGTGCTGAGTTGGCCAGGGAGGGTTGCTCAGGGGTTGTTGTGACTCCAAGTAGGCAGTCTCTCGCTTTGTGCCTCTGTGAGCTCGCGAGATTCGACTCGGGTCAGGTGCATCAAGGTGATCAGACATCGCGATACGCGGGGAGCCTCTGAAAGAGATGGGATATGCCTGTAGCACTCGATTTCGAATGTGAAAGAATGATATGCTTCTGCGGTGGCTGCGGCAAGAGCTTGTGTGTTGCCACGTGGATTTGCAACCAAGCACCGTGCCTTTTGTGAAAACAGTGTGACCGCAACGTTTACGTGGCAAAAATAGACGACTCTAATTCAATCAAAGCAAGAAGCTATGAAATTCTGTTGAACAATGGCTGGCGGAGCAACAGAAAACTGCTTATTGACCTTGCAATATTTTACTTCGCTAGCCTTCAGACAATCATTGAGGGTGAGCCAGATGATCCTTGAGTGTAATCTTCTTTTGGTGATTAACATCCAATATTTTTTTGATGAACCCATTCATTATCTGTAGCCAAATATCATTGGAAGATGTGCTACATACCACTCCACGCTGACGCGGTTCAGCAACTGGCCACAAATCTGGTGACTACTCGTCCTTTTGGATCTGTGATTGTAATTGCCTCATCTCAGGACTACTATGCTCCGTTGGACGCCAGCCTGAACGCGTTCAGGACTTCCAAACTCACGATGGGATATGACATGATCTTATCGTGGAACCCATGCTTCAATATGTGTTTCTTGATGGCCCCTCTCCTCGTCTTTTGGTTCATAGCCCAACCGGCAGCTCCCAAGGGGATCTTGGTGAGCTGAGTCTTCCCATCTAAAGCTTCTGGGCTTGTTCCATGTGATTGAGACGCATTCACAGCTTGCCAGAACAATAGTTCGCTGTGAAACCACGGAACATCATAATCGTCTTCTGCGTGAAGAATGGCGATGTAGTACTTTGAATGGTTCCCCTCCAATTGCTCACATATATGCACAAACTCAACCATCTTATCCTTGCTAGACCATTTATCGCGAATGAAGGTATTAAGCCATGCCAAAATCCTTGGGAATCGGGCAACAGGCCCAAGGATAGGGACCACCCCTGCGATTCGGTAGGTGGCTGTGAGCATTTTCACGTCGACCATGGGAGCTACCAGCACCATTCCAGAAAAAAGGACTGGATCTGGCCTTGTTGCCAGATGGTGCGCTAGAGATATGGCGACAGCCGTTCCCAACGACTGGCCGAAGAGGACAATCCGCGACGCCGGTATGCCTGCAACCTCTAGAGCCCATTCGGTCAGCGTGACTGCATCGGTCAGAAGTCCTTGTTCTGAAGGAGTTCCGGTACTCGCACCGAAGCCCCTGTAGTCTATAGCGACTGTATGAATATTGTCTGGTGCAGCAGCGGACATAGCTCGATAGCTAGGAGGCCGCCAGCCTGAGCCCAGCGTCCCGGCCGCGCCGTGGAAGTACAGAACCAGCAGCGCTTCCGGGTCATCGTGTAGAAGTTGGAATGAGATACTGGTCGTTATTTCCTTACGTTGCCCCGGCTGTTCTTCTGAAAGCCTATGCTCATGTTTCTGATACAAGCCTAGGGGCAGGATGTGCCAAGCCTGCAGAGTCTCTCCATCTTGAGTATTGAGTGAAAAAGAAGAAACTTGATTATGAAGAAAGCCCCACTGCTCCGGTATGCTGACGTCTTGGAACCAGGTGAGTGAAACTCTATTCAGGTAAATGACCTGGTTCTGACAGTGCGGGAAGGCGAGTACAGCAAGGAAGACAATATAGGATGCGACGGCCCCAACAAGAGCGCCCAAGATGACCCGAGTCAGAGTCTTGACAGCCATGCTCCTGATTGGAATTGCAATTTGTTCAAGAATATAGAACCTAGCAAGCTATCATGGTTCTGGATGGTGTATCAACAGGCCGTTGAACATAGATAAAAAAATCACTGGCATGCTACTGTCGTGTTGGTTCATGGCGGGGAACCTCGCACCCGGTGGGGCCGCCCAACACTCTCGTAGGTGAGACATCCAACTGCTCACCCTACCTCTTTTCATAATCGTTTCCCAAAGTCCAGGCATCGTGAAGTGGTCTTCCCACCCCTCATGGTCCATGTATTCGAGAATTGTAGGAGTCTATAACGAACCAAATACGAAGATCAACAAGAATACATACGTACTCGTGATCCAGAACCACACACATTCTCGAAAGTTCATAGCATCAAGACCAAATCTTCAAGATTAGCATTATTAATGAGCACGCCACGGTTTGAGGCAGGGCAGATATGGACTAAAGGATATCTCAAAAACACTGTACGAAACCTCCCTGCATCCTGAATGAAGCCCTGAATAGAATCCCCCAGGAACCAAAATCTTGTGACCACTGGTGGTTTATACGAAACAGAACCAGCTCGCGTGCAAGCAAATATGCAGCAAGACAGAGAAGCATGGGCGGCCCTAAGAAGGCTGAGCTGCCTTGCTCGGTCCGCTCTCATCACGATTTGGTCGAACCTTGCCCTTAAGGGCCTCAAGAGGTTGATCGTTTTCTATCATATCCCACATTCGCTCCCTCTTACTCTTGCGGCCCGTTTCTCCGGCTTGTTCCATCTCGTCCAAATCGCTGATATCGTCGGAGCTGAAGGAGCTGGCGCTGGGGCTACGGTTGAGGACCATCTGGATGTTGCTGCCCTCCTCCTTCTTGACCTTCCTCTGGTTCTCCTTCAGCTTTTGGTCTTCCTCATCATCGCAAGCGAGAGTTACAACACCTAGTCCCGGAAAGTTCTTCTCTAGGAATTTTTGAAGGTGAGGTAGGACTGATTTGTCGGGCCTGTAAGTCCCACTGTCATTATCAATTACTAGCTGGTAGTAGGATGGCTTGGACGGAGGTTGATCATTAGGCGGACCCCCTGGCAGCGGCTCGCTGGGATGAGTTGGCTGATCTGGCTCAGGATCTTCGGAAGCGGTAGGTTTCTGCAGCCGGCGAATAAAGAACTCGCCTGAGCATGCTATGAACGTCGCCACGTCGGAGTGCATCGTGTGCTTGCTGAGCAAGTCAATGCCAAACTCTTTGCCAGTCTCGGTGAAGCGGAAAAGGCCGTCCAGGGTGATGACATAAGTGAAAACGCGGCCTCCATGGTCAAAGTGTGCCATCTTCAGGAACTGCAAGCTCGCTTCCTCGGAGCATGGCTTGAATCGGCCATACTCGGTTGAGCTGTCGAAGTTGTAGATGCGGTTGTGTTGATGGGTCAAGGCCTTGTGTAAAATACGACCACGAATACCACTCCGACTGAACATGAGGCCAATGACTGGCCTAAATTCCACGTATCGGTGGTAGAGCTTTTCTGGGACGGGCCCTTGCAGTTGCATTTCGATGGCCTGAAAGTCATACTTCGTTGTTCGTTTGTTGTTTCCCTGATCGCCATTGCTATTGGCAGCTTCCCCCTGGTGGTCATTAGAGTCATCATCCTCGTTCTTGTTCACCTGAACGCCTGCAAGCCGCCCTATCACGGGTGAAAAGTGCCTGTAGTATGAGGTCGGGCCCACCGTATGAACCTGGGCATTCGGCTGAGAGTCTGACAAGCCCAGAACAGTTGCGGTCAAGACTAGCCGAGGTGTCATCGACACATCTTTGTGAAATGCGGAAGTAGCGGCCTTGAGGAGGTATGCCCGTTTACTTCCCACACGCTTCTTCACCTCAAACTCCTTGTGCGAAACGCCCTCCCAGTGCTCGTCGATGCCATTAACAATGTACGTCACATTGCCAAGCCGATCATTGTGATCGGGCCAGTCCTCATCGTAGAGGCGACACTTGAGCTTGAACCCTGATGACGGAATGTTGGCAACGATCCATTCGTCTTCCCACTCAGGCGTTATCGTACGCCTCAAGGTTGGGGTCCGGTGGACGAGATCAGGATCTTCTTTGTGTCGTTTGGGTAACGCAGTACTCAATGTAGCCTCGACAAAGGGGTCCGAAGCGCCAGTGCTGATATCGGCAACGGGCAGGTTACTTGCACTGTGAAATACGAACTTGACCGTGTAACCGGGCGGTGCATCTGGTATAGGGGTGGAGTCGTAGCCTCCAGGTGGTTTGGCCTTGGTCTTGATTCGGTCTTTTTGATGGTTGAATTTCCCCTTGACATCCAGGGTACTGTGCCGATGAGGGGCAGCTTCTTTCTCAGCACCACCATTGGGTTGAGGCTGCGCCGAATCATGTGGCGGCGGCTGGCTATCATGCACTTGCTGGAGGTTGCTGCTCGTGTTCGCCCCATCGACACTGGATTCGCCGGGTTGGCCGGGTCCTGGTGGAGCAGAGCTATCGACGGTGGACATGCTGGCGGCGGTTAGACGATGATGTCAGTATCCTTCGCGACTACGCCGACGTTGTGAACTGGCCCGAAGCGACGCGGGCAGAATAGGCCCGGGTGAGGCTTAAGCTCGAGTGCGACACGCGGCGATGTGTTGCGCAGTGGCTGCTATGCGCTTGCGGAATCCCTGCGTCGTTCCTGGTGCCAAGATTGGATCGAAAGCGAGGATCGAGGACGATGATGAGTGCCAAGCCGGGGAGAGATGTCAACAGCCCACAGGAGACACAGAGCCGGGTTCCACACTGCAATCCCACCAGCAGCAAAGCAACGCGGCTCGAGTTGCTGGACAATGCGATCTTATGAATATTTCTATGCTGATGCGACACAGGAGCTGAAGAGGGAAAAATCGAGACTGCGCGACCGCAGAAAAGCCCTCGCAACCAAAAGGCGGGTCTGTTAGATGAGTCTCACTCCTCACTGGCTTTCTACCAGCAAAATCTTGGATTCTGTGCTTCTCCCAAAGGGGCCCGACGTCATGCGCCATGCCGAAATCCGACATGGACAGCGACCCGGCACAGCACATCCGCTGGATGCGCTGCTACAGCGACGAGCTCCCGAGGCGTGTATTCCCCGGGGAAGCACGTTGTTCCGAACCGAGTGCTGATTGCATAACACGGCCCAGGAGGTTGGGACGGTCCAATGCTCGCTTGCACACCGAGCACGCACCCAACGCCCGCGAGCCAGGTCCTGGCCAAAGCGGTCCCAACTGCGAGAATTCTGGGCCAGCCCATGGGCCCATTTTCTGGGGTCGCAAAGACCGTCCAGCCAGCCGGGTAATTTTGTCTGGGCGGAAGAGATCAGATGAAAGAAAAGCTTCATTCTGGACGATCGTTTTGTCTTGTACTGTAAACCACACAGTCTCTTGGCCCCCCCTGCGAATATTGACAAGTCCACTGCATCCACTACATACTATTCTCACTCTTGGAGCTCCACAATCTTCAGGGCCATCATCTACCTTGCAGCAGCCTGTTGTCCGTACACTACTTCATACACACACACGCATACAGGGCCAGCTACTGAGTCTTGAGTGCGCGCCGGAAACCTGACACTTACCGGACAGTTACCTTGTCTAGGAAACGCCGAAACTTGACGGCTCTTTCGAGGCGCGGTAGGGCTTGGAAAGATACTGGCTCAGCCCCTCTAGCTAGTTGATTAAGGTGAGGCGTGAGCCGTCCCGTCGTCATCACCGCGTAGGCAAAGCACCCACATTCTCGAGCACGCTGAAGCCTCAACGCTGCCAGATGAACGGCGCGGCAACGACCGTTGCAGTTGTGTCAGATGCTGCGACAAGGACCAGTGGCTTGATAAGCCGGGTAACTTGGCCACGCTCTGTCGGTGCTGAGCGCCTCTCTTGTATTGCTTGCTTGATTGTTGTATCTATCGTGAACCCCATTGAGAAGCAATTGCCGATCAAAACCCGCGCCGTGCTCTCCGTCCTAAGTGCGCTGCGGGTGCGAAGCAAAAGCCAAATTTGACTTGCTGGTCATGACTTGCCATTTCGAAGGAAATACGAGTCCGTCTCGAGATGAAGCTTTCAATATAATTAAATCGTCGAGGCCTCGCATGATGGGTCCCAAATTATACGAACCATGGGCGCTCCCAGCAATGCCACCCCAGCGAAATTGGAGAACACCAGTACTGGAGAAGACAGGCAACCCAGCCACGCTAGTCTTGACCTGCCGGAAATAGCTACAGCTGGGGGGAATTACGCTGCAAGGCACATATCTCGACTTGAGGCGCGCATGCCGATTAGAAAGTAGGGCATCCGCACCCGGGGGCCACAACGTATCTTGTTCTCAAAGGCGATCAGCCACTACAGTACTGTGTAGGCTAGCAACGAAGGCTCCTTTGGTTGCCTGGCTCCAAAAAAAAAATCCAGAAGATGAATCCTTTGGCCATTGCTCCTCGGGTAAATAAGTGTGGCAGTGCGAGTCATTACGCAATGTGAGTTAGCACACGTCTTCTTCGTGCGTCAGCAGTCCCTCTGGTGGATATCGCCTCGTACTGTGGTGTGGAAACACGTTCCCGGGTTCGCTGTGTGGAGCCGCAAATTGACTTTAGTTAGAATTGACAGTACACAGTACCATAGTAGAGCACCAGAGGAACCAATTTCGTTATCTTTGGCAAACTGTAACCGGCAGTACTGTATGCAATGCGGTACGGCTGCTCCTTAGCACCGAGCATATCATCAGGGCCCGCTGATGATTGCTTCTCTTTGTAACGACAAACAGCGTATGCGCCTGGGCTGAGAAGGACGGTATTGCTGAGGACGACACGGCAGCCAGGTTGCAGCCACGCTCAGGAACCATTCCCCGCACACGATGATGTATGCTACCACCTAGCGAACCGGCAGAGTGGCTCTCGAGTCGTATTCAGGAGTCCGACTCCCAGGTTCCAGTTTTCAGGAATCCTCTGCCAGTCTGGACAGAACTACGCCCGCCGTCCGGTAGGCCCGAGTACCCCGACGGAATCCTGCCTCTGCCTTAGCACAGCGCGAGGGGAACCGGCAACTGTGCTTGTCGGTCATTAGCCAAGCCCTGAACGCGGGCTTTCCGCCAATTGGGTCTCGGCCAGCTCGGCGAGTATCTCCACCTCGCGGTTGAAATTACACGATCGAACTATGGGCCGGTCGACTTTTCTGCATCTTTACCCAAACCGGCGCGAGGCGTGGATTCGACTGACCTCATTCGTGGGCTTCGGTCCAGCAACCCCTGGCTAGCGACTGCGATGCTCACGCACGTGTACCCGCCTAAGCCCAAAAGCCCGTATCGCCGTCCCATTATTGACAGCACTACTTGGCCCAGAATATACCTATCCCTGCAGAACAAGTCTGCGAACAACCTATCCGACATGGGGCCCGACCCACGGTTGCACGGTTCCAGCCCGTTGGTCTGCGGACTACTGTAGCCATCGCTCAATGATTCCGCAGGCCGGCCCTCTTATTTATTATATCGGCTGGCTGCCGCCCACCTGCGTTGCAATCTGATCCCTCCCACACCTTACGTCCGGCTATCTCGTGGAAGGTCAATAATTCTTAGGCGGTCCAACTTCAGTCATTCGCTACTCGATCCAAACAGTCAAAATGGTTGCCCTTATCAAGTACGCTGGCGCAGGAGCCATCCTGGTCGCCGCTGTATCAGCCTCCTACCCGGCCGCCGGTACCACCAGCTCCGCATACGCCGTCACCTCGACCAGCTCAGCTGAGGATGATTGCGTGAGTCCTTCAGCCTTCCTCAGACAGGCTTCCAATGGCAACATGACTAACACATTCACAGGAGCCTGAGACCGAGTCCTACTCTGTCCCATCTGCCACTGTTTCGTCTTTCTCCTACTCCGCGTCTGCTTCGGCTTCTGCCAGCTCATCGGAGGATGACTGCGTAAGAGTTTCCTAAACCGTATCCCGCGTGCCAAATCACTAACGCGCAGGAACAGCCCCCGGAGGAGACTGAGAGCTACAGCGTGAGCAAGACCTCGTCGTCTGCCGTTATCACCACCACCTCGTCCAGCTTCTCGTACTCGGCCACCAAGCCCAGCTCTACCAGCTCTGAGGAGGACTGCCCGGTTGAGTCCGAGACTGGCAGCTATGCTGTGTCGTCCACCTCCAGCCACGCTGCCACCACTTCCGGCGCTACCTCCGCTGGCAGCTACCCGGCAACCAGTGCTACGACTGCTGTTGGAAGCACTTCGACTGCTTACACCACTCTCACGTACACCATCTCCAGCTGCGCCCCTACCGTGACCGACTGCCCCTACGGCCACACGACCACAACTGTCGTCCCTTGCACTGATGAGACCACTGCCACTTATCCGGCCACGACCAGTATCCCTGCTGGCTACACGACCTCGACTCAGTACATCACCAGTGTCTACACCGTCACCTCCTGCGCTCCTACCGTGACCGACTGCCCCGTTGGTTCCGTCACCAGCGAGATCAAGACCACTGTGACTGTGTGCCCTGTTACTGAGACTCACGGCGCAACCACCACGTACCCTGCCGGAGGAGCTTCAACCTACCCTGCCGGAGGAGCTTCTACTTACCCTGCCGGAGGAGCTTCTACCTACCCTGCCGGAGGAGCTTCTACTTACCCTGCTGGAGGAGCTTCTACTTACCCTGCCGGAGGAGCTTCTACCTACCCTGCCGGAGGAGCTTCTACTTACCCTGCTGGAGGAGCTTCTACCTACCCTGCCGGAGGAGCTTCTACCTACCCCACTGGCAAGGCTACCCTTTCGACCAGTGTCTACCCCGTCGGAACTGCTGGAACTAGCGCACACAGCGGAAACAGCACATACGCTCCTCCCACCTACCCTGTCACCTCTCAGGCAACCACTGCTACCTCAGCCACCAAGACTCAGGCTACCACTACCAGCGCTACCAGCGCCGTTGTCACTGCTGGAGCCTCTATCATTGGCAGCAGCGTCGCTGGTGTCCTTGCCGTTGCTGGTGCCATCGCTGCTTTGATGTAAGGTGGATCGCCGGGGCTGTGACGAAATGCTACGCACTCTATTGATAATTGCATAATGTTTATATTTAGATTCTCTGCTCCACTGCGTATTTCTGGCTGGCCTTTGGGTAGATGGTCAGCCGGAGCTGAGTGGAGCACTCACAGCAATGTTGAGATTTCATGGTACACAATAGATACAAACGTTTTAGTCACTCCTTAAGATATCTACTCTGTGGAAAGCCCGGCGCCTCTCACATGCTATCCAGATTTCGTGCGACCAAGTAGAGCTGTCAGGACGGACGTGGTCGAGCTGTTTCATTTGCGTGATTATCGTAGTTTCTGTGGACGTATCACCTTACGACAGCCGTCGTCAGCAAACCCACGCTGTAGTGGATGCAAGCGATGTTGCGAGAGTGACATCGAATGGGCGCTTCCACGATCCGTCATGTCTTGAGCGATTTGTTTGACTGTATGCCACTAGACACTTGCTGATGAATGTGTTGAGCTGTTATGCGAATGTATCCGAATGCTCGTTACACTGACTAGTAAAATGGGTAGTCGCACAGTGACGGTTCAGTTGGTTGTCGTTTCGTTGATGATTATCTGGGATTGCTTATCGCGGAAGTAGGCATTGCTTTATCCAAGACAGACGTGCCGTTGTCTCACGTTCCCAAGACGTTCAATATTGGGTAACAATTTGTTTATTTTATTTCCAAAAGTCCAATGACAGCAAAAGCATCCTCTGTTCACGCCGACCTCAAGCTAAGCCACTGAGGTGGCTGGGCGGCTGGAGTGACTGGGGCGAAAAGGCTGTCCAGTCTGCGTGGCCAAGCGATCTCGACAGTTTCCGGCTGCGCTGTGAGCTGCAACGTAACAGGCCTGCGTCTCAACGCCTCTTCCTCGATTTGCATGTGATTGGCCTTATTGTCGAGCTTGTAGATCAACTGCTCGATGACGTGGTTGTGGTGGCCAATTGCTCGCTGCAACTTTGGTATCGAGGCCGGAGAAGCGTTCTCCAGTTTGGTCTCCAGGCGTTGCTTCGCCGACGCTTCCCTCTGAATTTTCAGCTCGACGTCTCGGACCTCCTCGAGTGTGAACAGGCGATTCTGCTGGCGTGTGCCCCGGGTGCTACCGACACAAGAGTTAGCCTAAGGTCATGTTGAGTCTAGAGACGACAGCTTACTTCCTTGAATGTCCCGATAAGAACTGTCTGATGCATAGATGGTCCAACACCCAAGACCAGGGTTGTGGCGTCTCTGTTTCCTGCCTAATGAGCTGGCCCTGTGGCATTGGTCTCTACCACTCGACCAGATTGGACTTCGTGGCCATCAGCGATGTCCATTCTGGCAGGTCGAAACTGAACGAGACAAGGTGGGGAGAGTAGGAGGAGGTCTGTCCAAGAGCGGCAGCAAACTCAAGTGAACGAAGTAGAAGGTTGAAGCGAACGGGACAAGAATGATGACTTGGACTGATTCTGTCCAAGAGCGGCAGCAAAGACCTATGACGGCAGGAAGTTCAAGTCAACGAGAAGTCTGAGAGGGACCGGGCGAAGCAGATGGCGGAAGGAACAGATTCATGGAAGTTGGTCGAGTGATAAAGCAGCACCGAAGAAAGAACCGCAACATAGGAGATTAAAGACATTCAGGGGAAGCATTTGCATTTTCCATATTCCTCTGCGTGTTTTGAGGATATGGGGATATCTAGATCGACAGGAAACAGGCTATGGGCCCAATATCCGCAAGTTTTGAGGCAAACTGTGAAACCCTAAGGAATCTAGCCGCGGCTTACCCTCACCTATGACATTGTAACATAAATAATATGCCTGAATAAAAACACATCATGTCAGATCTGGAGTCATTTCCTCAGGGGGATCCTGCCGCTGCCATGAAGAATAGTGTGGCCGAGTCGAACAAGGTGAACAAGGTCCGAGGGCGGAACCACAGACCTCAGATCTGACCAGGGTGGATCTAGGGTCTAGATACATCTGAACGTATTACTGAGCCGAGCTGGTCTTCTGTACAGCGTTTGCTTTTTTCGTCAGCTGACTGTGCTTTCGGGTTGGCGAAGTATTCTGTTCAGCGACGTGAATCATCCTAGCATCGTGTAACTGAATCTTTGCAATCAGGTGCGGTAAGTATACCGGCGGGTAGCCTAAACCTGGTGGATACAGTACTTTTCAAAGGTCGAGCTTCTGAATTGATCCGTCTGTTGTGGGTTGATTGGTTACAGAAATGGAGGAGCAAAGCTGACTCGACGCTGCTTTAGTAATTGGGCTCAATACGAGTATTGGGCAAGTCCATGATCTAGAGCAAAGCCCCAAGTCCCATACTCGTGCTGAGCCAGAGACAAAATCTTGAATCTGTCCAAACGATTCCCGAAGAACCTCAGGGCCTCCGGCGGCTATGAGTGGAGTCTACGACTATAAGCTGGACACTAGGGGGTGGGTCTCGTGGATCACAGGCGGGAGCAACTTCGACTGCTTAGAGCCACAAAGCGTCGCAGATGGCACACTATACTGCTTGTTTCCCCATAATATTGAACATGTATATCCGGCTCTTAGTCAGCTCTGCGTGCCATGCTCAACCCTTCTTCTAACATGTTGATCACTGGAGAGAGCCTGGTCCAGTCCCAAGCCTACCTGAATTTGCAGTCTCATTCAATTTGAGATCTGATTCTCTGCGGGATCTGCTCAGCGGTTGCCTAGAAAGGCTACGTTGCTTGGCAACACGGAGACAAAGTTGGGTAGCTTCCATCGCATGGTGTGTACCTTGCATCGAGGCAGCGAATTCTCCAGTCAATTGACGTGTGATGCTTCTGAGGAGAAGATCAACCCGACGGGAACCCCAATCCCCAGGTTAGGGAGAATCGGATGATTCTACTAGCAGCAAGTCGCACAACGATTGAAGTCGATTGTTCGTTGGTGCCAGGACTTGTATACATCTGGGGGCCTCATCCGTCAGCCTTGAGCGTTTGGAGCAGGGAACGTCAAGGGCGCAGAGGTCCAACATCGTCATCAGGTATCAAAAAAAAACTCAAATCCGGAACACGACTCCACCTGTGCCTATAGGAATGGACCAAATAGACGTTTTGGCGATGATTTGGCAAAAAGTGGCGAATCAGGTTTGCAGTGCGGCCAATGAAAGCGACGGGCAAAATTGGGTCTCGATGCCCAACGTGGCATGCCTGCCGCTTCCTACCGAATGGGATGTTGCAGACTGCGCATCCGACACATGAGAATTTCTATTTCGCTGGATTTCAGTCATTCTTCATGGCGATTGGGAGCCCTGTCAGGTGAGTCACGCGCAGCAGGTTGCCCGGGACGCATTGCCCCATCAGCTGGCGCTGCCATCCGCCCTGGGCAACCATGGCTGCGTTAGAACCTGTCATATTTGATAATGCTGTGATACCTTTCACTTGTCTATGCAATCTAAACCCGCGAATGATCAATCTCTTTCAGCCTTCTTTCCAACAGCATCTCTGTCAACAAAACCAAGGCCGATCTGCTCTCTCCACTTGATCGACCCCGAATCATAACCCTCCGCCATGACCAGCCACGACAACCTGCGATCACCTACTCAAACTCAGACATTGGAAATTACATACAACGCTTCTTCATCACTCCCTTCGACCAACGCAGGAATACAGAAGATCATCAACGACACTTAATCTCACATCATGGCATCCTCCAGTCGACCAAGAGTCGAGATCGAAAACCCCATGCCGGGAGGCTTCCCTTCATATCTAGAACAGACAAATCACCCCTCAGGGCAATCTTCTGGCATGACCTCCGAGACAGAGACATGCTCAAGTCGACCTAGTGACAGACCGGCTCTTCCTGTCAGGGGCATTCTCAAGTCCGAAATCTCCCGGAAACCTCAAGACCACCTGGCTGCACGATTCTATCGTGTTCCTAGGCCAGACCAGATGCAGCCTGCGCCTACTTATCCACCAGTTTCATACGGTCATGACAATAGTTGGAACAACTATGACGGCTACGAGAGTTATGATCCAGAGAGCGGTTATGACCACGAGACCGACTCTCAGTCCGCATCCTCGGAACTCTCTGTCAACACGCAGGCCACTAGTGTTGCTTCTGATGAGACGGTCACCGACCCGGGTAGGAAGTCGACTCAGATCAAACATGTCCGTCACGTACCCCCGCCAACTGTTGCTCGAGTAAAGGCACGGCCACGAACACGACCACCTTCTGAGACTACCAAGAGTTCTCAGAAAAGACAAGTCAATATTCAAATATTCCCACCTGGCCAATCAAGTTCTCAGGAAGTGCAGTTGTCACGCAAGGCTGAGAAGGATCTGCTAGATAAGATCGAAGAGTTGGAAAATGAGGCCGATAGCCTGCGGGGCATGCGAGTCCAGCTGGGTAAAGATCTCAGCGACATGTCCGACAGGTTCTCGTTGAAGACGCTCGAGAACAAGGAGTTGCAAAAGTCACTCAGCCAAGAGAGAAATGCCAAGGAGCTCCTCTCACGCGAACTTCATAAACAGCGGACGATGCTCGACGAGTTTCGCAGTAACCTGGAGCTGCACAAGGGCATGCTAGAAGACACCGAAAAAGCAAGAGACAGCTTCAAGACCGCACGCGACAATCTAGGGAAGCAGATGGAGTCACGAGATGCTCAGCACAAGGCTTTGGAGGCGGTTCTTGTACGCAAGGCCGCTGAACTTGAGCTTTCATCGCGGACCTTCGAGGAGCAAGCTAGCTTGAAGGACAAGCAACTCAATGACGTGACCCAGGAGAAAGACTCCTTGCTGAAGCAGCTGGAAGAGCAGGAAGTCAAGATGAGAAATGTTAAGGCATTGGTGACTGAGCGAGACTCTCTGCGCAAGGAGTTGGAGGATTATCATAAGAAGGTGGAAGACTTGACCAGCAGTCAGGCCACACTGAAGGAAGAAAAGGAATTTTTGGAGGAAACTCAAAACAAACTTCAGACTCAGATCCAGGAAATGAATCAGGAGAAGGACAACCTCAACGCAAACATAGAAGGACTGAGAGAGGAGATCAAAGGACTGAAAGGGGAGATTGAAGTCTTTAAGGTGAAGATTTCAGACATCGAATCCGATAACAAAGACCTGGGAGACCAGTTACAGGTCGAAAAGGATCAAACCCAGCAACTCGTTGATGATGAGAAATTGCGCACCGAAGCAGTGGAAAAGCAAGCCGAATCAGATAAAGCTCGGTTGCAAGCTACTATATCTGGTTTAAAGACTGAGCTTGAGGGTGCAAAGGATGCCAACGTTGTCATTGTGGCCGAGAGAATGGAGATCAGCACGAAGCTTTCCCAAGTCAGCGATAGCCTAGCCACAGCTGAGGGTGAAGTCAAGCAGCTTCAAGAGCGAAACAAGTCTCTTGAGTCGGATATCGAAACGACCAAGACGCTGACTTCGGAGATGACGTCAAAGGTTAAGGAACTTGAGAAGCTCAGCGAGCAGCACAACCTTCTTGAAGAACGAGCCAACGCACTTCAAGCTGACGTGGACAAGCATGTTGAAGGCGACGCCGCGCTTCAGGCACAGAAGGACGAACTCAAGGCCGAGAAGGAAAAGCTTGACGCACTGAAGGAGACGTTGCAAGACGGAACTGCAATCACCAAGCTCGCTGACGAGAAGGCGGAGCTCGACCGCCGCGTCAAGGAGCTTGATTCCCAGGTTGAGGCACTGAAGTCCGAGGAGGCAAAGCTGAAAACGGAGGTGGAAACACTCAAGGCTGAGGCCGACAAAGTACCAGCCCTCACCGAACAACACCAGGTGGTGTCTGCCCAGCTCGCATCTGTGACGCACGATCTGAATCTTGCCAAAGCCGCGAGTGAGGCATCCGCTGATCAGGTGCGCGACATGCAAGCTCAGTTGACAAAGCTGCTGTCCAGGACCAAGTCAAGGAGTGGCTCGAGATCCAAAAAACATGAGCGTGCTCGCTCGACAGGTCTCGTTTTCGTGAGAAATCCATCAGATAAAGGCTCTGGTATATATGTCGCCACACGAGAGTCACTGAAACCCAGTGACTAGGTACGTCACCGGGTACGTCAAGGGTTGATCGTGTGTTTCCTTCAACGGAAACCAAGTTTCATTTGTGTTTGATTTTATGGCAATGGATACCATGTACACTTTCTTATGTGTTCGTATGCGTCTTCCAAGTACCGTTCTCTTTGGTACAAGGATTCTGGGCTGTATGGGAGATTGTGTTGAGTTCATGTTATAACGAGTCTTGTAAGCTGGTTAGGCGGGATAGATACCCTGTATGTTACATCAAGCATTTGAGAGACATAGACAGTGAGCACAAGCTCGGCATCCGGAACATGGGATTGGAAAAGGTTGTTTGAATTTTAAAGCAATGGAAAAATAAAAATTGGTTTGTCTATGCTTTCACAACAGTTGACCGTGCTGAAATCCAGGGTTGCAGTGGATTGAAGTGAGCCATCAGCGTAAGCAATCATAAAGCTGATATAAGAATTTAATTCAGGACATGGGTTTCTCCAGTTGCACCTCACAGGGATCGTGCCACAGACCTTGCCTCAATGGAAATTTTGCTTCGTGAATGCCCTGTCAGTAACGAATCCCTGAGCCACTTGACCGACGTCCACTTTATGTGGCCTGACATTGTGGGGGTAATTGGATAGTGCTTACTATGGTGCAGCGTGTCAGGGAGTATCCAGACCCCTCAACCCCCGCGCAGTAACAAGATGTGACAACGTAAACCATGCCACTAGCGCCTCAGGCAACCGAACTACATGATGAGGGTTCCTTGTAAGTGATAGTTAAGCCTTCCTGTCAGGGCTGTTGAAGCCGCCCGAAAGGCTGAAAGACCTGCATATTCCCCGGGAGTCGGAGCTAAGTCCTCGCTGCGATGACCATGCTATGATAGCAGCAACAGTAGGAAAAACTGCTCCTGGCCCAATGCAGAATACGGCTTCTCGTGGACTTTGACTTTGTCGACTTATTTCCATAGTTGTGTATATCTATATTTTGCAACTAACCTTCAAAAGCTACTTGACCCGTGGCTTCCTTTTGATCCATGCTTAGGGCCTTTCAGGGGCCATTCGTCAATATCTTTGCCAGATGTATTGGTGTGAGTTTCAACACCCGCGATCTGCTGCTCGAAAGACCTCAGTTCGACATCGCTTCGATTATCAACAACGTTGCTCATCACTGTCCACTCCTGTTTAACTCGGATTTGTGTGTTTCCCCCTGTGCTGCCTTGTGGTGGCTTGCCAGACTTCTTGGATGCGTAGCCTCGACTCCCTCCATACCCATATTCTGAGTGACCGCGCCGTGTTGTCCCAAATATAGCGGGAAATACTTGGCTGAAAAGAGAGCGAATGGCAGGCATGCATGCGCAGATCACGCCAACGGGAACTTCGATGGTTGACCAGTATCCAACTTCGACATAATCCTCTGCATCGCTGTTAGCTTCGTTGCGGGCACCGGTCCATCCCGATTACCACTTACGAGTTACGTTGCTCGTTGTGCCGAATTCAATTAAGGATCGTAGCCGAATCGCACTCACAACTGTAACACTGGCTCAGGGGTCAGTTAAGGAGACACCACGGGGCCATGGAGCACCATTCTCACTTACAAGAAACCGACAGCGAACATGAGCAGGATCTGCACCTTCTTCTTCATAGACATGGAAAGTTGAAACAGCTCAGGAAGAGGCAGTATTATGGTTCCCAAGTCGAGAGCAATGTTGATAGCAGCAGCAGACCATCCTAGGATATTAATGCTGATGCATTTGGCATTATACTCGCCATCCCAAGAGCGCCAAGCACCATCGATAGGGGAGCACTGAAATATCAGGACGAGATCGTAGCCTAAAGCGTAGGCAATGTTCAATCCAATCAAGATGTAGACGCAGATTCGGAATGATCGCTTCGGGAAGACTTTGAGGTAGAAGAGTAAAATCGAAACTTTGGTGAGGGCTAAGGAGGTGATGTAGAAAAGCTCGTCCCAGAAATAGAGCTGCGAGATATCGTTAGTTTCCCGTTATTAGACCTTTCGATGCTCGAGTCACTTACGTAGAGAATGGAAGTAATATCATCAAAATCCACATTCCACATGTCTAAGCCTAGACCGTGCTGTGCAACTAGCCATCGAGTCAGTCCAATGCTCTCCCAGGGTAATCGTGGGAATAAAACGAGGGTTCGACTTACGAGGGACAGACAGGACACATAGCGGTATCATAAAGCACTAAATTCCAATCAGTCTCGTAGTATCGTCGTTAGAACAATTATACATACCATGACCAAGCACATAGCCCAATCGTCCAACCCCCATGTCTGGGTGCCCATATGAAGTCTTGCCATGCATCGGAGTGCAAATGCCACGAGGCCCACGGCACCAAAGGTGATTCCCATGATCCATACCAGGTGCGTCCTGTCCTCGCCTTTGCGACCGCAAAGATCGTAGGAGTATTTCTGAGTCCCTGTAATAGATTATCAGTGAACCAAAGGTCGATCAACACGTACTGCTTTGTGTCTCCTCACCTAGAGCTTCTCTGATTGTGCAATTCGCAAACACACACGTCTCGATTTCTGCATTCAATACTGCATTGGTACAAATGCAAGCCGTGTCTGTGACCTCACAGAGTCCCGTGGTCTGAATCGTGGTACGGATACACTTGGCCTATCCTGTTGTATTAGCAGCTGCGTCAATATACCCGAGGCCGGTCTAACTCACTCCACAAGTGGGAGGCTCTGTGATTGAAGTTACAGCCATCGCAGGAAACGCAAAAAGCCATATGGAGGCAATCACCACAAGGAGCCGCATCGTGAAGAGTGAAGCAGATGTCAAGCTCTAGAACTCAACTTTCTCACCAAATCACCACAGGAGACCAAGAAAGTAGAAGACATGGAGAAGGCGCGCGTAGAAGTTCTCGATATGTAGGTTCCAGCTGTCTGGATTGGTTGGGTCGGACGTCAGACTACTGACAGTCGTTTACCCCTGGTGGGCTGCATTCCGATATGAGAGAACGCAAGGACAAGCGTCCCCTGCAAGTTGGCCGCATTCATCGCGAGACTCGTGGGACCCATGCCGGGCTGGTTGTCAATGAACCAGTGGCAATGGAGCAGCATTGGGCAAAGATTGACAGCACGGTCACGTTTTTGGATTCCCACCGAGGCATTCCCATGCCGTAACCAGAATTTGGCAGACCGACTAACATACGTGATACATATGCGGTACTGGCGGGAGCTACCAGATCAGGTATATCACCCGCAGGGCTAGCAGAGCAAGCTAACTGGCTACATGGGGCGTGTTCGTTAGGGTGCATGCCATATCCCAGAAGCTGACATGTGTCTTCCTACCCCTTTGGCTAATGAACGAAGGTGCATTGGGTCTCACGGTCGTCAAGTCCTGGTCCTCATTTCGTCGTGTTCTCGTCGTCTATCGTCGTGCTCCGCAGTTAAATTTGGCTTGCTGGGGTGATATGAGGAGATGCAAATCGCTTGGCTTGCACCGGAGAAATCGTTTCGATCGGCTCCCAAATGAACCAAGCTTCAAGGGCTGCCGTCCCTGAAAAAATGGGCCAACTTGCCAAGCAGGGTCTAGAATGAATTATTGCAGCGATCATACCAGGGCACCGGCGGTACTCACTTGATATTGGCGAGACAGTCTGCCACTAGGTATCCTTGCTAGCGTAAGGAACCCCAGCCGGTAAAGTTTCCGAGCGATTATAACTATGGTTAGCTGGAGCACTACATCCGGGGCACCTATTTGACCGAGGTGGCGTTGTAGATGGAGAGGGTATAGAGCGAAAAGGCTGCGTGGGTATCAAGATCGCCGCTGCAGCTCTACGGCAAGGTTGACTTGCGGGATTTTGAAAGGCATGTGCACCCGACGCGGCTCGAGGTTAGCAATGTAAACTACTATAGTATGTGCTGCTCCGACGACGAGTTCACCTGAAACGACGCCGCGGGATTTCATAGAAAATCGTAAAACCGCTGGTCGCAGACGGCAACACAACATATCATATACGAGCTTCTCAGTGAATGGTCGCGGGAAGCACAGGCACTCCCCTGCACAATTCAGTCATCTAGAGGGAGAAGAAACAGACAAATTGTGCGCCGCCTCGAGGCCATTGCCATACTGACATGCTGGTCAAGGGAGAGTTTCATTGCCACCCCTTGTGCAAAACCGACAGCCGACCTTCCGCGAGTGACAGACTAACGGAATGTGACCCCAGCCTGGTACCCGCAGAAATGGTCAACCTGCAAGGCAGTGGAGCCTCACAGGGCATTCTGCGATGGAATTTGTTAGAAAAACCAATCTTAGGACGAACAACTGTCGACGCGGCCATACTTCACCACCTCATTCCACGTGAAAGTCAACTATTGGCAGAGCGTGCTGGGGAAATTTTGTACCAGGGTATTATGTGAGGCTGAATGAAGAATACGCTACAACTGCCTACCTATGCACGCACGATCATTCCTAAAAGCCTACATCAGAACCGTCGCGCGGCTGGAATTTGTCTTTAGGTCGATCGTTGGCTTGTTACATGTGCAACACGCCTAACATGTAACGACGCATCTCTTCACATGCTTCGAAGTAATGAACGAGATTTAACGAGTTTTTATTACTGTTTTGTGTGTCGCCGTTGGCTTATACCTCGACTAGTCCTGGAGCTAACTTCACTGGCCACCAACTAAAAGATGACCATGCCCGTACCACAGCAGGCTGAAGCGCAGGCGTTGTTCCCGATTCAATGGTTCCCCGAGGCGCGGCGCCGGCCGCCTCAACTTAGGAGGTTCCAACGGCCACCCCAGCTTTCCAGGCCTTCCCCTCAATGCGAGTGGGAATTCCAACGTCATCGCATACGCGCTATGTTGGCAACTGATGCGCTTAGAAGCCCAATGCCGCGTTGAATGCGTCCGCCGTGGAGGCATCCTTGGTTCCCAGAGCCGCAACCTGCGCCTGGGCATCCTCGCACAGCGCGACGGCAGCGGCGTTGGCGTTGCAGACGTTGGTCAACTGATCGCAGACACGGTTGGTGATAATGTTGGGGTTCAGGGCGTCCTGTTGGCCCTGGGCGACGAGAGGGTCGACAGGCAGGAATGTACCCTCATCGGCCTTGCGGCCAGCACGGCCCAGCTGGAAGTCAATCGAGGGATCACATTGACCGAAGTCAGCAGCGCCTACGTCTGCACCCGCGTTTGCGCCACCATTCTGGTTGCCGTTCTGGTTGTTGTTATTCTGGTTACCATTCTGGTTGTTGTTCTGGTTTCCATTCTGGTTGTTCTGGTTGCCGTTCTGGTTGTTGTTGTTGTTCTGATTTGCGTTGCACCCGTTGCCATTGTTGTTGTTTTGACGGGCCTTGTTAATGTTGAGAGCCGAGACACCGCCGGCGGCGAACAGAACGAAGATGAACGACTTGAGCTGCATTGTGATGGTAAAAAGCTTAATGACCGGCTAGCGGGTGAAATGAATGAATATATGCACGAAAGAATGGAATTGAACGACCGAGATCAACTCGTGAATGAGAGAATTGAATGGGCTGGCTGATGATTGAGGATAGCTGAATCCCTACAACTATCGTCACGACTTCCTCGTTATATAGGGAACATGTGCGAATAGCCTGAAGTCTGCCAAGACAGATGGTTGTCTGCCAAGCTACTTCTCGTCGTGATCGGGGTCGGGTTTGGTGGTGCGAATCGGTGCTGATCGGCAGGCCCCGATTTTGCCGGACGCCGATCATACAACTCGGCCGTCAGAAACACACGGGACGAACCCCCGATGATGAGAAGATGGCTGTCCGACCCCAGGCCAAGCAAGTCCTTGAATCAGACGGGATCTTCTCCTCGTCTCATCTCGTCTCGTATGCTACGAAAGCATGCAATGAGACGAACCTTACGGCGCTTGCGGTCGCTTGCACTGGACAAATTCCCCATGCATTCGGGTGCGAATCCCTGCCGCGTCTGGGCTCATATTGGCGTGTTACCCACTGCCTCATGAAACCTGGGCGAATAACCACGGAGACCGCAACGCTTGAAAGTTGAGGGTGCAAGACTCCTGGCTTGTCTCACTCTTCTTGTCGAGGCCGTTAATAAACCTGTCGCCCGCCTTGGCATCGATGCTTTATCGCCGTCGCTCATGCGATTATCCTTTCGTGGGCGCTCTGGTGCCCCAGAGCCGTTTACAATTAAGTCTATTTTCCTTTCTGTTTTTGCAGTCTTAGAGAACCAGGAAAACCAGGCCCAATTCGTTCCATCCACCTGGTACAGGTCGATACTTGCCAGATCGGATGCATGCCTGGTAAGCTACAGGTGAGCAACAAGCAACAAGCAAGATTGGCATAGTCGCTCTTCAAACAATTAAACAAACTAGCATGCAATCATAGAGTCGCGTAGGCCTCTGAGACCTTCGATCGTACTATGCTCATACCCTGTTTCCGCGTGATTGCCTAAACATTCGCGCAAGGCCCGTCCAGCACCTACTCCCAACAAGCTGGCGTTTCTCTTAAAGATGGTTTAGGTCTGAGGCAGAAGTAAGTATCTGGATAACGTGATATCTACTTAACTTGACTCTCTAGCCGTGAAGGTCGAGCTCATTAAGCTGGGTACGCTCAGTTGTTCAAGAGTCCAAGATGACGTTATGCGGCTGCGACCGGCATACTAAGATGATCGAATGCGTAGATGAAGACTCGGATAGCAGGAATCGCATAGTTCACCTGGTGCACGATGATCTTGGCTACAACCGCCCGTTCGCGAAATCGCTTGGTGTTCCCGGACTGTTTCAGGGGAATTGATGTTGCTAATGGACCAATCGGCTCACGAGGCAGTAACCAGTACGAATTTGATTGGCACATTGGGCAAGAATTCTTCATCAGCGTAAGCGAGGTTAATCCAGAGGGGGATGTCGAAAAAAGCAGCACTGGTCCGAGCAGCGAGATTGCGGCTCTCATACACTTTTGCCGTACCTTCACGAGCAACACGTTCTTCTGACAGGTTCGAAGTTTTTAAATTTTATAGGTATACCATGTATTAAGGGTCTTGTCTATTATGAGTTGAGAGACGTGATGACTAAAGCAAAGAACGTCCATAGTATGGTCACAAGAGCTTGATAATGTTCCGTCTCTGACAACTCCACAACGCCTTGCCAAAAACCAAATCCCCTTGATGCAATGCTCTCTCTATCTGCTGCCCCTCTTCAGATAAATATAACTTGTTCTGTGTGTATTCTTACAAAGTGTATCGCTGGAAATCGACGTCGTATGAGAATAGTCCTTTGACTTGATCACGCCATGCCCATCTCAAGATTCTGGCCCTTCACACTCTTCCATGGGATGAGCGTGCTTCCAATAATAGTGAAGGCTGCCAGTCCGACAGACACGAAGAAAGAGGTAGTCAGGGCAGTGCTGTAGGAGGCTTGCACGAGCGGAAGCATATCGGCTGAGACTGTGTTCTGCAAGTTTGTAGCTCCGGCTGCCAGAACTGCCGCGGGATTGAGGGATGGCAGGTTTTCAGCGAGAGATTCCACCAACTTATTCGTGAAGACGGACTGCCCAACACTGACGAAGAGGGCTCCTCCAAGTGTCTGAAGGAACACCACAATCGCAGTTCCAGTAGGCACGTCTGTGATGTCGAGGGCTGTTTGAACTGCCATAATGGGCTGTTGCATACCGAGGCCAACACCGGCACCGAAGACAATTTGATAGCCGATCCACACACCAGTGGATGTGTTGGGGTTCCACATAGTAAGCAGACCAGCGCCAACAGACATCAAGATTGTACCAGCAATCATAAACGGGGCGTATTGACCGAGGGCAGTAACCATACCGCCAGCAAAGATCGAGCAGACGACGACGGAAATGAGCATAGGCAGATTGCGGATACCAGAGTCAACGGCGGAGGCACCCTGCACAGCCTGGAACCAGATCGGAATGTAGTAAACCATGATAAAGAAAGCCGAGCCGGTGCCGAAAGCATATAGACTACCAGCCCAGACAGAGCGGTTTGCAATGATACGGGGCGGCACAGTCGCATTCTCCTGCTGGTTGTACTGGATGTAAAGAAATGCCAGAATGAGCACACCAAAGACGACGAACAGCGCAATGATGCGGCCGTTGTTCCAGGCGTACGTCGTTCCACCCCACTGAAGAGCCAGCAGCAGACAGATGATCGCCGGCATGAAGACGACGGTACCCATTGGGTCGAACCGCTTGACACGCTCAAACAGAACCTCGTCCTTCGGCTTGGTCAGCTTCGGGCTAGGGAAGAAGAAGAAGATGACCAGGACCGTTACGGCACCGATTGGTAGGTTGATGAAGAAACACCATCGCCACGTCTGTAGTCGTATTAGCTGCTGAATGCGAAAGTGTACTCCGAAACAGGAAACTCACAGCTTTGTCAGTGAAGACACCTCCAAGTAGAGGGCCGGCAACTGAAGCGATACCGTACATGCCACCGATGAGACCACTGTAGGCAGGTCGCTTGGCGAGAGGGACACTGTGGGCGAGGATAAGGAGAGCGCCTGAGAAGATACCGGCTGAGCCCGCTCCAGCAACGGCACGACCCACGATGAGAGTAACCGAGTTTTGGGCAACGCCGCATATTAAGCTCCCGAGCTCGAAGATGGCGATAGCAGTCAAATAGACCGTCTTGATATCCCAGAAGGTGTAGAATTTGCCGAAGATCAGCTGCAGAGCCGCCGTGGTAAGGAGGTATGCTATTCACCGGCTTAGCAGGCGCAACAGGGATATAACAGACAGGGACACAGCTTACCACTTCCATACCAACCTACATCACCCAGACTATGGAAAGAGTCCGAGATTTTGGGGATCGCAGTAGCAATAATCGAGTTACTATAGCGATGTTAGTAAAGAAGCGACCTCTATCGTAATTCATCATCTCCACTCACTCTAAAGCGACCAGGAACACACTCAAGCATAGAGCAAGCGTAATCAATGCAAGCTTGACGCCTGACGGGTACTCTGTGCCATCCTCTCTGGTCTGTACCTCTCGTAGAGCATTGGAGTTCTGTGACCGTGCTGTGATCTGATGCGATAAGTCGATAACCTTCTCGGCTTCGGTGGGTGCAGGTGCAAGCGGCGGCGCAGCTAAGCTGGGGATCGTCTCAGTAACACCGTCTGAATCTGAGGTTTGCGCCCGGTTGTCCTTTTCATTCTCCATGGTGCTCGAATTACTTGCAGCGACAGTCGGTGCTTGCGATGTCCTTTCAAAGGAGGTGTGAGTGCGCAACATCTTGGGATGTGCTGGTAGCCCGTTTTCCCTCTCCTTTTTCACTCGATGTTTTCGTTCGGCGACTCAGTTGCAAAAAAGTCACTGTGGGGCGGCGTGCTAGTCGTTTCGGCAGGCAGACAGATCAATGTTGATACTGAGTTGGAACTATGTGTGAATATGTGTGAAGTTTTTCGCTTCCAGGACTCTGGGAACCCATGACATATTAAATATACACGGCACACGACAACTATACCGTCGCTAATTTTACTTTTCTTCGCAGCCGAGAGTACCAGACCCACGACATGCCATAAGCAGCGTGGCTTTTACTCGCAAAGTCTGCGTCCAGACGGCCACGGGCATAAGGGGTCGGACAAGCTGTGGAGTCCGCGCGGCGAAATGTCACCGGGGTGCTTCCTAAATTCCCGGGAACAGGGCGCTATTGCACTCCTAGCGCTACGCCGGAGACTTTCAGCTCAGCCTTAGGCCCTCACAAGCTTGTGCCTGGATTCAGATCTTGTAAGCTGATTCACCTATTCGCCCGCTCCGAGATTTCGGATGACAAAAGTGCCTGGTTCGTCCAGAGTGTTCTCTGAAGTTTAGACATTCGGAGCCCACACTTCTTTCCACCCGAATTCTGCAGTGCTTCGTTGACATTGACAGGGCCGTCCCAGAGCTACAATAGCACGTGGATTTCGCTTAAGGAATATGTGGAGGAATGCTGACGCCTGATTCTGCCTCCCTCCCACTAGCTACGACCATGGATGTCAACGGCCGCCCCTGACTGAGTCACCAGCGATGAGATTGACTTCTGTAACGTAAGCTCAACCATGCGGCATCCTTCGAGTCTTCAAGTCCGGGTGGGCTCGGAGGTAGGACATCTCAAACGCCCGATTTTCTGCGACACAATTTGCATGTTGACTCATTAGGGAGAAGAGGCAGGTGCACCATAGGTCTAGCCTGCGAAAATGCTGCGAGAAACTCGCGAGACTGGCTTAGTGTTCCGTCGCTTGCGCGATGCATAACGCTAAGGCTAAGACCAATGTCTGGCTGACTCTGCCTATTTCGAGGACACCGAGACCTCTCTTTGGGCTCGCATCCTGACCTGGAAAACGTTGGGCTGGGGGAGCATAGCACCCTTCGTGTTCGTGTTGAATGATAATACATAGTCGAGTCCCTGGTTGAGTCTATCAAGCCTATCACTCTCGGATCTCGTCAAATGCGCGCTCACACCTAATCTGTCAAAGTACCTTGAGTGTGGAGCTTTACCGAGCCTGCGGAGATTGGATCCCTGTTTTTAGCAGTCGCTAGCACGGCTAGCACAAGCATTTCGAACTCCGCTGTCATAAGTTCTAAGTGCTACGGCCGAGCGAGCTCTACCTCCGTTTATCTCCATCACCTGCGACAACGTTTCCAAGCCTCTCTCCGCTCCGCAGCGGAGCCACTCTGTGTCCTTCCTGTGCCTAGATGCGACTGACTTCCAGACATATCAACGCACCGAAAAGGCACGGTCTTGCCGGACGTGCCAATCATGCACCATCATCTCTTGTGTAGGTAGCACCTTTATCACGTCGCCTATACGAAGTCGGTGTGCGCGGACTTCGGATCTTTTTCGCCAGCGATCCCGACCGTGGCTTGTGCGGCGGGGTTCCCAGAAAACACCCAGGCTGCCATGTGGCCATCCCATTGATTACAGAGCATACGTTCGTTGCAAGGCCTGATCTACGGGGCAGGACGAGTAACTACTCAAGTAAAACAAGCCACTATGTTTGCACAAAGCCACTGCCGTCATCGACTTGTCAACATCAGAACTCTGGTCGTAGACGAAGAGTCAGCGTCCTCGGGAGACTTCAATTAGATATGTAAATATTGACGATTCTTCCAGATATTTGCATGTCACAACTCTTGAAGTGAGATATGGATAACTTATGAATATTATTACTATTATCATGCCTAACTGGTAATACAGCCGACCGCGTGCGGCCATCCAAGGTTTACATTCATCATCAACTGAGGAGGTGCACCACTAGGCTTGCGCACGATATAGGAGATCTGGATTTGACGATCTTGATTATACCACAGTACACTATTTAGGTTTCATTCCTTTCGGCCTTCGGGCAAATGTACGTCGGCCTCTCCATCTGGCTGTGGAGAAATACTCTCCGGTTACCTGGAACCCGATGAAGAGTTGCGAGGCTCCCCGCAACCGGCCTGGTTCCGGAAACGGGATCGCTTGGGGAGAAAGAGATCGCACCGTTCTATATCAAAGATCCCAGGCTCCAGGCTACGTTGCCGATTGACCATTTCGTACGTTCAAGCCTGAGACGAATGATGCAACAGTAAATCAATCGTCGAATGTAGTTCGGCGGTATACTTAAGGAATCGAGCATTCCCTCCCTCTTGAAACCGAGACACAATGGCCTTGTCGTATTTTATGACCCATCTGTGCCTGTTGATTACCCTTTTGGCCCATGTCGCACAAGCTTGGCAAGTGCCTGCGGAGTATGCTATCACAGCATCCCAAAACAATCGTTTCTTCCAGGACTCGACTGGCCAGCCATTCTTTTGGCAAGCAGATACCGCCTGGCTTCTATTCCACCGCTTGAATCTTACAGAAGCAGAGTTGTATCTTAGCGATCGCTCGAACAAGGGTTTCAATATCATCCTCGCAACTGCTTTCACCCAGATAGGCATCAATAACTCTAATCGGAATGGTGATCTTCCATTTGTCGACGAAGACGTTACTCAGCCTAATGAGCCATATTGGGCGTTTATAGACTCCATTCTCGAGGTCGCTTGGGAGAAAGGGATTCGTGTGGCTATGGTTCCGGCCTGGGGTTACTATGTCCACTCTAGCGGTAAGTTTGCGTCAGATCACGGGGTATTCCACGCTTGACCTGATCTGCATAACAGATAATGAAGGCTCGGTCATCAATACAACGACGGCACGAGCATTCGGCAGCTTGATTGGTCAGCGCTACCCTTATCTTCCCAAATTGTTAGTTGCGGATACAAATCCATGGTGGCAGAACAAGACTGCAGTGAAGGATAATTACTCCAGAGGCGGCGTGCCCCCGGAGTATCCACATACTGATTGGAGTGATGTTTATGATGAACTTGCGGGTGGCATCATCGATGGGGAACGAGAATCGATCCGTGCTGCGGCTTCTTGGACCGGGGCCTTCCAGAAGGACCCTTCCCTTTGGTGGCCACTTATGACCATCCATCCGACGAACCAGTGGTTCAGCGGAGGTCCTATAGCACTTGCCAGCGCATTCATGGGAGACCGTCCGTGGCTGACCTTCGATGCAAGCCAGTCAGGACACGCCGACTACGCACCGAATCCACCCATCCCGTGGTGGAATTGTCGCCGGGGCTGGGAACCAGTACAACTGATGTATGCAGCTGGCGACACAGGCAAGGGGAGAACACGTCCTGTGTTGGACAATGAACCTCACTATGAGAATCGTTACAATAACGGAAAGAGTACGAAGGCATACTGGAACGCTACTGACGTTCGCATTGGCAGCTGGCAGACCGTTAGTAGTTTGGACATGATTATTGTGCCTCGTACTTACACTCATTAAGGTCTTCTCCGGTGCTGCAGGGGTAACTTATGGTGCCGATAATGTAATGCAGATGTATATCCCGGAACTTTATCAGCCCTCGGGAAGTGGGCCAGCCATCTCTTGGGCTGAGGATATCCACCTTCCAGGATCTGGCCAGATCCAGTACATACAGAAGGCCATCAGTGACAGGGGCGGCGGATCGTATTACAATCGGGTTCCGGCACAGAATATCATTGTCAGCCCAAGTGGCACTGACGATAAGCGAGTCACAGCTACTGTTGATAGCTTGGGTACATGGATTATGGTCTACACGCCTACCGGAGACCCTTTCAGCATCGATATTCAAAGCCTCAGTGGTTGTAACGTGGAGGCGAGTTGGTACGACCCCTTGAGTGGTAAATATACGGCCTTCAAGCACTCGCAGTGTGAAGACACTGGACATATTCGTCACTTCACACCGCCCCAGACACTTGAGCATAACGACTGGGTGCTTGTTCTAGACCTCAAGTGATTGGTTCTGGATCCCCAGGTGACGACGGCAGCAAATGAGCACTATACCTAGCAAGGCAGCATGCATTGCAGTCCCAACAGACTGGTTCGTATGTATGCCAAGGAAGCCAATCGCAGCTTACTGCTTCTAGTTGAGCACCAATGCAGAACGGTCTAGACTTTGCCCCCGGACGCCATCTATTGCTTATAGAATATGGTGTTTTCGATATACCAGGTCGAAAGCGTGCTGGGCTTGCAACTAGAACTGTTTTCTCGTCACAAGACGTGAAACTCTACCAGCAGGAGCAAATCTTAAGACAACTAGCTGACGCAATTACTGGCGCTGCTGGTTTGAGCTGCATCAAAGCTGACCCTAAACTGCCATCGTTCGATCCCAACCGCCAGTCTAGTGTTTGTTGTAGGTAATAGTAGTGCATTGCACGCGTACTAACGGGACCCAGCTCCCGGAGCGGTAGACGGAACAGGCAATCTGACAACATGATCCATGACCTTCAAATTTAAGGAGCTGGGGAAAGCTAGACAGATACAATTCTTATAATTGGGGCAGTCGGGGCAGTCCGGCTTGCGTTACGTGATGTCGGATGCGGACGGCAAGTAAGCAGTCAAGCACAACCGTGCTTAACCCGCGTCTGTTGAGTGTTCATTGGTCAGGCAGGGTAAACACTCTACCGCCAGCCCAGGCCAGGACCACGAGCTCTTTGCATAATACAGCTCACCCTGAGTTAACAAGAAGGAATTCAAAGATACCGCCAGTTTGAGCAACTTGAGGACTCGACGAGGCAGCTTCCTGTGTTGTTACCATGTATGAAAATCAGTCAGTGCCGACACATCATGCCCCCAAAGCCCTCTGCCGTCATCATTAATATCCGCTCCCCTCATTCTCCATCCATCTCCAGAGGACCCCCACCACATTTTCAAGTTTTTGGGGGTCACGATGGACGAACCCCAGAGTAAAACCCATAACATCCACTTTGGGGAGCGGAATGCGATGCTGATTGGCGCTCAGGGAGTCGCGTCTCGGGGATAGAGGCTCCCCCACCGTGCCAAGGCGCCGAAGAAAGGCCTGACTCGTCGCGGGGATGCAAAATTCAACGGGGGTTTCTGCGGGGATCTGGCCCGTGCCTTATCCCCGTATTCCAAAAACCCATCGTCACCGGATCGGGGTTTGACCGCCCTACGGCGACAATGAGACCATGCTACTCAGTTAGCTCCCCCCTAATGAGAGTCAAATAATGATATAATAAGAGGAACTCATGTCACCCTTCTCTCGGGCTCCCTACTTCATACCCTTTCCTCTCTTGAGCCAAGCCGGAACTTGTGTTAGTTGAAGTCCCCGAGGAAGTCGACTTACACAAGATGGCCGACGAAATCACCAAGACCGGTGGCGCGGACAACGCCAACTGGAAGCGGGATGTCGAGACTCTCGAGCAGGCCTCGCCGCAATACCAGTCGCCCACTCTGGCGAACGCGAGGGCCATGGACCCTGCGCATCGCGCCAGGGTTGAGAAGTCCATGAAGAGGAAGCTGGACGCTCGTTGCGCGCTCTTCATCATCCTCTACATCATGAACTACCTAGATCGCAACAACATTGCAGCCGCCCGCCTGCGAGGGTTACAGACCGATCTGATGCTCGACGACACGCAGTACTCCACCTGCTTGTCTATCCTGTACGTGGGATACATTCTCATGCAAGTTCCCTCCAACATCTTGATCAACCGGATCTCACGGCCTTCCTGGTACATCGCCGCCGCTATGATGGTGTGGGGAGTCATCTCCACGCTCTCCGGTATCACACACAACTTTACCGGCATGGTCCTGACTCGATTCTTCCTCGGGTTCATTGAGGCGGCCTTCCTGCCCGGAGCCCTCATGATTCTCTCCAAGTGGTATACCCGAAGAGAGTTGACTACCAGAAACGCCATCCTCTTCTGCGGAAACCTGATCTCGAACGCCTTCTCGGCGCTCATCGGCGCCGGCGTCCTGTCCAACATGCAGGGCGTTTTGGGCCACGCAGCGTGGCGCTGGCTCTTCTGGATCGAAGGTGCCATTACCATGTTCTTCGCCATCACGGCCGCTATCATCCTGCCCGATCTGCCCAGCAACTCCCGCGGCTTCACCGCGGAGGAGCTCGAGGTTGCCCAGCTCCGTATGCTGGAGGACGTGGGCGAGGCTGATGAGGACTCCAAGGACCAGGGAGTCTTCTCCGGTTTCAACATGGCCATCAAGGACTCGAAGATCTACGTCATGAGCTTGACCTTCACGGCTTATGTGGTCGGTCTATCGTTCAACGCATTCTTCGTAAGTAGCCTCGATTTATCTTGTGCCGAGCCACGGACTAACTTAATTGAAGCCTACGCTCACCGGAACCCTCGGGTTTGACTATGTGCCCACTCTGCTCATGTCTGCTCCCCCGTGGGTTTTCTCGTGTATTGTGTCGGTCATCAACGCGTGGCACGCCGATCGCACTCAAGAGAAGGTAAGAACTCATACCATTTCCAGTCTACAACTTTTGATCTGACATGCAATCTAGTTCTGGCACATCGTCGGCCCCATTTGTGTTGGTCTTGTTGGCTTTGTCATCAGCATGTCTTCCCTAAACACAGCCGCTCGGTACATTGCTCTGTTCTTGCAAGCAAGCTCATACGCGGGTTTCATCGTCTTCTACTCTTGGATCTCTTCCAGTTTCCCTCGACCTCCTGCCAAGCGAGCCGTTGCCATTGCCTTCATCAACGCCTTCTCGCAGCTTGGTAACGTTGCTGGGTCGTATGTCTGGAACCTCAAGGACAATGGCTACAGAAAGTCTTATGGTATCGTCACCTCCAGTAAGTGCCAACTTCCCCAACCACATGCCGGGTTCTTCCTCAGGGCAGAATGCTAATCGTACTTTGCAGTGTTTGGCGTCACTATTGTCGGATGCTTCCTCTTCCGTATCATGTTGACGAGACTGAACAAGAAGCTTGAGGCAGGAGAGCAAGCCTGGGTTGCCCAGCCAGATGTGACTGAGCACACTGCTAAGATGGAGGGCATGGAACATCCTGATGAGGCATTGAAGATGGTCAAGGGCTTCAGATACCTCGTGTAAAAACAGTTAATTGTTTGGACGTCATCGCATACTCCAACTATGGTATTAGCTTGCCTCCCTCGCTAGTAACAGTGCAATATACCCAACCATCGGCTGTCGGTGCTGGGTGCCTTGTGGGTCCCCGGGGCCGTCCCTGGATCTGGACTAGCCAGGGAGAAATGGGGCTAGGCCACGAGCCGTCCCATACAACGATTGAGGCGATTGCGCCATCTAGACCATGTATGAGCTCAAACGATACCTACGAAGCTATGATTGATAGAAAACGAGCTGTTAACGATGTTCGCATGTTTGCTCATCATATTTTGCAGAAAATTTCAAACTGCGCGTGAATGTCACGATGCAGACTACCAGGTTTATCAACGCTTTTGCTTGGCTATTTCTTCTCAGTCGTGCATGTAATGGAGACAAGACGTATAAGTCCCGCCCAGACCTTTCACCGCCCCAATTGAATATAACAATACCAGCAACGTCTCAAGTTGGGGATGGTTATTTATTCATCGCCCCGTACAGTTGGAGTGGAGAGGGAACCCCCCAATCGGGCCCGTACATCTTAGACGACACCGGAGATCTCGTTTGGTCGGGTTTCGCCTATATCGCACCGACCACAGCCAATTTCCAACCAGCCGTTTGGAAGGGGCAGGATGTCCTGTTTGCGTACGAGGGCATTCTGAACCGATTCCGCGGTCATGGACATGGACATCACAAGATCCTGGACAAACACTACCAGACCATCCGCGAGGTGCGGTCTGCGGGACACTATTTGTCGGACATGCACGAGTTCAACATCGTGGACGGGAAGACAGTCCTCGTTGGCAGCTACACGCCCCGAGAAATAGACCTGACAGCGTATGGGGGATCGGAGAATCAAACTTGGGTCCTGGAGTACATCTTGCAAGGTTCGGAGACGGCCAGTTGCACACAAGACTTGAATGTGAACTGACGTTGTATACCAGAAATCGACATCGAGACTGGTGATCTCATTTTTGAGTGGCACAGCCTTGACCATACATCTCCCAAAGGTAAGCCGTCTCAGTCTTCCATATGAGGTATTTCCACCTAATTCATAGAGTAGAATCAATCTTGCCGTTAGGATCGGGTGCAGGATCAGGACATAGCAGCTCAACTGCATGGGACTATATCCACGTCAACTCGATCGCCAAAGGCGATGATGGACATTACATCGCATCTGCCCGTGCAGCATCAACGGTCTACAAGATCAACGGGACCGACGGATCCATCCTGTGGCGCCTCGGAGGCAAGACGTCCGACTTCGACTTAGGGCCAGGCGTCGAGTTTGCCTTCCAGCACCACGCGAGGTATGTCCCAGGAGCACCCGACACCATCTCTCTCTTCGACAACTCGGCAGGAGCCGGGTCCGCGGGCAAGATCATCCACTTGGATTTCGACAAGTGGGAGGCTACATTGATACAGGCATTCAATCCACCTCATCCTATCCTGGCGTTTTCCCAGGGTTCGACACAAATCCTCCCTAACGGGAACGCTCTCGTGAACTGGGGCTCTGCAAATCAAGTCACAGAGTTCAGCAGTCATGGCGAGGTGCTCTTCCATGCATTCCTCGAGAGCGGTACCCGCCAGGATGATACACAGAACTACCGGGCGTTCAAGGGTAACTGGACGGGCTTCTCTCCTGAATCGCCGGCATTGGTCGCTGAAGAGGACGCTGAAGGACGCACTGCGGTCTGGGTCAGCTGGAATGGGGATACGCGAACAACACACTGGCGGATCCGGTGGTCGAGCGAGGATGAGTCGTCCGTAATGAGATCAGGAAAAGTGATCCCCCGGCAAGCCTTCGAGACTACACTGGAATTGCCTGGAAAAGGGCCCTTCAGCGATATAGTCGCTGAGGCGCTCGATGCCACGGGAAATGTGATTATCGTCTCTGAAAGCGTTGAGCTGAGAAGAAAATTCGCTACTTCGTCGACATTGAAGCAAAGCATTGAAAGTCATCTAGACACACCTCCGCAGATATCTCTGGGCTTGGCTACAGAGTTGTAAAGTGGGTTGTTATTTCTCGTGTAGCATCCTCATTTACCGTGATATATGGTGGTTAATAGCCATATAGCCATGATATACAGTCAAAGCTACATTACATGCTCACTCGTAAGCCGTTACTGTTACTTTGCCATGTGTGACCAAACATGTCAAGCGGACTCCTCTCCTGCTTGCAAATAGCTCCTCTCTGAATGCCGCATCTGGGGCCGTGAGCTTGCCAGAGTAATGATGGAGCAAATATTACTCAATCACGATGGGATCCTTTGGCTTACACGCAGGTTTCCTAGCACAGCGCATGCACAGTCCCTGGGCAGAGATTGTCAGTTGAAACCCATCCTCGTCGACCACCTTTTGGGAATAGCCTGGATCGTCAGTGCTGACAATAATCCGTGCCGTCTCAAGCCAAATGCTGTCGAACCCATCATCGTTAAGTGGATTCTTCTTGCAAGTGTTGCAGATAGACGGGAACCGAGTCAAGACTTTGCGCTGGTCCGGAGGAGGATCAAGGCAGAACTCAGTGAAGAGATCACTGCCAAATTGTGGCACCTCTTGCAGATGTTCGCGGAACCGGACATCTTTCACCAGGATAAAATGCGTCTGGCGAATGAAGCGAAGGAGCATTTTTCTGATCCTGCCAACCCTGACGTACTCATGTTCGTAAGCAGATGAGACCATGTCGAAGAAGCTATCCAAGTACTCTGTCGGTATGTAACATTCCGGGCTCCGAAGCTCGTGCCTGTCCTTCCAGCATTGTCGCTGTATGGACGCTGCCGTTTCTAAAAGACGAGCGGACAGTGTTTTCAGAGCCATCTGAGTAAGGCTGTTGATGTTGAAGTAGTCTGCAGCGGCGAACATGGACCAACATACGCTGAGCAGCCCGCCCGGACCATCGTTCATGGCAAACTCTGCTGGCCCACTCACTTCATGATCATGGATCAGCCAGGTGCGATTGGTCAGGTCTGAAGGTACCTACAATCCCCGGTGTAGAGGTATTTTATCACCCAGTCTAATAGGCGCGGGTCCATGTCCGCTTCGCGAATCATCACCTCGCGAGTCTGAGCTTCCTGGTGATAGACTGTCAGCGGCAAACAGGACACAAACAGCACATGTGGGCGGAACCACGCTGGGTGTATATACCTTGAAGTTCCCACTCAGAGCTTTCGCAAAGTACGGGCAACGCGGGCATAGAATGGCGCGGTGAAGGTTCCAGGTCCGGGCTCCACATTTGACCGTCACGTCGGCGAAGTTGCCGGACTCAAGAAGACTAGGGGGGTTTTCTTCTTAGCCGATCCGTATGACCACATTGTTGGTGATGGCAGTGAGTACCTTTGGTCAGACGAAGATACCATATCCTTCACAGTCTTTGGCACTGTCTTGCGATCATCGGGCGTGGCCGGTATCCGCACTGCGTGGCCGTCAGAGATCAGCGATCGGTTCTCCGACCACTTGCTCTGGTCAGATCCCATCCGTGCTGGCGACTCATCCATCAACCGGTTTTGGATCGTCCTACTTTTCAATTCCGCAGGAGACTCAAGCTCCGGGTTGACGTTGTAGCTGCTCTCAGTTCCACGATGTAAGGAGACCCTCTCTGGTTGACGATTGCATGTCAAGCCCAAACCAGACGGCGTTGCACTGGGCAGATGGTGGTGTAATCAACGGACTGTGAGATGGTGAAATCAGGAACTGGCGGCAGAGACTTGGCAAGCGTTGATATGACTGTCCACTCCTGCAATCGAACCTGGTGTTACCCAGGTGGGGGGTCCTAGACTTTGGGAAAGTTCCGTCTAGTCAGTATGGATGGTCCAATCGACACTTTCCATTCAGCTGCTGTGTACTGTTGCGCAAAACCAAACCTGTCCGTCCAGTTGCGTTGAGTAGTGCCCCGCCCCACTCTCTGGAGACGGGACCTTCCACCCATGATTGAAAGAGCCCAACACCCCGAAGCCTCAATTGTGGCGGTGCATAACGTAACTGGACCTGCTTGAGCTAAGTCAGCTGGCAAGCCACCTCCAGCCTCGTGAAGCGTGCCTGGCAAGCCTGGCTCACCTTTGGCCACTAACCGCCTTGGAGCTTAGCAACACGCAGCTCATGTTGCCTGAAGCTCCCCGACAGACCCAGACCCAGACCCAGACGTCAAACGAGCCCCGGCCTGCTCAGCTCCAGTCCCCAGAACGTCACGACCACCACATCCATCTCATCTCGAAATACCCGACCACCACAGCTCACTTCCTATCCCTCCACAAAGACACAATGGTATGTTCAAGTCGCACTTCCACGCATTCATGATGACGCCCAGCTCCGCATGCTCACACATTGTCGCGGCAGACGTCGATAGGAACGGGCTACGATCTTGCCAACTCCATCTTCTCCCCCGATGGCAGGAACTTCCAGGTCGAGTACGCCGTCAAGGCTGTAGAGAACGGCGGCACTTCGGTCGGCATCCGAGCCAAGGATGGCGTGGTCCTGGCGGTCGAGAAGGTCATCACATCCAAGCTGCTGAAGCCCGGCGCCAACAAGAGAATCGCTACCGTTGACAAGCACTTGGGAGTCGTACGTTTCACCTCTGCCCATAATCGCGCACTCTGTGGCAAACATTGGTGAACTGACGTGAGGCCGCAGGTCTACTCCGGAATGATCCCCGATGGCAGACACTTCGTAGACCGAGCACGAGACGAGGCCCGTTCGTGGCGCGATACCTTCAAGACCCCGATCTCGACGTCCGACCTGGCCTCGCGCATGGGTGGCTACCTACAGGCATACACTCTGTACCAGTCGGTGCGTCCCTTTGGCATCACGGCCATCGTGGGTGGCTTCGACTCCGAGCTCGAGGCTCCTGTGGATGGCGAGGTGGGAACCGGGCCCTCGGTCGGCGCCGGCGGCAAGGTAGAAGGCAAGCACGGCGGACCGGGCCTCTACATGATCGAGCCCAGCGGTATGTACTGGGGCTACTACGGTGCCGCGACTGGCAAGGGCAGACAAGCAGCGAAGGCCGAGCTGGAGAAGCTGGACTTGGCAGCCGGCACGCTGGATCTCAAGGAGGCGGTCAAGGAGGCGGCAAGAATCATCTACGTCGCGCAACAAGACAACAAGGACAAGGAGTTTGAGCTCGAGATGACATGGATCAGCAATGCCACCGGTCCCACCAAGGGCCGGCATGAGGAGGTCCCCAAGGAGCTCAAGGACGAGGCGGAGCGGTTAGCAAAGAAGGCCCTGGAGGGCGATGACGATGAGGATGACAAGAAGGACGACGACAAGATGGAGGAATAGACTGCGATGATGATGATCCTAGGGTAAAGGTCCGGGCGTTGTACTTGTACACTATGGCGATGCATTCGATGACCATAGACTAATTCTATGTGACAGTCATGATACCATCACAGCACTTCTAGTTGAACGTGAGAGCAAGCCCAACATAAAATATGATTCTCAGAAGGTTCGCAGCCGATTGCCGTTTGCTATGAACGCTGCACGTTTGATGACTCATGCGTAGCTCCTTTGACCTCTGACGACGCCTCTCTTGTAGTTCATGATGTTGCAGCAACTGTTGATCAAACGTCTTCCTTTTCTTCAGTATCAAGCATGGCCATCTTGAGCGCTCCGTTCCATTACGGCCCCAACATTCCAACTAATGTCTGGTTTCAAGGCATATCGATGACCTCCAAGTTGACACGGCTTCTCTCATGGCGTTCCACTTGCTGTTCATGCGCCATTTCTCTCGGGTTCTCCAGGCGCCTGAAGGTGATTTCCCTCGGACTCCGTAGATTCGTGGCTTTCCCAAGCCGTGGCTGAATTCTCCTGGTCCACACGCCACTGTACCCAGTCTCCCTCGGGCCCTTGCCGCTGTCGAGCCTGTTGCAGCCGTTCCGCAAAGGTAACGCAATCCCTCGCACTATCATGCAGATCCCGAAGTTCTTTCATAAACTCGGGTGGCTCGCAGTCAAAGTCGGCTGTGCTTCCATCGAACTCGTCGCACGGCACTCTCAAATCCCGCATAACATGAGAGCGTTCCAGAACAGGTTGGTTGGGAATAGATGCATTCCAGTGATCGTCCTTCCACGACGTCAAAGTTCGGCTTCTGACTAGCACCATGAAGTCGTTCCAGAACGACTTGAACCAGTTGTCGCTGTGGCTAACACGGTCCGTCCGATGGTACGTGACCCATTCATGGAACTTGCGGTTGTCCGCAAGTGCCCCATACCAGGTTCGCTCGTAGCCAAGACGACGATCAGGGCTATCCTCCAAAACATGTCTTGACATTGGCGGGTGATACTCTAGGGGCATCTGCATGACACCAAGATTAGTCTCATAAACGAATCAGCGAGAACAAGGGCAGAGTTCGCGAATGTGACTCGGCGATCTTGGGCCACAAAGTGAGCCACGAATGTGCATGTTGTTGCTGTGGGGAGAAAGGAACAATTGAAGTCGCAAGCGGCAATAAGACTTTCAGTGCGACTGTTGATTAAAGCTGGAAGAATCTGCAGGCGGCTGCAGAAAAGAATGTAGGATTGCCTTGAGGTTGCAAACGCTTTAGGCCATCACAGAGAAAAATCGTGAGCTTCGCTTCCCTCAAAGAGACCGAGCTTGGTTTCATCGCGGAGGGAGCATGGATGAGCGCCAGCGCATTGCAAACAATTTCAAAGACGATAAGCAGTCTCACATATTCAGGCTGCTCCTTCATTCAGTCGCTGCTTCAGATTTCCATCTAGGAAGATACAATGCATGCAATTGACAGCTCTTTAGGCCCGCCGCGTTCTAAACGAATCCTAGAGCCTCCATGGTCACCATATGGGTTACACGTCAGATTGGCGACATACATTCGGCAAGCTTGTGGCAAGCCTGCCTGCCTAACAAAGAGCCGATGTAGAGACCACCACTAATGTGTTACGTTCCAACGCGATCAGATTCAAGACTCAGCCGGAATCCATAACTAGGAGAGTAGTGTTATATTTTACACTCCATTTCCAAGTCAACTGTTAGTCAACTCAGGTACCTCTCTACCAATCAACGGTCAACCAACGGGCGACTAAAGGTTGCAAGTTGCCGACATCCCTTAATATGACTGTTATTAAAGTCTCAAATGAATAGTGGAATAACGTCGGATACCTAATGGAATAATATCGAGCATTTAACGGAATAATGTCGAATACCTAGTGGATATGTCGGATGGTGGAGCAAAGTCGAATAGTGGAATAACATCGAGTCGTGGAATTATATCAAATCGTGGTATCGTAATGAATAGTGTGATAATTACGGATATCGAACCGTGGAACAATGTCGAACCGTTAAGAAGCAATTGGACAGATACTGCGTGGGCCAGTGCTAGAGAACGTGGGGCTTGCTTAGATACCATACTACATAACGTCAGCTTACTCGCAGGATCTTTGCTTCCTACTGGGCAGGGACAATTATGCAGGCGTTTCCAATAAGATAGCCTCCATATGACGACAGTCCGAAGCGCAGAGCTTGCAACTTAAATCGCTTCGTGACTAAGCTGGTAATGTGCGTGGTATCATGCAGCAAGTATTCCACGCAAGTCGACGCGGGGCTCCCTTTGGATCTTCGTTGCACTACTTAATGTCGCAGAGGTCTCTGAGTGAACCATGCTGGTTTTGTGTATCCATGCATAGACTTCTAAGAATTGCTGTAATCTAGGTAGGAATGTCACCATTATTGGATATCCGAACTAGGGAGTTACTCAAGCTCTTATCTGAAGTATTAAGGATGTCTCCGAAGGATCGGTTGCCGCCATGGATTCAGCTCTATGAACAGGGCATCTCGAGGCTCGTCTGATGTTGGAACAGCACCATCCGGTCCATGGCGCAGGAATCGGTTAGGGTGCCGAGGCGTTTAGTTTCGACCCACTGTTATCCGTTTGTGGAAACGGCCAATGAGCACCAAGATAAGCAAGGGAAGCGAAACAACGTTTCACTTTAAGTTCTGCGGCTCTGTCCCAGTAAGCCACGCGAGGGTCGCCCAGCTGTGCTTAATGCCCATGAGGGCGGTGTGGTATTCCGAACGTGCCTACGCTTGGTCCCATTATACCGAACAAGCACTGCAGGTTTCCATGAGATCATAATACCGATGCAACAGGGCACTTTCGCTGCTGGAAGATTGAAATGAGCTTCCCGGAGCCTCATTGACGTTACCAAGATTCAGCTGATGAAAATTTGGGCCACAGTGGAGGAATGCCTCCGCCAAGGCCGTCAGTTATAGTGTCTATACCCTGCACCTTAGCTCCTGGGCCCGTTTCAGGAGACACCAAGCGCACCGCTCACCCGGTCAGAGCCAATCGGTGCCCGCCATCATTCCCGATCTGGAAGCAGTGGGTCCCTTTGCGTCCCCAGACTTCGGTTCGACCCCCGAAAAGCGAGAGGAGGCTCAATCTATCATTGACGCGCGCAATCTCCAACGTCGTCATGGCTCTCATTCGTGGAAAATGGGCCAAGTTGTGGCCCCCTGATGCCGTGGTGCGTGGTGGACCTCGACGTTGGGCGGCGATGGCCTCGTATATATGAACAAAATTCCTGCGCTCTCACTGTTCTCCGTTGTCTCTTGCTCGTCAGTCTTCTTGCCGTCTCTCTTCAGCTCCATCTCTTTCCCATTTTGAACCCGGGGTTCTATTCATTCTTTCAAACGCGATCCGGTCGTCGCATTACCTTCATTCACCTTTTCAAAATGTTCCAAAAGCTTCTCGGTCTCTCCTTGGTGGCTGCGGTCTCAGCCCACCAGAACTTCCACCAGTTCTGGGTTAACGATGTATCTGCCGGATACCAAGTGGGCGTTCGCATGCCGCCGTCCAACAGCCCTGTTGTAAGTCATGTACAGCAAAACAGCATACAGGAAAGCCTTCTGACATGTTCTTCAGACCGATGTCACCAGCAACGACATGGCCTGCAACGTAGACGGCAGCACCGTCCCCTCCGGAGTCGAAACCGTTGCTGCCAGCGAAGGCGACAAGATCACAGTCAACTGGGACATCTCAGGTCACCCCGGACCCATCACTCACTTCTTGTTCGGACCGGTCGACGATGCATCCCAAGCCACCGGCATTGGTGCTGGCTGGTTCAAGATTGATGAGCGAGACTACGTTGATGGGAAGTGGGCCAACGAGGTCATGGGAGCGAACGGCGGAAACTACACCTTCACCCTCCCTACCGGTCTGCAGAGTGGTGAATACCTCGTATGTTGTAGCCCTGTTCCTTATGACCATGCAAATCTAACCAGACCTAGCTCCGATCCGAGATGCTGGCCCTGCACGGCGCTCAGACTGTTGGGGGTGCCCAGTTCTACATGGGATGCGCCCAGCTGAAGGTCACTGGAACGGGCTCCGGCTCTTGCACACCCTCCATCTCGATCCCCGGTACCTACAAGGCTGAGGACGATAACATCTACATCCCCAACGTCTACAACGGCTTCGACCCCACCACCTACACCGCACCAGGTGGCAGCGTCGCCACTTGCGGCGGCTCCGGCTCCGGCTCAAGCCCGAGTACCACCGCCGCTGCCTCGACTTCAGCCTCATCGGCCGCCGTCCCCGCGAGCAGCGCCGCTTCCTCTGCTCCCGTGACTGTCTCCTCGGCGCCCGCCGCCGTGGCCTCTTCGACCAGCAAGGCCATCGCCTCCTCCACTGCCGCGAGCGCAGCGCCCACGCAGACTGCTGATGACAGCGAGGACGACTCTTGCGACGCCGATGGCGACGATGAGGACGATGACTCCTGCGAGGCCGAGGAGACTAGCGCCCCTGCTACCGCTGTCCCTACCACCTTCATCACCCGCACCAGCGCATCTTCTGTTGCCGCGACTTCGTCCCAGGCGGCTGCTACCTCCGGCGTGGCTTCATCTGGCAAGGTCAAGCTCTATGGCCAGTGTGGAGGTACTGGATTCACCGGAGCCACAGAGTGTGAGAGTGGATCTTGCGTGGTCATGAACGACTACTATAGCCAGTGTGTTTAAGTGCATCTCGGATCTCGGAGGGTTGGTGATCTAGCTGCACTTTGAGACTTCGCGCGAGTGCCCCGGAAGACACTTATGGAACATTCAATGTATATATTTTGCCTTATATAAATGCAATCAGACTCCCTTTTTGAAGTCATAGAGCTGTCCTTGCCTCTGGCAATAACCCTATGCTCTTGTGCAATATCTCAGCAGGTATCGAATGGAATACCTTCTTGTTTCCAGACAGTTTGTCTTGAATTGAGATTACAGGTCCCGTTTGTCTCATTATCCATTGATAAGAGTAGTTTACTGTATGCAAAGAATCTAGCTTTCTCGCATAGCCCAGTACGACCGCCAGTCAGCGCCACCGCTAGGTCTATACTGACAACTTCAGCATTCTTCTCAGCGATGCTACCTGATAGCTTCATTATAGTATTGTGATAATAAGGCTACGTATCACAGCAGTCATGAACCCGTCATTATTCCGATCAACTTCTTCGCTTTAAATTACTGAGCATGTTCTGATGTCTTCGCTACCTTTTAGACAACTACTGACAACGTGCCTGTGCCCAGTTGGCCCAGTCTGAGAAGATCGCGGCCTGTACCTTGACTCCATTCACCAACCACTCTCCCACGACCGATGCGTACACATCCCATGCATCCTTCGGCGATGCCAAGCTAGAGGCCACTACTAGACTACATGCCGTAATGGCGCGAGCGTGCGCATGAGACTGATCTCTTGGTGCTTCCATGAGAATGTTACGTAGGAGCTTGGTGTGTGATTTGGAAGATCCTGTCTTGCCCTGCAACTCGGTGCTGGTTCCGGTTGACTTGCTCCTCCCCTTCTTGTAGGCTTCAGAAAAGTCCGTGATGACCTTCATAGCCTTGTTAGAAAGGTCCTTCGTCGACGTCGTCCGAATCAGTTGTAGTAGTGGTAGGAGTAAGTGGAATGCCAAGGGGTTGTGAGATTCCTTCTTGACGTAGACATCAAGCAGGTCCAAGATCCGGTGCTTGAAAATCACCATCGTCTCTTTGGCATCCTTCTTCTCCTTCTTTTTGTTGGGCTTTTGAGTGCGTTGTTTGAAAACCTCAACCAGCTTCTCGTCCAGCGCCATCATTTCTGAGTCTGACATGTCGGAGTCGTCTGAGGATTCGGCATCCTTGTCTTTGTCGAGTCGATGACTGCCCAGAATATTTCCAAGTTCTGCATCCAAATCCGCGTAGGCCTGCGCCTCAGCGCCGTCTTCGTCATCTTCGCTATCAGGCTCTCCTTCGGCTTGGTCATCGCCGTTCAAATTGACAAACTCGACGTCTGAGCCGAGCTCTGATATCTCATCCTCGTCTTCGTCCTCATCCTCATCGCTCTCACCTCCATCTAGCCCATCGACATCCATCAGGTCAGCCTCCTCACCATCGAAGAGAGATTGCTGTCCCTTAAGACTCTCCTCTGCGGTAAGAGGGGCCGTGAGTCGCTCGAGCGCATCCGCGGAAAATTGTGCAGTGAATGCTTCAAACACTTGCTGTGTGATTTGACGCATCATAGGTGAGGGTTGCGACACAAGAGAAAGCAGAATCTCGATGAGCAGAGCCGAGGCGGCATCGTCGCCTTCCTTTAGCTTCTCGGAGCACTGCTTCAAATCAGAGAGCGTACTCAAGGCGTCTGAATCTCCATTGTACAGCTGAAGAATCGCAATGGCATATAGAAGTGCGAAACCGAGACGCGAACTGTCTCCCTCATCTGCGTTGCCAGAACCTTTCATCAGCTTGCGCAGAGCTTTCGAGGCAGACTTGCATTCGGCTTCAATTTCTTCACTCATTTGAACTGCCGATGCCTCGATAGACACAACTGCATTGCAGAGGTATCGATAGTCTTCGCGCTTCTTTGTCAGCTTTGCGAAAGCGGACTCCAGGCGGCTTCGGCAGTACTCTCGTGTCTTCTGGGAGACCTCGGGGCTGTAGTTTCCAGCATGCGAGTAAGCGCAGGTTGCCAGCTCCTTGATCGCCGTCTCTATAATACTACCCTTGGAGGTTTTTCGGTCCCCTGAAGACTCATCGATTTGGGCTTTTTCCGGAGTACAGATCTTGAATAGGTAGTCCGCAAAGACACGTCGGAGCTTCTCGACTTCGGCGTCATCGCTGCTCTTGATGGAGACGACTGGGTCACGGAGCATAGAGAAGATAGCTTCAGCGTCCTTCTCATTTGCGAATTGCAAGAGTCTCTCAACGGTCTTGGAGTGAGTTCGCTGGTCAAAATCGTATCCTCCATTCTTGCCGAGGAGTGCTTTGAGCACTGCCAGCAAAAGAGTTGGCTCCGTTTCGACGACATCAACCACCGTTTTCAAGGACTTGACCGCCGCACGATGAAGGTATCGATCCTCCTTCGCTGCTTGGTTGACCAATGACTTCATGAGATTCCTCGAAAACACGTGTGTGACCAGAGATCTGTCCTTTGCGGCGGCGAAGCCCTGGATGAACTTTTGGAATATCAGGCAGCCTCGGAACTTTTGCGGTTCAGTAGCACTTTTGGAAAAGAGGCCATCTTCGGGTTTGTTAGCTCTGTTCAAGTGAGCGGCTATCGACTTACCATCTACAACTGTGTTCCAGAAAAGCTTGAACTGTTCGGTATCCTGGGCTTTCGTCGCTTTCGCTTCCGTAACATAATACTCTAGAATGAGATCCCAGACGAAATGAAGCTGCGAGTTCCAATTGCTTGCTACGGCAGCCGAAGCTGCAGCCTCCTGGCTACCGCTGTCCTGTTTGACATTCTCCTTCAAGACGTTTGCCAGTTCAGGAATGCTCTTTGGGGATAGGGGGTTCGTCCACGGCTTAGTCGGCAACTTCAATTTCGGATAGCACTTGGCTGCCTTGAGCCAGATACCAACACCCTCAGCAGTCTTTCCAAGACCCTCATTGACCAGCCTCTGCAGGGTTTCACTGGTTTTCTCCTGCCCAAGTTGTGGCAAGGATTGCACGATGACCCAGGCACAGTGCGATCGCATCCAAACCTTCTTGCTGATCAACTTCAAGAGCAGATCTAGGACGGCTACCCATCTTGTACTGTCGCCGCCAAACAGAGTTCCGGACTCCACAAAGCATTGAAGACCGAACAGCTGACCGAAATAGAAATCACGCTCCTCTTGACCGGGGAGACTACCGCTAGGTTGCGTCTTCTCGACCAGGATGCCCAGGACCTTCTCGAAAGTCAGGCCTGGGAACTTGGAGGCAGCGAGATCTTTTGAGCCATACAACTGGCTCACAATCTCGGTCAAAGCTAAACTGAACCCGACCCTGGAAGCATTGCGATGACTTGCGAGACCCCGGAAAAGACGTTTCTCTAAATGTCTTTCGAGAACGACCTCTTCGCTAGCCAGGAGCCCGGTGATGAGCGCATCAGCAGCTGCAATGTGTTGGGCACTGTCGTAGCTCCCGAGAAGCTCATAAAGTTCAGCCTCGCGTTTGCGGTCGTCAACTGCAGGCTTCTCGGGGAAGGGCGACTTGTCGAGATCCTGGTTCAACGGCGCAGCAGCGGGCTTTGCTTCGCCATTCTTCGACTTTTTCCGAGATGGCTGGCTCTCACTGGCATTGGCTTTGGCGCCGCGCTTCCGTTTTCCGCCCATGTTGAAATTCTAGATTTTGGTGGCAGATGCTATGTGCATGGGCTATGCGATATCGTCGTCCGCCTTCAACTTTTTTTCGACAGTCGGGAGTACTGCCACTACAGACCGCCCGGGCGGGCGGCCAAATACAGCTAGAGCGGCCGATGGGCTTTGAGCTTGTCTGGAGTAGGTGGGGCACTTGGCCTGTTCAAGGGCCCGTACCAGAGTCTGGCGTATATGCGCTGCGCCGAGACCCACTGGGCGGGCGGTAGGCAGGTACCTGCAGCACTGATTTCCTCCGTTGGCCGGCAGCTAGCCCGCCATTCAGCTAGTCGAACTGCCTTAACAGCCCACGTGCCCAAAGCGACAGCATAATGTTGGATGTAACCATGCGCGCGAGACCCTGGCTGGCGTCGAGGGGCGTAGGTCGTATTTCCTACCCGCCGAAAGGGGGGTCTGGAGGGTGGACAGAAGAGATAAGTACCGCTCGACAGCCGGGTAACTTGGTGAACATGTAGCGAACGTCCTCTCTCCGAGTTGTTCTTTTCGCTCTACATAGCAGAGCCTCTGGCGCTTCGGCACAATGGCTTACAGCTGGAGATCATTCGCGGTGTTGCTCTTCACGTTACACGTGGAAGCATGCAGGTAGGTCACCATTCTCCTGAACGAAGCTTGATTTGACGCAAATGCCAACGCTGTATAGGCCTGCGCCCCAACCTTCAACGTCTTGCGACTCGGTTGACCGGGGCTATCAATGTCGACCAGAAATCTCACACTTCTGGGGACAGTATTCGCCTTACTTCACTGTCCAATCTGAAATTGACGCTTCCATTCCCTCGGGGTGTGAGGTGACCTTTGTCCAGATGCTGTCGAGACATGGGGCACGGGACCCAACTGCTTCCAAAACCAAAACGTACAACAGTACGGTAGCGGCTATCAAAAAGTCAACTACTTCGTACGGTCCCGGATACGAGTTCATCAAGGACTACGAGTACACCCTGGGTGCTGATCAGCTCACCACCTTTGGTCAACAGGAGCTTTTCAATGCCGGTGTGAAATTCTTTCACCGGTATGAAAAGTTTGCTCGCAGTACCCTCCCTTACTTTCGGGCTTCTGGCGAAGATAGAGTAGTAGAGTCGGCCCAAAATTGGACCCAAGGCTTCCACCAAGCACGCCTTGCCGCTGGGAACTCTGATCAAGACCCCTTTCCTTACAACATCCTCACAATATCAGAAGATGAAGGCTTCAACAACACAATGAGCCACAGTCTTTGCACAAACTTCGAAGAAGGACCCAACGATGAGATCAAGCACAACGCGCAAGCCATCTGGAAATCTGTGTGGCTGCCGCCTATCACAGCCCGCCTCAACAAGAACCTGCCTGGTGCAAATATAACTGCAGACCAGACAGTTTCCATCATGGACTTGTGCCCTTTCAACACGGTCGCTAACGCTGCTGGGAACATCTCTGAATGGTGTTCTCTCTTTACCGAGGACGATTGGCACGGCTACGATTACTACGAGTCCTTGGACAAGTACTATGGATACAGCTACGGTAACCCGTTGGGCCCAACCCAGGGTGTTGGCTATACCAATGAACTTATTGCCCGCCTGACGAATTCCAGCGTAGATGACCACACCAGCACCAACTCAACGCTTGATGGTTCAGCTGACACGTTCCCGTTGGGTCTGCCACTGTACGCTGATTTCTCCCACGACAACGATATGACTGCTATCTTCAGTGCCATGGGCCTGTATAACGCAACAGCACCTCTTTCGAATGACACGATCGAGACAACCGCGGAGACTCACGGGTACAGCGCCAGTTGGACAGTCCCATTTGCTGCAAGAATGTATGTAGAAAAGATGACTTGTGGAAGCGACGAGGAGCTTGTCAGGGTCTTGGTCAACGACCGTGTGATTCCACTCCAGAATTGTGGCGCAGATGCTCTTGGGCGATGCACCTTGGATGCGTATATTTCGAGCCTCACATTCGCACAAAGCGATGGTGTCTGGGATCAGTGCTTCACATAAGTAAATCAATATGGTAGCAGGTAGCAAGGTTGTACTAGACTTTGATATGCCATAGTTTACAACCCCTTGTAGGCCTCGGCAAGCAATACCATCCCATTTGACTTGCCAATTTTTGAGAGATGTGAGCCGTCCTAGTGTAACACCAATAGCCCACACAGCCGTGAACAGGTTGTTTGTGACATCACCCACGTTAGGGAAGGAAGCTTTCCCGCCATTTATTGGGTGTGATGATAGCCTGCGAACACTAATGAATACATGACAAACAGTTTTTACCCACCCTTTGATAAAGAAGTAATTGTTTATGCCTATATATAGCAAGCACCATATGCAGATATTAGTAAGTCAGTGATCAGTGAACCATGTTAACAAATAGAGGAAATGACAAGAGCATAAAAAAGACCAACGATTCACCCATGTCGCTCCAACAGGGGCAGCGTGAAGGGCAGGACTCCAACTATTTCGCTACCATTCATCACGGCCGTCACATGCGTCTTCTCGTGATTTAGTATTCGCCAGACTTGATCCGGTGCCTTGCTGCGTTTAGATCTATCCATTATTGACTGTTCACTTTCGACCTGCTCTATGCCTCAGAGCAAGCGGTGAATCACGCCCACAGGGTCGACTGAGATGCTACAAAGACGTGACCTAGGAAATATTGACCATGAAGCCCTCACTGTCAACGATCTCTTTGTCTAGCAGTGCTCACGACACTAGGGACCCAAGGTGCGCAAGCGCCTCGTGCAGTAGGCTGATGATACCAGAGTACTGGCACTCATAAGGTCTGTATTCAGGCATACTGTGGTACAAGGGCCTCGATGCTCACGAATATCATATGTATAGGAACTCGCGGCGTTTGGGTTCCATTCTCAATAGGGCTCTTCAGCACATACGCTGTCCAAGCATATCTCTCGATCATCGAATTCCCACTCTTTAGCCATGAGTTTCAGTCTCGAAAAGAGCCTCGAGCCAAGGCACCTTTACGGTACCGAGGGCGAGAACACGCCGAAAGCTCCGGCATCAGAGCACGCCAGTACAATTCGTGTTGCTGATGGATATACCATGATCAAGCCAGGCCAGATGTACAGACAGGCCGAAGAGAAGCCTGGCCGCCGCCAGGCTGACTACCCTCATCTGCACAACCTTGCTGAATCCGTCTTCCGCCGTACCAAACACGCGCCTCTCCCCATCAAAGATACCGAGCACAAGCGCCGGGAGAAGCTCTGGAACGATGCAGCAGATGCCGTGAGAGAGGCTATTGCTGGCATTGCTCCCGGCACACATGTTGCTATCTCTGCCAACAGTGGGCCACATGACTCCAAGCTCGAGGCCAAACCTCCAAGCGCAATCGTGCCAGGGGCCGCTGTTGGCTTGCTCTTGGTAGCTGAGTTCCGAAAGGAGGCCGAGCCTATTCACAAGGACTGGTACCAGGTCGCCATTCCCATTCGGCGTGATGAAGGCCGACTTCTCGCTGGACTTCGCCTGATCCCCACGGTTCTCGAGCGCCACGATCTCACTTACACGGTCACCAATCTGACCAACATCACTATTGCCCCTGAATCCATGAGCATCGTGAAGGACCACCCTGATCTACCCTACGGCTCAGTGGCCAACTCGTGGAAACCGACCAACCTGGGCTGCTGGTTCCACCATGGCGGTCTCTTCGAATCGGAATACCACACCTTCAAGGCGAGCTTCGCGTGGGATGGCGACCTTTACGGATGGGACGAGGCTGTGCTCTTCACTCGCAAGCCAATCTCGGTCATTAGTACCACCAAGCCGGATCGAAGATTCGATCACTGGAGTCCGGACTCCGTCTACGAGAATGTAAACTGGTTGCAGGTGGTCGATGGGCAGTGGCGCGGCGGGTTCCAGGCGGTCACTAGACGTGCGGATGTTATTACTTGGGACAAGCATGGCATACCTCAAGGTAAGATCGAGAAATACTAATACCAAGAAAACGGCATTTCCTAGGCGCTTACACATGCGGAGAATGTTTCGGGGGCGGGGACACGGATGGCATTTCCTAAGGCGTTAATAATGATCAAGGCAATTTACCACTTCTATTGTCCCTTCATGCCGTATGTTCAATGAACTTCAAGACACAAGCCAATGCAAGCCCCCCATCATGACTGGGTTTTAAGCTCCTCTTAGACAGGGCCGACCAAGGTGTACGGCGCAAATTTTATACTTGAAGATTCATATTAGACACAGCTTTATGTAGCTACTCAGGGGCTTATGAACACGCTGGTCTCAGAAAGTGTTTGCAAACATATGGGATGACATACCACCCAACCAATATCTAAACCGTCCAAACACTTTACCTACTGATGCCAGATTGTGATTGACACGTATATGGATATTATTACGGGCCCTTAGCTCCTATAAAGCGAGTCCAGGGTCGGCCAAATCTAGAGGACGGCACCGACCACGCAGTTGATGCATGGTGAAGCCGGCAGCACCAAAACCACTCAAAGCGGTAAAAATGACAAAATGTACAACACCAGGGATTCGCTGATCGTCACCGACCCAGCTACTAATCTAGCCCTTACCGATTTAACTATGGGAGAGCGGACGGGATCCCGTGCTTTGCGGCAGGTATGGTCGTACATGGAAGTTTAACGCTTTGTTTGAGTATATGCTGAGATTAGAGCGGGTTTACGGATGCTCCAAACTGACAAACGTAGCCCACCCACGTTCCTCTCAGTCGCCTCGTAGCGTGTAGCTTGTGACCCACGGAGGAGTCAACACCCAGATCCCACGCCTCTAAGCCGCATAGGAGATGCTTCTGATTTGGATCTTGCAAGTGTGCAGTTTGCTCGATGTTTATCAACAAAAGCTGGCGCCCCAAATCGTGGTACAGACGATACCCTGCCAGGGGTTTCCGTAGGGCATACACAGATCCATCTTATGCAGGGTCCTACATAAGACCCGGTGCCGCTCGAATAACGCACGCTATCTGACTTCGACTTTGACCAGCAGGGACTGCTAGACGACGGGATGGGGATATACTTCCCAGACCAGCAAATAAGCCGGACGATGTCTCCACCTTAGCCGAAACTCCACCTGCATGTCAGCTCAGGGTTCACCGTATCTGGAGGTCTCTCAGCCTTGAGGCCTCGCCTGACGAGGGGACAACTTCCGGTTTCCCTGGGGAGGGAGTGGCCTTCATACCTGTTTCCACCCATTGCCAAGACTGGGATATGACCTAGAGCTAGCCAAATAGTCCTCGTCCCAAAGTGACGTGGTTGACTAAGATGCATCTTCTAGAAGAGAAGGCTTGAATGAGTGTCCACCAAACACTGCTATTTCGAGCGCAGCATCAGACGGGCAAGCAAACTCATCCTGGCCGGCTGCGACCGAAGAGCCTGGAGGGCGACTGGGATTGACTGCGGAAAGACCCTTTGAACAAGGCGCTCGGAGTGCACGGGTCCTCGAGTCCACTCAGTGAGTCAGCCTTGAGTTAGTCGCTTCGTGGGCTATGGGAGGGCGCTCCCGAAGTCTTGATCCTAGGAGAATATGAGCTCGGGAGATTACTTAGACGCTACTAGAGTTTTTGAGCCTCAATTCACACACGGGTTGGGTCACCGCATGCATGCGTTCGTGACGATAATCGAGTCTGAATGTTGTGGAGGGAGAAAGTCCCATCCGCATCCGGCACCGAGCCAGCAGCTTAAGGACAGGCCCCATTAAGGCTTAGCAGATCCCGTGATCTCGCGATGGGTGCAGGGATAGCTACTGTAGTGTGTTTACAGCCTCCACGCGTAGAATGTTTACATCTGTGGCCGGAGCTCGATTACCCCTCAATGACCTGCAGCACGCAGGAGCTTTCCCCATGGTCACAGGCTCCACCCGCCCTTGCGCACCTCAAACATCGCCATGCACGATCTAGCTTTTCCTATCAGCTCAGGCCGCTCGGAGGACGCAGATGAGGACAATCAAGACCAAGCCGCTGATATGCACGAAACGGCATTATTGAAGGCGCCGTTGCCGCTGTCGTGGGGGCTAGCACGCAAGAGGACAATCTCGAATTACCCAAGTGGGAGATCGGCGCGCCCATCGTAGCTGAACACGCGCCGACTGCCCCCCAGTTGCCCAGCTGCGCCGCACCAAGAGAGCTCGCTGACGGTTCACGGCCATTACCAGCTCTCATTGGATCGTGTCCGCATTTCTCTGACGGTGCTGATGTATGGAATTATGCAGGTCATCTGATTGAAGCAGCTGGGATCGCAAGGAATAGCGGTCAGTTCGGCATACGACAGCCAACCTTTCGAAACTTGACAGCAGCTCTCAGTTGCTAGTGGCATAAAGTAAACAATGCGATGTAAACAACGCAAACAGCGCAAACAACGTAAACATCGAGATCTTGACCTCAATCTTGATTCTGATCAACGCAAGGCGCGTTGCACCAGCCCGGTTTCTTTACACCGTTCAATGAGGGGGAAATCTCGTCATATCCAGAATGCCCTGATCTAGGGAATTTTGGTCCCTCCACCTTGGATGTGCGGGCGTGCGCGAACACGAGTGTATGAAGATCCTATCTAATCGCATGGTGAATCGGAACTTTAACGTGGGAATGACGTCGGCGCTTGAACCGAGCGATCGGGTCTTGGTGGATGATCGAAGCATCTGTCCCACGCTATAGCTTACCGAATTAGAACCATTAGAGTCTTGGAGGTCTTCCCGAAAGAGTTGTGGCCCTTCATGCTTTATCCTTGGTGGTCGCACAAGTGTCTTGAGTTGGTGTGAGGCCAGCGTCCATCCACACGTTCGTCTCCATCCCGAGCTGGGACCGTGTTCCTTAACGCTCTCAGATATGCCATGGATAGAGTTGGCTCGTGTGAGATTTTCTCCGATGAGGCTCGCTCGTCCATGGACCACTAGACCCAGTGAAAAAAAAGATTGACTGATGGACCTCGCGCTTGCGTCCCCCAATCAGACAGAGCCACGCGATGTCAATGGTGACAGCTATCCGCCAGCAGCAGATTGCAATTTCCTCGCCAAAAACAGTACGAGCTCGGTGACTACAAACGACAACGGAGTCTTGGAGAGCGACCGTGGGTCTGCGGTCACAGCCGTGCTCCGCAACCGCCGACCCCAATGTGTGTGGGAATGCAAAGACTACTATCAACTAACCAGCCCACGACCCAGCTGCCGCAGCATAAGCCGTTAAACATGGCTATCGGGGACGGCGCGTCTCGGAATGAGTGTAGCTGACCAGTTTCTGGGTTGACGCGCCTCTCTGCATTGGTCTCACCATTGGCTCTGATTGGCAAGCAAGCGGGGCGTTATCGACATGCATCACGTTAGCTGCCGGGGTGATGCTTATTCACACGGCAACCAAATCGTAAGCTCTTGTAGGGGGGAATCACGAGCTCTTCGCGCACTGCTTGTTGGTTCGAAACACCTCCGCCCACCGGATCGAGCTTGTCTTCAATGCTGAGTTGCATTGGGAAGGAATAGTTCCCGCAGTTTCAAACATCGATCCATGAGTCCATCGTCTCAAAGGGAACCAAGCGGGATGCTAGGTGAAGAACGGCAGTTCGAAGCAGTGTCCAAGCTCCCCAGTTCCCCGCGCATCCTCACCAATCCAGGAACGAGGTCGCAACTTGTAATTTACGACGGGATCTAGGCGCTGGACCCTGGAAATCCCACTGCAAGACATAAGCGGTGACACTCTCTGGTTGTCTGGCAAACACGTGTACGATGCCGTGTCTCAAGAAGCCAGCAGCACAGCTTTGGGGCCTTCATTCCATCGGTTGGGTGGGGTTGTCCGTCTTCATTGCAGCGACATTCAAGATCCGAGTAGAAGGCCAGTCTTAGGCCTGTGTTCAAAGCGCCCCTGGACAAGGCTGGCTCAATGATGGATATGTATTGGACGAACCATGGAACCAGAGCCGTTTCTATAGTTCCAGGAGGAGGATTGGATTGTAGTGCTGCTATATCCCCGAAACAAGTCACCCAAAGCTTGTTGACTGTTGCTTGCCATGCCAGAAGGCCAATTCGTCTCAGCCGCGGGACCCTTGTGGCCCGCGCCAGGGCTGTAAGCCAGGCGACTGGGATCTCGGACCAGACAGCGAGCCGGGGTCTTTCCAGAAGCGGCATACAAATCTTTGCAAGGCTCTCGGCTTGCTGAAGATCGGCCAACAACCGGTTCTGTTTGAGGTCCGATTTCATGTCAGTTGTCGCTGGCTAAAACCGGAACCAACAAGCAAGGCATATGCTGGCCAGTGGCTGGCAAACAGCCGTTACTTGAACGTCTAGACCGCGAATTAGAGTTCGGGCCAGAGGCCAGAGTCTCTGGCGGTACCAAAACGGCAAAGCCGTAGCTGACCATAGGAGCTGAAGCCCTGCTGCTCTGTCGTAAACTTGATCCACTCATGGTCACAGGTTCCCTCAGTGCTGATTCTTGGTCCTCACGACTGGATTGCGTGTGACGGGATGCGGAGGTTCATCACGGGAAGCAGAAGCTGCGATACCACGCCCCCCGTCACCAAAGATGGACGGACATGTCTAATAAGTATGTTTGTGCGTAGAAGGGGGCGGCTAAATTGAACACTTGCACGGTTCCGGCCGGCGTTGTCTCAGTCAACCGTGCTCCCAGCGTGCACTATCGACGGGCCACCGGCCAAAGCAAAGACCAAGATAGAGCTTGGGAGAGGGGGTAGGAAAAAAAAAACAAGGTGAGCTGATGGGCGCTTGTGAAACCTGCGTGTGTGCTGCCGAAGTTCCAAGATCTGTGACCTGCCTGGTGCGTGACGGGCGGTTGCTTGCGTCAACGAATGTCACGCCAAGGTTACCAGCCTGGGCCGAGTGAGGGAATAGTGGGCAAGCCTGGCACTCGTCAGCCCTGACAGCGCCGGGCAGCAGCGGGCGATGGTAGGGAAATACAGGTTTCGGCCGCCTGGCAGCTAGCGATTATGATGTAACCAGCTCGCTCGCGTCACTGAGGCCCCCCGTAGGCTGTTTCGTAGCAGGAGGTGCGGTAAGGTACCGTAGCCTTGGCCAGGGCACTTGGGTACTTTGATCAGGTACCGTCACATCACCCCCATTGGAAGCACGGGGCGCTCAGCGCTTAGCGAGCTACCCAGGCTACTCACAGCTCAAAGGCCCTGGGCCCTAGGCCCGCCAGGCTTGCCAGGGAGCGAGTCCGCCCGCTGACCCCTGCAGGCGACAGCGGTTGAAAACCAGCTAAGCCGCTACGAGTGGCATCCCAGCTGCAGCGAGCCAGGGCAACCATCCCACACCAAATTGCCCATGACAACGCTGCTCGGGCAGGGAGAGCGCTCCAGTGCGTGCAGGCCTTCAGCTGGCGCCCGTCGTCTCGAACAAAAGGCACTGCCGCCCGCACCCTCAGACCTGCCTGCCCTCTCGCTCCCATCCGGCCTTGAAGTCCCGTCTTCAACCCACCGCCGTGCCGTGTTTCCCTCGACCCTCCGAGCACGTTCACTGACCGCAGGTGTCAAACGTGTCGAGCATCGCAGGAGAGAGAGCGCCCGCAGAGCCAGCAGCCCGCCCGCAACCCACTTTGCTGTTGGACTCAATTGCCCGATTCGGCCGACGTGTGCGACTTTCGCCCGTGACCATTGGACGCCCGCCCAGCAGGAGCTCCTCTCTCGACTCCCTCTGCATGTTCCGTGTTGGAAAGCGACAGACCCTCCCCTCCCCTCCCCTCCGACTTACACGCAACGCCCGTCCGCGAGTCCCTTCTGTTTCGTGGCTGCCGCTGCAGGAAAGGAAAAAAGCAGGACCAGGATCTCGTCCCTCGTTATTCTCTACGGCGACAAACCCATAATTGCACCTAATTGAACCCATCGAAACCACCCGCTGCTCGTCGCCAACCAATCCAACCCCAATCCACCCCCCGTCGGCAGCATCTCATCCCATCTCCGGGCCTCCACCACCAAAAAGTTCGGTTACTTGGACAACTGCTCGCCTGTGACACCGGCTCACCCCCACAGCCAGAAATTTTCTGCACCTTCTCTCCTGAACGACGCTGCGGATCTGTTAGCTCAGCTTCTGCACTCGGACTCAATTGCTCTGCTTTGAGTTGTCGTTCTCGAAGATTGGTCTGTGGCTCGAGCAAACGCCCAGTTGCCTTGCCGAATCCGTCGACCCCTTCAAGACACATGCCCGTCGTGTCAGAAGCATTCTTTACAACCACCCTCGACAGCAACGCCAGGGCGACGACAAGACGTCCCTTCTTTTCACCAAACGGTCGACTGCCTGCTTCTTCGAATAGACATTTCAGGAGTAGGATCCTTTGTCGTACATCCTCTAAAGAGTTGCTGCAGTGAGACGAACAGAACAGTCTTGTTCCCGTCCTGTCCTGCATTCCGAAGCATCCAAACGAGATATCCCTTCGACAAGCACCCCGTACCGAACCCGACGCCATGGATGCCTCGTCACCTTTGGCTGCCATGCACCCGGCCCCTGCCCCTGCATGGGGCTCGTCACACGACATATACAGACCACACGCTCACTTAGGTAGTGGCCAGTCCTTCGGCTCAGGCACCCTTAATATTCGCGAGCAGTTACAACGATCGAGGCCCGACTACTTCAACCTCAAGTCCGTCCGTGGATCCTCGCCCACCGCAAGTCTTGCTGCAGACCTGTCCCAGAACTTCAGGATAGACAATGAGGGAAGGTATGCCGTGAATTTTGTCATTGCTCAGCATGTTTAGGTGATCACTGTTGCTAACCGGCTCTGCTTCTCCAGCCCTCGTTTCCCGACGCCTCGCCGGGCACTATTCACCTCGAACATGATGGGATCTATGGAGGGCCGAGGTATGTGGTGTTGCCTTCGTTTACCGAAGAGCTAGCCGTATTGACAGGAGTGGTAGATTATGTCACGACGCCCCCTTTACCGGCTTCGTCGTCACCAGTTCCAATAAGCGTCGGCGACATGATGGAGATGGACATCTCTCCTCTACCCCACAAGGGCCCATATTGCACCGCCTCCATCGAAGTCACCTCGCCAACCCCGGGCGAACTCCCCGAAGACGATGACGACGATGACTACATGATGGTCGAGTCCCCCGTGGGCATGGCACGCGGCGGTGGCGGTTTGGAACCTCCCAAACCAATCATCCCGGACAGCCGCAAGCGTGTTGCTCTTCGACGGCCGTCCCTTTCGAGGACCAAAGGTCACTCGACAAGCTCACTAGTCAACCGCTTACACCCGGAAGGCCAGTTTGCTCATTTCAGATTTGGTTCTGACTCTCGTGTCCCCACAACAGCATCTTCTTCCTTGTCCCTAGGTGAATGCTTCCAAGACTCGCCTCCCCAGGAGAAGAGGCCGCAATCTGCCAACAGTCCTTCATCAAGCGGACCTGGATCCTTCCGGCCCAAACCCCAGTTTGCTAGCCTGACCGGTACCAGAGAGCACCGCAATGGATCACCCATATCGGCGCACCCACGACGCCCCTCAAATCCATTCCAGCGTCCTCGTCGCCAATACCGACGGTCGCTGAGCATGTTCGAAAACCCCGTTGATGTTGTCAAGCCAAAGACGAGTGACCCCGCTCCTCAGAGCTCCCTGCAGTGTGTCATGGACATCGAAGATGTGCAAGATCCCATGCTTCCTCATTTCTTCCCTGAAGGACAAAATGATAGTATTCCTCGTATTTCTCAGGAGACCTTCTTGGATGTTCTGGATGGAAAGTACGAGGAGAAGTACACCCAGCGGATAGTTATCGACTGCCGCTTCGAGTATGAGTACGAGGGCGGCCACATTGATGGTGCAATCAACTACAATGACAAGGAGCTCCTAGCACGCCATCTTTTCGAAACCCCAATGGAAGGCAAGATCCTGATGATCATGCATTGTGAATACTCGGCTCACCGTGCACCCATGATGGCACGCCACATCCGTGCTGAAGATCGAACTGTCAACGCAGAGTTCTACCCCAAGCTCACATACCCGGACGTTTATATCCTGCATGGTGGCTACAGTGAGTTCTTCACGCAGCACCAAGGAAGATGTTACCCTCAGTCTTACGTCGAGATGAATGACGAGGAACATGCTGCAACTTGTGAGCGTGAAATGGGCAAACTGCAGCAGAAGAGAAAGGGTCTTAACCGAGCAAAGACCTTTGCCTTCGGTGCTCGCGACTCAATGGTGGACGCGTCACCAACCGCTCCTGGCCGTGCTAGCATGCAGGAGTCCCCTGTCATGATGATTGGCAACTCTCCCATATTGGGGGCTGATCGCTCAGCCACCCGAAGAATGGCATCATACTAATGCCCAACCAAACATATAACTCGTATTATACGTGTCAGTGAGACTCTCACCGGGTTTCTCCATCGTAACACAAACAGCCACCGATGTGGACTTGCACCATCTGGATGCAGCCACTTCACTGAACATATACCCGAACCGGCTTGCAAGTTCTGCGCTCTTACAAATCTAATACATCTTTTCCGGCATTAGACGGACGCATTGGCATAGCATCTGGTCAACTGCATCGCTTAGAGCTTCGTTGGATCCGGCATCTGCTTGCTCTATGGCGCCATCGGTCTCCGTTTTCACTCTATGTCTTATAAGCATACCGACTTGCTTTCGCAAATTGGCCTTTTCTTTCTCTTTTCTTTCACATTTCCTGGAACCACCAGCTAGTTCGTCCAGATCAAGCCACCATCCTCACCGGTATACACTCCTCTCTTCAAGAGAGAACCGCAATGGTCCCCTCCCTGCCGTGGAGAGCCATTTTGACGATACACACGACACCGAGCCACCGACATACTGGCTTTTGACGAAATTTTTTTTGTACGAACATAAACATTGGACAATCACCCCCGATGAAACCCTTTACCCAAACACGGATTTCCTACATACCAAACCACCATTTCTAACACCCTTGTACATCGCTCTTCCCCGCGGATTGTTTTTCTTCGCGAGATACCTGACCAAAATTGAGGGTGGTACGGAGCATTGAGGCACTGAGGTGTTGCACGCAAAAGCCGCAACGGCGCATTTGAGAGAGACTCAGATTGATTGGAGGTTGAGGAGGAGAAGAACACTGGAAACATCCAGCAGCTTTTTTCCTAACTTCTAGGGTACAGGAGGGCGTAAGGGCGTGGCGGTTCATCTCCCAACTCACACTCTTCCCAATTACTTTTGTCTAGAGCGCGGGAGGCATTTGCTTGCACTTTCCGCTGCTGACTACACATTGGTTTCACCCTTTCCTGCACATGGACTATCTGGTCTCGGGCGCTGCGACATACTGCGTGCATGGAGCATTCTTGAAAGGCGTAAGGAGAAATCCATACTCCTGTAAACTCGCTAGCAAACTGTAGCTAGCTGAAAATGAGAAAAAAACTTCAACACTACCCTGCTCTTGAACCACTGATAATCCATTTTGGGTTGACCTTATGGCATGATCCCTACCGCCCACGACTCCATGCAGACGGTGGTACGCTGCTGACGAGAGAAATCATGCTTCTTCCACGCTCACATAGAGCGTCTGCCACATTGCGCAGCACATATGCCGACAAGCACTATTAGTAATGTGGGACGGTAACTATACCATGGTGATATAGATCTACTCGATCGTTCCGCACAATCTAGCCGCAGGCATAACATCAATCGCTGGGGTGAAACCTGTCGAATCATCGTCGCAGTTGGCAGACGATCGATGGTGAGACCCGGCAGTTCTGGGTTCTAGTAATGCTTCTTGATGGGGAGGTGGAAGTTGCCGTTGGCTCGGCCGCTGACTAAGTTGGTCTCCGGCGCCGGCTGGGCACTGCTCGGCGGACGACGGCAAACCGGCGCCGAGTGGGGCCTTGTGGGTCAACTTCAGGTTGCTATAGACGGCGCTCAAGGGAAGTAAGCAGAAATGAAAGGTGGGCCCTGTTTGGATCTCTCGCCATGCTTTTAATCATCTCCAGATTTCTTAAGGGGAGTACATGTTTCGGCCACACCATACTCTCTGCTATCGGTGTAGGTCACGCAATACGCATCGTTGTGTGATGGATCATCGCAAGCCAGTGCTACCAAAGGTGTCACCGTGCCGCACCGTACTTTCCTCCATGGCTACAGCTACTGGATACAGGGACTCCTGTCTACCTATCAGGCTTTATGGCATTGAGTATAGCGTGCCACCTGAGATGTCTTCTCTGTCCTATAGGAATCTCGATCTCAAGTGAGACATGCAGCTGCAATGATTTGTTTCCGAGTGGCTACCGAAGCAGTGTCCCACCGCATTTGTCAAGCCCTTGCTGCAGCTCCTACTGCGCGGTGGTACTCTTTCTATTTAAGCTGTCAAATGCCCGCCTGTATTGTGGGCAGAAGTCCAAGCCAGCCGAATGACTAATTGATTTAGCGTAAGTGCAACACGTCTAGGATCCCTTCACTCGCCTCTACCCGGATCCTACAAGCAGCCATGAGCTACACCAATGTGTGGGATGCGATACCGCAATTGGCCAATCTCTCCTACCTGCCTCCAGATGGCACTCGTGCTCCCAATCTGGGTGGACAGAACTTCACACACTGCTGTCTCCGCGCGGTGAACAGCTCCCTTACCGCAGAGAATGGGAGCATCACGTTTACTAACACTTCTTTCTTCCTCCCTGACCAAACAATCGACCCTATCCTGGAGTCGGCCGAAAATGACGATTTCCCATGCGGTGCCGAATGGAACGGGGATCCCGCCGGCTCTCCGGTCGTACAGGTGCCCTACCGCTGGTGTACGTCCGAGTGCAGCGGCTGGGAGATCTCGCACTTCGGTGCTCTGCAGCAATGGGTCGGTCCTCTTGTCCAGTTCATACTCCCGAGTCTAGCGTTCTGCCTGAACATCCCGCGCACCCGGAAGCTGGCGATACCGGATGTGGTGTTCCAAGCCCACCCGAGAAATATCATCGGCTTTACCACCTACTGGATCCGACTCGGGGGCGCCATGATCATCATGACAATTGACACCTTCGTGTGGCTGGCACTTTGCTTCGCCTTTGCTGGGCCGATGCTGCTGAGTGGCGTCTACGAGTTTGTGCTGGACCGCAAGATCCTCGAATTTCTGAGTCCGCCGCAGAAGTCGGAGGATAGGCCCAAGATCCCAGCGAGACTCAAGGCTCAGCTACTCCTGGCAGTTGTTGTCGGAAATCTACGGATCTCGACCGGTATTCAGGAACATAGGGCCAGCCTTCAGATGCGCCAGAACAGCTACGGCCTCTTCAACTCGAAGAGGGGAGAGGACAGGACTGAGGCTGATCTGGGTGAGGGGGGCCCCACGGATAATACGTGGCACAGGGTTGTTTCTATGCTCGATGACCTGGAGAGGCAGAATCTTCCGTCGCAACTACGGGTGGGCACAGTGTCAGTGGCTGACAAGCTTAAATCTGTCCTGATGTCACAGGCAAGGTTCGTTGTCAGCGACTTCCCATGTTGTACACGAGCTGATCTAATCACAGTTTTGGATCGACTGTCGGAGCCCCTATCTTGTTTTTTGTCGGTGGATTCATCTATACCGTCCTGGATATCAGCAATAGCCTTGGTGACAATGACCAGGCCCACGCTCTGGCGTTTGGCATGTGTAAGCCCACCATATCATGTTCTACTGTGCTATGAAATCCGCACCAACTTCATTCGGGCTGATACTCATTCTAGGGTGGATGACTATCCCATACCTCGCGATCATGGCCTGTGCTATGTTAGCCTCGAATAGCCCCAGCGCACTCCAAGGCCTCGTCTACGATGGTGGCACTCGCGCATCGCGTGAGAAGCACGAGTTGAGCTTCTGGGACCAATTAAAGATCAAGCTGAAAAGTCACCGCTTCGCAAAAGCTTTGATTAGCCGCGCGCGCGGCTATGAATTGATCGAGCATACGTATGAGGGGAATTTCCAGACCGTCACGATGTGGAACCGCGGCCCAAACAAGCGAAGATGGGTCCATGAGGCCATCCGAGAGTATGCGAGAGATCATGCCGCCTACAACGAGGAAAAGCTGATAACTCCTGACCAAGTCCGCCAGGGGCTCAGGATGTCGTTTGGAGATAAGCGGAACATCATCCTCGGAACGCTCTATCTTTTAATCACACCTTCTTTGCTGGCGTTCTTGACTTCGTATAACACCCCGAGAAAGTCCCTATCCTGTCGTACAATGACGTACCTCGTGTACGGCATCAGTCAGATCTGTGAGATGCTCCTTTGGATCTGGGAGGCGTACCTCAAAGTCAAGTACGGACCCAGATGGTCCCATACCAAGACCCCAGCGAAAGCGATCAACTGGTGGGGTCAGGTGTTCGTGGGCTTCTTCGCCGTTCTGGCGGCTGTCGGTGGCACGTTCATGCAAATGCTTGGTGTGTACCGCTCCTGTGCGTGTAGAGTAAGTACAATCCTACGCTTCTGGGATTCCCACACAAGTCCTCCACAAAAAAGCTAATGGTTTGCAGATACCTGCCAAATATTGGATGACTCCAGATGATCCTGATGCTTACATTGTGCTGAGTACCAACACGGCCGAAAGTATTGTGGCCGCCCAGAACTGGTGGACGGTTACAGGTACAGTGGCCGTCGTCCTTCTCAGTGTCATATGCTCTCTGTCCTGGTGGCACCAGCGAAGGCTGCGAAAAGTCTTCAGAGAAGAGGCTGATACCTTAGAGGAAGATGGAGGCACGTTCCAGCTTCAGCTCAGGGGTATCTCCAACAGCATTACGACCTCGGGTCCAACGACTCCTACCCATCAACTGGATAAGATTTCGGAACTTTGAATAGTAGACACAGAGGTTTCAGATTCGGACACAACAATCGTACGTTTGGCGATAATCAAACATACGCATCGCCCTAACCATGAGTAGTTTACGGCTGCCTGATTTGATCCTGGTGTCGCTGATGCGCTCTGCCGTGGAAGTACGAGCACGTCCTGTGGTAATGAAAGTACATTGCAACACGAAATGCGCATACCAGACTTGGAGTTTCATTCAACAACTATTTGTACTGCGACCGCGATAAGTGTAGTGGTAGACTATTATAATCATAGATTCACACTCAATTTTACAATGGCCACGCTGAATACAATGTAGCTTGAGGCAGGTGATGTGAATTGTGGCGTTTGTTTGTTCTATTGTAGAAGCTCAAGCCGAGCAAAGATACAGGGTAATACTATTTTTTGTCGATGAACAATTGAATACACCTCTTGGTGATTGGAGAAATGTAAAAAGGAAAATAGGGCAAGAGCGCAGTATTTTTCGGGTGTCACCACCTCGTGTTTGAGGATTGTAGGTCAGCCCAGCTCTCCAACTTCTTACCACATTCCGACTACTGCCACCACCATTAGCAATCACAACAACGACCGAGATTCAGAACGCCCGTCGACACTCTAACACTGTTGATTTGTGGCCGTCGCCGAACCTGTGTGATGACTGATATTGACGAAAACCAGTTATCCGCGGCTGGGTCGCTGGCCAAGCTCCCGTGTGAGTCGAGGCTTTTGACCTACAAATTCATCTTTTCGAATCCAAGTCTTCTTGCACCCCTGGAATATGGAAAATGAGAGTAGATTGTCCAAGAGTACTCTCGCGAAAATCACACATATCGACTTGCACGATACCACCTACCTTGACAGGTTGCTCCTCAACTTTCTACCCCTGGAAAGGTGTAGCACTGAAAAACTGCGCCGGGAAACCCTTATGAGTGAGCCGATCTGAAGACAATGCAATTCTGATAACACCTTTGAAACCATTCTTTTGCCTCATGGCGTTTATCCCATCAGGGAGACAGGAATGGAAATCTTACAGAAACTCAGACAGCACACAGATGGTTCGCATTCTGGCGTACAATTCTTTCTTGGTGTACACGCTAGCAATACTGTTCCCGCCTTCCAAGCCAGATGTCTATACTGTTATGGTTTGCCATTCCCACTAAAGTCTACGCTTCTTGTTGTGGGCTGGTACTGACACAATGGCTGGTTGTCGTAGTTCGTTCACATGAATTCAACCACAGGCAAGGCTTTAATTATGGATGGCCGCATTCTATCGTCCATGGAGCTGGATTGCGAAGGTACGTTCAGCTGGGAGGAAGGTGCTGCGCCTTTTTGTTGAGCGTGGGAGAGCGTGGGATGATGGAATGACCTTTAGAGTTGGCTCAGTCCCGAGCAATGGAGAGGCACCCTTGGCATGCAAATTGATGTGCAGCATCAAGCACGAAATTCCGCGTTGATACGTAAGTTGTGACGGAGCACCCCAGATTTATGATTCGGCCTTGGATACTCACAATTGCTAACAGTCTTTTGCTACCAACCAACCTGCTGCTTCCATGGACCCAGATATACAGATGAAGCCGATGAACAGAGACTAAACTCCCTACGTGGCCTTTTTGCAACAAGGAAGGATGCAAGTCCAGTTTCAGTTTAGGAAGCTAGTAATGAGATCACCGCACTAGTGGTATTGTGCTTTTACTCTTCATCATTATTGTCAGTCTCATGTCACGCCCAGAAGATCATTTGGTTGGTATTTCGCAGCACGCATATCATTTCTACGCACGCTCGCTACTACCGAAGCTCGCAAATCCATGCTCGTCTGCTCCTGTCTGCAGCAGCCCAGCCTCGGACTTCGCGGTGGCTGATCTGAACTACCATATGAAGCGAATATCGGAAGAAGATGCAGCAACGCCATACGCCGATCCATTTGTAAGATGAGTGCAGATTGGGTATCATCACAGAATTTTCCCAGCCGCCCAATGCCCCTTAGAAAATACTTGATTATGCAAGAGTGAAGTCCCAGGGCTTGAAGGCCTCTTTGAAGTGCTCAGCGTCCGCCGACTCTTCCTCCACTGATTGCGCCACGTCTTGCCAGCGGATTCTCTTGTCAAGCTGCAAGAGCTTTGCCAAAACCTTACGGGGAAACTGAAGGTCGAAGCGGAACGTGTCGTTGATGGGCATGACAAGCTCCTTGCCCTGAATTTCCGCGTCACTATCGTCGGACCATAACCAAAGGCGAAGGAAGTCACCCTCTTCGTCGATTCCGGAACCTACGGCACGCTCCTTGAAGGTAGGGTATCGAAGATTCTCACCCTCCACCTTGAAAGCAGCTTCAACAAGACCCTTGCGCAGTAAGTCAATGGGGACCGGCAGAAATTGCCAGTGAGTGTGGATGTTGTTTGCTCGGCTGATCTCCCAGGTGACCGCACCAAGTTTGTGATCTGATTGCTTGCTGACCATTGCCTGAAGAGCCTCACGGAATCGAGCCATCTCGTGATACGTCGGCAGACCCTCGCCGTTGGGGACAGCTCGCATAGTAGGCTCATGGGCAAAGGGAATGATAATCTGGTGGCCGGGGAATTTCAGACCCGTTGATGAGAAGGTGCTTGAGCTTGGTAGGGGCCCCTTGGCTGAGGCAATATAGGCATTCTCCCCGATCGAGCAGACCATGTGAGTCGCAAGTTCCGGATTGCTAAGACAGAAAAAGCACTGACTTGGACCTGGAGGGGGAGAGCGCTGGTGTCGCCGACGGCGATTAGGTCGGTCTGAGTGACCATCGTGGGCAAAGCGGCCCGAGTAGGCTGATGGGTCCCCATCTGCTTGCCGCTTTGTGCCTTTGGCAGCGGTAAATGGCGAGGGGGTGCTTCCGATCGGAGGGACCGACGCTGCCTCTTCAGGCTGCAAGTTGAAAGCGTACATCGCCTTAGCCTTGGCTGCATTGCCGAACGAGGCCATTGAGATAAAGCGTGTTACAGGTTTGCTTTCAGACGCCTCGTCGTCAGTCACGTAGAAGAAAGGCTCTCGTTCATAGAAGAAATCGGCAGCAGAGAATGAGAAATGGTACCGAGGCTTGATAGCGGTACACAGGTCTGCGATTTCGTGGGAACTGGCAGTCGCAGCTTGGTTTTCAGGCGAGAGGACAACCTTTGACTTGGACCAGACTCCTGCAGGCCACATGGACGTCAGAAGGATGTCAGCTTTGTTCGAGCCTCGCAGCGATGTTGCATCCCCAGTGGTATGGAATGGAAGGTGCTGCTCCGTAGACAGCCCGCCGATGATGCTTTTGTCCAGGATACCACCAAGGGTGACGATACGAATGCCATCCGACGTCTTGTTCACGCTTCGCTTGCCGAGAAAGTGCAAGTTCTCACAGACCTAAACACAGAGTTAGAGGGGTGCGAGGTAGACATGTTTCTGAGTGTTTGGATTGAACTACATCTTCATCGGCCTCGACGCGGGCAACAATCTGCGGGGGCAGGGGCGCATTGCCCACAGTGAAGTAAGTGGTCAGCGGAACGCTGATCTCCCCATTCACAAGACGCTCAATAGTGCCCTCGTCTTGGTCAACCTCGAACAAGTTGCCTGCGATGATGGCGAAAGAGAAATTGTTCTTGGAGTGCAGCGCTGCGAGCTTGGAGAAAGCCGTGTCGAGCTTCCCGTTAACGCTGCCCAAGACAATGCTGAAGCGGATTAGCTGAGATCCGTCAAGGATAAATAGACTGCAAATCCTTACATCTTGGCCGCCATCGTGAACCGAAGTGACGACTGAACCGCGGTTCCAGCCAGGACGGGACAGGGTTTTTGAGTGGTGAGTTGAGATGGCGAGCTTGCCTAAGTGAGTGAACGACCTGCAGGTGAAGCTCGAGGTGCTTGAGGTTAGCGGGCCGCGGGAGAAGGTGGTGGGTGCTGAGTGGCCAGTGGGCGTGCAAGCCGCTGAAGGCTGGAGCTTGGTCTGCCAAGCGCAGGGCGCTGCTAACGGGAACGGTCCTAGCGCCACTGCGATAAGCGCTTATCAGCAGTCTCCCAAGGAAAAAAAAGTTGAAGGGTCGCGGTCTGCTGCTCGACTTCTCGATGGTGGGGAAGCAAGACTCGAAGTTCCTCGTTCAGTCGACTAGACCTTTGCCGAGCACGCAACACAACCGACGGCTGCGAACCCTCGAAATCGGGGTTTGGACCAGCCTGCACCATGCCGGCAACATCTTCGGGACGTATAGTCAAGTCCCGGAAGGGCAAGAACAGCACTCCCCACCAGAAGAACCACCGATGGGAGTCCTTCTCGACCAAGATCTCGAAGCTGCACTCGCTCGACCCGCTGCGCAAAGTGCGCCGCCACGACCTCGACGCCGAAGACCTCGAGGCAACCACTTCCTACTTCAAGAATGGCCTTGACAAGTGGGCCGACCTCGACATCTCCAAGGGCTTCACCTCCTTCAAGCGCGAGGTGCTGCCACTATGCGAGAGCCTACCGCAGATCCTGCATTTCGAGGGCAGGATCATGGACCTGTTGGAGAAATACATATCTGCTCAGGAGAGGGAGTCTCTAGAGTCGCTTCTGGACCTGCTTACCGCCTTTGCCCATGACCTCGGCACGCGCTTTGAGAAGCACTATCCCAGGGCTCTCACTCTGATCACCCAAATCGCCAGCAAACGCCACGATGCCGACGTGATCGAGTGGACCTTTGCTTGTCTGGCCTTCCTCTTCAAGTATCTATCCCGGCTCTTGATCACAGATATTCGACCTACATACGACGCCGTTTCGCCCCTTCTCGGGAAAGCACGAAACCCGCAGTACATCGCCCGCTTCGCCGCCGAGGCAATGAGCTTCATGATCAGGAAAGCCGCCGCCCCATCACACAGGGAGAAAGCTCTGCCGCTGATTATTGAACATGCGCGGGAAGACCTCAAAAACACCCGCGGCGACCGACAGTACGAGCTTTACTACCATGGTATTATGACCATGTTTGCCGAAGCCATCAAGGGGCAAGGACACGGAGTGCACACAACCGGACCGGCTATTCTCCAAGCGCTGGTTGCATCCGTGCCTGACGAGGAGTGTTACACACAGCTGTCAGAATCTTGGGCAGAGGTGGTGTGCGGTGTTGCTGTGAGCGTTGTGCATCACACAAATTCCGAAACATTCGAGCCCATTGCGCAAGCCATCTACGAGACCGAGGTCTACCAGTCCGGTGACCAGAAGCATCTCCGCAACATCCTCCCTATCCGTCTTGCTGGTGTTGTGGCTGGTGTCCGCAAGGGAACCAGGATCTCTGACTGGTCCCCATTGCTTGAGTTTCAGCGCAAATGCCTCGACGCGCTTTGCGATGGGCAAGCAGACCTCCAGATGCTCGAGTCATCAGCGATATGGGACTTCGTCATCGTTAGCATAGCTCTTGTATGGCAGCATGCGTCCTTCGATGCGCTTACTCCACACATATCAGACCTCATGAAGTCGATGGCCAAAGAACCCCTGAAGCCATGGTTCATATCGTTCTGCTCATATTTCTCAGACCTGGACCCCAGCAAGTTCCGGAGTTTGTTTCTTACATACTTCCAGAAGTAGGTTCAATAATTCCAGTCGCAAGGTAGAGCTAACTGTTGCAGATTTGTCGGATCGCATTGGTCGGAGGACTCTAACCAGGACATCCTCTACGTCCTCCTACCAAGGATGGTTGAGTCTCAGGCTCTGCCATCTCTCAGCGATGCTAAAGCATTCCAACTTCCGCAATCATGGCAAGACAGCATCATGAAAACGTTTGGACAGCTGGAAGAGTCTCCTTTCCCAGAGTCGGATTCCAAGGCTGACAAATGCTTATCGAAATACTCGTCCATGTTGCGATTGCTGGACTGCGTGAGCGTCGATACTAGGACCATCAATCTCATTTCCGAGAGGCTACTGGTAAAGCTCAAACTTGCTTTGCGCCCATCCGAATCCCTCGAGACCAACGAAGCCCGTTTCATTGTCAGTCAAGGATTCTCCTCATACCTTCGAATGAGTAAAATCAGCGGCCAAGTCGATGAATCTTTAGGTCCTCTCCTTAGGGCAGCAGCACCTCGATACTGCCGCTTGGTAGGCTTTCTCGAGGCCATGCTCGCGTATGAAGAACAGTCTTCCACTCCGGGAAGCTCAATGTCCGGAAGCGGTAGTACGAGCCCTGAAAAAGACGACGCTCTTGTCAAGAGTCTGACTGATAACCTGGCTTCTCAATCCCCTGAACTACGCCTGGCCTCCCTGCGGCTGCTGAGTAACCTGGAATCTGCCCATGATCAGCTGGAAGCTCTTGCCACAATGTTGCAGACGGAACAGACATCTTTAGATCTACAAAACGTTCGTGCTATCTCGGTCCACCTTCGCAAACTTGCGGCTATTTATCCTCAAATCAACGAAGACTCATGGCTGCGCCAAGCTATTCCGTCTTTTCTGTTTGGGATGATGACCGTGAGGCTTATGCCTGTTTGGGAGACTGCGGTTGAGGCCTTAAAACAACTGGGCCAATCTCAGACCGGAGAAGAAGCTCTTTGTGATCGCGCCTTTCACTGGCTTGATATTCCGTCGAAACGCTGGGATGGCCCTGGAAGACAGTCAACAGGTCCTGCAAGGCAAGGCGTGACTGATTTTGAGTGCTTGAATCTCAACAAACTGCGGGAAAAGGCTGATGATGCGAGACGAGTCGCAATTGAAGCGTCTGACATCATCCAGCAAGACTTTGAGGAAAGTCAAGAGATGGTGCCGGAGAAGCCAAGCAATGCACGCTCGCAGGCATTGAAGGTGCTTTCGGCTAGTCCCAATCTCGCAGAGAAGCGATCGCGCAAACTAGTGCCTATATTTCTTTCGTGGGCATTGGACAGCGATGATCATGATGAAAGCCTCGAAGAAGAGTCAGCTGCAGCCAACGGCGGATCTTGGTCGCTGGCAGACAGAAAAGCACTTCTTGGCGTGTTCGCGCAGTTCATCAACCCAAGAGTTCTCTACCAAAGCCAGCAAGTCTACGAGTCCCTCCTGAGATTGCTTGCCAACGGCGACATCGAGGTGCAGAAGGCAGCATTGAAGGCCATCTTTGCTTGGAAGCAAGACGGCGTTAAGCCGTATCGGGAAAACCTCGAGTACTTGCTGGACGAAGCGAGATTTAAGAATGAATTGACCGTGCTTTTCCAAGGAGACAATCAAATCGAGCCCAAGCACCACGACGAGGCCATGCCAGTTCTCCTGAGGCTCCTTTACGGTCGCACAATATCTAAGAAGGGTGTTGCTAGTGGTCGGGGCGGCCTTCATGCCACACGACTTGCCGTCCTCAGAAATCTTAGCGTTCAGGACATGGGAGGGTTCCTGGATATCGCTCTAGGTCATCTGCGCGACATTCAAATCATCGATGAGAAGTCCACCCTGCGAGAAGAAGTAGTCAACCGTGATATCACTACTGTTCGCAAACAGGTCGGATTCTTGAACATGATTTCGTCCATGATCAACGAGTTGGGTGCCAGCGTCAGTACCTACACCTCTACAATTCTCAATGCTGTACTATACAGCTTGATCAGTGCTTGCAGAAAATTGGGACGTGCCAAGGACGACACAGAAGAACACGAAACAGATGGGAATATTTCCTTGCTTCGGAACGTCCGGAGTATCGCCTTGAAGTGTATGGTCTCACTCCTTCAAAATGCACCAGATTTCAACTGGACGCCATATTCAAAGGCTGTTGTCAAGGAGGTGGTGAGCCCCCGGCTTGAGAGTTTACCTCTTGAAAACACTGAAGGCGTTTCTGGAGTTCTTCAGCTTATGTCTACATTCTCAACAATACCCAAGACTGCCTTGTTCCTGGGGCTTGACGACCGTATCATTCCGAAACTGACGGACTTACTGCTCGTCGAAAAGGCCAAGGACGACGTCAAGATATTTTCTCTTGGTATCTTGCGCAACCTTATCAAACTCGCTGTAGCGCCGGCCACAGAGTCTGAGTTCAACGAATTGATCAAAGAGGATCTTCTTGATCCAAACTTGGAGCTGATTCTCAACAAGATTGGCCGTCTTCTTCGATCCCAAGAGCGTTCCGATGACGAGCCTGGGAAGGAGCTCGGAAAAGACTTGTTGGGGGCTTGCGTTGAGACCATTGTCGAGCTATCACCACTCATCCAACAGTCTGGGAACACGAGGGAATTGATTGACATTTCGGTCTTCCTTCTGAACCAACCGCCGCGCCGCGTTCACCCTAAGATCAAAGGAGGTGTGCTCACTATTCTGGAGACCTTCTTGCAGTTAGGTGGGTTGTCCTTGGAGTCAGACATCAGGGAGCGGATCTACACGACTATTTCCAGTCTCTACAGCTTCTTTAAGGACCGACCCAGTCGAGAAGCCTTGTCCAGGGTACTTCGAGCTTTCACCCCCGAGAACACAGAAATTGCAGATTTCTGTGCAGAGCTGAACTCTTATGTCGAGGGTCGTATTGATGAACCTGCCTACAATCGGCGATTGGCCGCTTATAATGCCATCTCCAAACCGCGGTCAAAGCCTTTCACCCCGCGAGACTGGGAGCCGCTGCTGCAGAACATGCTTTTCTACATCAAGCATGATGAAGAGTACGGAATCCTCTCGTCTAACTCAGCTGATATCATGTGCCGATTTGTCGATGCTGCCGCCTCAGCTGGCGAAGGAGACAAAGAAGTGTACCAACAGATGTTGTCCACTATGATCCTTCCCGCCGTATTCTCCGGTGCTAGAGAAACATCAGAGACCGTGAGGAGAGAAACTGTTCGCGTCCTTGGGTACTTGGTCTCCCATGTTCCCACATGGGGCCCAGTCAGTGATCTGGTCGGGCTAGATCCCCCTCCAGATGAGAACGACACAGACCCTAGTTTCTTCAGTCATATCATGAGCCCGGCTGCCTCAAGGCAGATGAGAGCGCTGCAACTTCTCTCAAAGGTCAACCATCACATTGAGCTGGCTAGTCGCAATCTAGCTCACTTTTTCATTCCGTTGCTTGAGCACTTCATATTTGGTCGAGATGATGGCGAAGACGATCACGGGGTCGGCGCCCAGGCATCGACTACCATTGCAGATCTGGCCATTTCTTTGGAGTGGCCGCAATATCGTGCGATACTCAGCAGGTACATCAGTTACATTAAGTCGAAACCCGAGTTCCAGAAGCAGGTCATTCGGCTGTTAGGCAAGCTCATTGACGCACTTGCTACTGCCGGTAACGACAAATATGGAGATGCCATGGATTTGGACGATGCCGCTGAACAGCCGGCCAAGACGAAACGCAGACTTGCAAGCACAATGCCTGCGCAGGAGAAGTTTAGCGATGACGTTCTGTCCAACATTTTGCCTCCTCTTATGGATTATATTCATGAGAAAGACGAGACTACTGTCAGCTCCCGTGTCCCTGTTGGTGTCATCATCGTGAGGCTGCTCAAAGTTCTGCCGACAGGACTCCTGGAGCAAAAGCTGCCTGGAGTGCTGACAGATATTTGCCAAATTCTTCGCAGCAAGGCATGGGAATCTCGGGAGATGGCACGCGACACGTTAGCAAAGATGGCTTCTCTGCTTGGCCCTTCTTACTTTGGATTCATCCTCGATGAGTTGAGAGGCGCGCTGACCAAAGGCTATCAAATGCACGTGCTATCGTACACCATGCATACGCTTTTGGTTCAATTGATCCCTCAGATCCAGCCGGGTGACCTCAATTACTGTCTCGAGAAGATCATGGCTATCATCATGGACGACATCTTCGGCGTTACAGGCCAAGAAAAGGACGCCGAGGAGTATACCAGCAAGATGAAGGAAGTGAAAAGCAGCAAGAGTCAAGATTCAATGGAGCTCATTGCCAAAACTGCATCCATCAGTCATCTTGTTGAGCTGGTTCGGCCTTTGCAGTCACTCCTTCTCGAGAAACTTGACCTCCGGACGATGCGGAAGATTGATGACCTGCTGAATCGAATTGCCAACGGCCTCCTCGGCAACCCAGCTGCAGAGAGCCGGGACACCCTGGTGTTCTGCTATGAGGTGATCCAACAAGTCTACGCCAGCGACAAGCCCCAGGCAGAAATCAAGCTAAATTACAAGCTTCGCCGATATCTGGTCCAAAAAGGAGCCAAGAAGAGCGGCGAACGCGGTTCGACCAACAAGTACACGTTCAAGCTGGTTAGATTTGCCTTTGATATCCTCCGATCAGTACTCAAAAAGCATGACAGCCTACGCAATGCGGGCAATATTTCCGGCTTCATCCCAATCTTTGGTGATGCGATCGTCGAAGGCGAAGAAGAGGTGAAGATTGCCGCCTTAAAGCTTTTGACTGTGCTTGTCAAAGTGCCATTCAAGACCGACGATTTTTCGAATCTTTACAAAGTCGCAGTCAAAGACGCAATCAAGAGCATTTCGACCTCGACATCTACAACCAGCGACCTTGCTCAGACTGCCCTCAAGCTTGTCTCAGTGACATTGAGGGACCGAAAAGATGTGCCAGTCAAAGACGCTGCCGTGGACATGCTTCTCGGTAAGCTCAAGGACGACCTAACGGAACCTCTGTATCGACATGTCACGTTCAATTTCTTGCGGTCAGTTTTGGACCGTAAGGTAGAGACTGCTGCTGTTTATGATACCCTTGACAATGTAGGCAGCATCATGATCACCAATGACGATAAGGACACCCGAGACCTTGCACGAGGCGCTTTCTTCCAATTCCTGCGCGACTACCCACAAAAGAAGAACAGATGGGAAAAGCAGCTCAGATTTGTTGTTGCCAATCTGAAGTATGACCGCGAAGGCGGCAGACTTTCTGTTATGGAGGTTATCCACCTCCTTTTGATGAAATCCGCCGACGACTTTGTGCAGGAGATTGCCGGCACCTGCTTCTTGCAACTATTCCTTGTTCTGGGCAATGACGATAGTGAAAAGTGCCGACTCGCAGCCGCCGAGCTAATCAAGGAGATATTCCGCAAGGCAAACAAAGAACGGACTTCGGAGTTCCTCAAAATGCTTCGAAAAGGTCTTCAACAGGACGAGAACCAGTCAATTTTACGACTTGCTATTCAGACATTGAGCCTGTACTTTGAAGCAAGAGAACCCAGCGCGCGAGACGAAGACGATCTGCAGCGCATCATTGAGAGAATTGTCGAGATTCTAGATGCCTACACTGCCTATGCTAAAGATTGGGAACTCATCAACGTCATTGTCGAGATTGTGTCCGTTCTCATGGACAAGCATAAGGCTGCGGTCTTGTCACATGAGGCTCTGTGGCACGCTATCGGAAAGCCTCTCGCATCGACCCATCCCACGGTCAAGATTTCCAGTATAAGGTTGCTTAACAAGTATCTGGACGACTTTTCCGAGAACAATGGAGAGTACGACCAAGATAAGCTGCTTGAAGGCTCTCATGGTCTCCAGCTAGAGAAGGATGCTATCGAAGCCCTCGTCAAACTGGCCGTCAACATCCTCAGCCCCGGCACAGTTGCTAAATGGCAGAAGCGTATGGCAAAGAAGACCCCTGGAGCTGTCCAAATCGAGACCTCCTCAGAGAACCCAGATGTGGATGAGAATCTTGCTGGTGAAGTCGTCCAGACTATCGCTAGACTCGGAAAATTCCTGGATCCCAAGCCAACAGCAGCTGAGAAGAAGACAGCATCTGATGAGGAGTCTGAGAATGTTGATGCGGAATCTGATGATGATTCGGACGATAGCGAGGAAGAGGAATCTCCCAAGGCTCACCGGGTCACCTTGCACACCGTTTTCACCTTCCTTTCGGACATCTTGGTCTCTGAAACGGCCACGCGAGCACCTGCACTGGTACCCAAAGTGGCAGCCATGCAGCTCCTGCAACACTTCATCGACACGTCCGCGACCGAGACCCTGGCCCTGTCGCTCAACATGCTTCTCTTCCCCCTGCACCACGTGACGGACCCCTCGATCCCGATCCCCTACTCGACGGACCCGCTCTTCAAGCCGCGCGTCGAGGAGATCCAGGAGAAGGCCCGCGAGCTGATGGCTACCCTGCAGGCCAAGCTGGGCACCGAGGCGTACACGCGCGAGCTGCTCGACATCCGCGAGGCCGTGCGCCGCCGCCGTCAGGGCCGCGCCCGCAAACGCAAGATCGAGGCCGTCGCCCAGCCCGAGCGCTACGGCAAGTGGAAGCGCGGCAAGCTTGACAAGAAGATCAAGAGGCGCAAGGAACGCGCCGGCGAGGAGAGGGTCAGACGCCACGGCGCGAAGTACTAGTTGCGGCCGCTGCAGTCTTGGGGGTTTGCGTGGAGAGGGGATGGGAAGGAGATACCCGGATTTTCCTTTCATTTGCATTTGATTTTTTAGACTTGTTGAAACTAGACTGTCGGGCGGCGTACGGGAGCTGCGAAGGAAAACTCATTGATAGGCGCTCGTGAGAATGCATATAAATTTCATACTGTTTCATCGTCTCGTTCGTTTTGACACAGTGACCCGCATTAAGCACCCATCAAGCTATGGGGATTACGAATGACGGCGACAGGGTGAAGTCGAAGAAGTACATGGATCCATCAGGCGTTGAGACGTTGTATAGTGGCACACAGATCATCCTACCGTTTATAACGTTGTATTACAATGCTTGGATTGCTTGCCTCCCACGGTTTGTGTCGGCTCGGCGCCATGCGACTTTGTCATGGTGATCTATTGCAGATTGGGGTTTATCCGTTTCCCGTACTACCGATCTATAATACATTTCTACACTTGCATGTTGTACATGGCCAATATCTATCCAGACCAGCCCGGCACCATTGTACGTAATGAGCCATGGTGGGCGATTACCCATATCTCAGTTCACGACATGCCACGCTGCGGGCGTGTCTCATGGCCTCATGGCCTTGCGGTCTCGGCGTCGAGCTGCACCCGCTGTGGCGCCAACCCGCTCGCGGACTCCATGCCCTTCATTATGCTTTCGTGGATCTGCTCGGGCAAGGGGCGCTGGGAGATGAACTCCATGTCGGCGACTCGCGGTCCCCTCTCCCTCTTGTCGGCCGACGGGGCCGTCTCCGGGCCGGTTACTACCCGACGGACCTGCTGCTGTTTGCTCGCATTCCCGGCGTCTTGGTACACAGGCACCGCTTTCGTTGCGTTGCCTGGCCAGGTGTACACGACGCCTTTCCGCGGGTGCTTGGGGTTTGTCGGTGCCGCCGCCGCCGCCGCCGCGGCGTCTCCGGTGGTCGTAATGGCGTCAGCGGTCGGAGGCATGGTTCTCGGTGCGTAACCCTTCTGGGAATAGTGATAATGTATCTTCGGGCCGCGTTTATCGGCTGTCAGAGAGTGGGTTCGGGGTCGTTTGGATTCCGCCTTGACGGTTTGCTTCAGATCTCCCCGTAGCTCCTGTAGCTCGCGAAATGACATTCTCTCGTCATCGGGCCGGCGCATGCTTGTATGGAATTGGCGCCGGGTCGAAGGCGCGGCACCCGTGGGGGATGGCGTATCTACATGAGGACGTGCGCCGCCGGTGTTGAGGGGCGATGGCGACGGTGTCGCAGTCGCGGGCTGGGCGGCTTGGGCCGATGGGTCTCGCGCATCTCGCAAGGCAGAGGCTTCAGGCCGGCCATCGGTCGCAGCTCCTTCCTCAGCAGGCGGGGTTGCTGTTTCGTCTTCCCAGAACTCAATGTCTCCGTCCTCTCCTAGGGTGCCGCGCTTAACCAGCTGGCCCTTCTCCCTCATGAGGTCCTCGACGGTGATCTTGCGCTCGCCAAATATGTTGAGGTGGTCGCTGATGATGTGGCGGTTGCGGCATGACGGGCAGGTGATCAAGACGGAGCCTTTGTGGTAGCCCTGCTTGGAGATGGTGTGCGAGGATCTCTCGCCGCAGGGCACGCAGGTGAAGGTTAGTTGGTAATGCGGCTCCAGCTGCTTGCGCGGTGTCGTGGCCGCATTCCCGTCGCCACTCCCATTGCCATTACCGCCCGCGGAGGCCTGAGGTGCGGCAGGCCGAGGAGGCTTCGGTATCGAGTGTGCGCACCGCCGTGCGGTCTGGGACGGCTGGAGTGTGCGCGGCAGACGAGGGTAGGGGCGGAGGCGAGAGGAAGAGGCGATGAACGGAGTAGGTTTGGGCGTTTGGAGAATGGCACTCAGAATACTGCCGGCGCGTCGTGAAGCCATCATGAACTCATTACAAGAACACCGAGAGAGATTGGGAGAGGACGTGATGCAAGGAAGCGTCGAAAGGCTGCAACGTCAGACTGCCGCTCAATGGACCCGGGGACGGATTTGGACTGGAGAACAGACGAGCTTCATATCGCACTGACGACTTTCAAGCGATAAGAGATATATTTCTTTGGACGATAAAAGTCTTGGCAAGGCTTATCGATTTGTGGGTTCCAATGACGAATGACGGCGCGGCAGCTCGAGGCGGGCCTGCGCGCGGTACGGAGCACTGGACCCAAGTAACTACCTACCTAGGTAGCTAGGTAACTTAGGCCTCTACACATTACCTATATCCCCCAGCTACGGGGCTACCACAGCGTTCAGGTACTTGGGTACGGTATAACTGGGCTACCACAGCGTTCAGGTACTTGGGTACGGTATAACTGGGCTACCGACTGAGTGAGGGGCAGCTCGACGCCAGTAACGCAGGGCTCACAGCCAATTGATGGCGGCCTTCAGCGCCCACATCCTTGTCGCCTCGTCGAGCCCAGCCCGGCAACAGCCAATCATACGCCCCCCTGCCCCCCCAAGGCCGCAACCTCGCTGTGTCTTGGGACTCCCGATTTCGTAGCCTTACGGTCTTTTGTTTGGCGACGGCCTCTTCCGTTCTTCTCCAACCCTCCCGACTCTGCATTCCATATCATTGTCCGCCAACCGAACTCGGCCACCATTCGATTGTTGTTGTTGCCGCATGGCCCAGGTCGATTCTTCCCTCCGACAGCCCTGGCGAACCGATTTCATGGCCCGAACATGCGTCAACCTGCTGCCCAGATAGAGCCCCGCAACCGTTGCCACATTCACCACCCAGCCGCAGTTCACGATGCCCGCGGCTGCTCTTTAGACCTGCTACCACTCCACCAGCGACAACTCCATCTTCGACAATGATTACTGGCCGGGGCGGCGGAGCCATGCGCGGGGGCGCGGGTCGCATTCGTCCTCCGAGAAGGGTACGTTGGTCTATTTAATCTACATGCCCTTGCTTCCACCCACCACCATCACCGCCATGCATGCCCTTCCGTTACCCTCCACCGATTCGCTCGGCTCTCATGTCGCCTCTCCTCTGTCTTGCTTTGCGAGACCACCCGCCTTGAGTCGCCATGCTCGCCCGCGTTTTGCACCTCACGACCCCCGCCACACCACTTATAGGGCAATCCTGTCCTTGTCACCAAGCCCTGCTCCTTCGGCGGCTCGAGATTCCTGTCGCTTCTTCCCGCCGCCTGACCATGCGCACCGTGCAACCCCCCCGTAGCCAGATACTGACATGGGAGCCCGACAGCATCATACCGCGGCCGCTGCCGGTAGCGTTGACGACTTCGAATACAACTGGGAGAAGCTGCAGTCAGCCATCCGCGACATTCATCTCAAGAACACCGGCTCCCTCACCTTCGAACAGCTCTATCGACATGGCTACAAGATCGTGCTTCTCAAGATGCCTGAGCGCCTCTACGACAATGTCAAGCGTTTCGAAGAATCCTGGTTCCAGGAGCAGGTCATACCGCCCATCTTCGAAGTCATCTCCAAGAACCTTGTCAGTGTCACTCTCGGCAGTGTGCCCGGCACCAGCGTGGTGGACCGTCGGGCCATAGGCGAGAAGTTCCTCAAGGTGATTCGAGAGGCCTGGGAGCAGCATGAGATGTCCATGAACATGATCGCCGATATCCTCATGTACCTCGACCGAGGCTGGTCACAAGACCAGAGTCGGCCTGGCATCTTCGCTGCCACCATCGGTCTCTTCCGCGACCATATCCTGCGTACTGGCATTCAGGCCGATGGAAACCCGCCCTGCACAGTCTTCGGCATCTTGAACGCCACCATCATCGACCATATCAACATGGAACGTGAAGGCGACGCGATCGACAAGGCCCTGCTCCGAAGCTGTATTGGCATGCTCGAGTCACTGCATAAGACGGATGAGGAGCTCGAGGACGAGAAGCTCTATATTACCGACTTCGAGCCCGAGTACCTCCAAAAGAGCCGCCAGTTTTACAAGGCCGAGTGCGACAGGCTTCTCAGAGAATCGGATGCTTCAACCTGGTTGTGCCACACGCAGCGACGCTTGGACGAAGAGGCTGCGCGATGCTTGACGACTATCTCTCCCATAACTTCTGATTCCATTGCCAAAGTCCTTGAGGAGGAGCTGATCCAGAGCCATCTTGAAGAGTTCATGAGTCTGGACGGGAGCGGTGTGCGTGCAATGATCGACAATGACAGAACCACGGATCTTGCTGTCCTGTACCAGCTAGTCTGTCGAGTGGATCCTGACCGGGAAGCATTGCGCAAGGCCATGTCTAATCGTATCATCGAACAAGGCCTGGAAATCGAAAAAGTGCTAAAGAACACGGACTTTTCGGCACCCCAGACAGCAGATGAGGAACCTGCGGCTGACGGTGGCGATAAGCCCAAGCCCAAGACCCTCAATGCTTCCGCACAGCAAACTGCAGCTGCCCTCAGATGGGTCGACGACGTCTTGAACTTGAAAGATCGATTTGACAACCTCTGGTCCAATTGTTTCTCGGAGGACCTCATTCTGCAGACCGCTATCACTAAGAGCTTTGCAGAATTCATCAACACGTTTGATCGAAGTTCTGAGTTCTTGTCTCTTTTCATTGACGATAATCTGAAGAGGGGCATCAAGGACAAGACTGAGGCCGAGATCGACGTGGTTCTGGAAAAGGCCATCACACTGCTGCGTTTCATCAGCGACAAGGACAAGTTTGTTCTGTACTACCAAAAGCACTTGGCACGGCGTTTGATCCAGCAAAAGTCAGAGCGGCAGGATGTAGAGGCCGAGATGATTTCTCGTATGAAACGGGAGCTTGGCAACACCTTCACCAGCAAGTTCGAGGGCATGTTCAAAGATATGAACATCTCCAAAGACGAGACAGAGGCGTACTCCAAGTATGTTCGCGGATTGGGCGCATCCGATGAGAAGCGTATTGAGCTGTCCATCAACGTTCTCGGTGGCAACAACTGGCCCAAGGAGATCATGGGCCGTCAGACAGGTCTAGGTGGCCAGGAGCGTACTGATGCCGCCTACCCTCGTGAGATCAAAGCCCTACAGGAGAGCTTTTACGAATTCTATTGCAAAAGCCATCAGGGGCGAATGTTGAACTGGGTCGGAACGCTTGGTACGGCTGACATTCGCTGCGTCTTCCCCAAGATCCAAGGAAAGTCCTCGGGCCCCTTGAGCCGAGAGCGCCGGTACGAACTCAATGTTACGACCTACGGCATGATCATTCTACTACTGTTCAATGATCTCCCCGAAGGCGAATGGCTAGCTTTCGACGAGATCCAAGCCAAGACCAACATCCCCCAGCCTGACCTCATCAACTCCTTGACATCCTTATCAGTCATCAAGGCGACCAGAGTCCTACTCAAGGAGCCCCCGAGCAAAGCTATTGTAAAACCCACTGACAAGTTTACATTCAATCGCGAATTTGTCAGCAAGGCTATCAAGATCAAGATGCCATCTGTCAATGCGGCCAACAAGGTTGAGAACGAAGAGGAGCGCAAAGAGACTGACGAGAAGACCAACGAAACCCGCAAGTATATAGTAGATGCTGCTATCGTCCGCATCATGAAGTAAGTGATGGGCTGGCTTCTCTCAACCCGAGTCGAGCACTAATTAGGTCACAGGTCGCGCAAGGAGCTAGTGCATTCAGAGCTCATCACGAATGTCGTCCAGCAGCTTGCAAGTCAGTTCAAGCCTGAGATCAACCTGATCAAAAGTCGCATTGAGGATCTCATTGGCCGAGAATACCTCGAGAGGGCGGACGCGATCGACGGCAAGCCAGCTTACCGCTATGTGGCGTAGATCCTGTATCGCCGCAACCTTTGACTCATGGTCGGTCTGTGTACAGGGCTTCCCATCACCTTTCATGGCCACCGAAACCCAACGACCAACCTCACGATGAAATGATTTCACATATTATGATAGACGTGTTTCCTATCATCACATTGCATCACACTGCATTGCATTGCATGGATTGGCTTAGGCAAAACAGATGAGTTGAGCGACGAGTTCACTTTGCGACGCTCTACGATGTAGAGATGGTAGTTCTGTTAATATACCTGCTCAAAGCGATATATATCTTCTTCTCGAGAAGGCGCGAGAAGGCGTTTCAAGGCACCTGAAAATGCCACGGATGCATTGACATCCAGCACTTCCCTGTTCAGAGGCGTGTGCCTTTGGTTACAATCAGAGCATATCAACCTATGAGTGGATCAAGCCAGCTACTATAGCAAACGACGATGCATCATCAGATCTTGATCCCTGGATGAATCTCGACAAAGTTTGTTTCGGATTCTCATTTGGACGTCGCATTTCAAAAGAGCCACCAGATGTATGAGATCATCTCTCCACCGAGGATCGACAGTTAGCTTTGCGAGCGGGCCACAGGAGACAATGTCCTTGTCTATCCTACTGAGTATGTCACAGCTTTCTTTCGGTCAGTAGAGCAGCAATATAGATTTGCCTTCTCCTCTTCAAAGAACAGTAAGTTGATTAATGGCTACAAAGAGCAAAAGCTTAAAGTCCGCCTCATTGTAACAAAAAGTGACGCGATGCCCTCGAAGGCCAGGCCCTCCTTGTCCTTCGGCGCATAAAGCCCCTTTCTCTCAACCCGAGATAATAACCAGACCCTTGCCAACTTGCAAGCGCAAACCCTCTGCGTTGACCGTAATCTTCTGAACACATTCTTTTTCGACACAAACGCGCTCTTTATTTCAAGCCACGTGCGTACAGACTTGTTGCCCTGAGCCGGCCGCTTACAGGAGTACCAACTCGTTCGTACGTACTAGAAGAACAGGTTTCTTCCTGGTCTCTTTTCTTATTGCCAAGCATATATATCATTCTTTCCTTGTCCGCGGTACCAAGACTGCGCCGTGTCGCGATATTCGGGCGCACTTGAGTCCAACTATACCCACGTTGTTAAGAGCAAAAGCACCTAAGAAGACAACATGCCTCCATCGGTACAATCAGCTCCTTCGGCAACCAGCCGCCGCCGGCTCTCACAGTCCATGAATCGCGTGGCCACCCTGGGCGCCCTCTCAGGCATGGACCCCGCGAGCCTGCCAGTCTTTCGTACCGACTCTCCAATGACCCTGATGAGTGACGAGCTCCGGCACGTATATGGTGCACCTAGTTGCGACAGCATCGTCGCCGTACTCGCCTCAGTGGGTAATCCCCGGACCTCAGAGCCCAGCGCACCGCCTGAGTCCGGCCGAGAGGTCCGGCGTAATAGCATCGCCATGAGCGACGGTGGACAAAGCATTGCTTCGGAAAGGACTGATAGCGGCAAGGGCAGGTCGCGCAGCCGTGCTCGCAAGGCAGAATTAGTGGTGCAGAGGGTTTCTGCTGCTGCTGTTACCGCCATCCCTCAGATTCAGAACGAGTTCCTCCGACAACAGGTTGAGAAGCGACAGGCCGAGCGTGCTCAACATGTCCCTCGCCCTCGCTCCATCAACGAGGCTCGTGTCGTATCCCGGCCGCCCCTTTCTCATCCCACCATCCTCCGACCGGGCCCGGATGCCGGGCATCGCAAGGGCGTGTCAGAGTACGGACTCGACACCGGCAGCACGGCCTTGAAGCGCGGAAGCGCGCGGGCCTCGAAGCGCAAGTCTAGCATCGTGACGAGTGCGAGCCAGGCCCTGCCGGACTGGGCGGCTGCTGCGCTCAAGGGCACGCAATTCGAGGCCGCCGCAGGGGTGGTTATACCGCCCGTGCCACCAATACCGTCTGACGAAGACGAGGCGAGGGCCGATAGCAGACGGGCGTCTACTGCGACTGTGACCCGCGACAGCTACGTGCAGGGGGCCAAGGAGAAAACTGCACGGGCAAGCAGGGCCGGCGGAAAGAAAAGCCAGACTGCAAGGTCGGTCAGCGGGCTGTCGGAAGATGACGATACACGCAGCGCCTACAGCACGTACAGCGCTGCGACGATCTCGCACCTGCCACGCGGGTCGAGCATCGAGCGTCGCGCGCTCCCGCGCCCCAGCGGCGTCGAGAGCGCGCGCATCCGCGAGGTGGCCGCTCGGCAGGAGCACGCGGCGCGAGAGAAGAAGAAGCGCACCGTCACGGTCCGCAACGTCGAGTTCGAGATGGTGTCCCCGTCCTCAGTGCGCTCGCAGCCCCTGCCGAGGACCACGCCGCTCTTTGTCCCCTCGATCCCGCCGAGCCGCGAGCCAGCCAGCAGCTACAGCGTCATCGAGGCCGCGCGCATGGCGACGCCGCCCAGCCCGTCGTCGTCGGTGTCGTCGGCGTCGGCTACCACGTCGCCCACGCGCTCTTCCCGGTCCTCCCACAGCGCGCGATCCTCCGCAGCCACGTCGCTCTCCGGGTCGTCCCGCTCCCGCAGCTCTAGTCCGGCCCGCGGGGCCTACAACCCCCAGCAGCACCCCGGCACGGCCGACCCGACCGTGCGCGACCGCGTCGTGGAGCACGTCGCGCGGTTCCGCCAGGACCTCAAGCAGCGGGTCAAGGACCTCAGCCCGACCGTCGCCAAAGCGCCGCAGCCGCAGGCTTTTGAGCTGCGCGGGCCGGTGCGCAAGGCCGGGCAGGAGGACATCGCGAGCTGGCAGTGTCCAGCGGGGGTGAGGAAAGGAGTCTTGGCTGTCGGCGCGTCCAGCTCGTTCGCGCAACGGGCCGAGGCGTCGTCGCGGCGCCGGGATGACCGTGACGTGGGACCGAAGCGGATCTCCGCTTATATCCCGCCAGCGGCGCCGGCACCGGTACCGGCTGTTGCTGCTATGGGCAGCCGGCCGGCTATCGTATCGCTGAGAGAACAGGAGTCCTCGGAACTGTTCATGCGCCGCACGACGCAGAAACGGGAGAGCTTCCTCGGGGCCCCGGCCCCGGATGTGGGGCTGCCGAGTAAGGGGTCGGTTGCCCAGTTTGACTTCAACTTTTCCGGTGCCGGACGGGGACCTGTGCAGACTCCTTCTCTCCCTGCTCAGAGAGCGGAGACACCGCCAGATTTCGAGCCGGTTCCGCAGCGGAAAGACTCACTTTTCATGGGCAGCGGTGGCGCCTCGGCCCATACCGCACAGAGGGACTCTTTCTTCGCGTCCTGGGCGGAGCCGAAAAACCCGGCGGCCACGGCGAGCGAGCTGAGCATCCAGTCCCACGAGGAGCTCGATGTCGTCGCGGCTGGGTTTGGGGATCCGCGCAGGACTGAGGCAACGGCACCAGTAGACGACCGCAGGGTCTTGCCTAGCCAGCAGCAGGCCAGCCGTTCTAATGCTTCTCCTCTGCAGCGTCAGGCTGTGGCCAACGCAGCGGGGGCGGCTAGCCATCCCCTCATGGCGCGGCAGGCGGGCCGTGTAGGGTCTGTCGGGAGTGGTGGCAACCGGGCACTGCGCCGGAAAGGAAATGTCGGCGATTTCAGTAAGGTAAGACATACACGGTAAACGGCATGGAAGAGGGGATGGGTAGAAACAGGTCTCCACGAGATTGTCCAGCTACAATGCCGAAGTTTATCTTTCATGTATATACATGCGGGAAGGTTGTAACTAGGCTACTTCCATGCATATGATGCAGAAATAATATGAATAGAAGAGGAAGAAAAAAACAACAAGCCCACGGTTGGGCGCAGACTTAACCAAAACCCTTGATACTGAACTTTTGGCCATTCGCACCTCGCCTAACCGTGAATCTGGCATTTTCTTAGAGCGAAATACATCCATTCGCACTGTCCTCGAGGAAAATGCCACCATATATCTGCCCTTCGTTGATAGGCGACTCTTGGTATCCGGAGTTGACAACGTCTGAGGTCCCAGTCGGCTTCTTCAGGATACCGATTTGGAACTGGCCGCCACCAGAGTTGTCATTTGACAGCGCCGAAGTAACGGACTTGAGGGCATCGTCCCCCTTCGAGTAGTAGACTTGCAGGGTGCTGGTTTCGTCTTGTTAGCGCAATGCTGTCCCGCCCCTCCCAGCACGGCGAGAAACTCACTTCTTATTGTAGTCTAGTGTCACGGCGAAGTTCTGCCAGGCCGTGTTGTCGATGGCCGTCGACCAGATGACATTGTTCTGTCGGTTGGTGACTTTGAACGTGTTCTTGTCGCCGGACTTGCCGATCAGAGTGCCCATTTCAAAGTTGAATTGGTTGGCACTGTAGTCCGATGTCTCGTGCCACACATTCTGCTTCCGCGTTAGTAGGATTCCACTTTGACTCTCTACTCTTTCCCTTACCAGATACTCATGCGTCAGATTGAGCTTCCGCGCCGCGTCCTGCTTGACGCTCCAGTGCAGCGTGCGCACGCCAGTCGTGCCGGGCCCGCCCTCATTCGTGTCGCCCATGATCTGGAGACCGGCGCGACGGAACCCGTTCTGGGTCTGGAAGATGGACTTCTCGCTGATGGTGACCTCAAGCGACTTGTAGCTCGAGTTGTCGAAACGCGAGTTGGCCACGGCCGGGAACAGCAGACTCTTGGACCAGGGGATGCTGCTGGCCCGGACGTAGTCCGGGTTGAACACCTTGCTCGTGGCGTATGAGTCGAAGTCCGTCAGCTGTGTCGCCGTGGGCACCTGGCCCGAGAGCACCACCGGGCACTTGATATCGGCATTGGGCGCGGCGGGACGCGCGGACGCGGTCGCGGCCAGGAGCCCGGCCAGGAGCATGGATGAGTGGAACATGTCGAAAAGTCTAATGCGGGATCAAGAAACTTAGGAATGAATGATGTTCCCCTTCACTTAGACGTACACTCATATAGGGGACCGCACGGCGTTATAAACCTCTCCGGATGATCTGGCATATTGGCTTGTTGCTGACAGCGCTGCCCGTCATTCCGGGCCGCCTCTTCTAGAGGTATGTACCTGCAGCGGAGGCTGGAAGTTGGGAATATGCCATACCAGGAGATGGGGGACGATCTTCCGAAAATTAATTGCGTGCCGTCGATTTGGGGATGTGCGGAGAAACTTGTCGGGAGGCTTCGAGTTATGGGTAATTGCCCCTGCCAAGAGGGGTGGGGTTATACATCGCGCTGTCATATGTGGTTGGTGATTACTGCTGGATTCCAGAGCTGGCAAATAAGTATCGACATAGTGGTTCTGGACTCATTCATATTAGTGACGCTAGACTATAATATTGTAAAATGCAGCCTCTTTGTGACCACGACTTTAGAGGATGGCTGGGAAATATACTTTGAACTGTTTTTTATTCTTCAAGTTCTTCTATAAATATGCTTATGACACATGTATTACTCTATCTTGACATATTGCCGCACATGCTACAAGGCAGGTGCATTCGGGTCCTCCATACATTGATCGACCCGCATGAGCTGCTTGCCGGTAGCCTTGGCAAGCTGAATAAATTGCTTCAAGTACCCAACGGTGCTCGGGTACAAGTAATGCATTACAACCAGGTTGCCTCCCTTTCCTATATCACGTTTGAAGGCGTCAAGCTGCTTTTCGGGAGTATCAGATTGCGCCCATAACCAGTCTTCGACATCGACACTCCAGTTCACAATGTACGGAGAGTCGGTGTCGAGAGTCACAGCTAGACGCTGCCTCATACGCGAGCCCTCCGTGCCGAAGGGAGGCCGGAAGTACGGAGTGTGTAAACCGTTGAATGACTTGGAGACAGCAGCGATATCGTTGTTGTACTCCCAATCAATGGCCTCGTAGGAAGGCAGGCCCTCCATCTTGGGGTGAGTGAAGGAGTGAAGGGCGATCTGGTGGCCGGCTGACATCATCTCGTTGTAGACGTTGGTCAGGTTCGTGCTACTGTCCTCAAGCGGTGCGCCGACAGTGAAGAACGTCACTTTGATGTCCTCTTCCTTCACGATCTGCATGACTTGCTGAGCCAGGGTCGGGTCTCCGTCGTCGATGGCAAAAGCAAAGGAGTTGGGCCGCTTGCAGGCAAATACCAGGTTTCCGCTAGGAAGTTTCGACGGGATTGTGAATCCTGATGGGATAGACGATACGATCTCAACTTTGGATAAGACTGTCGAGTCGGTTGTGTAGAAGCCTTTCAAGGCAATGCCAACAACCCTAGTTTGGTTGATGTTGAAATGCGACATGGGGATGTAAATGTCGCTGACTGATGAGTAGCGCGCTGCTTCAATAGAGTCCCAGGTTTCTGGGTAGGGAGCGACAGCATCATCGCATTGGGCGTTGTGCTGCTGAAGTGCAACCGTGAACTTGTTGCTCCCGCTGTAAGCAATGTGCAAATACGAGCCGCTATAGCTGGTGAGATCGCTGCAACTTCCCGAGACTTGGGTGTAGAATGCGTAATCTGCATCATCCGACTTCAACGTCAGCTGTTTGTTTCCCCAAGTAAGCGACATGCCTTCATCTGCACCATGCCAGAATCCCAACGCATTGGCACCATCAGATGAGAAGTCGTCAACAACAAGAGTGGTCGCAGTTCCTGAGGGAGCGGGCACGGTGGAAGTAGGCCCGGCTGGGGCAGTCGTGGCTGGAACGGTATATTCAGAGGGGACGTTGCCGCAGTAGAAAGCCATTGGGCCAAAAGTAACAGTGTTGCTGAAAGCCGAGAAGAATATAGTATGTACTTTGGTCACATCAAGACCTGAGAACTTGGCGAACGGGATATTGTATAGCTGCTCCGTGCCATCGAATGTCCAACCGAGCTCGGTAGTCGTCTGGTAAATGTTGGCAGTGTCCTCAGCATCACCACAGTTGGTTGGAGAGCTCAGCTGGATGCCAAAAGTTGTGCCTGCAGGGGCGTTGATGGGCAGCGAGATACCGCCGTAAATGTTCTCAGCATTGACGCAAGTCGTCATACTGTAGAAGTACGAGTCGGTGTTCTTTGGTGTCAACGTGACGTGGTTATCTTGGCTGACTACGATTGAAGACATTGTTCCATCATCGCTTGATGGCTCCAGCATGGCATTGTAATACAGGAATGTCAGGCGAGACTGCGACTCCCAATCATCGACAAGTAAATCGCTGCAGGTTGAGGATGACGGCAAACTGGTGCGAGTGGCTGAAGTAGTCGTAATGGCGGCATTCTTCGTAGTTGCGGAGGGGCCAGTGGAAGTCGAGGAGATGGGTGAAGTCGCGCTGGTCGTGATTGGCGAAGTCGCACCGCAGGCGAGTTCGATATCACTCATTTGCCAGGTGACGTTGGTTTCTGAAAACCCAAACCACACGAATCCGGTGATGGCGTTTAGATTTGCGCCAGCGAATGAATTGAGAGGCACAGAAATAGTCTGGCTAGTTCCGGTGAGGCCGGTGACTGAGTAGTAGTAGCTGGTATATGCTGACACTGAGCATGACTCTGCAGTCTGAATCTCAAGAAAAACTGATCCTCCAGCTGGGCCCTGGATGTCGAACGAAATTGCCCCAAATCCATTGGTAGTTGCCGGTTGACAAGTTAGACCCTCGTAGAAGTAGGAGTTCTCGTTGGGTGTAAACGTCAGGGAGCCAGAGGCAGCAGATATTGAATCCATGGTCCCATCGTCTAGTGATGTTAGTATCGGTGTACTACGAGATGCAGAGTATCCATCCATACCACTAGTATATTGACCAAGATTATTGAGGTTATTGGCTGACCATTGGGAGAAATTATCGATTATCAAATTAGAGCTGCAGGAAGCCGCGGTAGCTCCTTTGTTGACAGAGCCAGCCACGAGGGTGGCAATGAAGCCCGAAAGAAAGTTTGAGAGCATCATGACAGGGTGAACGAGTGTACCCCGGTAACGAATGTAAGTGGTGCACTTGCAAGTACACCTATAGCGAATGGAAGAAACCAGGACTGGTTCGAGAACTTGCGGTCCATGGTCACAGCAGGACTTGATTCAATGGCAAACGGGCAAGTTATAAGCACGTTATCTGCAGTGCAATCCGACCGCGCCGAGAGCCACAAGTCTTTTTGGAGGTTTCACCAACTCAGTAATACGAGTTCTAATGCGTGGTGCGGCGACAGTGTATCTAGTGGGCTGAGGTCGCACTAGATCCCGGTCAACACAGGAGGGCCAAGCAATACGGTGACTGCGGACCCATGGAGAAGGAACTGCAGAAGCAAAGACACAAACATGCACCCGAGCATGCCAAGTTAGGCGCGTCTGGCGGGTTCTACCAAACAGCGGCAGTGCTGCACTGCTGCTAAGCAAGCTATCGTTCCACGTATAGATGGAGATCCAAGCAAGTCTAGCCTTCAACTATCCCCTCCCAATATGCTCAAGACGCATCTTTAAGGGCTGGGATGGCTCCGCATAGAGAGCGAGGGACTGCTTGCCGTGAATAGGATCGGCGCCAAGCGTCCGGGTAGGCGATCGTGGGCAGCACTGGCTCCACCCGATTTCAGGTGAATGTCCCCTCTTAGCGGCGTCAGATACATGCCACGCAGCACCTTGCTCATTTAAGGAGTCTGATCGCAGAGTCCATTTTGGAAGCTCAGCGCTTGACTGAGCAATCGAAAGGTATTCTTAGGTCGTATTGGACAGGAGAAATCGTCCGTAGGGATTGGCATAGATCGGATGATCTGCCGGCATGTTGTTCGGAGCGGGTGAGGTTTAACGAAATTTTGGCATCGCCCGAGCCTTACAACATCTCTCAAGCGCCACGAATCTTGACATAAACAAAGGCTCCTTTCTATGAGCGGCGAGACCAGAAATGCACCGAACAATGGTAGTATTGTGGATGGACACCGTCATCCTGCTCGAATGGGCAACTATTCAGACCGTAATGCGAATACTCCGTAGATTGGTGCAGCTTGCCAGCTTTGGCTGCCACCTCAATGGAGGACTTCCACATTTGCGCCACAGTTCAAGCCGTGACGGAGCTTGCGCCACAACGGTTAACGGCAGCCATTTCGGGAAGCTGAGACAGATCGACATCTCTATCATCAACGTCGTCCAGCCCAGACTTCGAATGCGATCTATGATATGCATTGAGACGATGATATAGCGCGCGCCACGCTTCTAGTTCCGACATTTGTGTTTTGACAGGCAGCCACTGGGAGGACATCCGTGCTGAGCTGCAATGGGTGCGATACCCGCAATGACCCGACACCGTAGCGCGTCTAACAAGTTGATAGCAGATTCGCCAGAACCTTCGCGCGACTCCTTGTCGTCCGTATCGACGACGAGCCTGGTATTCGAACGAATCAGTGAAAGAGAGAAGCTCAACCCGCGAGATGATCTATCCGACTTTGACGATGAGGACCCGCTCAGCCGGACAGAGGATGACGAACACGGCGCATTCCTGGGATCTGCCGCTGCCCATGGCAAGGGCCAGGCTATGGACCGCAAGCTGAAACGGATCCTCATAGTTTTGGCTGGAGTGTTCGTTGCAGCTTGGGGTATAGGGCTGTTCACATTCATATCGTCCAAATCGTACCAGCACTCGTCGCAGAAGGAACACGACCCGACTGCTACCAGCTCGAGAGGCTCGGGAAAGAAGATCACAAGAGAACAACTGCAAGCTGGGTTTTGGGCGCCGCGAAGCCATGCCATTAGTTGGATTGAAGGCGCTGGTGGGGAAGATGGACTGCTGCTAGAAGTCGGCGCCTCTGGAAAAGACTACGTAGTGGTCGAGGATGTGCGCAGTCTCAATGCTGAGCATGCTGCGTCAGGCGGACAAACCCTCTCGAAGCAGACACTGATGCGCAACAGTTGGTTTAATTTCGGTGGGCGGCAGCTTACGCCGTCGAAAATCTGGCCTAGTCCTGACCTCAAGAAGGTCTTGATTGCCACCGATGCAAAGAAGAATTGGAGACACTCGATGACAGGTATCTACTGGGTGTTGGATGTAGCCACGCAGCAGGCTGAGCCGCTGGACCCAAGCAACCCGGAACTGAGAGTGCAGCTAGCGCAATGGAGCCCGCAGAGCAATGCGATTGCCTACACCAGCAACAACAACCTATTCATTCGCCGGATCGAGGGAAGCAATGTGGTACAGGTCACCAAGGATGGCGGACCGGAGTATTTCTACGGAATTCCCGATTGGGTGTACGAGGAGGAAGTTTTCGGTGGCAACAGCGCAACCTGGTGGTCGGAGAACGGCGACTATCTAACCTTCTTGCGTACCAACGAGACGTCAGTCCCGGAATATCCTGTCCAGTATTTCATCGAACGGCCCAGTGGGGCAAAGCCTGATCCAGGCGAGGAGAATTATCCAGAAGTACGGCAGATCAAGTACCCAAAGGCTGGCTCACCCAATCCCTTCGTGGACCTGCTCTTCTACGACATGGCGCGGGGTGATATATTCGAGGTTGAGGTTGCAGACGGCTTTGCCCCTGAAAACCTGCTCATCACCGAGGTCATCTGGGCTGGGACCAAGGTCATTGTGAAGGAAACCAACCGCGTAAGCGACATCATGCGCGTTGTACTTGTGGATGTCGTAGCCCGAACTGGAAAGACGGTGCGAACTTCCGATGTTGGGAAGATTGACGGTGGCTGGTTCGAAATATCGCAAGATACCCGTTATATACCCGCAGATCCAGGCAATGGTCGACCAGAAGACGGCTACATTGATTCGGTCATACATGAAAATGGCGACCACTTGGCTTATTTTAGCCCGCTTGACAACCCGAACCCGGTCATGCTAACCTCTGGCAAGTGGGAAGTTGATGGCGGCGTATCCGCGGTTGATCTTAAGGGTAACTTGGTATATTTCCGTGCTACCAAAGAGTCCTCCATTCAGCGCCACGTCTACAGTGTGCATCTTGATGGAACCGACGTAAAGCCTGTCACAGATGTGTCCAAAGAAGGATTTTACGACGCCTCATTCTCGAGCAACGCCGGTTACGCCTTGGTTTCATACAAGGGTCCAGGTATTCCCTGGCAACGAGTTGTCAGCACACCGAGCAATTCTGAAAAATACGACCACCTTATTGAGGAGAACAAGGAACTGGCTTCGAAGGCTCAGAGGTACGAATTGCCGTTGCTCAACTATGGCACGATCAAGTTGGATGACTTTGAGTTCAACTACATCGAGCGCCGGCCTCCTCATTTCAACCCAAATAAGAAATATCCTGTTCTTTTCCAGCAGTACCAAGGGCCAGGCTCGCAGTCCGTATCGAAGAAGTTCTCTGTTGATTTCCAATCCTACGTCGCAGCTGCCCTTGGTTACCTCGTGGTTACAGTCGATGGGCGCGGTACAGGGTTCATTGGCCGCAACGCTCGTGTGGTCGTACGCAAGAACCTCGGTCGTTGGGAGTCTCACGATCAGATCGCTGCTGCAAAGATATGGGCTGCAAAGTCGTACGTTGACGCCGAACGCCTAGCGATCTGGGGTTGGTCGTACGGAGGCTTCAGTACCTTGAAGACCCTTGAGCAGGATGCCGGTCAGACATTCAAGTACGGCATGGCCGTCGCACCAGTGACCGATTGGCGTTTCTACGACAGTATCTACACAGAACGTTACATGTTGACGCCGCAGGAGAACGCCGGTGGCTATGACGATACAGCCATCAGCAATGTCACAGCATTATCAAACAACGTCCGATTCTTGATCATGCACGGTATAGCGGACGACAATGTGCATATGCAAAACACCTTGACCTTGCTGGACAAGCTCGACCTGTATGGGATCGAGAACTACGACCTGCACATGTTCCCTGATAGTGACCATGGTATTTATTTTCACAACGCAAACCAGATTGTCTATGACAGTAAGTTGCTCCAACTACAACTCTACTTTAGGATTCTAACAACTCTTTAGAGCTGGCAAACTGGCTCATCAACGCTTTCAACGGCGAGTGGCTGAAGATTGCCGACGCGAAACCCAACGACATGCGCAAAAGAACTTTGGAAGAAGTAAGGAAGAGATCAAGGGTATTCGCCACCGGAGGCTAGCCTTTACCAGTTTTGAATTCGTCGCGGTTGAGCGTTGAAGCATTTTCAGGAGTTTCGGTTTGTAGTTTGATGCCATAGGTCCATTGCAGTTTCTTTTACGTCGGTACTGGAATGGGTTCTGCTAAGATGATTTCCGCTCTTCCGACAGCCATCGCAGTGACGTCTCGTTACGACCTGGGCTCTCCTAGGGTATATTCATGCCTCTTTCTACATTTCGGCTGGCTTCGGGTAAATGCTGTCCCAGGAAATCGAGGAGCGTGCCAGCATCGAGGCCCTCCTTATCAGACAAGTTGGAAAAATCATCGTGACATTCTCCAGATCCAGCAGTTTCTGCAGCCCAAAAGCGAAGCGATTCTTCATTTCCCTCAAAGCCTACACCGCACTGAAAAAGAGCGTTCAATGCCGGAAGGTTCTTCTTCTGGATGTAATCTCTGACTAAATCGTCGATATAGCCCGGGCGAACGTTCTCTTCCGTGGCGGCAGCAAGGAAGGCGCTCAAGGGTTTCGCATCCCTGGTATCGATTGTGTGCAAGAAAGGCATATGATGGTTGAGCAGTCTGTGATGAAGCGGCCTGAAGTCTTCGACTGTGCGACAGGTTGCGCGTTCTACAGCGCGTTGGAGCAGACTCTTCTCGTGGACAGGATCTACCTCGTCCATGCGCGCACCGGCTTCCAGCAACATCAATCCCTTCTCGACGATTTCTGTACCGCTCCTCAGACCCCAAAGCAGATCCGTAGTCATTCGACACTGCGATGTACCACTAGGTGGGGGTTGGTTGATGTCGGCGCCTGCCTTGAGGAGCATGGCAACTGCATTTACGGTACCGGAACCCACTGCAGTACGAAGAGGGGTACGGTACAGCTTGTCCCACTCGTGAACATCGGCGCCCAACTCAATGAGTCTTGCCGTAACTGCGTCCTTCTCCGGCTCGGTGCAACCAGATGTTGAGGGGAAGGTGCTCATTTTGTTACACGTGGCTAGTAGAGGGGATGAGATTCCCAGCGGAAGGTCTGGAAGACCATGCGGGTTGGCGCCGGCTTCTAGTAGTGCCAATGCGTTCTTGAAGAAGCCATATCTTATGGCATTCATGAGTGGTGTGTATCCATCCGTTTCAGACTCCAGATCAGCGCCCCCGGCCGCAAGCAACCTGATGACTTCCGTACTATTATGTGCTGTGACTGCACAATGCAGCGGCGTATGGTCGTTGGTATCCAGTATATCCGGGTCCACCGATCGCTCCTTTAGTACGTACTCTATGACTTCAGGTTGGCCGTTTTCAGCTGCAAGGTGCAGAGCAGTCCGTGTTCTGTTTTCTTCGAGGCCGAAAACGATGGGTGGCCGAGGACGACCGTCTAGATCAGCCGGCGCGAAATAGATATTGGCTCCCCAGCGGAGCAGCAATACTGACACCTCGCCATTGCGACTTTGCAAAGCGCAAAATAGCGCTGAGTCTTCTTCCAGAACTGCATGTGCGTAGTCGACCTGGTGGATTGGAAAGTCGATCTTGGCACCATGGTCTAAGAACCACTCTGTTGCCGCATAGTTGCCATGCGTACAAGCGACCTGTATTGGTCTATAGCCCTCAATTCCTATGTGTTCCACAGACAAGCCGACCTTTCCTGGAGCCCGCAATCCTGGCGTTCGAGGGTCAACCGGCATCCCAAAGGACAGAGCCTTTTCCAGAGTCACCACTCTATCCTTGATCGCGGCCCAATAACAGGCGCTGAAATCCTCGAAATCTCTGTTGTAAGCCCAAAGAACGGGGTCTGCTATTTTGTAGAGGGTCCGGCATGTCAGCGCAAGATATGCAAGGTCCTTTGTTTGCAGAATGCGAATCCCTGCATCCCATGTCACAACCATGAGATCCAACAGTTCAGCTGGTAAGTCGAGGAGTAGGTGACATCTGGAACCGGCCAATGAGCGTGAAGCCATGACAAATTAGTCACCGGTAATGAGAGGGGAGTATGGAGGTCTTCCATTAGATGAGTTGGCGAAATGGTACGATAATTCTGTCGCATGTCGGCGAGTGAAGGGGAGGTGAATGGACGCGCGGAGTAGTGGTGGTGCAGTCGTTGCATAATGACATAAATCTGCATAATTCACTGCATATATGTGGGGAGGCTTGAGATGTCGCACCTACTTACTTACACCCTCGCAGCCAAGCTCGAACGATTCCATATCCTGACACAATACCTACCTAATATCACTGAGCAGAATGAGAGGGAAGTCATTTATACTTGCAGAGAGCCGGAGAGGGAAGATAAGAAAAAAGCACAAAGGCCCAGGCGCCTGTTGATCAAATGACGCGTCCCTCTTTCCACATCTTGGCGTAGTTGCGTCGACAGAGCGCAAGTATTCTCCGACAACCGATGTTCCCACAACTGCTCTCTGTGTTGTCGTCAAAGCTTTCATTCTGGTACTATGGAAGCACAACAACTTGGATCCCTTAGTGTCCTTCTCAGACCGAAACTTCGTAGCCTTTCGTGTCCCAAACGTCCACGCAAGATTTGTATTACACAATATACCGAACAGCCTCATCTCGTCTTCTGCCGGAGTGTGCCCCCGAAAGTCAATGGCCCCTCTCGTCGCCCTTACTGGAGCTGAACAATCTGCCTTTCGCCTGACTGAAGGTGTTTCTGACGTCAAAAGAGCTAGATACACGGGGTTTGGTCTGCGGTGGTGCACTATAGTGATGGGGCTCAGGAATCCTTGCGTCGTGCCAAGGTTGGCTGCTAGAGCCCACTGGATACCGCGAATCTTGTGGCGGAGGCATAGCATGATAAACGTCGTTGCCAGGAGGGCCTTGATGCTGCTGTTGTTGCGTTTGAGCAGGCGGGCTGTATGCTTGTGTCGGATGTGGTCTTGATGCGTGCTGGTTGGCTGCCTGCAAGAATGAGCTTGATGACTGACTTGAGTACCCCGAGTCGTAGTGTACCCTATGATCGCCCTGAGGCGTTTGGTCGAAACTGCCGTGTAGGCCGTCACTGTAGAGATGATCCTCAAAATGAGTGTTGTGTGGTTGCTTTGGAGTATGGGCCTCCGTGCGTAGGCTTACATTCAATGGCTGTTCATTTTGCGCTGGATGATGTTGACTATGTAGATGACCCTGATTTGGGAGGTTCTGTAACGGTGACTCGAGTCTCGAAGAATTACCATTTGGATTGTAGGCAACAAACTCGTTCGATCGGTATTGGAGCGCATGTGTTGCTTGATTGGTTCCGGATCCAGAATGAACCGAATCTTGCGAGTAGCTGTATGTGATAGGAGCTGGCTTTCTTCTGACGGGAGTTCTGTGGCTCGTCTGGGGCATCGCAAGATGACCTTGACCAACTTCACTGCCTTCTCCGTAAATCTCGTGATTCGTTCCAGTATGACTGTTGTAATTCATGTATGCTTGACGTTGTTGAATTTGATGTTGCTGCGTCGACTCATGACTTATCGCTTGTTCCGTACTGTTGTGCATATCCGACTGCGTCAAGGCGTTGGCGTTCGGGTGCCTGAAGTCTTTGATAGGTACAGTATAGGAGTCGCTGTTTGCCAAGTCTTGCTGGCAAACACTTGATGGTATTTGGCTGATTGAGCCGGCATTATTTCCAACGGAGTAGATCGGGTTGTTATAATGCAACCGACTGCCCATGCCAGCTTCGCTTTCAACAGGTACCTCGTTGAAACCGAGCTCTTGAGTATAATGGCTCGACTGATCACGACTGAGCTCTCCACTGCTCTCGTGCGCCACCCTGCCATACTCTGATGAACCAGCTTCCGGGTGATATTGCGGAACCCCTTCTTTCAGGATAGCATTTGATTCATTCGCTTCGGAATCAGATATTGCAGAAGCAGCACCTGCGTCGCTTCCACTCTCCGACCCCATTTCAGATTCGTCATTCCGATTGATTGTGTTGTCGGCTTTCCGTGCTGCTGCCCTAGCTTCGTCAACAAAATGGACAACAGGCCTGTTACCCGCTTTGATTCCTTTGTTGATTTCTAATAACATGACAGAAACATAGTTGATGAGAATATTCAACGTGTCTCCGGTGCTGTCTGCATCATAGGCCGCCTGCATAGCGTTTATGCCATCATTGTTTGTGTGCATAACATCAGCGCCTTCGCCTAAGAGGAAATTTACAAACTCATCGTCATCGGCAGATGCTGCCGCAATAAGAGCTGTGTCGCCATTATTATTCGTGGCGTCAATGTCTGCATGGGCTGCAAGAAGTTGCTGAAGAGGTTCAAGACTCGCGATTGTTTCCGCGACAATTATCAAAGCAGTGGAACCGTCGTCGCCGGCCACGACATTGACATTCGCATGGGCAGCAATGAGCTTCCCAATGATTGCGACTTGGCTGTTTCTTGCTGCTGTAATGATCGGATAGGCGTCTTCACCCCCACCTAGATTGGGATCTGCGCCATGTAGGAGCAAGACGTCGACAATCTCCTCACGGCCGAATTCACAAGCTCCCTGAAGGGCTGTTCGTTGCGGGAAGTTTGGGTTGGATGTACGAGCATTGACATCCGCATTCCTTGATAGCAGCTCCTTCACGATTTCAACATGTCCCTCAGTTGCAGCGGTTTGTAGGGCCCATCCTGCCTCAGAATTGACGCTTGCGCCGTTATCCAGCAGAAGCTTCAAGATATCAAGAGTATTATCATATGCTGAAGCCGTGAGAGCATTGCCATAACTGTCTGGTGTCAGCTGATGAAACATCGGGAACGATTGCTGAGGGATAGAGGATTTGGAGCCTTGGGAAAGTACATGGATTGAATAGGCGCGGAATTCGAGCCATTAATGTCCATGGCTCTGATTGAAGATGTAAACACTTACACGTCGCCCTGTGCATTGGGATCTGCGCCAAATGTCAACAATAATTGAACAGTCTTGAATTTCTTGCTGTCCGTTGCCTCGTAAAGCGATTGGTCGATGGTTTCAGCTGAGATATTTCCTCTCGTATATTCCCAAAGTGCTTGGAGGACCTCTAAATCATTGGTTCTCGTGGCAGCTTCATAAAAGGCTTTGTCGCATGTGAGATTTGCTCGTTTCTCGAGGAGAACCTTTGCGATTTCCCAATTGCCTGCTTCGGCAGCCTCATCCAGTGCTGATTGATAGTCATTATCGCTATGCTCGAAAGGTAGTAGCTTATTTAATATCTCAAGGCTCCCAGCCGCAGCAGCTGTTACCAGTGCTTTGCTATATTCGTCAGGGGGAAGTTGTTCCGCATACTTTTCCATCAAGTATTCTAGCATCGAAACATTACAGAGCGAGGCAGCCTGTTCGAGAGGTGTTTCCACGTTGTCGTGATCAATGGACAGTGAGACACCGTGATCCACTAGAAGTGCAACAGCATCGAAATTGCCGGAAGATATCGCTGAGTTGACCACAAGTCCCGAGTACTCACTGAAGGCATCCAGACTTGCATCTCTTTGTATTAGTTTCTTCATGACTTTGACGTGTCCCTTGTTCGCAGCTAAGTGAAGGGGTGTATCTTCCTCTTCTTCTTTGCCGGTGTTGATGTCTGCTTTCCTGTCGAGCAACTCTTCAACCATATCCACCCTGCCAAATGAGCAAGCAAAGCAGAGCTTTTAGGGTCGACTTTTGTTAGAAGTGCCTAAAATTGTAGTGAAGCTGAAGCGACTCACCGGAGTGCTACCTGTCCCATCTTTCTCATCTAGCTCGCTCTCGTGTCCATTTTCCAAGAGTGCTATGAGCAGTCGTTGAAAGCCAATTGCAGCGGTTATGTGTAACGCGTTCATTCCTCTGATATCGTCGTACTCAAACTCTTTCGTGATTCGGTTGTATTCTACCAGCCACCGGCGTCTGAAAAGGGAACCGGATTTCCAAAATGCATCGTCGAGGCTCAGATCATCGGCAAAGCCAATTGTCGCTCTACTCCCATGTTGGAGCCAATTCTTGACCATGTATGGAAATACTTTCAGTTCTTCAATTGTTTTAGCTTCTGGGTCAGGATCAGGCACCGATTCTTCATCCCAGCCGTCATTACTGTCGGAGAATTCATCGTCACCAAAAGTCCACTCGCCAGCCTCGGAGTCTGTCCGTACGCTCGACGCGGTACCATGACTCCCACCATCATTATCATCAACACTGTCAGTGTCGACTTGCATATCATCTCCATCAACCGGCCTTGGCGAAGGAAGAAGTTGTGTTTCTGGAAAATCAAATACTTCTTTGAGGTATGACAAAGATCTCAACGAGAGAAGTCCGTGCTGTCTTGCTATCTCCTGACTTGAAAATTCCAGTAAGTCTTTGGCGTTGTCTATCAGGTGCTGCTTTACCGCGTTGTTCATGAAAGAGACAGTTCGTTTGACCGAGACCAGTGGCTTGCACTTCTCGATAGATTCTCTTAGCTCTTGTTTGTCCTGGACAGTTGCCGCCTGTCCGCAGAGCACAGCAAATTCAGCTTCTGTAGGTTCTTCGACAGTCAGTATGAGAGCTCGAAGCATCTCTCTCACGTTCTCCCTGTGATCTCCTGCTGTCCTGAAGATCTGAAGCCATGCATCCCTGAGTAAAGCGTTGAGGTCTTGTGGCATAGCCTCCAGCATCCTCCTGACTTTTAAGTCGCTCTCAGCCTCAGGCAACTCTTCGAGCTGAAGACATGTGATGTCTATCCAGGAGGTATTCTGTGCCCGTTCCCCTATCAAACTTCGAGCAAACCATGCCAGCGGCTTGTTGTACTTCTTGTCGGCCTCCAATTTTCCTACCTTGCTTTTTGCATGATTTCGCAGTGAATGTTGAAATTGGTTGCTGAATTTGGCATCTTCTAGATTGATCACCTGGAGATGCTCCAAACTCAATGCTTTTTGAATGGTGTAGGTTGGACGGCTTGTGATGAACCATTTTGCCATGACTCGGCTGGGCTCGGTGTGTTGACTGCCATCAAGCTCGAGGCTTAGAAGATTGAGTAGCTTGATAGTAGATTCTGAATCCTCAGGAAGGAGATGTATATTGTTCAAAACAATATAAATACGGCTACCGGCAAACTCATCGGCAAGTATACCTTGCAGTGACTTCCACAGGTTCTCCACGGTCGGAGTCGCCCGCGACTTGTTTTTAGCTTTAGTATCCTTGACGAAGTCTTTTGCGTGAGTCGTCAAAGCTTTCTCCTGCTCAATGAGCTGCCAAATGATAGATTTGAGACAATCCTCAGCAGTACAGTAGTCTGTGGTTGCGTCGCATAGAAAATAGGCGAAGAGAATTGGTTCACCATTCCTTTGCTCAACGAATCTGACGAGGCTCTCCACGTCATCCAAAACTGCAAGCATAGCACCCGTCTTGCCCCTACCCTCTGGGCCCCGAACCCAGAGGCCATCTACTTTCGTATCTTCTCTGGGATTCTCTTTGGGTGCTGTATTGCTGAGCCATTTGATATAGTCTTGCTCTTGAGAAATTAGTGCTGATTTGCCGGGATTCCTGAGCAGCATCTCTCTGAGCCGACGGGGATGGACTCGTGCCATATCTAGCGCATCCATAACATTCTTGAAAGAATCCCAGTCTATATCTCGGGCGGCACTAAGTCGACTTTTCGCTTTCTGGTAGGCTCCATGTATCACCTTCTTCAGCAGATTTTCCACGAAGTTCCATCGTGTGTCTTTGGCGCTGTCGAACTTCACCAAGTCTCTGTGGTTGCTTGCTAGGCCATACTTGGGCACGTCGGCGTCAAACGTTGCGGAGGCCTGGCTAACGCACATCGAGACATCCTTAGGTATCACGCGGTTCGTGAGGCCAAAAAGTCCGGGAATATGGCCCATCTCCGTATAATCCGTTGGCTTTTCCTCGTAGAAACATAACAACTCGATCTTATATAGACCCTTGGCGGCAACTCGTCTGAACTCGTCTTTCAATTCTCGCAATGCTCCATCTCCAGGCGTCATAGCCCTCAACAGCTCTGATGATGTGGCTTTGTTCACCTTTTCTGCCCAATAGGCATACATGTTTGCCCATGCAGCGGCCTCAGCGCCTGCGAATGGTGTCCCGAAGAAGATTACTGCGGAAATTGCTTCGAACATGATTGGACATAGCTCCGGTTGCGCACTCAAGATAGTTATTGCTTTGGCAATCACCAACCCTCCCATGCTGTGGCCAATGAACACCAATGGTCTTTTCTTGCAGTCTTCTCGTCTACTTCCCAAAGCCACTAGAAGGGTCTTGGCAAGGTTGTCCATGAACTGGTGGACCTTGCGTTGTCCTCGCCATGCTGATTCATACGTGTACAAGAGTACCCGTGCTTTTGGAAAAGCTCCTTGTATGCCGTCTGGACTTGTCATCCAGTTCCAGTTGTTCTTGGTTGACTTCGAGCCATCCTTGCTTGACATCCAGCTGTTTTTTGGGTGTGCTGATAATCCAGGGACGAAGACGATACTGGAACTGTTAGACCGAACTTTTTTTTTGAATTGGTGAGGCAGCTATACTCAATGTCTGGGTTGGTGCCGTTGTTTTCGCCAGTTTGAATCACCTCAACTCCTTGGCGAAGAACCTCAGTCTCCTCCTGGCCGCTGCTCAGAGCAGCCATGCCCTTTCGGGTGCCCGAACGCCTTAGAGACATATCTTCCGCCTTCTCGAATGGTTTCGACGGTATTTTACGACCTTTCGAGAGATGTCAAAGAATATTGGTATGTTTGATGTTTCCAAGCGTCAATGGCCTGTATTTGTGGAAGCCCATCCTTGGGCGGCGGCTAAGGTGGAGCCTGGTGAGGCTGAGTGCTGACTGCATTTAAGATTTGCAGGAGGGAAATTGGCTGACCTGAATCCCCGGGCAATTCGCGATCTCCTTCCGCTAACGGCCTATCTATGAGTGTGGCAAGGCGAAAATCTGTAACTTACCATTATCTGGAGCACAGATGTCCAAATTGTCTACTCCTTTCTCGCATGTACCAACTTGTGTCTTGGGATAATACGGGTACGCAATTGTGAAAATGGAAGGGGATTGGAGCCGAGTGAGTCCAGCTGACGGTCTAGATCCGTTTGGCGCAGCCCCCTAATATCATGCAGACCTCTCCATTTACAACGTCCCTATTGACCCCGGAGAATACGAAAACAGGCCATGGAGGTCTCGAGACGCTTTTGCCTGCTTCCTTTCGTACACGCCATGATGATTTAAGACCTCTTAGGTTAGGCGACTCGGCTTGGTTACAGAAAGAACTCGACTTGAGCAGGCTGAACAGCATTTTCGACTACCTGTGGCTGGCTGGTCGGCCTATGCCCCCCAGACCGCTTCATTACCAACTGATCCTTGGGCGAGACATCATGGTCACAGAACAGATGGATTTACATCTGGTTTGGTCATCCAACCGTTTATTTCTGAAACCTCTCCCTCGATTCTTATTGGTGTCTGAGTTCTGGGATCAATACCTGAGCTGTCAAGCTCAATGCAGTTGTCCATGTTCAATGCTAACTCAACGTCTTGTGCACGGGGGCGGAGAGGAGTGTACTCAGCGACAGCTCTGGAGAAGTGCTACTGGCTTTTTATTCTCATACGCTGCATTGATCTGCTTCGAGAGCGATTTCCGCATTGCACAGGAAAAGAATCTTATACCGACCGCAGTCACTTGGCCTTCCTGGAGAAATATGGTCCTAGAGCTGGACACTGAGCATATATATGACAAGGTCAACTCGCGTTTCCTGTACGGAGAGCTACGACTTGGACGACTAAGCAAAATTCATCGAGTATCACGGTTGTCACTAAGAGGATATTCGCAAGCCTGGAACCAGTACTCATCCTTGTTCAAAGCAAACTTCGCTCTCATAGCATCGTTTGTAGTTTATCTCGCGTTCATCCTAGGAGCGATGCAAACCGGTCTTTCGACATCGAAGTTACAAAACAGCGACGCTTTTCAGGCCGCAGCTTCTGGATTTGTTGTATTCTCCATACTGGGACTTGTCATTGTTACGGGATCCGTAATGATTTTATTCCTAGTCATCTTTGCGAACAACGTACTAGGGACATTAGCATACCGCAAGAAGAGATTACGGAACGTTTCTGGTTACGTGCAAGGAATGGCAACCGACGCTTAAATTGACTGCGCTATGATGTATCAGACAACAAAAATGGCCGTGCTCACCCATCATTTGCCACATTGTAGCTGGCAGATGCTGTCAGAAGCTTTGAGCGCTGGGCCGCTGTTAATAGGAAGACATAAACATATATTTACTGAGGCTTTGGACTATTGCAAATTAAATTTAGTTTAGAGTTTAATTTTCAGTCAACAATTGGCAAAGCAGGTTGTTTGTGTTCATTTACTACCCGGTGTCAACGGACGGTTTACAAGGTAGGCTTGCGTGATCGTGCACATATTCAATTACGTGGGTACTTCTGTGGCAAGTGTGTCCTGGTATGTGACAAATGCTGTAGAAGATCAAGGTGATGAGATTCTTTGTAGACCCAGATAAGCCGCAATACTCGGCGGCTGCCTCAAGGACCATTTTCCCTAAGATTAAAACTCAGGCAGGCAGTCTGCTTGTTAGCTGCCTTAGGTAGAACTATGATCCTGGTCGTTCGAGGCACCCTTATTATATATCCACCTCAGGAATCTCATCCATTTTCAAATACTTATGGTACAGAAATGGAATGGGATACTGGTGCATTTTGGTGGATTTGTCTGAGATATATCCTAAGACTTAGCCAATCGCTCAAGAGCCCATCTCGATCGCAAAGAGGTCGAATTACGGGATTGCGCTAAAAGAGCTGAAAAGCTTTTGGTTCGGATTCTGTACTGATAACAAACTGGAAAGACCGTGAGCAGAGAACTGTCGAAGGTCTACCAATTCGGGGCAGGACCAACTAAACCAATCACACGCTCATACACCAAGCGACAAGTGAAAAGACCGATGACCGACTCTGACAAGAAGAATAAATGCAAGGAATATAAGAAATAGACTTGAAAGAAAGAAGAACAGACGAGAAAATCATTGGAGGAAAGTGTCACAGATGAATTGCCCGTCTCTGAGCCAGCTGCGAAAAAAGTCAGAACAGCAGGACCGAAAACCAAGCCGGCACCCAAGCTCCCAAGCCCTCTCGCACAAGCTGAAGAGACGCGGCAACGTTAGTAACGGCGATATATTTCATGACGTCTATTTTACTGACAGAAGGATTTGCAGAATTCCAAGGGAAGTCACCACGATTCCTGTTCCGCGGCTTCAATGCAAAATCGGGAGGTGGGATTACATGACTCAATAGCAAACATGGAGTTGTGCCGCATGGTTTCTTTGGAGGACAAGTTCCGACCACGATGTACAATATCGGGAAGATAAGAGCCATGATTAACAGTCATCTCAGCGGAGGTCGTCACATTCAGTCTCAGTTCAGTTCCTGGGCTGCTGATCTTAACACTGCCATAGGCTACGGCCGCACATTTCCTACTTCTCAGATCGCCGTTTTCGACGCAACTCGTACCGAAGCCCATGTAAAAGTCCACCACACTCCAGATCTTCATTATGTGAGTTTGCCAGTCTACTCTTACCCCCATGAGTACTTGGCTTACGGGCCAATTCGAGGTGATGCATTTCGCTGTATGCCGGTAAAGGAAATGACAACGATCGGCTTTCCCGACATCTTTGACCCAAGCAACCGCGATTACTGGGCCACAGTGAGTAAGAAAAGCATGCCTTCGACACCTCAGAATGCAATGATCACTGCCAAGAAAACTGGGTTACGATTTCAAAACCATGGTGGCTCCGGCCCTGACGTCGTTGTTGCGCTTACCGCCGCCATCATGGGTATTTTGTACAACAGACGGGGAGAAACTAGTTGTAACCAGAGAGTGACAAGCATGGCTGCCAAAATCCTAGCGGTACAATTGAAAGCGATTGGCTATAGGCGTCATGGCTGTGCAGAAGCACAACTGACCAATCCCAAGACACTTACGGAAGGCTCCCTTGCGCTAAAGTGAATGAACGACCTGCTCCTGGCGCTTTACGAGAGTATTGAGTTCAAAGAATTGAAAGAAGATACAGGAAAGAAGACACAGGAGAAAGCGAAGATGAAACCACAATTAATAACTCCGAGGCCGAAGACGAAATCTTTTCTCCGCAGTTCCAAACCACGGTCTCCATGGCTGTGAGTAAAGTCGGGACTTGGGGGCCATTAACTGGCTCAACTCGAGATTTTAGATTCTTCAATCAAACTTAATGTGAACTTCAATGCTAATTTACTCCAAAACCTTCAATGCTGAAGCTGGGTTTACCATGAAGCGTGATTAGGCAAGATATAAATCCTGTGCACGATCCTGGCATCTCCAGATCAAAATCTTCTACTTGAGTAAGCCTTGAATGAACTCCACAGCTGGCGGAACACTGGGTCTGTAGTTCAGGTGTGCGGAAGTAATATCAAGCGTCCCCAAGCAAACCTTGTCACCCTCGTTGCAGTAGATCTTCGTTTTAGAAACGGCGATGTTTGGAATCTTGCCGCCATCCTGGGCCTTTTGAGTATCGCCGAAGGTGACTGCTGCCGCAATCTTGCTGACGACGGCCGTGCTGGCTTTCTCAATAGACCTATGGACCATTGCAGCGCCTTGACTATAGCCGGCGACAACAAGCTGAGAGTTCGGGCATGCTTGAGTGGCATTGGTCAAGAGTTGTGTCATTGCGGTGGCGTCCTTTGCCGGACAGCCTCCTGACGCGGTGTTGCCTGACAAACTGGCGGCATAGTTGATACCCTGGACTGCCAATGAGGCCGTTCCGAGAGCAGTGCTAAGTTGGGTGGCGAGCTGCTGGCCAGGCATGTCACCCTATGACACCGTATTAGTGACACAGAAGGTTAGACCAATTAGCTGGGAGTTAGCTCACCAAGTTTCCTGGCTGATTTGTACCTCTTGCGAAGAACAGAATCACATCCTTGCACGATCCCTGCAGATACTCGCTGGATGAAGTGCCATAAGACTTGCGTGCCTCGAGCTCTCCGATGGGACTGGCGACAGCCAAAGCTGCAAACAGGACGGTCGATGACAACTTCATTTTCACGATGAAAATGTGTTTCTACCTGAGATAGTAGGCTAGATTGATGCCCTACGGTCGCAGCATATGAGGTTTAGACAGAGCTTGAGACAGACCTGCTGACCTGCAAAGAGTTCACACTTTATAATCATGTAGCTTGTGTAAGGGCGAACTTGGTTCATATGAGCCTGTCGGTCGCATTTTCCTAGATGATGACAGACCTCCGTTGAGGGGACCTGTCAAAATGCAGAATCGATCTTAGGGTGAGCCACGTGCGGATTCGACGGATTCTAAAGTCAATTTGGCAGGCTTGGATCGTGCTGATGGACTGAACTCCGAGCCATTTTCTACCATCCCATGCGCTTGTACTTGACCATGGACACCCCAGCGCGCTTTTGAAGGCTTGAATGATGTGTTGCATCTCGGCAAGTTCCATCTAGAGAGGCTAGAGTGGATAAGATTGCGATCTATGCACTGAACACGGCAAGTCAGTGGAAGGCAGATCTGCGGGCCGAATCTTTTGAGTTGCGCCGCCTTCCGCATCTGGGCATCGCCGGGAATTGTGGTGTCCACGGCTGAGCACCTCGAAACACAGCTTGGAAAACGAACTTGGAGGGGAGGCCTGTTATAGAGCACGAGTAGATGAGAGTATTCGGCTCAAGCAAACATTGGCTGCACGCATTGAATTCCCGTTCGAGGTATGCCGTACAGAGTCGCATGGTGCAGATAATGCGACATAGCGCCTTCCGAAAGATACCTTTCGCTGATGTATGGTGCAAGACCACTTCGATGAATATCACAGTATATTCAAATAGTTTCGGATGCCCCAGACCCTTTGGCTAGACCTAGAGACAGTCCTTTAGGCAAGGCCAGTGCCGTGTATCACTTTTCAAATGCCGGCGACACAGATGTGACCGTAATGTGTAATGTTACTAAATAAGAATGTGGTGAAGTAACAACTCGGTGCTCTGCGTCTGGACCAAAGGTAGTTTATCTATAAAGGTGGCCCTATGATTGCAATGCAGAGGGAATGTGTAGCCATGAGTACAACAATGCATCGATGAAGGAAGTAGCTAAACTGACTGTAATCGTACGTCCATGATGAGAAACTGGAGCATAGTGCTCAAGGAATATCTATTGAGTATGCACAAGTCTAATATCTGCTGCGAATATCCGCCCTGGAGGCAAAAGCTATGATTGAGCGAAGCGCGACCGGCTATTTGACTCTGGCGACAATAACGGAATTGACAATCTTTCCAAACGGATGGGTGACAGTTTCAACTTGGAGTACGCCGCGAAGTCTCTCTGTGTTTAGGTTGACTTCCTAAAAGGCAGTCAATATCAACAACGAATCAACCGATGTACAGACACCATATTGAACTTACGGGGTATAGAAGAGTACGAAGGCTATGCGCGCTGCGGACCACCAGTAGTGCCCCGGCTGTCATTCGCCTCGTCACGCTCATGATAATCTCTTCTTTTTCGTATTGATTTACACCCACCAGTGCAGCAAGGAAGACAACCTCAAACTCTCTCAAGTCCATAGTCGATTCAGCATCAGCGCATTTGAATCTCATGCCTTGGCTCCAATCTCCCAGCTTCTCGCAAAGTACAGTTGATGCCGATAGCGCAGATGCATCCTGATCAACATTTACGACCACGGGATCCGTGGCGGTTGGGAAGGACTGCATATCCCTCAATGCCCGTAAGAGGCACATGGATGTTAGGGGTAGCGGGCCGGATCCCAGGAACGCAACCGATGTGGGGAGGGTAGGTTTGACGGCGTACAAGGCGAATAATTCAAGTCGAGCTAGCTCCACATAGTTTTCGAAGTAGGGGAATGACAGAAGTAGCTGAAGGGCTTCCTTAGAGTCCTGTGCTTCTGATATCTTCTCTGCCCAGAAGTTCTCGAGACAGCACTCAGACTGCGACGAGATGCTCCGCATTGAGGGAATTATCTTGCGCATGCGTGGATCAGTGAGAACCTGTTTCCAAACTTTTTTAACGAAAGTCGATAGCAGCGTAGGTCAGAATGTCTTGGATTATGCATACCATCTCAACGGTGTCAGGGTCATGTGACTCGGAACATATTGACACGAGACCTCCCAATGTTTTGTTTGTCACCGGCCCGGGCCTCAGGTCGGGTAATTCGATCAAAACGGAATGTGCTTGTACGACATAGTCGACAATCTCTCTGCTCTTGCCACTTTGCCTTGCTTTCCGCCATTTCAAGGAGCATAGGGACGTAATGAGGTTGGCCATGATGTACGATGAGTGATAGCAGGTTCTAGGTTGTATTTTTTTGCTTGTGGCTCTTAGGCTTTGTCTGCGCGAATTCGGAACGATCGTGCCTGACTTATTGTTAGTTACACTGCAGATGAGGCTAGAGACGTCTCCAGTGATGCCCAATCTTGCAATGTCTTGGCAAAATAAAGACCGAGGTTCAACGCCGAAACCAGGCGAAATTCCCGCTCTCAAATACTTTGTCCAGGTTTGTGATTTTGCGTTTCAGTAGAGATTTTGCTGCGTTAAAACTATTAATTCTTGTGAATCTTAACTATGGTAATCAGTTTGTCCTGCCCGCTTCTTCGGCCCCTCATGGCCATCAAGGTTCTCAAGTACGGTCAGAGAACAAAAGTGCGTTGTTACAATGCTCATCTTGGTGAATAGACATGACAGATACTCCATGAAGCAGACGACTCCTGTTAGCACATAATAAATGCGGATGTGGTGTCGAGTTTGAACTATCCTCAACAGTTGTAATGGCAAAACGTTAGCGGGCTAATTGTGATACTTAATCTTGCTCACAAGAGCTGACACTATTCTAGAAGCACTCGACATTGGCGGTGGAGGGTCTAGAATGAGGTTCGCTACAGTTTGAATCCATGGTTAGGGCCCTTGTGTCTTATTGGGTGGGTGCGACTTAATGCTGCGCCTGGATTCAGTCATGAGCTTGCCATGGGAGAAGGTTCTGCAGCGGGGTCTCAGATATCCTCGCCACTTACACATAAACCGAGTGCAGATGTATTTTGGCTACCTAGATCCAGTTTCACAATCAAAAGCGGTATTAAGGCTAAAGAATGCTTGCTCCCCTACTCAGAGTGTCTTCTCATCCCGGATGGGAGCTTATATGTGCCTATGATACTTATTCCCGCAGTTGTCGCTCTAATCGAGACAACAAGCTAAGCTCCAAAAGCTATTCGTTCCAAAATCAAAGTAACTATTTCTCCAAACTGAGGCCTGCTTTGCTATGCGTCAACAAGCCGGTTGCATGCCCAGCTGCAGCTTGGTTTGAGTCGATATGAGCACGTCAATGGCTCGCAGTATCAACGAACCTGGGACCATACTTCACATTAAGCACTTTGCAGCAGTTAGAATATGATTTTGGCATTTGCCAATTTGAGTTCTTCATTTGTTTTCATTTGAACTATAGTTCGCTGTTATCCCTTGAACTCCAAAATTCTAGTCTCCGCGTTTTTTGTAGTGGACTGTTACTGGGAGGGATGATAGAGGTACTCTCTCTCATATCGCGATTTATAATGCACTCACCTTCAAACAGAGACGTTGATGCATATGTCGCTTGCGGATAGAGCTGACCATGTATGCACTAGGATCTCATCAATACACAGGGAGACTCGCATGCAGTTTCAAGAGTCTGGAGCCTTTGTGCTTATGTAAGAAACTGTGCCACTGGCCTTTGGAAAGGCAGATTGTGCCAGATCAACAATGTCAATTGTGTTCGTCACAATTGACGGAAGCGCGTTGGGCCAGCAGCAGAAAAGGCTTCTCGGGCTAGTGGAATTTCCTACAGACCTTTGATAAAGTCGAGAATAGTGCGCATGAGCAATTATTCTGTGGCCTAGGAAGAGCAGATATAGTTTTCAGAGGCTAGAAGGGTGATGCCAGGGAAGAAGAGGAGTTTTGTTGTACCTGTGCCCAGTTTTATGACTGCCTGTCTGTGTCTGCATCATCACAAGCTACCGAGGGACAGAGAGATACTGAGGTTGTCATTTCAATGTGGAATGAAGCCCAAGCCAGCTCTATATCTGCCGAGGGCTATTCTAGTTTTCTATCAAATAGATGGTTTCTGCTCATTTGATCATTGCCATCATGAGAGGGAAGATTGCGAACCAGTATGTGATAGGTATATGGATTAATCCCGCTTGACACCAATTCCTCCAACTCGACGCAATCCTACAACACAGACCAGGCAAACGAACACCATCCAGCCCCACATCGTCCAGAAGGCAACTCTGTACCCTGCCATGAGAGCGCCGGGAGAATTGTAGTTGGAGTAAGAATACTTGTTAGTCACAGATGAGGCTATGACCTGGGTCACACTCAGTCCAATCGCTGTGCCGAGCTGCGCGCACGTGTTGAACACGGCACCGCTTAGAGCCTGCATATTCTTGGGGAAGATTTCGGAGATAATGAGCAGGCCTACAATAAAGAGGAGGTCACAACTAATGGGAGTGAGAATCTAGGGGAACATGATCAGCGACCTGTAACCGAATGTTGTGACTGGGCAGCAGGGAAGGAGGGGCATGGTGAAAGTTGCAGTCAATGTTGGCAAATGACAAGACTGCCATCTGGTGAGCCTACTGACTTACCTGTGCGAAAAAAGCGTTCTCCCAATACACCTGGTCAGTCCGAATGAGGGCCATCAGAAGTGGTGCAACGGTACTCATAGCCGAGGAGATCAAAACCGTCCAAAACACTGGCATGCGGTTCACAAGGATGCCGGTTATAATATTCGTGAGAGCACCAGCGATCAGAGATGGGAGAACTCGTAGTGATGCCCCAAGAGCTGAGGTGCCTTGGACCTCTTGAAAGCTAGGTGGTGTCAGCAATAGGTATATCAAATATGGGAGCGAGAAAGGAAGCAGCTCACAATAAACTGCTGTACAGTTCCATACAGTTCGTAAGGGCGTTGGTGAGAAGGACCATGACACAGCAACTGGTGAAGACATGACTACGCCAGAGCGAGTTAGGGATTAATGCTGTGCGGCTGTTCTTAGCCTGTCGATGCATCCATCCGGCGAAGGCCGGGATCGACAAGCCACTTATAACCAGTAATGCGATGCTCGATGCCTTATGTATGTTGCTAATATCAGATGATAGCGATCTGAGACCAGTTAACCTCAAGTAAAACATCCCACATTCAGATCCATACACTTACGCCAAAACATAGGACAAGGTTGCCAATCCCAAGCTCGCCAGGAGAATCCCAACCCAGTCTATCTCCAATATTGCTCTTTTCCAGATTGATTGACTGCCTTGTGGTCGAGAATCCTCTGGCAAAGCCCAAATGCTAAGGAGAAACAAGGCGAAACTGGCAGCAGCAGCAAAGTAAAAGGCTGGGCGCCATCCAACGGTGTCAGTGAACACACCACCGAGGACTAAACCAAAACAAAAACCGAGCGGTAAACCAAACCCCATACAGGCAAACCCCATATTGCGTGGTCTTCCCTCCTCCACGCTACTCGAAATGATGGAAATAGACGAAGGGGTAACAATGGCATTAGCGACACCTTGAAGGGCGCGGAAAGCTATGATCTGCCCTCCGGTCCGGGCCAGGCCGCAGGCCAAAGCGAATATGGCGCCAAGAAAAGACCCAACGAGATTTACTCGCTTGTTTCCGGCGGCGTCGGCAACGGAGCCTGCCAATAAGAGACATGAGCCCGCAGTAAGGTAATAACTAGAGGTGGCCCAGACCAGCAGACCCTCCTGCAGGCCCAGCGCGGACTGCATAGCGGGAAGGGCGACAACAACTATGCCATTGCAGAAACTGCTGAAGAACGCCAGGCCAGTAACTTGGGTGATGACAATGACAGCCCGACCCTTGGGGAGCAGGGAAGCCGTCGCCACCTCCTGGTGTGGGGTGGGCCCCGTAAGAGGCGCTCCTAGCTCTGTTGGAGGCCGATAGCTTTTACTTGACGCAGACGCTGGCATGGTAATAGTAGGCTCGAGTATCTGCAACTCGGTAGCTGTTTGGGTTGCCATGATTGGATACTGAGGCAGAACAAACGTTGGTTGACTAGGCGGCAGCTATGTTGGATCAAGAGCGCTGAAGCTGAATGATTGGGTTGGCACACGTCATTCGCTTTGGAAGCAGTCAGGAAAATGTCTAATTCTCAGTGGGCGATGATAATATGTGGCTCATCTACATGAAATATAGTCCGACACTGAGTTGTCCTCTTATGAGACAAAGCATGCATCTGGGCATGACTGACAAATATGAGTCAGGCCGAGGACCGGGATAGGGAACCACCATCCCGGTACCAGTGGCCTGCACGCGGCAGTAAACAGTATTCCTTAACAGGGGATAAATAAAGCAAGCGGGCTGCGTAATAACACTTTGTTTTGGGCATTGCATTAAGCCTGTCAACTGGAAGAGTCCACCTCGAGACCGAGGTATAACTGTGTTACAACCGTTACAGCCGCAAAATGTGGATTCGTTTAGTGGTTCCGCCCTCCGCTCGTAGTGCCCGCTCCGGATACCCAGGGACCTTTTATCAGTTACCACCTCGGCAGCATCGCATGGCTCAACGACCGGATCGTTCACATATTCCTTGCTGAGCGACTAGGGAGGAACTCCACCGATTCAATTGTAGTGACCTGTCGTCAGATATCTGGTCGACTCTGCCCGACTCAGCCATGCTGAGCCATTTCTTTGTGCCGCTCGGAACCAAATCCCGCGCTGCCGTACTGGGGGCTACCTGTTTGACACTCGGCTTTGTCCTTGCACCCTATTTCCGACAGGCGAACAAGACGGGAGTCTTTAAGCGCTCACCAAAGTCAACGCTGCTGAACGGCCTGTCAGAGAGAGAGCTTGCGGCCTTGCCGTATCCGCCGGGTGTCCTGCCGGGCGGCAGGGATGTCTCAACACCGTATGGCTCGATCCGGGTGTACGAGTGGGGTCCCGAAGACGGAGAGAAGGTTTTGTTCTTGCACGGCATAAGCACTCCAGTTATATCGCTAGGGGACTTGGCCCACGAGCTCTCTGGCAAGGGCTACCGGGTCATGCTCTTCGGTAAGTTGTTGATGCATAATTGGCCCAAAGATAGATCTCACTAATCTGAACACGCCAGATCTCTTTGGTCGCGGATACTCTGATGCACCTTCTGATCTGACTTATGATGCGAGATTGTACGTCACCCAGATCCTACTAGTCCTGGCCTCCTCGCCGATCTCATGGTCGAAATTCCACCTGGTCGGCTATTCCTTAGGTGGCTGTCTTGCTGTATCCTTCGCACGCTACTACCCACATCTCCTTGTATCCCTTACATCCATAGCCGGCGGCGGGTTGATTCGCCCACACCACGTAGGCTGGCAGAGTAAGCTGCTGTACAACTCCGGAATCCTCCCTGAATGGGCCGTCAGATATCTCGTGAGGAGGCGAATACGACCGTCCGCAGCACCGCCAAGAGCCGCTGGAGGTACCGACATCATGGCTGCGGAGAGCAAGATGCAACCGGGAAATGGTGATGCCAGCGGTGGTAATGGGTTTGACAGTGCTTCGATATCTCGATATCGTCCCGGGGTCAAGGTTTCGTCTGTCGTAACGTGGCAGATTGACCATCACGAAGGGTTTATCAATGCGTTCCTGAGCACAATTCGGAACGCGCCTATCTACAGCCCGCAACAAGACTGGGCGGCTCTGAGCTCGATATTGCGGGAGAGAAGACAGGCCAAGGACAGCCTTCTGCCACAGGGCCTAGAAAGGGGAAAGATCCTCCTGATTCTTGGCAAGGATGACCCAGTTGTGGTTCCATCGGAGACTATAGACGACGCTGAGAAGGCATTGGGTAAAGACGGCGTTCAAGCAGTGATTCTTCCTGCTGGCCACGAGTTGCCCATAACCCTGAGCATCGAAGTGGCAAACTGCATAGATTCATTCGCGGTAAAGAGGCATTGATTGGATAGAGCAGAACCGTTAGAGGCGTTTATAGAAGCTCATATCTGTTCCGGTGTGTCCGATACCAGGTATCGTTGTTTGTTGCGCAAGAGACCACGCGTCAGGGTGCTCAGGATAGACTGCTATCGTGCTTCCGGCCCTCGGATATTAGAACAGGCACTGTACTCACTGTGTTGGTACAATGTATCTGGGGGAACACAACCAAAACCAGACTAGGCAATGTGCAATTGATGAACACTGAATGAACCTAGTCAGGGAACAGACACACCCTGACTATTCATCGCGTGCAAGATTAGAGACTAGGTATAGCGAGTATAACTGACTCAAATGGCAGTCTGCTACTTTATTGACGGGCCTACTACCTTATGGAATCGAATACTAGTAAACCGAACACACGCCTTAGTCTGATTAGGCTGGCAAACTCCAGAACTATGTTAGCGTAGGAACCTGGACTTTCAGTGGCTTGCCTACTAAACTCTGTCGAGTCAGTATGCGCCGACACCCCTCTTCTACTGCCAAGGTCGCCGCTGGCTCCTAGGGGCATACTGCAGGTCGAGTGCACTGCATATCAAGGTGAAGATTTTCGAAACAGATACTCTGGGAGTTTGTGGTGGATGTCGACGCGGCTGTAACGGGTCCGGGTTCACGGAGGCTATGCGATGGATATTTGTGTGTTTCACTGCAGATGAGGATACAGAAGGGCGACGCGACCATCAGCCGATCAAGAGCCGTTATGGGCCGAGCTTCGTTAGAATAGCGCCGAGGACGCCTCTAGGATCATACGGCCATCAACCCATACGGTTCCGGGTCTGCCGGATCCGTAGCTAGGCGGGTCTACAAGCTGCGCGGTCATATCGACATGGACACGCAGATTAGGCCCGACAAGTTGCCATATGTGATTCTGCAAGATAGCCGCTTTGTTGTCCAGGATCAGGTGCGTTGGTTTGGGCTGGAGCTGTTGCCAAGCTCGGGCCCTGGCTGGATGGCTGGATGGCGGCACTTGGGTGGTGGGGCCGCTGGAAATCTGGGGTTCGCTCGGCGCCATGCCAGGAAGCTCGACCGGTGGGAAAGCCCAGAAGCTGATCAGGATCATGCGATTTGCTGCAGAGACACATGAATCGGCGGCAACATTGGGAGGGCGGGGTTCGTGCTCAAATCTTCAGCAGAGCGTTCCTGTCCATCTCTTACAGGAACGGCGACATGCAGACTTCGGTCGAAGGGTGTGAGTGGGTTTGGAATTGGCACACGGAGTGGCACCTTAGCAGCCCCCAGCGGGCCAGCCAGCGGCTCCCCGGCCGCAGATCATCCAGATCCGACAAGGGAGAGAGAAGAAGCCCCAAGACGCTCTTCCACCCCAAGCACCAAGAACAGCTAGATCCAGTTGAATACCTACCAGACAGCACGTTCCGTCCCGCCTCTTGCCGCTGCGAGTATCTCCCCGTGCCTATCCATCAGTGTCGATGGCAGAAAGCGGCAGTGCGAACAATGGGGGCTGCTCTCTCTCTCTTGTCAGGGTCCTTCCGACGTAATCGGACAGGGGGATCTGATATCCATGTGAATACGTCACACCCTACCACTCCCAACTTAGTAGCAATAAGAACTATCTTGGTCGAGCTAGCACACTCCCCCCCTAGCCCTTAGCTTGCTTTAGGGGACGCCCGTCAGGTTGTCAGCGTGTCCAGTGGGCCAGTGGGCCAGTCGGTTCTTACCCCAGCTTGCCCAGCTCGCTCCCAGTGGCCCAGCTTCCCCGCATTTCTAAGGTTAGCCCCCCTAGTGCCCGGTCCTGATTGGGTAGTGATAGAGCAACCTCTACTCTATCTGCGCGTCTCTGGATTCCAGTCCAGAATCCCAGACTCCTCCCTCTTCATCTTCCCCCTTCTCCCTCGACAATCTACACCTTCTCGCATTCACGCCAACCCACAGATCAGTCAAATACGTCGACAGTCGACAGCACCATTCTGATTCGCTTCGCGTATCACCCGAAGTCGAGGGGTAAAGCACCCCGCCCTGCACAGAAAGGGTCCAATACGATAGCAGAGCCGTCAAGTCTCATAACAGACCTCGACTTGTGCTACAGCTCTGGGTCGTGCTCGAGCTTCATCAGACCATCCATCGTACAAAGAGCTCCATCTCTTTGATACAACGTCTCTCCACCTAGTCTAACCCCCCACTGCTCCTTGCCAAGGCCCGGGGACCATTCATTGATTGATTCATCTCTGCCTATATCACCTGCCCTCCCCCCTAGAGCAAAACGGGTCACACTCCTGCATTCCGAGCACGAGATTCGTTTGGTACATTTCGCATCACTACATCTTCACCCGCACCTGCCCCCTATCTCGACTTGTCACATACACCATGTCGAACGACAGAGACAGCAGCCCCCCTTCCGCTGCTCGCGAGCGCCGGGGCTCTGTCACTTCCGCTGCCTTCTCCAGCTTGTTCCAGCGCAGCAACTCCACCTCAGCCGGTTCCAACGGCAACGGCCAGGGCTCTGCAGCCGCCATGGCTAGAGACCCGCGCCGTCGTCTTTCTGTTACGACCCTTGGCCTATCTGGCGGCGGCCCCGCCTCTGCGACTGGGGCTCTCCAAGGGCTACGACGAGGCAGCATCTCGACCAACAATTCCGATTCCATTGATGAGAATGCAGTCGAGGATGACGAAACCTCCCGCACTGCTCCCACTACCCCCTTTGCTCGCCGAATGAGCTTCGGTGCCAGTGCCATGCGTTCCATGCGAGCACCATCCGGCACGAGCCCTGGTTCAACTGGTAGGCCCGACCCAGCACGTCGTTCTTCAGGCGGCACTGCCCGCCAGCCTTCTGTGGTCCCAACCTCCACTACGGCTGCTGGTCGTAGGACCAGCACCGCTCAGGCAAGCACAGCACAACCCGCAAGATCACCTTCTGACATACTTTCTGCTGCTCGTGCAGACCAAGGCTTCAATTGGTCAGAGCAGCTTAGATCCCGCGCCGAGAGCAGCGTATCGGGCATGCGCCCATCCTTTAGCATGGGCAGTTCTGGCTCCCCTCCCCGACATGGAAGCGTCCAACACGACCGCGCCAAATCCGTCTCCGATATGCCGGTGCCACCTCAGCAGGCCGCTACTCTGAAGCCCAAGCAGCCTGAGCGACCCAAGCCCGACGCTATGCAGGAACGAATCCTCAAAGGCGACTTCTACATGGATTGAGCATAGTTCCAAACAAGAAGCGTGCAAAACGATCACATGAGCCTCGGGACGATTAGTATTGTATGGATGATCAGAGCACTACGAACGAACCATGACCCAACACTATCCGACATCTTCTCGTCGCGAATGCCCCATATCGCGACATCAACAGTATCCGGACACTGCGGCATTTGTCTTTGGCGTTCATTGTTGCGCTGCACTTTTTAACTGACGTCATTCGCTTCGTACCCTGACTTGCGGCGTTGGAAGGAAAGACAGGTTCTCAGCGGTATGAAGGCAGCGATTCTGCCCGCATTCAAGGTTGACACAGGCGGCCGAGCCCGTGCAGGTTGAGGCACTGGCATTCGTAGGGGAACAAAAGCAATGGTTCACCAGGTTTGGCTGAGAGAATAGCTTTGCGCTTGTTGGCCATGCCGCACAAGATCTCAAACATTGTGGCTGAATGTTATTGCTCAAAAATTTGCGAAACCTTCATGCCTACAAATGTGTATGATAATGATCGAAGACGTGGAGGTCAGATTGGTGACTGCTTGTGGCTGTAGGTCTAGCAAAACAAAAACAAATTGCACAAAAGTCAAATCACCCCATACCGAACTTGTCCTGATGTCGAACATGAGCGAATAGAGCAGACTGCATATTGGTTGCGGCAGAATATCGTTCGAGCTCATTACCTTGGCTTTCCACAGTTCTTGGATCAGACCAACCCTGATGCACCGTCCTCTATCAAGCGGCGTAGATCACAGTTGCGTGCATGCTTATCTCCCAGCCATTTCATCATGGGATTGTATAAAAGCTTCCAGAACCCGAGCTTATGACGCCACCCCTTGTGGGGTACCGTGAAGCGTAGGCCTAACGTTCCCGCAAACCTGGGATAAGGACAAACGTAAACTCAATTATCTTCAGTGCAGCGCTATGGACATACCGGATCTTAAGTTAGTTATCTTTCAGTAATGTATTCAAACACGTTGACCAGTACGTGATCAAAAGAGATTTCAACCGTGGCTTCCTTCATTGTTGTTTGTACAAAGTGTTACTCTTACAATTAACATCGAAATCAATCAGTCTAACCTAACTCAAGGCTTGATGCTGCTCCAATGTACATGGTCCTGATCGTAAATAACCCGCGCCTGGACAGCCCGCCAGAGGCTGCTGTATCTATTGAGCTGTGGAGAGATGAGAAGAGCAAGTATTCGCTTATAATGATACACACGCTTCGCCAAGAGCGCCAGAGCCATCGAACCTGAAAAACAACGCTTGCTTTAACGACAGTTTGCAGACCATCTTACACCGGTTCCTTGATGCATGCCGATCCGACCGTCCACAATCCTTATTTAAGTACGCCGATCCTGATAACGCCATCTAATAAACAACAACAACAACAAAAAGCCGATAAGTCTTCCCGTGCGCCGTCATTGATACGGGAACTGACCATTCATGTACGGCACTCCGTCCATGACAAAGCGCATTGTCTCGGTGTCGGCAGCGCCCCATTCTGGGCCGGTAAATCCACCAAATGTGAGGCCCATGGCTTGCTCAAAGCCATCTCCAAGGTTTGAGTAATCAAAATCGGCATTGAAAGAATTATTCAGGTATGGCATGAAGCTAGACATGGCGTCGTTGCCTATCCCTGAGGTGGACGTACCCGCCGATGCACCGTACATGAAAGGTTGAGACGTCTGAAGCCAGTCAGGGAATTGAGCATTGGAGTTGTTTGCAGTCGGATTCTGGCTGCCGCGATTTCCAGTTGCGATCTCTGAAAGAAGTTGTAAGGGAGTATTGGCCGGATTGTACTCGTTGGCCTGCTGTGGTGGCTGCCGTTGTGCAGCTGCCGGCGCCTTGGCCTCGGCCTTTGGAGCTGCAGAATCGCTATTCGGGGAGCTTTTCTGTGCTATGGATGGTATTTCTGGACCAGGGGGCTTGCCTTGCTTCTGGAACCAGCCTCGGATCATTACGAGAACGACCAGGAACTTGGTTGCCGGGCGCGACTTGTCGGCGGCGCCAACCTCGCTGAATTTAGCTAGCAACCTGTCCAGATATTCCTCGACTTTCATGTCGTCCTTGACAATGACTCTGCCAAGTTCCGAGCCGGGTGTGCTGGCGCTGAAGTACATCTTGATTAGAACGACAACAGCATAGGCCACACGAACAAAGTTAAACACCGGTAGGCAACGTATGCTGTAGACATCCATAGACAAGAAGGTCTCGAATATCCCATCGATGGCTGTGAGGCAGGAACTGAGAGCAACAATGTGCGCGGTTGTGAGACTCTCGTTAAGACCTGGTACGGGATCGCGTAGAGCGTCAGCATTGTACGGCGGTCGAAGATCGTCGGCCTTTTCAACATAGAGTGCTATTTCATGCATGTAGAGACTGAGCACGTGGAAACTGAGCTGCAACGACGCTGTTCTATGTGAGCGAACAATCCATTAAGAATAAGATGATGAGACCTACGTTTCTTCTCTGACTTGGGAATGCTCTCGCTATACTTCTCCAAGTCTCTTTCGAACCCCTTGAGAGCATACTGCACCTTTGGTTCTGCAACACTGACATAGGTGTTAGGGTCGTCCATGGAGAATTGGATCCCGACTTCCTCCGCCAAGCGATGCGTCCAAACAAGATGGCACAGGTACTTGTCAGTTTCTGCGGCTTCTGGAGAGGACTCCAAGATGTCCATGCATTCTGTCATGAATGATGTCCACCTTACAAGGTTAGGACGGTGCAAAGCCATGGCCACATTAGATGCCAAAAAATATGACGACAACCAGGCTCGTCGCGCTTCGAGCGTAGTGGGATCTGGCAGGGGATTCTTCCTGAGAGGATGGTCCTTCCACGTGTAAGGAATCATCCTCTGCTTTGCACTGTTACGCTTCCGTCCCAGCCCGATATCTATGGCCATGACAGCACCCATATGGACGAACTGGTAAAATTTGAGCTCTTCAAAATGCTCGGGAGGATGGTACCAGATAACACCAACTTGGAGGGCCTGAACAAGCTCCAAGCTTTTCTCGCCCGCGACCACAATCTTGTCTGCAAACAGCTGCACCAGCTCTTTGACAAGCTGACGCTGGATGTTCGGGACTTCGGAGGATGCAGCGGCCATGACCGCGAGGAAGAGGATGGGTTTGGTCTTACGTATTTCTGAAGCGGTAGTCCCGGGTGGAAAGACGACGGCAGGAAGATGTCCGGCCATGTGGTCCGTATAACGTGCGAAGAACTCATTGGCTTGCTGTATGGTCATCAAACCCCGATCAATCATGTCAGTGGCGTATTCCTGACTTCTATTTGCCTGCGCTGGGGGTGGGTGGCTTTTGGTGTCCTCGGATGAGCTCTCCCTAGTCTCTGTGGCCTTGCGTTTCTGGCCTGCCATGACCATAGGCGGTACAAAGACATGTTGCTTGTCCGGCTCAGGGGCATATTGCGCTGGGGGATCTCGGGTAGGGGTACGGTTCCAGTCCCTTGCTGCATGGGCAAGCTGCTGCTGAACATGATTGTATGCATTCTGCTCCGCGGGCGAGGGGTGGCTCGGCGCCGGGCCTCCCCTTGAAGCATGCAAGCTAGCAGTTAGGGCATCAATCTTCTTCTCAAGCTCAGCGACCCTGCTGTCGGTTTTCTTCTGCCTCTTCCGTGTAGGCTGCGTGACCAGGCAATTCCTGCCGGCCTTGGCGCACCGCTTGCACGGCCCATCGGGATTGTTGGGATCGGGCTCGCACCTGACCTTCAGACCGCGGCATGCCTCGCAGGCACGAGGCCGCTTCGGATCGTTGGGGTCGTTGGGGTCGTGTGGTGTGGTGCCCGAAGCATCGGCGAAAGAGGCATCGCCGTCGTGTGGTTGGGTCGGCGTCTGCGGCGTCGGGGCAGCGCCGTACGGCACCGGGCCCGCCGTGGAAGCTGGCGTTGGCCCCGCCGTCGATGGCGAATCGGTTGGTTGAGCGGAAACGCCGTTGTGACTGGGTCCGGTGCTGACAGTGACGCTGGGTTCTCCAGAGGGCAGCAGCCTTGGATCGATCCGCTCTGTGGACCCTTCCATGCTCTGCAACGGGCGTCCACTTTATACCCAAAGTGCTTTGCCCTGCGCCCGTTCGAGGCGTACTGTATCGTTGATGGGGATGCGCTTCAATGCACTGTACTTGATGGGGAGCCCGCCCGGCGTCGGTGTTGCAGGTCGCCGTGTGAGGCGGGTGAGAAAGAGGCCGTCCCCGATGACCTCAGTGTCGGCTAAACTACGGGGAATGCCCACGCCGACCACTAACTCAAGTACCTTGAGGTAGCTCACTTTGGTATTGTAACTGAACTGTTGTGAGTGTCGGGCAGTGGCAAGGGAAGTCCTGTGTTACGACTGCTACTGCCTTCATCAAGCTGGTTCAGAACATGCGGAATCCATGGCCGGCATATTACATGATCCTGATACGGTGCAGATACGCCTCTTGTCGCGGTAAGTTACTCGAAAGCTGCATCCTCTGAACAGGATCGCCGCCATATACTACTACTTTGCCACGGAGACCCCTGGTGTTGGCAGAGTCGTGAATACTTAAGCAGTAACCGACTTATCATTCCATACCAAGTCTACTGACTTCACCATAGCTCTGTATTGATGTTCTTATAGTGTAGTAGTAGCGGCAGTAGCCCCTTTGTGAGAACAGTAGCGCTGTGGCAGCCAGGCTAGTGCTGAAGCCGTACGAACAGCACGCACCTCATTGCCACCCACCTCTATGGACACTCGTCGATGCAGAAAGCAGGTTTCTGTGATGCATTAGTTCCAATGAAGTGTGCTTGTGGTCGTTTTTCTAGACACAACGCAGTGTTATGTTCAACCTTGTATCTGCAGCTTCGCCCCCATGGTCCAGCAACGCAAACGTGTAAGACCCTTTTTCCAACTCCCACTCGTTCCATCGGTTCAGTATTGTCAGATACCGATCGACGTCCAGGTCCAACTGAACAGTCAGTTCTTCTTGTGCAGCCAGATGCACGCGTTTGAACGAGACCAACTGTTTGACCGGCTGTACAATTGATGATGTGCGCCCAAGAAGGTACACTTGCGCGACATAACTTCCACCAATAGAACCGGTGTTCTTAATTTTCACAGAGAATTTGATCACATCTCCAGCGCTGAAGGTGCCTTGCGAAATCGCCAGGCCGTCGGCAGCAAAAGTTGTGTACGACAACCCGTACCCGAACGGATAAGCAGGCGAAGACTCAATGTCCAGAAAACGTATCTTTCTTGCCAAGGCCTTGTAGTTGTAATACACCGGGAGTTGGCCCACATGCCTTGGTACCGTGATAGGCATGCGCCCTCCAGGGGTTGCTCTACCGAAAAGAACATCAGCAATGGCTTGGCCTCCCGACTGACCAGGGAAGAAAGTGCTCAAAACTGCTGCGCTCCGGTTGTATAGTTCGTCTATTGCAAAAGGACGACCGCCTTGGAGCACAAGCACTACCGGCTTGTTGAGCTCGAAGATCTGCCGAGCAAGAGCATCTTGACTCGGGGGAAGCCCAAGTGTCGCTCGATCGCCGCTCTCGCCATCACTGTTCCAGGCTGCGCCGACTGCCAAAACAATCAAGTCCGACGTCCTTGCTAATTGCACGGCTTGGTCCACGGCGTCGCCCTTTCGACTCACAAGGTTCCAGAACAGTATCACTTGGTGGTTCAGCGAAACCACATTCGCTGTTTTCTTATATAGATTGAAGGCTTGGTACTCGATACGAATACGATGCGTGGCGTCCTTACGAAAATCGAAAGGCGCTGATCCTGGCGGAGCGTTGGTACCGTTAGCCTCGACGTAGGAGTAACTCATGATGTTGCTCAGTATCGAGCCTGTATGCAACAGGTGGTCAACCCCTTGCGAGACAACTAACTCATCATCAATGAACAGCTTTACAGTCGTATTTGCACCGACGGCGACGCCGAGCCATCCTTCGACGGTAATATCCACCGGCGAATGGAGTTCACCTTCCCAGATAACACTGAAATTCGTAGACGGAAGGCCATTGGGGGGATAAAGGCCCCAATCTAAACTCGGTGTTTCCATTCTTTGCGCCAATGGCTGCGCGAAATTGGTGTCTGCAAAGTAAGTAGCTCTTAGCCCGCCTCGTACGCCATCTGCCGAGAGTAGGTACCCCGGGATAGCGTACTGCGAGTTGTACTCCCAGGAGTCTGCACCCCAACTGGTCACCAAGTCCATCGTGTTTTCTCCATTATCAATATATCCAAGGAGTCCCTCTCTGATCGTCTTAGCTGCGCCCGCTGGGTACTGTCCCCATGAGCCCGAATAATCCCCATAGTTAAGTGTGTCGCTAAACGGTCCTATCAAGGCAATTCTTGACAGGTTCTGCTCATTTGGTCTCAAGGGCAAGGTAAAGTCTCTGTTCTCTAGAAGCACGATACTCTTCTGCGCTGCTTCTAGCGTCAGGTCACGGTTCTTCTCAGCGACCACGACAGGGTCAAGATCCGCTGACAGATACGGGTCTTCAAACAAGCCCAGGTCCCATTTGACACCTAAGATCTTGCGGACATGCGACTGTATAGTAGCCAGTTTAACTAAATCTTTGTTTATCAGCTCTTTTGTCATCTGGTCACTCTGATTAGCGGCAGAACTACGATAAGTGCGCGATAAATCCTCACATTAATGTATTGTCCCAGTGGATAGTCGTAAAACTGGAGCATGCCGCCTGCATTGAACCACTGCTTCAGTGCATCTAAGGGAGAGTCCGCGACATGGTGCATCGTCTCCAACTGAATCATCCCTAGAATTGTATAAGTCATTGCTGCTGCTGTGCCCCAACTCAAACGTATAGGGTCCGTTACCTGTATCGTCAGCCATGACGAACCCATCATAGCCCCAGTCGTTGAGGGCTTGATATAGCATGGGGTGGACGGAGGCGGGAATATCATCTAGTTCATTATATGCCCTGAGAAGTATTCAGGTTGTAGGTTCTCTCGTTCACACATTGAGCACCTACATCATAACACCTCTGACACTTCCTAATTCGATTGCCGCTTTGAAAGGCAGCAGAAGGTCTTGAATTATTTGTCGGTTCCCGTGGCCCATAAATGGTGCGGCATTGTGTCCTGACTGAGGAGAGCCGTGTGCGGCGAAATGCTGGTAATTTCGTGTAAGCCAACAGAACTCGGAACATTTCTAGCACACTCTACCTTCATTATTGGGGCAACAGCATCTGGCTCAGACAACGACCCGTTCTTTGATAATCCTGATGAGTACGCAACACCCATATGGGACGTCAAAATCTTGTCCTCTCCCCAGGCCTCTGCGACATTTAAGCAAGAGTATCAACGCTTTTGACTCGTGTGGATACTCACCCTGTAATCGGCCCCATCTCGGGTCCAAACCAAGATCAAGCACCGGAGAGAAGCAAGCATGAATGCCAATGGATCTCGCCTCGGTACCTATAGCGCGCCCGACTCGATACACAAGATCTGTGTCAAAGGTTGCCGATAGGCCTATGCTTTGCGGGAACATTGACTGTTTGAATGAACCAACAGCATGTAGGCACTCTCCTGTCTGCATCAAGGGAATCTTCAGTCGTGACCTTTCGAGATTCTCCCTTTGAATCGAATTATAGTCGTCGGGCTTCATTGGGTACCTATAATCATCAGCCTTCTCGCGAAAGCTAGTGCCTAGAGCACACTTTATACCAGTCATGCATTGCGCCAATTGGAGAGTCCACGCTGGACTGCATTGTCTGATCTACTTCTCATTAGTTTGTCATTTGTATATTTTGTTTTTGAGACTTGCCCCAGAGTTCTCCATCAGTAGTAGGGCCAATTATGTCACCAGCAAACATGAGATGGAGCTGCAAGACTGCTAGGGGGATTAGCAGAGATGGAAATTTGTTACATCTCAATTTGGGGGCCATACCTAGATCTTGCACGGTCATATTGGCAACTAAAGCGTCAATAAATGCCGCCTTCGTTCGATGAGTCGGAGTCGTCGAGTGGGGATCCTCGAAGACATTGTCGCGCTCTGTTTTTATTGGTATCTGCTCCCGACTTGCGAAAGCTTCTATCCCCAGCAAGATTAGAAGAAAGAAATAATAATTGATTTTAGACATTCTCTAAAGACCCATCAGCTATGCGGGCTGTTGGTGTCGAGCTTTTCTCGCATTCAAGAATCTGGTGGCGCGTTGGTGGCCGGAGATCATATTCCATGTTACGTTGCTTCTTAAGAAAGAGTGAGAGGACTGTGGGGAGCGTTGTAACAAAGGTGGAACAGGTCCGTTCATCGTTCTCGCGGGAGATCGGCTCGTTAAATGCGGCAACACAGGCGAACAGTCGATAACGGGTATAGCCTGCCTGGAAATTGAACCCACTGTCCCAATTTGACTTCCGGCCATGCGACTTAACCCTCTAAAAAGAAAAGACAGCATTAAGCGTTGCGGAGCTGTCTGAGCTACCCTGCGAAACCATTTGGTTACTCTTCGCCACATTTGTCCACGTAGTCAATTGAAGTAGCAATACACCAGAATGATAGGAGATGCTCTTTGCGCCAAATCTCGATGGTAAACCACCGACCTACCTCACAGCATTTCGCAAGCATCGGTGCCAATATTGGAATCATTATGGGGCCATTTGCACACCTCTTGACATTCTTTGACTTGTTTGATCAAGTATGAACTTCTGGAATCATGCAATCTGGGGCAGTATACATGGAAGAACAAACATAGTATCATCGTTCTTATTTCCCTCTGGCTTTCCGTGTTTGAGCATCATAAACCAGCTAATGTGAAAGACTTGAAACCCAATCATGGTTGCTGACGTTATCCTACAATCAATCATGCATGAACCTCAATCGCCACACGAACGGCAGAGATCGGTTAATACCAAATCTAGGAGGCGGTAGATGATGGTGATCCACTTATCACTGCATTAAGTCAATACTGTTCACAGGACACTATATTAAATAAAGTCTATCTCAAATAACAAAGCCTACACAACGAGAGGTTTGATGATCATTATAACATTAATGTGCCCAAGAGAAGGGCCTGTAACTTCTAAGGCTCCCACAAGTTTATGCAGCAACAGGTCATTGTATAAGCTCGATCCATGGGGTATTGGTCCGATATCCAGAAAACAAAGGAAATAAACAATTTCGTGGCTTCACCCAGAATCAGTTTCAATAACTGGGACACTATTGAGTACTTGATTGGATTGTCGCAGCGTTCTCACAGTCTGGAGTCTTTTGTTGGTTGTGGTAAAACTTTACACCACTCATTGCTCTCTTTCACGACATCACCTGCGCCATATTATTACGGGGTCGCGTTCTTTCTGAGCTTTAGGTGGGCGAGCCAAAGTTTCGAGTATGGTCGATCTTTCCCACCCATCAATGGCAGTATTTTGTCGGGACCGCACTTGCTATGCCGACAGCAATGTGACTTTGGCAGGTGCATTGAACAACCAAATGAAATTGCAGCTGATGTATCATGGCAAACATGTTTGAACCTTGGTTCCCGGGATGATTCCTGCAGCCATCCAAATCCCAATGTATGTGAGCAGTTCTTGGCATGGGCCCGAGTTATACCTCCGTACACGAAGAGTAAAGCTAATATCATCGTTGTAGATGGAAAGCCTACCAAAACTGCAGACCACGTTCGACGGCATTGCCGAAAATCCTGGCTCGGGCTCCTGTGAGAGCATCAGCGCCGCCACCACCACCACTTCATGTGGCTCTCTTGCTCGCTCTTTTGAGCACTCTGTTTTGGCTCTTCGTGAGCATTACGTTCCGCCGCCGCCGTTTCCCGTTTTTGTTGTCATTGTCGCCCCGGCACCAATGCCAACCTTGGCCTCCCGCCGCAGAAGTATTTTCCGCCGTTTGGCCTGGGCCTGTCCTTTTGGGTTTCCTCGTCGCCTCCTCTGGGCTCTCGGTTTACCTAACGGCCCCTCTGTTTTCGCCGTTCTTTTTTGTTTTTTTCTTTGGCTCGTGGCTGTTTTGATTTTTCCGATCTTTTATCTGGTGCCTGGTCTTGGCCGTCTCGAAACGGCCCTAGGCAATTATTTTAACGTCTAATTGACCAGTCTTGGGGCCACCATCTTCATAACTGAAACTAGAAACCCAACAAAAAAAAATCACGTTTATCCTGCCGCTACATACGTTCCCGTTGGAGCGTACGGTACTTCTTGAAGCAACTTGACTGCTCAGTAGCAAAAGACACCTGTCAACAGTCAGGACCATCGGAATACCGCAAGGTCGATCCGCGAAATGATTATTCACTCACCACTTATCCTGCCGCTACACTTGTCGGTCTGCCTCAGTTTAGTCCGCGAGAGTTAAACTACATTGTCCTTATGATAGGCTTTTTATCCTGCCGCTACACTCGTTCGTCTGCCTCCGCCTATGCCGCAGAAAGCGACACACATCGACCATATATCAATGATCATTTATCCTGACGCTACATCTGTGGGTCCGACCCGGTCTTTTTTCTTTTTAAACCCAAATCTCCACGGCTGTTACCTCGTAACACGAAATTCTCATCAAAAACAAGGCTGTTGTTCCATACGAGAATTCGGATCACATCACCCTGCCACTTTGGATATACCGATTTTACGCCACATATGTGCGTGCACGTGGGGATCATTTAGGGATGAAGACTCCGTTGCGTCTTTCTATTTTCTACCGTTTGTCACTGTATGATCTTTTGGGCCGCATGTGATCCTGATTTGTCTGATTTAGTCTACAAGGATGCTTCCGGCACTCAAGCGGCTTTCAGAACAGGCATAAGACATCGGCGGGAGAAAGCAATACGGGTCAGAACTCAAGAGCTTATGTTGAGGTCATCGTGGTGATCTCATTGGCGTGATTTTTTACCGAACGTTTAACGTTGAGTGTGGGCTGGATAATCGTGGAGACAGCGGCCTGTTTTCTGAGTTTTGGTTTTTTGTTTGGATTTAACATTCAGCGCTCCATGAGACACACATGTATCTCCCAGACTTTGCAAAGACTTGGCGTGCAATCTGCTTGTGGATCTTTCATGCTTTCTGCAGAGCCATATCAATTTCATTCGGATTTATTGAACCAATCAGCCTGCCTTGGGCCCCAAATAGGCTAGTCGTTTCGAATTATGAGCGTCCTGCAATAATTCCTGCCGTCTGTGTTCAGTTTCCGGCCCTGCCAGCCTCTAGGATGACAGACCGGTGGCTGTGCAAATAGTACATACATGGTGATATCATGTCTAGGGCGCGACGTCAAATCAGCGAGATTTTTCTGTTTGTGTTGCCGGATTTACTTTTATCGTGATCCAAGCACTTTTAGAGTACGCGGCTCTTCGTCAGACCGATAAGATATAGTTTACGAAATATTGGCCCCTGAACTGTTTTCGTGGTGGAAAACGCGCATAATTGCGCTCTCTCATTATAGTTCAGCGAAGATTGTTACAACCAACGCCACAGCCAGAAGTCACTCTGAATATTTTAACGGAGAAAGCCCATGCATCAAATCAAAATATATATTCCGCTATTATCCGGTTGTGCAATTCAGATTTTCTTACACCCATGATACCTAGCAACAACTAAACTAACCAGGCACCCACTCACCATCTATCAATCTGTTATCGTCATCTGGCCCCTCGTCGCCGGTCTCAACTACTTCAATAGAAAGCATTTCATTTTCACCATGAAACTTTACCACATTGGTGTAAGTCAGGCATCATTCCTTCCCAAACAGCCTAGCTGATGCTCAGAGAACAGATCTTGGACAATAAGCACAAGCCAGCAGTGCAACTGTGTGCAGCTTATGAGGATTCCGATTTCTCACGCTGGGCGCGGAATGACCTGAAATCCGGCATGAAGATGCTAAGCAAGGTTGTCGCTGAACGCACTAAGCCAGGGCAGAGGATAAACGTACAAGAAAGAGGTATGAAATGCGTCTCACATGTCGTCACAAGTCTCGCTAACTCATGCACTAGATTACATGGTCCATTGCTTCGCACGTTCAGAGGGCATCGCTGCCGTAGCCATAACCAAGGATTATCCTAGTCCCGCTGCCCAGGCTTTCCTCTCCGAGGTCCTCGATGACTTCCTTGTCCAAAATGGGGCTGCAACGGACTGTCATGAAAACAGGGAAGGCACAATAGACTTCCCACTCGAGCATTATCTGCAGAGATTTCAAGACCCCGAGGAAGACACTATTGTTACTCTGCAGAAACAGCTTGACGATACGAAGGGCATATTGCACAAGACCATTGAGAGTGTGAGTACTTCATCAGGCGGCTTTTGACTTCATCTTTCCTTTTCCATGAAACACCGCTAACCAGCAATTGTCAGATGCTTGAAAGGGGAACGAAGCTTGATGATCTAGTGGCTAAGAGTTCGGATCTCAGTGCTCAAAGCAAGTTCTTTTACAAAAACGCCAAACGGCAAAACTCTTGCTGTTAAATAGCTGAACTCTACCGAAACAATATCAAGGGTCAATCATATTGAACTAGATGCGTAGAAAGGGCAGACGATGGTTGAGGCATATGACTAAGTTCATGTCTTCGTATGCCGCTTACTGTTACTGAATTTGGGCGAATAACAAAATGCGTCGTCGAAATAGACCGAAAGCGGTGGTATCGTACGTGCAAGTAGTATCCGTGGGCTAAGGAAACTGTTTACGCAAGTACAACTCTCTCTATTTCTGTCACGGCAGTGCATTAGGTTTACAGAAGGTCCGGTGAGACACCGAACAGTGTCCGCTATATAATCCCCATCTTGTCCCTTGATTCAGTCTCTCCATGAATTGAACCATACGTTTGGACTTCTGATTATACCTGACCTCACAATCCCTTTGACACACACCGTGGCCGGTATTCAAATTCTGTAAACCCTCAACCTCAGGACAGCCCGTTGCTTCCATGACGGCCACCAAATCGTTTCTCAAAGCTCCGCGATACAGGCCGCGGGAGACTTCAAGTGGGCCAGTGTAGCCATGAACCTCTTTCGCGCCATTTCCAAAGTACTTTTCTTGCTATTTGTACTTGTAGCGGTGACTGTTATCTCACCGAACTACTTTGAGATCGACATATTTTCTTTAGATAGGGCTTGAGGTCGTTGGAGGACCATCCAGGAGCATTCCACGCGTCATAATCAGACTCCTGAGCGCGAGTGTATAGCAGTCCATTCACCGAAGAGTCTCCTCCAAGTATACCACCTGCCGATGCCCAGGCCTGTCGATTCGCCAGCTGCTCTTATGCGCGGCCCATATAACGTGAAAATGTACTACTACCAGGGACCAAATTGGCTCGGAACAGGGCAGGATGAATGATCTGTAGCTTTTTTAAATTGTTTTGGCCACTCTCGATCACGAAAATAGTTAGGTTGGGGTCTGCCTCAGCTAGCTTCAACGCAACAACGCAACGTGCTGTGCCACCTACAAGGTTAAAAGTCACATTAGCAACTGCTCTCAATGCCGAGTCTGAATATCATCCCTTCTTGTTATTTTTGACCGAATCTTGTCGTCAGCACATACCTCCAGCAATGATGGCATCTACCTTACGAGACTCTTCTGGCAGTGTCTGGTAGAAACCCATCCTGAGTTAAACTTGTTCGGGTACTCTGTCCTACTGAAATGACCGTAATAAAACAATATTGAAAATTGTTAGCCTATCTTCCCAAGAAAGCGATATAAATGATGAATCAAATTCGACGCTTCTAGAGTAGTCAGAAATATGTGTCGTCTTTAACTGGGAACAAGTGTTGAGATGGGACGCTGTTTTAAACCCGTCCCTTTATCGCCCCTACTTCGGCAAAAGACAATTACCAACAGAGATCATTCGCGAAAGGCACGAACCAGGACAGAACCAGTACAGAGGGCGGACATGGTGGGCAACCCGACAATTGGTGCGTTCTCAGCCTTCTAGCACGCCGCTGTCAATACGTCCAATGATGTCTCGTATAGCGGGATACCATGCTGCAGAGGAAGATTAGGGATCAATTTAACAGTGACGGACTGCATGTAGAGCCAACACAACAAAGGCATGAGATGCAGTCCCTTACTACTTCGAGCTGGCCACAATGACAATTCCCCGGCCAAGAGTTAAGGAGCCGTACCTGCGTCATGAATTGCTGCGATGTAGTTATACGCTTAATACCCTAGGTTACCGTCCCAGTCATGTTCTCTGCTGCAAGGAAGTTTCGTGCAGCAGGTCTTCAAATGTTGAGATTGAGTTCCTCCTGCATCAAACATCCGTGTCATTGAATTTACCACTGACAATTTGAAAACAACTTTTCAAAATTGGAATGTCCTGTGCAGGGAGGCTCAAAGATTGGTATAGTTCATCTCGTAAGGTATCCAGTCCTATCCGTAGCACAACACAGTCGACAATTATTCTTCTGCAAGACCCAAGTTTCTTTTGCTAAGTGGATCGTACCGCAAACAGCCAACAATCTCACATAGGCGCATATATTTCTTGCCCTAGGTATTTTCAGAGGAAAATATTATGACATGATTGAATAACAACCGTGAAGCGATCCGCGACACTACCCTTTCATGAGGTACACCTACCGTAATAACGCTAGCCCGGAGCCCCACCTCTGCGGGATTCATTATCCAGAGGCGCCTGAGCCACCATAATTAGAACACCTCAATAGGGCGTATAAAGTCGGATAGTGGGATACCCTCAGGCACCTCTGACGTCGCGTCAATTCTCCCACTTCGTCACCTTCGATCACAATCGTGACTAACGCAGATATAAAATGGCTCAAAAGAATATAGTGCAAGGGAGTAACGGGCTTCTCCATCCAAGTAAGGCTACTATGAGAGCGCAACAGTATGTATCGTTCGCAGAGTCCAATATTATCAACGAGACTCACATGGAATGGCAGGTTCAATCCAAGTGATCAGAAGATGTACCTAAATGAGGTACCGATTCCCGAGCCTCAGCCACATGAACTTTTGGTCAAGATTCTTTGCGCTTCGCTTTGCCACTCAGATACCATGCTGTTCGATCCAAATGAGGCACTGCAAAGCACCAAGGACACGAAGCCAATCACTATGGGCCATGAGGCCAGTGGTTTGGTTGTCACTGTTGGATCTGACGTTACCGGCTTCAAAGAAGGTGACCCAGTTGGGTTCATTTGTGCCGAGAAGTCTTGCTTTGAGTGCTATGCGTGCAAGAATGTGTGAGTCGTCTGATTATCACCCGTTCCCTTTCCTGCATTGTCATACTCTATTAAGAGGTATTGATGAATTATCTAGTCACAACCTGTGGTGCGAGAAAGGCCAACAGCAAATGGCCGGCTTCGCGTGCGATGGATACTTCCAGGAGTATGCAACTGTAGACGCGCGGAATGCAATGATACTCCCTGCCAGTCTCTCGCCCTTAGATGCCGCACCCTTGTTTTGTGCTGGTGTTACAGCTTATCATGCGATTGATGACCTGAAGCTCGAGCCCGGCAAGTGGGTTGCTGTCATAGGTTGCGGTGGCCTTGGTCACCTTGGTTCGTCAACCCCCCCCCCCCCCTTTTTTCGGTGAGTGTGTGCAGAAGAACTGAACCCATTGTGGTAGGAATACAATATGCAAAAGCTATGGGCTACAATGTAATCGGGCTTGATATTGCCCAAGCAGCCCTGGAGGAAGCCGAGGCATCCGGAGCTGAGCACGTCTTCAACTCGATGACCGACACCGACTACGTACATAAAATTCTCGACATCACCAGTGGAGGGGTCCATGCTGCGGTGAACTTTACAGCTTCAGGCAAAGCATACGCTGCGACACCATCGATTATACGTCCCTGCGGGATTTTGATGGCGGTCGGTATTCCCAAAGAACCCATTCTAGTCAACGTCTTCGATATCGCTATGCATCGGTTTCAGATGCGAGGGTCAAATAATGGAACATGCTACAACAGTGAGTCCCTCACCTATCTGAGTATCGTGCATGCGTCTGAGCTTTAACAAAATCAATTCATTGGCCACTCTAGCGGAAGCAAAACTAATTGAATGCAAGTGAAACAAGCCATAGAATTCAGCGCGAAACATGGCATCAAGCCCACAATCGAGATCTACAGACTTGAGCAACTACCGGAGATGGTGGAAAAGATGACTACTCATAAAGCACGAGGTCGAATGGCGGTCCATTTTGATTAGTCTTGCATGTATCTGGATGGGCACGTCTCTCCGATACGGGTGGAATGTGTATTACATTGTGACTCAGAAACCCCATCAATGAATACTGCATGTTTCCTAGGGCATGTGGATGTTTATGTGAAGAAGTTTCTTGTTGCTCTTGCTTCTTGAGTTGTCTACTATAAAAGCCACATGGTTTGCTCCTCCGCTGACCTCCTTCTATCAGTCTACCCTTAAAATATAACTGCCAATTACATGGATTATCAGCAAGACCAAGGTCGGCCCAAGACCTTGTTTCCAACGGAGCGGGCGGATGATGGGGAGGATCTTGTCGGTGCCCTCTTATCCTTGGTCAGCAAGGCTTGAGCGTATATTAATGGCAACGTTCTTGAGACAGACGGTGGGAGGCTCGGAATAGATCCATCAGTCTATTGAACAGCTGCGCGCTTCCACCGGTCTCAATCGAAATAATTTTGGGGAACATCTGCGGAGGAAAGCCTTATTTGAGCTCTGTCTAGTGGATTGGCTTGATGTCTTGGCTCCTTCGTTCGCATCTGTGAATGCCAAGCTCGACCTGCCACATCGGTATCTAGTGTCAGCAAGTATTTCACGCAATTACTGGGATGAATCGCGTGAAGAGGCTGCCAATACCAGGCGGGCCAGAGTCCAAGGCACACTCCAGTGATGAATCGGGAATGCGGAATGCATATTACTACGTCTTGGCCGCATTGTACTCCGCGAAAGTTCAACCATCTCACATCTAGGTGGGGAGTTCGGCCAATCGCTTCGCCAGAAAAAATGACTTGGCATTTGCTAACCTCCCTTGCCCATGATGCACGCTGCGCTGTTCGCTCACGACAGCAGGTGCTATTATCGTCTATGTGATCTCATCTCATTACAACAGCTATATAAGTACATCCAAAACGGTCACTGATTTCTACAAGGTGACAAAGCCGTGCTCCATTACTTCTTGTTCATTGACTGTCCCTGAAATGAGGTCAATCGTCTTTACCTCGCTGTTCGCAGCGTTTGCGACTTGCACACCAACGGAGGTGGAGGCTGATGTCGTTTCGTACGATGGTTATAAGGTCTTTCGGGTGACAACACACGGGCAGACGGCATCTGTGCAGGAAACCCTGTCTGCACTACCGCATGACGAGTGGGCTCACGACATAGATCATGTCGATATTGCCATCTCTCCGGACCAGGTCGAGGCATTTACCGCCCTTGGACTAGACTACCATGTCATGCATGAGAACCTGGGTAACTCTATTGCGTTAGAAGCAGCCTCTACAACTTCCTGGAAGCGACAAGCAGATGATCCATCCTGGTTCAGCAGCTACCACAGTTACCAAGATCATATCGAGTATTTCGAAGACCTGCAAGCAACATTCCCAAACAACTCAGAGCTGATAACATCTGGAACATCATACCAAAACAGGACTATTTACGGGCTTCATCTATATGGCGATGGTGGCCCTGGAAAGCCAGCAGTACTATACCATGGAACTGTCCATGCTCGAGAGTGGATTGCAGCACCAGTACGTTTAGAGCTCAGGACCAAACAGAATTGATAGTTAACAGTATTAGGTTGTCGAGTACATAACTCTACAATTGCTACAAGGCTACGAAACCGGCGACACGAAGACCTTCCTGGACAAGTACGACTTCTATGTCTTCCCCATTGTGAACCCAGACGGTATGAGCACCCAATTTGGTGCGGTTTTTTAGCTAATGTACGCCAGGTTTCGTATACTCTCAGACGACTAATAGACTCTGGCGAAAGAACCGCCAGCCACCGCCTGCAGGCCAGACCTGTATCGGCCGTGACATTAACAGGAATTGGGAATTTGCTTGGAACGCCAATGGGCAGGGTGCTTCTACCAATCCTTGCTCGGAGACGTACAAGGGGGTCAAGCCATCAGATGCCCCGGAGAATGCCAGTCTGGATGGCTTCCTTCGCAAACTCCGTGACAGTGTCGGAATAAAACTGTATATTGATTGGCACAGTTATGGTCAGGTGAGTCATAAATTTTCATTCGGCGCTTCTCGTTGTGGCCATTGGCTTCCTAGTGAAGGGCGGTCATGCTTTGGAGAGGACTAAGAAAGAGAGAAGTTTCGGCATCAATTGAACGATGCTGCTGAAATTTTGACTAACTCTTGATGCTGTAGTACATCCTATCACCGTACGGATACAGTGAAGACGTGCTTGCTCCCGAGCTCAGCAAGTGGACCGCAACCTCCTCTCAAGTGAGTAACGCTATTCGCGATAGCTCCTCAAGGCGCACAACTTTCACCTACGGACCAAGCGGTGCCACTCTCTACATTACCACTGGCTCTGCACCTGACCACGTCTACTCAATTGGTGGTGCCGACTACTCCTATACAATTGAGCTACCGGACACGGGCGATTACGGCTTCGTTTTGCCCCCGGCACAGATTCGACCCACTGCTGAGGAACTGTGGGCAGGACAGAAGGTTCTCCTCGGTCTTTTGGAGCAGTAGTTCTTCTATGGTGATGAGACAGCAATGTAGTCAGTTCTTTAAGTTACTGAGATGTCTCGTAAGGCTATGAACCAGAGGCTCCGACGTCACAGACATTATGGATAGTATCTACAAGTTAATGATACCTGCATGATGCGCGGCCAGAGATGCACAAAGTCAAACGCGGGTTCGAGCTTTATGGGAGCGAAAGTATCCGTAGGCGACTGAGTTACATCAGCTTCTTGGTTGGTTTCATAAGTGCAACCTCAATTTGAAAATATTCCACCTCGCTGTCCAATGCGTAGATATTTACCGGTATTAAGAGACCATCTGACTTCGGTAACTAGTGTGCAAAAGCGAAATATAATGTGATCGTATGATTACAGAGATCCTTGAACTGAAGATGCTGCGGGTATTCATCAATGAACCTCCTTATCACATCAATCTGTTCCAACGTATCTCGCACGACCCACTATTGTATGTTAGCTTCTTTCTATTATCTTGCTTCTTTTGTCGTGGTTATGTAGACTCAATTGGACTTGTAATCACTCGATAATCCCCTTACTGAAGCATCCTCAAAATGCTGCTGTTGCACATCGCAATCCACGTATACACTCCAGAACTGGCCGCCAACTATCCCTTGTCTCATCCGATGTATGTCCGTATGTCCGAGCAGCCTCGTAAAATCGACATTGGCGTTATATATGCGGTTTTTCAGCTCGATGCGCAGCTGCCAGGGCAAATCGTTATGACCGTCAATCAACCTACGCCAAGGAATTAGCATGACTTCAACGCAATGTTCACAATTGTCATGCGGTGTGTTCTTGAGGACTCTTCTTGTGCGCTCGGCGAAGTCACTCGGGTCTATCGGGGGTCTGGCCCGGCCTCAAGAATGCCAAAGGACTCAGGAGCAGAGCAAACCCAGCGGCCAGTAGAGGGTTACGGAACCGCGAAAAGAAGTCAAAGTCGGATGACTGGGGATGCAACACCAACGACGCCTGTGTAGTTCTCGAGTTATCAGCCTCGCTTGAATCCAATGGCTCGCCACCATCACTCCCTCGCTGGGGTGTGATGACAACATCTCGCCGTTCGTCTATCATTACTGTGAACCTTTGTTGTGGGGAGGAATCGCAGAAAGTTTCCAAAAGAAGAACAAGATGTGGCCGCCAGTCTACGGTTCGAGATATCTTCGTTGGGATATAGTGCCCAGGACGCAGTGCTTCCGGGTGTAGACATACATATGCGGGGCAAATTGTCCTACGTGCCTGGGGCGTATGGTCTTGCGCCAGCGAACAAAGTCGTGAGCGCTTATCGCAGCTGCCAGGCGACGAGAGAACCAATGGCATAGCCCAACGATAGTGTGACGCCGTATTCGCATATCCGCAACATAGCACGGCCGTGTGGATGTGGTCTTGCTGAAATACACAACCAATTGGATACCAAGCTCCGCTAAGTTCATTGCAATTGCTTGTATCGACCAATGCAGAGCTTTTTCAGTCCACGAAGGTGAAGTTTGCTGATTAGACTGAGGCCTGTGTGAAATGGATCTGCTGCAGCTACCTTACGGGGTCCTTTCAGGATTCGGAATTGCACTATGGTCGATTGAGTCAAGATCAAGTAATCATACATTGTTGCAATTGGCCGGTGACAGGTATGCAATGTCTAGCATTCCCGGGCAAAAGTCATACCGCGCCAAGGAATCCTGGTGCGTCGTATATAATCACCAGGAACGCTCGGACTATAGCACATTTCCGTCAGCGTTGTTACTAAATCACCCGCTTGCTTAGAAATTGATTTTATGTCGCCAAGATTCCTTGCATGGGTGAAATTCACGTCATTTAGGAAATCGATACCTCATATGACCAATAGAGTTCCCTGGCTCATTGTAATGTCGTAGGGCTTAGCGCCGTGGTTGGCTCGTCGACATAGAGTTTTCAACAGGTATCCAAATGAATTAAGTCATAGTTTTTCCTTCTCGGCCTCCGACAATGACCGACCATGAAGGCCGAATGCCTAGCTCAGCCAAACAGTGAGAGCCATGATACAGCTACTTAAGACCAGAGATAGCCGACGATAGTCACAGACCGAATCTCAGGAGTTCATCTCAACCAAGGACACGATGTACAACTTTCAAATTTTGGCAATAGCTAGCCTCGTTGCTTTTGCAGGCGTGAGTAGTTCGCAGTCAGTAGTTATTTAGCGGCTAACAGTTCACAGTATGTTTATTGCACTCTCAAAGGCCCACTTGCTAGACTCCCTGGACCATGGTATTCCAACTGGACCGATCTGGTGAGGATATACTATGTTTTGTCAGGAAAAGGCCCTTCATATGTTCAATCACTCCATGAGAAATATGGTCAGTCGCCCCGTTCCCGGTTTACCCATACCGGTCACGAACATTTGCATAGGTCCACTAGTCCGCGTTAGTCCTCACAGTGTCGACGTCTCCGACATCACCGCAGCCCGTACCGTCCATAACATCAAGAATGAGTTTCCCAAATCATCCTGGTACTATTCTTTCAACTCGGGAGAGAATCTCTTCACCACTACCGATATCCCATATCATCGACGGCACAGGAGACTTCTGTCAGGACCTCTTTCTGAGACAGGGCTTAAAGCAATGATCCCGGTGATCGACGGGAAGATCCAGTTGACCATCCAAAGAATGAAGCAAGAGATGGAAAGCAGAGGGGCCGTGGATATCTTGAAATGGTGGCTGTTTTTGACTACTGATGTGATCGGTCAGCTGACCTTCGGAGACTCGTTCAACATGCTCGAGACTGGCGAGGTTTGCGTCTACCAATACTTTTAACTTGAGATCACGGCTACTAATGCGCCCAATAGAAAAACCAATACATCCAAGATCTCGAAGATTTGGCGGCATCGTCAGGGCTCAGAATGGCGTTCCCAAAGCTTTCGCTGCTGGCTGGATACTTGCACATCCCGGGCCTCCAGAATGCCGAGGTGAACACCAAACGCCTCGTCGCCTACTCCGAGGAGTCGCTTGAGAGGCACCGAAAACTCGTGGAGCGTGACCCAGAAAACTTCCCGGCCACGCTGTTCTCCAAGCTCTACAAAGCCGGCGAGGAGGGCCTGTCGCCGGCTGAGCTCCGCGACGAAGCCCAGGCCTACATCATCGCGGGCAGCGACACGACGTCTAACACGTTGACATACTTGGTCTGGTCTGTTTGCCGGAGTCCCATAATTAAGACGAAGCTCGTGGACGAGCTCTTGACCGTGCCCCCGAACTTTGCCTACGACGACATCCGCGACCTACCGTATCTCAACATGGTCATCGAAGAGACGCTGCGGCTCTACTCGGCCGCTCCCGCAGGACTCCCACGCATCGTGCCGCCCGGAGGTGCCGACCTCGCCGGCCATCATCTGCCCGCTGGATCGACCGTATCGACGCAGGCCTACAGCTTGCACCGGGACCCGAACGTCTTCCCCCGAGCAGAGGAGTTTATCCCCGAGAGGTGGGAAACGCCGACAAAGGGCATGAAGGATGCCTTTATGCCATTCGGCGGAGGCAGCCGAGGTATGTGGATGTGCCTGAGCAAACTTCTGCGCGCTTGACTAACAGGACCGTAGTGTGTATTGGCCTGCACTTGGCCCGGATGCAGCTACGTCTGGGAACAGCACGGTTCTTCCACACTTTTCCACGGGCTGAGGTGTCTGGGTTGGAGAAGATGAGCGATGAGGAAATGACGCCGAAGCTTTACTTCCTGATACGGCCCCAGCAGAACCGCTGCTTGATCCGAGCCTGGTAGTTCGGGTTTCAGATTGGACTATATAGTCGAAATGAAAAGGGCCACATGGCATGAATATAGATCCTCTCTGCCTTTCATACATGAACTGTCTGTTCATGCGTGAATTGTGTAGAGTGGCCTACTATCAGTGCGACAACCTTACTCGTCGTGACGTTTAAGATGATCATTATCCTGAGTCCTAAATTGAGGATGGAAGCTGGGTGAAAGCGCTGGCTTAGCGGATCTATGACTGAGAGATTGCATGCGTACCATGAATTGAGATTGGCAACATGGACTGAATTGAGCTCATGCTATGTGGTGACTATGTACTTATCCCTTATGCTGGACGACGTATACATGAGCCCTACGATATTTAAGGCATTCTGGTGTGATTCAAAGATCAACGGACGTGAGATTCAGAAGCAACAGAAGTAGACTCGGAGAAGCGACGCAAGTCTTTTGCGGCGTGGATTGATGTACGTACCTCGCGTTCAAAGCGTCACTTAATCCAGTCTTCTAGAATCGACGTCTTGTCAGCCGTACACAACCAAGACAACAAAAGGTGAAGGTGGAGGGGGGTGGATGCATGGTAAAAGTCCTATGAAAGAAGGCCGCCAACTCCATATCTCGTAACATGAATCTGGGTGTGTCTGTCAGGGCTTGTCGCCATCTGATCTGGTATCCATAACTAATGCCATTCCATGATAATTCCACGAACAAATGCAACAGAAATGCCCACGCCGCCATGCTATCTATGTAATCAAACTCTTCTGGAGCGAGCAATCGTCATCGCCTTGGCAAGGCTACCTCTACAACTCCATGTCACCTCCCATCTGAAATGCTCCGTACTGGTTCTCCATCGCTTGCTGTTGTCTGGTCCAGTCGCTGTTGTAAACCGGATCGGTAGCTGGCCGGTAGGTAGGGCCTCCTACTGCTGAGCCGAAATGAGAATAGACATTCTTAGGTCTGTTCATGGCTTCCTCCTGTTGGCGTCTTACAGACTCCTCATACTCCCGGCGTGCCATCTCTTCATACCCTGACATCATGTATGGCTCCATGTAGGAAATGGTACCGGACCACTCGCCCTGGCCGGTTTGGACGGGGGTCAGGGGTGTGCCATCCATGCTCATCTGGTGTTGCTTCTGAGCATCCTCCTCAAGTTTGCGCTCGTACCGAAGCTGGGCAAGCATCTCCTCCTGCTCGACCGATGTGTTGGACCATGCCGAAGCTAGGTTCTCTTGCGGGTTGGAGGGAGGGCATATGCGCCAGAGCTCAATCAGCCGTAGTTTCTGGCCTTCTTCTGCGGTCTTGAAGAGCTCCATCTGAGACGACGACAGGGCTGCAGGGTCTACGCCATGATGGGTAAGGATGAGTTCTGCCGAGGGTTGTTGAGTTTGCGGGGGCTCTGAAGAAGGCCTCTCCCGCTCGACAACAGGCTCGGGCTCGTTTAAGATGTGAGCAGAGTGAGTATAGTGCTGGGAGATGGAGTAAGTAATCGGCTCCGGCTCCGGCTCCGGCTTCGGCTCCTCCCTGGACTGGATGGGTTGCTGTTGAAGAACCAGGTTGCGCGAGAACAGAGCGGCAAGGTCTTCATGTGTCATGTTGGGCTGATCGTTCATAGCCATCTGGGGCGTATAAGGACATGTTAGGGGAGCAATTAGTTGGCGATGTCACATACCTTGAAACAGTAGCACCCCAAGGTATACTTGGTTGACGAGAACTCGGCGAGGTCGCTGCTTTCCTGCTTTCCTCGATGCCTTGAAATCTGCCTTGTGTTTTCTTCGGGTGCAAGCTTCGTCCGAGAGAGAAATGGGGAAGGTCAGAAGTGCGAACGGAGAGGGGGAGCGACTGGTTCGGAGATAGGTCTTCGGTAAAGCCAACAGCTGTATCAATTCTGTTTTATATTGACTATGCTATGTACTGCAAAGGCACTAGAGAGGCAGTAGACCGTGGAGAGAGAGGAGAAGACAAAGAGGAAGAGAGCGATATTTCGCCTTTTGTCCTTGGGACTTGGGCACAAGAAGCGGTGGACGGTGGACGCGGTATCGTGTCGTGTCGTGGGGATCAGACCTGGCCAGAACAACTCCGAGATGAGTCCGCAGGGAGGGGTTGACAAAGCCGGAGAAGGTCCCTGGTGCCTGAAGAGATGGAGATCAAGAACAAAGCGCCAGGCAGAAGATCGGTACCGTGGTCAAGTATAAGGACCGGTCCGTAGCACGTGGGAGAGAGCGGACAAGGTGAAGTCAACGGCAAACAGTCAACAAGTCGGAAAGCCAGATACTGCTGAACAGAAAGGGGGCTTTAGGAGTTTATGACGACAATCTTGGAGATGGAGGGGTAATTTCACCCCTTCGCGGCAGGGGGCCCTGACATGGCCTGTACTCAGTGTGCTGGAGGTTAGCAAGAGCGCTAACGGCCCCTGCACCGACGGGCTGGGTCGAAATGCAGGCTCGCGTTGGCGCCCAAATTTCCCTTTAGAGCCTAAAGTGTGTGCTAGACGAGTATCGATCATGCATTACAGCCTGTCAGCCTGTCAGGTGCCGCTCGAGTTCCCCAACCGTTTCAGTCTCGGCCATCGCTCGACCGTGTCTTGACAAAGATCGTCAATATTACTTCTCGTCAGGTGAGACGGCAAGAGAGCATCGGCATGCACGTACGCTCGACACGGCGGCATGGCTTGTGCAGGGCCAGCATTCCCGACCAAGTGATCACATATCTTCCTAAGGACCTGGTCTCAAGGGGTTTTTATTTGCTTGTACATGGTTCGCTTATGGCTATCGTGCTAGCCCTGCTTTCGAACAGTTCGTGCCAGTCTATCTAGGGACACTTGATGAGTTGGCCATCTAGGATGGAGCAAGCAAGGGACTGGCTTCTAAATATGCAACAAGCCTTACTCTGCTGTGGTTTGTTCTTGATCCAGTGCACCCGTGCGTCTTTTCTGCTCGCGGAACGTGTCACAGCTGGAAACAATCTCATTTCCCCTTCTTACGGTGTGTCTATATGCAGGCTATATCATCGAAAAGGCAACGTATAAGCCAAGATGCACTAAGATGCACTTGACTTGAAATTATCTCGGCCTCTGGCTCCGCGCACGATTAACGCTTCTTGTTCCGCTTCTTGGCCTTGCCGCCACTTTGGTTCTTACTCCCGGTCGCCTTAGCAAGGTCCTCAACACTCTTGGACGTGTCAAGAAGCTCGAAGTCATCGTTGGAGTCCGTGGTGCTGGGAGTGCGTTGCGGCACGTCTGAATCTGTGTCAACGAGTTCTTCGACGGCTTCCTCGGTCTCATTCTCTTCGAGCTCATCGGCAGGCTGCTTCTTTCCCAATACGCGGCGGAAGGCCCAGATGGGCAGTTTGAACAGTGCGGTATCCCGAATAGTCGGCATTGGGAGTTCGTTGGGCTGTGTGTCAATGTCAGCTTACAAGATCATGATGTGCCACGCGAATTATATGGAGAACTCACGTCAAGCAGAAACTCGTGCGTGTTTCCTTCCTCGTCCTCCTGCTCGAGGTAGACATCGCCCAAGGAGTCCACAACCAGGACCTTGCCGTTCTCGGCTACGACCCTTTTCTTCGCACCTGTAGGTCCTGAGCCGTTACCGGGCTGAGTTTGAGGGACTGGAGTCGCACTGCCACTGGCAGACTTGCCTCCACGGCCGCGGCCATTACGCTTGCCCTCCTTTGCGTTCTCCTTTTTGGCCTCGCGCTCTTGGAGACGTCTTTGCTTGCGGTTGGTGGGTATCATAGGGGCCTGCTCATCGTCGGCCTGCGGCGGAGGGGGAGGGGGAGCAGTGGCTGGGGCACCGGTCTCGACGCCGGGGATGCCCATGTTCTCACCCCAAGCAGCGTGGCGGGCAAACTTGATGTAACGCTCGACAAACTCGCGCTGACGCTTCCAACCCATGTAGAGCGCCACGTAATGGAAGGCGCCGCCTCCTGCGATGAAGCATCCAATAAGCACAGTTCCGAGGCCAGGTCTGTATCGACTGTAGTAGTAACCCGTTCCCTTCCATGTCGGGAAGCCGTTTGCCAGAAAATGGTCGTATCGTGCGCGCTCTGGCCCGGTCAGAATGTTCGCGATAACACCGAGGCGTGTCTGCTTCTCGCCGGCCTCCTTGATGGCGGCCTTGATCTCGGACGAAGTTGGGGGCTTCGTGACGGTCACGCCCGGCTTCTTCTTATTGCTCTTGTCCTTGGCAGCGCGGCGGGCTTGCAGCTGCTGCTTGACCTTGTCGGGGTGCAGAGTCTTGGACTTCTTGCGGTAGGCGCGCTTGATCTCCTCTTGCGAGGCCGAGGCCGTAACACCCACGAAATCGTAGAAGGTGACATTGGCGCCCTCGTGGGCAACCAGTTCGTCGCGGACGCGGAAGATCTCATGATCTGTCCGTGATACTCGTTAGCACCGTGCGATTGACGGGGAGTCTATCTGGGGGCACAACTGACCTTCCTTGGACCAGGCAGACGAAAGGGGCGTGAGAAGAGCCAGGAGGCCGATGGAGAGGGTTGAGAACCTCATGATGGACAGCGGCTCCCACGTCGCATGAATCGATGCAGGGACGGAAGAATAGGCGAAGCTCGAATCGCGGGGATCTGGAGATCTTAGCAGCCTGATTGTCAGGCCAGCCGAAGGGATCAACACAGACGCAGTGAACCGTGGCTTGCTACGGAAAACGTGAGATGCATGTGTTTTCGCCAGCAACTTTTTTTTCCCCAGGCCCTTGTTGTCTGGGCTCTTAAGTGCAAGGTGTCGAATTGACAGTGGACGGGACTTGCCGCTGAAACGCTACCGAGGACTTGACTTAGGGGGAGAGACCCCTTGGGGACTGGCGCATTGGCGAGTGTTAAGCCTTTGCAGGACGCCCCCCGCATTTCCATAACATCGATTGTAGACAGGGGTTCCTGTGTTTACGGGGCCAGGCCTCCGCTCAATATAAGGTTACACAATGTCCGAGTCATCGTCAACTTATATGGCTGGCTGTGGAATATCTACAAGCCGGCAAATGCTCGAGTGCGCTGGGACAGCGACGACTCCCGCCCCAAATACCAAATGTGTGCCTATCTACTGCTCAGACTTATGATCGGCCAATGCCTGCCTCAGGAGCTGCTCGTTCCGAGGAACGCAGAGAATTCTATAACGGTTGGGTGACATGATGAGGTCTCGAGGGTTTCTCATCGCCGTTCGCGGGTTTGTATCCACCTGCCCATGGATCTCCAAGCGGAAGCTGCTCAGGAGTCTCATGAACACAAGATATAGCTCCCGTGCCGCGAGGAGATGTCCTGAACACATTCGATACCCCAGGCCAAAGGTGAACACGGGGGCGTCGGGTTTCTCACTCCATCGCTCGGGGCGGAACACTTCTGGATCTGACCATAGTTCACGATCTATTTACGCCGTCAGCTTCAAATGTTTTCGCGCCAGAGATAGTGCCTTACCATGATTGCAGGCCATGGCGTTCATGTAAAATGTGGTTCCCTCGGGGATGAGAACGCCGTCGTACTCGATATCCCTGATTGACTTTCTCGGCAAGTTGAGGGGGATCACGGTAAAGTACCTCAACGCCTCTTTGGCCAGGCTGTTAATGTACACACATTTTTGGTCATCCGATGCGTCACACAGAGGATTGTCCGATCCTTGAAACTCGCAAATGGCCTTGAATGCCTGGTCCTGGATCTCGGGATGCTGAGCCAAAAAGGCCATGCTGTACTGGACGGTGCTGGAGACGGTCTCGAACCCACCTCCTAGAACAGTCAGACTGAGCGAGATCAGTTCGGCATCAGATAGAGTCTCCTCCTTGTAACTAATGACGTTGGCCTGTATACAAGGCTTGTTGGTCCCCATAGCTACCTTCTCTGCCAGCTCGTCGTTCAGAGTGCGAAGGTAATGGTCGCGACGGTCGCGCATCTCTCGCGCCTTTGCCGACGTCTTGTTCACGGGATTCAGTCGCAGGAGGGGGATATAGTCCTGGAGGTTTCCCGTTGTGGACCGGAACCTGTTGAGTTCTTCTTCAACTTCTACAATTTCCTTGAACAACTTGGACTTGTGCGAAGGCACACGGACACCCCAGTTGATCGTCATGGCGAGTGACAACGAGAGTCTTTGAATCATTGGCAGGGGGTCTATGGCGACCTTGCCTGCTTCACCATAATTCATAAGGTCCTCGACGAATGTCTTTGACTCCATATCAAGGTACGGAACATACGACTGGATTGCCGGCCTGTTGACCGCTACGGCAAGTCCCTTCTTTCGACGCTTTAATGAGTCATCGTAGGGCGATGTGCCGATAGTCAGCCCAGCGGTATTAGATGCGACCTTTTGGAATTTAGCGTGCAAGTCATTCCAGTGGCCACAATACATCACTTGCCTTGTGGAACGTATATGCCGTGGGACGCGAGCTCAACGCCTGAGAATGAGAGGTCCACAGAGTCTTTGCTGCGGCTGCACTGTTTACTACCACGACTGGCACGTTGCCCATCTGGACCTGATACACATCTCCGTACACCTGGGCCCATTTTTCGTACTGGCTCGCAGCATTGCTCCAGATATCCCACAGATTTCCGATTATAGGTAATCCTCGAGGTCCTGGCATTCCCCGGACTTTGGCCCGACTGCGGACGACCTCATTGCTGATGAGGTAGGCAATGAGAGCGACTAAAACAGACAAAAGGGTTGTCTTTCCAAAATGTTGTGCCGAGTATTGGCCTGCAGTAAGGACGAGGGCCTCGATGGCCATGCTGATATGTGCGCCTCAAGTGTACCAGTAATTGAGGTATGTGCTGGATGAAGTGGGAGGTTCCCCTCGCCGGTTCGCTGCGGCTCAAATTCTATGGTAAGTTGGAGAAGATGGGATCAGTCAAAAAACCAGTGCTGGTAGGATCGGGCCATGGTGAGAAGGCCAATATGCCACTTGCATGCCGCGACCTGCAGTGTAACTGGGGGCAAGGAGCGAAACGCGAGGCGCTGATCCCCTAATCCACACCAAAGAATTACTCACTGAAATCTTCCAAGAGGATTGGTCAAGAGACATGGCCAGCCTGGAATTACAGCCATTTGCTCAGTTCGCTTGATGGGTGTATGAAGGTCATTGGTCACAACCTGGTAGTCAAGCTCTTGGATATTTGCGGGGAACATAACCTACATTGAACCTAAAAGGCAGTCCAGGTCGGCATTTGTTGTAGAGCAATGATACCAATGATACTATGTAAACCGATGATTCCCACATAGTGCCTACTGTATTGGTATAAGTACTGCACTGGTATAGAAAAGTATGGTCTGTTTCCATCTCGGCTTTCTCATGTAAAGGCCGTGGCAGCCATTCGACCACACTAGGCCACCTTGACCTCGTCCACATGCCAGCGCATGATGAACTTATGAGTCTTATCAAACAGGTCTGGAAAGTCACTTCGACGAGATGATTTTGCAGATGGCGGCTATGAATGTCTCGAACCATTACAGTAGCACTACCTTGCACGATCGATCTAACTCTGAATACCATACTTAGCGAGTTCAAGTCTGGGTCCTTGATGTTGGCACCCAAGAACCGACTTGCTTACCGCCGTGTAAAGCACACTCGCCATCATTGATGGCTGCTGTTTCCTACCTTTCGAATTTTTGTCGATGTCACTGTCCCTATGGACGAGAATTGCAAAGCGCTCTTTAACCTTGCCTGGGATGCGAGGAGCGAATCTGCATCCTACAGCTCAGCTCCGACCACCCGCTCCACTGCGGCTTTGAAGGCAACAATCGGGAGTCACGAAATCATGTCCTCCGAGTACATGAACCTCCTGATACTGCTAGGGCGAAGCAGGAACATGTCTGTAAGGGTTGTCAAGCTTGAACCGCTGCTTTGCTATATAACTTTCACCAATAAATAAACAAAAGAAAAAAAAAGAAAAAAGTGCTTTGAGGGACACATCAGCTTGATACTGCCATACTTGGTGATCTCGGTCAAATCCAATTACTCAGAATAGACTGTGTAGCCAATGGTATATCGCTGATCACAACTTCCGATCAGGCCGGTATAGAACGTCTCTCCATCGTTGGACAATCCAATCGGAAGCGTGGAGGTAACCCGATTTCTTCAGGTTCTGACGATCGGGGCTCTGGCGGTCAGGGCAAGTCCTGCTTCGTTGTCGAATCAGGCATTAACCAATGAGCTCTGATACAAGTGGGCAAGAAGAATACGGAGTCTCCACGCCTTGACACTTGACAACGCCGAAGTGTACGAGTTTGCAAAGGACTAGCTCATTTTAAATGGAGATTCTGGTCCCAATGGAGACCTGTCGTGATACCACCCGCATACGTGGGATCGATGGTAAGCCAGTTGGACACAGCAGGGCGTCATGACGAGGGAGGGCGCTGGGTAGGAATGCTTCTGGCCCGTGCGTTCCGGACGTTAGGGCGGTGACTTGTCCGTCGCTGACAGCCTTGGTCCTTGCCGAAGCGACGCAACTTCCAAGGACACCGCTGGGTCTGCAGTAGCGGCAGAGGGCTAGCTCACCTGTAGAAAACTCTGCCTGAGCCCAACGTCGCAGGCCGGGCTCTTTTTCCTGTTCTCATGCTGCTCGCAACCACCGGGTTTGGTTGTTTGTTTGTGGAATAAGCTGGGGAAGTTGCCGTCGTCGTGTCGAGTCGGAGGCACAGAGCGGAAGAAGCTGTGTGTCCAAAGGTGTGTGTGTCCACCATCCAGCCCAGTGTACGTCTTCACATGAGCCACACGACCACTGCCACACACACACCCACTCACACTGCCACAGCAATCGATTATTGTACGAGAGCCGGCAAGACTCGTACGCCAGGGGTGCCAAAGTTAGCGCCAAGTCGCCGTGCGACCCCCCTGGGTCCTGGCTCAGAAGTTGAAACGTGGGTATTTCTCAATCCAATCCAAACAGATCTCCCATCGCGAAGAAAATCGTCATCTGCTTCGGCTTCACTCTCCGGCTCTTGCTCACGCAACCCATATTCGCTCGGCTCTCTCTTTCCCTCCTCAATCACACCTCAACTCGTTTGGCTGCAAGGCTCACAATCAGTTCCACAGTTCACGAGCATTCATTTGCCTGGTCGGAAAGAGCAGTACGTAAGCTGTCTAGTCTTCGCCCCTTTCTTCTTTTGTGGCTTGTCTCGTAATCGCCCAAAATTTTGTCTGGAAAGGACGGCTCGGTTTTAACTTTGGCTCTTCATGACAGATCTCCCTCTCGACAAACAACACACCCATTTCGATTCCTGAGCGCCAGGACATAAAACCAGGCTTCAGACAGCCATCTCGCGCATTCCACCTCAGCCGCATTCTTTCAGGCACATCCCCAGCTGTCCTCTCGCCAATTCGCGGCAAGTCACGTCGGACACGAAACCCACCGCTCAACCGCGCGCAACCCCCTCTCACGTCACAATGGCTCGCATACAGATCCCTCTCGACGTCCTGACGTCGCGCCTCAACATCTCGGATCGCTTCGATGGCTTCCGCAACACGTCTCTGTCAAGCAGGTTCTCCAACCTGAGACCCGTTGGCGAGTTCCTCGACTTCAAGCGCCTCTCCAAGCCTGCCAACTTCTCCGAGATGCAGTCGCGCGTCAACTACAACCTTGGACAGTTCTCCAGCAATTACGTTCTCGTGTTCTTCGTCTTGAGCATCTACGCTCTCGTTACGAGCCCGCTCCTGCTCTTCGACATCGTCCTGCTCGTTGCCGGTCTTTGGCTTCTCGGTCGCCTCAACGGCCAGGACCTTGTCATTGGAACCTTCCGCGCCACTTCTTCGCAGCTCTACACCGGTCTGTTCGTCACTGTTGCCATTCTTGGTCTCATTGCCCCGACTTTCAGCACCGTTCTCTGGCTGCTTGGTGCCAGCGGCGTCGTCATCATTGGCCACGCTGCGCTTATGGATAAGCCCATCGATGAGGCTTTTTCTGGGGAGGCGGTCTAGATGGTCGGCCGCGAGCTCCCAAACATGTGCCCCAATGGGGAAGACCATCGAGGCGCGGGCGGAGGAGTTGGGCGCCTGAAGAGGGGGTACACGAATTTTGGGCTTCGGGGCAAAGAGTTGTGGAGGAATTGGACAGCGACGACACGGACACGCAAGGCGTTGGTTTGGCGGCTTCTGGCAAAAGACGGTTTGTTAGTGACCCGTTACATTTCACAGGGGTAGATCTGAGCAGGGATGGCCGACAGCGAAGGGCCTATGGGTACGACAAAGAAGAGGAAGACGAATCCACGGAGGAGGATTCTGAGGAGAACTCCGAAAACGACACCGAAGACGATGACGATGGTGCATCCCGAGAGAAAGAGGACATTCTGGTGCAGTCAGCATTAGCAAGGATCCGACGAGCTCAGGACAAAGGCAAGCAGGATGTCAAGCTCAGCAAGGACGAACTCGCAGCACTTGAGCGGAGACGAAAGCGACTCGAGGCCGAGGCAAAAGCCCGGCAACGGAAGGCTTCTGGCAGCGAGAGGAAATCACGAAAGGAGCAACGGATTGCCGTTCCCCTTTCTCAGTTCGAGGTCCCTCCTTCTCGCACGAGAGCGGGCGCCTCTAGATCAGACGACGCCCTCCCACGCCATCCATCTCCGGCGACAGTCAACCACGGCCAAGCTCGTGGGCCCCCAATGGGTCTATTTCCGCCTCCTGCTGGCTCACGAAACCGACCTCGTTCGGCCACTTCGTCATCTCATCGTCCTCCCTACAGCCAAGGCAGCTCCTCTCCTTTTGAATACAACTATGTGCAGACACCTCCTAATCAAAGGCACGCGTCGGACTCATCAGCTCGAGCGTCTCCATCTCGCGCTCCTTACCCCCCGGACGACGATGTTGCAGACTGGCGGCCGTCCTCTTCATCTTCTCGCGATCCTCGGGATCCTTTCCGGTACCAAACAGCCGGTCCGCGCGCGCCGTACGTCTCTGGCGCTGCGGCCGCCAGGCGGAACGGGTCTGGACCCCCGGGATCGACATACAGCAATACGTCTCGTCGACAGGCTCCTGCTGCAGCTAGGAGCGGCAGCGACGAGACCAGTGAAGAGGGAGATGCAAGTTCGACAAGTGACGACCAGGGGAGTGGTGCTCACATCTCGCGCATGAGGACCCCCGAAGAAGCGGCTATCGTCGTCGAGGAGGCTCCCCCTTCTCCTGAGCCCGAGCGGCCCAAGAGCAAGAGGTCAGCCTCTAGGACTTCGCCTGCGAAGCGGAAACCCGTCGCAAGTGGTAATGGAAGGAGGCGCCGGAAGAACTAATCCTCTGTGGATCCGAACCCAACGAGTGTACCCGACCCTGTAATACCCATACTGATAGACTTATTTTTGTAATGCTGTATTTGATTTGCTTGATGTTTGTTGCTATCGCTATCATGTCATGTTCTGCTATTCATTTCTCCTCACACCCCCTCCCCATGGTGAATGGTGTAGTAGTATGGTGAGATGAGTGGCATTCCTTTCTTCCTTTCCGCCCCATCTTCTCGGGTCGGGCAGCATTGCCAAATTTGCAACTGTCTTTTTTATGTTCAATCACAATAATCCAGGCAGTCATGGTATCAAGAGGCTGCACTTCAGTTCAAGTAAGTCACTTATGTTCCGTATCTCAATTTCATCTATGTTGGGTTTGCTAAATACTAGCCGCGAGTATAGCTACAATGGCCATACGTGGAGATCTTCGTCAATATTACCAAGAGGGGAGCGTGACGTCGGGTCACCCGAGGTTAACCAAATCGCCCTCCTCCCCAGATATTTCTCATTCTCATAACCGTCACCAGAGGGTATCCTATATAATCAAAGTTTTTTCTCCCACCCAGGAACGACAACTCCTCGGCGAATATATGCCCCCCTAAGGAAGGAGACCAGAGGGATAAGAGAAGGAATGTATGCGCAAGGAGTCGGCATTTGAAACGCCCATCAACTCGTGTTTGAGTTGGTCATCTCACGCCTCACCAGAACATCTTCGTGACGCCTTTCATCAAGCCATCACCCCAGCCATCGTCTTGGTAACTGCGGCGCTCCCACTGCATGTGCCCGTTGTGGCCACGGTCGACGCTGACGCTGCCGGAGCCACCGAGACCGGAAGCCATCTTGACAGCCTCACCCATCAGGCCGAAGCTGTCGCCAGAGGCCGTCTTGGCGGCAATGCCGAGCATGCGCTCGATGCCCGGGGGGAGACGGAGCCCAAATCTGGCCAGCAGAGCTGTAAGAGCACCGCCCGTGATCAGGGGCATAATGACCAACATGAAGACCTTCATGGGGTGACGCTTGGCATAGTATACAAGATCGCGGAGGAGACGTTTCAACTGCTTCAGCATGCGCTGCATGAAGTTGGATCGAGGTTGGCGTTTGTAGTACGAGGACGAGCGGCCTGTATAACGCATTGGGTCAGCAACTGTGTTAACATGTCATGACGGACGTATAACTTTGGGTTACTAACCGAGGCCAAAGAAGCTCCTTGTGCTGCTGTTGTGACCCAGGTTGAAGAACGAGCCTTTGGAAGCATTGTGTTTGTTATAGTGACCGCTGTCCATGCCGAAGAAATCAGCCAGGTTCGGGTTCGACTTGGAGTGCCTGTGGCGAGAGGTAGATCGAGACTTGGAACGCTTGTGGTGGTGCTTGTGCGAAGAGGACTTGTGGTGCTTGTGTGAAGACTTCCGTGATATGACGGAGGCGCCGTCCCAGCTATCGAAGAAACCCATGGCTGCTGAAGCTCTTGCGTTTCACTCGGCCCGCTCAACCAGAAGTCTGCTTTGCGGTTGGAGCTTGTACCTGATCGTCTGTCTTGTCGATCTGTACGGGGACAATCGCGAAGTCAATTCAGTCGTTGTGGGCTGGCGCTGGGTCCTTGATCTATGCGTCTGTGGAGAGTCGTCTCGGGGAGCACCGGATCTCAGGGCAGATGCAAGACAAGCAGACCACTTTGTACACGGCGGGGCTCAGGGCTGGATCTGAGCTTTTACCTGCTGCAGGCCTTCGTAGCCGTGACACTCCACCGACCGGGCTGCACCTATACGGCCTCGAGCGAAGCTATTGCGACGTTGGTGGAGTCCTTCCGCAGTAATTCTGGAGTGGTTTGGGTCGCAAAGCATAAGTCTGGCCGTCTAGAGCAGTCGGCGAGTGGGTTTGGCCGACAGGTCACAGCAAGACAGCAGACAACACGCAACTCTGAATGCGTTTTCACACCAAGCTGCGTCGCGAAGGAGAAATCTCTGCTTCGGCACCAAGGTGAGAGGCAATGCAGGTGATGGTGAGGGGAGGGGATTGGACGGCCGCGATGCACGATTGCCCATTATGGGACTCACCGACAATTCGAGTGGCTGGTCAAGCTGGTCTCTGCAAGTCTTCCCCTTGCGGGATCGTCGCGCTACAGGGCCCCCAAGGCGCCCCCAGGCCCCTCCTTCAGGTAAGCTGCAGCGGGCTTGGTTGCGGGCCAGACGCTTGAGACGTGCCTCACATTCTTTTGGGCATAGGGGCTTGGCAGGCCGGTCCCCTTCAAGGTGGATCTGGCAACCTGGAGACGCGGCCTTGATTGTGGAATGCTGAATGCTCTGGTCTGGTAGAGGTGGTAGAGGGCATGAGTCAGGAGAGGATCTGTGCTTTGGATGCTCGGCCCAGGTCTAGCCCTCGGACACCCAGATCCCAGATCCCTTATCCCAGATCCCAGATGCCTCGGGGGTGGGAAACGGGCGATGTGGCGTTTATCGATAAGAAGCCACGGTTGCCTCTTTGAAAGGCCCTCACTAGCCACATTTATGACGTGCATACATCCCATCCATCCCACTTTCACTTGACTCTGAGCAGCCTGGCCTACGTCTAATCGGGTGAACGACTTGTGTGTCTGAGGTGAACCGGTTCCTCGGATTTACTCCTCTCCTTCTCATACACACGTTCCCACCTCAAGACCTACTTCGTCAACATCCGAAATCGCCAAAATGAGCGGTGCTCCTCCCAACTACTGTAAGTCCGACACGCAGATCCAGATAGAGGACGGCCCCACTAACACTCGCGGCAGACAAGATCCTCGAGGTCTCAGAGAGTGCAAACACGCAGCAGATCCGTGATGCCTACAAGAAGTAAGTTCTCTGCCAAGTCCTGGATCCTTTCTCCTTTCCACCAAAATGTTCTAATGTCTTTCTACAGAGCAGCCCTGAAGACCCACCCTGACCGGGTCCCGGCAGAGTCCCCCGAGCGCGCGGAGCGCACCCGCAAATTCCAGCTTGTCAACGATGCCTACTATACCTTGTCCGACACCTCGAGACGGCGCGAGTACGATGCGCAGCGTAAGATGTACGGGTTTGCCGGCGGGCGCGCCGGAACGACCGGGCCCACCTACGCGGACCCCTTCGAGGACGAGTTCGACGAGGAGATCCCCACGGCCGGCACCGGCGCCGGCGGCATCCCCGCGGGCGGCTTCCCGTCGTGGGCCTGGAACTTCTTCACGGGGCAGGGCAGCACGCAGAACACGCAGCAGGCGCGCCAGGAGGCCGAGAGCGAGCAGTTCGGCGACGTCTTCGAGGAGATGCTGCGCGAGGAGGGCCTGGCCGAGGGCAACGACGCCCGCCCCAACGGCAAGTTCTGGGGCGTCGCCGGCGGCGTCAGCGGCGGCGTGCTGGGCTTCATCCTGGCCAACTTCCCGGGCCTGATGGCCGGCGCCGTGGCCGGCAACCGCCTGGGCGCGGTCCGCGACGCCAAGGGCAAGAGCGTCTACCAGGTCTTCCAGGAGCTGCCCCAGGCCGACAGGGCGACGCTGCTCACGCAGCTCGCTGCCAAGGTCTTCAGCCACACGGTGGGAGTCTAATAATGGACGAGCGGGTTAAGACTCTTCTTTGTTTTGTCTGTCCATTGTCATTATATCGGAAGTTGGGCAACCGAGCGGTTCTCGACTGCAGGGAGGAAGCGTCCGGGCAGATTGGTTTTGTTTATCCTGGAAAACGAGCCGCCTTATCGTCTGCATTCAAAAACGAATGCGTCATCAAGGGTGTGACCTGGCTTGAATACACGGAACAAGATTTGCGAGGAGTTTGGGTGCATTGCTTTGTTATACCTACTTAGATAGCCTTAAGAGTAATCAAATTCTTGTTGCTCAACATGGAACCTTCGTCGATCAGATGTACTGTGCTGTGTTTATCAATAATGACTAGAATAATCAAAAACCAATAGGATCACCCTATGTGCAATAAGTAGCAAGCTAGTAGTGGCCTCCTGTATACCGGTGTAATTACCCACGCATGCTCGAAATTTACTTGGATACTTTGAAGCGCCAAGATCAGGGTCAGGGACGATTGTCAACTTCCAACCGCAACAAGGCTAGACAGGATACACGGTTACATTCACTGGGCTGTGCTCGAAAATTTGTAGTTGTATCGTTTCCAAATAAGATGGCCTCGCAGTGAACTGAAAGGAAAATAGACAATTGGGGTAAGGTCATTTGTTTCCAGAACGGTTAAATATATTGTAAGACGACCGAAGCCACCTAAAACTAGGAATGGCATGCTATATACCAACTCCTTAATACAGAGGGTTCCGACTCGGCTATGAACGCTACGTATCTCATGAACAAGACTTCGTCCCCAAGGCACCTATTCATGGCTTCTCAAACACAATCAAGGCGTATCTGAACGTTCCATTGGCGTAACCCCTGCGCATCGCTCTGAATGCCTGCAAGAATGCGAGTCCATCTCTGCCTTGAGAGATTGCAAAGGCCCACAGAGACGGCGAGGAGACCAGAGACCAGGAAATATCCCTGAATATGTGTGTCAGTCTTGTGTCTAGCTCAGGAGTTGGAACGGGACATACCACGTCTTAGCAACATCTTTGCTAATGTCTACCGGTCCCTTGGATACTTTGAATCCAGCCTTGGTTGCCATCTCTACGTAGTCATCAGCTGTGCACAAGGGGGGCAACAGCATCCCATCCTCGATCGGCTTGATATCTGACTTGTCCTGCTCCTCGGTGAGGTTGGGCGCCTTGAACCAGTCTGCGATCACGAGCCGTGACGTCCCACCGGCGGCTAAAAGTTCGAACGAGGAACTGAAGAATAGGGGTTTGTTGGGAAAATGAGAGAGGGCTTCCGATATCCAAACGCAGTCAAACCCTTTCTCCGGCTTGCCTCCAGCATTGCTCGAGAAGTACTCCAGCATCTTCTCAGCATCTAGTTCGATGAATCGCACGCTACCAGGCGGGCATGGCAGCGCCTCTGCTGACGCGTTGGTCTCAGGAGTTGGATTCTCAGCGAGAGTCAGGCGTTTAGCTATCTCGACCTGCCGTCCGCTGATGGTGACACCGGTCACATTGCAGCCTTGTTCTTTGGCCAGGTAGCGCGACGTACCGCCGATTCCACAACCTACATCCAGAACATTGCTTGACTTGGGTAGGACAGAGAGCTCGAGGAGGTACTTGATCAGGTTGACCTGGGCCTCCTCCTTGGTTTCGCTGGGCGACCTGAAGTAGCCATGGTGGATGTGCTGACCCCTGTTTATACCTCAGCTATGGTAAGGTATCAGGAACCAGAGGTAGAGGGAAATTACCAGAGTGAATAGTAGTAATCAGATGCAACATTGTAGTGCAGCTTGATCCTGTCCTTCAGGGAGGCGAATGAGCCATGCTCTTCAAAGCCTGGGATCTCATGCTGGTCTCCCGGGTGAGCCTCCGGGCCTCCCTTGGTTGGCTGCGTGTCTGTGACCTGACTAGACATGCTAGATCGCAATTGACTTCCCGCCGTCTCGATCTATCTTGAAGCACAGGTAGTCGCGTGTTGAGTTTGCGATACAAGGTGTCAAGACAAGAGAATAAGAATAAGGTCGTCAGTCACACAAGCTTTCACCGAAGGGGTAAGTGCTATAGATAAGACAGAGTCTATTCAGCTGAGATTCTGGCCAGATGGTCTCAAAGGACCGACTGGCTGACTGACTGACTGACGCTACACTCAAACGCGAGGAAATCACAGATGAAACGGCAGCTTTGACAGCGCACCAGCCGATGCCGAGGCGGCGGTTGAGGGGGGAGTTCTAGCGCTCTGGAGGGGTTCTTGGGGCGCCGGCGAGATGTCATCGCGGGGCAGCCAACAGTGCTAATCCGCTAGCGGCAAGGCGTCAGGCGCAACTCGTACCTGGCAGGGATCGGCCAAAAGTGTCCGTCCCAGCTTGCACCATACACCACCATTCATCATCTTGGCCCAGTCAGTCACTCCAGAGCTTCGAACGCCTGCGCACCCTCGCACCTTCACTAGAGCCTTCACGTCCCCCGTCGTCAACGCTCCCAGCCCCCGCGCCGAACATGTCCAAGACGATAGAGATCCAGTCCCCGGAGCAGTTCAGCGAGCTGCTCGGCAAGTCGCGCATCGTAGTCGCCGATTGTAAGTCTGCTCCGCGAGAGCCTCGCCCCGACCCCGCCATACACACATACCCAGGAAGACGCGGACGCGGACGCAGACGCGGATGCGGACCGCCGCCGCCCAGGAACTTGCTGGCAAGTGCCATGCTCTGTCAGGAACAAGCTTCCCAGTCTCTTGTCAGATCACAGAAAGCCCATGGCCAGGTCCTCGTGGCCGTCATGGGCACCTGTCGTGCTTCAGGCACATACTACAAGCGCAACGTTCTTGTCCCGGCGGGTTGACTGACAAATCTGCACAGTCTATGCCAACTGGTGCGGGCCCTGCAAGCAGATCGCCCCCTTCTTCGAGCAGCTTTCGCAGTCCCTCTCGCGGCCGAACATCGCAACGTTCGTCAAGGTTAACACGGAAGGAGACGGTGCCAAGGAGGTCGCCAAAGCCTATGCCGTCACCAGCCTTCCCACCTTCATAATCTTCCGCGATGGCAACAAGGTTGACAGCGTAAAGGGTGCGGACCCCAGCAGACTCAAGTCTATACTCGAGAAGCTTGGCAACGAGATCGAGACCGCAGGCGAAGCCGGAAGCGGCAGCGGCGGCGGCGGCGGCATGACTTGGCTGGGTGCGGATCTGCCCCGGGGCTACACTGACATCTCGGACATCATCGACATACGTGGCCTGGAATTGCTGAATGCGGACAGCGAATTCTCTGTCCGTACTCTGTTGCACAAGCCCAAGCCTGCCGCGCTAGGGAAGAGCAAGTCGGAGGCCAAGGACTGGGTGGAGAGTGACACGGACGAGCAGCTACTGCTCTTCATACCCTTCAACTCCGCTGTTAAGCTCCATACGATACAGGTATAGTACCAGTCTTAAGTCTGTTTGCTCGAGAACTTGCATGAGGCTAACCGATAATCTCCAAGATCACGTCATTGCCTCCTGCGGCTGAGGAGGATGACGACGAAGACGAGATCCCGATGCGGCCCAAGACCATCAAGCTCTTCACGAACCGGCCTCACAATCTCGGCTTTGATGAAGCCGAGGACATCCAACCCACCCAAGAGATCGTGATTGGTGAGAACGACTGGAACGCCAACGGCACCGCTAACATCAGCCTGCGGTTCGTCCGGTTCCAGAACATCTCCAGCCTCGTGCTTTTCGTGGTGGACGGCGACGGCGACAGCGAGAAGGTGCGATTGGACCGGGTGAGGTTGATCGGGGAGAGTGGCGAGAAGCGGGAGATGGGCAAATTGGAAAAGATCGGGGACGAGCCGGGCGAGTGAGACTAAGCTACGGAGTTCCTACCTGATTCGTTATTCGCCTGCCGCGAGGTGCGGTATTCGGCGAGCGTTATAGAAAACCTGGTGGCAGGTTCTTATACCCGTCCCGGCACCAGCTATAGATGAGCACATTGAGACTGCATTCGTCTGCAGCACATACGCATCGGTCTGCGCACCATGATTGTCCTATAGCGGCCATGATATGCCAGCACACACATGCCAAGTCAGAAGACCTGAGTGAACGCATGCAGTGTATACCCACATAGTGAGAATTCTCAATTTGCCCGGCTTCTTTCAACGTCTCGGAACCCGCTCACGTTGTGTCACAGAAGGCCTACATGACTGTCACCGGGACTCATTTTTTCTTTTCGCAGGCTGACCACTTCACGTCATAATCCTTGCAAATATATGCAGAGTCTGCAGTTCACCTGCCTCGGATGCACATCACAGTTCGATCTCACATTGGATCTCCTTCACCTGCGAACTCCGACACTCCTGAAACCCGCCCACTTCCGAAATTCGTATGGCAGGTGTGGAAGGCTAAGACGTTTCTGCAAGCAACTTGACAGCGAGGCTGACGCCGTGCGACACGGGTGTGCAACCACTACCGCCAACGCCACCTTCGTCCTCCTCCTTGGGGTCACATCATCAAAGCAGAGCTGCATACGATACGATATGATGTGATACGATATCATCTCATACGAGTAGAAATGTCCAACATTCTCACCGCGGTTCTTCAGCGCCCGAGGGCGCACTGAAGATCCGACGCTGGGGCGACAATGCCGATTGCAATTGGGTTGTTCTGTGGCATGACTGACGCTACTGTATAATATCCATGGAGTTCCAGTGAAGGAGAGGATCAGAGCAAATGGGGAAACAATGTTCTGTCAATGCCAGCCGCACACCCTTCAAAGGAAAAGGTTTCGAAATGCAACAAATTTTGCAGCGAATTTAAAGTGCTGGCAGTAGCGGCTGGCGGGGCCCAGGTCCCGGCTCCGGCGAAACTTTCCTGCTTGGAAGATATCCATCTGCCCCTCTGCCCCTCTGCCCGGCCCTGGTGGCCCACAAGAGATGAATCGATTAGATTAAACATTGACCCCCGCAACAGCGCATGCGATCGATAATGCCCAGACAGCAAGCCAGCCAGTCAGCCAGCCATCCCGCCTCTGCGCAGCAGTTTCTTGACGACGATGGTGGGGCTGGCACTGGTGTGCCGACCGAAATCCAAGAAAGTTCCGCATTATCGGTCTCAGCTTGCGCCGGTGGCGTGCGGGCAGCCTTGAGAGCTTCAGCTACGCTGCAAGAAAGCATGCCGCTGCTGGAGTGAAAATCAGCTGAGCGTTGTGTCATGTAAAGAATCTTTTTGGCGTCGCCCGGCGCCGAGAAATCAAGAGCCTGGTTCACGATGCTCTACCACAAACAAGGAGCCACAGCCCACCCTGGGAGCAGCAGGACTTGGCGAGGGGAAAGACGCAAGGAGGGGGCGACGTCGAGGTTCGTTCTGGATTGCTTTCTTGCCCCAGCCTATTCGACTCGCCCGTCCGATGATGCCCACGACCACGAGAGGCTGCGACAGGGACGTCTGTGTCCGTTCGTCCCATTCCTCCATCTCGTCAAATCGCAAGACTTCCGCCTTCCGGACTTTGATCCACTGTCATAGTGTAGCTTGTAACTGCGCAGGCCTTTGCGCAGGGCTTCTTGGACTTGGGAGGGGCTGTCAAGCCGCCAACTCATCCACAGCAATCAATTTCCCAAGCCCCTCGCCAACCTCTTCAGCCTCTCACGGCCTCGCATTCCCGAATCTGCTCACATAGCTCACGCTTGCTTTTCTGTAACGTCACGCCACGGCAGCAGACCTCCAGACAAGGCCGCCCGTCAGACGCCGCAACTGGCTTAGCACTGCTCACTAGAGCCCTCCCTCCTCAGCCGTCAGCTGCTGTGGCCGCCGTTTGCAAGGTGGTCTGGTGGCATGCTGTCTGCGCGCGTGCCGAATGCAGAGCAGGGGTGCCGGTCCTACAAGCTACACCCGTTCCAAGCGCGGTAAGAACTATTGAACATGGTGTGCAGCATTAATACGCAACGATATAGTCCCATTTATAGACTCCCCCCGTGCTGTCGCATACTTCAACCACCGGCCGGGGTCCGCACCTAGCATGGTTTTGAATCTTAGTCTCGCTGCAACCCTTGTTTCCCACGTTCCTCGACTACCTCGAGCACCTCTAGGGGCAACTTGATGACTGCGCGACTGGAGTCACTGGACAAGACTCCCCGTTTCAAAGCGCCGGCTGGTTGGATACGTCAGCGCTTTGGCCATTGCCGGTGCTACAACGGGTCGCTCGACGTCCAGATCCGGTAGGTTTCCGAGCAAGGTTGGCCTTTTCCAATGGGTTTGCGCGGCCTCGATGGTCCAAAGTCATGGCCCCGTCCGACAAGGGACCTTTTACCTTTGCCATTGACGTGCCCCCAACCCTTCTTAGCAGATGATTCAATAATGCTGGAGGCTTGACAGCCACATCCTTTCCCTCGGGAGGGTTCTTTTTAATTGCGTTTCGTATCGCTCATATTCCCTTGTGGTCATCACTCTGCACTTCCCTGGTCATTGCGTTTGCCTGATCACCAATGCCTTGCCTTTGGTTTGAAACATTTACCTCCTGCACTCGCTCCCGATCTCCGCTCGTCAATGCCCCGGTTCCAGTCTTGAATAGACTTCCTCCCCTGTCCAATTCTCTCTAACTCGGATCAAACTGTTTCTCTCTCGACTCGCGGCGTCAGGCCCTCAGACGGCATTTTCCTGGTTCGGGAAGCAAGCGAGCTTGCCGGGTCCCGGGATCAACCCCACAACAAGAGACACGGCCACCAGTGAACATATGTATACTTAAACTAGGGACAACCCTCTGCAGAGCTGTCTTTGGGTGATAGAATATTTCTCCTCCGAGAACACGTGATACTCGGATTTCTGAATTGGGAGGATACAGATATGGTCGGCCATTCTCACAGCTTCCCGCAGTTCTCGAGACTGCCGCTGGAGCTGCGAGACCAGATTTGGGGATATGCGCTCCCAGAGCCACGAGTCTATGAGGTGTTAGACTCTCCATGCTCCGCGCAGACACAATCTACACCATCGAGTCGCCTCATGTTCGCAGATGTCCGGAATGAACCGCCTCCCGCAATAGCCAGAGTGTGCCGCGATGCTCGTCATGCAGTCCTCCGCCGCTACAAGCCCCTCGTATTCTCGAACACAGTCAAGCATATTGATCTCTCGAGAGATATCCTTCTTCTGGACTCATATCTACAGGTGAAGAGACTACTCAAGGTCGTACGTCTTCTCAGCCAGATCGAAGCTGTCCGCACGAAAGCTTGCCGCATTGCGCTTGGGACCTCCTGGGGCTTTTACACCGGCCTTCACCTCAGACTGTTCCACAAAACAGTCCAAACAAAGCGGAACATGGAGAAATTTCTCGAGCATGTATCAAAGTTCCGCCGGTTAAAGACCATCATTCTTGTTGTTTATCAAAGATCGGCCTTCAACTTGAGGTTGAAGGTCCCAGACCAACAACCTCTTCCATGGCGGCATTACGATTGGTATGAGCCGTACCATTTCAACTTTAACGTCAACTTCAATTTTGACAACTACTTCCTGCGTCGACCTTACCAGAGTCGACTGGTGCGCTACGAACCCGAAGTCGAGAGAGTCGACAAGTCACAGCAGCCATCCGTCCGTCAATCAAAGCAGCAATCGGTCGATCTTCATCCGAGAGGCTACCAGGTCCACGACCTGAAAGACACATTCGAGAAGTGGATAGAAAAGCTCTCCGGAAATGGTGCACTGGGAGACTTCCAGCGGCCGAGCTTGGAAACCGCGACGCTGACGTGGATATATACCGGCGTTGGCTACTAATTGTGGAACAGGAAGTGTATGATTCCAACGATAGACACACGACGCACGATCGTTATGATTTATGAGAAAGCATTCATGAAAGAGCATTCACCTCACATCTTCGCTGCAACATGGCGCGAAGTTGCGATGGCGACATATGTCACGCATAACTACATAGAATAGCATGTTAATAAACAACTCCACTGAGTGTCTGCTATTCTCTTAAGTGATTTCATTTCCGTCAACTTCCATATGGCGTTGGTTCTGGTTCCTGCTTGCATGGACCGGCGTCGATGTGAAGTGTATTACTAGACGATTGACGAGCTCGAGTGACGTCAAAAGAAGCAACAGTGTTTGCAGGGGACACCCCAACAAGATGGAAACAAAAGCCCCCGGTGGGACTTCAGATGACAAGGTACAGGATATCAAATGAAACAAGACCTAGCCACCAAGAAAACAAGACGAAACACAGAGAAACACAGGATGGTGCCCTTGTAAACCAGTTACATGGGACGCATGTCCTTTCCAGCCGAGTGAGGAATCCCAATCTATGGAAATCCCCCTACATCGACGGTCCGAGACTGACTGATCCAAGAATTTTCACAAGAGTAAGGCCATTACGTATCGATAGGGTAGACTGCAGGGGCGGAATCGAGAGCCTCACATATACGGTAGACCGCCCCCGCGTGCTGACCCAATATTTAATTGCTGCACGAAGCTGACGGCCCCAGCACGTGAGGCTCACGCATTGATCCTACTGCCCACCCTCCTTGGGAGTGAGGCTGATGTGACTAGCCATACCTTCGTCAACTTCGGTCGCCATAAGCGGGGCATCTCCAGAGTCCGTGTGTTCGTTGGTCCGCGGCTGCATCCCTTACATCTGACCGCATCACACCCAGACGTCCACTGGTCTGTTTTCGGCTTCAAGTAGAAAGCCTGGTCTCGTGAGAATTCTGTTTAGGATATCTAGGAGTTTGGTTGGTGCGGGTAGTGTCGCTGCGGAGCCCTCCAACGTGGCCGAATGTCAGGGTCGCTGGGACGGAAAAGAAATGTGACAGTCATGCAAGTGTTCCGGGTGATACATGAAGCCTCAGCTGGCTACTGTTGATATCCGATAGCGGTAAAGATTGGTCATACTACGACTCACCAGGGTTCCCACTCGAGAAGCTTTTTTTTTATCGGCAGGAACTGTGAATGAACAGGTGAAGTTTGCTATCCCGGTACCTCTGAGATATGATACACGATCAATGGAGAACAGGGAGTTAGATATTCCCAGCTATGTAAGTACATTTCTCGCAAGCAAAACATGCAGACTCGCGTCCTATCCAATTGTGTCCATATTATCGCAGATGACTCCCGTTCTTCTTAGGCCCTGTGCGCTTGATTAAGTGACCTATATGACAGTAGAAGCTCTGCAATCTCGCCGTCTATGAACGAGTTGAAGAGTCTCGATAAGGAAACCTCAGGAGCAATCAGCATCCATTCAAAAGTTCGCATGGCTGTGCGTCGAACATGCTGTTCAACTTAAGAATCGATGATTCATGGTTTATATATTATATTCTCAGGAGTATATCACGTCAGGGAGCCTCCACCCTTGTAGAACCTCGCAAAGGTCGCGAGAAAGATGATAGTTGCGTATAAGGGAACGACTTACAAGATGGGAGAAATCTAACAACGCCGATCACGTGACTCGCAATGCATCAGCTCACTTGATTCCGTCTTAACTCCGCGTACATCTTCAACATCTACTGTTTCACGGTTAACGACGCAGCAGCAGCAGCTACCCTCTCTACTTCTCTGGTTGAAATGGTATAGGCATTCCACTGGTTTGGCTCCTACTAGGCGTACTTTCCGAGGCAGAATGGGCAAAACAAGCACCACCGGTAGCCCATTCACGAATGGGACAGGACAGCGGCCCGAGACGAAGAATTGCCCCACGGCAGCTGGGTTCCCGAAGTTTGCCGACCTGCCACAAGAGATTCGCGACATGATCTGGAGAAAGGCTCTGCCTGAGCCTCGGACCATCAACGTCCTGGTGTACGCGTTCCCGGGCCTGAAGCTGGCGCCCCTCGACCGCGGAACGCTCAGGCTGACGCTGGCAGGGGTTTGCTTCGAGTCTAGGCGGGTGGTAAGGGAATCCGGCTACGTCTTGGCTTTTCGCGATGAAGATGACCCGAATGATCCGGGTGTTTGGTTCAACCCAAGAAGGGATACTCTGGAGCGGACTCTTTGGGGGCCCGGGGAGAACTGGGGACTAAGGTGATGGTGCTGATGCTTGGCATTGTATTGAAGCCTCTGGGCTTCGGCTCAAGCTACATTCAAAGCATTGCCTCAGGCAGTACATATCACTGCTTCAATGTTCCCTTCTAATCTATTGAGGAACTCGTTGGTACGTTGTGCTTTGCAATCCTGCCTCTCTAGAACTGTTTGTTTTTCTCTTCTTTTCTTCTTTCATTTTATAGCCATAGCCCAGCTCACTGATACTGCCTTAGTTCCACATCATACCACGATTTCTGGAACTACTCCAGCGCAGACTCGGAATTGCTTTGAGGCAGCTAGTGGCTTGCGGCCTCTTGGTCCATGACATGCTACTCAACCTCAATTCCGGACATCTAACGCGCCGGGTGCTCAAGACGGTAGATTTCGCGACGGGAGGGTCGCAACGCCTGTCTCTGCAAACGTGAAACCCTCGGGAGACGAGTTGCCTCCTCCGGTTGGGTGCCCGTGATCAGGATGTCTCTGAGGTTGATATGGGGAGGCACCGGGATGAACTCCAACGGAAGCTGTTCCATCGCATAGGAAATTCCAGTGAATATCCAGAACTCTGGGCTTCTAAGAATCCGGATGATTCTGTTGCCAATCTCAGTCCAGGGGATGAGTCTGTCCCCGAATTGCAGGACTTGGGTCTTGGTCGGGAGGATAGCGAGAGCTTTCTCGTCGCCGAGCACCGTGGCGCGCCTGATACCGACGTTGAAAGACTTGATGTCACTGGCACCTTCTTCGTAGAAGGCGACGTTGCAGGTCTGGGCTTGGGTGAGCTGAGAACGCCTGTAGGGGGAGTCATCAGCGCGGCGGTTGCCGCCTGGAGCCTGTATCAGTACTCCTTGCTTGAGAGAACCCCAAAAATTATGCTGTGGGACGACAAGAATGAGCTTCTTGAGCCTGCGAAACACTGTGTACAGGAGCATGAGGGTGTCAACTAGCTGACCGCCAGTTGCAAAACAGCCCCAGTCAACGGCAACAATCTTCGTGCGTTCCAGGTGGGCCAAGCCGCGCATCTGATAGACTGGCAGCTGGGAAATCGCTGCCTCCGAGAAATAGAGAATGGGATCAGTGTCCCCGGCTCTTATCTGGAGGGCGGTCCGAGCGCGGAGGGAGTACTGCAGTCCTTGATTATGGCTGTTGGTGGTCGAACTAGAGCCCTGACTTCCGGTGTCATCAAAGTCATCCCTGTTCGACTCGATTGAGGTAGGCTCGCTCGATGTGTTCGCGCGGGTCACCTCCTGGGCCTGGGCCAGGAACTCCACAGCGATCGTACCAGTGTTGGGCGGGATGAGCAACACGTTTCCTGCGTCATCTACAACAACTCGTGTGATTACATCAGTTCTGATAGCTTTCACGGGCGTGACGGTGTCAAGAATGTCCATGAGACACTCTGTGATCTGCTCATGAGTGTCTTCCGAAGCCATCGTGAAAGTAGGTAGCTCAGCGAGCGTGGGTAGGGGTGAGAGATCCGAGACGTGTGATTTGAGTAATGACGAGAGGGTGGTCTGATGTGAGTGACAGTCTGCCGGCTTGTGAACTGGTGGAATATCTTCGTTCTGGAGCAATTGACACGAACACACCACTGGCAAGTGACCAATCCGTATCTGGTTGTCTGGGCGAGCCAAGGCGGGAAAGGTACTTTCGCTTCGGATACCTTTGATCAGTCGATATTTGGTTCTACCAAAGAGATCGCGAGTCACCCAAAAAAAAAACTGTGTTTTGATGGTGAAAGTAAAATGGACCTCAGACAGCGAGCGTCGATTGTGCAGCATATGCGGTGGTCGACCAATTATTGCATCGAGAAGGAACATCGTCCCGGATACATGCTGTACTTGAATGACATGCCTGTCAGGTGTGTACCCTGTAAACTTATGCGTAAAGCGTTTGGTCGTCACGAAATTTCCGAACGACCGTTCACCCTGCTTCGCAACTTGCTGGATAACTCGCACATAACACATTCGCCGGGCTGAAAGTGTCATCGTGGTGACGCTACCAGACCCGCCCGCTTGGCCCATTCACAAACCCCGATTCGAAATTCATTATATTTGCTGGTTTGATCAAACACGTCGCGCTGGGTGAAGAATTGTGCAACACTATACAACAACCCTTATATTGTCTTGGTTAGTGCGTGCTTAACGCTGATAGGCTGCACGTGGCGCGCACGGACCAGCACAATTCCAACAAACTGTATAGCTTGCAAACCGGGAGCTGTTGCAGCGCTCTTCATAAATATTATATATGAGGAACAATAGGTCTGAACAGAACCACCCAGATGCCTTAGTTGTTCGGCTAATTCTTTGGTATGAGTTCTTTCTTGCATGTATTCCCCTGCGCAAGTTTCGGGCCTGGAGGAAGGAAGGTTGCATTGGGCACAAGGTAGCAATCAGACGGCTTGATGTCAATTATATCCAGAAAATCAAGCGCTTAGGATTCTGAAAGGTATGGATTACGTTGGGCATCTCTTTCCATCCCTAAAAAACAGGGGGAATTGTCTCCAGTTTATGAGACGTTCATAGCATTCCTCGTACCTCGAATGACTCCAAATCACGAATCGAGAGCAAGAAGTCAATGGGTCTGGCGCAAGGTGATCCAAAGACTGAATAGCCAGCCTTTGGGGGCGTGTTATTCGGGATAACAACCCAAAAAGAGGTTCTTGGAGTAGAGTACAATGCATCTGACCAAGATCAATGACTCCCCTGGATCGTGATAGGGACAACTGATATGATTCTCGGGATTATGTGTTCTGAGCGGTAACCAATTGCGGTGTTTCACATTCTTTTGCTAGCAACTATTATGCATCACCATGGGAGCTCGTTCAAATGTGTTCGTGTAGATAAGAGAGAAATGAAGAGTGATGGGCCAAAGTGAGCGTGTTGTAAGAAGCATGCTCTCATTAGCTATCTGCATTGTGGACGAAGGCTATCTACCAGAGGGCTGCGTTGTGGCCACATTGTGGCCACAATGGACACACAATGTCCGAAGGGCTAACAGAGAGCCAAATCTGACGTGTCCGCAGATGTGCCTATGGTGAATGACATCGGCAAAGAAAGAGTAGTTTTCCCTTCAATTTATTAAGTCACGGATCCTATGAGGATCACTTTGGCAACTCGACGTTGCAGAGGTGGCGAGGGGCCGGAAGATGATGAAGCGTAGTGCCCACCGCGACATGACGAGGACATGCAATAGGAGAGCACGGGACTCTACTTATCGGAGTTTCCCGGTTTGGCCGCTATACACCCACACCAATCACTCCTGTTCAAATGTTTTCTAGAGTCCAAAGGTGGAGGAACACCTCTCTCCTGGAACCCCTCCCAGCAAGGAGAGAATTGAGAACTTGAAGCATAATTGCAATAGCTAACCGTTAAGGAGGTGGTTCTGTGATGGAGTTCGTACACTTTGTATCCCATAAGCTGATGTAGAAAGACTGAATGGAAATTCCACTTGAAACATTACTACCTCAAGCTAATAACACCTGCGAACTGACTACATTCTTCCCCTTAAGTTTGATTGATTTTGCACCTGTACCGCCTGATTTGACGTCCAGTTCCAACTTCTCCCGTGGCCATAGGGTAACATAGTTATCCGACCAGAACACCGGCAACACGTCCTCACCGGCGCCGTCGACCAGGTTGAGGTTCACAAAGAAAGCAGGCACCGTGGAGTGGTTCTCCAGCACCACTTTACTACCGCCGTCCTCAGAAGAATCGGAGACGGTTGCGGTCACGTTGGCAGCCTGGAGCTTATCAAGCGCCTTATAGTCGGCGTACTTCGTCACCGGCGTGTAGAACCAGTCGGAGTTCTCCCAGTCCAGCGTGTCGACGGTCTTGGCTAGCCAGTACACGTTACGGCTGAGCGTGGCATTCTTGTCGTCCGAGAGGACCAGACGCAGGAAGACAACGTCCGAGGGGTAAATTAGGGCGGGTAGCTTGTATATGCTCTTGCTAACGTTCGGCTGCGTCTGCACCTTGACACTTGTGCTCGTGACGACCTTGCCATCAAGCCCTACGACTTCGACTTGAACGGTTCGTGCGCCCTGGCGGTTTATCGAGTGATTGATCAGGTAGACAGCCTTCTGAATGTAGTCGTAGGCTACATGCTCTACTCTGCTGCCAAGTTTGGCGCCGAAGTAAGAGCCTGCGGGATGCAGATAGTAGTCAAAGAGGTTCCAATGCAAGCTCGGCCAGGCGTTGTTCAGCATCCAGTATATCAACCCAGTCGCCGGCTGGTTCGCATTCCAGAGCGCCGAGAAACCTTCGAACTGTGCTCGGGTTGCCTCGTAATCAAGAATCTGTGCTTTAAGCAAATAGTCATCCAGGGAAGAAGGGGTGCCATGTCGCTTCCATAGTGCATCGTTATAGATCTTGCGATTGTAGAACGATGAAACGCTCGTCGACATGTGGAAAAGTCCCTTGTTTGGCTGCTTCCAGAGATCGTCCATATCCTGCTTGGTCAAGAATTTCTTCAGACTGCTGAGCTCCGGGGTACCTACTCCAGCCCCCAGCTCTGAACCGAAGCCGAAGGCAGCACCGAGTCTATCATCCGTTGAGCTGACGTCGTACCAATAGTTTGGCGGTACCCAATCATATGGACCCGCCATCTTCATTCCAGACGGACCCAGCAGTTTCGGATAGCTTCGCTTTGATGCCGAGGCAATGATTGGGTTCTGCCAGTCAAGGTCCTTGAAGCCTTGCACGTACATTGCCGTGGCCTTGTCATCCGGCCAGTAGTCACTGCCGACGAGATAGCCCAAGACGCTGGGGTGGCTCTGCAGCATGGTGATTTCATGCCGCGCACTCGCATCTGCGATCCCGTAGTCGCTCTGCGTCCACTCAGACTTCACCGCAAGGTCCTCATTATAGGTCCAGGCTTCCCATTTGTCGCAGCACTCCCACCCCGCCAAGACCATCAGACCCATGCGGTCCGCGGTGTCGTAGAGCTCTGGGTGCTCATTCTTGCCCTCTAGGCGCACAGTGTTATGTCCAAGGTCCAGCATGTACTGTACTTGCGTGGCGAACTTGTTGCTGTCCCAGCGGAGGAACATATCAGCCGAGTAGCCACCGCCAATCACCTGGAAAGGGTTTCCATTGACGCTGAAGATGGTGTCGTTGTGCTCGTTCACCTTTGAGGTCACCTTGCGGATACCGAAGCGGTTCTCTGCAATGTCTGAAACCGAATCGTCCACCGAGACCGATAATTTCCCAGTATAAAGGGGCTGCTCCCCCCAAGCTTTCGGCCACCAGATCGCTGGCTTTTCGATTAGAGTTGTAATGTTCAGGTCAAGCGATTTTGACGGCCCAATCTTGAAGGTTTGCTTCTTCGAAAGAGGATTACTGCCACTCTCATCTGATACGATGCTTTCGCCGACAACAGTGACCTCGTGGTCTTCTAGATTCTGCACATTTGCCTTCAGCGTTACTGAGGCGCTCCCCTTCCCTGCAGGCAGCTCAAAATCGGTGGTGACGCGCAAGGGCCCTAGCGCTACAGGACCGGTCTGCTTGATGACGACGTCTCTCCAGACACCCGTGCCGTTATCTGGCGGATAGGGGTTCCAGTCCACGAATCCCAACGCAAAGTCGTAGTTGTAATCTGTTGGGTATACCTGGATCAGCAGGGCATTGTCCTTGGCCACATACTTCGTAACGTCGTATGAACGACCCGCGTATGCACCCGCCTGCACCGCCTTGGTGGCAATCTGCTGGCCATTGAAGAATATGTCGGCCTTTGAGGTGATGCCATGGTTCTGGATGAAATAATGCTTCCCCTGGGTCTGGTTCAGGGCGAACTCGTTGCGATATAGCCACGGAACCGCAAACTGGGCTCTGTCGAACCGATTGAGGTTGTCCGAGAAGAACAGATCGGATTCGTTATAAACGCCTGCAGCAATCAAGCAGCCCATCAGCGTGCACTTGGACGCATTCACATGGTGCCACGATGAGACGTCCGAACCTGGGCGGGAAAGAGTAGCCAGGTCCTTGCTCGCTTTGGCAGTTGACTGAATGTCCCATTTTGAAATAAGCAGTTCTTGGTCTGGTACCGCTGGCGAAGCGTTGAGAACACCAGACGCCGTTATCAGAGGCGAAAGCATAGACCACAAAAGCATCGTGCCCATGGTTCGTACCGCCATCTTCCCAGCCGAGCCCATCCTCAATCTCTGTGTTTTTGGCGTGTAATGACTTGCACGCGGGAACACAGTTTGAAAGGTGCTAGATTTCGTGATCAGGCATTTCCATCCTTTCTCGCCCATTTCGACTCAACAGCGGAGGAAATGGACAATCAGTTCGACCTTTTTGTGCAGTTGTCAAGCCGAATGATACGTTGCACCGGCCTAGGTCCTTCATAAAGTTGATCGTAGCCCCCTCAACTACCGACCCCGCTATGCCGCCTATTCCGCCTCCGCGCGCCTTTGAGCGCATGCTGTGAGTAACCAACGTGCATCATTGCCGCTTCCAAGACGCCCTGGGGGCCTAATAGTTAACGCACCAATTCCTGTCTCTGCTTCCGATCCTCGTATCTTGGCTGGTGGGCCCTTCAACTCGTTTCCCCAATGGGTTGCGGAATCTGTAGTTGCGTCTATAGCTAGCTGCCAATACCCCAAACCCTGCTGCGGGTAAAATCTGTAGCAATTGATTGGGATGGTTGCATGAATACCTCAGTAACTTCCTAGTAACTTTCTCAAAACGAATCACCTGTGATTCCTACTTTGGCTTAGTACCTTTCTGTTGGCTAATTGGATTCAGCCTCGAGCAGAATCTGTAGAACCATCCTCCTTGGTATATCTGCTCAGCGGCAGAGAAACATGACTGATTGAGCATTGCAGCTGATGACGCCAGGACAACAAGCACAGCATTAGTTGACCGTAGGGATGGTGTCTTCCCTTTATGTTCGGAGCTACTTGTTGTTGTCATATTTGGCGCGCGTCAGCCTTTTATGATCATGACAACCTTCGAATGCCCGTGCCACGGAGTCGAAATCCCACGTTGAAGATAGGGGGTCCTGTAGTATTGGGGAGTTCTAGTTCTTTCAATTTCATCGACACTATCCACATTTCTTTAGGTAGGAGATGAGTCCGACCTAATGCACCATCATTCCCACATGATCTCTTGAACAAAACTCTGCAGCGATTTTGAGTGTCATCAGGGCCGCAACGCCAAAGTTTCAAATCCACTACCTAAAGATCTGCCGTATCCAGGCAGTGTCGAGGTGCCACCAACGCCTTTTGTGGCTCATTATGTTATACAATCGTAAAGAAGAATGATAAATGCTGTTGACCCCAAGTGGCTGTTCGGCAGATGCGTAAACCCATCATCGCTTCTGTTAACTCAGACATCTCCATGCGTGCATCCCCAGACTCTCCGCATCCCGCCCAACCTTCTTCTCTGTCTTCTTCTTCAACCTGAATTAAACAATAATTGTTGCTTGGCTCCAGTCCAGGCGCTCTTCCGTCTCGAGAAGAGGAACACTCTAAGAGGAAACTGCAGAACGTCTTGGAAAACGTCAGAAATGCAACAATATGCTGATGATATCGAAACGAAATAAATATAACGAAAGGCTGGTATCGTCGCTGTAAAAGGATACGGAAAAGACGTGGTATATAAGGAGTATATATGCAAAAAGAAATCGTTCTGAAGTCCAGTCGTTATGATCCGGGTATTTGCTGAATTACAGACGGTTCTCCTCACGGAGTCGACTCTTCGAACCTTGCTGGTTCAGACCCATTACGTTTCCCATGAACATGGAGCTTTCTCTCCTTCTAGCCCTGGCATTATAGGGCTGGTCGTATCCGAGTTCGCTGAAATCTTGTTCATACGACGATTGGTAGTGGGGTCGATCGTATGTTGGTTGCGTCTTGGGTTGCATCATGTTAGGATCATAGTTCGGTGGAACCATGAACCCACTTTCATAAGCAGGACGAAGAGAGACTTGAGAGGAAGTTTGCTGCTGAGCCAGATACTGCGGTTCGTAGGTTGTCTGGCGACTTGAGCTGGTCGACATAGGAGGCGGTGTAGCCGCTACACGACCGCCTCCATGACCACCTCCATGCATGAGTCCTGGAGGGGGGGTCGGCGATGATCGTTGGTGCTGCAGCTGCTCAATAAGGCGCTGTCGATGTGGAGATGCAGCTGCACCTGTACCAGTAGAAGGACGCCGTGGCTGTGGCTCTGCCAGGCTTCTCGCGTCTTCCTCTGAAATAGGAGAAGGCAGCTCGTATTCTTCAGGGGTGATGTTGAAAACTCCTTCGTAGTTTTGCAAGAGCAGGGCAAAAACTGGTGCAGGAATGTTAAGCGTAGGCGAAAAAACAATGCCCACGTTTCTAACAGTCATCTTGTTGACGTCCGAATTGTTGATGATTTTGATCAAGAACGCAATGAGGTACCGCAACAGAGTGCCATTGGCCTGAGGCAAGAGCTGAACGAGTTCTCCCAGCGCTGCTATCTTCTCCCTCTGTCCGGACATCTCCGTGACTGTGAGGAATTGGAGATGAAGGTCCCTCGTGAGAATCGTGGTGGGCAGCTCTCGGAGATATAGCTTGAGCAGTGAGGCGACAGCATGGATGTCGTAATACGTCTCATCAGTCAGCAAGTTGACGTCACCTTCAACATTGAACCGCTCGCGTAGGCCCTTGATAACGACGTTAGATCCACTAAGTCGGAATATTCCTTCCTCCAAGATGGCGTTCTTGGCGTCGAGATACTGTATGCATCGGTACACTACTGCAGGCAACGGCACATTTACGTCGACAGGTCCATTGTATCTGACAGCATCGGCAAGTGGTGCACCGAACACCTGGCGAATGGGTCCGCGGTATTCGGATTGGGTTGAACTCTGCACGCTGCTGCCAAACAATGCATCTTGGTCATCCGATGAGGATCGTGTCTTGGGGCCAAAGCCAAAGAAACTGCGTTTGCGCTGCTTCTTTTCCTCAATCGATGGACCGGGAGGAGCAAGGGCTGCTTTAGCACCCCAGGACGATGAGTCCGAGATCACCTGGGGATCACGCGGTGCTGAAATTGTGTAGGACGCCGCACGTTCCTGTTGTGAATCTGGAGTCTCCGTGTTGCGGCGGCGCGACGGTGCACCATCCGGAATGTCACCTTGCCTGGTCCCCTCGTAGCTGATCCCAATGAGGCCGTCTTGGCTACGACTTCGTGCGTTATGTGGTCTCAGCGGCGCTTGGCCATGCGGTTTCTTCTTCGCGTTCATACCGTTGGCATGTGGTTGGCTGCCGGAACCATGACGCTCTTGCGTAGCATTGTTATGCGAGTCATCTTCCTCTGGGTCACGATAGTCGATCCAGCGGAGCAGTGTGTCAACCCATTGATCACGCTCCTGATCGCTTTCTGCGCAAAGAACGTGCTTGACGTGACTGGAAGAGTCCTTCTTCTTGGGTTCCAGGACCAAGAATGCATGGCGGTACTGGTTGTCAAGCTCATCATTGTTGCCTCCGGCTGGGGAGCCGTCACTGTTGCTGTGTGACTGTTTTCCTATCTGCGCATTCTGCAGCTTGATGGTGCCAAGGTGGGCGCCACCGGGAGTTTCGTAGTATTTCAGAAGAGGGCCATCGAGCACGAAGAAACGTGCTTTCCAGCCACCGAAATTCTTACCCCTTTTAGTAAGATATCCGCTCTTGTGCGGTCGACCTCCAGGGCCCGTTTTCAGGGTGCTGGTTTCGCTTCCGCTTTCCACAACGGAACCGGTGTCGTCTGAGTTTGGAGGAAGTACGTTGGTCGACAGGTACTTGCATAGCTCCGAGGCTGTAGCCGTGTCTAATGGTGTATTCAGCACCTCGTCTAAATACTGGTTCAACACTACGCGACGTGCATCAAGTTTGGCAGGGGCATGGCCGTTGAATAGCGAACGGTCTGGGGTCTTTGCAGTGACGGCCGAGCATTGCTTTAGTCTCTGGTCCAACTTAGCAAGCGATGCAGTATCCTTTTCGACTCTCCATAGTTCGCCGCCCTCTGAGCGAGAAAAGACTGCCAGCGTGAAGACAGGATCCTCTTCTAATTGAGTCAGCGAGATCAGACTAGCTCTAGACGGCTTCATGCGAGATGAAGCCACTTTGACTGAGATCGAAGGGAGAGCATTGGGCGGCAGAAGTAGGTCAGGGTACTCCTCCGTGATGAATCCCTTGTAGATCCTGCTGCGTTCGGTCGGACTGGCGCGACTTCCGGTCGGACTAGGCTGGGCAGGTTCGGTTGCCCTCTTGGTGATGTTAAGCGGCTTTGGTGTGGACAGAACAAGAGGCTCGCCGTGTGACGAGGTTGAGATAGATGTGTTTGGAGGGAGAGGGATGGGTTGCCTTGGAGCCCGAGGCGAAAGCGGACCACTCGCCATGCCCATCCCCCTTGGCGAAAGGGGTGGCGCTCCAGGAGACTTCATACCCATGGGACGGGGGCTCGAGGGCAATCCAGGGCTCATCAAGGGCGCCGAGGCAAATTGCTGTGGCTCGTTGCCATTGAGAACACCAGCCAAAGAGGCTGGTATATGCTCCCGCACGAGCATCGGCTGGTTTCCAGTACCGCGTGGGCTTGCTGGAAGTGGGCCTTGAGGAGGTTCAAACTCTGCTTCTTTGGGAGTTCCTTTTTGGCTTCCCTTCTTGCTCTTCTTGGAAAGACTTCGCTTTTCCGCCTCGAGCAGTACAATCTTCTCCCTCTCCTCGTCATCTTCTTCTCTCGTTCGTCTTCTACCACGCTTCTCTGGAATGGGCAGCTCATCGACCTCAAGTAGCGAATCGTAGTCCGAGTCCGAGTCTTCATCCTCCGGTGGGCTGATAGCAGCAGCCTTTGCCTCCTTTCTTAGCTGTAGAGGAGCCGGCGGCGGCTTTCGGGGAGGAGGAGCGGATGGTGGCGGAAACTGTGAAATGTGTTGGTCTAGCATGACCGCGGCCTCCTTGGATGCAATCGGTGGCTTTGGGGGCGGCATGCGTGGCGGCTCACTTGGCAGGCTTCTCGACGGTGGTAGTCCTACATTAAAGGGGAGAGAATCCTTGGACTCTTCGGCTGCCTGTGTGGCCTTCGCCTGTTCTGCCACAGCACGGTCTTCCTCCTCATGATCGAACTTATCGAGCGCGTGCTCTGATGCTTTGGGCATGGCATGGGACGGGTCGAGCAGGTCGCCGACGGCGGATCGCGGTCCATCAGAAACCTGGTCTGCCGGAGGCGTGATGGGATACGGTGCCATTGCCAGGTCGATAGGTGAATGTTTGACGCTGTCAGAGTCCAAGACCGACGGAGAAGTCGGGACATCCATGACTTGATCCCTTACACCGTTGACATCCACTCTTGGAAGTGCCGCAGCCGGCGCCTGTTGCGTATCGATCTTCAGCGGCGCCTCGTGGGCCGCCATGAGCTCCTTCATCTTCTTGCGGTACTTCTCCTTGTCCTTCAGAGCACGTTCGAGATCCTTGTTCAAGCCCAAGATCATGGCTCTTTGCTTGTCAACCAAACGCCACAGCTGGGCGTTCTGCTGAGCCTGGCTCTGCTTCTCCTTTAGCAGGTACTGGATCACAGCTTCAGGGCTGCCCGCCGCCTTGACGAGGTTGGCCACGTCGGCCGTCCCAGCCGAAGCATCTTGGGAGTTCTTTGACGAGATGCTGGACACTGCCGAGTCGAGAGATATCGTTCGGGCTGGCGCCTGGGCTGGGTCGGCTTTGGCGGGAGTTGAGCCACCTGCCATCGCTGGCGACGTTGTGACGGGTGAGCCAACCGGCTTCGCTGTCACAGTCTGGTTGGAGACTCTTCTGGTGTCATTCGGAGACAGAGGAGCGAGATGCAAACTGCGGGATGCTCAAGTTAGAACACTTGGTGGTCTACATAGACTAAGATAGATATCAAGGGAGGACGAGTACAAACCCTGGTGCTCTTGTATAAGGCGAGATTGGTGTTGCCGGAGGGGACGGCGTGTCTTTCTGGTGCCGTTTCTCGAAGGCGAACGGATACCTGAAGAGGTCCTCTGCTGCAGAGGACTGTGATTGCGGCTCGTTGGGTGTCCTGGCCGTGGGGCTCCGAGGATACGACTCGTGGATGGGCGAGGGAAAGGTAGAGCGATTTGGACTCGCGCTCGACGGCGGAGACACGGCGGTGGTCGTGTGTAGCGGGCTTGGAGCAGGTTTCCGTACCGACCTAGCAAAGGGTGGAGATTTCGGGTCAGTACTGTTTCTGCGGTTGAGACAGCGGCGGAAGCAGTTTCGCTGTACGGGTTTCACAACAGGGTTCCCAGCAAACGGCGCGCCCAGCGCAGGCTCGAGATGGTTTCTGGAGTATCACGCCACGACGCCGCAGGCGGAGGGGGAATAGTCAAGTGAGGGCAGGGCAGGGACGGAATGGGCAGAGTGAGGCATGCAGACTAGAGAACGGCGAGGAAAAAGCAAGCGCGTTGTGGTAAAACAGGAAAGACAAAATGCGGGTCTTGCTGGGTTCAGGGCCGTTGTGTGTATTGGGCGATGGGCAGGGACCTCTGGGGGGGGAAACGGTTGTGCGATGATGAACATTGAAGTTAATAATGAGATGAAGGGCGCGCGTGTACTCACTTGGAGCTAGTGACGGTGATGGCCAGCGGAGGGCTCGACAGCGTGGTGGTGAGGGTGGTCTGGCTGTCGCTGTCGCTGTCCTCGTCGAGGAAGTTGACCAAGGCTCTGCCTATAGTCGGGCTGTCCTGGACGTGGTTCTGGTTCTGGCTCTGGCTCTGGCTCTGGTTGCGGTTCTGGGCGTGGACCTGCTGCTGGTAAGAGTCTGACGAGTCTGACGCCGACGGGCTGTCGCCTCTGCGCTGCCGCTCGTGCTGGAGCGCATGCTGCGACATGGTCCACACTGGCCCTGACTGGCCCTGGCTATGCACCCTGCAACTTGCAACGGGGGGGCCAAGGGGGCGTGGACGAGTGGACGAGGGTGCGTTCCCACAAGGGAGCCAATTGGCAGTCGTCGAGCGCTGCGGGGGGGCTCGAGGCTTTTGCGAGCAACCCAATCCGGCCTTGCTGAGGTTTCGAGACGACAGGATGACCCTGATTGACGTTGCAGTCTCCCTGCCAGAGGCCGAGGTGGTTGTACAGCGTCCGGCGTTTGGAGATGCAACCCGTGGCTCATGCAAGGGTTCGCTGGGAACAGGGTGGGTGCAGTACCGCTTCCAGGGCTTCTTGGGTGATTCCGGAGGCGTGCTGTGTGTGTGGTCTGTAGAGGATGTGGCCGCAAGTTATTAGATGACTAGTTACTGCGCGGCTGCTGTAAGCAGTCACTATTGTATGTACGTATTCAGTACCCAGTGGATGGTATGCTTGTTTGCTTGCTTTGGATGCCGTGGTCTGGTTGATGCTCTCTGTTGCGGTTTACAAATCGATTGCACGAGACACCAATGTCGGTAAGGGTAGGTAGGCAGGCAGGCAGGCAGGTACTGGAACAGGACCGATGATTCTGAAGGAGGATGGAGGTGACACCGTAGTAATACACGTCCGCGGACTCGGGATCCCGGCTTGCAAAGAACGGCTGCGCAACGGCGCTGACTGCCAACCCGCCGTGGTGATTTCTCTCTGCTCGAGATTGCTATCTCTCCCCTGCCCCTTTGCGGAATGGGAGGAAAGAAGAAGGCTGCTGGGAATATGGAGGCGGAGAGAAAACTGCTCCTGGCCACTGCTTGCTATTGATTTCTCTAATGCCTACCTACTCGACACCAGGGCCCATAGGGGGGCATAGCCGGCACGGTTGGACTCCGTTGCATCTTGGAATTACCCAAGGCATTGTGCCTACCTTTTTTTCCCATCGGCGGCCAAGATCCTCGCCCCAAGTCCCATGGGCAGCCGCCTCTGGTTGCCAGAGTACCGTAGTATCCGCCATCGTGGACGTGCTAACCCGAATCACCATCACGACTTTAGCTGGCCCCTCATGGGCGATCAGCGAAGCACTGGGCAAAGGGTCCAGCCCCACCTCATCTCGTGCACTGACAGCAGCTGAGCGATAAGACTATGGCAAGCCTGGCTGCCAATACGCCTGATCACCCACTAGCCTTCCCATCTTTCCCATGGCGCCGCGCTGTGCACCCAGCCTGCTAGCCCAAGCGAGCGCCCCCGGTGCCACGGAGTGGCTAGACGAGTTCTGTTATGTCAGACACGTGGAGCGGCAAGTCTAACTATCCCTTTAGTCGCTGCGACGACTCGTCATGTGCTGCACGACTCCATCGCTTGACAGATCGTTCGTTCTTGGTCGAAGACTTCCAGAAAACCGCATCCGGGCCGCGAATTGTTGACAGCTGCTGGGTCTGGCTCTAGGGGTTCCTGTGGTAATTAGTGCCCGACGACGAATCTTCAACGTTGTTGCACTCCTCTGACCTGGACTGCCCTGCCCTGCCGTCCACCCTTCACATGGAGATCGACCACTTAGTAAGGCAGCCTGTTTGGTCGATGAATTTGGGCCACGACTAGACAAGCCTGGGCGGTCAGGGGGTCCTGGCGAGCTCCTTCAAACCCCGGATTTTGTATCCAGTACCACGTAACGTTGAGTTACGTGGTGAGATAAGACGGTCCTCCCGGATGGGCGATCAGTCGGCTCTGGACAATGGGTATTCCAAAGAATTTGAGCTGCTTCATGTCTCCTCCGTCACCTGTGTAGAGCACTTTCGGGTGCCAAGAACGGAAGTATGTCTCGACACCTACCTCCGCGTGGGGACTGGCCGGCGGGTAGCCAAATTTCCAGCCCGGTCAATAAGGTCCCGGGCAAGCTAGTATCGTCATGTATCATGCAGGAGGTCGAGGCGATTTCAGCCTTCTGCAGGAACGACTTCCCAATGCGCAAGTGCCAGGGTACAGATATGGCTTAGGCCAGACCAGAGGCCCCATCGCTGGACCAAGCTCAGTAATCAGTCAATCTGGACCAGAGCAGATCACTCGTGTCTCCTACCACAACAGAGACACGTGCCAGCCTCTCCAGTCTCGTTAGGTGCAACTCATGGCTACCGGTAGATCAGAATCAGTCGGGACCGGGCAGTCGGGTTGTTCACTACCCCGTAAGAACGAGTTGCTGGGCCTCAAATGAGACTCATTAAAGTCGCAAGCACCGTCCTGGAGGATGAACGACTATCTGGCGGACGGTTCGTATCTAGCTTCGTCTCTTGTGACGGGACTTCCTTGTCTCGCAGGCGCCACCAACCTGGGCTCGGAGGTTTCTCGAGCAGCCGCATCAGCATCTCAGACGACGACCGAGCACCTAAATATTGCCCTCAACCCGTTGTCATGTCATTCAGACGCGCTGGACGCCAGAACGTCGACCAATATGTGAATCCAGGGCCTTGGTCCTACATGTTCCCCCCACTCGCCTTGCCAGTCAGCCACCCACGACACCAACGTTGGCTGAAGCCGGCGCTTCAAGAAACAGCAAGCCCTGCGACACCAAAAGATCAGATGGCCATCAACCACTCATCGGCAGCGCACTCCGAGTGGCTTAGGAGATTCCAGAGCCTCATCAGGCTCGACTTTGGATGTTTTGTCTAGCAACCCCATCCAGTTCATAGCTCCGCCGGTCTTGCGACATCTGGCCAGAGTCCGTATTCACAGCTCGAGTGTGGTTCCTTGCTAGCATCCACATCCATGGTACTATGTAGACCCGTTTCGATAGCTTGAGTGCCCCTGAACTTAAGCAAGCTTAACAGCAGGGCCTCCCTCTGGCCTTCTGCATCGGAGGATTATCAACTAGGCTTATATTAGCTCTTCCTAGCCTCTCACCAATCACACCCTGCGCGCTGGCACCTGCAAGGAGGCTAGTGCACCAGAAGGCGGTGTGATGCAGACCCTGTGCGACTGCAACTTCTCATTTGCTCCGTCGGATTTGTCAGTACGGTTTACGATGGTCTGAATGGTATACTCAGCCGGTGATGTGGCACCCGAGAATTGGGTCCTCTTGCAGACTTGATGCAAGTAATTTAACGAAATGGTTGTCCAGCTCGCCCGGTCGCTGGACTTCACACGGCATATACTCCAGCGCCCATCAGTGATTGGTATAAGCACGCCTTCCATGGCACAGTGGCATGCAATCCACAGATCAGGTCATCAAGCTCGAGAAACAATGGCTCGATGATCCACCTGCCTAATTCAAATTGTCTGATGACCAGAGATGCCAATGCAGGAGCCACACTCTCACCAATGCTTCCTTGCGGGCGAGCTTTGATCGCGTTTCTCCAGGTTTTCTCAAACTCCCCATCCCAGCAGCGATCACCCCTAGTCCTGATGCTTAATTCACCTGTCACTGTCGCTCCGAACTTGCCGGCGTAAGGACTGCACGAATGATCTGATTCTTACCCAGGACACAGAGGTAACACTGACAGGCTGCTGGATCTGAAGGGTCGCCCAATGTCACCCATTGCGGAATTGTACCATGCTCGGTCGGTCGTTATTACCGTCCAAAATCTGGGTGACGGCGTTGGGAAATAAAGTGCCCCTTCATACCACCGCGCGGCACTTTGGGCCAATCATCAACTATCTTTCATACCACCCAACCGCGTGAGAATCATAATTCGAGACACCGGAAATTGGTATGCAAACAACAAACGATGGTACGTTACCGCCATCGATATTGTACATTCCAAGAATGGCAAATTGCGAACCGAACAGTCCCTGAAACCGTAAACAAAGACGACGGGAATTAATAATCTCGTAACAGGTCCCGCATTCTAGAACATGTTACCAGCCTTAGCGATCTGTTTCATGCTGTAGCCAGCCGCCTCCCAGATCTTGTGCAACAGATAGTACCTCGCCAATCTGCAGACTGCTGATTTGTTGAGTTGTCAGTACTTTGCCCAGCCCACGCATGCACCCCAGCCTCTCGGATCCCACTCTTCCACGGCCAGTCTCTGGCACGAAGATGCTCCGACGCTCGATCGCCGGGAATGCAACTCCCCTAGAACAAATACAACACGGGGCGACCGCATTGTCAAACGACTTTGGATGGTTCGTCCCCCGATATGTATTCAGGTGTAAGCGCCTTCGTGTCACGATACGCGTTTTCGGGGCTCGGCTCAACTGTGTCACTGATCCTTTTGTCGCTTAAGCACTTCCCTGCCCGCCAAGTGGTTGTTCCCTGCCATAACATTGTCTGTCATATCAACTGCAAACGGCTGACGGGCTGGGTTACAATCTGAATCTCCGGCATCCTTAACACATCGCCATCCAAGTGGATATTACCCGACATGGGGGAGGTTGTTGCGGCTACTTGTGGGCCTGTTAGAGGTAGATTGCTTGCCGCATTCAGATATAGAACAACACAACATACCATCACAGGGGCCTGCGCCGCCAAGAGTGGATTATAGCAGATCCACGGCCGGATCAAGTCGCCCAAGACACCGCATCACTCTGGATCGACCGATTGGCAACCAGTACTATGTATCCACCGTCTTCATGCGTTCCATTACTTCCCTGGGAAAGCTGCAGCAAGTCCACGGGACCCTGTTTCCACAGCGGGCCTGCCCGGCGTCTGACATAGTTGCTGGAAATAGAGATCATACGACGACGCCGAGTCGCTTACAGACGCAGGGACGCAGCACTATAACCATGCGCTGTAAACAAAGCTGCGACGACTCCGCATCTTCTCGTCTCTCATATGAAGCATGGGACACTTGTGGCGTTCTCGGGTGGCCAATTCTGCCAGAATGGCGTGGGGTTTCGAGTTCGTTTCAGAGCCTCCGAGCCCTACCTTTGACCTCTATCAGGACGGCTCTTGGTCTGTGCGGGGACTCTCCTCTCAGTCGAGACCGCCACAAACGCCGTATGGATAGATCATAGTAATAAATGAAAGTAGTAAACTGTCGCGTGTGGCGGTGTGGAAATTGTTTCCGGTGTGTTAGGGGTTCAGCTCAGTGATTGCAACTTCAAGTAACTCCGAATGCAACGTACTATTAGTCCATTGTGAGCATCACCCCGTGTTATTACCTGCACTGGAGAGTGATCCTCGTCTGATCTGTACAGAAACCTCAGAATTCCTCCAAATCAGGGGCCATTCCTTCGGATCCATCACTTATCAGATGAAGTCAAGTGAATAGAACTCGTCTTTGGAGTCCCAAGGATTTCAATAGCCATTCTCCCAAACTCGTCAGCGTTTCGCTGTACTCTGGCTCGGATTGACCTATCATGCTCAATCCCCGTACCGACAACAGTTGGGCTGGGTTCCCAGGAGCCTTTCGAGGTGAAGGGCGGGATATCAGCTGACTGATCAGTGCAGTTGGTGATCTGATTCGAGTTTGGTAGTTATCAGAACGTGACTATAATGAGTTTCATAACAGCACACTAGCTATTGTCGGTCTGTAACCATATGGCTATAGGTACTACTTATTTTCAACTCGCAAGACGTAGTGCAGCCAGCCATTGTGCAGATCTCACTGAGTTTGGAACATAGATAGGGGGCGGCTGTTGAGTGGCAAGTCTAAATAAAGCCTTGTCACAAGCAGTAAGCTAAATAAGATATAAACAGGCGCAACGAAACAAAAGTCTTACTCACGCAGGTTCGCAATCATAGTTCATCTCAGTGCAGGTCGTTTGAACACTTGTTCCCGAAACGCGAATTGGATGTATCTCAGATGACCACAGGACTGTCACTTCCCAGCCAGGCAACTTAACAACCTAAGAGACCTCAATAGTATTGCGTACAGACTCAGCCTGTTGATATGCATTACTCGTCTAACCCCGCAACAGATTATCAAAGTCTCGCTGAAGGAATCATTCATTCCCCTTTCATGTCCAGTGTATCATTCTCCGCGACGGCGGAGGCAATAGCGCCGCATCGAGAGGTGCGTGGCCATAATCCTGTGTTATAAAGAGTTTTTATTTACACAGTCTAATTTATGAAAGTGGAACTTGTGAGCCACTTTCCTCTGAATTCTCGAAACTCAAAAGGTACAATGTAGAAACTCTATAGTGGTTCTCCAAACACCCCGAACCCCTTCATCACGCCTCCACTCAAGCTTTGACTGCGATAACCATTCTGGCAATAAATATTTAGCTTTGAGTAAAATAAAAGTCTGAATAAATTTTATCTCGGAGAATGCGATCAACTGATATTTAAAGCAAACCCGCCAAGAAGGTGCATCACTTGGATTGTTCACCCAAATCCACTGAATGGTGTTGATATCATTTCAGTCAGTTGCTTCCAAGATTGCCCAATACCTAATACCAACTTATCAATACTTTTGGATCAAAGTTTAAATTCGATCGACATGATGTTCGCCTTGGGAATCGGCCGCCTCCTAGCTAATAAATCAAACCCAGGATCAAAGGAGGATGGCCGTGAGCAATCCACACTTAAACCAGCCCCTAGATCCGATGCCGAGCAATCCAATCAGCGGAAGAACACTGACAAACACGCAAAAAGATCTCGCCCTATCGATATACCTAAGAGCCCAATGGTACTGGAAACACCAAGACAGCTTTTCGAACAGGGGTCTGTGCAAGTCTATCAGCAGTACATCGACATATTCGGCTGGAACACACCGTTCGATGCGCTTTACGGTGACTTGTCTGGTGTAAGAAACTATCATCCACATGAGTTGGCGCAGTGCCTACACGGCCAGAGACCATATGCTTTCAGGCCTTGTGAGCAACTCAGAGGGCCAGAGTCTTTCCAACAACGACGAAGATTAGGACGTGCCCGCGATAAACCCATCAGAGTCACGGGCAGTCATAATTCAGTTGGTCTTCGACAGCGACCTGCCAGCGCTCCATCTCTCAAGGCAGCACAAAACCAGAAAGGAAAATCATCCGATCGCCACCACAACGACGTTTCACACAGAAGGCAATCAACACACCACCCGAGGCAGTGGCATAGCTACAAGCATTTTGCTCCGCACCAGCCTCATATCAAAAAGCATGAGTCTGGTCTACACCACCGACCTAACCGCCTCGTCAAACCAGTTGCTGGTCTTCATCATCCCAATTTGGACGACTTTACTTTCGGACGCACACGGAAACCGAAACATGAACCTCACCGTGGCGATACCGGAGAACCCGTCAAAGGTCATGATCACGGCTTAGATACGCTAGAGCCCCAGCGCTCACCCAGCACTCAAAATGTCAATTTTCAGACTGAGGAATGTATCTTCGAGATGTCAGATGATGAGACTATGCTCCAGCCTAAGTTTGACCAATCATCGAGATCAGACTGGCAACCTGAACTGGGAGCGAAGTCTCTATCTTATAACAAAGGACACCGACGAGCCCAGTTACGGCACATTCGCCTCGACTCAGCCGATTGTGCCATTGAGTCAAGCTCAAATTCAGACGATAACCCCAGACGACGTGTCAAGCATAGAAGACGAGCGCCGAATTATCAAACTCAGCGGCGCCACGTGCCACGGGAGCCAACAATCGAGGAACATGAAGAAGTGAACTCCTTCTTGAACAAGCTATCCTTCAACAATCATAACAAGCAGCAAGCGAAGCCCAACACACATCAGGACGCTCCAACTGATGTGAATAGAATACCTCGCCACCGGCATGTCGTAAGGAAGCAACAGGCATCGGTGCATCGCTATCTCGCTGTAGCTCATCAGCAACTTGCGATTGCACAGCCGGAATTCGTGCCTGATTTCGAGATGACCGACGAAGCAAGGCTCGATGCTCAAGTGGTGGAGACGAATGAAGCAAGGGCGAAACTCCAGAGACTGGTCAAGTTGGCACGAAAAACAAAGGAACTTCCTGGCTTCCGGCAGGCTGAGCCGCTCCCAGAGCGGTATCACCAGGCCCCTTCTCAGTGGGAACTGGATGAGAAGGTAGCTGCATCAACGTTCTAAAGAGATATCCCACGAAGAAGCCTGCGGCAATTGAGAAATATGGTTACACCATATCACGGCCTCTAGAAAGGGTATTACAAGAATTACTACAAGGACCAAGAATGAATACACGATAAGGAAAGGGGGGACAGATAGTAATGACAACACTCATTCTTTAAACCCCAATTGAAAAAATAAATCGCAAAAAGATAGTATTCAATCCAAGGTGCTTCTGGGGTCCTCCCGTGACAACTCAGTGTCATGAGTCCCCCAGCAAATGGCCCACGCTATACGTGCGTTGTCGGGATCGAACTGTGAACCTACGGAAAACTTGCTACCAACCTTGTAGCTTTTACCTGGCCGGCAAGGGACTCAAGAGCTTGCAGCCCCATCATTAGGCCAGCGCGGTACGCTAACGGTCCCAATTTAGAGGGTGATGGGTTTCGTGGGCTGATTGGGAACGAGGAACGGGGAGCGAGTTCCTTTATGTGAATATAGGAGTTGCATTTCCTCACCGGGCAACCGCCAAGGCTTGCGGCCCTACAGGGATCCTTTGATCATTCTAGAGTTTTTCTTCACCTTCTCAAGTAAAAAGTATTTCTTTGTCAATTTGCTGCCTGCGACCACTATTCTGCGCCTATCGTTATCGTCACCTCGGAACACATGCCACTCTCCACTCCTTTCATCGCCCGTACAACTATTGACACCACCTCCTCTACAGGTACAATGTTCCCAATGATACCAAGCTATGTATGTGTAGGTAGAATAATAGCACGCATGCTGCATAGGTAGCTGAGATGTCTTCCAAAGGGACGAAATCGCGACCCTTTCACCTGGTTGAAGCTGATGGTCTCCCTCCTCCTGACGATCGAATTTGGACAGTAAGCTACGATTACTACTATAATCGCCCACGAAAATGGACATAACTTGAACTGCAGGAACAGAGCCGAGCTGCTGAGCTGTACAATGAAGGGGTCCGTTTGTGGACAGGACCGATGCTTCTGGATATGGAGGACCAGATGGCAAATAGTTCGCCTGGAGTAAAAATGTTCTCTCTGAATTATGAATCGGACAGGTACCAAAAGAAAATGACAGATTGGCTGCCATTTGACTTACCCGTCCGAGAAGACCACAAGTTGTAAGCATTGTTCCTGCTCAAGTCGTGAACTTCCTTCAGCTAATGTCAGGCCGAAATCAGACACCAGATTGTAACTTTTAGAGGCCATAGACATCTTACTGCACCAGGCGCGGACTGGTCATCTGACTTGGCCTACTGTACCTGGGCTCCAGGCTATATCTCGCTTTGGAACGGATTAAAGCCGAAGCTTTACGATGAACTAGAGCGTTTCCGGCGTTGGCGAGATTCCTGGGAGACTTCGCTGACTGGTAAGAGTTTTGTAGAAGCTTTCAAGGCGGTTTCTATCACGTCACCAATCAAAAGGATCGTCTGCTTTGGATTAGGAGATTTTGCGACTCGGCATAGGCCAGATGACTTCGACGTTGAAGGGAATCTTCTGAACCCCGACTACCAGCGGAACGATGCACCTTCCAAGGATAGAATGAACTTCCCAGACATAGCACAGCATGTGGCTGCTTTAACCATGGCCAAGCTGCTTGAGCAACGCTTTGGAAGAGGAGTGCGGGTATTTGCCCAAGATCCCGGATACTCCGACACAGCCGAGACAATTTTAGAACAAAATGGATTCACCATTGTTGGTAGACGCGGTGCAGCGGGGTTTGCAATGATTGGTAAGCGTTCGCATTGGGTTGCTTGAAGATTGCTAAAAGACGCCTGAGCAGACGAAGAAACTTTGGTATACTCGTTCTACAACCTGGCGAATACTAGGGAGATTGTTGCCGATATCGCCCTCCCTGCAGTCAGCCGATAGATTATGAGAAACCTGATAGCGTGCTCACAATGCTCGACGGAACTGAGTATCCCGTAAGGTAGGTAATTTCGGGCGATGCATATAGCTAGGTGGTTTGCTAAGATATATGATCCCGCTAGGCAATGGAAGACCTGGGACTCCCCGCGGAGTATTGCAATGGAGAGCAAATACTTCAAGCAGCACTGGCCTCCTATCTTCGACCACCATCCTCACTTGGAGTTCTATACTCGAAAGAGTGTATTCGACGGAGGGCAGAAGAAATTGCCGAGGGTTGAGCTGATGGGTCCAAGTAGAGGTCCAAGTAGAGGCATTTCCACCACAGCTTATCAATCAATGCAGACCAAAGACTTTCGTCGCGAAGAAATGCGAGACGATAAGCGCTGCCGAGACGCGAAGACACAGACACTGACACAAATGGAGAGTTTCCCCCATCATAGAGCAACACCGACTCTGGGACTCTCTACGGAAGCAAAGATACGGACACCGCCACAGTCAATTCCAACCTTGAGAAAGGACCCGAAAAGTGAACGGCCTCTCTCAGGAATAAGAGGCCCAAAAAGGAAGCATGAGGATCGGGAGGGGGATATCCAGGTCGTAGACAAAAAAGACACGGGTAAAGGGACTTCAGCGCGGTCAAAGCGAATAGCCAAACTCTTCGGATACACTTCGTCGAAGGGTTACTGAAGTCGATAGACTCCAGAGCATGCCTACAGAGGTTGCTACAGTGTCGCCAGGTGGAGCCCCAACCATGTTCAGGCTCCATTCAGCCTGTGGAGTTTAGATATCTTTGAGAAGACATCCGTATCACATGAGTATTGTGGTGCTTTAACCAATGCCGCTTCTTGCCAGAATTTTTGCCCCCTTATTTCTATTCCGGGTCCGTTGTCTATCGTGATGGGGATCTGAAAGTCTGGTCAACCATCGGCTACATCGTTCATGTCGAAGTGACTTGTCCGGTGAGGGGGGAGGCGGTCGTCAAGATCGCTCGGCCTATGGCCACTAGTCACCAGCTCACAGTCATTGTTGACGAAGTTGGACTATATATCAATCTCATGGCCCTAAGACGTGCCAACCACCATGATACAGCGGACGACCAATTTTCATGTAGACCTAGTATTGAGAATGACACTGCTGAAAATCAATGAAGACTTTGCGTTCAGACACTCGCTCACAATGCAAAAGTATATCCAGGAATGGACTTCATTGCGGTGAAATAATCAGTTGCCGGAGGAAGTGGTATATCTCGCGCTTTCAACGACTACGCTCTATCATCATCAAGATCACATTCTCAATGAATTAGGAAAACGTGAATATATAATATATTTTGGATAAGTTACAACGAAGGTTTGTTAAGATGTGGATAGGGTATTGACGGATATTGACATGATGCCTCCTTTGGTCAGGAGCGTGAGCTCATCAGGATGATGTTGCACCTCCGAAGATTTGAGAAATATGCCTGAAGAAACGATTCCATGTTGCCAAGCAGCGTCTCGCATTGCTTATCGACGACCACGGCCAATAGGACGGGGCAGTCGAAATTCCTCCAGATCTTCCTACTCTCGCTATTGTCAACAACTGGATTCGGAAGAAGCCCAACAGCACCGGTTCCAAAAGCACGCGAAACGCAATCCATCACGATAACACGATTTATTGCCACGCCCGATCACAAGTCAAGGTCAAGATAAGAATCATTGTTTGTATAGTAGTTTCATGTGCATTAAGACGCTGCTTATAGATCTTCGTAATAGCCAGTTGCCCCTACTCCCGCTGTCGTTGGCCGTGTTTCCATTATCAAATACAACCGGCCCGCTGCGTCAAAATGCATCCCATGAAACTCCTCGCTTCTAAAATTCGCTTATTAACGCCGAATACAAAGAAACCCAATCGTAAAAATGCATAACATAGGTGAACAAGATGCCCTTGTTCAATCCCGGGTGAGGTAGTGCCTTCGGTGACGATCTTCGATGATAATCTCCCGGTCATGGCTGCGCCTCCTTGGTTCATACCGCCGTGGTGCATCCACGTAACGGTAGGTCTCGTAGTCAGGCTCGGCCCTCACAGGGTAGGGTACAGGTACTGGTACACGGACGGGGACCAGCCTCTCCCGCTCGATATACACCTCTCTTTCGCGGCTGTCCACCCTGCTGTGACTCCTGCTCCGGCTGCTGTGTGATGATTTGGAGCTCTTGGAGCTCTTGGAGCTCTTGTGAGACTTGACGGACGGGTCAACATCGACAGCGATGACCTCGATGGTGTCAAGCTCGGGCTCTGGCGGAGGCAGCACCGGGGGCGGGGGTGGAGGTGGTGGAGGAGCGACGATCACGGGCTCCGGCAGTGGCTCCGGGAGGCACGGCGGCGGAGGCGGGGGAGGTGGAGGTGCTGGGGCCGGCACAATGGTTGTGACTCTTGTGCGGACTGTTTTGCTACCGTTGGTGGGCGGCTCAAGGTACAGGACCTTCTTGGACTTGTGCCATCTCTCTTTGCGAGGGGCTGTATAGACGGAAGACATGATGTTAGATTTGCTGGCCGAAGTATAACTGACAGGCAGACTTTGGTCTGCGAGAATGCATAGAGTTGGGTGGAAGTGGGAAATCTAACCGGTCGAGATGAAGCACCACATTTTCCACGACTGATGTGGGTAGTGCCTTGAAATAAGACTTCCAAGTTTGTGTAAGTGGGATTCGGTAGCGAATCCGGGAACGCAGAGGGCCGCTGCAGAGATCCGATTACGTCACTCGGATCGGGTGTGGCCCCAGCTGGAGATGCAGGGTCCTGGGGTCCAGAAACAAGAATCTTGCGCCAGCAAAGAAAGAAGAAAAGTCGGCAGTCGACCGTTGTGCGCCTTTGGCGTTTCACGGCTGTGGTTTCGGCTGGCTCCTCTGAGGAATCTGGTCGAACGAGCAGACAGAATCGTAGACGGGTGTGTGCTGTATTAAGCTATGCTTTGAGAGTTCGACAGGTCCTCCTCTTGCGACGATTCTTGGGGGGTCAAAGTTAAAGTACCCGCGCGGGTCACCACCACCTTCGGGCATCTTGTCCTGCCACCCAGTCTCACAAACCAAGGACGAAGAGCAAAACCCTAATCCGACATGAGGGCGCATGCGTCCATCGCGAACACCCATGACCCTGTCAAGTTGGTGTTGAGTTGGGCATCTGATCTGGTCCACTGGCGAGACGGCTGCAGAGCCCTAGCAGGAGCCAGCCAGGGCAACATGCCTTGATCGGATGACGTTTTGGTGCACCGGCAACCCCCGTGACCCCAAGGTCCAAGGAACCATCTAGACCCCTGCCACCACATCTGGCTTGCTGCGCGGTGCGCGGCCGAGATCTTGCGCCAACACGGGTGGCTGCACCGCTCCCATCCCGTATTCTTCGGTTTGTTGGCAGCGCTCCAAAGGAGAGGCGATTCAAGCGGGCGAGGCTGACCCAAGGACGACCCTTGATCCGTGATTGACAGGGCAAAGCTGGTCTGGTTGGGTGAGTTGGCAGCAGGCTAGCTGGGAACCTAGATCCAAGGACCAGGATCCAGCCCCTAAGCAGATCTAACTGCCACCGAGATGACCCGCCTTTTCCCACTGATCAGCACGCTTCAGGCTTCAATCATGTTGTTTACGGCAAGGAAATCCAAGCAGACGGGTCTCAGCTGGCAAGGCTGGGCATCACATTGGGCTTCTTTGGTATTGTAAAACTGCCGGGTCGCCGGCCGGCCGTTACCATGGCAAACTTACAGCAATTGTGCTGCGAGTATGGTGACGACGCGCATATGCGAGCTGCTCCCTGGCCCCAGGCTGGGCACACACTCTCACTCGGCGGAGCGCAGGCATTCTACTGAGTAGATTTCTTATCTCATGAGCCGATTTCAGGCATGAGTTCAACCTTTGACGATCTTTCCGAGCGCTCTGAGGCAGGTGGCAAAGCCGCAGGCAACGTCTTGCCAATTTCTGCACCGGTGCCCATCAAGACCTGTCTGGCGCAGGCTAGGGATTGGACAGCAATTTGATCGACCTAGAGCTTTTGCCGTGGAAACTAATGGACCGTTCGGAAGGGAAGGCCCACGTACTGCCCATGGCTGGTGCTGCTCGTACATCATTGTGCTGAACATGGCGGTTGATGACAACACACTGCTATCGGCCCCCGAGGAGTGGCATCCTTTGAGCCGCTTTGAGGGTGGCCGTTCTTGAGAACTTGGTATAGATATCCGATACATATTCAAGGATCACGACTTAATAGGGATGATGTCTGTTTACACTTCCGCATGGTAAGGTGCAATGGCTCTGGTTGTGAGCAGGAACAACTAATTTCAAGCCTATGACTATTTTTAGAGATAGTTCATTCTCCTCAGGCCGAGTCGATCCTATCTATCATGGCGATACCTCCAAATTCCTTTGCCACCTTGAGAAAAAGCCTAGGTCTCTCAACTCGATGCCCAAAACAATGTCAAGCGCGGCCGTATCGACGTAGTCAATGATCATGGCCAAGAACTTCTCCAAGCGCGTGACTTGTGTCCTGCGAGCTGTAGCAGCAAGTAGATGATTAAAGCAGCAATGGTTCTGATCCTACTCTTTGATGGCATGCATTTTCTTCGTGCCCAATGAAAAATGGATGCGCTCAAGTTGAGAAAGCGATATCCACCATGCAGGTAAGCAACTTTCTTCAAGCCGCGCACCATATATCATCGCGTGAGTTTAGATGCTTCATAACAACTCTATATATTATACATGCTGAGCAAGGAGACCTTCTGAACGCCCACGAATCCAAATGACCACCCATCGCTAAGAAGATGTGGCGATTTTTGTCCTGGTCCACAAAGCCCCGTGGACCAAGAGGCCCTGGTTTAGTTGCGATTTCTCACAAGACTCAGTCGCTGTCGCTCAGTTCTATAAGAACAATATCGCTCGTGCAGAAAATAGTCCAGTGTTCCTTTGCTCGAGCTGGGGTCAGAAATGAAAGGGTTTGCCCTAATGCTCGTATCGCGAATATCGTCGTTTAACGTGCGGAAAGCACGCCGGCAAACGTGCTGCAACATCCCGAGGGGTATTAACACATTGTAAGCGTTATAAACGAGATATCTGGCTCTGGCTCAACAACTCAGAGTTCCTGCATTCTTGGCTGTGACGCTTCAGACCTCCAGATAAAGGGGTGACCAACGTTTTTAGATCTGATGCTATTACATACGCATTCCTTATATTTATAGAAAGTTTACAACGCTACCTGAAAATAGGCTTTACGGCTAACAAACTTTTGTATAGAACTTGTATATGGTCATTTAACTCCTTCTAGGAAAGTCGGCCTTGCTAAGGCGTGCCTGTGGCAATGGCCCGCCGATACCCCCTTTCACGTAAAGGCCGAACGTTGGCAGCCACTGCAGCTTTGGAGCATTATGATTACTAGCTGCGTTTGTAACATTCTTGAGTAATACCATTGGTTTTACATTTTTACGATGACTCAAACGAAGAAGTCTAAAAGTCTGGAAGTCTGGGAAACTCTGTGAGGCAGCTAAAGAGACTACCCTGCTGGAAGGGAGTTCAGAATACGTTCGACCAAAACACGAAACATTTGCTTTATCTTCGCCGACTTCCATTAATTCAGATAACTCAGTATTTCATTGCTAATTGGGGAATATTAAGTCAAGAGAGAAACCCGTCGCCATTTTGACCATAAGTAAGTAAGTAACAGTCTGCATTGTTGATGTTCTCGTTCGAGACATTCCTCATAGAAGATGTATGCAACCAATTACTCAAATCTGCACTTACGCCAGGTTCGGCAATCGTTCATTCACAGATCCTTGGGTGCCTGAAATGATGCAGTGGTTCTACACTGGCGGGTCTGTTCTTAGTCCTGGACGCGCCTTTCAAAGCTGGTTGATACGTCGCTCTGCACTCGAGGTTTTCCTCCTTCCTTACTTGGGCTAAGTAAGAGGTATCTAATTAGCAATCATACAGGATGATGACCCAGTCTTCCCTGCAAAATAGCGACTGTCCATCTTGTTGAGCGCTTTCGAGTCGATGGTAAAACTATCGACCCATCTAGCTTTGGCATATCACCATACTCAAGAACATGCTGATCATCGAAGGTGCTCCCATCCAGCGCCTTTCACGCTGCTTGGTCATGGTCATCCACTTTAGGGTTACGCCGCTACTTTGGTGAACCTACTGGCAAACCCTACCGCATCAAGATCTTGCTTACCATGTTGTCAGACTTCTTGTGGCCAGCCGAAGAGCTCTTCACAATTATTAGCGACGAAACTGATCATTTACTTCCCATAGTTCCCTTACTGTTGGCACCAGTGACATTCCATGACACAATGCCGCCATCTTACGGTGGGCGTACCAGCGGAACATGGTCTTGGTCAAGATAATCCCAGGACTGTAACCAGAAGCAGCGCTCTCCGGCCAATATTTGATGACATCCCAGACTTGAATGAACTCAGAAATACGTGTCACAATCCTCCACCACCAGCGATGACTATATCATACAGTGCTTAAGAAATGGGCCGGAGCTTGGCTCTAGTAGGTTTAATTCCAACGCTCAGGGCTAGCCAACGCCACAGTTGGTTCCGAGGGCTGTTACATCGCTACCGAACTTCCGGAAGTGAAATCTGACAGAACCATCGTCTGTGTAATTGCAAGCCGCACGTTTTTTATATGCGGATCTGCTAAGACTCCACTTTTGACAGGTACCGTGCAGTAGCATTGGGAGAGGTCATATGACAGCTGCTTTCTGGTACCGATGATACCAAGTCTCTCTACCTTCATCTTCTAGAATCAGGTTTTCGAGCTTCGCAACAATCCCACCCAGCATGATGTCTCGAAATTACCCAAGTTAAGGATTGCTCGGAGATTTTCGACCTGGCCAAACGGCAAAGTGGGGTAGTATGCCTATAGAGGACGGGATATAGCCAGGACACGGAAACAATCACATTGGGGACGATAAATCCCAGGCCGAACAGAGCCAAATCTGGCAAATGAAGGTATCATCGCTCCGCGAAAAGGGTTTTGTGCCTGCCCAGACTCTGGGCCTTCGTGATGTGGCGAGAGCGACTGCGTCGCAAAGGCCATACACCCTCTTTGGGCTTCAAGAGCAAGGAACCCGGCAATATCTACTCGTTAATGGATCACTAGTCTCGCATCAACAAGGTGTAGCATCGTCGTCAACCTTGATTTGTAGATCTAGGTGACCGACAACATTGGGTTACACAGCATTATCAGCACAATAACCAAACACAGAGGACCTGGCTGTGGCGAAGGTGGTCTTGGCTTTCTGTTTCTTTATGATAGGAGGCCCAAATGCCTGGCTGTCACATTCCCCTTGTCCCTTGTCTCGTTCTGCAGTGCGGATCTTGTGGTCCTGGTTGGCTGGCTGCGGAGATAGCCTGAGGGTTCGGACCGCAGGTTGCGTGTTCTCACCCACCACCGGTGCGACACGTTTGCGAAAGGATAGTTCCTGACCAGAGCAAGGATCACGGAGACTTTCAAACTAAATCTCATCGCCAGGGTGAACGTGGTTCTT